ACAAAGGAATGCTCCATGAGCTAGTCTCAAATCGAAGGAACCCTGATTTCAGATACAAATTCAGCAAAAAACAAAGGAATGCTCCATGAGCTAATCTCAAATCGAAGGAGCCCTGATTTCAGATACAAATTCAGCAAAAAACAAAGGAATGCTCCATGAGCTAGTCTCAAATCGAAGGACCCCTGATTTCAGATACAAATTCAGCAAAAAACAAAGGAATGCTCCATGAGCTAATCTCAAATCGAAGGAGCCCTGATTTCAGATACATTTTCAGCAAAAAACAAAGGAATGCTCCATGAGCTAGTCTCAAATCGAAGGACCCCTGATTTCAGATACATTTTCAGCTAAAAAACAAAGGAATGCTCCATGAGCTAGTCTCAAATCGAAGGACCCCTGATTTCAGATACAAATTCAGCAAAAAACAAAGGAATGCTCCATGAGCTAGTCTCAAATCGAAGGAACCCTGATTTCAGATACAAATTCAGCAAAAAACAAAGGAATGCTCCATGAGCTAGTCTCAAATCGAAGGAGCCCTGATTTCAGATACAATTTCAGCAAAAAAGAAAGGAATGCTCCATGAGCTAGTCTCAAATCGAAGGAGCCCTGATTTCAGATACAAATTCAGCAAAAAACAAAGGAATGCTCCATGAGCTAGTCTCAAATCGAAGGAACCCTGATTTCAGATACAAATTCAGCAAAAAACAAAGGAATGCTCCATGAGCTAGTCTCAAATCGAAGGAGCCCTGATTTCAGATACAAATTCAGCAAAAAACAAAGGAATGCTCCATGAGCTAGTCTCAAATCGAAGGAGCCCTGATTTCAGATACAATTTCAGCAAAAAACAAAGGAATGCTCCATGAGCTAGTCTCAAATCGAAGGACCCCTGATTTCAGATACAAATTCAGCAAAAAACAAAGGAATGCTCCATGAGCTAGTCTCAAATCGAAGGAACCCTGATTTCAGATACAAATTCAGCAAAAAACAAAGGAATGCTCCATGAGCTAGTCTCAAATCGAAGGAGCCCTGATTTCAGATACAAATTCAGCAAAAAACAAAGGAATGCTCCATGAGCTAGTCTCAAATCGAAGGAGCCCTGATTTCAGATACAAATTCAGCAAAAAACAAAGGAATGCTCCATGAGCTAGTCTCAAATCCAAGGAGCCCTGATTTCAGATACAAATTCAGCAAAAAACAAAAGGAATGCTCCATGAGCTAGTCTCAAATCGAAGGAGCCCTGATTTCAGATACATTTTCAGCTAAAAAACAAAGGAATGCTCCATGAGCTAGTCTCAAATCGAAGGAGCCCTGATTTCAGATACAAATTCAGCAAAAAACAAAGGAATGCTCCATGAGCTAGTCTCAAATCCAAGGAGCCCTGATTTCAGATACATTTTCAGCTAAAAAACAAAGGAATGCTCCATGAGCTAGTCTCAAATCGAAGGAGCCCTGATTTCAGATACAATTTCAGCAAAAAACAAAGGAATGCTCCATGAGCTAATCTCAAATCGAAGGAGCCCTGATTTCAGATACATTTTCAGCAAAAAACAAAGGAATGCTCCATGAGCTAGTCTCAAATCGAAGGAGCCCTGATTTCAGATACATTTTCAGCAAAAAACAAAGGAATGCTCCATGAGCTAGTCTCAAATCGAAGGGGCTCTGATTTCAGATACAAATTCAGCAAAAAACAAAAGGAATGCTCCATGAGCTAGTCTCAAATCGAAGGAGCCCTGATTTCAGATACAAATTCAGCAAAAAACAAAGGAATGCTCCATGAGCTAGTCTCAAATCGAAGGAGCCCTGATTTCAGATACATTTTCAGCAAAAAACAAAGGAATGCTCCATGAGCTAGTCTCAAATCGAAGGACCCCTGATTTCAGATACAAATTCAGCAAAAAACAAAGGAATGCTCCATGAGCTAGTCTCAAATCGAAGGAGCCCTGATTTCAGATACATTTTCAGCTAAAAAACAAAGGAATGCTCCATGAGCTAGTCTCAAATCGAAGGACCCCTGATTTCAGATACATTTTCAGCTAAAAAACAAAGGAATGCTCCATGAGCTAGTCTCAAATCGAAGGAGCCCTGATTTCAGATACATTTTCAGCTAAAAAACAAAGGAATGCTCCATGAGCTAGTCTCAAATCGAAGGACCCCTGATTTCAGATACAAATTCAGCAAAAAACAAAGGAATGCTCCATGAGCTAGTCTCAAATCGAAGGAACCCTGATTTCAGATACAAATTCAGCAAAAAACAAAGGAATGCTCCATGAGCTAGTCTCAAATCGAAGGAGCCCTGATTTCAGATACATTTTCAGCTAAAAAACAAAGGAATGCTCCATGAGCTAGTCTCAAATCGAAGGACCCCTGATTTCAGATACAAATTCAGCAAAAAACAAAGGAATGCTCCATGAGCTAGTCTCAAATCGAAGGAACCCTGATTTCAGATACAAATTCAGCAAAAAACAAAGGAATGCTCCATGAGCTAGTCTCAAATCGAAGGAACCCTGATTTCAGATACAAATTCAGCAAAAAACAAAGGAATGCTCCATGAGCTAGTCTCAAATCGAAGGAACCCTGATTTCAGATACATTTTCAGCTAAAAAACAAAGGAATGCTCCATGAGCTAGTCTCAAATCGAAGGACCCCTGATTTCAGATACAAATTCAGCAAAAAACAAAGGAATGCTCCATGAGCTAGTCTCAAATCGAAGGACCCCTGATTTCAGATACAAATTCAGCAAAAAACAAAGGAATGCTCCATGAGCTAGTCTCAAATCGAAGGAACCCTGATTTCAGATACAATTTCAGCAAAAAACAAAGGAATGCTCCATGAGCTAGTCTCAAATCGAAGGAGCCCTGATTTCAGATACATTTTCAGCTAAAAAACAAAGGAATGCTCCATGAGCTAGTCTCAAATCGAAGGACCCCTGATTTCAGATACAAATTCAGCAAAAAACAAAGGAATGCTCCATGAGCTAGTCTCAAATCGAAGGAACCCTGATTTCAGATACAAATTCAGCAAAAAACAAAGGAATGCTCCATGAGCTAGTCTCAAATCGAAGGAGCCCTGATTTCAGATACAAATTCAGCAAAAAACAAAGGAATGCTCCATGAGCTAGTCTCAAATCGAAGGAGCCCTGATTTCAGATACAAATTCAGCAAAAAACAAAGGAATGCTCCATGAGCTAATCTCAAATCGAAGGAGCCCTGATTTCAGATACAAATTCAGCAAAAAACAAAAGGAATGCTCCATGAGCTAGTCTCAAATCGAAGGAGCCCTGATTTCAGATACATTTTCAGCTAAAAAACAAAGGAATGCTCCATGAGCTAGTCTCAAATCGAAGGAGCCCTGATTTCAGATACAAATTCAGCAAAAAACAAAGGAATGCTCCATGAGCTAGTCTCAAATCCAAGGAGCCCTGATTTCAGATACATTTTCAGCTAAAAAAACAAAGGAATGCTCCATGAGCTAGTCTCAAATCGAAGGAGCCCTGATTTCAGATACAAATTCAGCAAAAAACAAAGGAATGCTCCATGAGCTAGTCTCAAATCGAAGGACCCCTGATTTCAGATACAAATTCAGCAAAAAACAAAAGGAATGCTCCATGAGCTAGTCTCAAATCGAAGGAGCCCTGATTTCAGATACAAATTCAGCAAAAAACAAAAGGAATGCTCCATGAGCTAGTCTCAAATCGAAGGAGCCCTGATTTCAGATACATTTTCAGCTAAAAAACAAAGGAATGCTCCATGAGCTAGTCTCAAATCGAAGGAGCCCTGATTTCAGATACAAATTCAGCAAAAAACAAAGGAATGCTCCATGAGCTAGTCTCAAATCGAAGGAGCCCTGATTTCAGATACATTTTCAGCTAAAAAACAAAGGAATGCTCCATGAGCTAGTCTCAAATCGAAGGAGCCCTGATTTCAGATACAATTTCAGCAAAAAACAAAGGAATGCTCCATGAGCTAATCTCAAATCGAAGGAGCCCTGATTTCAGATACATTTTCAGCAAAAAACAAAGGAATGCTCCATGAGCTAGTCTCAAATCGAAGGAGCCCTGATTTCAGATACATTTTCAGCAAAAAACAAAGGAATGCTCCATGAGCTAGTCTCAAATCGAAGGGGCTCTGATTTCAGATACAAATTCAGCAAAAAACAAAAGGAATGCTCCATGAGCTAGTCTCAAATCGAAGGAGCCCTGATTTCAGATACAAATTCAGCAAAAAACAAAGGAATGCTCCATGAGCTAGTCTCAAATCGAAGGAGCCCTGATTTCAGATACATTTTCAGCAAAAAACAAAGGAATGCTCCATGAGCTAGTCTCAAATCGAAGGGGCTCTGATTTCAGATACATTTTCAGCAAAAAACAAAGGAATGCTCCATGAGCTAGTCTCAAATCGAAGGAACCCTGATTTCAGATACAATTTCAGCTTAAAAAAAAGGAATGCTCTATGAGCTAGTCCTCCTACATTATTCCTCTGCCTTCAACTACAGTACCTCTACAATATCTTCTACAGTATCCCAAAAAAATCCAAAAACTCATTCAGTTTTTCTCCTCCCTGGTTTTTCTTGTCCCATGACTACTGTAGGTGAAAAAAAAACCTCCTACAGTATTCCTCTGCCTCCAACTACAGTACCTCTACATTATCTGCTACAGTAACTCGTTGCAAGTTTCTACAGTACCCCAAAAAAATCCGGAAAAAAAAAGTTTTCCCTGCAGATTCACTACCCTTTCAAAACCTACAGTAACCCGTTCCACTAAAAGTACAGTATTCCGAAAAAAAACCTACAGTACCTATCGAAAAAAAAACCTACAGTACCTCTTTCATGCGGAAAGACATGAAGGGAAATAACTAGGTGCTGTTAGCCCTTTTCATCCTAAGTAAATTAGCTGTGAGTAAAATGAGACTTTTTCAAATTTTCGCGTGACCCATTTTTTTTGTCCAATTTTTTATATAAAAACACACGAATACGAAGATTATTTATTTTTCCATTTTTCGAAGGCCATGTCGAACGTCGATGAATTGACAAAAATGGCTAGCGATGGTCAATTACCAGAAAAAGTAAGTTATAAACAAGCAGTGTGGTATGAGTTATTTTTTCTGTATAGCACACAAGACTTCAAAGAACAAGTTATTCGAATTGCACAGAAAAAAAACAACCATGTCACTCGTGTTGTATTGATCGCAGCTCGAAAAGCTGTAAAAAGGAATCCGGCAGAATGTCTTTCAATATTCACTCAAATGGCAGGAAAGCTGAAAAACCGACGAGAAAGCGATCGTTCCGTGTGTTTTGAAAAATAAATTTATGTTTTTTGTTGTTTGTTTTACTTCAAATGTTTTTTTCTCAAATTGATTTTCCCCTCCAAAAATTTCAAATTGCTAAATTTATTTTCTCGCGTGACATAATTAAAAAATTGAGGGAACGCCACGTCATCAAAAACGAATGATGACGTATGATTTTCAGCCAATCACAGTTTTTTCAACAACAAAAAATTTCGATAACTTTTCCTGAAATCGAACAAAAGAAACGAAAAAAAATGTCCGACACTTTCATTGGCTTCTGGGAATTCATCCGCAGCTTCTTCTTCGATCCATTTGATTGAATGAGTTGTGACACGAAGATCATCAATTTCAACCTTGCGAATGAGATAAAATAATAAATTACATAGGGAATCCAGAAACTTCTTCGAGCAATTTTTCCGGATTTTCTGAGCACAATAATAAAATACCTTATCAACCAATGGTTGTGCTGGTGGATTCTCCTTCAATTCCTCATCAACATATTCATTCGAAACAAACCATCCCAAATTGATAAACTCTTGCTCATTGTATTTGCAGCGAAGCAACAAGACACTGACACCAACAATATCCTCAGTCGTGTATCCCCTCCCTTTGAGGATCATTTTGAAGGAGAATTCATTTTTGCTTTTTTGATCTACCTTTTCGCTCCATCTTATTTTTTTCTGTCGTTCAAAAATATTTTCTAGTTTTGTTTCTCTCCGTTTTTTTCTCCGATGCTCTTTTCCCAAATTTTTTTTAGTAAACCGACATTTCCAAAGTTTAGTAAGGACCCGGGAATGAATCAAACTTGTTTTTCCTCGGACTCCCACCTCCTGAATTTTTTTCATCGAATTCTTGATTTTTCAAATTTCTAGTTGATTTTAAACTTTCAATTTCCTTCATACAAACTTCTGAAAATAACTGAAATCTGAGAAAAAATATTTTCGCTGTGAAATTTCAAGGATTTTTTCTAGAATTCGATTTTATCTGGAAATTTTAATGGGAATCATGAATTTGGCTTTTTGAAGCTTGGAAAATGGAAATTCAGATATTTTTTCACAGGTTTGGAAAACATTGCTCAGATTAGGATTTTTCTATCGTTTTGAAATTTTTCGATTTTTTTGGAATCTTTGGAAAATTAATCATCAAAGTTGATTTTTTACAGTTACTCACTTGGTTAGTTATTAAGTCGCAAATTGCGCAAAAACTATGAACGTAAGTCTTTCAACTGAACTAAACAGCAATAACAATCTCCTATTTTTGCAGGCTGATAAAAATTATCAAAGTGAAGATTCAGATCGCGCTGGATCAACCCCCGCGGCTCAAGAACAGCCAAAAATCCGGAAGAACGTCAAATTTTTCCTGGTGCACCGCAATATTCGTCTCAACCAAATGAAGAAATTGATGAATTTGATTGAGGTTAGTTTTTTTGGTTCGAAAATTATAAAAAAAATGATAAAGAAGTAATTTTTGAACTTATCTAGCCAGAAATTTTGGAAATTTACTTTTTTAAAACAATTGAAAAAAGTATGATTAAAATTTTTAAAATCTGAAAAATCAGATTCTGGATCGTCTTCATGAGTTACTGGAAACATCAAATGCGTCAGAAAAAGTTCCGATTAACTCTGCTCAACTAAACAATAATTTGTCAATTGGAATAGATTCATCTGAAACTGAAAATGTTGTGAAATCTGGAAACGGAGAACCTTTGAATGATTTGATGGAACATGATCAATATATCGATGGTGTTGTTTCCGAATCAGAAAATGCTGGAAATCTGACTGAAGTTAGCTTTGATGCAAATGAAATTGAAACAAATGAACACATTGTTGAGAATGAGCAGAAATTGAGCGAAAAATTGGAAGATGTCAAAGTTGTTACGGAATCATGGATTGCTGAAAATCCGACTGAAGTTAGTTTTTTTTGGGCTCAAAATTGGAAAACATCTGATCAAGAAACATTTTTTGAACTTATTAGTAACAATTTCAGGCTAGATATTTTTGAGAATTCATTTTTGTGAAATTTTGAGATATCTTCGAAAATTTTCGCCAATTGTTTTCTGTAGGATTTCTAGAAACAAAAAAAATCTTACCATATCCAAAATGATCCAATATTTCGTTTCAGACACTTGACAATGAACATCAAAATCGACCAGTTCTGAATAATGAAACTCCAGAAGCCACCCAACGAAATAATAACTTTGGATACACTCTAGTAGAAGCTCAAGACTTTTTGGGTCGTCTTCATAATTTACTTAGAACTTCAGTTTGTTTTAGAGACGGTTTATTGAATTCGTGTGATGTAATTAATATAATTTGAATAATAATGATGATAAAGTTTGTTAAATTGAAAAAGAATGGAAATTTACCGAGTCTTCAAATATTCTGCTAACCATTTTATAGGATTTTCGGGTTTCTCAACAGCCACTCGAGCCAAAGCTTCACTTAATTTCGGCCAAACTTCCACAGATAAATAATTTTGCGCATGTTTTATCATCTCTTTCTCATTTATATCTAGAAAATCAAAAAATTAGAATAAATAATTTCTAAAAATAAGTTACTTACGTTTCGGGTAGAAAAATGCGATATCTTGATAAGCGGCAATCGTTGATCTTGAGAAATAAATTCCAGTTGAAGAACTCATTCTATAAAAAACTTCATTTTTGAAAATGAAAAAAAATGAATGCAAACTAACTTTTTTGAGATGTCATTGTGATATTTTGAAAGTTCTCTCATCTCAAGAAATGCATTTGCTCTTTCGCATAATAAAACCATACACGGACCAGATGTGATTTTTTCAGCCAATCCCCAAATATCTTGCGATTCCAAATCCGAACTTCTCCATTCCATTATATCATTTCGTTTGAAATTTTTCACAGACTTCTGGAAAATTTTGAAAACTTTCATTCAAAAAACAAAACAAAATGCTCACCTCAATGATCCCGAAATTCTCTCGAAGTAAATGTTGAAGAAAACCTTCATATTCGTAGAAATAATTTGGCAAGATAATTACAACGATTTTATCCACCAAATTTGGGTTTTCCAAAATTTTGGCGGATATTTCGGAGCGGTACATTCTTGCAGAATGATTCAATTTGACGAAAAGTATACATTTCCGCTTAAAACCTTCAATTTCCTCGAGTTCGCAAAACTTGTGAAGCGGAAAAAAAATAAAAATTCAAATTTTTGAGTTCAATCGAGCGCCGATGCACACTTTAGAAATAGCGTGCAGATGGGTGGAGGGAAGAGAGAAAAGTGGGCGGCGCGGCCGCGAAGCAGGACGAATGTCTGCGTCTCTTCGCGAGAGAAGAGTTGTGTTTTTCTCGGGCGGTCGATCCGTTCATTTTTGCTTACTTTTTGGTTTTCTTGCACTTTTTTCAGTGTAAAACAACAGTAGGTACAAATTTCGTGTGAAGTATTACTGGAAGTATTATTAGATACTCCTAGTTCATAATAGCTCTAGGGTTTTTCTTTCTAAAAGCAATTTCATCTACTTTCCCAAAATCGTGTTCAAGGTCTTGAAACACTTATTTTGATAACAATTTGAACATTCTTCATGCATTTCTCTGTATTTTTCGAAAAGCAGCAATAGCGTTGTTTTTTTTTGAAAATGAAAAACTATTTCAAACCACGTGTTTTTGTCTTGAGGTTATCTCTTTTTTTCTGTCACGTGTTTCTTTTTTTTCGCAACGATCAGGCCATTGTTTTCTTTTCTTTTTTCAATTTTCTTCATTTTTCAGCTATGGCGCCACCAACATTTGCTGATCTCGGAAAATCTGCTAAGGATCTCTTCAACAAGGGATACAGTAAGTGTTTATCTCCTGCATGCTTTGCCCGAATATTTGAACTTTTAGTTTTAGATCTATGATCTTATCTATTCTGCCCGTTAAATGAAGATATTTCAGACTTTGGATTCCTCAAGGTTGACACCACCACTCGTGCTGGAGACAACAAGGAAATCGAATTCAAATCGGCTGCCAACCACAACCTCGGATCTGGAAAGCTTGGAGGAAACCTCGATGTCAAATACAAGATCCCAAAATACGGTTGGTTTTTTTCTGACAGGCTTTTTTCTTATCAGTTGTAAATGATGCAATTTGTATCATAAATTTCGTGATGACATCAATCAAGCTTTACACTTTTAGGAGTCACTTTGACCGAGAAATGGAACACCGAAAACCAACTCGGAACCGTCATCGAAGTCAACGAGCAATTCGGCCGTGGACTCAAGCTCACTCTTGATTCACTTTATGCTCCACACGCTGGAAAGAGAAGCGGAAAGCTGAAGGCTGATTGGTCACTCCCAACTGCCAGAGTGAGTGCTATTTTGCGATCTGATTTCCAATCGAGATTAAAAATTGATTGGAAACACGATAATTTTCGGGTGTGCATCTAAATTCTTTGTAGTGTGTGCATTTAATCAGTCTCGAGTTTTGGCCAATTAAAATTCAAATGGTTTTTTTCAGATCACCGCTGATGTTGCTCTTACCTCAGCCCCAGTCATCAACGCTGCTGGAGTCTTCTCTCGTGAAGGATGGTTGTTCGGAGCTGCCGCTACCTTCGACACCTCATCAAACAAACTTGCCTCAACCTCATTGGCCTTCGGACACTCCACCCCACAATACACCCTCCACTCATTCGTTGTCAACTCCACCGACTTCGGAGCATCCTTGTACCACAAGGTTGCCTCAAACGTCGAAGTTGGAACCCAATTGGGATGGAAGGTTGGCGGAAATGGAGCCGACTATGCTCTTGCCACCAAATATGCACCAAGCCGTGATTTGACCGTCCGCGCCAAAGTCAACAACAACTCGCAAGTCGCCGTTGCTGCCACCCACTCTTTGTCACCAGCTCTTAAATTGACTCTTTCAACACAATTCCATTTGGTCAACAACGAAGCACACAAATTCGGTCTTGGACTCGAATTCGACCCATCCAACTAAATGAAGCACAATTAAAGCAAGAAAGAAACCACTTTTAGTTTTAAAATATACATTTTTGTTCGGTGAAATCGTAAGTATTTCTTTGATCACATTTTTATTACGAATTCATTATTAAATAAGTTTTCATAAATTATTTCGATTTCAAACATTCTCTACATTGGGTAACGGCGTATATGGTGTCTTTTCCAAATTATTCCGCCATGATAAATGTATATTAGCTGATGAGGGTCTTCTAGAACCAATCCGGGAATTTGCAGCAGTTGCAAAATGATTGAAAAGCATCTGAAATTTTTTTTGAATAGGGTTTCAGATTTTCAAGAAAAATTCAAACCTCTTTAGATTCTTGAGATAGAGTAAGTGATGGTCTCCGACTTGTCGCTGCTGATTTCAATAATTCAATCTCCTCTTTTATTTCTGTTTTATAATCATGTCTCGCATCTGCCTTATTTAATTTTGCTTGTAAAATATGCTGAACAACTGAAGCAGCATAAGCATCTCCCAAAACATTGACAGCTGTTCGAATTCGATCACTGCAAAAAAAGAAGCTTTTGACAAATCACAAGTTTTGATACACCTTACAGTAACCAATCAACTGTGAAAAGCATCGAAACATCTCGAACAGGTAAACCAACTGTATTTAGAATCAATAGAATTGAAACTAATCCAGCTGGAACTGATCCAAGACCAATTGATGCAATTGTTGCTGTTATACTAACAGTCAAAACTTCGGCTAAACTTAGTTGAACATTGTTGATCTGAGCAATGAAAATAACAGCAACAGCTTCGTAAAGTGCATTTCCATCCATATTGATGGTTGATCCCAATGGGAGAACGAATCGAGAAATTCGACGATCAACACCGCAATGATCTTCGAGACATTGCATTGACATTGGAAGTGTTGCACCACTACAAAAAAATGAAATTGAGATGAGAGAGAAGAATTTGGAACTCGAATTTTCCCAGATTCCAAAAAAACTTACCCAGAAGCTGTTCCAAATGCGGTGACAACTGCTTGAATCATTCCACGAAAAATAAGAAGTGGATTTTCTCGAGTTATGAAAAAGTATAAAAGTGGAACAGTAATAATTGTATGAAGAATAAGACCAGTGCAAACTGTGAAAACATATAAAGCAAGAACAGTTGCAATTGCTGATAAATCTTGAAGTTCCAAAAGATTTCCACAAATCAAACAAGTTATTCCGAAAGGTGCAAACCACATAAGAGTAACAACCCATCGCATTATAACAGCATCCAAAATAATGAAGAAATCAACAACAATTCTGGCTCTTTCACCTAATTGTGAAATAACAATTCCAAATCCCGTGCAAAATACAATTATTCCAAGAATATTCATTCCTTTTGTCATTTCGATATTTCGTTGTTTTTTGATTTCAAAAGTTCCATTTTTTGAGATTATTGGCTGACGAACTGATTTATAATTTGTTTGCATTCTTTCAAATGTTGCTTGAATTATATTTTCCGGAAACATGTTTCTGAAATTTTTATATATGAAAAAATAGTTGAAAATATTTACCTGACAAGATCCAAAAATGTATCCAAAGGTGAAACATGTCCATCTGATGGAGCATTTATAACATCATCTCCTTTGATTGCAGGATTCCCGGGGTGGATTACAGTAACCAAAAATATTCCGAGCTGAAAACAATATTTTTTCAGAATGATAAATGAATCTGATATTTGTTACAACATCAATTTGGAAAACTTGGATTATTTTGAAAAAGTTCGGAGACCAATTTTCATTGATGGTTGCAATATTTTGATGTGTGGATCAGATTTTGAAAATTCGGATGAAAGTGAGTTTTTTTGGATGAAACTGATAGAATAATTTTTTTTAGAAAATACACCGGATGTTTTGGCATTGCTCGCGGTTATGAGATATTTTGTGAAAAATGATTATGAAGTTAAAGTTGTAATTTTGGCGGCATATCGGGAAACAGTCAATTTTCGATACGGATTACATGTAAGCTTATCGAAAAACAATTATTTCAAAAATCTCAATTTTTTCAGAAACTCATTGAGAATAATCTATGTTTTTTGGTTTATGATGATTTTCACGATGATAAAATAACACTGGATTTGGCATTGAATACAAATGGAATTGCTTTGAGTAATGATTCTTATAGAGATCATGAAAAATCATCAGAAATTGAAAGAGATTCGATTGCTATGAATTGGCTAGGAATAAAATTCACTGATATTCCAACTACTTCGAAATTTAGTTTTGGAACAGATGGAGATTTTATCGCTGGAAAGTTATTCAATTTTTTGAGTCATCGAAGAACAATTTTGAATATGGAAAATATTGGGGAAAGATTATTGATTGGAAAAGATGAACCAACTTATGAAATGAGTATGAAAAGAAGAGCGAAAATATGGTCGGAAGAATGGAAAAATAGTACTTTAGAGTTGTTGGATTATTTGATTGAGGAAGGTTATAAATTCCTGATTTTGAAAAGTATCGATGAAGTTAAGAAATATTCGAATTATAGGTTTGAGTTTTTTTTTCAAAAAAAAAATTGAGAAATTTTTCAAAATATTTTTTTCAGATACCCTAGAACCACTCCGAAAAGATGTGTTTTATCCAAAATTCCGGATGATGTCGAAGCTAATTTTGAATTTGAAATGTAAATAAATTTTCTTGTGAACTTACAATTGTGGCAAGAATAGCTGTCAATAAATAATATGCAACTGTAGAAGCGCCCATTTGACCAGATTCTCTTGCATCCATTTGAGCAAGAGCTGAACTTTTTTTTTGGAATTCAATAATAATCCAAAATTTTTGACTGACCTGAGATTAGTGAGGAAAAAATTAAGGGAAGAATCATCATTTTCAAAACCTGCATGAATATTTCGCCAGGAAAATTGATTAATTGCAAAGTTTCTGGAGCAAGTTCCAGCGGTCGAAGACCAAATCCTTGAAACACAAAAATGTTTCAAAAATAAAAAGAAATAAAAATTTACCTAATGCAACTCCTAGAAAAACGCTGAACATTGTCATTACAAGTAATAGGTTTTCTCGACAAAAACTAACGATTTCATGACGTTTCATCCCTACAAAAAATCTTGTAATTGATAAAAGAAAATAATAAAAGTTCAAAAATTTCTGGGGGGAAATGAGGTAACGTGTGGTGTCATCTGATTGTTTACCCGACTGATTACAACAAGATTAACACGTAGGTTGTCCGGAATAACCGGATGGTTTCTGTTCACTTTTTTTTTTGAAAAAAATCTGAAATTACTACATGCAATGTTTTCGAAAATGATATAATGCGAAATATATAATAATAAACATACATATTCAAATTGCTGACTATTTGCGTCATATCGTACTTTTTGAGAGGAATATTTAACACACTCTCTCTCTATTTCTGTCGAGTGTCCTTTGCGGTCTGGAAAAAAATGAAAAAAAAATTCAAGAAAAAAATAAAATAAATTACTGTACTCGAAGACGCACACAAAAAATTAGAAATGTCTCCACACGAAATTGTTTGACGCGCCTTTTTTTCACGTTCAAAAATGTTCGCACATTTTTCTTTTCATTTTTCGGTTTTCATCATCGCAAAATTATACGATTTATAAACGGTTTTACATCACTTTGAGCTTCTCAGTGCATTCGTGAGTTTTCTTTCAAGGCATTCAACTTTGAGATTATCCAAGTTAAATGCAAATCTATCCAGTTTATTCCCTTTTTATTCGAATGAAATATTCCTAATCTTCATTTCGAAATGAAATGAAATTGTTAGCCAATTTCATACAATTCGCATATCATTAACCCGTTTTTTGTTTGCGAAAACGAAGCGTGCGATTGATCTTGAGAAGAGGATTATTTTTTATTGTTATGACTATTGAAACCACAATTATTTTTCGACATTTCATAGTTTTTTACTTTTGATTTGATTCTCTGTAACATCAGAAATGTTTTGTAACTAATACGCGCTTTGATTTTTGTCGGGTCGGACTTTGTTTTAACTGACAGATGACTCATAATGTCAAGTATTTATGACACAGATCAGAGTGTGGCAAATGGGTAAACATACATTTTTTATTTCGTTTTGTATTTTTTTACTATTATCTCTAGTATTTTTTGAGAGAAAAACATGAGGTTTGAGATTTTCTTGTTGATTTATGAAGGCTAATTCATAATCAACAGATGTTTTCCTTTCGACAACTTGGATTTTTTGAAAAATGTAACCTTTTTTAACATAGGCCTAGATTTCCTAACTTTTTTGTCCTACCACACCCGCCTCTTCCCACTAGTATACGTTCATATGATTTATAAGGAAAGTTTTCTCAAGTATTCTCGATCTTGAATCAAACACAGCTTTATAATCTTATGTAACCGTACGTGGCAATAAAAATGGAACCATTTGTAATTCAAGTTTCAGAATTTGTGATAAAAATGTTTGAGTGTTTAATTGTGCCAAAACCGTTGAATTAGATTTCATTTCTCATCGTCCCGTCTTTTTTTCCGAGAACACGTAGTCCTAACCCTCATAACTTTCATTCCACTTCCTGTGTTATCTTATCAATGATTCATAACTTTCCCAAATTATCCAACCATGCTTCATCTTCTTCGGAAATCTATGAGTCACCATTTGGAAAACACATACATATGGAAGACGAAAAAACAATTGCGAAATCGAAAGCGAACTGCGCATCCGTGTGTATTATGCCCAATGGTCAGAACTAAAGAAGAAATTGACGAGGGTGCGCATAAAATTCAGAGAGTGACAGACGTTTAGGGACACAGAATAGGATAGAATAAGTAGAAACGCTGGCCATGGCACTTGTGTTTGAATCGTGCATGATTTTTTTGTCGTTCGTGTATGAAACCTATTTCTTTCCTCATCTTCTCCCTTCCTTGTCTGTTTTTGTGCATTTCGAATGAAGCAGCGCGTACACTACTAAATTAGCTATTTAACTGCGCATATGTTTTCACTGGACATTGAGTATCCACTGGGAGATTGAACGTTTTTTCTCTTTTTCTTTTTGAAGTTATTACCTCTCCCTTTTTTCCGAGGAAAAAATTTGCTTCGAAAAAAATATATCCACAAGACGTTCTTCTCATATATTATTAGGTACCTCCTAATATTAGTATTTACAAACAATAATAGTCCTAATAAACGGAACATATATTGTTAGTCATACTGCCTGCCACCTTCCTGTTTGAAAAAAGGTTTCTTTTTTGTTGCCCAAACATGTGTCTGTTTGTTTTGGCAAACAATTGAAATTCTATTATCGATTTTGATGGAATTGGCCGACGCGAAAAAACATCGTGAAGCAGTTTTATTACCGTGTTGCTTGCTTGCTTGTTCTGCTTTTGATACAGATTATTTTATATGACCAATTTTTAACGATCGTTCCACTAATTTTCCTGAATTTGAACATAGATCATTTTCATGTTATTATTGTCCAAACAGGTCTGTTACCAAATACAAAAGTTTCAAAACTGCCCATCATCATCTTCATCATTTCGTCCGTTACTTAACTTTCTCTTTTCGTTCTACGTACAAAATCAATTTTCGTCTTTTCTTTTTTGTTGCTACACATCTTCAAAAATGGTGGCATAGAGTAGTAAACAATACAATACATAATTGTTGTTAAGTAACTAAGTCGGATTTCAGTGTTGCCCCAATGGGAGAAGAAAACTAGTCTTCTTATTTTAATTATATGTTTTGTTGTTATACGCATTTTACAAACAATGATTCATCGCATATTTTATAAAATAAAACACATACTTTTCCTCCATTCAACGCCTTATCAAAACAAAACAAAATTTCCACTATTTTTTGTTTATTCACTTTCCGCCTTCGTGTTTTTTATAGAAAAATAATTCGCGAGTCATTATTTATATACTCTTTTCTCATTCCTTTTCATGGAAAAAAAAACCCACCTGTTGTTATCCGCTGCTAAAGAAGCAGTCATTTTCTCAAGGTCTCTTTTTCCTCCTCAAAATCAGAATGAAAATGGAATATTTGAAATATTTGTATCTGCTTGCCTGCTTCATGATGTATATGAATTTTAATTAATTCATCCTTTTCTCTTCCGACAATGAGATAACAATCTTTTTTGCATTTTTTCTCGCGGCCAAGTCACATTCTTGCCTGCCATTGTTATTATTTTATTTGAGACAGCCGGGTTTCCCCTTTTCTGTGGTTTTTAATTTCTGCTAATTCACTCGTCTTCGGATCATTTTTCGAAATGTTGTGTTTTTATTTCATCCTTGTGTATTTGAAATTAGTTTTTTTTCCAAATGGAATATTTTTTAAAGTCAATTTTCAAATTTTATTGAAATTCTGGATTGACAGTACAATTTTCTAGATGTCTGAATAGGTTTAGAAATTGTTGGAATCGGATTAGTGTTCAAATTCACGAAAAATAACTCATTTCAAAAAATTCACGAAAAAAAACTGTTCGTTTTGCATGTTCTGAAAAAGGGTCTAGCCTGAATCTCCAGGTAAAATTCAACAGTTTCTGAATTTCATGAATTTTTTCTATTTTTTCCAAAGTTCATATCTTGAACTTTATATTTTGCATGTAGTTTTTCTTTTTTTTTCACAAAAACCTTTCTCCACACACATGTTTCTCTGAACCCTTGCCTTATTCAGACAGTATTTAGATTTCTTTCCTCTCTCCTTCTTCTTCTTCTCCATTTTCTTCACCTTCATTCTCCATCATGTCGAAAAAACCATTTGTGTGCAAAAGGTGTTAACGCGCCCGCGCGCGCGCAACTAGCCAGTCATTCGTTTTCTTCCTCGCCGTTTTTTCCATCCATCCATCCATCCTCATATTTTTTCGATTTCTGTTGTTGTCCTTCGAAGTTTTTCTAATATAAATACTATTTCGCACCGAACATGGTAATTAGTTAGTTTTTTTTTTGCGTTTTGAAGAGAGATTTTATAATTGGGTCGGTCGGCGCCAGTTATAACTCCAAAGTCTTGACCTTTTCAGTTGTCCTGATTTTTTTGTTTTTAAAATTGTAAGGCAAATTAAAAATGGAGTCATTAGGGCAGATTTGATATAATTTGAAGTTGGACTTGATTTGTTGTGTTGGCCGATGAAAGCGAATCTATGAACCGTAATCTTCCTAAAAAATCCCTTTTTTTGTGAATTTCAAAAGATTACGGGCTCCAGCTTCTGTTTCATCTGGAATTACACGAATCATAAGCAATTTTCCTCCCTGTTATCAATATTTTTTGACTTCTAAAAATATAAATCAATATATTCACCTATGACTAATCGCTGAATAGTCATCATTCAGTCCACACCCATCGTCATTTTGAAATTTTGATTGGAATAAATGAAATAAAAAAATTTCTCGTTTACCAACCCCAAAAATCACAAACTGATAAAAAAAACGGTTTTTTATGTATTTAATTCTCGTCATTTTTTCCCTCTTATCACCTTCATTTTTCTCAATAATAAGTTTCTTCTCGAAATTTCCAAATTCCAAATTTAATTCAGATATGTTGTCTCGAGAACAGTTGCAAGATTTGAATGAATCGTTTCCAACAGTCAGTGAATCTGGTTCGGGATTTTTGCCACGTAGCGATGTGCAAACCGCATTGAAAGTACTTGGTATCGATGTTCCGGGATATAAGGTTTGTTTTTGTTTTTGCTGAAGAGTGTGTTAACATTGACAAATATAAAAAAATGGGAAGCAAACACTTGATTATTTTGTGTATTATCTATTTGTTGTTTTTTGTTAGATGCGCGAATTGCTCGACACACATTTTGGAAATGATGGACAAATTGATGTGAGCAAGTTTGAGAAATTATTTGAGGAATTGGATGCGCAAAGGAATCAAGAAGCTAATAGATGGAAATCGCAAACTAAGTATGTTGTTTTGAAAAGGAATTATTTGAGAAAAATGTGGAGAGAAGAAAACTTTTGGAGATTTTGGGCCCTTGAAAAGTGTTCAAATTTTGAAACAATAAATTTGTAATTTCAAATTTACGAAAAATTTAAGATCGAAAAAATTAGACAAATTTTTAAAATGAAAACCCTGCGACGAAGACTTGGACCTTCAAAATACCGAAATTCAGCTTCAATTTTTTTTTAATGAAAATTAAAAAAATCTAATTCCCATTTTAATTCAAACGTGATCCAACAAATAAAAAAAAATCATTTCTCATCATTTTTTAGACAAGTCAGTGGAGCATACCAAGTGCAAAGTGAAAAACAAGACAATGCACATCACACAATTCGACACGAAGAAGAAGTTGCTTTTTCGAATTGGATCAATAGCAATTTATCAGATGATGCTGATTTGAAACGATTACTTCCAGTCAATCTTCAAGGTGGAGAACTTTATACAAAAGTACAGGATGGTCTTATTATCTGGTTGGTTTTTCCCTTTTTGTCGAAATGATTTTCAAAAATGTGTTTTTTTTTCAGTAAATTGATCAATTTGGCAGTTCCTGGAACAATCGACGAGAGAGCTATCAATAAAAAGAATTTGAATACTTATACGAAATTGGAAAATTTAACATTGGCTCTTTGTTCGGCGCAAGCGATTGGATGTAATATTATCAATATTGATAATATTGATTTGAGCAAAGGAACTATGCATTTGGTTTTGGGATTATTGTGGCAGATTATTAGAGTGAGTGAAAAAACAATGAAAAAATGAGAAAATTCTCTTTTTTTTTGAATATTGAAAAAAAAAATCAAACTTTAACGAATAATCCTGAAAATCTGGAAATTTCCAATATCCTCTTCATTTTTTCAGATTGGATTGTTCAATCAAATTGATCTTCAACATTGTCCTGGACTTTTCCGACTTCTTCGCGACGGCGAAACTCTTGATGATCTTCGAAGATTGTCTCCAGAAGAAATTCTTATGCGATGGGTCAATTATCATTTGGATCGAGCTGGAACTCAACGACGCCTTCACAACTTCACTTCTGATATTGTTGACTCGGAAATCTACACATATTTACTCAATCAAATTGCGCCAGTTGGAAGTGGTGTCACTTTGGCGCCATTAAATGTTCAGGGAAATATTCCAAGAGCTGGTGCAATGTTGGGAGAAGCTGAGAAATTGGATTGTCGTGAATTTGTGACAGCAAATGATGTGGCTGCTGGAAATTATAAATTGAACTTGGCGTTTGTTGCCAATCTTTTCAATAAACATCCAATGTTGCCTGATCCAGCGGCTGATGAAATTGTCGAAGATGTTGTGCAAGAGACTCGTGAAGAGAAGACTTATCGAAATTGGATGAATTCGATGGGAGTTGATCCATTTGTTAATTGGTTGTATGGAGATTTGCAAAATGGTGTTGTTATCTTCCAGGTAAATTTTGTGGGGGGTTTTGGATCTTTTTTCAAATTTTCTTTGGAATTTTTTGAATTAGGCAAGATTTTTAAGTATAACTAAATTTTATGAGTGTTAAAATTTGCCTGAAATATTTTATCTGGAAATCATCAATAAGTACAGATTCCCAAACTCAAAAATTGTTCAGTTATCTCAATTCTCCTTTTCCAGCTCTATGACATTATCCGACCTGGAATGGTCACCTGGAAACGAGTTGTTCGAACTTTCCACAAACTTCGCGGAATGATGGATCAAATTCAAAATTGCAATTATGCTGTCGAATTAGGAAAACAATTGCGATTCTCATTGGTCGGAATTCAAGGAAAAGATATTTATGATGGAAATCAAACATTGACACTTGCTTTGGTTTGGCAATTAATGAGAGCTTACACTTTATCCGTTTTGGCTCAATGCACACAAAGTGGTGATTCTCTTCCAGCTGATAAAGATATTGTTGCGTGGGTCAATCAAAAATTGGCGAGTTCCGGTAAAAGCACATCAATTCGATCATTCCAAGATTCGGCAATTTCTGATGGTAAAGTTGTTTTGGATTTGATTGATGCTATTAAACCAAATGTTATTGATCATTCATTGGTAAGTTGTTTTTATGGAAAATGAAGATTTTATAAATATGGGATAAATTTTTAGATCAAGGCCGGTTCAAGTAACGATGATAAAATGTCAAATGCGAAATATGCTATCACTTGTGGAAGAAAAATTGGAGCAAAAATCTATGCTCTCCCTGAAGATATTGTTGAGGTAAGCTTTGGTTTCATAAATTATTTCTCAAATGCTTTTACTCTCAAAAGAAATTTTTAAAACGATCCAATTTTGCAGGTGAAACCAAAAATGGTTCTGACAGTTTTCGCGTGTTTGATGGCTCGTGATTATTTACCCGATATGAAAGAAGTATCAGCTCCAGTACAACCAATGATGAATGGAAATTAGACGACCAAAAAGAATATATATTTATTATAAATTATCTATTGTTTCAAATGCTGCTTTAATACAGCTTTAACTTATCTAAAACCCCTCTTTTTTGCATTTATTTTCAATGTGATATAATCGCTAATCTCAAAACTTAGTACCCTATTCCCCTTCCAATTCTTGGCCAGTTCATTTTTTTTTCTTATTTATTGCCCCCTCCTCCCAAAATGTTTTTGTGCTCATTTGATGTTTTTTCTCGACTCGGTGAGGTCTCATCGATTTTATTTTTCTCTTTAGTTTTTTCTGTATTATAATAATTTCCATACCCGAAAAAGTCATTTGTACATCATCACATTATTGTTTATTATTATTAAACCCGTTTTCACAACAACAAAAAATCACCAAGTTTTTGCGTATTTACAAGTTTCAGAATTACCCAGTTTAGAAAGAGGATGGAAGGCGATTGTATGTAGTTTGATCGAGATATTCTTTTCGATGAATTGCTGTCATATAACTTGCACACATCACAATGAAATTCAACACGGAAAATATGTAGAAGTTATTCTTCCTGGCGAGCTGCAACAAAAATTATTGAATTGGAATTCCGAAAACTCAAAAATACCTTGGGAACATCGCAGGATTTCAAAACTGTGAAATTTGATTTTAAACAATTCAATCGATTGTAATAACCTGTTCGTGTGCAATATTCTGAAAACAATATTTTTTTGTTTGAAAATCACGAAAAAAAATTTTTTACCTGCTTTTATTGCTTTCAAATCGAAATCTTTACATGGCAAACATTCGGAAATGACTTCGGTTTTTTCGTGTTTCCAACATTCTTCGATTGGATATTGGGTTGCGGTTGGAACTGGCGCGGTTTTTGGATTTTCGTGGTCTTAAATTAATTTTCTGTTGAAATTGTGTACGGTAATGCGCGATGTGTGCATTTGTGCGTCGCAGTGTTTGTTGACTAGAAAATTATTTTTATTTCAGCCTGAAATTTTAAGCGCGTTTAAAGCATTTTAGATATAGTTTCAGCAAAACTGAATATACCATCTGATTCATCTCGTCGAGATGAATAAGAATATTCAGTTATTTTTCATGAATATCAAGTATGGAAGCAGCAATTAAAGAAAATATTTTTAAAGTTTAGGTCTCGCAGCGAATCGATTTTCTCGCGTGAAAACCTTATTTTTTGTTTTTCAGGCATTCGAAAAATGTTTCACTTGTTTATTTTCATTATTTTCCCCCATCATCGTATTTCTCAAATATATTTTTCATCAAAAAACTCACTGTAATATACTCGTTTCATTTCCATTTCACTTTTCATCTCCGATTCTTCAGTCAATTCTTCGATGAAGAAAACGAGAATCGAAAAAACTATCAAAGCCAGCACAATTGTAGATATTTTTCGTTTCGAGCAATATTCGATCATTTCTTCCTAAAATACAAAACGTTTTATTTGAATGAGGATGAGTTTAGAAAAATAACCGTTTTTTTCTCGTCGGCCATTGAAGAATACGGTTTCAAAAAGAACGACAACTAAGTAATAAATGAGGGAAATATAATAAACATTTTAAAAATGAAAGCGAAATGCCACGCAGTTTTGTTGTCATAGCCAACGCGGTTCTCTTTTTTTTGCTGTCTTCTGCGGGAAAATAAAAAATCCCTTTTCTCCATGACCGACCAACAAGTGAGAAGGGGAATGTTCGCTCTATTGCGAAATAGTTTTATGTTTCTCTGTTGTCTGGCGGGCGCGTCCTCTGGCTGAATTGATCCACACGCGGCTGTCCTTTTCCTATTTCTCGGCCATTTTTTCGAATTTCTAGTTTTTCTTCAAAGGTTTCAGGTTAATTTTTCATTTTTCAGCCAAATGGAAACACGACGTGTTCGTGTCCCGTCAGCTCGAATGCTTGCTGCAAAGCAAGACGAAGAATTCACTTTTAAAAGTGTCGTTGAAGCTCCGAAAATACCTCCACAAACTTTGAGCAGTGCATTGTAAGTCTTTAAAAATATATTTAATTGTTTAAACAAATTATTGTTTTTTAAAGGAAAGCTGCGGAAATTGCATTGCAACCAAATTTGTCGACAACCACTGTTATTGAAGAAAGAATTGACGAGGGAAAAGTTGAACAAATTGTTGAGGAAACTGTGGAAACTGAAAAATTGATTGATTCACAAGAAGAACTCATCGATGTTGGCAACCCGAAATACGATAAAATGACACCGGATCCGACAGATATTGGACAAACTATTAAAGTTGAGGGAGAAAATGATTTGATGGGTGATGTTGGAGCGGAAGTTACAATTGAATCGCAGAGAAATCGAACTCCACATGTTAGAAGAAGTGGGGGAATTAGTGGAGGAGAAACACTCAGTTTGAAATCATCAGATTTGAGTATTCCAAACAAAGCCGCACATTTTCTATACTTTAGATGGTAAGTTTTCGCCTTTTTCTTTCTGAAAAAATCCAAAATTAATGCAAAATAATATTTCAGCTACGATGAACATGAGGTTCAAAAGGAGTTTCCATTGACTATTGATTGTAACAAGAAAGGTGTTCAAAATTTCCTTGTCGAACCACGTGTTGGCCTTCGAAACACTGATTATTACATCGACAGTTATCTTTGGAATCGTGGAAAATCGACAAGTTCCAAGAAGAAGATATTTGTCGAAGTCGAAGGAAATCACGTGAAAACTTCACGAAAATGTCTCGATACAGCTCCTTATATTCTCAATTGGTATTATTCGAATATGGAGAATCGAATCACTAAAAAAGTTTGTTGGTTGGAAACGTGTCCGGATGGAGTGCGTGCGAGTCCGGTGCTTGTTCAATATTACGTTAACTATATTTCTGAAATTCCTATTGAGGTTAGAAAAACTCCTAAATTATACAGCGACACTAGAAGTGTTGCGCAAGAGCTGTTGAGAAATGATTCACCTCTTCAGACTGTCGCCAGATTTATTGAAACTGGCGAAACTGATCCAAGAGAGATTATCAACAAGAAACAGGTATGAAATTAAAAAAAATAGAACTAACTAGAAAAGTTGTTTACAGGCATACGAGATGCGAAGATATGTGTTCAACACTCGTAGAAAGAAGCATAAGAGAGAAGAATTGATTGATTTGGATGGGAATCCAATATTCTTTGATGATCCGAATGGTGATATTTATGAAGAGACAGTTTATTATGATGAAAATGGAATGCAACAATCATCAATTCGACGAAGAGAAGTATCAGAAAGTGCCAGAATTGCAAATAGTGCTGTGAAAATGGTTGCGAGAAAATTGGAGAATCGTATTTCTGCACTTCTTGACAATCGTCTTGGTTTATGCCCATCGAAAATGCTTGTTCGTGTTCCAATGATGCATAATCCAGATCTTCAAGGACAAGCTGATCAACTTGGAGAATGGATCAATTCATTGACATCTTCGACATCTGATGATGTTGATATTGTTATTAATAATGTTGTTGGTCAAATGAGAAAACAATTGGATGTAAGTCGAGATTTTTGGGTTGGAAAAGTGGGAAAATATGATTTATTTTTATTTTTAATGAACAAACTTCTTAATCTGAAATTTTCCAGGAAATTTGTGGTGCCGATGGGTCAGAATTAACTGAATATGTTGAAGAAGCTGGAACTTCTCATGCCAAATATATGCAAGAACCACCATCAAAAAGAAGACGCGAACACGTCGAACCAAAACAAGAATCATTCGCTGATCAACAAGCTGAATATTTGTATGATGGAGGAAATATGGAATACGTTGAAGAAGAAGTGATCACTGAAGATATTGTTGCGAATTCGATTCAAGGTCCAAGAGAAGTTGTTGTTGAGCAAAGAAATGTTCCAGATGATTCGCACAGACAATCAAGACCATATTATTATCAAGATAATTCGGATTCTGGAGCTGAAACACCAAGAGACATGTCTATCACCAATGGCGATTTGAACGTTGAACCCTAAAAATTTCGATTCTTTTTATTGTTTTCTTTTTTTCCTTATACTGTTTTATTCTTTGTTCTACCTGGTATCTCATTAATCATAAATCAATCAATAATTAATCAAAAAATTTACTTTCTGGGGGAAAAAGGTTTTCAAACCGCTTGCTATTTTATTTTCATTGAGAAATTTTGATATATTCAGGAAATTTTTTCAGAATGCTCACATTTTGTCCAGAATGCGGAAGTGTATTGCAAATTGAAGATGGTCCACAATGTATGAGATTTGCATGTCCATCTTGTCCCTATGTTTGTCCCGTCACAGAAAAAGTGAGTTTGAAAAATTTTGGTCTGGCCTGATAAGCTAGGGAGAATTTTTCAAAAGTATTTCTGAATCAGTCTAATTTCTCGATTCAAAAATTTTTTTGTTTATTATTTCACGAATAGTCAAAAATTGGGATCTTTTTTCGGATTTTGTCCAAAACAATGGGTTTTATTTAAAAAGTTGGAAGTTCCTCACAATCAGATTTTCTGAATTGGATTCTTTAAACTTTAAAATAATTTAAAAACACTAAATCTTGTACAATTTTCAACAAGAAAATCGCGAATGTGAAAATTTCTAGCTTGAATTTTTTCGAGAACAAATTTGAATTTTTGAATTTTGAGAATCATGCTTATTCCCTTCACCCAAAAAATCATATTTATCTTCCAGGTATCTAGTCGAATCTATCCAAAACTCAAAGACATTGATGACGTGTTAGGTGGACCGCAAGCTTGGGAAAATGCACAAATTACAGACGGTTAGTTCAATATTTTTGCACAAAATTTCGAGTCACATTGTAAAAGTTCTTGTTTAGAACGTTGTCCAATTTGTTCACATGAGCGTGCATATTTCATGCAATTACAAACTCGTTCAGCTGATGAGCCAATGACTATTTTCTATCGATGTGCTGATAATGGATGTGCACATCGGTGGAAAGAATAACATTGAGACCTGTTTTGTTATTTGTGTTGTTATTGTTGGTTTTTGTTACATAAATTTATTGAGAAAAAAGTTCGAAGAACAATTTTTGATCTCATGTTTTTTCACCAAATTGAACCTAAAAAATTGGAGCTCCAATATAATTTCAAAAAAATATCGCCTAACATAGAATCATACATCAGTTTCTCCCGGTCAGGACCTCAAAATTAGCCACCCCCGAAACGTGAAAATACAAAAATTAGCCAGACCCCCTCAAAAAATAGAGAGAAAAACTTGGTTTTTGGGGTGTAAATTGTTATTTTTTCAAAAAGTTAGCCGGTCCCCACCCCTTTTTTCCAAAGTTAGCCAGCCCCCTCCGGACGAAAATCCGGGGATACTGATGTATGCATAGAATTATGAATTTATTTCATAATAATAATCTTCTAAAATCAAAATGTTTTCCGATTCTCCCAGTATTTATCTCTTTATATATCATGAATATTTGTCAAATATTTCAATCGTCGCATAAAATTTGAACCCGCTTTCGAAATGTGTTTTGTTTTGTTTCGTTGCCTAGTTTTCTGTCCTTCTCCACTGTGTTTTTGGCATTATTCCAATGGATTATTTGTTGATGTGGTTTCAGTTGAATTATTCTCATTTTCGTTCATATTTTCCTGTTCTTGTGAACTTGTGCTCTCGATTTCCGGAATGAAGTCTTCGGGAATTGGAGATTGAAGACGTTTACATTCCTGGAAATTATAGAGCTTGGAATTTTGAAGATTCAACAAAGTTAAGCATCTACTTACTTTCATAATATAGCATGGTTTGATTGGCTTGAAATCTCCTCCAGTCATTTCTCGGAACAAAAAATCTCCTTTATCTTTTATTGCCATAAGACATCGTCGACGATACTGTAAATCTTGGTTTTGAATGGAAATTAGACTTCTATTTATCTAAGAACTCACATGAAAGTGTCGTTTACATTCATGTTTCAATTGATTGACCAACTTTTTTCTGCTCGGCACATTTGCAGAAAAATGGCCAAAAACAGTTCGAAGAACTAATTGACACATTTCACATGATTCTCCAGGTGTTAAACTTGAGGTTTCCTGGATGTTCTGAAAATGACTAGCTTCAAAACTTTAGAACTTCATGATTTCAAAAAAAAACTTACAAATCCCGATAATAAAATAAAAAGAACTGGCACTGGTACCGCAAACAATAAATTCATCGAAAAGAATTTCTTCAATCTGTAAAAAGAGGAAGAAAAAAGTTTTGTAATGATAAGAAGAACGTTTAAAATCGAAAGTTATATGTCGAAAAAAGGTTGTTTGACAACTTTCAGAAAGTTTTTATATAGTTTGGTTTAGAACATGTGATAACTTTAATTTATTAGGGAAGGAGAAGGGATACATTTTTGGTTCAAAAATCAATTCAAACCAAAACAGTATCTTATCTTATTAGATAATTACGTGATCTTGCGCTTTAGTCAAGTGACGATTTCAAGTTCAGAAATCAAATGGAATTTTTGGCGAATCCTAGAGCAGGCTTCTAACAGGAATCTAAATTGAGTTGACATGGTCGGAATAAGAGCCGCTAATTTTATGTGAGGATATGTCCCCACTTCCATGTTGGGTTTTCTACGATGCACCCATGAAAAAAAGTACGATTTCTATTTGTTAGAGCAAAATGAAACAGAAAATGTGCAAGCAAGCAAACAATGCAAATGGCTCATCAAACCGGAATAATTATTATTGTCATTGTTGGCTTTTGGCCTGCATTTTACCTATGAAACTTGAAAATCTTCTAAAGGAAAAAAAAACAAGACAATTTATTTTTATACCAATAAAACAAGAATCGATTTTTTTATATGTGAACAATCTCCCTGTCTTCATTCACACGAACAAAAAAGTTGTACTAAATAAATTGATAGCAGGCAGCAGACGATTCTTTTTTTATTGTATTGGTGAACTGTGAAGTATTCTCGTTAGGTAGATACGTGCGGAATTTGGATGTTTTCGACGAAGAACTATAATTGGAATTGTTGATGTCATTTCGGTTCCACTCTTGACTTTATAGGGCACTGTTAGAATGATATTGTTTCGTGAGAATTTTTAGGTACATATATATTTCTAGAGGGGGAAATATATAACAGGGTATTTATATTTTAACACCTAAAAATACTCCGAGAGAAATTGAAAACATAGTCTTCCGAAGTTCAAATCGAAGCCCAGCACAGGATTCTTCGTGGTCAGAAATCTGAAAATAGTTCTGTAAATCTGGATCTACATATGAATTTTCTACGATCTTGATAACATTTGAGTGTTGTTTGCCTGAAGTCAGAACCAATTAATTTTTATAATAAAAGTTTATTGAATCGCAAAAAATAACACACACACAAAAACAGAATCAAATAAATAAATATTATTATCGTCGTTATTATTTAGTGAAATTGAATTATTTACAAGGAAGTTTCATTGTCGGTAACAATGTTCGAATCGATTTGATGGCGGTATTGATCTTGATGTCCGTGATGAACTTCTTCACCTTGTCCCTCAGCTGGACCTCTTGGTTGTTGTTCAGATTGGAATCCAGATTGTTGGGGAGTTGGTCCTCTTGGATGATCTTCGTGTTGTTGTTGTGATTGGAATCCGTGACCTTGTTGAGATTGTTCGTGTTGATATTCGAAGCGACCACCCATTTGTTGTGATCCTGATTGGAAACCTTGGTTTCCATTCATTGGTGGTCCGCCTGGTCCTCTTGGAAAATCTTGGCTTTGTTGTCTATCACCTCCTTGTGGTGGTCCAGGTTGGAAGTGTCCTTGTCCTCCTCGTTGTGGTCCGAAACGATTTCCGCCTTGTCGTGGTTCAGGTTGGAAACCTTGTCCACCTTGTTGTGGTCCGAAGTGATCTCCGCCTTGTGGCGGTGGTGGTGGGCCTGGCGGGAATCCTTGACCTTCTTGTTGTGGTCCGAAACGATCTCCGCCTTGTTCTGGCCCAGGTTGGTAGTGACCTTGTCCTCCTTGTGGTCCGAAGCGATCTCCTCCTTGTGGCGGTGATGGGCCTGGTTGGAAACCTTGTCCTCCCTGTTGTGGTCCGAAACGATCTCCGCCTTGTCGTGGTTCAGGTTGGAAACCTTGTCCACCTTGTTGTGGTCCGAAGTGATCTCCGCCTTGTTGTGGAAGAGGTGGGCCTGGTGGAAATCCTTGATGTCCAAATTGGTCTCCACCTTGTGGTGGTCCGGGTTGGAAATGATCTCGGCCTTGTTGAGGTTCATATCTGTCTCCTCCTTGTGGTGGGGGTGGGCCTGGTGGGAATCCTTGGCCTCCTTGTTGTGGTCCGAAGCGATCTCCGCCTTGTGGTGGCCCAGGTTGGAAGTGACTTTGTCCTCCTTGCGGTCCGAAACGATCTCCGCCTTGTTGTGGTGGTGGTGGTGGTCCGGGTTGGAAATGTCCTTGACCTCCTTGTTGTGGCCCGAAGCGATCTCCTCCTTGTTGGGGTGGTGGTGGACCTGGTGGGAATCCTTGACCTCCGTGTTGTGGCCCGAAGCGATCTCCTCCTTGTGGTGGTCCGGGTTGGAAGTGTCCTTGTCCTCCTTGTGGCCCAAATCTATCTCCTCCTTGCGGTGGGCCAGGTTGGAAGTGACCTTTTAGTCCGAAACGATCTCCGCCTTGTCGTGGTTCAGGTTGGAAACCTTGTCCACCTTGTTGTGGTCCGAAGTGATCTCCTCCTTGTGGTGGTCCGGGTTGGAAGTGTCCTTGTCCTCCCTGTTGGGGTCCGAAACGATCTCCTCCTTGAGGCCCGAAACGATCTCCTCCTTGTTGTGGTGGGGGTGGGCCTGGTGGGAATCCTTGTCCTCCTTGTGGTCCATATCTGTCTCCTCCTTGTTGTGGTTGAGGTGGGCCTGGTGGGAATCCGTGTCCGCCTTGAGGCCCGAAACGATCTCCTCCTTGTGGCCCAAATATATCTCCGCCTTGTTGTGGTTGAGGTGGGCCTGGTGGGAATCCTTGTCCTCCCTGTTGTGGTCCGAAACGATCTCTTCCTTGTTCTGGCCCTGGTTGGAAGTGACCTTGTCCTCCCTGTGGTCCAAATCTATCTCTTCCTTGTGGCGGTGGCGGCCCTGGCGGGAATCCTTGTCCTCCCTGTGGTTCATATCTATCTCTTCCTTGTGGCGGTGGCGGCCCTGGCGGGAATCCTTGTCCTCCCTGTGGTTCATATCTGTCTCCTCCTTGTGGGGGTGGTGGTGGATATTGTCCACCATGTCCTGGTCCTTCATCATTTCTTGGTGGTGGAGGTGGACGACGAACGTGGAGAATGATATCAACTTCCTAAAAATCCAAAATTACTATTGCCCAAGATAATTTTGAATATAAAACTCACAACTCCATTTTTCTTTCTCAATTCATCAATTGCTTTTCGTTCTTCATCTCTTGTTTGATTTTTGTTCGACAAGATTGCTTCAATCTCATTTTGAACATTCTTCAAATTTTTGATAAATGTTGTGACGTTTTGACTCTCTTCTTCCTCCATAATTGTATGATTTTGTTGGAATTTCTCGAAAATCTCGCTAACATTATACTCACTCGCCCATTTTTCAGCTTCTTCATCAATTTCGGCATATGTCAATGATGCATTGTTGAAAATATCGTGGAATTCTCTTTGAGCTTCCCAACTCAAATTGCGCAAAAAGTCTGGAAGCGGAGGTCCTGGTGGAATTGGTGGCCCAGGCGGCGGTGGAGGACCAGGTGGTCCCTGAATATGTCTAGCAAAAGCAGTAGTGAAGAGAAGAGTTAGAAGAACCATGCTCTAATAATGTTCATTTCATCTCATTTCATCTCCATTTATATATCCAAAAATGTGATGCTGATCGAGAGGTGGGGATTTATTATAAAGTTACTATGTGTTGTTTTTTTAATGTCTATGCGCGGTTGCCAGGTGAACGTGATTCGAAAAAAACATAACATACAATGTAGGTATAATCCGGTTTTTGCTGCTGATCAAAGGATTACTCATCGCAACACTAGGAGCTGTCGCTAATTTTTGTTGAACAGTTTTTTGCGATGACAAATTGGAGGTGTGGGAAAAACGATTATTTTTGGATAGGTGTTGATATTTTTAGCAGAGAACATATGAGTGATGTGTGATTGTTCTTGAATTAACTGGAAATTGTTCAATATCTGTTTTGGAGCTCCTGCTACTTTTTTGAGAATCTAAATCTTCTAAATCTGAAGTATTTCGGAAGACCTAAATCTCTCAATATATTCTTTAGCCTTGACACTAATCAAATCTTGATTCTGAAGTTAGTTCTCTGACCAAAATCCAATTAATCCCAATTCAATCTCAGCTTATTCTATTAGTCACGAGATATTTTTTGATGTTGATTATGCATAATAATATATGCTCAACAAAAATCTGCATCAAAAAGCTGAAAATATCTGATGTCGATCTTTCTGCAACAAAAAAAAACACACACAAATTTTTCTACTTTTCTACTCAATGGAAGCAGCATTTTTCAAAGGAGGTTCCCCATGTTCTCATTTTTTGGATGTCTAAATTTTGGACATTTGCGGATTTTTTTCGAAAATCATACAGTTGCGAACGTCTAAAAGGATCCGATCTTGCACCTTCTGAACAAAAAACACGTGATCCAACCACTTTACCATTTCCGTTACAAGAAATTACCATCAATTTGCTTAGAAATGCTCGAAGAAAAATTTTGACGTGAGAAAAAAAAGATGTCTTTCAAAAAGACTATTACGCCTGGGAGCTATCACCTCCTATAACAAAAAAAACTCGGGCCGATTTTTTTTGATAACACAAAAATCTCGGGCCGATTTTTTTTCGATAACGAAAAATCTCGGGCCGATTTTTTTTCGATAACGAAAAAACTCGGGCCGATTTTTTTTGTGTGAATTGCGCAGAAAGTGTTAATAGCGTAAATGTCCCTTTGTATTTGATAAATTTACTTTTATGGAGAGGAATGTTTTTGAGAAAAAGAATGTAGAAGTTTCAGGCTTCCGAACAACAACAACAACAACATGTTTCGTTTGGACAACATATTCAACGAGATCAACAACTTCTCACGGAACGGGACAGTCAAGTTAGTTTATTTTGAGGTGGGGGGGGCAAAACTAACAGGTGAGATTGGAAAATATTGGGTTAAGTTTTTTATTCATAAATACTATTGATGTTAAAGGAAAGATTTCTCATTTTCGATTTTTTTCGATAACAAAAATTTCGATACCGAATTGACATTTGTATTTCAACTTTTCTCTATCTAGTAGATATTAAAATGAAGGCATTTATTATTTGAAGGCAATAAAAACAATTAAATAAAGTTACTAGAATAAAACATGGTAAAAATATATTTCAAAAAAAATTGCGAGAACTGATTGTGACATATTTTTGTTAAAGAGCAAGAAAATGCTAACGACTTTTGAGAAAACTCAAAAATGCACCAAAACTTTTCTTTGAAAGTGCTAACTAAATATTATTTTATTATTGATTTTATCATCATTATTATTATTATTATGCGTGAAGTTTGCAGAATGGTTGACCGTTTTTAGCGAAAAAGCTTTCTCCTTCCAAATTATGATTGCAGCGCTGAAAAAAATGGATTTTGTTGGATGTACTTTTGTGGAATCTGGTGATTAAAAGATGTACTTGAAGTGCAGAAAACTAATGTTCAGAGCAGATTTTTAAAATTGAACATTTTTTCCCAAAAAACTAACAGCGCAAGTGAAACAATTTGAATGGAAAGCATTTCCAAGTGCTTCAACCCATCGGTCTCCAGCCTCAATCGGATAACGACAACTAATACATTTAGTTGTGAACAACGCATTCCAATCTTGTTCACAATATGGCAATCCTTGTTCCAAATAAAATGCACTATTTCCAAACGGTTTTTGACAATGAGCACACGTGAAACACGTTGGATGCCACTTCTTTTGCAACGCATTCAAACAATCCGAAATGATTGGTTTTGTGCATTTGGCGCAACGTGGTGCAATGTGTTGTTCGAAACAATTCTCGCAGAATTTCTTGCCGTTTTCTTCGACAAAACCGCATTCGAGGAGTCGGCGAGAGCATGAGGAATTGGCACAGACGAAATGTTCTGGACACCATGATTTGCCGGTGGCAAGAACGAAAGCACCTCTAGAAAATGTGGAGTTTTGTAAGTGTGATTGGAGAAATTGAAAAAAAAAACTCACCGGATTTGTTGGTGACAAGCCTCACAGTATGGAATTCTTCCACCATTTTGTCCTGCTTGTTGAGTTGTAGCAGTTGTAACTGTTGTTGACTGAAAATTCAGATTTTGAAATTATTTACAAAAAAAAAACACAATCTGGTTCATAATTATGGCCTATCTCAAACTCACTGATGAATTCAATCCTCCTCTGAAATCTCCGGCTCTTGGTTGAACTTGATCATAAGTTCTGGTCGATTCATTTGTTGATCTTTCAAAAGTTGACTTGATGTTGCTTGGGGCTACAATTTTCAAAATCATTTCCAAATCTATCCCCCACTATTCAAAAAGCACATATAGCACTGCAATCAATCACTTACCATTCTTCTCTTTTTCATTCAAATGCATATATTGTCCAAGACGAGCAGCGAGGAAGTTTCGAGAATCTTCGATAGCATCTGATGTTCTTGGTGTTGATGTTGTTGTTGGAAATATGCGAAACTCATCAAGCACATCGTGCAAACTAAACACAAAGACAAAGACAAAACATAAATACAGAACGCTACAAATATTTGACAGAAATTTCAACTTACCTTTGTGTATCAGGTGATTTTTGAAATGGAAAAACTCGTCTTTCCGGGGGAATTGGTGGTTCGGCTTCAATTTTGAAATTTCGGATTTTTGATTCATTTTCTGGTTGAAGATTTTGCAAATATACAATAGCTGACTCGAGCAATGTGCTCAATTGTGTTTGTGTTTGTTCGAGTTCACTTTGATGTCTTGAAATGCATTCAATTGCTCGAACTCGATCTTCATCTTCCATTTCTCGCAAACCCTGCAATCTCTCATTCAATGCAGCAACAATCATTAAATCTCGTTCAGTTTGTGAATCATCATCCAATAATTGCATTGCTTTTTGTCTCCATAATTTCTCCTTTTCTTCCTCTTCCTCATTTCCTTTTCGAATAACTCGAATTGGTCCATCTTGATTTTTCCAATCAACTTCTTCTTCAGTCATACTTGTTATATCACTTTTATTGTCAATTAATTCTGATTCATCTCCATCATAAGCTGGAGCATTTGAAGTTGCTTTGAGAAGTGATAAACTGTCATCTTCTCTTGATAAAATATCTGATTCATCAATTATTTCTGCTGAATTCTCCCATGGAATTGAAAAATCCACTTTTTTCTTTGGTTCTTGTCTGATTAATCGAATTGTTGGAATTGGCGAAGTGCTTGAATCAGTTGTAGAATTGAGTGGAGCTAGAAGATATTGAGGTCGAACTGATTGTTTGTTGAAATATTCATCAGCTTCGATTTTTGATGGATGAATCGGTTTTTGATAATCTTGAGGTGGAAGTGATTGAATATATGATTTGATTGGTTCATCCGGTAATTCTGTTGGTCTTTGAACATCAATTGAATTTACCTGTTCTGGTTGAACATACGATTGTGGTGTTTCTAAAGGCGCTGATGGTTTTTGAATATATGAATGACTGTGTTGTTCTCGAACATGTTGCTGAACAGCTTTAGGATCTTCTCTATGATTTTCACTAACTCCATATGATACTGTAGGTGGCTGAATATAAGATTGAACTGGTTCTTGTCGAATCGATTTCTCTGATTCGATATTCTGATTTTTAGTTGGATTTTGAATGTAAGACTGTGGTTGGAACTGTTCAATGAGATATGGCAATTGTTTTTTCTCTGGCTGATATGAATTTGATGGCACTTCGCTTTGCTGAACATACGATTTTATCGGAGATGTTCTTTTTGGTGCTTCTTGAATATAAGATTTTGGAAGTTCTTGGAAATATTCTGATTGTTCTGAATGAACTTTGTATGTGGATATCGATTGATATTCTGATTCTTGATTTCTAGAAGATCCATTTGGCTTAACTGGTTCAAATCCTCTTTGTTGTTGTGGTTTGAAATTGTCAGGCGGAACTTGATATTGATTTATTGAAATTTGTGGTTCGGTTGGTTTTCGTCTTTCAGATGGGAAATTTACTGGAGTTGTTCCAACAGGTTTGTATGGTTTTGGTGTTTCGGTTTTTGATATATCGATTGGTTTTGGATTTTGATTAGGATTCGGATTCTGAGTTGTTCGAACAATATATGATGTTTGAACCTGTGATGTTTGCTCCTCTAATTGTTGAATTTTTGGTTCTTCTCGATGCGCAACTGGTTTTATAACTTCTTTTGTTTCCACTGCCTTTTTCTCACTAATCCCTTTCGGTGCAACTTTTCGATATTCTTCAAATGCCTGTTGAACTTGCTCTTTCGAAATATTCGAAGTTCGTCTCGATTTTCGCGTCGATTTTTTCGTCGTTTTATCGTTCTCTTTTATCAAATCAACCAAATCTTCACCATATTTTGGTTTTTCTTTTTTCAATGTGTCAGCTGCATCAATTTGCCAATATCTGTTAGCTGAACTTTGCGGCGGTGGCCAGGCTCGTGGAGATTTTCCCGATCTTCTTGGCGATACTGCAGATCGAATTGAATCAGGAACACGACCTGAAAATGGACGAGAGACAATGAAACAAAGACAATAAGCCATGCAACATATAGAAAATAGTGAGTGAGAACTTACCTTGACTTGGTGGCGGATTCGATGGCGGAGGTGGTGCCTGATATCCTCTTGATGGAGCTGGAGACAATCGATTTGAATCATAACCTCCTGAACCATTTTCGTAGACAGTTTTTTGAAGATCAGCTCCAAAAGCGGCGGTCGGAACTCCTCTTTGTCCTGGGCTCAAGATTCCTTGAGTTTTTGGAGTGTGATAATGTGTTGTAATTTGGCGAGATCCGACACTTGGTGCTGGTGAAACAGAGAGTGGGCGAGATTGATTGATTTGTGGATGATAGGCGGCACGTGGACTTGGTGATTGATTTCTAATTGGTTGAGAAGCGGTTGGCGAGGATTTTCTGGAAACCAAGTTTTATGAGACGGTAGTGTTTTTGGAAACATCTTTGAAAAAATTATATTCGTATTATTTCCCAAATAAAAACTAACACAAAAATATTAGGATCCATTCCAGGTCTTCCACCTCCAATTTTTCTTTGACTTCCATGAATATCACAATAGAATTTGTCTTCAATAAAATGATGTCCAACATTTCTCAAAGAGTTTCCACACGTGGCACACGATAAACAATCTCCATGCAAATCCCGTCCCGCGGCTCTTGCCATAACTCCCAAAATCGGGCGAGTGCAAATGAAACAAATTGGCAAACCGCTTGGATTTGGATGATTCGACAATGTTTGTGCTGGTTGATTACGTTCTTGCTCTTTAAGAAGTCGAAGAGTTTCACTTCGTAAATAGGCTGGCTCATCTTGTTTGGCGGCAGTTGCACGAGCATCGCTGGAAAAGATCGAAGTTCAATTTTGGGAGGTGGAGGACAATATTGTTTCATTTTTTTATTTGGGGAGATAATCGGCCTAGAGATTATTTTTTAAAATAAAATAAACTAACAAATTGATATTTTCATTTCACAGTAATTCATTTTTCAAAATGAAACTATACATTTTGATGGTACTTTTTTCTTCAGCTGTTGCTATGCATCATTTAGAACTTGGCGGAACATGTGAAGAGGTATTTTTTTTCGAGAAAAATAATATAAAATGTAATTGAGATTCTCTTGTAGCTTCGAAAGGAACTTGAGTCCAGCGATAATTCTACTGTAAAACTAGCAGCTTGGAATAATTTCCTCGATTCTTTGGGATCTACAACTAAACAAGATTTTTGGGATCTGATTGATGAGGCAAAAGCAGATGCTGCTAAAAATATGCCGTCTGATGAAGCTAAAGAATTAGCAGTTAAAATAATTACCGAATTCTCAAATGGTCAATTATTCCTTCCACATGATCAAGTTTCAACTTCGATCAGATCACAATTCAAAGAACTCAGCGAGTCAGATCAAACATATGTTAAAACCTTCGCTAAAAATTATGGAAAAGAAATCAAGGCATTGATTTTCCCGTTGCTCCCAACTGATTGTAAAGTTAATTCACCAATTGCGCAAGCAGCCGCCGCAGAATCTTCACAAAAAGGTTTTGATGATGTAAGCTTGACAAATTTTGAAAAAAATGTACTTCAAAATAAATTTCCAGCCGGATACCGACACAATTTCTCGCCGCAAAAGACATATCGCATTCTTCGAAAATATCGCGGCTGCTTATCGTCAAATGAATAGAAACAAGTTTCAATAAATATTTTTAGTGCATTTTTTTGAACAAAAAAAAACAAACTAACTTGTTGTTTTGAACAAATCCGGTAGTTTGTTGAACATATTGTTCGGCGGCTGATTTGTCCGAATATAATCCTAATGGGGAATTGTATTGAATGTGTTGGACACGAGAATCGGTCTCGAATGGAAGAGCCGAGGAATTGAAGCCTTTTGGTGGGACAGTCTGGAATATTGAGATTTTTGAGACAAGAATTAGTTATTTTTCGGAAGCTCGTTTTAAAGGGATAATCAAGCTTGAGTCCTAAAGATGTCAAAAATTATTTTTGGCAACTTTAAAAAAAATGAAAATTTGTCTTGGTACCACATCATAACTAATCTCAGTTTTGATTTTGTGTAATGAGAATTCCGAGTTACAATACTCTAAAAGAAGGCACAAAGTAAATCGGATATCTGAACTTTTAAAAAAGTTTCAAAAAAATTATGTTTTCTAGTCCCAGCTCTGCCACGTCATAACTCATTTCAATAATCTCTAATTTCTAACAAAACTCACATCAGAACTGTGTTGCAAATTCACTTTATATGGTGATTCTTGTCTTCCAGTTTCGCTAACTTCAGGTCGCCAAATTCGTGTTGCTCCGGATCCGGAAGAGTTCCTAAAAAACAGAAAAATTACCGATTTCAATAAAAAATCTGAATTTTACCATGGTTTTGGTGTGGTTGTAATTCTAACCATAATAATAATAATAATAATAATAATAATATTATGATGATATTATTGAAAAATGAAAATGAAATTGAAAAATATATTCAGGAAAGAAAATAGCAATAAAATATTTGCATATAAAATTGATGCGAAATAGATTTTTGGAAACAGAAAACGGGAAAAGTGAAAATTTAAATGACGGATGATTGTTATCTCTTCTTATATGTTATGACCTTAATTTTGGATAAAAAATGAATGAAGAAAGCATATATAGTTAGAGGTTAGTTAGGAGATTGATTTAATATGAAAGATAAAACAAAAGTTACCTGCTGACAACTAATTCGATTTTTTCGTGAGCGGTGACAAGAAGACGATCAACTGCATTTATGTCCAGATTGTCAAGATCTGAAAAAAAGAAGAGTTTTAGGAGTTTCAGAAAATGAATTAAATAGTTCATTAATTTAGAACTGATTGTCTAAAAATTGAAACTTTTTTCTTTGTTTCCCAATAATTTTGAAAAACCGCGTCAGTAAATCTAAAAGCAACTCGAAAATTGTTTCTCACCTTCCAATCGATCAATCAAATCTCCATTTCTCAATCCAGCTCGATCCGCCAAACTTCCACCAATGATCTACAAAAAAAAAATATTTTCCCATTTTTCAATTTACCGTATGCCCTTTTAGAATTCACAAATCGTCTCACAACCCACAACTTTTCTCATCTCAACTCAGAACGTTGTAATAAATATCACAACTCTTCTGTGGGCACAAAAAAATGAAAAGATATTTTTTGCCACTCAAAAATGATAAAACATTGTTTGGAAACTTTGACAAAAAATAATCACTCACATTAACAATGACAACATTACCATCTGGTGCTTCAGTGACTCCAAAACCCCAAGGAGTTCTGCGGTCCGATCGAGCCATTCGAACTGTGACACGCTCCATCTTTTGGTTGTGTTGGGGCTGGTCTAATTTATTTGAAGCTGCAAAAATCGAAATCAAAAGTGATATTTATTAAAAACATACATACACAATATTAAAAAAAATATACATCATTTTTTTTCAAAAAAAAAAAACTATTTGGTGAAAAGTTTTTTGTTGTATTGTTGCGGATTTGTAGAGAAAGTTCAAATAGACGCAGAGACATCAAAATTCGAAAGAGTCGATTTATTTGTTTACTTTTTCGACTTTCAGGTGATGTTTGGGATTAAGCCTAGGTTAGTAGGTTCAACTAATTTTGAGTGGTTTTTGTTAGAAAAAAAACATTTGTTGAGAAATTTTTAGATTTTTTTTTAGAAAAAAAAGTTCCAAAAATTTTCGTATAGAGGTTTTAGAAGCATGTAAAAAATTTTGAAGCTCAGAATCCGAAATTCTTCAATTTTCAGCGAAAAAAAGCAAATTGTTGAAGTAAAAAATATTCTTAAAATTGTCAGGATTCTGGAAAATCTTATATCTCCGAGATAGAAAATTAGTAATACGATACTCCAAAAAAAAATGAAAAAAATCAAGAAAATAATTTTTCATTTTCTCTCAAGAAACACAAAAATACGTTTTTCGTGTATGTATATTTCTCGTTCTTCTTTCTTCAATTTTCTTTCGTTTTTGTCCCTCCTCCGCTTGCCTCCTCTTATTTTCTTCTCGATTTTCTTGCTCTTGCTCTTGCTCATCGCTTTTGTGTTCTGACCATCTTCCTCTTCGCTTATCTATCATCTATCAGAAAGTTCCGCTTGAGATTTCGCCCCGAACACAAAATAGTGCACTGATTGTGGAGGCAAGCATGTTGGTTGTTTGTAGTAAAAATGGCCGGCCGGCGGGAGCAAAATGAGAGTGAACAGGAGGAAAAACGGGAGGAAGACGGAGAAAACGCTTATCATGCATTCGCTCATTTATTTTGTCTTGTTATTATTTGGATGCGAATTTTTGCGATGGATGAGGACGGATTTTTTCGAGTGCTTCGAGAATATTATTTTTCGAAACTATTTGAAACATAAAAGGGCTCGAAGGATTTTAAAATTTAAAAATACTCCACAGTTTTTGATGCTCAAAAATACACTAGATAAGTGTTTCTAGTTTGACCCCAGAGCTCTAGGAGCGCAAATCTGAATTTTTCAAAAAAAAAATGTTTATAGTTTGAACCTGATAAAAATGGGAGCGAGAGAGAAAAAATATTAGCGAATTTAACAAAACTAGATCTGGAGAGAACTTTTGTACTGTATGGATCTGAAATAGATTTTTTTTCAAATTTTTTAAGCCAAAAATGAATTCAAAAATTTATTCAACCAAAAAGAATCAAATCTTAGCATGTCTTCTTCTTGCCGTCGCTGCCAACATAAAACTTCTCGGTGGACATGGACAATATTGTCCATCTCTTCCTGGCACACCTGGTCCTCCAACACTTCCCGGTTTTCCATCAACTCCCGGTCCACCTCTTGGCCCAGGAACTCCACTGATTCCCTCAGATCCAGGCTCACCATCGAGTCCTTTCAATCCAGTTTCCCCAATTGTTCCTGGTTTTCCAGGTGCTCCTGGTGGACCTGGTGGCCCTTGAACTCCAACTTGTTTTTGTCCATCTTTTCCAGGTGCTCCACGTTCTCCAGGTTGTCCTGGTTGTCCTGGCGCTCCATCATCTCCGATTATTCCTGGTGGACCTGGTGGGCCATGAATTTGTGAAGGTGCACCTGGAGCACCGTCTGATCCATTTGGCCCTTGTTGTCCTTCTGGTCCTGGTGGTCCTGGTGGTCCCGCAATTCCCCTTGGACATTTTACACATCCAGTGATTGTTGAGTCACATCCAACTGATTCAACCTTATGTGGATTATCCATTCCTCGAACTCCCGGCTCTCCTGAACTTCCCGGGGCTCCCGGTGCTCCTGGCGGACCTGGAGGGCCTGGTGGACATTGTGGCGCATTATCGCATTGACACCAATCCGGAAGTTTGGCGAAACGTTTGTCACGTCGAAGGAGTGGGTTTTCACGCGGTTTAGAGGGTGGAGAATGAAGAAGTTGAACATCCATTAAATCAATCCAAATTGAATCGGTTTCGACCTAAATGTGTTAAATATAAAATTTTTCGAAATGCGATTTTTAACGACTTCATAAAATATGAATGTTTACACAAGATGTGGAGAGGAAAATGAGTTTGAGATTTTTTTTTTGAAAAAAAAATCAGAAGAAATCTCACAAACCTTGAAACTTCTGACAACTCCAACAACTTCCTCTTTCAACTCATTCATCTCCCAATACATTTGTGGTAAATATAAAATAATTGCAACCAGCGCACATGTTGATAATCCAACACTGCTTGTTAGCAAAATTGAAGACGTCGATGTCATATTTTTCGATGCCAAATTTGGTTTGCCATTCAACTTTTATACCATGAGAAAATTGAGGAAAGTGGGCGGAGTCAAAACGAGTACGTTGTTGAATAAAATTACAAAATTGTATTGTGTGATATGGTTGGATGACCAACTAAAAGTTGGGTTTCTGTTTATTTTGAAAGAAAGGGGAATGAAGGGATGAAAGAGGAGAAAGTGATAGAGATTGAACTAGAATTGATTTTTTTGTGAAGATGACATCACTGGTGAATTTTTTCCTGAACTTCGTGAGCCTTTTCAGGCAGTGACAGCTTTACTTTTTGGGTAACATTCTAGATTCAAAAAAAAATCTACAGTTTGAATAAAATCTAGAGAATTCAGAATTATAACTGAATTTTTTAAAATAAAATTTAAAGAAAATCGGATTTATAAAAAACCTTTTCCGCTTCCTTTTTCTTTTTCCAACTCTTAAAGTTACCGTATTTTGTTTCCCACCAACAAACTTCAAAAAGTCACATGTTCTTGTTTTTCCTTATTCATTCTCCCATTCCCACCGTATTTTTTTCAACCTCTCCCTCTCATTTTTGTTATTATTTCTCCCACACATTTCGCTCTTTCTCTCCCATAAAACGGGCCATTTCACCCAGCGGGAAAATGTTGTTCGCTTACTTTTTTTGTTGTTCTGCCATTTCATTATGAGAAAAGAAAATGCAAATCAAGTCACCAAGGACAATTTATTTAGTCACAATGCCATTCTCATTTCCAATTACAAACTTTGATAATTGAAACTTTCAATCATGAAACACCCGACAAAAAAAACGAAAAGCGGATAGATAGATAGATAGATTTATTCATTTCTTGTACATATCTTATGGCGGATTTGTTAAAATACATTCCAAAGTTTGAATTTCGAGTGCCGGAGTTCCCATGTACCTAACAATTTTATAAATAATTTTTCAATTAAAATTTGATCTCACCAATTTCCATCTTCACAAGTTCCAGGAAAAGATACTGTATTCTCACCATAATCCAAAAATTGGTCAGTATTCGCTACAATCGCTGCATAAAGTCCAAGAGATGTATCAGTGGATCTGCGAAAAAATAATGAAAAATTATTTCAGGCAAAAACTTACGAGCAAGTTGCAACAACTGAAGTTCGACACGTGTCACTGTTATAAGCAAAAGACATAGTTCCATCTGGAAATGAAGAAGATGTGAGGGTTTGAGTTAGAGCTGGGCAACAGTTTTCTGCAAAATTTTAATATGAGCTGCTTGTTTTGCAGATTTTAATTCGGGGGTTGCAACTAATAGACCCTTAATCATTTTTTATTCGTTTTCATGATAATAAAATTTTTTTGAAACGTATATAACCCTAGAAAATTCAAAATGAACAAAAAATTGCAAATTATCAAAGTTGAAACCCAATTGTTTTCTCTCCCAAAAACAACCTACCTGTATTTAGAACAGGCGATGTTCCAGTTGTTCTCGCACATCCATCTATCAAGTTCACACACGCAAAAATCAGCTAAAAACATTTTTTTTTAAAAAATATTTACTGGACCAAAAAAAACTAACCGGCAACATAATTTCGCATAAAATAACAAAAAATAAGAAAAAAATGGGTCTTGACAGGATTATCTAATAATTATTCATTCCTAAACTGTTCCGGAATATAGTTTTTGTTGCAAAAATGAAATATTTATTGACCCGTTTTTGAAAAATAATTTAAAAAAATTGAAAAATTAATTATTTGCCGCTTGGTGGATTTGTCAAAATGCATTCGAGGGTTTCAATTTGCAACGAAGGAGTTCCCATGTACCTTTAAAATATTATAATTTTATTATTGAATATAAAATTCAATAAAATATATCAACTTACCAATCTCCATCTGTACAAGTTCCTGGAAAAGATACTGTATTTTCACCATAATCTAAAAATTGATCAGTATTCGCTACAATCGCAGCATAAAGTCCAAGAGATGTATCAGTGGATCTGAATAAAACAATTTTGAATAATTTCAAGTGTGGTAGAACTTACACACAAGTTGCTGTAACTGTAGTTCTACACGTATCACTGTTATAAGCAAAAGTCATACTTCCATCAGGAAATGAAGAAGATGTTAGAGTTTGAGTCAAAGCCGGACAACAATCTGAAAATAAAACAGTTGGCCCAATTTGAATCTGAATTTCATGAAAAAAAAAACAAAACCTGTGGTTGATGATGATTCTGAAGTTAGTAGAACTTGTTGTTAGTGTGTTATGGAAAATTATTATTAGTTAATTAGTATGATTAATTAATTAATTAGTATCTTTAAATTACCCGTGGTTGTTATTGGAGTTGTTCCAAGAGTTTGAGCGCATCCATGGGTTAATTGAAAACAAGCAAATAGTAGCTGAAAATTATTTTAAAAAATTAGATGAATTAAATATTGTCATTCCGAAAATAAAAGAACCCCCGTTTGAAATGGCGCTCACGTACAGTAGACTAAAAATGACGTGACACATGCATATCAAACTGGTTGGCAAATAGCCAGCGTGTAAATTTCGCATTTTATTTTTCAAATAGACTCCAAAATTTCGCGAAGTCTACTGTAGTTTTGGTTTCCTAGGCCATTTCGGTTCTCTTCCAAGGTTCTTTTTTTTTCGGGAGGACAATATAAAAATTGAATTTTTCTCACCGGCAACATTTCAAAGTTCAAATATCGTTTTGTTTTCACAACTAAACTCTGAATCAAAAGTGAAATGGTTAATCTTGGATAATTAGAGGTTAGAAAAGGACATTTTTACGACAATTTCAGAAGGACTCCGCCCAATTTATTGTGGAAAATAATATTATATTTACAAAGAAAATAAATGACCCGGGAATAAAATATTGAAATATGTACAAAATTAGAATTATGATGGATTGGTCAAAATGCATTCGAGAGTGACGATTTCGAGAGATGGAGTTCCCATGAACCTAAAATTAAAAATTAAGATTTGAAAAAAAAGTTTGAAAGAATTTCGGATCTTCGGACTTTTGAAACATTTCAGGAATATTCCACTATTTTAGAAATTAAAAAAAGTCCGATTTTGGGTTAGATTCCGAACTTTTTTCAAAAAAATCGGTTAAATTTGGAAATTTCAGAAATGGGCCTTATTGATCAGAACCTGATTAGATGTTCTTACCAATCCCCATCTGTACAAGTTCCTGGGAAAGAAACAGTATTTTCAGCATAGTCGAGAAACTGATCAGTATTCGCAACAATTGCTGCATAGAGTCCAAGTGATGAATCAGATGAGCTAGAAAACTTTGATTAAATTTTAACGAAAACTTTCCAACTCACGAGCAAGTTGCTGTAACTGTAGTTCGACACGTGTCACTATCATAAGAAAAAGTCATTGTTCCATCGGGAAATGACGTGGATGTCAGAGTTTGGGTTAAAGCTGAGCAACAATCTGAAAAAATTTAAAAATTTCGAAAAATTCTTTCGAAAATTGTTAACCTTTTTGATTAGTGTGCAGGTTAGTGTTATTATTTTCAGTGAGTGTTAATTTTTTATATAATACCCGATGTTGTTGTTGGTGTTGTTGTTGATGATGTTCTTGCACATCCAAAAGTTGCTCGAAAATTAGCCAAGAGAAAAATCTTGAATCAGAAAAAAAAACACATTTTTCAGAAATTCCGGAAATTGAACTTACCGGTAGAAATCCGAGAAGCATTGCGGAAGAAAATGTGGAACTTGTGGGGATTAACCCGCATAATTGGGAAAATAAGACGATGATGGGGTGAACTTTGGATAATTGGGATGAGGTGGACTTTTTCGATGTTTGACCTTGAATGCGGAATTTTGGGATTTGGGTTTTCTGAAATATTAAAATTGTTTTTTAATTTTTGGGAATTTTTTTCTCGAAGAAAAACATTAGAAAATTAGAAAATTAAAGATTATAGAAGTAATAGAAAGAAAAAAATCATTCGAAAATATGCTGGAAGTTATCAAATATGACGAATAGATCAACGTCTGTCTATTTTCTACGTAGGCATGTTCAGGCATCGATCAACATCAAAATAATCGTATAAATATGAACGCGTAATATTTCTCTCGACATCAGAAATGTTCTCTAAACTTGCTGTCTGTGTTTTGCTGATCTCGACAGTTTATTCTGCTAAACAGCAAAATGGTCAACAAGGTGGACCACAAGGACCTCCACCACCACCATTCCTTCAAAATGTCACTGACGCAGCTCGTCAAGCATTCTTCACAATTGTCAGCAATGAAAATTTGACCATAACTGAAATCGACTCACAAACTGCAACTTGGGCATCGACTTATGGAGTTTCTGATATTTACAATGAATTCCAAACCAATCAAACTGCTCTTGAAACTGCGATTCAGAAAAATATCACAAGTGTTATTTCAAATTTGTCAAGTGTCGAAAGCTCATTGGAGACTATTTTCAACAATAAAGATCAAACAAGATCAGCAATCAATGCTTCAATCAGCACATTGATTCAAAGTAATCCAATTGTAAGTATTTAGTGTTAGCGTATAATTGACTTTTCAAAAATTGTTGTTTTTTTTAGGAAGTTCAAGTTCTTCTCCAACTTCGTAATCCAATGCCACCACAAGGAGGACCACAAGGTGGATTTGGAGGGCAACAAGGGGGAAACTTACACAGGCAATAACGGAAGGATCCATAATGGATCCATTATGGATCCATCAAGTCCCCCGAGGTGATGGATCCATAAGGTGCACATAATGGATCCATCACACCGACCACTGATTGATCGTTGATGGATCGATGATTGATGCTTGATTTATTCAAAACTTTTAACACTTTTAAGACAAAAAAATTTATTGAAGCAAAAAAAAAACAGTGATAGAAGAAAATAAAATAAAAATAATCCGAACTGCTAAAAGTCTACAACTATTTTTTTCTCAATATCAGGAATTTAGTTTCCTTTAGAAACTTTTGAATAAGTTTTTCTGACAAGGAAAGTGTTATGAGAACCCAGAGATTTTCAACGAGACATTTATGTTTCTGTACAGTTTTCCACGCTGTGAAAGATTCCGTTTTCAGATTTTGCCGAGCGACTCTCTGAAGACAACGAAAATTAGCCAAAAGTCCAGAATTTTGTGAAAATCCTGTTTTTCCCCTCTGAACATGAGCTATGCGCTCTAAAAAACACAATTTTCACAAAATTCTGGACTTATGGATCATCTTCGGGCTCTTCAGATAGTCGCTCAGAAAAAACTGAAAACGGGATCTTTCTCAGCGTGAAAAACTGCACAGAAACATATATGTCTCATTGAAAATCTCTGATGATTCATAACACACTTCCCTTGTGAGTAACAAAAACTTTGCCTTGCTGAGTGTAGACTTCATACAGGTTGCGAATCTAACAAAAAATTAATAACTTATCTTATTATAAGGTAGTTGGCCGAGCTGCGCAGTCCTGTCGTTGGCCTCCCAGTTGTTTGTCCATCGCTTCTGCAATCAGATTGAACTTATCGTGGAACATTGTAAATTTTTAGGAGAAACTTACAAGAACATCTCCATTTTCCGCTATGTTCGATCGCTCGAGCATTTTTGTGACGAATATACCTGAAAATATAGAGTTAAGCAGAAACTAAACCATATAATTACGATTTGAGAGAATGAGAATTACGAAAAATTAGGAGAAAATTAACTTAACACCATTATGTGATTAGTGAAGGGCAGAACCGATGATATGAGTTAAAAAAAAATAATTTGAAGTGAAGTATAGTAAAAGTTGTAAGAACAAACGTGATAGGTTGAATTGATGACTAATAACATTCACTAGGTGTGATGTTCTCTCAATCGTCTAAGAAATTATAAAATTCAACCAGAAAATCTCAAATGAGCAGCTAAAGATAGTTCTAGGGACTGTTGAGCGGAGATAATCAGTCACCAAGTGAATTTCAAGCTTCCCAGGAGAAACTTGATGCTCCAAGCTGAAATAAGTTCTTCACACCAGGAGAAAATTATTTAAAAACTACAAATGAATAGCTCACACGCCTAAATATCTATGAAATACATGAAGAAAACACATTTTGGCCTAATTCAGGCGTTTGAAGAGGATTTCCAATGTCCCACTATAATTCCTCACTCGTCAATAGTCCGGAAAAGATTTTTCTATTCGTTCTTCGTCTCATAAGTTACTCATTGCCCCTCAAAAACAGAAAAAAACGAGAAAAAAGAAAAAAAAAGAAAATTTCGAAAAGCACCACACCCGCTCAAGCAACACAAAAATCAGCAAAACGGTGTAAAAACGGTGCACCCTGTAGCTCAAAATCTAGATAAGGTTCATGAAAAACTAAATATAGCATGAAAATCAGCGCCTCGAGTTCTACCTGACTTGCTACTTCTCTTATTTTTTGAGGTCCTACGAAGAAAGTTAGCAATCGCGACAAGACCCAACGCGTGAAATTTATCATGCTCCTTTAATACTGTAGTGCGAAATATAACGGCGAACAGAGAGAATTAGACAAAAGTGTTTGCACAGTTTTTTTCATTTGCAGATTTTTCGTTTTACAGTAGAAAACACTCATTGCGTGGCTTGAACGGGTGTGGCACACAAACGGCGTGCGCTGCGAGACCAACTCAAACAAATGTGTGCGCCTTTAACTGATTGTTTTCGCGCATCAATTAATCGAGTTTGATGAAAAATGGTAAACACCATTCGATTCAGAATTTCACGCTGAGTAAAATGATATAAAAATCATCCCTCTCTGTGAAAGTTTTTGAGTTTACTTTTTTGGAAAAAATAGAATGATTTTTGGGCTACAAGTGTTATTTTTTAACACTTTGTAGTTATGACAACAATATTCTTTCAAAAAATAGTTAAAATAATTGTTCTTGGACCCAATACTTCTGACTTCTATAAACTCTTGTTCTTGATAAATCACGGATCAATCATGGATCAATCAAAATCACTGATTGATGCGAGATAAGTCTCTGATTGGTCTCAGATGGATCCAAGATGGGTCAAAATCGGTGATGGATCCATAATGGATCCATTATGGATCCTTCCGTTATTGCCTGTGCTTTGGAGGACCACAACAAAATGGAACATCGAGTACATCAACAACCAAGAAGACAAAGAAAAATAATCGTAGAAAGTAATTGATGTGAAATTGAAAGAACGAATAAATGTATTCTATATATATATATATATATATATAAGGAAAAAATTCCAAGAGCACAGAAAATGTACATTTTTTGAGAGAAAAAATTCAGGGCAAGGAAATAGACATGAAAAAAAAAAGTTTTTTTTTGTTTCCTTACTCAATCAATAATTGACTTTTACAAAATATATTATTTTGAATATACGTCTCCTTTCTCTCTCTAATTTTCTCTTCATTTTCTACACTCTCTCTCTCATCTACAACGATACTCCGCTTACCCGCTGTTTAGCGCAACACGAGAATATTTTCAATTTTCGTTTTTTTTTGCTGGGTTTCTAGGTTTCCGGGGAAAATCAGTGGATTTGAGTCAAAAATTGAATTTTTAGATGTTCTTCAAGGCTCAAATTATCACTTTCAACAGAAAATCCGAGGATTATCGAAGAAAGGTGGGTTTTTTCTAGAGAAACAATGTATCGATTGAAATTTGTGAGTTTTCAGTGTCAAAAATGTTTTTAAATGTGAGGAGAACGATTGATGGATGAATTAGAAGCGAAGGATTTTGATAGGGATTCTCGAATTTTCGATGATTTTTGTGTGAGTTTTTCGGGGAGGGATTTCGGAAAAATTGAAAAATCGATAAAAATTCTGTAAAATGTGAAATATATATAAGTTATGAAAAAAAAATCTTTAAAAATTGAAAAAAGTTCAACAAACTCATTAAAATCTAGGCCCAAAAATGTAAAAAAAGATGACACTTCCGATATTTCATAAGGTTAGTTCTGTTGGGCTTGTTGATTTCAGTTATAAAATGGAAGACATTTTAGAAACTGCCAAAGGTTCAATGAAATTTATTCTATAACAAGTTACGGTAGCTTTCATGCAAATTTTTTTTACATTCATCAATTACGGTACAAAAAAATCGCCAAAATCTTCATTGAAAATAATATTCTGGGTAATTCTTTACAAACAGTTTATCTCATACAATTTATCTGCTGCTAACAGTTGTTGCCTTCTTGTTATTTCTGTTTTTCCTGGTAGCACCGCTTGATCCACTGTTCGAGTTTCCATTGAAGTTTCCACCAAAGTTACCTCCAAAGTTACCTCCTTGTTGTTGTCCACCAAATCCACCTTGTGGTCCTCCTTGTGGTGGTGGTGGGCGACGAAGTTGAAGAAGAACTCGGACTTCCTGAAATTCAGACATTTATCTTAATTTAGTTTTGTAGATAACTTACAATTGGATAAGTTTCACTCAAAGTGCTGATTGATGCATTGATTGCTGATCTTGTTTGATCTTTATTGTTGAAAATAGTTTCCAATTGAGTTTCAACAGTTGCCAAGTTTGAGATGACACTTGTGATGTTTTGTTGGATTTGAGTTTCGAAGTTAGTTCTGTTGGTTTGGAATTCATTGTAAATATCAGAAACTCCATAAGTCGATGCCCAAGTTGCAGTTTGTGAGTCGATTTCAGTGATTGTCAAATTTTCATTGCTGACAATTGTGAAGAATGCTTGACGAGCTTCATCAGTGACATTTTGAAGGAATGGTGGTGGTGGAGGTCCTTGTGGTCCACCTTGTTGTCCGCCACGTCCACCTTGTTGATTTCCTCCGTTTCCTCCGTTTCCGCCACGTGGTTTAGCGAAAGCCGCGACAAGAACAATTGATAGAATAACAAATTTAGATAACATTTTGATGTTTAATAAAAATCTACCCGATGGCTGGTATTATATACGGTTTATTCGGTTTATAGTAAATCCGCAGATGATGTTGATCATGAAGGGGCGGCTGATTGTTTTTTGTAGTTAGTTAACACTCGCTTTTCAGACTCCTCATTATTTCATATTTACCAAAGTAGAATGATCTACGATAATAATGGTGTTGGTCCAATGTTGAACTCAAATGCAATTTTGAAATCACAATTAAAACTCGTTCAAAAAACCCATAGTTTTCCGAAAAGCCCATTTTTTAAATAAAATTTCTGACCATCAATTTTATTTTTTAAAAAAATTCCGGAATCCTGGATGAGTCATATACAATTATTCATGTGACATACTATTTTTCCAAAAGGGATTATTTAGTAGAATAAATATTTGTGTGTGGTTTTTCAAATTGAAACTAAAGTTTGTTTTGTTGATTTAGTGTTTTGGAACTGTTCATTGTTTTGCGGGAAAAATGATGTCGAAGCAAAAAAATTGGAAAGGGTTAAAAATTGGAAATAGAATAGATTTATTATCTAAAAAAATGATGAATCGTGGTTTCGGAGTCACTGCGAATTCCCGATTTTCATATCTAGCTCAATTTTATGGATAAAAATGATGAATCGTACTATACCTTTTTAACTCACAGGCTATGCTACATTTCAAAAAATAATGCAGAAAATAAATGCGGCAATCCGAACGTTTTGAAAAATCAGAAATGAGCGAAATAATTCACGTCAAATTATTTAAATTCAAATCTAGGGCACAAAAAGCGGACAGACAGATGAAAAAAACACGTGAATACACTTTTGAAAAAAACATTTCTTTGTCTTTCAGATGTTCGAAATAGACGGAACAATTATTTGAAGTGTGGATTTTGATGTCGAAATCGTTACGAATGGATATAAATTACAAGATACGATCGTATCATACGACAAAAGTTCAAAGATGTTGATTGGAAGTCGAATACCCGCTGTGAGTTTGGGTTTTGATTGTCAGGGGATAGATAAGAAGTCTCCAAATTAGTTTTAGATTAATTAGCGCAATTCAATGTTATCGCTAAAGTTTTAAATATCGCTAAAGTTTTAAAGAAGAGGGACAAATTGAAAAAAAAATTAAAGTCTGCGCGTCAGGCTTGGTGTGTTTGTACGTAATTCCGCAAACACTTTGGTACAGTACCCCATCGAAAAATATTTTTATTTTCGAAAAATTTGATTTTCGCTGCGAAATTTTTCCTTTTCTTTCTGAGGTTTTCTCAGTTTACATTTAAATTACTTGTTTTTCTAAATTAGTTTATTTTCAATTATCGTTTTATCAATTATGAGCTCTTATTTTTCTTGGTTGTTGAAGAAGCTGTGCTTGTTGCAGTGCTGAAATTTCCATTGTTTTGGAATCCAAATTGATTATTTTGATTGCTGTTATTTCCATTTCCGTTTCCATATCCATTTTGTTGTTGTTGTTGACCAAATTGTCCGTTTTGTTGTTGTTGTTGCTGGTTTCCACTGAATTCTTGAATATTCTGATCTTCATGATGATTCTGAAGTTGCATAATAATCGAAAACTCTTTTGGATTAGCTTCCGCCAAAGCAGCCAAAGCAGTTTGTCTTTCAGTTGCTGTTGATGTTTTGTTGGTTTGAATTGTTTCGATTGAAGCTTGAACAACAGCCAAGTTATTGATAATATTTGTCACATTTTGAACAGCGGCATCATGAGCAGCGGTGAGATTTGTTTGGTATTGATTGTAAGCAGCCTAAATTTATATCCAGTTATTATCTGATGATTTTCGTTTTTTGTTTAAACTTACGGTGACATTGTTGGTTGAAGCCCAGACAGCTGAAGCATTGTTGATTTGAGCAGTTGTCAACGATAAGTTTGAGATAATTTGGAAATAGTCTTGAACAGCAGATTGGCTGACATTTTGAAGGAATGCTGGTGGTGGACCTTGGAATGATTGTTGTTGGGAGTTTGAACCAGAGAATCCGTTCAATGAAAATCCTCCTTGATTTCCACCTTGTTGTTGTTGGTTTCCACCAAATCCTCCTGTTAATCATTTTAGATATAGCTACTGAATAAGGACAAATGATAGTTACCTTGTTGTTGTTGCTGACCTCTGAAACCACCTTGTTGGTTGTTTCCTCCAAAGTTTCCACCGAATCCTCCTATAAAATCATAAGTTAATTATTTCAACAAAAAAATGTTTTAATTGATACCTTGTTGGCTGTTTCCACCGAAGTTTCCTCCGAATCCTCCTTAAAAATATATTATTTTTTTTTTCTCGAAACAAATTGAATTGTTACCTTGTTGATTACCTCCAAATCCTCCTTGTTGATTGTTTCCTCCGAAGTTTCCGCCGAATCCACCTTGGTTTCCTCCTTGTTGTTGTTGTTGTTGGCTATTTCCTCCGAAGTTACCTCCGAATCCACCATTTCCACCTTGTTGCGAGAATCCGAATCTCACTTGTTGCTGTTGTTGATTGCCTCCGAATCCACCTTGTTGATTTCCACCAAAGCTATTTTGTTGTTGCTGTTGGTTTCCACCGAATCCACTTCTTCCTCCTTGTTGTTGTTGCTGTTGACCTCCGAATCCACCTTGGTTTCCACCTTGTTGATTTCCATTCTGGCTATTTCCGGAGAAACCGTTTGAGTTTGAGCTTCCACCGAATCCTGAGTTTTGATTTTGATTCCCTCCGAAACCATTAGAGTTCTGGTTTCCGCCAAATCCGGAATTTTGGTTGCCTCCGAAACCATTAGAGTTTGAGTTTCCTCCAAATCCAGAATTTTGATTTTGATTTTGGTTACCTCCAAATCCATTTGAATTTGAATTTCCACCGAAACCATTAGAATTCTGATTTCCTCCAAAACCTTGTGCTCCAACAAGTGCAATTAAAGCCAAACAACGAATAACACTAGAATTAACCATGTTTGAATTATGTGATCTCAATTGAATCAACTCAATTGTTTTATACTATTTCACCCAACATACATTTTTTGATTTGACAAAGGATTATAATCATAGTGACTAACACCTTTTTGGTTTGTTGTTGAACTTTGTATTTTCAATAGTAGGAACTTTTCAATTTTTGATCGATGTTTAGAAATTAGGAAAGTGAATCGGGTTTCCTGGACTTCATGTAGCTCTGAGCAGACTTTTCTGGACGTTTGGCTATTATAAAAGTAATTTTCTGATTTGACATGATTTTTCTATCAGACAAGATTTGGGTTGATGTGATCAACATCATAAAACATTGAAAATTGATCTCTCACTCGCAAAAAAATCTGGGTTCAAATAATCCCGATCAACTTTGTGTTGTGTTATTTATTTCCGTAGCTCAAGAAAAGTTTGCAATTCGAAAAGTAAATATAACTCAACTTGATAAAGACCCCGGAAGTAAAACAAAAATGGTGAAATTTTTATCGTTGGTAAAATAAAATAATTTAATGTCTTCGCCCTCCTCTTCTTCCACCTCTTCCACCTCTTGGTGGTGGTGGGGGAGGTCCAGAAAGGTGGAAAAGTGTCACAACTTCTTTTGGATATTTTGTTCGAAGTGCATCAACTGCTTGTCTTTGTTGAGCGAATGTTTGATCTTTGTTGTCGAAAATTGCTTCGAGTTGGGTTTTGACTGTTGGAAGATTTGCGATGACAGTTGTCACATTTTTACGGGCTCCAGTTTCGAATTCAACTCTTTTGGCTTCAGCAGCTTTGTAGGTTGCCTAAAATAACTTTTCTATGAGTTATAGATTTCCAACCGAACTCTGAAATAATCTTCTGGCACTGGTTTTCCAAGACTCACAGTAACATTATATTTCTCTGCCCATGCAGAAGTTTGACTCTCGATTTCAGAGATCTTAGCAGTTTTGTTATTCTGAATCTTGAAGAATTCCTTGACAGCTTCTCTGCTTGCTCCTTTTAGGAATGGTGGTCCTCCACGATGAGCGAAGACAATCGCTACGATTAGGAAAAAGCTTATCAAATATTTCTGAAGCATATTTGTTACTTTGTTCGATTTCAGCGTTGACTTTTTATATGCATAATATTCTCCGAAAATAGGGCGTATTATTATTATATTTTTATTTTTATTGTGGCTGTGGGAAACATTGAATGATTTGCATAAGAAAGACACGTTGATTTTCTGGCAAAAATCGAAGAATTTTGTGAATCATTTGAGAATGACGTTTTTCAACATTCCTATTTTTATCATTGAACTGTTCAAATCATATGGAATAAAAAATTGTAGTATAACTATAAATAAACAATATAGCAATTTTTCTTGATAAATTTACACAGCTGGGGTCAGAAAATCGTATAAAAAGATGAAATAAACAATCTCTAATATATTCATTTCAACAAAAATGACTTTGAAAGTTGTTTTGGTTTTGGCAGTACTGTCAGGTTTTGTGAGTTCTAGACCTCCAACTGATAATGGACCAGGACATCCACGTGGACCTCCTTCACCTCCATATTTGAAAAATGTTAGTGATGATGCGAGAAAAGAGTTTTTCGACATTGTTAATAATGATAATTTGACTCTGGCTGAAATCGACACACAACTTGCAACTTGGGCAGAATCAAATGATATTTCGGTGAGAAATATTTGAAGATATACATATTGCAAATATCATTTTTAGGATAGCTACAGCGAGTTTGAAGCTAAAAAAGCCTCATATATCGCTGAAATCAAGGCCAAAGTGACATCTGTAGTTTCGAATCTTCCAACTGTTCAATCTCAACTCGAATCAATTTTCGAAAATAAAGATCAAACTCGTAGTGCTCAAAGAGAGCAACTTGACGAATTAAGAAATAAATATCCACAGGAAGTTGGAGTTATTCTGAAACTTGTTGGACTGATTGGACTTGGATTCCAAAAAGGACCAAGAGATATCGGACGAATCGGGCTTCCCAGAATTCAATGATTCATTGTTGTTTGTGTATAAGTTTTTCGATTTTTTATTATGCAATAAACCAATATTGACAAGGTGTTCCAATTTTTATGTGTGTACATAAAAGTGATAAGAGATACAAGTAACTCAATTTAAAACACGGAAGTTAAAAATTGAATTGTCTAGACATGTGTTTTTAATAATAGGTCAAAACTATTTGGCGAAAATTTCCGCGATCTTGGGTCGCTTCGTTTAATCAACAGAGAAGATAAAAACTGAAGGAACTTGGCTCCAGAGACTTTTTCAAGAAGAAATTGTAATAATCGAGATGGCCTAGAAAACCAAAAACATAGTTTCGAACAAAATGAGCCGACGAAGTCTACTGTACATTTGGTTTCCTCTTCCACGACTTGAAACGTCACGATGTGCTAGTGGAATAGAAAAACAACATGTATGTCTGACGCCGACATTCAACACAGTCAGAAATCTCTCGTCGCCCCCTCCCCACGAGCAATTTTGACCTTTAGGTTCATCGAGGGAAACCCCCTTGTAAACACACACCTGAATTTTGAGATAAGGTTGACTTTTTGATTCGGAGGAATTGATTTCTGAAACTTTTTTTTGGAAAATTGCATTGTTCAATTTTTTCGACTCAAAGCAAAGTTCAATTTTTTCGACTCGAAAACTTGTAAAGAAATTTTGATGAGATAATTTATTCAGAGGTGTTTGTTATTTACAAAAAAAAATTGAATTATTGTCGGCCTCCTCGTCCACCACGTCCACCACGTCCTCCGCGACCTGGTCCTCCTGGTCCTCCTGGTCCACCTGGGCCTCTTGGTCCTCCTCCTGGTGGTCCAGCAATTTGGAAAAGAACTCCAACTTCTTTTGGATATTTCTCTCTCAAAGCATCGAGTTGTTCACGTTGAGCAGCACGGGTTTGATCTTTATTCTCAAGAATGGCTTCGACTTGAGATTGAACTGATGAGAGGTTTGAAATGACTGATGTCACGTTTTGCTTGACTTCAGCGCGATGAGCAGTTTGATTGGCTTCGAATTCATTGTAGATATCCTAAATATAGTTTATATTTTTCTTGAAAAATATGATTCAAAATCTTACCGAAACTCCGTTTGTTGCAGCCCATGCAGCGGTTTGAGAATCGATTTCCGAAAGTGTCAAGGTCTCATTGCTGACGATGTCAAAGAACGCTTTTCTAGCATCATCGCTCACATTAGCCAAGAATGGTGGAGGTGGAGGTGGCCCTCCTGGTCCCCCACGTCCGCCTGGTCCTCCTGGCCCTCCTGGACCTCCTGGTCCTCCTGGCCCACTTGGCCCACCTGGCCCTCCAGGTCCACCAGGACCTCCAGGTCCTCTTTGAGCAGACACACTGCACAAAACGATTGATGCGATGATAACTTTGAAAATCATTGATGACGATGAGGAACTGACCGTTCCGAGCTTCTTTTTATACTACTCGCTGTTTTTCAATACGACCTTGGCTGAGCAAATTGTAAGATGAAATAGTGTGACAATTGAGGATGAGCACACATTTTGATGCTGAACTGTGTAGGAAAAAAAAACACAATAAAGCTCCACCCCCTATTTTTCCTTATGTCATGCCTTCTGCTGTATTTTGATTATGATCATCATAAAAGAAAGAGTGGGAGAGAGAATGAGAATGCGAATGCGAAAAAATATATGATTCAGATGTTTTTATTTGAAATTTGATATTCCTGGAATAAATATAGAAAAGGCAAGATCAGTATCAAAAATTGGTGGAAATTATCATTATGATCTTTGATGTATTTAGAATCCTCCTTGTTGTTGTTGGTTAAATCCTCCTTGATTTCCACCACGTCCACCAAATCCACCTTGATTTCCTCCGAAGCCTCCTTGGTTTCCACCAAATCCACCTTGTTGTTGACCTCCAAAGCCTCCTTGGTTTCCACCTTGAGATCTGAATCCACCTTGTCCTCCACCAAATCTTCCACCGAATGATCCACGACCTCCTTGTTGTGGTCCACCGTGTGGTCTGAATTGACTGGCGATGAAGAAAAGTGTTGGGATTTCTTGAGCGTATTGAGTTCTAAGATTATCCAAAGCTTCACGTTGTTGTTGGCGGGTTTGATCTTTGTTGTCAAGAATTGATTGAACAGCAGATTGTGCAGCAGAGAGATTCGAGATGAGGCTTGTGATATTCGCCTTGATTTCGTTTTTGTGAGCAGTAACGTTAGCTTTGAACTCATTGTAAACGTCCTAAAAATAATATTATCTTTGTTTTTACTCTCACTTTCATTTCGAACAACAAAACAGTTGTTTTAAATATATTTTTGTAATCCAATTGGTTTCAAAACTTACGCTAACTCCATATGTTTGTGCCCATGCGGCAGTTTGAGTTTCAGCTTCTGAGATTGTCAAATTTTGATTGCTGACAATATCAAAGAATGCTTGACGAGCCTCTTGTGTTACATTTTGCAAAAATGGAGGTGGTGGTGGTCCTTGATGTCTTCCACCAAATCCACCTTGCTGTTGCCCACCTTGTTGTTGGTTTCCACCGAATCCTCTCGAGGCAACAGAAACAACAAGAGATGAGATAAGAAGTGTTGTGAACATTCTGTAAAAATATACTGCTCTTGGAACTAGAATTTATTTGGAGAATAGAAAAACAACAAAAAAATATGAATGTTTTCATTTACATATTTATTTATTTACATAACTGGAAAGTGAATAGAAACCAAAGTTGAAAAAAAAACACGAGACACAGTTCACTTTGAAAAGTTATACAAACTTGGTCGAATATTTATAGTAGTTACTGGTCGTGATCATTTTTTACTGTTTGGTAACTAGCTCCTCCCTCCTCCCTGGTATATATTTATTTTTCCGAGAGAGAGAGAGAGGAAAAAATGGAGAAACTTTGATGTTTGGATATAAGTATGACTCAACTTGTATTTAATAACTACATTTTCATAGAACAATTGATAGTTGGTGTAGGAAAAATGCTTCTATTTCACAAGTTTTTTAATAGTTTTCCTGTGAACAAAAAAGTTGTGAAATTTAATCCTCTGTTGAAAAAAAAAGATGAGTTCATAATTTGGACTTGTTTTACCAATAGATCATTTCCAAAATCTATCTTTCTAGTTAGTATTTTTTGAATTTTCAATTATCACCCCCTCCAAATTGTATCTTGTAGCAAAAACACAATGCAAATACAACTCTTTATTTATCACAGTTTCAACATTTTTAAAGAATCGTCCTTTTCTCACAATCAACAAGCCTGAAAAGTACATGATATTGTATTTGTCAGCACGATCGAAATAAAAAACTAACCGTTGTGCAAATAACACGAGTTTTGGCAACCATTTCGAGTTGTTTGAAAGATGAAAGAGTTAGACGATGAGCACTTCGAGCACACAATTGACCAAATGAACGAGGCAATTTGGCGCAAACAGTTTGCTCCAAAAATTGGGCTGCGTGTGGTTGGAGCAAAGCGCTGTTTTCAGCGAGGAAATGCTCGAAAGTCTTGCAACGTTCGCATGTTGAAATGGTTGGAGTTGAGAACTTGGTAGCGTATGATTCTTTCTTCTCGCAAGTATGCATATCTTCGCAAACTGCACGACCATCGAATTGATTATAAGTGAGATAAAGAACAGTTGACATGTACATGTGGACGAAATCGTTACATCCAGCGGTCCAGTTTCCGTTGACTTTAGCGCAAACTGCAGCTTGGATATCATCAGCGGTTCCTTGCTGAAAATAGATTTGTGGTCATTAAAATATTATGTCATGAAAGTTTTAGCAACGCCAGAATCTATTTTTCGAAATTCAAGCTTTGGAGTTCGATTTTTTCATTTAGATTGCTGAAAGCTCTAATTCCTCTCACCAAATTTTTAATTGGACTAGCTAGTCTAAAACTAAATATGTTTGTTGTGATTCTCCACTTCCAGTCAAATGTTTTTGAACTCAAAAGTTTTAAAAACTTCTGTGAGTCATAGCTCATAATACATCAAAAAGCATATTTGGTTTTGCAGAGATCAAACAGTTTCTCATTCACAGAATTTCGTGGTCTGTGTTCTACATACTTTACTCACAACAAACAACAAAAATGATTTTCCTTGTTTATACATTTTGTCTGACTCATCACTACTGTTTCTGTTGTTTCCTTGTAAATATAAGCTTACATGGTTTTTTGATGGTTTTTCTTGTCAACAGACTTTTTATTTGAAAAGCTTACCCTTTTGTTAATGAATTCTTCGATCATTGCATCAACAGTCAAAGTACACTCGAAACAACTCATCAATTCTTCTGAATTTTGAGATCTGCCCAATTTTCCCCAAATTTGTGACAATTCCATTGTTGGTTTCTCCAAAAGACTGGTAGATCTTTTGGTTTGACAGAATGAAAGATCAGAGCAAACTTGATCTTGATCACCAAGAACTGTTTGAATTTCTTGAATGAATTGTGGAATCATGAAAGAGGAGACAAATTGACAAGCGTCGTTGTATTTTCCGGATGATTTGCAGATAAATTGATCGATGAATGATTTGGTGGCAATCATTGTGTTCTCTTCGGCGAAGAATTGTTGAACTTGCGATGTTGCGTATTTGCATTCTTCGCAAATTTCGTGTTTTGCAATGACATCATTTGTCACTTCGGCTTTGCTCTTTTTCAAGAACATTGTGACGAGTCGAGCAATTGGAGAATCAGAGCACATTTGAAGTTTTGAGCAGACAGCTGCGGTGTTTTTCTAAAAAGAAATAATGTTGTTTTTGTTTATGATCAAGCTTCTCTGATAGACTAACCAAATATGGTGCCAACTTCATCACAATGATATCCAATTTATCCAAAGTTTTTTGACAATCTGATTCGTGTGATGTTCCCATACACATAACAGCCAATGAAACTTTTAATTCCGACATTTTCATACGATCCTTTGAAGCATCGACAAAGTTTTGAACAAGTTTTTGGCATGATTGACAAACAATTGGAATATCAGCCGATACAAGAGCAATGAGTCCAAGCAAAATGAAGAGCTTCATTTTCGGAGACTGATAAAGAATTGATGTTTATGCCGATGAGTTTATATATTGAGGAGTTTATCAGTTTGATGAGTTTGATTTATTGAGAAAAATGTTGGGTTTGTCGGTTTGAGGACACGTGCTTGGTTATTGTAGTGTGTGTTGGACCGAGCAAAAATTAATGGTGATAATTCATTTCGTGGAAATAAGAATTATGGCTTGGCTATAGTTTACCTATGAGAAGAATTTTCACGTGATCGGATAGGGTTCGGTTAAGATTTATGAAAAATAACGATGGAAACTTATACACTTACAAATGTTAAAAAAATGGATTTGGCAGAATTTAATCGAGATCGGTAAGATCACATTTTTGAAGTGGGACATTTTTAGGTCTCTGTGGAGAACTGTGAAAATTTGATCACATTTGAAAGGTTTCCGACTCCCAAATAATTATTTTTCATTTTTTTTCGAAATTGTGGATCGACTTTCTAACTGTTTTCATAGATCATAGCTCGTCCCTGTTCTTTTTCATCAACAACATAATTTTTTTTCTCGAATAATTTATTATCACACACACAAACAAAAGTTTAGTTGCTCTCTCCCGTTATCTTTTAATGACATTGCAATGCTCTGCTGAATTTTTGGTTTGAAGCAAGGGATACTGTAGTTTTGACGAATGATTCTGCCGTCACTCCCATAAATTGTTGACAAATTGGAGCAAAAATGCGGAAGGCTTTCTCGCAAATTGAGCCGGTCAAAGATGATTCAACGAATTTTTTGAGAGCAGAAGTTTCGAGATTTTCCTTCATGTATCCTTCAAGATTTTTCATTACTCCGCATTTATTCGATTCCAAATCTTGATAGCTGAAACTCTTGTAAACACTTTGATCCAAATTAACTGGACAACATTTGTTAGCTTGACAAATTCCTTTTGCAGTAACTTGTTCAATGGTCATTTGAATAACTGTTGGAAGATAGATTGATAAAAAGTCATTGCAAGAAGCTGTCATATTTTCTGGTACAATTTTATTGCAAGCAAATGATTGGATATCGCCAGCAATCTCTTTCTGAAATATTTTTTGTTGAAGATTAGGAGGAATTGAAAAAAATCACTCTTTGCGAAATCATTTCCTCTTGCAAACCATCAACCATCAATTGGCATTCGAAACAAGACATTGCAAGGATCTAAATGGAACAATATTGAAAATGCTTTTGTAAATGTGGGGGCGATTGATCTTTTCGTGATCTGGTCTGGGAAATGAATCGAGAGATCAAAGTACGAAAAAAAATTGGATTAAACTTTTTTGAATGTTTTTTTCAAAATATCTCACCTCTCCGTGTTTTGATTTCATCGTCAAACCACCCCAGAATTTCTCCATTTCTGTTTCGATGTTTTCAACTTCACCTTTATTGAAGTTCTGAAATTTTGAAAATTATTGAATAGAAGTCTAGAATGTCTGGATTTTGGAAGCCTGAACTTCTTTTAACAAGGAAACATTGGATTTTGATATCAATATCGACCAGTCCTGAATCGTATTCAGATTTCTTCCAACTTTCAGAAAACGATTTTTCGTGATCTGACAATTCTTCCAAAATTCCTTGACGTTCACAAAAACAACATAGGTAAGAATTATGCGATTTATGGGAAGAAGACACAAAAATAAATACAAAAAGCACAATAGGAAAATATTTAGAGGATGTGACGTTGAACGAATCCAATGAGACCCACATATTTCTTGCGTGGAGTTTGACGTGAAGCATCGCAAGCATGAACATCGACGCAAACTTGGTGTGGATCGGAAAGAATCGCGTCAGCTTGTTGGATGAATTGTGGCAAATATTCATCGACAACCAAGTCGCACTGAAATTCAATTGTAAGAGCTGACTGAAGTTTTTGAGGAATCAGGAAAAACTCACGAATCCTCTGTAGCTTCCCAAAACATTGCAAACATTTTCACGCAAGAAATTGCGAACATCAGTTTGAAGATCTTTGTTTTCAAGAGCGGTTTTAAGTTCCTTTACGGCGAATTCGCATTCGTCGCAAACGATCTTTGGTCCGGAGGTGAGAGCTTTTCCAGCGCGAGCTGTGTATTCCAACAAAAGTTTGTGGAATGATTCGATTTTCTTGTTTGAGCACAAATGGACGCGAGAGCAAATGGCTTTTGGATTTTTCTGAAAATGAAAATTTGAAGACGTTTTTCTTTCAAGAAATATTGAAGCCATAATTTATGGACTTACCAAATATGGAGCCAAAGTATCAATGAATTTGTCAATGTTATTAACAAACAATCGGCATTCCTCAATATACGAAGTTTCTTTGCACAACATGCTCAAAACCAATTTCAATTCTTCCAATTTCTTTGGATCTTTTGAAGCGTCGATGATTTTTTGGATAACACTTTGACATTCGTCACAAGCTGCAGATTTGATACCCTTGAGTTCTTCAGGATCCATAATGCGATTCGATTCGAGCATAGATTTTTTGTCATGGTAAGCGGTTACGGTAACGCACAAAAGTGCGATGAGAAGGAATTTCATTCTATCTATAATAATATAAAAATTTTTTATAATAAAACATCTCAAATCAAAAAATGAAGAGCTTTTAACGAGAAAAATAACGAACACAGCGTCTGAACGATGCGAAGAGATATGTTGTGCTCCAAGAAAAAATCGGCGAGAGAGTATTTGAGATGTGGAAACGCAGATGGTGACAGTTGTTTGGGGCGGGATGACACGGGCCGGATGACCAGAATATCACGTGTTTTTTTGGAGTTTTTATTATATCTTGCTTGAATTGTTTGGTGGATAAAGAAAGAATGAAGGGAGAAAAAAGAAGAAGAAGGGCAACTGTTGGAGATTTTTTGAAATTAATCAAGTTAACTTTTTTGTTAGTTGTTGTTGGTGTTTTGAAAAAATCGAATGGAATGATGTTAGGAAAATGATGAAATCAAGAAATTTCTGAAAGAACTTAAGAATTTGACCCAATAATTTTACGCTTCAAAATTTATTGGAATATTTTTACGAAGAAAAATTGACTAATAGATTGATGTCTTATTCGTCAAATATTTTGTTAGAAAAATTCTACTACTCTCATTTTTTCCTCAAAAACAACACACTAAAAGTTTTAAGAATTGTAAATTTTGAAACAGAAATCACGAAAAGTCTGAAACATAACTTCAAATGAAAATTCTCATTCAAAAACCAGATAATATTGGGGGGTGCCTCATTAACTAGAAATTGAAATTTCTAAATTAAATATCAGGAGAGAAAACAATAGAATCTTGGAAAATCTTGAAATTCACTTCCAAACAAAGTTTGTCAAAAATAATCCTATCGACAAAAAATCAAGAATGCCACATTTTCTTTGAGAATATAAATCATCAAAAACTTATCATCCCCACCCCACAAAAATGCAAGCACATGGTTTTCAATCTTATCGCAAGAGCAAACTAAATTTGTCGACCACAAATTGCATTTTTCACAACGTGGTGATAACTTGGAAACCACCCCAAAATAAAAAAAGTCTCGAAAAAAAGTCCAGTCGATTTCGAATGAAATAATTTTTTTTTGTTGGAAAATATTGGGTTCAATGTCAAAGATAAGAGAGATGGTTTATCAAAAGGAATTATTTTTTTTGTGTTGAATTAATCTGCTGCTTCCTGTAACGGTAAGAATCTTTATTTTTAGATATCAGCATATTTGTACATAAGACTTGTGTCCGGTGCTTTTCGTGGCAATGGTTCGACGTCGACTTTTGGACAACAAGAACAGCAGCAGAAAAGGAGTGGAACTGCGCGACTGCAAAAAAGATGGACCTTGTTGAATATAATTCAAGGGAAAATTTTTCCAGCCTGAAACCCTTACCGATATGGTGGCAAAAATATCATAGTAATCAAAACCATCCAAGTTGGTCGATAAAAATGTATCATAATTATCAAAATTTCCATGATTACACGAAGTTTATACAATCCCCCATTTTTCGCTGGAACAATCTTGAAGATCACAAAAATCGCTTCGATCACAAAAGGAATCAAAGTTAGGAATGGGATAACCATATAGGCTAATGACCAAGCCAATCGACTTCTCGCATCCCGAATTTGCATATCTGTTGAAGTTGCCGCTTCGTACGGTAGATCACGCATCATAATGAACATTGACTAGAAAAATGTTTGGTTTTTGATTGTTATGTGAGTCATATGATTGTCTCACCCAAAAAATTTGTATGAAAATAATCGAGAAACAAATAATTGTAAGAATCTGTGACAATGTTGCGAGAAGTGCTAGAACGACAGCACTGCTTACTGTATTGATGTAATTCAGAATACTGACAAAAAATGGGATTATCTGCATTATCAAACAAATCGTGCTGAAATTGTTTTTATTTTAAAAGAGTTGCACTTTTGTGAAATAAAGTTGTTTACTTTGTTGGAAATGCGTTGATTCTGTCAGCAGGAAGTGTTGCAATTCGACCACAATATAAAATAAGCGGAAGTAAACACATTATATTGATATGCACATAATCATTTAAAAATGTCATGAATTGATCGGTCCATGTTATGTAGTTTCTAGAAAAATACGAGGGGTTGGGATGAGAGGATTTTTTTTTGAATTTGAATCTCAAACATCCTAGCCTACTTCACGCTTTCTACACATTTTCATAAAACTACGGTTTTCGCAAACAATTTTCTAGCCTCAAGTTCATCACAACCTTTTCGAAAAATACCCACAAAAAACAAAAAAAAAAGCTCCCTTTCTACCCAATTCTAGAACTTACACCATAAAAGCATCGTAATCTTTTTTGTTTTCTGCAAAAAGAAGGCGATAAAACGCAACTTCAATATACACTGTGTAAAGTTCCGTGAATATAATTGGAATAAAAATCGCGTTCGAAATTGATCTCATAAAATCTTTCTCCATTTTTGTGCCTAGCAAAATGATAAGCAAAGCGATGGTCAATCTTCCCAACATAATTGCAATTGAGATAATTTTTCGAGGTGTGAAGTATACATCTGTGAGGATGAACACATTTTCGAATTAAACTAAATCTCAAGCTTTCAAAAAACTCACCACACAACAATTCAGAACATGTTGGAAAAGTTCTCGAACTCGATTTTTTTGTTGTTACCTCATCGAAAAGATCTTCTTCAGCATATTCGATGATCGACATCAAAGTTGTTGATATAATCTCAGATGTTGATGTGTTCATGTTTGAAATGAACAGCTGAAAATGGAAATCTGAAAGAAATATTTAATTGGTTTTGGAGAAATGAAACAAACATTATCAGATTATGGGTTGGGTTAGAGATACGGTAACTCGAGAAAAAAATGTTGTTGATTTTTGATTGTCTGAACTTGCTCAAAAGTATTGATTTTGCTCGCTTGAATTAAAAAATGTTTGATCAACTGTGAGAAAAATTCTGACTGACTGAGTCATTTGAAATTTTGAAAAATAGAAATAATTATTTTGTTTTTATATGAAAAGTTGAAAATGTGAACACCGACGTCAGAACACAAAAAAATGTAATAAAAACTAATAGAAATGCGATAAAGAGTCACATAATCAAATTTTTCAGCTGTTGTCTTGCGCAAAATCAAATTGGAATCGGTTACTTGGGTAACTCTTTTCCCTTTTTTCTCACACCGCCCCAGTCATTTTTCTCGGATAAAAAAAACAAAACATTTTTCGGGAATATTGAAAAAATGGCTGGTTGCTTCGGAAGTTTGAGCAAACGTGGGAAATTCCAATTTCCGCTTGCTCGGTGAGCAACAAAAAATGAGGAAAATTGAGTACTTAGGCATGGGTAATGTGTAACTTGTAATTATTATAGGCAGTAAATGGCAAATGTGATTTGAGCGCACGCTGAAAAAAAAAGTTGATTTTTTCATCAAATAGGATATGGAAGGGGTGAATAAGACCGATGTTTTTGAATTTTTGAAAATATTTCTGAAAAAAAATTATATTGCAAAACTCTGAAAATATACGTTTCAGCTTGATAGAATAAATAATTTGACATGTTAATTATTAATACATGCAAAACAATTTCCAAAATATAAAAGGATCTTAATTTCAGAAAAATCTGAATATAAAATATAACATTTTGCCTGAAACGTGGAAAATTTACATTTCAGATATCTAAAAAAATTGCACAGAATTTGGTCATTTCCAGAATTTTGAACCCGAGTTTCAAATATTTATTATTTCCCTTCTAAATTTCTCAAAACACGTTCTTGATAATGATCCAAATTTGGTTGTTTGGCCGAAAACACTGGAACAATTAACCTGACATCGTCCAAACAAAATCATAAACTTTTTATATTCGATTCAGCGCCGCCTTCTTTTCTATCATCCAATACCTTTTTATGGTTAATATCATCTTGTTCAACCACGTGTTGTTTTCTCATTCTTCTTCAAAATGATCTTGTCGCAATTGTTCGTCGATCCTTTTGAGAAATTATTTGATTTTCCAACTGAACAACGTGCTAAAAATGTGGCGCATGCTCCAAAAAGACCAAATAATTTGACAACTTCGGAAAAGATTGTGAGTTATCATTTTAAACGAAACATTCAAGCTTTTTTCTTTGATGAAAATCGAACAAGAAATTTTCAGTTGGCCGTTCGAAATATTCTTCGCTATGTTCCCACAAAATTCCACGATGTTTTGGCCAAAGAATTTGCTGAAGAACTCGAATCCTTCGGACACATTTATGCATTCCGATTCATGCCAAACTTTGACCTACGGGCTCCGAAAATCTCTGAAATTCCAGCAAAATGTCAACAGGCTGCCTCAATCATTCTAATGATTCTCAACAATTTGGATCCTGAAGTCGCGCAATTCCCGCAAGAATTAGTGACTTATGGTGGAAATGGTCAGGTTTTTAGTAATTGGATACAATTTCGACTTGTTTTGGGATATTTGAGTAAAATGACAATGCATCAAACTTTGGTTTTGTATTCGGGACATCCTTTGGGACTTTTTCCATCGACGCCAGATTCGCCACGAATGACAATTACGAATGGAATGATGATTCCGAGTTATTCAACAAAGGAATTGTATGATAAATATTTTGCACTTGGTGTAACTCAATACGGACAAATGACTGCTGGAAGTTTTTGTTATATTGGACCACAAGGAATTGTTCACGGAACAACTGTAAGTTTGAATTTTGAATTTATTTCCAAAAAACATCCAAAGAATTTCGTATACAGATCACAGTTTTGAATGCTGGTCGCCGTCAAGGATTGGACAATTTGGCAGGAAAAGTATTTGTGACTGCAGGTTTGGGAGGAATGAGTGGAGCACAGCCAAAAGCTGCAAAAATAGCCGGATGTATTGGAGTTATTGCGGAAATTTCGAAAACTGCTTTGTTGAAACGGCATGAACAAGGATGGTTGGATGTTTATTCAGATGATTTAGATCAGATAATCTATTTGATCAAGGAACATCGGAAATTGAAATCAACAATTAGTATCGGATATTTGGGAAATATTGTTGATCTTTGGGAAAAATTAGCTGAAGAAGAAGAATGTTTGGTTGAATTAGGATCTGATCAAACAAGTTTGCATAATCCATTTTTGGGAGGATTCTATCCGGTTGGATTAACATTTGAAGAATCGAATATTATGATGACACAAGAACCAGACAAATTCAAGAAACTTGTGCAACAAAGTTTGTTGAGGCAAATTAAAGCGATTGATAAATTGGCTGCGAAAGGAATGTATTTCTGGGATTACGGTAATGCATTTTTGTTGGAATGTCATCGATCGGGAGCGGATTTGTTGAAAAAAGATGCGCAAGATGATAAGAGTTTTAGATATCCAAGTTATATGCAAGACATTATGGGGTAAGATTTGCACTTGTTAAATTTGTTTCATTTTTCAAAACATTCCAGAGACATATTCTCGATTGGATTCGGCCCGTTCAGATGGGTATGCACTTCTGGAAAAACAGAAGATTTGAGAGAAACTGATCAATTGGCATGTCGAATTATTAGTGAACTTCAAACAACTGAAGTTCCAGAATATGTGAAGCAACAATATGCTGATAATAAAAAATGGATAGAAGAAGCTGAGAAAAATAAATTGGTTGTTGGTTCTCAAGCAAGAATTCTTTATTCTGACAGAGCTGGAAGAGTTGCACTTGCAAAAGGATTCAATGATTTAGTGAAAAATGGAAAAGTATCTGCACCAATTGTTATTTCACGAGATCATCACGATGTTTCGGGAACAGATTCGCCATTCAGAGAAACATCAAATATCACAGATGGAAGTGCGTTTACAGCTGATATGGCTGTTCAAAATTGTATTGGTGACTCATTTCGTGGTGCAACTTGGATTTCACTTCATAATGGCGGAGGAGTTGGTTGGGGAGATGTTATTAATGGTGGATTTGGGCTGGTATTAGATGGAAGTGAAGATGCGGAAAGAAGAGCGCAAGGAATGTTGAATTGGGATGTGCCAAATGGGGTTGCGAGAAGAAGTTGGAGTGGAAATGAAAAAGCGAGAGAGGCTATTAGAAGATCACAAATGCAAGTGGAAGGAATGGAAGTTACTATGCCTTATGATGCTGATGAACAGATTTTGAACAAACTTTTCTAGATTTAGAGTTTTTTCCAAGTTTCTCAAGATACTTTTGATATTTTCTCAAATTGTGTATTTTTCTGTGAATGAAATATTGTTTTTCAAAAGCAAAATTTTGTTTTAGGCTTACTAAGTTAGGCCTATAGAAGGATAGGAATAAATAGAAGGTAAGTTGATCTAAGGCCCAAAAATTGGTCCATCCTGGGCCAGGCTCAATTTTTCTTTTCATTTTTGTGAGCACAACATTGTAACCCAAAGAAAATTTCAAAACAGACTTTAACTTTTGAACCCTTTCCAACCCCATCAACAACTTTCATTTGTCAATTTTCCATTAAAAAATCAAAAGATCTCACGCGTTTTTTTTTCAAAAACTATTTATGTTTTTTTTTTCATCTCATCTCATTTTTTCCATGTTACCAGCTGTTGTTGCATCTTTCGTCTTCGGCTTTTGGGTCAATTGTCATCTCATTTTTTCTCTTCATTTTTTAATCTAACCTTTCATTTGTGCTATCTTCTCATTCTTGTCGAAAAACCAAAATGTTTGCGATGGCTAGGAAAAAATTGAGTATTCGAAGGTAAGTTCTCTCCATTTTTCTTCTGCTTCTTCAAAACAAATGAGTGATGACAAATGAGACGTTCATTTTTTTTTGAGTTTGAAAAAAAAGTTTGAAATATGATCTGGCACCTTTTCATTTTTTCGCAGTCTCACAAATTTTTTCGAAAAAACTGAAGAAAGATGTCGTCTTTGACGAGAAAACTTCGAAAATTATCGGCGAAATCTTTGCGAGAAAAATTTGAAAGACAAGCTGAATGTGATGAACATGTTTTTGATGATTTGTGAGTTTTTGGAATTCTTGAGAATTTTTTATTTGAGCTGATTTAATTTTTCTGAAAAATTTAAGAAAAAAAAATAAGATTTCAAACAACGGAAAAATATACGTTTCAACTCGAATGGAAATAATCAGAAGAAAATTTGTGACAATTTTTTTGTAGCACTGTCATTAATAAAAAATGTATTAGGAAAAACAGTTTTTTTTTAAACAAATTCGCTCATAACATCAAATTCAAAAAATCCTCCCATTTTTTCCAGAAGAGAATCTCGAAAATGGCGTGAACCTCCAGAAAAAAGTTTGCGATTTGAAAATGTTCGAATACGATCAACAAACTTCGAAGATGAACAAGTTGAAGAAGTCAAAAAACAATTACAAGATGCTCTTCAACTTTGTGGAATTGAGAATGAGATCGCAACGTTTCTCAAGAAAAAATTTGATAATCTTTATGGTAAGACACTCTTTTTGAAAATTCTAGAAAAAAACAACAAAAAAATTTCCTATAGGTGGACATTGGAATTGTGTAGTTGGCCGAAATTTTGGAAGTCACTTGGATCCCGTCAAATATATTCATATAACTGTTTCTAAAATATCAGTGATATTATTCCGATAAATATGTATGTACATTGATATCGCTCATATTGTTATGTTATGAGTTCCAGTATATTTTACCCGTCAGATTTTGAGCGCTTTGAAGATGTTCGGAGAATCTCTGAAAATTTCTATTTTTTTTAGATCCAGAATAAAAAAAAAGCTTACTCGATGTTGATGTTTTGCTGATTCAACGCGTTTCAGAAGTTCTCGAATATCAATTTTCCGTTTTTCTATACATTTATTTATCCGTTCAAAATCTTCAGTCATCATTCGTGGAACAAAATCGGGAGTTTTCCTGACAAACTTCAAATCTTCCATTAGAATTCTCCTTTCACAATCAATTCGATTTTTGTCAACTGGTAGATCAGAAAAAATTGGGGTTGGAGGAATAATTGGAACTGGAAAATTTCGAGGTCTTTCATGTAGATGAATTCGACGCAGAGGTTCTTCTTCTCCTTCTTGAAATCCAGATTCTTCCGAACAATTTTCTGATGTTGGAGAAGCACATTTTGGATGTTCTTCGAGAGCAAGAGAATCAATTAGAGAAGAACTCTGGGAAATTCCAAAAAGATGTTCGAGGTAGAGCGATTCAATCGGGGAGAGTGGAGTCTTTGATGATGGAATAATTAATTGAGATTCGATTGGAAGATCTTTTGGTGGTGGAGAAGAAGAAGATTGGTCGAGCTGCAAAATAAAATTGGGAATGCATTAGGAAATTAAATTGGAATGAATGAATGAAGTTTTTATGCATGACAGTAGTTTTTGACCTTCTGGATCTGCTATACTTTTGGATGCGAGCTATGACGTGGAAATATTTAAAATTTTAAAAAAATTAGTCACTTTTTTAAACGCATTTTTTTCAATGTTCGAAAATTTTGAACCGCAACAACTATGAAAAGAAAAATCCAAACCTCTAAATTAGTCATCCTTTCATCAACCAAAGTATAATGTTCCATATAATCCTTCAAATTTTCACACGAAAACACAGAATTCGATCGCCTTCTCCGTCTTCTCGCCATATTTTGTCGATCAAACGAATAAAACAGAAAAAATATTAGAACAGTCACTAAAAATATTGCCAACAAAACCAACATTGCCACAATTCTCAGACAATTTGAGGAAAACGAAAAAGATAATATGCATCGCAACGAAATATCGATGTTGCTCATATTATTCTATACATTTTTTAGTTTAGTGATGAAGAAAATAAAATGACATGAAAAGGAGCGAGAAGAAATTGGGAGAGAAAGGAAGAAGTAGAGACAGATGGACACAAAACGGGGGCTGGTTCGATGGCTAAATAGGTTTGAGAGGAGCTGTTCCTCTAAAAATGGACATCAAGAAAAGGAGAAAAAGAGAGGAGAGAGATGGAAAAGAAAACAAAATTCTTACGAGCAGAAAAAAAACATTTCAGTAAACAAAACGAATAAACAAGATTTGATTTATGCTGAACGTATTTCGGAAGGAATTTTTGGACACATAAAAAATAGTGTGAATTAGGATTTATGAGTGAATAAACTTGAAAGCATAGAAAATATTAGTTGAGAATTTGGGGTGGAGTAGAGACATGGAAGTTTTTTTTAGAAATTAAGGTCCAAAACTTCTGAAGCTCAGTTTGCAATTTGAAAATTTTAGAAAATTTGAAAACAAGTTGTTGAAATCATCTGTAAAACTCAAAATTTAGCACTAAAAATTTGGAACGTTGGATTTTATAATTTTTTGCAATAGAGGGAAAATATCTTGTAAATTTCAAAATTGCATTTTGGGACCACACTTCCATTTTTGTCAGCCTAATTTCAATACAAAAATTAACACATCAACCCGAATTCCTAACTAATATTCACGTGGCCTTTTTCTCAAAATTCCAACTCACACGTTAATGTTTCTTCATTTTACAATTTCCGTTCATTTCTAATTATCTATTCAATTTCAATGGGTCCACATCGTCGTCTTTATCAATATCTCTGCCGTTTCGGCGATCGCCACGTCTATCCACGTCTTCCAGAAATCGCAAAACCTGCCTGGAATCACCCGGCTGGTTTCAAAACTGTCTTTTTCTGGGCACCAACTTTCAAGTGGATTCTGGTTTTTGTTGGATTTTCCGAAGCGGTTAGACCAGCTGAAAAATTATCGCTGAATCAGGTTTGATTTTTCATTTTGAAATAGAGAGAATGTGAAATTTTTAGAACCTGGCATTTGCTGTAACTGGAGTGCTCTGGACAAGATTGACATTCCAAATTCAACCATTCAGTTGGTATATGGTTTCTTTGAATGTGTTTGTGGCTTTGATGGGAGCACTTCAATGCTCGAGAATTGGATATTATCGATTGAAAAATCCAGATTGGAAAACTAGAGAAATTATGAATGTAAACTAATAAATTTTATTCGAAGTTTCAATTTTTTTGTGCAAAAATTTTCATCGCAAAAATTTCTCGTTCAAAATATTCCGTTCTTTGTTCCTAATCAAATTTTTAGAGAACAATGAAATTTGCCAAATTGAAAATTTGTGTCTTTCTCAGCCGGAAGAATAAATAAATAAATACAGCTATCACCTGTACGATTACACCATTTCGCGCACCCTTTATGGTGTCATATTTCCATCTGCTGCTCCATTGCTGCGCAATAACTCGGCACTCTTTCACATGAAACGGAAAAAATTGTTGCGCAACTTTTGGATTCAAGTGTTTGAACGAAAATACTTGCATTATCCGAGGAAGGATAAATATTTTTGGCGTGACCCAAGAAAAATCAGCGGGTCAGATTAAACAAAAATTGATTTATTTTGAATATTTTAGAAATTAGTAACTAACTAGCAGAAAAAATGGAAAGTATCGAAAATTTGGCACAGCGAATGATTTGCAGAATTATAAAATTTCGAGATTTGGAAGGGTTCAGCAATGCGGAAGTTTTATTGATTTTGAAAAAATCGAAACAAATTATGAGACCACTTCCAGCAATGCTTGAATTAGAAGCACCCATCACAATATTTGGAGATATTCATGGACAACTTGCAGATCTTTTGAGATATTTTAATGTGATTGGATATCCGCCAAAACATTCTTTGCTGTTTTTAGGAGATTATGTGGATCGAGGTGGTTTTTCTTTTGAGGTGAGGGAAATACTGTAGTATGTCTAGAAGAAACTAATGAATGATGTTTCAGGTGATTATGATTCTTCTTTGCTACAAAATCAAATACCCTAATAAAATCCATTTGCTACGTGGAAATCACGAATGCTTCAAAATGAATCGACTTTATGGATTTCATGAAGAATTAAAACGAAAAAGAAATTCAATAATCTGGAATAAATTTCAAGATGTTTTCAACGAAATGGCATTGTGTGCATTGATTGGTCGAAAGATTCTTTGTATGCACGGCGGAATATCAGAACACGCAAAATCGTGGCAATCATTTTATGATTTGAAAAAACCGCATAAACCAAAAAAATGTGACGAAGGATTGGCATTGGATTTGATGTGGGCTGATCCATCACAAGAAAAATGCTCGACTTATTCGATAAATCATTTGAGAAGTATTTCGGTGATTTTTGGAGAACAGGCTGTCACAGATTTTATGAAACTTTTGGGATTGAGTCTGATTGTGAGAGCGCATGAAGTTTCACAGGTAATTTTGCAGAGTTTTGAGCAATTTTTCATTTTCTATGTGTTTCAGGAAGGCTTCCAATTCATGTTTCAAAAACGTGTGGTCACCGTGTTTTCGGCCCCATTTTATTGTGGAAATGATTCGAATTGTGGAGCAATAATGCATGTTGATCCAAATTTCGAAGTATCATTCACAGTTCTTCGCCCTCGAATTATTGCAACCTCTGAAAATTTTGCACTAGCTCAATCTATGGAGAAAAACTATAATCAATTATTGGCACCAAGTCCTGATCCAAGTTTGTTTTTTTTTTCTTTTTTTTTTTTTGAAAATTCTGATCCCTGTTGAATTTGATTTGCAGATCGCGGTCGACATTTGGCGAAAAAAGAGAGCTCGACTAGATTGAATGTTGTGCTTGATAAATGATTTTTTGCGGTAAGAAGAAGAAGAAGAGAGTAGTTTTACAACTTTAGGAACACACTTGTCATAAAATGATTACCGCCCAGAAGCCAAGTTGTTTTATGATCTGCTAATAATTTGACACACACAGCAGCGATGTGGAAGCGAAGAGAAGAAGGGTACTGTAAGTGGGTGAGAATTGGGAGATTTTGTTGGTGGATTTTTGGAATTCAAGAAATTTCACGTACAGTAGAAAATTGATATATCATTTTTTTTTCATTTTTTTTTTTTTTTTATTTATTTTCCAGTGGTGTAAATCTCTAAAACTATTTTTTTCTCATAACTTATCTTGTCAGCTCGTTATGTCGTTGTTTTGTTCTTCTCCAGTCATCAATGCACAATCTACCATTTTTGGAAACTTGCGTAACCAGTCCGCTTGTATTGCGCCACCCACACCGAAAAGAATGGACTAAAAGGTGCCGACTTTGTTCGTTTGTCGACTCCGCCCACTTTTTCTACAGCAAACTTATCTGTTTTCTCATTATCGCTCTTCTGTTCGTCCTTTTTTACGTAATAATACGTACTTACTTACCAGAATACATCACTTTTTAGTTTTTGGGATTTTCAGTTCAGTTTGTCAGAAAATACATAAATGGCCGCTGATATTCAACAACAAATTGCCAGCGAAATTTATGATTCGACTCAACAACAAATCAAGGCGATGAGCCAAATGTGGAATTTTGAGAATTATCATGGAGCACCACAATATCCAATGACTATGAAAGAGGATAAGGTAAGTAGTGACAGCCTGGTTTCTCAAAGGGTACTGTAGTTGTGGTTATTTATAATTCTGCGGAATGAATATTGAAATTTGAAAAATTTGGAAGATTTCAAGGAACTTTTCAAAAGTATTGAACGTATCCTGAATTTTTGAAATGAAATTACACGAAAAATAATTTTTATCTACAGGTTGAACTTTAGTTTTCTAATTTTCGGTTGTCTGAATCGTGTTTTCGTTTTCAATCAAAGACGGATCATTCAGAAATCTTGAAAATCTGACGAATTTTTCTGGAATACTAAACTCCAACCATTTTCTTTCCAGTTCGATCCAATGAAATCCGAAAACATGATGTTCCACCCATTTTTCGCCCATCAATTCTCGCATTTCGGCCAACTTCCGCCGTCAACTCCATCAAGTCGAGATTCTCCAGTTCCATCGAAGAAAAAACCACAACCAGTTCCAGAAGAGCAAAAAGATGAGGTGAGAAAACTATGTAGAAACTGAAATTGAAAAAGAGAATCTCTAAAATTGTTTGATTTCAGAAGTTTTTCTATCGACATCAACTTTTTCAGAAAGAAAGTTGGGGAGGGAGGGTTGAAGATTTGAAAAAATTAAAAAAGAATGTTTCAGAGTTATCGAGAACGTCGGAGACGAAATAATGAAGCGGCTAGGAAATCGAGAGAAGCGAGGAAGAAAAATGAGGATATGACTGGGAGAAGATTAGAAGCTGCACAACATGTTAGTAATTTTTTGGAGTTTTCGAGCTTAGACCCTTGGAATTATAACCTTTTTCAGGAAAATTTCTTGTTGAAACAAGAAGTTCATCGTTTGAACACGGAAGTTGAAAACCTCCGCTATGCATTTGCACGTCTAACTTCTCAAATGAATATGATGTCAGCGAATGGTGGCTCACAAATTTTACCACCAACCCAACCACCACAAAACCCGCCAAGTTACTGATAAACTTATAATTCTCACTGTTTTTTTGTATATATTTCTTGCCATCAGGAAAACCATCATATTACTTGTACTCTTTTCATCCATAATCTCCGTGATTACTATTTAGTTTACTTATTCTACACTTATTTCTTCTCAAGCCTTCTTCTCCCCCTCCTCCTCCGCCTCATCATCATTTTTCCTGTGGAAATTTTGCTAATAAAGTATTGTGCCGCTCAAATTTCCCTTGGTTGTCTCGAATTTCCCATCCAATCTGCATGCCACCCTCTGCTCCTTATACTACTTAAAATCGTCGCCCCGTCTTTTTTTTCTCACCCGCAATGATCGAAAAAACAACAAATATACTTTCAACTTTTTTGTTTTTGAAAAATTCGACAGAAAAAAAAAATGACTTTTTCAATTGCCGCGTAATAAATTACTACGGTAGACAGAAATGTGTGCAATGACATCATATGTGACGCGCATGTTTGGCGTTTTTTCATTTTTCTTTTTTCACGCCTAAAGCTGGAATTTTTGCTGTTTTCGTCAACCCCGACGCTGTATTTGAGGTATTTTTGAACTTCTAATGATCAAATGACTAACATAGTTCGATAGTAGTTCTGTAGTTTCATAAATTCTCATGGAAAATGAGATTTTTCTTGATTTTGAATTTAACTTTTGTTTTCTGGTTTTCGGCGTGTGTTCGGGTGAAATTCATTTCGTATCCGATACTCATATATTTTTATTCATTTCTTCAGCTCAGTAGCACATCATTTTCTTTAAAATGGTTTCCGTTTTCGATCGAAAACAGATTATATTTTCGCGAGGACCTTTTCGTATTTGCCGATATGTTTTTGTCAAGAAAACTATGATGTGAGTATATTTGAAACTGAGAGAAAAAAGAAGGAACAGCCGGAATGTCGAACAAGATTTCATTTTCAACAAATTTTCTCGAACGCTATGAGCCCTTATGCTATAGCGGAAGAGAAAAGAGAGAAATATCAGAACAGAGTGAACAGTGTGGAGAGCACAGAGAGGAATAGACGAATTTATGGGCAGCCTACACGCAATGAGAAAAAGAAAAAGAGCGACTGATGATAGAGGGAAAGAAGAGCCATGAATTGACCGCAACGCAGGATATGCGCGTCGCGGCCAGCTTTGTTTTTCAGTTTCTCCCTTCCTCGCTCCTTTTTTTCAAATTACGCGCCGATGAATACATTGCATCGCGCGTTCCTATTTTTTGTTTGTTGTTTTGATTTTGATTTGTATTCTCTTGTTACTTGATGCTCTTCCACACCAAGTTTCCTCAATTTTATAATTAGGATTTTCAATCTTTTATTGCGAAATGCCTAATTTCGAAATTTTTTGTTCCAGAGCTTTCTGAGATGTTTGAACTTTTCGATTCTTGTATACTTTTGGATCAGAAGCTTTTCTTTGAATAATGAGTTTTTCATTCCACAAAAGATGTTTTATATCACTCGTGACCTAAAAATACTAATTATTTTTTAATGTATAATTCAATTTGGTCAAGTATTTCACAACCGACAGATATTGTTCGATTGTCACTCATCTTTGTTTTATATTTAGTTTCTTTCTTATCATGCATTTAGAATGCGTTCTCTCTATCTTCATTTATAATTTCCTAGATAGTATTTGCAAGAAAAAACATTCTAACAACATCGAAAATCTTTGGTTGCTCCCGTTTTTTTCCGAGTAATTTGATATTTTCCTTCTCAAAAAATATCCTTTAAGCATTTTCATGTGCACACATAGGACCTTCTTCGTTTTTTCTTTGCTCCAGTTATAATGGGAGGTTCCATAAATGTGTGAATATTTGTGTTGTGCCGAAAAAAAACGAAGCACTCACTTTACTACTGCGAAATTGAATGAAAAGAAAATAAGAGAAAGAGAGCAAAAGAAAGCAAGCAAATTTTCATTATTATCTGGGAAAACATCTTTTATGTTTCTCGTCTCTTTTTCATATGTTTTGGACCACTATAAATTCTAGTTTATATGTGTGTGCATTATTTTGAAACGATGGCACGAAGACGAATTGAATTTTAATAGCTTTGTCTTTTTATGAAAACTAAAAGTAGATTTTAAATATTCTTTGAGTATTCTTCGTCTCAATCAACATAGTATAAAAAAACGACGGAAACCGTATAATTCATGCATGAATATCATTATTCATTGTTCGCATTTCTCATTTTTCACCTCAAAATAATGCTCTATTTATGACTGACGTTTTTTTTTCGCTTTTTTCTCGATGAAGAATGTACTATTGTTCTAAGTTCAAAATATTTGTCTTGAAATTTAGGTATTTTTCTGCTTGCAAAAACTTTGATTGTTTCTTTTTCGTCTATGAATCATATTTTCAAAAAATATGATCAACTTGTAGTTTAATCATTACATAATGATATCCAAGCTTTTTCATATTTATTATCATTATTATATCTTTCCTCATTATATTATTAAATATTTCGCCTCTTGGTGATCTGGGCAAGAAAAGATATGACAACAAAAACAAACAATTGATTATTCGAACACCCGTGTGCGCGAGCCGGGATAAAAGAAAAAAGAAGAAAACTTTCGTCCTTTCTTTTTTCATCATTATAGTTTTCTACTGCTTCTTTTTTTGCCGTCACTCACTCATTTGATTATGTTTTTTTTTCGGAGGAAGACCTAGCAAAAAAGATGCTTGTTGTTCTGTTTTTACGAAACGATGTTTTTTTTGGTCGAGTCCGCATGTATAACTATTTGCTAATGCACAAGTTGTTCTATGTCATTTGTGTTGTTGACACCATTCCCTTTCAGTTTACCAAAAAAAATATCAAAATCATTTTTGGTGTCCATAGTTTCTTGGTCATCTAAATGTCTCCTCCCACAACTAACATAGCATAACATCAGAAATTGTTAAGTTTTCTTCTCAAATTGTGTTATTGAACTTGTTTGGGAATTGTTGTGCTCTTCGATGACATCTTCTGCTTCTTGTTGCCTCAAACACATGTGGGCGCAGTAAAAAGAGACAACACGCTAACAAAACTGAACTAATGATGTCTTTGAAAAGCAAGAAGGAGAAAATGATGATTCTCTCCCTCGCTTTTTTTTTCATTCTTTGCTTTTTAGTATCAGCTTCAGATTTTCACATAAATTATTGACCAAAAAATTGAGATAAATGTGACATTTTTTGGTATTTATGTTGGAAAGAATGGGAATGCTTACCCATTTTTCTTCTTTTTTGAAACTTCTCTTGGAAAAGGAAATTAGATTCTAACATTTGGTCCAGTTCAGTTTCTTCCTCGTTTTTTCGCACAATATAACTTTGTTTGTAGTTTGAAACTTATGCGTGAAAATCAATTATGTTTGACTCTTTTACAAAATTGGTTGTATGATTCCTTGCAAGCCGAAAATCTGAAAATCTCATTTGAATTCCCTTGAAAATTTATTTTCGGCAAACTAGCTTTGTTTTGCTGATGTGATCATAGTTTTTGTACTATATCGCCCTTTATGAGATTAACAATCTGCTCTACCCCTATTTTTTCCCGTCGCCTATCTGTCTATTTCATTTGTCTATCGATATCTATCGAATCTATATTCATGTGTGTGTGTGCATTTTCCATCCAATACGCGAATAATTTGATTGGCATTGAGTGTTGTTATCGAATTAAGCGGAAATACTATTTTTTGTGTTTGTGTCGGCCGATGGCTTCGCGCGTATTTGCCCGCCGTTTTGTTTTTATTTTACCAATTTCTCGCCATTTATCCATACATTTTTGTTGATCAATCCAATTTTTTATCCAATCACTTGATAGTTGGCTGGCTTTCTTTCTGTTGCCTGCAATGTGTTTGTATGTTGACAATTTAGTGAGGAGCTGCTGCTTCTGCTTCTACTCCTGCTATTGCTGCTGCTGCTGTTATGCTTTTGAGGTGGACCGGTTTCTTTCTCTCTATCTCTCTCACACTTTGTTCTTGTCTCTGCTCTTTTGTCGCGGGCAAAAATGGTCATCCCTCCTCTTCGTTTTTCTCTTCTTCTTCTTTTTGTTTTTGATGATTTGTTTAGTTATACCATATTGGTTCGATTCGACCTCGAGAATAAATCGATTGAGATGAGGAAAGAAGAAAAAGGGAAAAACGAATAAGATATAATCTTTATCGACAACGAACGGAGTGTCTTCTCATTATATTTCTCTTTCCGTTCGTTATTATCATTTGTCCTTTTATGTCTATACTAATATTATATAGGTTATGTTGGATTCTTTGAAGTTGTCAATAGATAATTTGTCTTTTTGACATCATTACGAAACTTGAACTATGATTTAATTCTTCGAAATTTTCTAGCACTTATATTTTTCGGCATAAGTTATTTTCTCTAAATTGTCTCATCTCAAAATATATAAACAAAAAGATTCTGTATTATTGTTGCGAAACAAACAATCGATTATTTTTGTTTTGTTTTATTTTTTGTTCTTTTCGTTTCGTTCGCCGTGGTGCCCTCCTTCTTTCTTTTTTCCTTCTTCTTCCATCTTCATTCTCTTATATTTTAAGTCTTCTCTCATTTTTGTCATTCGTCTGGTCTACCTCTAGCACATTCATTTATATTATTTTTTGTTGTCCTCTCGTTTTTTTCACCCCGAAAAAAATTTAAATAGAAGAAAAAAGAAAGAAAGGGGAAAATGAGTAATGAAAAGAGAGAATTAATGGATTCGAAATTAAATTTTGGTCCCATTTTATACATTTTCATTTGTTTATTTATTTTTGGTCCCAACATTCTGGTAATTGATTACTATTACGATTTTTGTTCTGTTCTATCTTTTTTCTCGTTTGCAAAATAGCAACAAAAACATTGATAATTAGAAAAATGTCCGTTTATTTATCAATATTTTTGTAATAATTCTCACATCGGTCCTCCAAAATCGTTTGATTGATTTTGAACACGATGAGTCATCTTTATCGATGTTTCATCATCAACCACCATCTATTCAGAAGTTGAGCGGCCGACGAAAAAAAGTTGTTTTGACAGACAACAAAACGTATTTTTTTCTCAAAGTCAGCGACAAGAAAGCAATTTGAAACGAGTTATGTGTATTTTCACGGTCACCCACCTCCACCACCATGTTCATCTATATTTTGTTGCTTTTTCCTTTCGATTTTCGGAGAAAAAAAAGTATTTGACAGTGACATCAGTTTGTTTCCAAAGTAAATACAAAACAGTGCCGGAAATCAGCTGATGTGACTAACACTTTTTCTCGAATTCTTTCCATCTTGACTATTTCGCAACTTCTGTTGTTGATTATCTATGAACTTTTTCCCCACACTTACTATCCTCGACCTTTCCACAAAATATTTTGAGAGAAAAAGAGCTGTCTGATATGGAAAATGTCAATTATTATTCTTATTTTCAACTGTTCTTTGAAACTGTTCTTCCTTGATTTACCAAAAATTCGATTCTAAAAAAGTGTCTGTTGACACCCTCTTTTGTTCGTTAAGCTTCGCCATCTGAAATATATTTTTTTCTCATTTTGAAATAGTCTTTTGGCCCCAAAAGCAAAAAAAAATCGTGTGGTGCAATTAGTCATTTGTTGTCACAATGAATGCCCTTTTATGGCTAAAGCCGTTCCCCTCTTTTTTTCTTGAGCTTTTCTCAAAAAAAATGCCCCAAAGAAAAGAGAGAAAAGGCGGTGGTTTAAAAAGTTGTTTCGCGTTTTTTTTTTTCGAATTAGATTGGTACACACATATATGGATAGATATCGATGTAAAAAAAGAAGGAGAGACAGAAGTGTGAGCCACACACATACACAAAAAACGAGCTCTCTCGTCTCCTCTTCATCAGTCGCCTGAAAAAAGAAGTTTTTCTTCGTCGTCTTTTTCATTTTCTCTCCATCTCTTTCTTCGTATACTCACTTATATGGTAATTTTTCCAGAATTTTTTTTTTCTGGAAAATTTGTGGTCGCAGTTCGTGCGGCATTGATTTTCCAATTGAGCCGCTTTAGTTTGGATTTATGCTCGAAATAATGATTTTAAAATGAGAGTTAGATATCCCAGATCTCAAAATCTAAAACAGTGTCATTGAATTTCATTTTCCCTTGAAAAAATCAACCTCTCCCCTCTGGATGTCGGCGCTCCAAAAAACCCTTGTTGTGAGTCACTTTTCTGACCAAAATAATATGCACTTTACCTAGTAGACACATATTTATTCGTTTTCTTTGTTCCAATTTTGTCACCAGATGTTTTTTCTTTCGCTTTCTATCCACCCCAAATAGTAATATTCATCCCCCTTCCCACACTTGTTGTCATCATCATCTTAGTCATCATTACCTAACACCCTTTTTTATGCGTTTGCGTTCACCGTTATTCTCTCTCACCACCCTCCTCTTTTTCTATTGTGTTTTCCATTCAAACACCTGCACAGTGTGAATGCGCGCTCCATCGCACTGTAGGCCAGCGTTGTTATTGTTGTGTGTGTTTTTTTCTTCTTTCGAAAAAATATTTTTTGTCACCATTTTCTTTTTCGCTCTGTGTGAACCAACGAATTTTGTCTTATCGTTTTTTTATCGATAACATTTATTTATTATATAATAATTTCTTACGCCTCGTTTTTTTCAGGGTTCTACGGGTGTTCCCTCTTGTTATCTCTAGATAGATGGCTGCAATTAGAAAGAAGGTGAGCTTTTGTTGATCTTTGAGAAAAAGTTTATTCGAAAAAAAAATTTGATTAATTAAAAAGAAGAGTTTCCTAATTAAAAATAATTGGTTTTTGTTTTCAGTTGGTTATCGTCGGCGATGGTGCTTGTGGTAAAACATGCTTATTGATTGTGTTCAGTAAGGATCAATTCCCAGACGTATATGTACCGACTGTATTCGAAAACTATGTCGCTGATATTGAAGTCGACGGTAAACAGGTTAGTAACATTTGAGACATAGTTTTTTTTTAGTTTACAATATCCAATATTTCAGGTTGAATTAGCACTTTGGGATACAGCTGGACAAGAAGATTATGACAGACTTCGTCCACTTTCATATCCAGACACTGATGTTATTCTAATGTGTTTTTCAATTGATTCTCCAGACTCACTTGAGAATATTCCAGAAAAATGGACACCTGAGGTAGGTTTTTTGAATAGAATTCATTGGCTTCAAGTCTATCATAAATGTTTTTTCTAGGTTCGACATTTTTGCCCGAATGTGCCCATAATTTTGGTAGGAAACAAAAAGGATTTGAGAAGCGATCCACAGACAGTTAGAGAATTGGCCAAAATGAAACAAGAGCCAGTGAAACCAGAACAAGGACGAGCGATTGCCGAACAAATTGGTGCTTTCGCATATTTGGAATGTTCAGCGAAGACGAAAGACGGAATTCGTGAGGTAAGCATTTTTTCTGAGAAAAATGATTACGTAGTAGCACTTTCAATATACGGTAGTGCTATATTGTCGTTGGAACTACAATTTCATATAAAAATACAAAATTCTTGTTTTTTGCAGGTCTTCGAAAAAGCCACACAAGCCGCGCTTCAACAAAAGAAAAAGAAGAAGAGCAAATGCATCATTTTGTAAATCAATTGTTTTCCAACTTTTTGTTTTTTTATCATTATCATCATTCTTCTCAATTCCTTCCTTCATTTCCTTTCCTTTCCAATTTTCTCCCCCGATTTTTTCCACACAACAATCGACCCCCCGGAATTTTAATTATACATTTTTTAAGACTTCTTTCAAAAATTTTTTAGCTTTTGATTTGAATTTATCCAATTAATCGTTTTCTTTTCTTCCCCCGTTTCCCCCTAGGATTTATCATCATCACTGCTTCCTTTTTTGTCTTCCCCACCCACCCAATCATTTTCACCAACACATCCAAAATTGTTCCCCCAACCCACCCACTCCTGAAATTTTTTTTCTCGAAAAAACAAAAACAACAAAAAACAATTATTTTTTGTCGAGTTCATTCAATTCGCCACAGCTGTGTTATTTTACCTTTTATGATAATTTTATTTTATTTTTTATCGAAAGTTTTTTCTTCTTTTTTCTAGAGGATTCTCTTTTGAATAAATTTAACTAATGCTTCTTCTTTAACTACATATTTCACGTGTTTTATCGCACTTTTTGGCGTGGGAAGTTTGTTTTCTTGAAATATATTTTTAGATGATACTTTTTGCTCCTTTATGTTTTACCAATTTCCTCAAATTTCACATTTTTCCGAAGAAACTACAAAAATATTATGTTTTTCGTTTAATTGTATTATGCAAGGAGAAATGAATATTTAATGGATTTCAAAAGTTTATATTTTGACATGAGAACTATTTAGATTCACAGATTATTTACAATTTAGTTGTGGCAAGTAGAAGGAGAATTGGAAACCTGAAAATGAACATTTATTAGATAGGGATTACGAAAAAAACGGAGTTAGGGTAACTTTTTCTTGAAATTTGTCCTGAAAATTTTAGATAAAAATGATGACGTGGCAAACACTCGTTGAGTTAGACTTACGGAAATTTATATCAAAATCGAAGTGATTTCTATCAAATTAGATTTTTACTTAATTTTCGAACTCTAAATCCAAAATAACTGAAAAAAATGTAAATCTAAACCGAATTTCCTTCACAATTAAAAATTTTTTCAGTTTTAAAACTTTGAAATGTGATTTTTTTTTGAAAGTATTTTCAAAATTGAAGTTTCAACCTACAAATCAGAAAAATTAAATATAGAAAAAACTTTCGCTGATAACTTTTTTCCAAAGAAACTTTCTGTGAAATTTGGTCAAGGATCAACATTTTCGAGAAATCTTTCCTCAAAAATTTACCAGATAATTTTCGAGTTCTTCCTTGGATTCAAAATCCATTGTTAATCGATAAGGCTTTGGTCTCAAAAATAATAATTCCTTTTGTCCTTTTTTATTCTTCGATTTTTGTACAACATCGTTATGTTTTTCAATCCAATCATCACATTTAACATCAGCTGTCCAACATTGTCTTTCTAATTCTCGAAACAAGTTTTCAGTGTTATATGCTCCAGATTCTTCAAGTTTTCTCGAAGCTTCTCTGATTTTTTGCATCTTCATTTCTTCTTCATAAATATCACACAGTTCTTGAATACTAGGAATTTTGAATTCTGGTTTTTCAACAACTTCTGTTTCTTCATCTTTAATCTTATCAGGAGAACTAGTATAAACCATTTTCAAATCATTTCGATCTCCCCAAAATGTTGGATCAGTTTCGAACATTTTTTGACCAATTATACTTGAAGTTATTGATCGGACTGTTATTTGGCAAGCTTCGTTAGGAGTTAGTTGTCCAATTACACTTATATAAGTTTTAGCTGGTATGTTGAATCCAATTAGTGCAGCTTCATTTCCATCTTGGAACATTGATAAAATATATGCGCCATATCCTGATAATTTATTCGCGCCCACAATTCTTGCCTTAAAAAATTCAAAATAATTTTTATTTCTTTTTTTGATGAAGTCAAACCCACTTTCAGATAATAAGTATAACTTTTAGTTACAACAGCATTGCAGCAAAATAATCGACTCGCGTCGCGTTTTAAAATATTTCGCGGTCGGAGAATATCGATTGATAGAATTAGAGAATCTTCTGATTCTGGGGTTAGTTGCAGACTTTTTGATTTTGAATCTGGAATTTTAATGGTTTTTTGGTGGGCGTTTTCAGAATTAACTTAGAAATTGATCACATTTTTGAGGAGCAAAATGTAGAGCTCCAAATTCATTCAAAAAATACTCACCATATTTGAACCAATGTACTTGGGCGGCTAAACTTTTAAGACTTTTGAAGTCCAAATAAAATTCGTGCCTTCCAAAAGTTCCTTTATTTACTTCAACATCTGGATGAATTTGTTGAATTCTGAAAATAAATAAAATTTCATACGTGCACGTACGTTCTCAAAAAAAACTCACATATTTTCAATATTTTCTTCATTTACAGGAAACCCTGATCTCAAAATTCGCGCTAATTCAAATACTAATTTTCTGAAACCATCAGATGTATTTCTTGGATTTTGTCGGCCGGGAAAGTAGAGGAAAATGGGACACATTTCAATGATAAACTTTTCGAGATGTTCTTCGGATTCAAATTGACATCGAACATTTTCATATAATTCTTTCATTGGTAGTTGACCTTTTGCAGAAATCATTCGACTCAAATAATCAATTTTGCAGGCAATGCGGAGTATTTTAATTCGGGCTTCTATGAATGTCATATTTTCTGAGCTATTGAACTTTTTATAAATTTGTGCTCCCATATCCACGAATTTACGATTATTCTGCATAATCTCTTGAATGAATATTTCCTCCTCGTATTTTACATTCAACCATTCTTCGTCGTTCTCCTCTTTTTTATGTGTCATTTTCCTGAAAATATCATTTTATTGTATGTAATTAAGAAACACGAGAAACCGATAATTTGGATAGGTTATCCTACGGCTGTTTCATTTTCAGTTTTATATCAAAAATCATGAAAACACATTTCAAACACGCTATTTTTGGCTGTCCATATCGAGAGAGTGGCGCAGAGAAAAAGACGCTCGTTTCTCGACACGAACAAACAGATTTTCGTAAAACTACTGTAGAAATTGCTTCGCATGCGTCCTTAAAGGGAGTTTTTCGCGTCTCTGTCCTTTCTCTCGATTTGGACGCTCTTCTTCTTTTTTAAAATAGCGTGCAAAACGCGGAAAACAAAAAATTAAACTTGAAAATTTGAAAGAGTGTGTGGATTCGAGAGGCGCAGACACAAAAAGATGCGTGCGTTAGAGCGCGCTTTCATTTTTACTTTTATTTAGTTTGTTTTTACCCTAAAAAGTTAGTTTTTCAGAGATGGATGTTGATTTGGCTAGCGTTGAAGTCGTTTTTGCACAGAAATTGGCATGCGGAGAACCGACAACTAGACAGAGAGCTTTGAGAGTATTGCATGATTGGATTCGTGATCAATCTTCGAAAAAACGTAAGTTTTGGGTTTAATTAAAATTCTAAATCATATTTTCCGTTTTTACAGCTTTCACAGAAGAAGATTTGACTCGCCTCTGTAAAGGTCTTCATTATGTTATGTGGATGCAAGACAAAATGGTTTTACAAGAGGAATTGGCTGATCGCATTGGTGGACTTATCAATATTTTCACAAGCGAACAAGAAAAAGTTCTCTATGTCAAGAGTTTTTTGAAAAGTTTGAACAAAGAATGGCCACATATTGATAGATGGAGAATGGATAAATTCTTGATGGAAGTTCGTCGAATGCTTCGCGCAGCATTTGCACATTTGAAAGATTTGAAATGGAAGAAAGAAATTCGTGATGAATATTGGAGTGTTTTCGAAGAAACAACAATTTCTGCTGACAATTCATTCAACGAAGGATTGAAAATGCATTTCGCTTCATTATTATTGGACGAATTAGATGCTGCTGGAGGTCTTACGAAGAAGCAAACCAATTCTTGTCTTCAACCTTATGTAAACCTTCTTGGAGTCAAGAAAATCAGTGATTATCTTTTCAATTCGATCATTGATGAAATTTTCAATGCGATTGTTCTTCAAAAATCTGAAGAGATAAAAGGAACTGAAGACGAATCGATGGAAGTTGTTGAAGGAGGCATTCAAGTGAGTTTTGCTTTTAACTTGTTTATAATTTATTAATTGATAATATTTTCAGTTCAATTACAAAGACCTTGCCAAATCTTTGTTCGAAATCGGAAAGCAAGCAAATATCCCAGCCAGAAGACGCGCTAGAATTTACGATTTGGTTCAGAAGTTCGAAAAATGTGTGGCCGGACAAGATCCATTGCACTTCGAAATTCCAGTTCCTCAAAATGTTTTGACACGAGAAGATTATGAGGAATCCGAGAGAAAAATTGTTGAGTTACAAGAAGTTGCAAAAGCTGAACGACTGAAAGCAAAGAAGATGAAAATGTGAGTTATTCAAAATGGGAATTTTTCTATTTAATAAATAAATATTCAGCGAAATCCGCGAGAAACAACGAAAAGAAGAACTTCGTCAAAAACGTTTGGCAGCGGCTGAAAATGATTCGAATGATGAAGAAGATGAAAATGAAGACGAAATTCAAGTTGTCAAGAAAAAGGGAACGAAAAAATCGAAACAACAAGTTCCAAAGGTGAAGAAGGCTCGAGCTTCGAACAAGTTCAAGAAAATCAATCCGAAAAAATCGAAGAAAAATTGAGGTTTTGTTATTTTGTTGTGTTTCTCTCTATATTGTTACTGTTGGAAATTGTTAATTGAAGTTTGTTTTTAATCGTGAGTTTATCTTTTCAATTTTCAAAGTTTTTGAGACAAAAAATATTTTCACGAGGAAATTCATCAACAAATCTTGGCCATTTTTAGTATTTAAAAAAAGTTAAAGCTTTATATTCGTTCAAAAATTAAAAAGTAATCGAAGATGCTCCACCGGGTGGTTGTTTTTTAACAAAATTATGATTAGAATCCGAAGATGCTGTTGTTATCAGTTTAGAAGTTGCAGGTTCACTCGATTTTCCTTCACCACGTTCAACTTTAATCGGTTTGTTCGCCTCCTTCTTTCTGTCAACTGAACTGAATACAATTTGTGAATCTGGTGGAAGTTTGATAAATCTTCCTGAGCCGGCTTCTGTTTGAAGTTTTCCATCAGCCCAAACAATTCGGCCTCGGGAGATTGTGATCTCTGGAACACCGTAGACTTCCATTCCTTCGAAAATATTGAAATCGACAGCCTAAAACATCAATCAATAGAGAACTGTATCTGAATATTATTTTGAGAAACTTACATGATGATGTGTATCTTTTGAAATAATTCTAGTCGCATTTGGATTCCAAATAACAATATCGGCATCAGATCCAATCGCAATTCTACCCTTTTGTGGATAGCAATTGAAAATCTTTGCCGCCATTGTGCTTGTCACTGATACGAATTTCATTGGGTCGATCAAACCTTGATGAACTCCACGATCCCAAACAACAGACATACGATCTTCCACGCCATTCACACCGTTTGGAATTTTTGTGAAATCATCTCTACAAAATCACTTTCGTGGTTCAAGAATTTCAATTTGAATTAAGTACTTACTTTCCTAGTGCCTTTTGTTTACAATCAAATGTGCAGTTATCAGTGGCTGTCAAATGAAGTTCACCACTGAAAAATTCAAAATGTACGCTGCCAATTTATGAAAACTTACGCTGCTAGAAGTTTCATAAGTGCATTTGGTGTCGATGGATCGCGAGATAAAGGAGGTGACATAACATAACGAGCAGCGTGGAGCCAATCCTCGTGATAATAATGAGAACCGTCAGTGGCCAAACCGGCAGCGATTGGTTCTCCGAAAACAATTGCTCCTGAAAATTCAAAGTTCAGCTTTCAAGAAGATCCCAATAATTTACCTTGTTGTCTGTGGTGTGAAATGGCTGCAGCGGCACCTTTTGACATAACATGCACCACATACAACGGACAATTGGCTTGTGCTGCCATTGTACACGCACGGAATGTTGCCTCGGCTTCCAATTCTTCTGGTCTACTTTGTGTATGTCCTTCTGGTCCAGTCACTCCTTGTTGCAATAAATCATCGGCGCGTTCTTTGATAACAGCTCCGTTTTCGGCGTGAACTCGAGCCAACGCGCGAAGTTTTGCGCACTGCAACATTCCTTGGTAGAATTCTTCATCTCGAACCATAAATACGCCAGCGTATGCAAGGAAGAATTTGAAGGAATTGATACCGTATTGTTCACCAGTCACAAGTTCCATCTCGTGAGCAATTTCAGGGCTCCAGGAAGTGATTGCCATTGAAAGACCGTAATCACAAACAACTTTTGGATCAGCCCAATTTCTCCATCTATCATAAGCCACTAAAAGTGATTCTCCTTTATTTGGAATCACAAAATCAATAATCATAGTTGTTCCACCAGCGACAGCCGCCTCAGTTCCACGATGGAAATCATCTTTTGCGATTTCACCCATAAATGGGAGTTGCATATGAGTATGTGGATCGATTCCACCTGGAATAACCAATCGACCAGTCGCATCAACGATTTCAACATCAGAAGATGGCGGATCAATGGATTGAGCAATGTTTCTGAAATAAAAAAAAATATACATTCTAGTTTGATTTTTCGATTTGTTGTTAATCAGAAAAATTATTGTTTAGAATCTTGTTGTCAATCTTGACGAGATAAGCATTTCAGAAAATTGACATGTTACTGATTTGAGTGAGGAAAAGCACAAAGACTAATTAAGAACTTGAACTTTTCGAGAAAATGTTTCAAATTGTTCCAGATTTCTTTGTGCATCGAGAATGATTAGATTCACCTTTCAAATATTGTTCTTTTGATCTTTCCAAACCTTTTCAACAACAATATGAAAAAAAGTGACTAATTTTTTTAATAAAAAAAGAACAGTTTTATTCAAGTTATTCTAACTAATAAAATTCCCAGTAAAAAAAAACTCACACAATCTTTCCATCCTCTACCAAAACATCGGATTTGAACATCGAATCATCGTTACAAACAGTTCCATTTTTGATCAAAAGTCGAGTCATTTTCTCCTGAATATTTAGAACCTGATTTCTTTTTGTATTTATTCATTTTCCAAACGTGGGCGGAGCCAAAGAAGTATGATTTATTGGAGGGGAACCCGACAAAAAACGCTGATTTTTGGGAAATTATCGAATTGTTCTAGAACTAAAAATTATTTGGGTATTCTTTATTCAGAAAAAAAAAGAAAACCGGTTGTGAATATATTTTTTTTTGAAAGAGAGAAGAAAACTAGAAAAAAACAGTTTCAGGAAATTGATAAAAGATAATAAAAAAAACTATATTCATTGGTCAAAGTTTGAGAAAATAATATCAGTTTGCGATAAAGTTTGAGAATAAATAAATGGTGACCAATTGGCTTGATAGGTTCCTCGGCAGATATGTTTTTGTGCTCTTTACACTATTGACAACAACAGCTGGTAAATTGAATTGCAAACGAAAGCGTATGCACGTGGTTTGATCTTGAAGGAAATGCATTTTCTCTCGAAAGATAAACTGACCCGTAGCTTACAATGTTAGCTTGAGGGAAAAACTGAGAAAATGAGGGAATATTTTTGATAAAAATATTGAGTCCAAGAAGAAGTTTTGAAGGAATTGTTAAAATACGACAAAATTCCTATCATTCAAATTTCTAAATTCTAAAATTTCCTATTAAAATGACTTTTCCTTCTGCGAAATTTGCAAAAAAAAAAACCAAATCCAGCTGAAAAATTAGAGAAGAGCATAATTCAGGAGTTTTTTAATTGAAAATTTAAATGTCTCTTTAGAAACAAAACAAAATATATTTTTCACCAATTCGGATATGTTTGAATTCAATACCAAGCATATTGGTAAATTTTCAGAGATTTCCATCTGAAAATACAAATACAAATAGAATTCTAGTATCCCTCAAACTTTGATCAAACTATATATATATATATTTGTTGTTAATAGCTGCTATAAACCGAAGATTTTGAATCTTCATTAAAACTTTATACATTCCCAAAAACCATATCAATTTTTCACCAACTTCCGTTTTCTTTTTCACTACACAAAACTTTGTTCATATTTGTGAAATTCATTGAACAATCAATCGAGCTTATGATAAGATAACTTCTGTCTGATGTAATATTGTAGTCAAGGGTATTCCCCCAAAGGTTTCGATTTTCGAAAAGTTGAAGTTTATCAGAAGATGATACTTTTTCAATGCCAATTTTTTTTGATCATTGGCTATTTATCGGGGTTGATTCAAAGTTCGTACAAAAATGAGAATCAGGGAAGACTGTAGGATATTTGAGATGGGAAGACTGTTGTATCCTCGGAAATTTTGCTGAAATTACAGAATTCTCGAAGAAATTTAAAATTGTTGTCATTTTGCAGTGAAAACCTCTTCAAATCCCAAAAATTCAAGAAAAAATCTCAGAATTTTGAAAATATTTTAATTTTAATATTTTCTCCGAAATCGATCAGAACTTTGAAGATATTCTGGAATAATTTTAATTTACTCCTGCATTTGCATTTTCTGGAATTTTTCCTAAAACTCTTGGCAATTTCGAAATTTTATTTAAAATGATTTATTAAAGTTCAACCCGATAAATAAAAAACACGCATCTCAAAACAATAAAAAATTAGTACTCGTAAAAAAGTTTGTCAAATCAAATTTCCAATAAAATATATCAAGTCACAAAAAAATATCTATAAATGACACGATAAATTGGTTCTAACCCAAATAGTTCTATAAGGCAATGGTTGTGCCATTGGTCGATTAATTGGAGTCGCCAACAAATCGAATCGATAAGTGCTGAATGGATCCAAATCATTGATAGTTGTTTCGATCAATGATTTTGGTGAAGTATGCGATTTATAACATCCAACAATGTGCGATGATTCGAAAGTGCTGTCGCAAAGATTGTCTACGGTGCTAACTAAATGTTCGATGAATTGTGAGGATTCTTTTCGCTTGTAAACACAATATTTAACATTATCATCAAGTGCGCGAAGCCATTGAATAGAAACTGATTGACAAGTTCGGCCAACAAGTTTAATCGAAGTGTCGTCTGGTAAATTTGGATAAGGTGATGTTGAAAGATCAGTGCTCGCCCAAACTCGAACTGTCTGAAAAAAAAAACAAATATTTTTCTGATTCTTAGAGTTTATGCCAACCTTTAATGAATCATCATCATTAACGATTTGAATTTTCATAGTTCCTCCTCTTAAATTCGTCACAACAAATCTGCGGAACCCTGAGAATCGTTCACTTTTTTTCAAAATCTGACCATTTCGATAAATGTTGATACGAACCAATCCATTACATGAATGCACAATTAACATTGCCTGAAAAAACAAAAAAATAATTGTGAAATTAGTATATCTTCAAGTTCGTATAAAATGACAACTGTTATGTGTTGTGACGTCAATGAATACCTTTGTCGAAGTATTTTTAGAACAAATGTGTGAAAATAGAACACGAAAAGAAAAACGATCTCGTTTGCAGAGAGGAATGTGTTTTTTGTTTGTTGTAACTGAAACTTGAACTCGCTTTAAGAAAAAATGATGAGATGAGCGAACGAAAATCGGATAAAACAAAACACAAGTGTTCGATTTCAACACAAAAAATGACGTGGAAATTATGAAATTTTACGTGGAAATTATGAAATTTTAAAATTGTAATTTTTTTTTCATAAAACTACTTTTCTGATTTCGATAAATCTAGCAATTTTCTACTTTTTTTCCAAATGAAAAATTATTTTGATAAAATTTTATCTCAAATATCCCAAATGAAATCCCGAAAGTTCAAAAGCTAAGACTAAAATTCCAAGAAAACGGATTATCTTTTCATTCCGAATTTATTATTTTTAGTTTTCATATTTTTTGATCTCTTTATTTTTTTCTCCAAATTGACTCACTGTCTGTGTTCCATTCCCTTCAGGAACCGTAAATCGATAATTTTTGTAGCTCCCTTTTTTATTCTCAAGTTGAGTTGATTGAAGTTTCCCCGGAAACAAATTTCTGGCCACCGATTTCTTCTGAAGATGCTGAAAAACTCTTAAACTCTCAAAATTCTCGAAATTCTCGACTTACTCTATGTTTTCTGACGATTGTTTTTGCTGGAATTCTAACCACAGATTTCTCATATTCTGACGATGTTTGCATTCTATAATCTCGCAAAAATAAATGCACATAATATGATTTTTCTCGTCTCAAATTATCGATTGTTATCGAGTTATTGAATTTTGAAACACAGCGAATAGTCTCAAGATTTTCCTCAAAATGATTGCATTGTGCAGCATATTCAATTGGTTGTTGTGAAATAATTGCACAGAATCGATATCTTCCGAATTCTTCCGAATACTTGATTTTTTCTGCAATTTTCCATGTCACTCTCAATTTCACATCATCTCGATATTCTTCATCTGAATCCAAAGTCATTGCCAATCTCGAATCATTTGGAAGTTCTGGATATTGTTCAATTCTCTTTTCAAATTCAGAAGTGATGAAAATTCGAACTGAAGCAGCTAATGGTGTTGCCAATACTAAAACAAGTTTTCCCGGAACATTTTCGATGAAATATTGTGTTCTTGTTGTAGTCTCTTTTTCCACCAAAAGTTGTAAATGCTCAGATTGATGAAGACCAATCGAATGATCAGAAATGATGTTTAATTCTTCATCAAAACTGAGGTCTGGAAGAAAAAAGAAAAATTAGGGGTTTCGTGAAGGAAAAATTGAGAAATAGTGTGCATTCCAATGAACGCTGATAAAAACACTTGTTACTCATCACGGGTGATTTTTTAAAAGAAAATCGAGAAAAATAAGTAACATTGGGTTTTTGGAAAGGAAAGCTGAGGTAAATCTAAAAAAAATTCTGAATTTAAACTACAAAAATTCCCAGATTGTTTTGAAACCCATAATTTCCAACTAACCTTCAGCAATTTTAAAAATTTGATAATAAACTGGTGCTCCACATGGTGTAATTATAATATGAAGTGGTTTCTCTTCTTCGGCATCCAAATAAAATCGTTTTTCAAAATTGTCCAACTCGAAAACAACTTCTCTATCTTTTGGAATTATTACAGAAGAGTTCACGTAACTCAAAAATACAATGAGCAATAGAAGTTTCATTTTGTTTTATTTTCAAACTCGAACTCGCAATCGAATTCGACTGACTGTGTTTCGCCTTATCGAAAGAGGCGGAGCGGCGAATTTTAGGTCAGAGGGGACGGAAATATCTTCGTCGTAGGCCTTGCTCTGGAATTTGAGGAATGCGGCTGACAGTTGGCACATTTGTGGCGGATGTGAAGAGAAGAACATAAAAAATAGGTGAAAACAGAAGACAACGCGAGAAAAAAATAACACACACTTAAACAGACACAACAAAATGTAACTATTTATCAGAGGAAATTGAGAAGCGAGAAAAAAGAAAGAATGTTTGGAGGATTGGAATTTTTTGAATGAATTGAACTCGACTCGTGACGTGTGTTTGTGATCGGATAGCTTGAATTTTTTGAGATTTTGAAATTCCGAAAGGATTGGAATGTTGTTTTTTGCACATTGCATGATGATTCACAAATAGAAAAGCCATGAGATACTTTTCCGGAAGAATTTCATAAAAAAAATTCTGACCGCATATTTTTGTTATCAAAAAAATTATGACGTGGAGATCTTGAATCTTCTGTACATTGGAATTCAAAAACTTCAAGTTTCTATATAAATTTGAAGTCACCTACCGAACAGAACTGAACCTCTGATAAGACTTTTTCTGAAATTTACATGCAAGAACCCCACAGCTGAAAATAATACAGTACTCCAAGAAACGTTTATGCCAAATCTGCCACGTCATATTTTTTCTCTTTTTTTTTCAAATGAATAACACTGTGTTTTTTCCCAATAGAAAAATGCAATTTCGAGGAGACGCAGACACTCGCTGGTCTCGACACGCAGTGTGTCTGCCACACACTATTTCTCCCCCTTTTTCGGCGAAAGATTTGTCTGCACACGTTAAAGTCTGCGTCTCCCTCGAATTGCAAAAAAAATACAGTGATAAGATCCTGAATCATTTTTGAACATTTGTTCACATAAAGTTTAGATCTCATAAATTTAACAACCTACTTCAAATGTTCTGAAATTCGACAATTTATTTTATTACACTTTCACAACCAGGTCAGATATTTGAACTCTGAAACTTGACCTTTGAAAAAGCTATTTTCGGACATTTTCACATGGTTTATCATTTTTCAACAATGGTCAGAAGTTTATCATTTTTTCTTAATAATAAACTTTTGCAAAAATATCAAAATTCCACGTTTAATGCGTTTAACAAATTAGGGTAGGGTCAATGTTTTATCAGTTTTGAAAACACCCATATTTTTCAAGGGCGTAGCTCCACAGTGTTTTTGCGATGCCCATCAATTTATCATATAATCGAAGAAAAGTTCAGTTCAGATCACATAAATTTAACAACCCACTTAAAATGTTCTGAAACGAAACCGGCTCTGAACAACTCGTTTTATTACACAAGATCAAACATTGACTGACTCACAAGTGGAAGAATCTGATTTTTAGAGTCAGATGTCCATAATTCGACTGGAAACAGGATAATTATTATTTTTGTTCAGAATTTTGAAATTGTCAGCCTAATGATCTTGAAACAATTTTTTTCGAGAGTTTTCAAATATAAGTGTCTGCCACGTGGAAAAATCTTCAAACTCTCTTGCGGATTATAGAAAGATTTTGCACTAAAGTTTTTATTTCAAATAAAAATAATCCCAACAAGTTCACTCCTTCATAGACGCAATATTCCAAAAATAGATCCCTGTTTACTTTAGCAAAATTTTAGGTGAAATTTTTTTACGGCGTGGTAATCAGCGCATTTGAAAAGTTCAGAAAATCACACCCCCTTCCAAACTCAAAATATTTCCTTGTTATTCAAACTTTTGATAAGTAAAACCGCTCGAGATCATTCGAACCATATAATTATGAGAGCATGTGAGCAACAAACAACATTATCATGAATCATATGCTCCGCTTTTTTGATTTCAAGAATAATAATAATACAAAGTATGCTCACAACGTGTTAATGTCTAATTCTTCTCAAATCACACACTATCTAATTGCTCTCTTGATATGTATTAGTCAATGGTTTCCATGGTATTTTCACTCTGATTTTTCTATTCGCATAAGATTATCAACAGAAAAATGGGATAATATTTCTTTTTTTCTAGCTTCTCGCTTTTAGTTTTGATGATGTGAAGGATTTTCCTATTTTTTCGGAAGTCGGATTTATTTCATCTTTGAAAGACTTTTTCGTTTAGAAAGACTGAAAAGTTATATATTATGAAAAAATACTTCAAATCTTCCAAAAAATCTGAATTCCTTTGAAAATCCACGTTAGTTTCCATTCTTACGTGGGTTTAAGTTTAATAACTAATGAAAAATGAAATTTTTGAAAAAAAAAGTTCAGAAGATTTTGGAAAATTTATTAGGAAAATTAATAAAAGTACAGGCGAACTCTCGAAAAAAATTTAGATTTTTTTTCAAAAAAAAATTGATGCCAAATTGGGAATCGCCTTTTTTGAAAAATTCTTTTCTGAATATTTTTATCCAAAACTTTTTCCAACATAGTTTGTAGTTATTATGCGCAACAAAAACAACAATTATTTGTTGAATAGATGACGTCTGAGACCCGTTATTCATGATCAGAAACTCAAAAAACATGATTATTCTCGGTCTTTAATCTCTTTCTGTTATTTTGATTTTTATAATATTAAATTATTTTTTCGATCAAAAGATTTCAGTAGCCATAGTAACTTGTTGTATTTTTAACTTTTCATTTTTTCTAGGTAAAAAAATGGCTTTGGATCTGGAAATATTCCGAGAATATGAAATAAATATAATCAAAGATTTTCGAGTGGATTTTGAGTTTGAAGATGGGGCGAGTGATTCTTCATTGGAAATCGAAATTGAACCAGCAAAAGTGAAAGAAAGTGTGATCGTTGGTGCTTTGAAAGAGGTAAGAAAAATATATAACTACATTTTTTGAAAGACTTTAGGGATTCATTTCAGTTTCTAACTACAACTCGATCTACAGATCTTTTTGAAAAAACAAAAAAAAACTGTAGTTTTCAGTCCTATACTCTAAAGCTATTTATCAGTTTCATTAAGTGATTCAAAAAAACCCCCTTATGATACATATGCTTATTTGATTCATCAAAAAACGTCAAAAATCATCGAACAACTTTGTTATGAGATGATCAATCTTTGAGATTTACGATTCAACATAAAAACAAAACACCACCTTCTTCTTTTCAATATTTTCCATATTTTCCAATCATAAGCTGTTCTTTGAATCTTGAATTTTCTATTTATCCCATCTCAATCATAAATGACCATTTGATTTATTTCAATGAATTTTCAGAACGTTGAAAAAAGTTGCGAAGTTTGCAAAGGCAAAAAAGCCACGTATCATTATGGTGGAACAGTTTGCGCTGGTTGCAAGATCTTCTTTAGTCGAGCAGTTCGAAATTCGAGAAGTTATGTTTGTGTAAATGGTGGAGGGTGTAGTTTGGTGAAACGGAAAAAGGGAACGATATGTCAGGCTTGTCGAATGAAGAGATGTTTGAAAGTTGGAATGCAGAGAGAAAGTTAGTTTGTTCGGGAATTTTTGGATATTTGAAGTTTAGATTCAGAATACCAAAATTTATGATTGATTTTCAGCGGTCCGATTCATTCAGATAAATCTAAATGTGATATATTTCAGATGTTGGGCGACTTCTTCAACTTCGAATGAATGATGGGCTCGCAGCTAGAATCAAAGAAGAGAACTCAATAGTTCCTAAAACCGAAGAACCAGTTCCAAAAACATCAATCTACACATCAACCTCTCTTGTTTCTCCATACATTTCTCAATCTTCACTACTTGCTCAACTTGTAAATCTCGAGAAAAGCAAAGATAACAAAATGTCTTTGCCATATGCTGAAAACTTCAAGCCAATGTTTCTTCTCAATAATTCATTTCGCGATTCCATTGAATATCCTCAAAAATTATGTGATCCAGTTCCAATGGATTATGTGAGAACTGAGTTTCGTAAAAATCCATGCGAAAATTTGAAATGGTTTTGGTTTCGAAATACAACACATTTTTTGGAATGGGTTGTTTCACTTGATGATTTTTCATCTTTAGAAAATTCAATAGTGGAGAAAACTGTGAAATCAAGAATGGTTCCAGTGATGACACTTGTATCATTTTTTGGCTACGCTGAATTGGACAAACCGTTACTTATGAATATGACGGGTGATTCAACTGATAAATTCATTCAAAGTTTCTTTGGAGAGTTTTCAAAGATCACGGATTTCAAATTTTTGAAACAGTCATATTTTTCAATCATAGAACCGATGATCAAAATGGATATGAAAATTGACGAAATGATACTATTAAAATTAATTCTACTTTACGAAAATCTACCGGATCATCGGAGAAAATACTATAATCTGTTGAAATGCTATTTGGAAGAAAATTATTCTGAGAATCAATCTCTCGAACGTCTTTCACAACTTATGCTAATTGTGAATTCTGTAAAAGTGAGTTAGGAACAATTATGAGTAAGGGTTTTTGAATCGACTAAAAATAATGTTCTGAAAATTTCGAGTCCCTATCCAAATCCCTCATTTTTCCAGCTTGTCTCAAATTATATGGATAACTGGATTCTTCTTCTTTGCACCGCGGATAAATACGGAATGCGTGACACTTTAATAGAAGAGTTCCACTTGAAACCATAATTTTTGTTGTATTTCCTCTTACATTAGTAATAATTTACTGTCTGTTCTGATTATTTTCATTTTTATTTTCACCAAACTGTAATATAACATCTGCTTTCGATATTATTCAAGTAACTCCCCAATTTTTCACCTGTCTTCCAAATAAATGTTTTTCATATATTCTGAATTGTCCAGTCGTTTTCAATCCAGTCTTCTAGAAAATGTCGTTTGACTGGACAAATTATACGCTGGCGTTATCGCCACTTCTTCCATACAATACTTTCTACACAAATCAACCGCGTGTTTATATGTTTCAAGGCACCGAACTCATCGATTTGGTATTTTTGAGTGTGACTTTTGTGATGGCAATTGCTTGGATGATGTTTTGTTGTGTTTGTTCAAAATCGAAATCTGCAGCCAAGGTTTGTCTAATTTTCTAGTTAGAAGTTCTGAAGAATCTAGATTCACTGTAGGGTTTTTGAAGTTGGTTGTAATTCTGAAGCAGAATTTCACAGCTGAATATCAGAAACATTGACCTGATTTTCCTTATCAAACCCGAAAAAAGTGAGAAAATTCTGAATGATTCGGAACTTGTTTAAAAATAGATGCGATCAACCAATTTTTGCAAAATAGCAGAATTGGTCTGATCCAGTTGAATGGGACCATATTAAAAAAAATGTTTCGCCACCCAAATGAAGAATTATGGTCCTCTTCTCATTATTCTGTGGTGCTAAACGTTTTCAACAAAAATTTACTTTCAAAAAATCACGAACAACATTTTCCATGGTTCTCCTGATAAAGCAGCTGATAAATCTACTTGTTTACCATAAAAACTGGGATTACTGTAGTCAACTGACCATAAATCCTGATCACTTGCAAGTACACAAACAACTTCCAATCCCAATGTTCAATTTTCAGACCCTAATAACCATCACAACATCAAAAATCCTTGTCAACGTCATAATTCGTGTTACTCAAGTTGTTACTCTTCTTTTGATCGCCTATCCTTCTTACACTTTTCTATTTTTCGCTTCAAGTATCGAAACAACTCTTCATTACGCTTTTTATCTACAGTATACTTCTTCAGTTATTCTTTATGTCAAAAATCCAAATGGTGGACAGTGAGTTTTTCAAAGTGTAGTTCTTAGAGCCCGGTTACTCCCCAATATTCTAACCCTTATCTCCTTGAAAATTTCAGCCATCACTATTTCCTGGCTCTTTTCTTCTCCCTTTTCCTCTCACTTCTCAATGTCAACTTCGATACTTTTCTCCACAATGCTCCATTTTATCTCTACGAAGCGATTTATATTCCAATGATTTTACTCTACATAATTCGAATCGTGCGATCATGTAAAACCTTTCATTTGGTCGCATTTATGCTCATCTCATCTCCTCCACTCATTTTCAATGCCGCTTTGACAATAATGGATCTTCTCTACATGATTATTGGTGTTTCCGAAGTGTTTCCCACTTGTCAGTGTTATGTTTATTAAAGATTATATTAATAATCTAGAGATTACATTTTTCAGCTTATGTTCTGATGAGCAATTATCGCTATAAAGCATTCGAATTGAAACCGATTTGTGTTATGATCGCATTTTTGGCGTTGATTCCAGATTTAAAAAGGTCAGAGAGAAATTTCTTGTGAATATTTGTACGAAAACACTAATTTTCAGCTCCCTAACAACCATGGAGCCAATGTTCAAAACAACTAATAAAATCCCACTATCTACAATTAGTCATCAAGTCGCAACCACCCAAAAATCCCCCGATTCATATTTACCTGGAGAAATTCCACAACAACACAACAATGACAATCAAGCAGCTTCAATAACAATCGTTTTACAACCTGTGGTTACACATTTATAATACTCAATAAATATTTCAATCTGTTTTCAATACTTTTTGCGTCGACATTTGTTAATGAAACTTTTTTGGCGGCATTTTCAATTGGATGTTTCGAATTGCTTATTACAGATTGATTGTAGGCTGATAGGATTTTCATGTCATCATCTTTTGACCACTTCTGAAAAAAAACAAAATTAGATATAACAATTTGTTAGACAGATACTCACAAATTCTCGGACTTCAACCGGAACAATTCCATTTTTTCCGTTTGCCATAAGTTGTCCAGATTTGACGAATAAATTAGCTGGTATTGTTGATGTTGTATTGTCTTTCGAAGAGGATTTTAGAACCGAGTCAATATCATCAATCATTTCATAGTCAAATTGATCCAAAAATTTATCATCTGTTAGATCGATGAATTCGAAATCTTCAGGTTTCGATCTGAAGAGGATAATTTAGTATTTGGGAAAACCTGTTGAAAAATATAATTTGAAGGTTCTGAAGGTTTCAAGAAAATTTATTTTTAAAAATTTCAAAACGGTCCGATTGTTGAAGATTCCAATCGATTCAGAATAAACAACATTTGAAACGTATATTTTTTGAAACGTTTATAGAGCGGATATTTCCAAGAATATAGGCTAAATTGTTCAAAAAAAACATCTGAAAATGTTTAATTTTTCTTTAAATTTAGCTTTAGAGAAGTCTCCAAGCACATTTCTCAAGAAAAATAATGAACAACAAATTTTAAAGAAATTTTTTGGTTGTACTTTTTCAAATTCAAATTTTGAATACAACTCACCTATCCCTATAAACCAGCGAATAGAAATATTTCTCAATACGATCCCAAAGCGGTCTTTCATGTCCCAATAATTGTTTCATTTTTTCAGCCGCCTCCAAACTCGTATTTCGAACCTCTCCAATTTTCGTGATCAATTTGAAAATCTGTCGAACTGTTGGTGATTTTATTCTAGCTCCCAAAATATAACAATTGATATCAATCATCATTTCAATCGCATTCAGATAAGTTTGCCGAAGTTGACTTTTCAAAATCTCTTCGGGAAGATTCTCAATTGGTGTGAAAATTAGAATAAGATGCATTAAATCGGGCATTTTTCGGAAAATTTCCACAATATTTTTGACTTTCTGAAAAAAAAAATTTTTTTGTTGTTAAAAATTCAAATAGAAAAAAATGCTGAACCTGTGCCTCGCTCAAAGTCTTATCCATCATTATTTTTTGATACTTGGAATATTTTTCCTGATGCATAAACATTCGTTTTTTGGCATCTTCCATAATTTTTCTGGCAATCAAAATTTTGCTTGTCATTCGTAATTTTTCATCGTCCATTCCCAATTTTCCCATCATCTCTTTTTCAACTCTCGATCTTTTTCGCCATTTTTTGTTCGTTTCATCGTCGGATTCAAAGTGAATTGCTGATTGCATATCGGCATGTTTTCGTTTCTGAAAAATACGAACTGGATTTTGATTTTGTGAAGGTATTGTTTTTTTCTGATTAATTTGAAACATTGAAGATTTGGCTACGAATTTAAAATGAAAAACATTTATATATTATCACAGTGTATAAATTATTAACCGGAATCGCTAAACCGCAAACTTCGAAATTGTTTTTGGTAGAAAAAAAATTTCGTTGAATTTCAAGGATTTCTAAAATTGTGCCCAAAAAAGAAAAAGTTTTTTTTAGAGTCAACAATTCTTGAATATCAAAAATTAAAAAAACACTAACTTGAGCATGTCTATCAATCGATAAATTCTTCGACGTACTCGGCAAATTCATCTCATCATCTTCATCCATAAAAACATGTGAAAAATCAGTTTGTCCATGACCAATTCGAAAATCTCTAACAGTTGTCATCTGACTATCTTCCCCATCTCCAGGTCTTGGTGTCATTGGTCGAATTGACATTCTAGATTGGGTATTTCCTTTTCCTCCTTCCGACATTCCATCTAAACTCATACCAAATTCTGTATATTCTGCTGTTCCATTTTCTATTTGTTTTCCAGGTGTCGGCGGCGCGGATAATTGACTTTCTTCTCGATTTTCTTCCATAATCAATTTTGCGATATTATAAATATGAGATTTTTCCAAAATAATTGGTGTCTCTCCCAATGTTCCAACTTCAATAAATTTTGAGTTCGCATTATCAATCGCCATTTTCATGGGAGTTGTTATAATTTTCGGCTGACTGTCTACTATATGCATTATACGATTTCCAACAATTTTGAAAATTTGTGTGAATGTTTTATACCAATTTGGTTGATATTCTGGTGGCCAATTTTCAAGAGTTCCTTCGATTATAAGAACATTTGGTGGCGGGAATTCCATTTTTGAAATTCCTTGCTCAGCTTGCTACAAAAATAGAAATTTTACTTTGTTAAACAATAAAACCTACGATAATAATTTGATGAATTGGTGATGATGATTCTCCAACACTTCGAATAGTTTTCATATGATTTCGAATTTTAAGCGCAGATCGAGAAGGTAGGCAATTTTGACTGATCGCTGAATATCTATCCATATTTATTGTATTTTCCGATTTTCTTGGAAGATGGCCAAATTGAAGAAGCGCCATTGCGAGCATAATATTTTCAGATTTCAAAAAAGGAATATAATTTTCTTGAATAGAAGGTTGAACATTCGGAAGAAGATGTGGAAAACGAATTGCATTACTTCTCGAAAGAACAGCAATGATTTCTGGACGAAGAGCAAATCCCATACAACCATCAATATTATGTGCCCATTTCACATATTTTGGCTCAACTTCTGTGATATTTATCACATCATGACAAGTTTCGATGGATCCAGCGAGATTTGGAATATTATAAATTGAATCGGAACCACGTGGCGAATCAAAATACCGTTGATCTAACTCGTTCTGAAATGAAAATAATTATATTTTTATTTAATCTTAATTAACAAAAAACTTACTATCATAACTTGTGCTTGATTTTTCAAATGAAACAATGATTTATCGTGATAACAAGTCACCACAGATTGCGTTAAAAGTTGAACATGTTGTTCGAGTTGAAGTTTAAGCATTTCAATTTCAGATTGTTGAAATGTCACATTTTTTACAAATAATGTGCAACTTGATGTTGGTTGCAATTGTTTCAATCTTTCCACAACTTCAGCATCTTTTTGTTTTTGCGTCTTTTTGACTTCAACATATGTTTCTTTACATATCACAACTTCTTTTGGTAATGGAATTTCTTTTTCAGCTAATATAGTATCCATCATCAATCGTTCAACTTCATATCTTGGAATTTGCGCAGCTCGATCATGTCTTGTTTCATACCAATCATCAACATCTAATGCTAAATCAGCATCATCAATCTGAACATCATAGTCTTCATCGTCTGGGTCGTCTTCAGTAACTCCATCTTGACTTTCATTTCTAACAGCATTCAAAAAATCTCGATATTCTGGATTTCGCATTTTCTCATCGTGATTGCTAGTATTCATTATTGGAATATTATAATAATCATCACGAATCAATAAATCATTCAAATTTTCATGCGAATGTTTTTTATTTCTCGCATCTTCAAGATCTAATGTATCATAAGGATCTAGAAACGTGGTTTCATTTTCATTTTCAGTTTCTCCACCTTCTTCAATATCATCTTCTCCTTCTGTTTCTTCTTCATCATATTCTTCCTCTTCTTCTTCACTTTCTTTTTCAATCGCATAATCTTCATCAAACTCATCATTATCATCAAAATTCAAGTCGAGAAAAGTTTTCGGTGCGCATAAAAGTGACATATTATTATCTTCACTTTTTTCATTATCATTTGCTTTTCTTTGTGATCTTGTCATTCGCATATTTGGAACATCACTTTCTCCTCGAATTCCCATCATAATATCAACAGCATTTGGGTATTTGATAAGATGCTGAAATTGTCTCGATTGAACAAAATTGATATTTATGAAAATGATACTTACGTGAAGAATAGATTTCACATTCAGCGATGACAAATTCATTGATTTCGCTTTATTTTCAAGTGTTTCATCCAAATGTTTCCATAACTGTACAATTTCTTCACGCTCATTGGTATCTCCTTTTGATGTTGATGGCTGTTGATCGTCAGCCATTATTTCTGGAAATTTTTAAAGATTTTAGCTAAGTACAAATCCTTTTTTATATCGAAAAACCTTTGGAAAAGTGAAAAAAAGAAAAATAAAAAATTTGAAATTTTTTGCAAATGTGTCAACACTGCGACGCACAACTGCACACCAACGCAGTGACGTCATTTTTCATTTTTCCACGCGCTTTTTGCAAGGCTTCTTTATCTTTAGACTCACCGAAACCTTTCAATTCCTATTTTCAAGAAAAATCAGTTTTCAGTGTATCTATAAACGAATTGTATATTTTTGTACATACATCGAAAATGGCTCCAAAACAACGCATGGCTCAAGCGAATCAACAATTCAGCAAAAATATCACTCAACGCGGGAATGTGCCAAAAGGAAATGTGAGTTTTGATTTTGAATTTGCCACCGAAACCATCGAAAGTCAAAATGATTGAGAAATTGTGTTTTTTTTTTTGGGAAAAGAAAAGTAAGATTTATGGGGTGATTCAGGTCGAAAAAAAACTAAAAAAAAACGTTTTTTTACAAAAAATTTCGATTCAGCAAATGTCAAAAAACTATATTTTTTTCCTATTTCTCGACATTTTTTTTCATTGAAACATTTTCGCTGCGAGATATCTCTCATTTTTGTGTGGAAAAAAATAGGGTTTTTTGACATTTGCTGAATCGAATTTTTTTGTAAAAAAACGTTTTTTTTTAGTTTTTTTTTCGACCTGAATCACCCCATTAGAGTTCACGCTCAAAAAATAATCTGAATTCTTTTTCTCATTTTCAAAAACATTTAATTCATACGCAAAGTTCACGTTTTCCGAACTAGAAATAAGGAAACCTCATTTCGAAAATCTGCATTTTTCCAGAAATCGTCTCAAAACAAGCTTCCAACATCTCAATGGTTGATCGCATTGTTCCTTTTCGTCGTTGTTGGTTCAGCCGTTTTCGAAATCATCAGATATGTCGCCCAATAAAAAGAGAACAACGAAGAAAAATATAATTTATTAAGTTTGAAAGAAAATAAAATACGAATATTTATATAAATATATAAATGAAACAAACAAACAAAACCCATATAGAATCAATTTCCGAGATCACTTCAAAATAGTATGATGAGGTTAAAATGTGTATATTGATTCAGGGGTGCCGTTTGGGCACCCACAGGGCACCCTAATACCCACAGTTCGGCGGGTACACCCGGGTGGGTATTTTCATTGAAAAATGACAGAACGGGTGGGTATACCCGGGCACACCCAGATACCCAAAATGGGCCTTCGTATTTGATTTTTCGTACTAATTTATTTTCGAATTTTTTTTTGGAAATTGTGTTTTTTTCATGAAAAGTGGTCAGTAACATGAAAAACTGGTCTAATCTGTAGAAAACTTTCAAAAAATCAGCTTTTTTCTCGAAATTTTACTATTTTTCGTGTTGTAAACACACAAAAGACTTTCTATAAGTTGAGTATGAGCACATATTCTTTCAAAGATTGATTTTATCACGAACTCTTTCATTTTTATGTAATTTGGTGTCGAAGAAAAACATATTCTTTTTTTTTTCTAAAATATAATGCATTTTAAGTTATTTTAGAAGTCAACCAAATCGATAAAATAGAACTTTATCGATCGTTTTTGTTGCATATTAGTTTTTCAATCAAAAATCACTCATATTTTAGCTAAATTCGTCCAATAACATGGATAATAGCTAAACAGAACAAAAAAATCAAAAATTTGCATCATACCCAAGGGTGCCCTAAGGGTGCCCACACCCAACCCGGGTATTTGACACCCAGGTCGATGGGCCTCAATACCCGGGTATTTTTCGATTTACCCGGGTGGTGCCCGGGTATACCCAGATATCAACGGCAGCCCTGGAACATGCAAATATAATAACTATGACGAATTGAATTGTATTCTAAATAGCTTCCCTTGAAAGATCTGATAACAAGAATATTCTACGATCCATTTGACAAATTTGCACCCAAGCGCAAAACTGAAAAAAAACGACCTTATACAATAACATCAGCATCAAAAACTCACTTTCTGCCAGAACCGAATCTCCTTGTTCTCTTTGTAAAATCTGATTGAAACAATCATCATGTGGTATCAATTCAAATGTTCTTAAAATCTGCATATTTTCAGCAGTTTTGAATCCATGCGTTTTGATTGCGGCGAGAATCATGAATAAATCAGCAATTCGAATAACGGGATCTAATCCAGGTTCTTCATCTTCGTAATAGTTGAAAATCTCTTGAATTAGTTGATCTCGAATTGCCATCATTTTCAGACGAGTTTCTTCGCGCAAACCAAGGATTGCTAGAAAAAAACAATATTATTTTCATATTGATAATGAGGGAAAATCCAAGAAATTTCAAAAATTCTTGGTTTTTACTATACCAAAATATGTATATTTCAAAAAAGAAACATACCAGGATCCAACATAACAAGTCCTAACAAAACAATAATCTCAATTTCCCGAATCTCAATATTTTTCATCAAATTCCCAACAGAATCCATTGATAACATGAGCGATGGAAGAAATAGATTTCGAGTTGTATTCAAATCCAAATTAAGACCTTTCAATGCACCATTATTAAAATAGTGTTCCGCATTATTACAATTGATATAAGTGTTATTTGGCATCACAAACCATCTTTTCTCTAATCCTCCATGTTTCCAAGTAAAATATGGTTCTTCTACAGATTGTCGAAGAACCACAAAACTCTTCAATATAATGACCTGAAATTAATTAATTTCATAAGATCAATTAATTTATTAATTACCTTCTCATCGCGTGGAATATCATCCAAATATTTATTTCTATTGATAAAATCTGCAGCTAACCTTGGTTCAACTTTCCATAAATGAAACATACAATTTGAGAAATTTGTCAATTCGAATAATTCCTGCTCTTCAATCGGTTTTATATCCGAATCAAGCCATTCTCCCAAATTCCGCTCGGAATAAAATAATTTACGTTGTTCGGAGATAAATTGTTGTCGAATGATCAATTCCGATAAAATTGATTTTTGTGGAGAACCAATATTTGAACGCACATTTAATAACTGAAAATTGTAACATTTCCAAATGCTTGTTTGGTTTAAAAAAAAAGTCTACCATATTTTTATTTGTCCTCTCATGATTATTTGGCGGTGATTGTTGATTATTCAAAACAAAATTCAAATTATTCGAAGTGCTTGGCTCACAATAATTGCCATTGAAAAGTTTCGGCGGTGGTTCAATTTCTAGATCTGGACTGATTTCGCGTTTCACACCGGCTGAATATTTTCCTATTGCATCTCGACGATGTTGGACCGCTGGAATTGGGGAATTTTTTGAGGGAAACTTTGAGGAAAGAATTTTTAATCGAAATTTTGAATTCAAGTGGTCGAAAACACATTGAAAGAACTGAAAAACATCAAAATTTTCAATAAAAAACTCCCAAATTTCAGATTTTTTGAAAAATCGGACAAGTAAAATGATTTTAAAAACTTTTAGTTTTTCTTAAACTTCAACTTCAACTTTCAATTGAATTATCAATCAAATGTTCATTTTCAAAGAACATTTGTATTTGTACTTATAAATATTTCCTTTGGGTATAATTTTCGAATCCAATTTCTTTCAAACAAAAAAAAAACTCACAATTCTTATCCATTCCCGAATTCAAACATTTGCTAAATCGACAAGATCGACACTTTTGACCAGCTGAACCATCTTTCACAATAATACATTTTCCACCTTTATTGCATAAATATTGTTTATTCAAAACCACAGTTCGTCGGAAAAACGCTGAACATGCTGCACAAGCATCAACTCCGAAATGGATTCCAGTTGAATCGGTTCCACAAATCGCGCAGGCGGGGACCTGGAAAATTGAAAGATTTTTTGTGAATGGCTAAGATTTCTAGGAGTGAAAAACTTATGATTTCAAGACAAATTATTCATTTTTTAGTTTAAAAACTTACAGATCTCCTGTCTGTTTGCATGGGTGTACTTGGTTGCGAGTTAGACGAACTGCTTGGCTCATTCTTTGCGATTTTGAATATTCCAATAGGCGATTCATGTTTCGGAATCAAATCAAGACCAAACATTGCTTTTTCATTGTTCATAAAATCTAAACGTAAAAACGTCATTCGCTTCCTTGATTAAAATTCAAGATAAAAACCTACGATTTGCGACAAACGCATTCAAATGCGGATTTTGTGCAGCGAAAGCAGCAGCTGCGGCAGCCATTGGCATAAATTGTGAAGTTGTGGGAATTTCAGCGGGATTGTTATTCACACCGTTTGAACATGATGTCATTCCACCCCCGCCACAAACTGATAATATTGATGAACTTGAGGATGCTGAAGATGGTGGAGGTGGTGGCAGAACTATTGTTGATGGATCTGCCTCACTACTACTATTATTGTAATATGTATTGACCAGTGGTTGAATAGGTCTGCAAGAAAACATTGAATAATGAGGAGACAGAATGGGCGGGTCTTTGAGTAGACAAGAAACCTACGAAATATGAAATCTTTAGATCATTATCTTACAGAGTTCAAAAGCAAAATAACACCAGACATAATTACATTTGAATATTTAAAGATCATAGACGAGAACATATCCCAGACATGATAATAATCTGATCTACTTTGGCTATATTAAAAAGTACATTGTCTCATGCATTCTTTCTCTCACACTCTCTCAAATCCAAGTCATATTTGTTCATAGATCAACAACAAAATTCAAATAGCCTGGCCCTTTTTATTTATACATACATACACTATATCGTGTTACGCCTCTGTTTTGAGTATACAAAAGTGGGAAAAAGGAAATAAAGAGTTGCTTTTGTTTCGATGGTCAAAAATAGGTACTATTTGAATAAAATTACATGTTTCGGTCATTTTTACAGTTTGTACAAAACAAATTTGCAAACGAGAAAATGGCGCGCAAGATTTTCTATTCAAAAAGACAGAATGTTCAGAAAAAGCAATGATTTTGAGATTAAGAGTACATTGACTCAGAAGATTAGAGGCTTTTCGAATAGCACTAATCAAAATTATAAAAAACCTTGGAAACAAAGTGAAATGAAAAATTCTCACATGTCAATAATACGTCTAGACCAGAGAAAAATGGTTGATAAGAATCATTATGACCAGCAGGTAAATTTCAATGTTAACCCTCAAAATTGGGATTTTCAAAACCATAGATCTTTGGCCACTCTAAATTATTTATAAGAACCAATTAAACGAAACAATAAACGTTTAAATAAAAAATATAATCAGAAATTTGGAATGAAGAAAAAGAGAAACAGGATGGCGAGAGAACATGTGGTGCAGAAGAGACGAAAAAGAGAGCAGAGCAGGAGAAAAATTCCGAACAACACACACTAAAGCCGTACGTAGTGCATAGAACAGAAAATTATTGCAATGGCTTCACACCCAACACTAGGCAACCATCGCGAGTTCATTTTAACGACTTTGCAGCGTTAGTTGGGTGAAGGAGAAAACCTATATTTAATTTTTGAAATTATTAGTTGGTTTCTGCAAGGAGGGCGACGGATAATCCCTTGGAAACCAATGAAACACAAGAGAAAACGAAAAAAAAATTACAACCCGAGTTGTCCGGGAAAACTTTAAAAAAGAAAACGAATGGAATCGCTACGTGACACACAAACAAAATTGTGTGCGCCTTGAAATCTACAGTAATACTTTATTTAAATTTTTTTTCAATTAAATTTTTTCAAAAAAAAACTTGCGAAAACTTTGTTTGCAAGTTATTCAAATCTGAGAATGATGAATTGGGGAGAAATAAGAGATACATCCTATTTTCTTATCGTAAAACGTCATGAAAAATCTTGTCGCTCGAACACCAAATCGAATCGAATCAAAAACAAGATCTCCGCGGAAATCTCGCAGAAATATTACTGTCTGGAGCGTAAGACGCGAATGATCATCAAAACAGCTTTGTTTATGTCAAACATCGCGTACAATTCAAAAAACAAGTCAGAACTTCAATAAAAATGCATTCTTCAGAAAGGGACAACTGAAAAACGGAAAGAAAAATAGAAATTGATTATTTTTTGATTGATAAAGTAATTTTTATATATCAATCTATAGAAAGTTTCGGAAACATGAGACTTGTTTTGTTTTTCTTTTTTATCGTTCGCCCGCTTTTTTCTGCATTAATGGAGATTGCAAAATACATACAAAGAAAAAACGGGTCATAAAATACTTTTGAAATTTGACACCACAAAAAATGGAGTATGTTTTGAAAATTGATGGAAAACAGAAAAGGAGGAGAGAATTCTACCCTTTTTCTAGAGCCAAAAATTCTCACGCCTAATTCACATACTCGGTTATTATTTCTGAATATTTCTAGTTATGTCTGTGTGTGTTTCAAAAAAAGTCAGCTGCAAAATTCAGTATTTTATATTCATGCAAAATAAGTTGATATTTTGATCATGAAACGGAAAATCCGTATTTGGTGGTAACGTGGCCGGAGAAAAAAGATCGAGAACATTTTTTTGGAGATTTTAGATTAGGAAAATTTGTACCTGAACATTTGAGTTATGTAATTCATTTTTCAAAATCATATCTGCATTGAGAAAAAATTCTAGAAAAGTTTTAAACTACTAGGTTCGAAGCTAGAATATTTAAATTAGACCGAGAACTTTTAGACTAGAAAAATATTGGATCAATTTTGTCAAACTAAACACTATCACATGACCAAATGTATGTTTTCAGAACCCAATTCAAGAAAAATAATGATATGGTTTATTTGGGCTGAAAAAACTGAATTTTTTAAGTGAAAATTTTTTCATCACAATTTTAAATTTAAAAAAATTGTTTCAGAATCGCGATTCTCAAACCCGTTACCTAATATAATTTCGAAAAAATTCCAATGTGAGTTGAAAATTTTGAAAATCAATATTTCTTCACCTATAATTATCTAGCTATATATTCAAATTTAGGACCAAGGCGGAACTAATTACTAGTAGAATCCTATTTTATGATAGGGTTCAGGCTACACTCGCTCTATTTTTGTTCCCTCTTATTTATCCAAAATAACTTTTAAGTACTTCAAGAAATTTGAGAATGACGTTTTCGAAAAAAAAACCTTATCTAGGTTGAGAAATTTGAAATTCCATTCAAAAAACCCAAAAAAAGAGTAGCCTCCACTTCACTCCAAATCACAATCTAAAGAAAAAATCAAAGTGACGATGTACTTTGTGAAATTCGATCGATATTTATTTACAAACGAGAAGAACTACAAAGAGAAAAACGGGAGAGAAAAAAGGGGGAAAACACAACGAAAGTAGCGAAAAATATACAGTCAACCAGTCGCTCTCGTTTCTTTTTTTCTTCGCGTGGCGAGAAATCAGAGAAACATTCCTGAATAAACAGATGGATGGAACAAGGTTTATTTGGGTAAGAGGAAAAGTTCAGATTTCTATTCATACACATACAACAACAGCAAAAGTGATGTGATACAGAAGAAAATTGTTTAAAAGATCTCGATCAATTTTTGTAAATAAATAATGTATACGTAGACAAAAATATAATGTTGTTGGAAAGAAGAAGAATGAAAAAATAAAATAAAATCAGAAAACAAATAAACCACGTGTTCATTCGGGTCTCCTTGGTGAATTTTGGAAACGGGGGCAACATAGCCATTAAAATTATTGTCGTGCATCCGTTTTATGTTTTTTTGGACTAAAAACGGCCTGTTTTGTTGAACTCTGCCATTTTAGACAATGATTTTTTTGAGAACGTTAATTATACGTCATTATTCTTGGAACCGATTATATGCCTGTCACATTATAATTAATTATTGATGATTTCTATAATTCGAATTTAAAAATGAGTTAAGTTTCTAGAGGAGCTTTGAAAAAGAAATTGCAGGATAATTTTCAAGTGTATTTTTTCTTACTGGGAAATAAACATTTTTTTCCAAACTAATATTTTTCGACTGCAATTAAAAACAATTAAATTTAAAATTTTCTAGTTTGAATCATATGACCTCTTCAAAAAACCCCTAATTACAATTCTGAAAAATCAAAAAAAAACCACATAATTTTGATGATTTTTACTTCCAAAGAGTACCGATATCTAAAGAAAGCATGACAAAATTTTATCAGAGAAAAAATGAAATGAATAAAATTCACATACATAAAATGTGCGTAAAATATGTTGAAACAATAAAAAAGACTAAATCAACAAAGAGCTGCAAAACTAACACAAATGTAACAAAGATCATAAAACCTTTTTTTTTCAAAAAAAGAACAAAAAATGTCTATTCATCCATGGCTCCCCAACAAAAAAAGAACTCACGCCAGAAAAGGTTGCTGCTGATTTAGTCTGGAAAATTCCAGCAATAATTCAGGCGTCAATTTGAACTCGAAACCATTGTTCGCCATTGTATAGCGAAAAAATAATTGAATTGAATAAAAAGCAAAATGGTTAGAATGATTTTTATGCCTAATAGAGGAAAAAGGACTGTTATCAGCAACTTCGAATAGAGTTTGACACCAAAACCCTCTCTCTTATCGCGAAAATGTTGATAAAATCGACTTCTTTTCCTGACTACAACAAAACAAGAATAGAATAGAATAAGGAAATATTTTTCGGAAAATAATATCTTGATCAATATCAGTCAGTGTGTGTATATCGAGGCCGCGACATAAAAAATATTTAGTTAGATCATTTTGATAGATTGTGTAGTCGCGAAGCGATCTTTCAAAACGGAGAATCGATGAGAAAAATTCTAAAATCTGCTCAGACAGTACGAGTAACGTCTAACCATTGTGAAGTCTTAGTAGGTAAGTTATGATCGTCACAGCAGGAATCGAACCAGTGGCCTTGTGAATGGTAGTCAAACATTCTAACCACTACACTAAAGTTGTGTTGTTGATGTCGACTCTTTTTGTTGAAGATAAATAGCATTGCGAAAATGAGAGAGAAAGGGAGAGAAATTGATGAAAATGACCTTTTTCTTTTGAATTCGAATAGTTCAGCAACAAAATTCTTGTTTCGTTGGATGCGTGAGATTTATTAGATTTTGAATATATTGTAGTTGGCCTAATTTTCCCGGGAAATATAAAAATTTTGAAAATGAAAAAAATTTGACCACTGAGCGGATCGAACGCCCAACCTTTCGATCTGGAGTCGAACGCGCTACCATTGCGCCAAGCAGTCATATTTTTATCTGGGAAATTTTTCATATATGAATTTTCCCAAAGGCTGTACGAGCTCTCCACATTCCCCATACAAAACATGGCAGAAGGCACAACTCACTTTTTGTCGGCACACAACCACACATAGGTAAAAATGGGTCAATTTTTTTTCCCAAGCTATTTTTCCCAAATTTTTTTCCCAAGTTGATTTTTCATTTTCCCAAGTTTTATTTTTCCCAAATTTTTTTCACAAGTAAGTTTTTGTTTTTCCCAAGTTTTTTTCCCAATTTTTCTTTTTTTCCCAAATTGTCGTTTTTTACCCAATTCTTCAAGTTTTTTTTCCGGTATTCCCTATTTTTCAAAGCCAATTGAGTACTGATCCCACATATCAGCTTCTCCCGGTCATAACCTGAAGTTATGCAATTCCTAAATGCGAAAATGCTAAAATTAGTCGAAAAAAAAATTTTGTTTTTGGAATGAACATTGTGATTTTTCACAAGTTTGTCGGAACGAAAACAGCAGATTCAGACTGATATTTTGAGAGGCCGACTGTAAAAAATAAACCAACATTCAGTTTTCTGGGCGTTTAACTAAGCCTAAGCCTAATTCTGAAGTTGAGAAGCCAAAAGTAAGATTTTTTAATTTTTCTATTATTCTTTCTAGGCTTAGGCTTAGTGAACCCTCCTGGAAACATACAGACTCGCCGAAAATTGAAAAAAAACACACCACACTTTACACAAGAAAAACTCTCATTTTTCTAGTAGCTATTTTTGACGGACCCTTCTATTTTATAAAATTTCGAGATCCTCATATAGAGAATCAAAATCCCTGATGTTCTTAAAAAACGAACCAATTTCATGCGATCCGAAAATTTGGGAAAAAAACTAAAAATTGGGAAAAAAACTTGGGAAAATGAAAAAATAACTTGGGAAAAAAATTTGGGAAAAATAAAACTTGGGAAAATGAAAAATCAACTTGGGAAAAAAATTTGGGAAAAATAGCTTGGGAAAAAAAATTGACCTAAAAATGAAGAGATATGTTTGGTATATCTGGTTCCATTGCATTTAACCGAGAAAATCTTTCGCCTTTTACTAAAGATTTCCGTGCAAAGGGACACTTTATGAGTGTTTATCAATTTTTGGAATCCCCTCGAAAGAGCGGGATAATAAATCATAAAAAGTTTGCTTCAAAGTTGAAGTGTGACTTTTTTAGATGCACTAGTTTTAAGATTTTTCCTCTACCCTCTTTCTATTTAATTTGAAACAAACGAGAAAAACGGAGACCAAAGAATTTACTAGATTTTATCTGCGACGACGTCGATCATTGTCTTCGAAGTAAACAAAATCCATCAGGAATACTGTAGCCATCATCAATAATTTATGATAAACTGGCAGAGCAGAATTAACTAAGAAGGAAAGTCTTTTGATGTTCCCCCCTGAAATAAAATGAGACTAGGTGGAATCAACTACATATTGATAGGTAAGAAAAAGCCCAACGGGATTAAGGAAATAAAAATCTATTTCAGGAGTTACGGTAACTCCTCAAATTTTGAGATAAAAAAGCCTATGATTTCAAAAAATCGTAGTTTGGCTCAAAGTTAACGAAAATGATCGGTCAAAAATGCATTTTGATGCTAAAGTGCTCAATTTTTTAGCTAAATGGCGCTCGTAATCTCAAAAAATTTTTCAAAATGAAAATTTTTCAAAAAATGACCCCTTTCTCAAAATGTTGAAATTTCACCTCTAAAACGCTACGAGGGAAGAACGACGTCCAACGCACCGTGTTCTACGTCAAAAATTACGTATATTGACATATTTAAATATAATACCTACCGACCTTTTAACCTGGGAAAAAAATGATTTCAAAATTTTTCACACAAAAAATCATGTTTTCTCAGAATAAAATCATTTTTTTGAAACAGTAATCATTATTTCTTTGTTATTTTTTTCTCAAAACATATTTTCTGATTGTTTTTCACCTTTTTGTATGATTTCTGAAAAATTAAAAAATTTCAGTTTTCATATCATCGATTTTGGAACCACTTCGAAAATTAAAAATCAATTATAGCTCGATGATAGAAGTTAAGGACTTTTTTGGAAGTTCTAACGCATTACAGCATTTTTTGCAACTGGGAAAAACACTTCCAATTATACATCTGAACTTCCAATTCCCAGATGAAAATAATCGTCTTGAGAAAAAATGGCAAGAATTATTTAATGAAACAACTTTTATCGATAATTTTTTCGAAGGTCTCTAAAATTGTCCGTTGACAGATACATTATTAAAAGTGTTTTTCCCAGTTGCAAAAAATGATGTAATGCGTTAGAACTTCCAAAAAAGTCCTTAACTTCTCTCATCGAGCTATAATTGATTTTTAATTTTCGAAGTGGTTCCAAAATCGATGATATAAAAACTGAAATTTTTTAATTTTTCAGAAATCATACAAAAAGGTGAAAAACAATCAGAAAATATGTTTTGAGAAAAAAATAACAAAGAAATAATGATTACTGTTTCAAAAAAATGATTTTATTCTGAGAAAACATGATTTTTTGTGTGAAAAATTTTGAAATCATTTTTTTCCCAGGTTAAAAGGTCGGTAGGTATTATATTTAAATATGTCAATATACGTAATTTTTGACGTAGAACACGGTGCGTTGGACGTCGTTCTTCCCTCGTAGCGTTTTAGAGGTGAAATTTCAACATTTTGAGAAAGGGGTCATTTTTTGAAAAATTTTCATTTTGAAAAATTTTTTGAGATTACGAGCGCCATTTAGCTAAAAAATTGAGCACTTTAGCATCAAAATGCATTTTTGACCGATCATTTTCGTTAACTTTGAGCCAAACTACGATTTTTTGAAATCATAGGCTTTTTATCTCAAAATTTGAGGAGTTACCGTAACTCCTGAAATAGATTTTTATTTCCTTAATCCCGTTGGGCTTTTTCTTACCTATCAATATGTAGTTGATTCCACCTAGTCTCATTTTATTTCAGGGGGGAACATCAAAAGACTTTCCTTCTAAAAATATAATAACCTAGAGTTCCCAATAAAAAAAACTTACAATGAACCATAAAAGTGTCAGCATCACTTATCATTCCTTTGAAATATCCTGGATACAATCGAACTATTTCGCCAACTTTTCCACCTCCAGAAAGAACAACTGGAAAATGTGAGTCACCACAAGAACAACACGGTGTTTGAGCCATAAATCGAGGACCAACTGAAGGATGAACATAAAATGAGTGATCACAGCCTTCCATTGTAATTGTGCCAATCTGAAAAAATTTGAATATGATATGAGATTTGGGATGATCTCTTACTGTTTGTCCAACCGGGTATTGAAATTTAAACTCATCACTACAACAAATAAGACTTCTTCTGCCTTTCATGATAACAGCTCCATAAATATCCGCAAATTCCATTGTGAAATCACGACGGTTTCCACTGAAATTTCTTCGGAATCCATTTGATCTTTCAAAAGCGTATAAGATCTGAAAGAAGAAAATATTTGAGTTGTGCTTTTAAAAAATTATAAGGGGAAGCAGGACAAAAATTGAAAAAAAATCTCAAAAACATAGGGTGACGGGTTTTGTAGTCGCATCGTGAGTTAAATTTGTACAATATTCTGTTTTTGGTTTTTCATTTTAGCCAGTTTTAAAACGAATGATCACAAAATTCCTTTTACTAGGGGACCCTGCGCAGAAAGTGATTTGCGGGTTCCCAAGAAAAAAAAGAAAATTAAAAAATGTTGGCACGCTGTCTACAAATGAAAAACTCTGCCTTATCTGCACTCTAACACACGGCATACTAAACTGTGTGTGTCTGTTCGCTCTCTCCTATCGTAACACTCTCTCGTTTTTTCTTTCGTTTGACTTTTACAACGACACTCCGCTTACCCGCTGTTTAGCGCAACACGAGAATATTTTCATTTTTCGTTTTTTTTTTCGCTGGGTTTTCAGGTTTCTGGGGAAAAACAGTGGTACATGAAACATTCGAAATTTCTGATTTTCAGCTTGAAATGTTGATGGAAAATTGGATTTCAATGTCAAAAACGTGGAAAACTAGGAGGATTTTGGATTTATCAAGGATTTTGATTGGGATTTTCGATTATTTTTGTGTGATTTGAGGAAAAGAAGCGATTGGTGAGTTTTTTGGAGAGGGATTTCGGGAAAATAAAAAAAGGGTAAAAAATTCTGTAAAATTTGAAAAATATATGAAAATTAGGAAAAAAATCTTTAAAAAATTGAAAAAAGTTAGGCCAACTCATCAAAAACTAGGCCCAGACAAAAAAAACATAATATTCCTTAAGGCTTCTGATATTTCAACTGACATAGCCTAACTCTTATCACACCTGAATTCAACTCACTGGTCTCATGAACATATCTTTCACAACATATCGATTCTGTGTCTCAAATCCAGTTAGAATCTCAATTGTTTCCATAGATTGTACAACAATCAACGCATTTGTCATTTGTATCACATCTAATGCTCCATGCCTTGGTAATGGAATATTTGGTAAATCATACGGCACATTTCGAATTGGATTTTGAACTTCTATTTGAGCTGGTGATTGAGGTGAAGAACTTGGTTGAATTTCTTCTTCTCTTGTTTCATGTGCCATTTATTTATTTATTTTTTTGAATATTAATTTGTAACTGAAAATTTTCAATCTGTTTTCCAAACTGTGAAAATTCAAACGCACCCTGATTTTATCTTTAAAATTTTTAAAAATACTCTTCTCTCCAACAGGAAATCTAATCCAACGCGGAAGGTTTTTTTTGTTCACGCACGCGACTTTTTCTCTATTTATGAACTACTTTTTGAAAATGTGTATGTATTTTGATTTTCTTTTCTCATTTTCAAATAGACTAGTCATGGTGGGATGGAAGAAAAAGTGTATAATAACATAATAATAATATATTCAAAATCTTGGTCTCGAAGAAACATTTTACAAAGTTAGATACATCTATTTTTCGAATTGTTAATGAGTGAGAGGAGAAATGAGAGTATTTTTTCTCATAACTTAATGGATTTTGGATTTTTCTGGATTTCATTGAAACTTGTTTTGAGTTTGGTTAAGCTTCCAGACTGCTTCTGAATCTCCAAATTGTGCCCAACTCACGAGAAATTTTCCCAAAAGCTCCCACTTGTTTTTTTTATTCAAATACATCCACATCTATCTATTATCTTTCATTCCTCCCTAGTTCCAATTAAAAAAAAGTTTCAAAAAAATAACCCTAATCATCATTAGTGTCTTCCTCCAATTTTTCTTCATTTCTCAAAAAATTCGTCATTTTTCTCAAAACCTTCAAATGTGCACGTTGTTTTTTCCATAATTATTTACTTCTCCAATTTTTGTGTTAAAATCAGTATAGAAATTTAGTGTTTGTGTGAACGTGAAAATGAGAAAAACAAGGAAATAAAAAACAAAACTTTTATGGCAGATCTTCTTCAGCTCGTTGTTTTCCACCAACATTTTTCGTCCAAAACCATAATAATACATAGTCTGTCTGGCCCAAATTTTTATGGTGTTAGATGGGTTTTTGCTCGAATTTTTTCATAGAACCAAACAATTTTCCTTTTCTTTGGTCTTGTCTTTTATAAAATATTCTTCAATTTATCATATCTGTCAAAATAATTAATTAGAGGAGAAGAAGATTCTAATTTTGAGCAAACACTAAAAAATTTTGTTGGGCCTCATAGATTTTTTGTGTTGTTAGAAAAAGTGTTCTAAAAGTGCGATTCAACAATTGTTCATTAAGTTTTGATATTTTTCTGATAAATAAATAACATTTTCATTTTAAATATCAAACGTGGAAAATTTTCCAGCTGTTAACCAAAAAATCCAGCGTCAAAGAAGCTAAACTACAGGGTGCGCCATAAATACGTGGACAGCTATAATTCAATATTATTTTCAAATTTAGAACAGTTTTTTGTATATCGTTTTTAAAATACTTAATTAGGTCCCTAACGAGTAAATTAAAACCAATATATCTTAGTTTGGTCGATTCTGCGACCTGGGAAATCTTGTAGAACTTCGGGGAAAATTTCATCTCGGCACGCAGGCATTTGTCGGACATATTGTCCCAATACTTGAAAACTAGGTTCTGTATAGTCTAAATACATGATTGCAGGTTTACCTAGAACCTTTCTGATAACTAATTTGAAAGGAATTATGCAATGGGTTCGTTTCTGACAAAAATAACATCAATTTAAAAACGTTGCAAAAATCGAAAAAATTGTTTCTCAACAGCGATTTTGGGAGATTTTATCTTTTATTGTGTACTGTGATTGGCTGGAGCACTTGATGTTTGTTATCGAGGTTGATTTTCATTCTTAGGTACATGTGTTAGTCCAGAAATACATTTATTTCAACTTTACTCCCGATTTTGACCCCAAAATCAATGGAGTTCAATGATTTCTCCCAATGAAGCAGACTGTTCCAAAAAATCTCCACCCAAACTTGGTGTGAGACATGGTGGACAGTTTTATATTTTTTCTTGGCTTCTCGGGACTCTCTGACAACCCCTCAAACATTCTACAACTTAAATGAAGACTTCACAATAAAAATAATTGCATCCAAAAATAGCGAGACCACTTTTTCATTGTTTTGCGTGCCGTGATGAAATTTTCCCCGAAGTTCTACAAGATTTCCCAGGTCGCAGAATCGACCAAAGTAAGAGATATTGGTTTTAATTTACTCGTTAGGGACCTAATTAAGTATTTTGAAAACGATATACAAAAAACTGTTCTAAATTTGAAAATAATATTGAATTATAGCTGTCCACGTATTTATGGCGCACCCTGTATATTTTTTTTCATTCTTTCATTCATAAAAATGAAAATATAAATATAAAAATAGTCTTCGTTCTCGCTAATTTGGTTAAAAAATGCCATTTTGTGCTCCGATCCGTTTGAAGACTATAATTAGGTTCATTTTTTGCTTAGTTTTAGTTAGTTCGTTTAAAAAGTGTTGCTTTTATCATGTATACAATTTATTTAGTTTTACACGCCTACAAGACTGAAGATTCTGCTTAGCGGTTTCGGTTAGCGTAAACCTAGGAATCCTGAAATTCAAAATTGTTCCCACATCATACAAATCATGTTTTTTGATCGTTCTAATTTAATTTTATTTATTTTTTCTTGTATTTTTTCCTGACTTTAATTCTTTTATTTTATTTTTTTTCATGTCCGTTTTTTTCGAAATGAAAATACAACTTTTCAAAAAAAAATATTATTCTGATTTTCGCGTTCTTTTTTATTTCGAAATGAAATTTGCGGCCATCATAACAACAACAACATCAAACTTCATTCAAGTTGTGTCCTTTTTGCACATAAAATTCATAGAAAAATCTGGGCCTCAATAACATTATCGCGCAAATTCTCATTCTAATCTCTGATTTCCAGATTTTGGTGGACTGGCACAAAAAATCAGAGATTATCTGTTTACTCACGGTGTTCTGAACGTTTTCAGGGGGCGAAATGGGAAAAAAGGGGCAGATGAGCAAATTAATTTTTTGTTGACAACCCCGATTTTTCGACGAATTAGACACTCAGTGATGAACTTTGTGTGAGGCGTATAATTTTAATGAACTTCTAGGTTACTGTAGAAATGATGTATGATTATCAGAAGTTAGGTCAGGAATTTTTTTTGAGGATAAAAAGTAAATTGAAAATTTTTGTTTATGGCTTTATTTATTCACCTCAAAATTTGTTTAGAAATTTTTAAACTCAAATTGTTTTTTCAGCTGGACCTTTTCTGAAATTGCAAACTTTTGATTTTAAAATTAAATTATTTTTCGCTGATCAGAAATTAAGTTTAAAATGTCTGATATCAACGAAATCATAAAAAAGAGAGAAATCTGAAAACTTCCACGTCATAACTTCTTTCCGATATAAACCGGTCTTAAAAATACAAAAACCACATTTCTAGATTTTTATGAAACAAAAGTTGCAAGTTTTTTGAGATGAAAATATTTAAGTTTTCCATATTCTTTTCCACATTCATTTTTTTCTTTTTCTCTTATTTTCCACCCCCCAAAAAATGTCAAAACAAGAGATGTGGTATTATTTGTTGATCATCATCATAACTTCTTCTTTTTTCCCGTTTTCAACCTATTTTTAAATGCATTGTTGTGACATATAAATATTCTTATTTTTTTGGTTTTTTTTATTTTAGAAAAAAACTTCCTGGATTATTGTTGAAATTATCTAAATTGAAAATGTTGTTTCACAATCAGGTGTTATTTTTTGCAGCTTTTGCTCTTTCTCTTTTTCCAATTAATATATGCGCGTTCAAGTTTCTTTGTAGTTTGAACTCACTTCCTTTTTCCTAACCTATTTTTTTCACAAGTGACTATAGAATGTTCAAAAAAAAAGTAGAAAAAGAAAATAAAATATACGTTCTAAGAGTACCTTGTTCTTGTCATTCTTCGTTTCCTTCCTTTATTGAAAATGTCAACAAAAATGTCATTTGAACCCAAGTAATTTGATGCCCAAATTTGTTCAAAACACCAAAAACCTCCAGAGATTTTTTCACCACACATTTTTGTCTTCCTTACATCATTCATTCATTCAAAATTCAACTAAAAACCAGTAAAAATTTACCATGGAGATCAAAAAGTGGTTTATTTTCTATGTGTGTTGCTGCTCGAAAAGGAAAACGTCAATTTTTTGTTGTTTTTTTTCGCCACCCAAACAGCTTTATCTTTTTTGCACATCCTTTATGTTGTCTTTCAAAGAAAACACTTTTACAGCTTGGCTCCTAATTTTTCTTGTTTTTCGAGTTTTTTAGATAAAAGTTAGATAAAAGTTTGTTTGAGGAAGAGACGAAGATTCAGAAGTTGAGATATAAAGTGCAAGAATTTCGGAATAAATAGAGCTTAGCTTAGGTTAGCCTAAATCTAGGAAGTCTACCCGCTCTCAATTTTTCCAGTTCAAAAAAATCTTTGACTGAGTTTGAAGTGCGGGAATAGGAAATTCCAAATAAAAATCTTGAGTTTTAAATTTATTCAGGAAGTTTGGAGAGAGAAAAAAAACAATATTTTCTTGTTTTTTATTTTTCATGGAATATCACATTTTGAACTTTTTTCTCTCGATTTTTTTTTTTTTGAAAAAAAACATTTTAAAACTTCAAGTTCAAATAACTTCTTTGATGTGTTTGTTCATCCAGAATTAAAGGTTCCAAGCTCAAAAAATCAAATGTTGAACTTTTCCCGAAACCGGAAATATTTATGTATTTAATTTCGCTCCAATTTTATCGGACCAAAAATTTCGGAAGAAAAAAACAAAAACATGCATTTTTAAACGTCTACAAGAAATATTTGTTGAGATTTGTCTTGTTTTTATTTTTATTTTCATTGAAATTTCTCATTTCCGGATAAGTTTAACTCTTGTTATGTTTTTATTTTTCACTTTTTCTTGTAGAAATTCGATCCGCAATTTCCTGTTTTTTCTAAATTTCTCGAAAAAAATTTTTTTTTCTTGAGAAACAGAAATAAAAACTCAAAGAGATACTCTTTGTTTATTCATTCCATTCACGAATTTTTTTTTCGATTTTTGGTTTTTTCCAGATTTTTCATTTTCATGTGAAATGTTAGACTAAATTTCATTAAACCAAAAAATGTCCAGCTGAAAAAAATTCCAGTATTTTTTTGAAACAATATCAAACAGGTGAAATATGAAAAAAATGTTTTTGATTTGATGAAAAAACCTCAAAAACATCTGCTAGTCACAAGAATCATGATTCAAGTTGAATTGAATTTTGTTCAAAAAAGGACAACTATAAGTTTATTTAAGTGTAACAGTTTTTAGACACTTGAGCAAAGAAAAAAGTGTTTTGTTGGATTTCGAGTGTTTTCTTGGCTCAGATAGAAGATCATAGAATTCTTGGAATCCGCTTTGGATTTTATTGGATCATCCTAGATAAATCTATTTTTTAGTCTGCTTTTTTTCTTTTATTTTTGGATCTTTATTTAATTATTTGACATCCAAAAAACCGAAATTCAATATTATTTCTGTTCCTATTTTCCAGACGCGGAGGTCACAAAACTAAAGCTCAATGTTCACAAAGGGTTTACATTAAATGTGTACTCAAACAAATTGTTCTAAATTTTTTTCTCAAGGAAATAAAAAAGGATGCTTTTAGTCAAATTTCGAAAATCAAAAGATCTTGAAAATTCATTCAGGAGAATGTAAATAATTTGGAATTCTTGCTTTTTTTGGAATTTGAATTTCGGGTTACGGTATTTGGAGTAGTCTTGATTCTAACATTTTGAAGATTGTCCAGATTCTTTTGTTCCCAAGAACTCATTATTATGAATTTATAAATTTCCCACAAACTTATGACGTGGCAACTTGGACTAATTTTCTATTTTCCCTGAATTCAGCAACGCAATCCTTATCCCTTTTTGAAACTTTCCTCACAACATTTTTTGGCAACATTCAATCTAACAAGACAAAAAATAGAAGATCAAAACCTAAACAAAAAAAATCTGATTAAAGTCTTCTTTTTCTTCTCCACTCTTCTTTTTGTGCTCTTCTTCGTCTTCTGCTTTTTTCCAGTCCAATCTAGCGTATAATTGAGCCAGTTAACTGATTGTATTGCACACTTTTTCCATCTTTTTTCATGTTTCAAAGGTTTTCAGCGAAAAAAGAAGAAGTAGGCTTAACTTGGAAGCGGGTTTTTCAAGAAGAATTTCTGGGCGTGTTTTCCTGTTCGTTTTTTTTTGTAATCGGATATTTTTCTCAATTTAAGCTCCACCTCCAAATCATCTCATAAAATATCAGTGAATAATTCAGCTGCTCACGTACATAGACTATAATTTTCTGATATTTGAGAAACTTCACTTCCTATAATTACACAATCTTTACTCTTTTTCATTTCGAAGGAGAATTCGAAGAAAAAAGTAAAATAATAATTTTTGAGACTGCCAATTATTCGACGGAAAAAATAATTAAAATCCTCTCTTTTTTTTCGTTTTCGTGATTCAGAGTTCTCAAAGTTTCTTCTAGAGTTTTTGAATTTGAAACAAGACTCGATTTTGAAGATGTTTTAAATTGGACCACTTTTTGAGAGCCTGACTAATTGTAAGTCCAAATTTATGATAAACTTTTTGCAGCTGATGATTCCGATTTTCGGTTCAAAATTTACTGCTTCTTGGATCTGAAAGTTCCAGATTTTTATATTTCTCATATTTTATTTATTTGTTTTTTTCCTAGTCTGAAAATATTAGTTTTTCATTTCTCTCCTATTCTTTGATTCATTTAATCCTTGATATCATATTTTATTTTATTCCAAGTTTCTAAATTCAATTACAAGCTCCGCCTATTCCAAATGATATCACCCTTGATTTTTTTTTTGAGTTGAGAACTTCTGAAATTGAATAACGCTCAATTAGCTTTTATCCAACCCAATCCAGATCAAAAATCTTTTTTAGCTCCACCCACTTTAGCTCACTCTCAGTCATTCAAAAAAATAAGTTTGGAGGATGAGGATGAGGATCTCGTCATTTTTGAAAATGAATTATTAATTCCATATGTGCAAAATTATGCCACGTACTTTGACCCCTTCTTTATTTATTTATTTATTTCTTTTTAGAACTTTGCAGAATTTAGGATCGTATATACATATTTCCAGGGTTCCAAAATCTCATCAACAAAAAATGGAAGATTCATCAAATATGACTAGTATAGGTGAAATAGAAGATGAATGTGTTTATATGCCACCAGCATTTCTCACCTTCAAAATGGCTTTTGTTGGAATTGTTGGATTATTTGTCGCATTGATATCAATATTTCACAACTTGTTATTGTTTTATACATTCAACACATCGAAAATGTTGAGGAAAAGGAATTTGACATATTTGATGTGGATTTCGGGTTGTGATGTTTTTATTTCAATTTGTTATATTGCTATCATGTGTGTTCAGGTGAGTTCCGAAAATTTGATAGTTTAAAAAATGAGCGAGCAGCTGATCAACATTTTGTATCTAAAATCCTTCATTGTACCTGCTTATAAAAATTGGTTATGATGTGGAAAATCGGGGACAGAACTTCGAACAAAAAGGTTTTCTGAGAAACCTTGATAAAAAGAAAGAAGTGTTTTTTGATCATCTAAATTTTGATAATTAAAATGTATGTAGAGAGTCCTCACAATGAACCCGGAATAATTAGTCAAATAAGAAAAATATGTATTTTTAGACCCTTTTTCGCACATCAAAAAAAAGAGCCAAATTACGAAAAAAAGGAAACAAAATAAGTTTTTCAGGTCTACACGGACTATTTCGAATCATTTCAACTCTATGTTTTATGGCATGATTATCTTCGGGTCGCTTTTACTGTTTCACATATCACTTTGTCAGCTTCGAGTTTTCTTTTGATGGCAGCAACAATTGAACGATATCTTCAATCTACGGCCGATAATCGGTTAGTTTTTTTTCTATTTTTCTTCTTCCGATCAACGGAAGTTTCACATTATCCTTTCTGAGAAAAAAAATGTTTCTTGTTTCTTGAACTTTTTGAACACATCAAGGGGTCCTTCTTTTTTGCAGAACATTGAAACTTTTCCATCTTTTGGCAACTCATCGTGGAAGTGTTGTTATTCTTTGTTTCGTCGCTTCCATCATTTTCCGGGGAACTGTGTTTTTCGAGATTCGAGTTATCACAAATCCGATTTGCACCGGATTTTCGTCGCTTGGTTTAGCTGTGACGCCGATGTTCGGCGAATTGCCGGATATTGTTTGGCGATTTGCGGTCAGAAAGATTGTGACCGTTTTTCTACCATTTGCAGGTGAGGAATGAACTTATGAAGCTCCTCAAAAAAAATGCCAAAATCTGAAATATTTCCAGTTCTGGCATATTTCAATGCAGCAATTGTTATGAATGTTCGTCGAACTGATCGAGATCAAACTGTAAAGGCATTAGTCCTTTTCATAACTGTTGGAACCAGGTAACCTTTTTCATTTATCAATTCCAAATCCCTTTTTAGTGTGTCATTAATTTTATTCTACCTAACCCTTAGAATATGTAATTCTCTAATAACCCAAAACAAACTTTTCAGCCCTCTTGGCAATTATCAAAGGTAAACTGAATGTTTCTTCAATCCTAGCATATTTATGTTTGAATTGAATTGTCCTCGAAGTTTTCTTTTCCCCAAATTGTCCTTTCCGTTCCCTCTTCTTCCTTCTATATTTTCAGCATGTCCCTGTTATATGTTTCCCTCTTCTCTTACAGATTCGACACTAAAAAGAGCTTCCAGAAAATGTTCAAGTAAATTTTATTCGATTTCAGTGTGTCACAAATTCACGAAAAAAGCACATGCGATTTTTATTTTCCAAAAACGCCAAAAATTCCCGCCACGTGTTTCTCCTTCACTATACTTTTTTTTTGATTTCATGGAACATCAAAATGTTTTTCTCACTATCACCCTCACAATTCTCTCTCTATCAAAAATATTTCAAATTTTTTCAGAGGTGAAGTAACCCGCCTTCGCTCACGTCTTCGAGCTGTTACTAGAATGCTAGTAATGGTTGTCACTGGATATCTTTTTGCCAATATTTTAGATGTGATTATTGCTTGTTGGGAAGCGATTAGCATGGAAAGTTTATTGGCATCTCCTGCTTTTTATACAGTTATGTCGGATATTTCATCATTTCTTCCGATCGCGGCGACAGCTTTGAGATTGCCGATTTATACAATTAATGATAGACAAATCAGAGTTGAGGTAACTTAGAACAAACATAAATTTTGGGACTTTTTTCGAATAACAATATGAATTTCTGGATATAGCCTACGCCTAAAAAGTTTGACTTAAAAAGACCCTGCGCACATATAATACAGAATAGATTTCGCAGAGCCTGATATTCCTGAAAAATTTGATTCCAAAAATGTTCCCTTGAAAGAATTTGTTATAGATTTTCGAATGTTTTCCTAGAAGTTCCATTTTTCGAATATAAATATGATCTGCATGAACACACGCAGCTGAATTCTCAAAGTTCATTTTCGTAAGAAAGTTATGCGATGTCATCTGAAATAAAAAAGAACCTGAACTTTGAATTTTCATTCATTCATTCCTCAACAAAACCATTTCACAGGTCCGTCGCAAATTCTGCAATCTGGTCAATAAATGCGGCTGCAATTTATGTGGCGATTCATCTTCTCAACATAAAAAACTGTATGATGCACAGCAGATGGAAACTGAACGACTCTGGCCTAAAAATCCGCAAGACCCCAAACTCGAGGTATTTTTTGTTGTTGAATTGAATCTAAAAATTTTCAGCAAAAAATGAATTCAAAAATCTTTTGGAAAAAAAGAAGTTTCCAAATTAAAAATAAAATAAAATGAAATTCAGCATGAAATGACGCAGTTGTGGACAAAACCGGTTGAATAACCAGAAGAGGTATACTTGTGATTGATTTTGTGATTTTTCCTTATCTTTTATTATGATTTTTTTTTGATTTCACCCTCACTAACAGTAGAAATTCTGATTTGCAGTGTCTTTTAGAGGCTTACAATAACATAGAAGCCACTTCACAATTTTAACTCAATTTTTTTAAAAAATGTTCTCTATGTAATCTCGATTTTTTCAGATTCGTCAATATGGATTGCAATCTTTGATTATGGCACGAGCTTCACTTTCGTCAAAAGATGTTTACGATATTCACCGGTTCCGTGAGACTTATGAACTCTAAGTGAAAATGTTAGGTACTTGATGGTTATCTATTTTTGATTTGTTTTTTTGATTGAACGGGTAGTTTACTTTCATCTTTCCTTTTACTTTTTGTTTTTTGGTCATGTAAACAAAACAATAAATGAGTGAATTAATGAAACAAAATTAATTATACATGGAATTTAGAAAGTACTGATTTCGTGCAAGATTATTTGAAAAGTAAAACAAATTAGGAGAAGTGAAGTTTGCTGAAAATTTGTATTTGAAAAATAATCTGAATTCCAGTTCCCCAGAAACTTTCAAATCCGATAAAAATCCGATGATCTACAAAATCATAACAGATTCTAAAATGTTCTGAATTTTCACGTTAGTTGGATTCAAAAGTCTGAATTTATTCAGAAGAGAATCTGGAATTTTTTCAAATCAGTTTAATGTTTTGTCCGAATATGTTCAACTTCTCAAAACAGGTTCGAAATCAAAAATTTTAGACCTCAAGAAAAGTTCAGGAAACTAAAAGATAAATTCAAAAATTCGACAAATCTAGAAACCTCAACGGGCACAATTTTTCCTGTGCTACTCAAATTTTCAAATTCATAATTACAGTATTATTCTAAAGGTCAAAACATTTTGAATTACGAAAACCCATAAAATTCATAATTATGTTTTGTATTTATTGTTTTTCGCCTAAAGTTCCAGTCAATTATAAGAATTAACTATGAAAATGACTTTTTGAGGGATGTGGTGTTCTTTAAAATGACGAAATGTTTCTATTTTAACTAATTAAATAAATACACAAATAAATCCGGATCAAACATTTTTCAATCATCATTGTTTTTTTCTGTTCCCGCTTTTGGATCAAATCTTTTCGTTTCAAATAAAAAAGTCACAGAGGTTGTCATTTTCTAACAACTTCTTTCATATTCTAATCATATATGTTGTTCGAAATTTTTTCGTCGGCAATCGCTATATCCGATCAAACTAGTAGTTGGGATGAAGAAGCAGCTAACACGCTCCACCCCTTCGATTCTTCTTTATATCTTCGCGCAACGGTCTTCTCTCCTTTTCATTAATTTACAGTTTGATTGAATTAATTACTTGTTTATGCGGACTTTTCACCTGAATATTGCACTATGAAATACTCTCTAATTATACTTGGTATATTAGTGATAATTGTTGAAACAGTGAATTATAAGCGGTATGTTTTATTTTTCCAAAAAAAAAATAAATAGTTAGATTTTTAAAAAAAAAATGCAAAAATTTTGACCACTGAGCGGATCGAACGCCCAACCTTTCGATCTGGAGTCGAACGCGCTACCATTGCGCCAAGCAGTCACATTTTTCCATCTCTCTCCTGCCCTTTTTATTTCTCGTCCTTTACACTGCTCGTTTTCTCTCGCTCTCCTCGCTTTTTTACCAGTTCTTCACAGCCGCACACACACTAAAATGAGAGAGCGCAGAGAAACCGAACAAAACATAGCGAACAACCTTGCTCACTTTTTGTCGGTCACACAAGAAACATATAAAGTGGAAAGGGGAAGTGTTTGGTATCTCTGGTTCCATTGCATTTAACCGAGAAAATCTTTCGCCTTTTACTAAAGATTTCCGTGCAAAGGGACACTTTATGAGTGTTTATCAATTTTTGGAATCCCCTCGAAAGAGCGGGATAATAATATAGAAGTTTGGTTTTTTAAAGCCAGAAATCTAATTCTGAAAAAAGTTTATATTGTTGAACTACGATCACCAAAATTTCTTGTTTCTTTCGGGATTGAATTATTCTAATTATGTAGAATCAATCTTCAAATTTTGCTTGCGAAACATGACGATATTACCATAATCAAGCAATAAAAATAGACTATATTTTTAGAAAGACCTGTTCACAAATAAAAAATATATGTAGATATATACTGTAGTTTACAACATATCCCACGAAAAATCTAACCACAATATAATAAAACGCCATTCATTCACCAATAATTACGTCACTGATTGGTCCTGCCTTAAACTAATTAAACCAATAATAATAACATCACTCAACTTGTATTATATTATATCCATATACAGGATTTATATGTGTGTCGGTCGCAACCAATTCTTTCCTTAACTGTCGGACATCAAAAAAAAAGAACAAAACAAGTTTTTTTTAGTTGGTAGTATTTTTCACTTATCTGACACACACTGCTTTTAGTAGTTAGTTGGTTAGTCAGTTAGTTAATTGTAATTGAAAAGGGGTAGACCGATCAAAATATATTTTTTATGAAAATATCCGTGTCAAAAAATAAGGTGAATTTAGAGTACTGTAGGTGGAAAAATAGAGAAAACTTACCTGGAAATTGAAAAATTGAATGAAGAATAAATTTTAACCAGTGTGGAAAAAATCAGATGATTGGGTTACTGTAGGTGAAAAAGAAAAAAAAATAAATGCTGAATCTTTGAAAAAAATTAATTATAACACCAATTTTTCACAAGAAAAAATATCCAAAAAGTTCGCAAATCTATTTTTTTCCAGAACTTATGTCAATGAGAATCATGATAGAAAAGAATACAAAGATCTAGGTAAGTTCAACGTTTTTTATTTTTCTATTTCCTCCCTAAAATGTCCACTCTTGTCCAACCAATCTATTTATGTTCAATAACAATTCAGTGTTTTTACTCGGCGCGTCTTCGAATCAAAAAACAGCTCGCCACGTGGCAACCGGCTTCAATTCCGAAGAGAATCGTCTTCAATTATTCACCGCGCGGCCTCCAATTGCTCCACGACGATTTTTTGTGTTTTCAGGTTTTGTTTTGTGTTTGGGGAAGTTGGTATTTTTGTCGGTTTCTGATCTACTAGATAACCATCTTGTTGATACGAGGCTAACTTATATTATTATTATGTAAAATCAAGTGTAGATTAATAATAATAACAATTAGTAAAATATTATTATTAATTTTTTTGCAGAACCAATTCTGGAAACATCTATAGAAGTTTTGAAAAGTGATGAACTTTTGACTGAAAAAGATGCTGAAGAAGCGCATCAGAATTATTTCAATCGAAAATTTTCGCCGAAGAATAAAAGACTTGTGGTGGAACCGTCTGGATATACAGGCGGTAATGAAGGTTTGTCAAATATACTTTTGAATTTTCCAAATAACAAGAATAATATTTAACCGCACGTAACTTTTTAGGAAATAACCTAGACGCATGGCAACAAGCTGAACTTTCTAGAACTAACGTCTTTCCTGATGGATATGATGGTAACATTTCAATTTTCTTGCTAATCTTTTTAAAAATATATGTCTAACAGGTTTGTCAGCGCTTCCGCGAACTCTTCGACCACCGACTAAATACATTCCTCCTGAACTTAATTTCATGTCGCCGTTGAGTGGCGATTTTGAGGCGTTGCCCGATGCGAGATTTGGAAGAAATTCGGAAAAATCCACGACTAGAGTGACTTTGGCTCCTTGGAAAACTGAAGATCTTGTTCCGATGAAACGAAGTCAGAAAGAAGAGTTTGAAATTCGTCAAGAGATGTTGAGAGAATTGGAGAAACGTTCGACGTCCACACATTTTCCACCAACAACTGAAGAACCTGAAGAAGAAGAGAATGGTGGAAACGGTTTAGGTTCCAATGAGCTGATTGATGTACTTGATACAACTACTGAAGTTAGTAAAATTGAACCGACAACTTCAGAAGAATCAACAACCCCAAGATCAACTACAGTTTTTGTATCATCAGGAAAACCAAAATCAATTGAAGAAGAGTTTTTCGAATCTTCCGAAACAACTACAAAACCAATAACAACTAGACTTAACAGAGTTTCGTATTCGACCGATCATCCAACTTTGGTAGTAGAAACATCTTCCGAATCAACTAGTCCTTATTCAACAACAACTTCTGAGCCTCATACATCTCCTGAAACACAAACTTCCGCCGAGTCTTCTGAAACATCAGAAACAACACATTCAAGTTCAACATCAACTTCGACAGAAGTTCATACCTCAACTTCAACTTCTATTGAAACTACAAAATCTGTGAAATATACAACAATGGTGAATGCAATAGATACGAATATTGATTATAAATCAGAAGAAGAAGAAGAGGAAAAACAAACAACTATCAGTCAAATATCTGAAAGACCTCCAGTCACATTAGAAATTGCTGGAGAACTTGAAGTTGTCGATGAATCAACTGTAACCTTACCAACAGCAACAACAATGCTACCAGTTGTAACAGCTGCAAGAATGACATTAGAACCTGTGTTTTCAACTCTGATAACAACTCGTGTCACTTCCCACCAACCAACATCTCAATCATTAACAACCGTCGAAGCAGCTGATGAAGTTTTAGAATCTAATATTTTTAGCATGTCAACTTCTACATTAATAGCACCCGTAACCAACGAGGTTCTAATTGAAAGTAACATAGATTATCTTGTATATTTTAATCCTATTATAAGATTTTTTTTTTCAGATTCCTCGACAAAGGGTGCTGCAAAGAAGAGTGGTATGCATTGATTTTATCTATCGTTCAATATTTTCAGTTTGGGTGTTAAAAAAAGGTGATAGGTGTTAATTTCAGGTCTCAAAAGAATTCGTCAAACATCCTATGCTACAATTGATAATGCGGCTAAAGAATCGCCAAACACAAAACTGAAATGTGTTCCATGTGCTCCTGGAACTGACCCAGAACCCCCAACAAACCCTATTCTACCTCCAATAAAACCACTACCATCAATTGTTAATCCATATGAGCCACCGTTAATTGCTCCAGTCGGACCAGGAGAGGGTGAGCCAAAATATGTGGATATTGTTGATGCACCATCACCACCTTCTACTTCTGCGCCTATCCCAGCACCACCAGATGTCCCCGTTATGATTTCATTGCCAAAACCTTCACCAGCACCTTCTGTTAAAGTTACACCATCTGTTGATTCTTATGGACCACCAGCAACTGAACCGTCTGTTTCGGGCAAAGGTGGTTATGAACCCCCGCCGCCGCCGAGTCCAGTAGCACCTCCACCTATTGCACCAGCTGTACCTTCAGTTCCATCTGAGAAAACATATGAACCTGCCCCACCTTCAATTCCGGCTGTCCCAGCTGTACCAGCTCCTGTGACTTCTTCACCCGAGCCTGCGCCACCTTCACTACCAACAGAAGAAAAGCCAGCTCCACCTCCACCTGTACCTTCTGTAGCAGCTCCTTCTCCTCCTCCACCCGAGCCTGCGCCCAAACCAACACCATCCGTATCAGTTGGAGTGCCCCCTTCGGAACCAGCAGCTCCTTCAGCTACTTTACCGCCTGAAGTTCCAATTATGATTGCCCTTCCCCCACCGCCCGCAGTAGTGAAACCACCTTCGCCGGGATACGGAGAGCCAAGTCCACAAAAACCAGCTCCTATTATTGCACCCCCACCGCCTTCTCCAATCGCTCCTCCGCCAGCTCCACCTCCAATACCGACAGTTGAGAAGCCATATCGACCTGCTCCCCCACAGCCAGTTCCCCCACCGACATCTCCGATAGCTCCACCTGTTGCTCCAATACCAAGCGGAGGAATCTATCGACCAGCTCTACCTGCACCTGTGCCAGCTTCTCCATCGCCATCTTCAATAGCTCCTCCAATCATTCTTACACCAGCGCCACCTCCACCTCCAATACCGACAAGTGAGAAAACTTATGGACCTGCTTCCCCACAGCCAGTTCCTCCACCGATAGCTCCTCCACCAGCTCCACCTCCACCTGTTGCTCCAAGCGGAGGAATCTATCGACCAGCTCTACCTGCACCTCCACTTCCAGGACCAATCGGACCAATTTCCCTTCAACCACCACCCCCTCCCTCAAAACCAGGTACACCTGCACCGCCTTCTTCAGTTCCGCCACTTTCCTATTTTGCTACTAACCAACCGCTCCTTAGTTCTGCATCTTCCACCACAAAAACCCCACAAGCACCAGCAACAATAACAGATGAAATGATGGCTACGACTGGCTTCGAAGATATTACACAATCTCAAAGCACAACACTCATTGTTTCTTCAGAACTACCAACAACTATTGGTGCACCAAGTCAGCCTATCACTGTTTCACCTCCCGCTGTTCAACCATCTTCGACTACAGAAGATAAATCACAGCAGTCAACAGTTTCATCGTATGATCGAGAAGCTGGAGCAACGGTTGCTCCAATTTCTGAAAAACCATCAGGAGATTTTACCGAACCCCCACCGGCTCCAACTTCAGAAGGACCTAAACCGCCAGCTCCGCCAGTTTACCCATCAGCCACAACACCGAATTCTGAACCGCAACCACCATCGACTCAGCCAGCATCTTCAAATGCTCCTCCATCTACAGCGCCACCTTCTTCAGAATCCCCCTCTCCCAGTTCAGGATCGGAGCCAAGTTCACCTCAACCACCTTCAACCCAGGGATCTACAAGTTATCCAGCTTCATCACAAACATCTGTAGCTCCTATAAATTCTCCAAGTTATCCAGATCAAACTGGAGCACCATCAGCTGAGCCATCAACACCATCTACTGAATCTCCAACGGTTCAAGCAGAGTATGGCCCAGCTGGAATTTCATCTCCACCCTCAGTAGAACCTTCCGCTCAACCATCTTCACCGACTGAAACATCCCAAACAACACAGGAATATTCTGGCTCTTCAACAAATAGTCAGCCACAACCTCCAGCAACAGCTCCCCCAGCTCCTCCCGTTGAACCTCAACCTCCAGCAACACCTTCTACAAGTCCTTCATCAACTTCGTATTCGGAATCAAGAACGACTGCAGTTCCCGTAACTAGTAATACCGATTATTCCGGACCATCATCTGAACCTCCACCTCCCCCAACTTCAGAAGGTCCACAACCTCCTGCAACAGCACCATCTGAGTATTCTGGATCAGGGCCATCTACAGCTCCTCAACCACCACCGTCTGGTGCGGAATATTCAGGCCAGACTTCAGAGCCACCACCTCCTCCAACTTCGGAAGGACCTCGACCTCCCTCAACTTCTGGGTACTCTGGAACAGAAACATCTGCTGCACCTCAATCTAAACCTATAGAATATTCAGGGGCATCTTCTGAACCCCCACCTCCCCCAACTTCTGAAGGACCACAACCTCCAGCAACAGCTCCAACATCAGCTGTATACTCTGGATCTGAGACATCTGCAGCCCCTCCACCTCCACCTACAAATGCTGAATATTCCGGAGTTTCTTCAGAAGCATCTCAAGCTACATCAACTTCTCCAGAAGATAATTATCCTACTTCAGTAGCGCCATCAAATCCAGAATATTCTGGATCTTCACAACAACCTTCCACAGCTTATGGGGGATCAGAATCTACTTCCCCTGCGCAGCCCTCACCCACAAACTCTCCAGGTTATCCAGATCAAACCGGTGCCCCATCCGCTGAACCATCAACACCATCTACTGAAACACCGTCAGTAGAAACAGCGTATAGTCCAGCTACGGATACATCTGCCGATCTTCCCGCAATAAATCCCCCTTCCGCACCATTCCAACCAATTGATTTATCTCCACCAAACACTTACCCGAAATCCGATGCACCTGGCACAGATACCGAAACATCAATCCCATCCTTAGTTCAAACTAATCCATCAACAACCTCAGTTTATAACACAAATCCTGATATGATAGAAGTTTCACCATCTTCCTATGTTCCAGCTGCACCGTCAACTATTGCACCAACTGCACCAAGTAAGATACTTACAATACTAAACATTTCAGTTTGATTAATTTAGATGGATCAGAGGAATCACCTTACGAATCGCCAAGTCCTGCGCCAACATTAGCTCCAGTTCAACCGCCAGTTCCTGCGAAACCAGTTGAGCACACTTATGCAATTCCATCGCCAGCTCAACCAGTTGCACCGCCTCCAGCACCTACAAGTGCCCCAGGTCCGATCGAACATAAATACGAGATCCCAACAACTGTACCATTCTCTTTGCCACCAACATATACAGGTAATTTTGAAAGTTAGGACCATAAGTTTTAGAAAAAGAAAAAAAAAGAAAAATAATAATTTCCCCCAACAAAAAACACAAAAGATTAGAGAAAAACTGCAGAACTTATTAATAAATTTGAAAAAAACAAATCGCTTGGAAAAAATAGAAAAAAGTAAAAAAAAAAATGGTTATGAAGGGTAGAATAGAACGCAACGTTAGATAGAGAGAAATAGCGAGAGAAAGAGGAGAAAAATTATTTTTGATCTACCAAAATTTTTTGGAAAAAATTTGAGGTCTAGCGATTTGAAATTACAAACTGTGTGTTTTTGTGAAAATATTTATTGATCGGGTCAAAAAATGTATTATTTTTGAGATCAAAAATATTTTTTTTTTGTAAATAAACCACCAACTAACAAAAAATCATTAATATTTTCAGTTGCTCCACCAAATCCATCTCAAAATATCGCAACTCCAGACGACGGCGGTAGTGACTACGGGAATATTGAAGAGGATAATCAACCATCTGGCCCAGCTCCATCTAGCTATGGAAATCTTGAAGAAGATCACGACATTAAACCAGCTCCAGGACCAGTCGCACCTCCAGTCCAACCAGCTCCACTTCCTTCATCTGGTGGATCTTCCTACAGGTAGGTCATTTAGATTCAGGCACTTCAAGATCAGCAAAACTATTTCACATATTCCCAATTAAAATTAAAATTCCTGTTCAGCGAACTTGAGACCGATCATGAGGAAGAAACTCATGACGAGGATACAGAGGATATCGGGTAATTCCATTATAATAACAATTTTCTGTGGTGTTTTTGGACTTTTTTTCTGTGGTGGTGTGGATCTTACTTAACTTTTTCATATTTTCACAAATCTAAACCCCTGTTTCAGTTTTTGGATAACAAACATTTTTAATTTCTGAAAAAAAAACTGTTATGTTTTCAGTATTCCTCAAGTGGTAACACCACGTTTGCCAGCACCACAGCAAATTGGTGGAAATACCTATCGAGGTGGAAGCAATCGAATCGAAAGCACAGCTCAACGTCCACAGCCACAGCCGCAACCTCGACCACAACCAGTTCGAATTCAAGTTGCCCCGGCCACTGCACCATATCGACCTCCGCCTACTCGCCCGCCTCCATATTATCCACCACAGCGACCCCAGCCTCAACAATATCAATATCCACCTCGTTTCCAACCTTCATTCCCACAACAACAACAATATGGTTTATCAAGACCTGGATGTTGTGGTGGACAATTCTTCAATCAGCAACAAGGTGGACTTTGTATGCCAGTCAACTTTAATCCTTGCGGAGCTCCTCCACCAAGACCATCTTGTGGCGGAGGCTGCGGAGGCGGATGTCAGCCACAACCGCAGCAACAATGTTGCCCTCCCCCTCAACCACAAACTTCAGCGTGTTGCAATCAACAATCTTCAGCCTGCTGCCAACCGCAGCAAATGCCATGTTGTAATCAACAAGTTCAAACGTGTTGCCCTCCACCTCCACCACCTCAAAATTGTTGTTGTCCTCAGCCAAGATCAATTTGTAGGAGTAAAAGGTACCGTAATCATTCCCACATTTACATATCAATTTGAAACTTTTCAGATCTGTCGGGTATGCGCTTGGAATTTGTCGACGTCGCTCGTGAATAGAACAAAAAAACCGTAATCTAATAAATTTTGAAATACCGTAATCGGACCGTAACTCACTCAGGAAAAACGGTTCTCAATATTCACAATTTGTCTGTAATTATTTTCTTTTTTTATTTATTTGATTATTTAATTTTGAACTATTTATTTCTCGAAAAACCCCTTGTCTGTGTATTTTTTGTGAACATAAAATTATATTTATGATACGGACTATGTATATTCATATATGAATTTTCAGCGATTTCAGAGAGAAATTTTTTTTGATAAATTTTCTCTTGTTTCCGCCATTTCATCAATAGAGCGCACATGCCATTCTCTATAATTTTCTGCGTCTCCTTTCTTCGCACACTCTTTTTTCTGTCACGGAAAAAAAGAAAACCTTTGAATTTTCTTATTTTGCGATAAGACGTGAACTTTCTTTTTTGGTTGGCAAAATTATCATTTATTGATTTATTTTTCGAAATGTCTCTAGATAGATCTATCTATAGAGCGAGTTGATTTTGATTTGCAGAAAACATGGGTCGATTCAGCCTCGAAGAATCAGCGACAACAATAATTGCCGCTTCGACTGCAGTCGTTCTCGGATTATATTTGATCTATCCACCACTTCTTCTAATCATCCCACCAGCTTTGATAATCATTGCATATGCGACGAAAAATGAGAAATGTGCACCGCAAAATGTGGACAAATTCTTCAGCGGTTTTCGAATTGGTGGACATCGTGGAGCACCGAAAAGTTTTCCCGAGAACAGTATGGCGAGTTTTGCACAGGCGAAAATCGATGGCGCTGATTTGATTGAATTCGATGTTTCATTGACGAAAGATGCGCGAGCTGTTCTGATGCATGATGATACTTTGGATCGCACAACAGATATGAACGGACCGATTCGTGATAAAACTCGAGCTGAACTTGATAGATGTAATATTTCTGCAACTTTCAAAAGAACTGCTCCTGGGTATGGTTTTTTTGAGGAAAACATTTGAAAAATTTGTTTGCAGTGATCAATCTCGACTCGGTGAAGTGAAATTCGAAAGAGTTCCAGATATGGAAGATGTTGTTAAATGGGCTGTTGACAATCAAATGCGAATGCTTTTCGATGTCAAAGATTCCGACACTGAACTCGTCGAACAAATCTCCGAACTTTTTGTCAAATATGATTTATATGACAAAGCGATTGTTTGCAGTTTCTTCCCATGGGTTGTTTATTTGATTAAACGAGGAAATCAAAAGATTTTGACTGGTTTAACCTGGAGATTGAAATTCTGGTCGTTCCACGATATTGAAAATGTGCAGCCAAGATATTCTGGATTGAAGCAAATTTTGTTTGTTGGAATTGATTTGTTGAATGTTTGGTTGCTTAAACGATTTACACCGTGGTATTTGGGAGCCGATCTTTTGCTTACAAATAATTTGGATATTTCACAGTGAGTTTTAGCTTCCATCTTGAAACGATGACGAAAATCTGAAAAATCTGATATTTCTATTTTCTAGAGCCTTGATTCTCGACCAACGTCGTCGTGGAATTCGAGTCGCAGTTTGGACAGTCAACGATGTTGCTGAAATGCATTGGATGCTTCAAACTCTCCAAATTCCAATCCTCACCGATTATCCCGAATTGACAAAACCATCGAAGGTTCTCGACAATTTACGCGAATCAAACTACAACAATTAGTAAATAACTATTTTTATTTACATATGGTATCTCTTTGTCATTTCACAAAAATTGATAATAAAAATAATAACATCATCTATTAGTAAACTTCAAAAAAAAAAATAAGTAAGCGAAAAAGTACGTCACCGTCGATTCTGGTAACTGGGGTGCAGCAATTTTCTGTATTTTTGGGATCGTCGAAAACAAGAAAAATGGGAGGAATGATTGAGAAAAGAATAGAATAATACCCTTTTAGCATAGTATATTTAATGATAGGAATTGGATTTGAAATTGGTGCAAATACTAATTATTCTCTAACATTGATCACAATTTGTTTTTGTTTTGGATCATCAAAACGATCTTGTGTTTGGACTGATTGAAGCATCAAATAACCAAAGATAAGTCCAGTAATAAGAACAAGTGCTGATAAAATTCCTAAAAAAAAACAAGATTTCAATAATCTTTCCTTTAAAAGTTGAAATTCTTACCCATCCATGATCCAGATGAGAATGTTCCAGTACAATCTTCAGTTTGTCTTGTGAAATACGCCCATTGTTTCCATTCTGGCATAACAACGTATGTTTGAACTTGCGAATTGTGCAAAGATAATCCAATTCTAACTGCATCGTTGTTGGTTGCGAAGAAAACTGCTTGAGTTTGACTGCAAGTTAGAGCAAATCCAGCGACTGAATTGAGACCTGTGTATTGTGTAGCACCTTCTCCAACTGTTACACCAGAAGCTGTTACTGCCTAAAGATCATAAATTATAAATTAGTCAATTTTTAAATGAACTTACTCCTCCGTTTTTCAAGTTGATCGAAGCGCTATTCAAAGTAGCTCCAACTAATTGCCAATATCCATCTTTGGTTCCATTAATAGTCAAAGAAACATCAATATTTGAACCGGAAGGAATTGTGAACAAATCTCCGCTATCGGCAACTTCTCCAGTTGTTGTCAAAGAAATACGGAATACAAAACTTCCAACTGATGAATTGACACAACTAGCATAACCATCAGCATAACTCCAAGTAGCATTTCCTTGACGAATTGCTGCAGCTGAATAGGTTGTTTTTCCAGAATCCTTCTTTTGGACAACAACATCAAGTCCTTCCAAATAGAACAAACAGCTGCTATCGCTGAAAAACGAATAACCTTGTTTTTTTTTGCATTTCCTCAAAACAAAATGACTTACCCATTTGCTGGAGCTGTGAGTCCTGTCACATTATATGGTGGCAAAATGAGTGGCAAAGCAATGTTTCCAGTCGCCTCTGCATCATTTTGTCTACTTTCACCACCAGTGAGTCCGACACGCTTCACACGAGTTTTTTCTTGGCTAACACCGTCGGTTGCGGTGATGATGACAACAGCGTTTTCGATTTTCTCCAAAACTTGTTGAGCCAATTCTTCAGCTGATGTCCATTCTTCTCCAGCGAGAACGTAGACCGATGAACCGGTTTTGAAGTCAGAAGAACTTGTGAGAACACTAGCTGTTGGAACCTGAAAATGTTCAGTTGAAAATACATTTTTTTTAAATTCTGTATTAGAAAAATTAAGATTTGATAACAAAAACTCACAATAAATTGTTCAGTGAAATAAGTTGCACCATGATATTTGCTAGATTTCACCAATTTTGCCAAATAATCTTGTGTTGGCTCACTTGAATAAGCATTAGCCTTCACAGAGAATTGACCTGAAGCATAAGATGTTTGAATAAAAATCGACACAAGAAAAATTACTTACCTAATGTGAAATCTGGATTCACAATAAATACAACTGGTTCATCTGCACTAGCTGAATTCACAATATTTTCAAGTTTCGATGATCTGAAAATGATTTGATTTCAAAATCTTTCAAATTCTCAGAAAAACTCACTGAATATCTCGTTGGTTGGAGAAATATACGGCATCATATGCGGAAACCGCGATAATCACTGACAACGCGGCTATAAGTACCCTCATACTGAAAAAAACTAAAGTAATCAGTTAAAAAGTTGGAAAAAGGATGAAAGACTGAAAAAAACAGAGAGGGTATGCGAGTGGCCAAAAATCGACAATCGACCCGAGACCAGAGTGTGCAATAGAGCGCGTTTGCAGCAGATGGAAAATAAAATGAGAGAGAGAACGGAATTTGGGTGAAAATAAATAAAAATGTAAATATTTCGTTTTTGGAATTGTTAAATAATTTCCCATCGGTAAAAAACTGACTATCTATATGAAAATATGATAAACATACGATTTTAGCCTCGCACATTCTTTAAAGTGAGTCATATAATTCATTTGGAGCGGAAAACTCAAAAATTACTCACCAATTTTCAAAAGCGAACATTTTTGCAAAAAAAAAATAAACTGAAAATAAAATGGGTTACGGTTAAAGGAACACACAAAACTCTTGCGTGGTCTTGACGCGATTCTAATTTTTTTTTTTTGAAATTTTATCAATTTTTTTTTGAAATTAGTTTTCTGCATGGATTTTTTTCAAGATGTGGTTATTCCATCAAAAACTTCAGTTGTCATTCATTCTTTATAAAATTTGTTTTCTTCAAAAATTCATTTCAAAACAAGTTCATTTAAAAAATTAATCAAAAACATCAATGGAATTTATTTATCATCGGGAAATATAAATATAAATATACAAATCAACATCTAATTAAAGCTAATTAATTACCAAAGAAAATCATTGCTCTCTTTTAATTTGTTCAATCTTTTCGCGAATTCGTTCAAATTGATACGAAAAATCAGGATACAAGAATGGTCGATGATCATTTCGATGGTCATCCGGACTATAATTTTCAGCATGAATTGCAGGCGTCGAAACAGTCGCCTTGTGTCGATTCACTCGATATCTCCACCAGAATTTTCGAACTTTTTCCTCAATTTCATCTACAGTATATTTATCTGCCCAAATTTGCAACAATTTTAAAAACATTGCATATGGTCCCATTCCACCGGGTTTTCGCAATCTTCCAATTACAGATAATTCTTCATAAGTTAGCCCAATTTCTGATTCATCAGTTTGCTCAACTTTTCCATCGACGAGTGGCCGTAATTCAGCAGTTGGAACAGAATCGATGACACTGAAAATTAAATGTTGTAAATAAAATAATTTTGAATGTTTTTGAATAGGACCAAAATTTTTCGAGGGACCACGAAAAATTGAATAAAAAAGCAGTTCGGTTCAAAATTTTCTAAAAATTGAAATGATATTAAAATAAATGTTAGAATTTTGCCACGTGGATTTTTAGTGGCAAAATGTAAAATAGCACGGGATTTTTATTCTAAATTTAGCATTTCGCCACGTGAAACTTTTTCGTATCGAAAAATGATCCGATTCCAAAACTGCGGCTTTTTTTTCTCCAATTTTCCCCCAAAAATCTACCTTCTCAACGCAGTCATTCCATATTTATTATAAGCAAGTTCCAAAAATTTCCTCAAATCAATTTTGCTAACACTTCCAATTGGATTAATATCAGCTGAAGAGCAATCATATTTTGTCAAATATCCAACCAAACTCTCATCAACATTTGCAGTTCCCAAAACAAGTAATCCACCAGGTCTTCCTTCTTTCACCAATGCTAATTGTGCCATCAAATATGCCAAAACCATTCGAATTCTCGCTTGAATATTTTGCAACGCCATAATTTCTCGATTATCCGAACTTGTAAAAGATGGCATAAATGAATAAGCGGTTTGGAAAACTCCCAAAAGTGCACTGACAACTGAATCGATGAATATTCTGAAAATCAAAAATCTAAAATTTCTCTTAAAGTTTTCGTTTGCATACCCAACATGATTACTATTCACATTTTTCGCCAAACCATCCGCGCATTCTCTTGTTTCTTGTGAAGAATGTTGGCTTGCCATATAGCAAGTGAAGAGAACCTATAAACTTTTTTGTTCAGTTTTTTGCTAGGAAGTTAGTTGCCTTTTTCAGTTTAGTGGAACCTGATTACAGCGGGGGCGAAAAGTGAAAGTGTTGGGGTTGGATGCGCGCAAACACAGGAGTATAAAAGTTTTCCGGATCGCAGTATTACCATCACATTTTTTCTGATCATGGACATTGATTCAAGAATCAAGGCTTACCGATTCGTCGGTTATGCCGCGTTGACATTCTCCACAATTGCTGTTCTTTCAGGTAAGTATACTTTTTTCTCTCTCTTTCATAGGATAATTAATATTTTCAGTATGTGTTACTTTGCCAATGGTGTACAATTACATTCATCATACTCGCCGAACAATGCATGTCGAGATTACTGAATGCAAAAATGAGGCTCGTCAATTGTTTGCCAAAGTCAACATGATTCCTGAACTCGCTCCATCAAATCGTACCGCAAGAGCTGTCGCTTCAAACGGACAATGTGAAGGTTGCTGTTTGCCAGGAGCTCAAGGACCACCAGGAACTCCAGGAGCAACTGGTCGACCAGGAAAGCCTGGAGCACCGGGACTTAACGGAAATCCAGGTCGTCCACCAAAGGAGCCATGTGAGCCAGTCACCAATCCACCTTGCAAACCATGTCCAGTCGGAGAACAAGGACCACCAGGTCCACCAGGACAACCAGGAAACAAGGGACCTTTGGGACCACCAGGGCCACCAGGAGAGGGAGGACCATCGGGAGAGCCAGGAAATAAGGGACCAATCGGGCCACCAGGGCCAGTTGGAAAGCCAGGACCACCAGGAGAGCCAGGACAAAACGGAGAGAACGGCGAGCCACAACCAGGATCACCAGGAGAGCCAGGTCAACCAGGACAACCTGGACAAAAAGGACCAGCTGGAGAGCCAGGAAAGGACGGTGGACAAGGGGGACAAGGAGAGAAGGGAGCGACTGGGGAGCCAGGACAACCAGGAAGAGATGGACAACCAGGAACACCAGGACAACCTGGAAAAGACGGAAGACCTGGAGAGAAAGGAATCTGTCCAAAATATTGTGCTGCTGATGGTGGTGTTTTCTTCGAAAATGGTCAACGTCGTTAGAAAATGATTATTGAAAAATTATCGATCAATAAAGCATTTTAGTAGAATTTGGTGTACTTCTGGGTTAACCCCTCTCCTCACAAAAAATTTAACTCTGATTTTTTTTTGAAACTTCAATTTTCAAAATCAAGTTTCCAAGCCTATTCTCAGGTATCCCAAGTTTTTCTGACAACTTAGAAAACTCCTGATAGAAAACTTTAGACCCAATTTTCCAAAACTCTCACCTGTTTACATAATTCTTCGGGATTCTCAGTCACCTTCTTTCCATTCAAAAAATACGCCGGATCATCTTCCAATCCATTTTCTCTTCGAAATTTCACAGCCGCGCATACTTTTTCGCACATAAGTCGAACCATCGCAGCAACAGCCGATGAATCTTGTCCGCCAGAAAGTGGTACAAAATATCCAGACATTCCGGATCTTCTCAAATATGTCCAAAGATATGCAGGTGGTCCATGACAAAGTTCTTCGATGGGAGATAATTGAAGTTTTTCGAAGTGTTGGATAGGAGCTGTGCATTTTTCATTGAGTTTAGCGATTTTTGTAAAAGTTCCTTCAAATCGAATTGTTTCAACTGCTGATTTTTCAGATGCAGTGTCTCGGCTACTCGTTTTCTTTTGTCGAAACGTCAAATTTTCAGCCAAATCAACCAATGCAGAAGTTACACACTAAACAGAATAAAACGATTTTCAGACAATTTAATTTATAATAACTTACAGTATCTTCAATATCAAATTGATTAATCTGTGCTAATAATTCACCATTATGCGCAATAGTCGATGCTCCATCATAATAAACTCTATCGCCATCACATCCTCGATGATTCGCATAAATATAAACACCTCCAACTTTCCCACACGATCCAAGAATCAATTGATTGATTCGATAATTTGATTTTCCAAGAATATGATGACTTCCCGAACCATTACAAATTATATCAACGCCTTGTTCGGCTAATGAAATATTTGTTGATCTTGCCGACCACAATTCTTCACAAATTTCAAATCCAATTCGAACATTGTCTTCAGATTCGAGAATTCCATCACCAAATGGTACTGTAGATTGTTCGAAACAATAATCGGGTAAAATATTGAATTGATAATTTTTGAATGGTTCTGTCCATCTGACAAACCATCGACCTTCTCGATAAACATCGTCATTTGCTAATCCCATTTTAGCACGAATCAGTAGAAGTTTTCTAAAAAGAAATGAATTCTTTAAAAAGAAATTTGTTTTTTTAGTTCTAGTTGAATATAGGTCACGTTTAAAAAATTTGTCTGAATCACAAATTTTTCAGAATCGATAGAACTCACCCATTTTTCAAAGCAGCCATACAATTATAAAGCAATCCTCGAAATCTGACAGGCAATCCGGTTAGCACCAAAAGATTTGGCCACTGAAACTTCCAAGATTTATTTTCAGTGTTTATTTGTTAGCTGTTGTATATATTTTCTCTGAAATTTTGCTCAAAATTTTCCACGTCATAAATAACTCATATATGTACTCCAATGAAAACATCGAATACAGATTGAATTTTTTTTCGAAAAAAAAACATTCTTTAGCCTTTTTCTTCAAAATTCGGGATCTGATTGGTTCTGTTTTTCAGCTTTATTTTTGTTTTTCTAAATTTTTCGGAAAAATTCTTTCAATAATAAAAAATGGTCGAAAATTCACCTCTCGACTCTTCTCCACAATCCGACTCAACATTTCCCACGAATGTCGTTCAGTGTCCAATTCGAAAAAATGATCCGAACATCCATATCCGCAAATCTCAAGTTCCGGTCCAACTCGAATTCTGGCGCCAATCGAATTCGCTTCTTCGCAAGTTTTTACAATCCGCTCATAGTTTCCCTTGAAATCCAATGCCCAGTTATTCAAAGTACACGTGGCGACACGTGTTCGACGATCCCAAACCATTCTGGTCTGTAAAAAATCGATAAGTTTTCCTGAAACAGAAATAGATAGAAAAAAGTGATAACAATAGTTTTTCTTGTTTCAAATCAAATAGATATATTTTTTGACTCAAGAACTTTCTCATCAATCAGAAAAGCCTAACTTATCCAATTTTTTATTCCAACATCTAGACACAAATATATATTTTTTCAATAAAAAAAAGAAAGAAAAGGAATAGAAGGACAGTAGAAATGCAATAAATTACTAAATAAATGATCACAAGTTGAAACGGGATGGGGACTTAGGAAATGTATGGTAAAGATTTGATTCTCAAACACGTCAATTATTATAAATATTATATAGATATAGATAATTTCAAAAAAGAGATAGCGAAAAAAAATAGGAGAAGCCCGGAAAAATGAAAATTGTACATGAAAAGGTGGAAAATGTGTGCCTAATTTTTCTTCTTCAATGATTTCGAGTCAGCTTCCGATTCCTGCAAAAATTTCATTTTATTGTTATATTTTACACGTAGGAGTTACCAGAAAAAGACAAAAATTGGGGACGTGGAAAAAAAACTCACAGATTCGTCATTTCTCTTTTTCTTTGGTTGAGCTGGTGCTGCTGCTGGGCGTTTTTTGTCCTTCTTTCCAGTGTCGCGGAATCTTCCAAGATGGAATGAGATGAAAGACCAGAAGAGAACCAATTGAAGGATAACAATTGAGAGAAGAAGATTCAATCGAACAAATGTTGTGTTGAAGTTTCCGATTGATGCATCAATATATGGTAATTCAGATTGACGAAGTCCATACCAGAAAGTCATAACTGAAAGGATGACTGATCCAATTCTAGCCAAAACGAACACAACATTCCAAGCTTTGAAGCTGAAAAATTAATTAATTAGTTTGAATGATCTAAAATGAAGTAACGAAAATATTTCTCGAGAAAAAATCAATAAAATCAGGAATCCTAGTCCCCCTGCAATTCTAGGCTAAACTCTAAATTTTTCTGTGACTCAAATAGAAGCTAAATACTTACACTGGCTTTGAGATTGATTTCTTTTCCAAATAATGGGTAAGACGAGCAAAATGGAAGATGACTTGAGCAGAATACTCCAAAATGAGTAAAACTAATGCAATTCGGGTGAAGCTGAAAATTGTCCATTATTACCTAACAAATGAGAAATAATTCTTACTTTAAGAAATAGGCGGCGGTGATGAAAACAGTGTAGACAATCGAAACAACAGTCTTTTGGCGAATTTCCTCTTTCTTCAGTTTTTGGAAATAGAATTCTGGGAATTGATGGAGCCAATAAGCGATTTGGAAGATGAAGAAAAGTTTGTAGGAAGCACTCATGAAACGGTGATCATCAGGATAACCGATCCAGATTCTGAATAGAGCAAACATATTTGAAAATCATCAGTTTACTAATCAAAAAACTCACTTTTTGAAATCATTCAAACCAACAAAGATTTCTTGAACAAGTTGAGAAGCATGGACAATTGAATAAATCGCAAACACCAAAGTATGTCCAGATTCAGTGAATTTGAAAGTGGACACTTTTGAAAGATGAGTTCTTCTTTGAAGTTTGTCGAGAACATATTCTTGAATGATTGCATGAACAACAATCCAAGCAACTGTGTAAAAGAAAATAGTTCCTAAATCGAGAATTCCGTTCTTGTATCCACTGTATGAATATTCTGCAAATACATTTGATTTTAAATTATTTTTTAAAGTATAAAAGCTTACCATTCCCATCCAAAACAACTTGTTGAGTTTCGTTGTATTGTGGAGCAATAAAAACGCCGGCAAACGAAGATGTTAATGGAAACATGAGTCCAACGATGAAAACCATCAAAACGCAACTCATAATATCGCCATGATTTTGAATGATAAATTCATGCGAGAAAACTGGCGGTGTAACTTTCTTGTTTCTCGGACCACCAACAGCTCGCCGGGTTTCTACCATTTCTGAAACAAGAATTTTTGTCCTTTGAAAATAGAGTAGAAAAACGAAAGAGCAATAAGCGAGTGACATGAATGTGAGATATATGACTTTGTTTAATTCAATGAAGCTAGAAAGGCGAAGGGGGAGGGGGAGGGGGAGGAAAATTGAAATCGATATGAGAGTGCTGCGTTGTTATGTGGCATGAGCATAAATGAGCTGAAACCAATTTAGCCTAAGAAAAAACAGCATAAAAAAGATCAATAAATAAAAAGATTCCAATATACAAAATACTTAATCTTACATTTTAAATCGAACACATTTATAAAATCAACGATGCATGCAAAGCTGAACATGCACTGGGTCCCATCGCGCGTCTATATTTTGCAGTTCGATTACGGTAGCCAGTAGTGTGTGTGTTGAAGAGACGCAGGCGGACAAACGGTTTTTATATGTGAAGCGATTATGTTATGTGGAAGAGAAGAATGAGGAAATGAGGACAAATGTTGCAGTTGTTTTTTTCAAACGTTTGTTTTTATATTTTTGACCTGTGATGATTGATAGGATAAGCATGTTTTGAGAAAAAAAAGATAAATATCTTTTCGATCTTTTGAAAAATGAACAAGTGTTTCAAAAAAAATAGGTTGAAACTTTAGAATTTTGAGATAATTCATACGAATAACAACATAATAGCTTTCAAGAAAAATATGAAACTTTGGAGTAGTAAATTGCTTTATTCAAATGAAAAAGTATGAAAAATCAATAATTATGCAGTAAAAATTAGACTATTCACAAGGAAAAATAAATGAAAAATTGGAATTATTCTGATTTGATAAAAGTAACGTCACAGGATACAGTATTCGTGGTTGGTGGTGCTACGTTTGAATTATTGTCAAATGGCTGAAAATTATTATTTTACTAATTTTAGAATTTTTTAAATAGAAAAAAAAACTTACGAAAAGTTTTACATTATTTTTCATTGCCAACTTTTCGAATTTTCCCAACTGATCGTTCGATTTCGCATTTTCTGATGTTGTCAAAATCAAACCTCGCCACTCCAAAACTCGAGAATCTTCAAAATTTGGCACAATGAAACTGATATATTTTTGATTTTCATCGAATCCCGAAATAGCGAATTGATAATCATTGACAATACAGAAAATTTTCAAACTTTGAGACCAAAATTTATGCCGATTTCCAATTTTTGAGTCGTATTCGAGATCGTCCACATAAACCACTTCAGTTGGAAATCCGGATTCTTGGAGAGAAGTATCGGTGTGGTGAACGATTTCACTTATCTCAAGCTGGTTTCCCATGCCAATACTTCCAGTGAACTTCACAATTTCCATTCTTGGATGCATAATTCCATATTTGTTCTTCGAAATTCGCGCTGATCCAAATTTTGCTTTCATCAATCCACAGTGATCGTTCCAAACAATCCAAGTGGTTTCATCGCCACTTCTCGAATATCCTAACATTCCGAAACTTGTAATCGAAACGTCTTCTGGTTTCTTCATATATTTGAAAACTGGGCGAAATATTGCCAATGATTTTTTTGGTGAAAAAAACGTGAAACCTCGACGTATTCCATTTCCCATTTCCAACCAATATACAAAATCATCTTTCGAATTTCGAGCGATATCTCCTGATATTTCAAATTTTCCGACTCGGCGTGAGAAGACCTCGATTTTACCAAAACTTGGTAGAACAATTCCTTCCGCATAAAATGGATAATCGACTTTGTGCAATAGTTTGGAACTTCCATAGCTGAAGTAGAAATTGTTATCAAAATTATAATTCAAAATTTCAAACTTACTAATATTTGTCCATTAAGTTTTTCACTTCTACATCCGACAATTCCGGTGATACAAATGACGATTTTGATTCTGATGTAGACGGCCCAGAATCCATTGTTTGCGATGCAGTTTCTTCAGTTGTGGTGGTGTTTTCGCTTTCAAAAGTCAAATCTCGCGCCACGCCTCGTTGAACGCTGAGCCACACTTCAGCGAATTTCGGGTCTTTTTCGCATTCTCTCAAGATGATTTCTCGATCTGACATGTTTCGAGCTAAAAATTTCATGTTCAATTTGTCAAACACACTAAAACTTTGAAAACAAATAAGAGTGCTGCACGAAAAAAAACAACTGCAAAAACCCTGACAAAAATATGCACAGAAACATTTTTGACAGCTTTCCAATTCGTCAGTTATCTCGGAATATCACACCCGCAAAAACAACAAAAAATTAGCAAAATGGCTGTTTTTATTGGCATACCAATTTTCTCTATCTTACATATGAAAGACCATTATAACCTGCCTCTGAAGATCTACGTTAGATTCAGAGTCATGCAGTGTGATAATATTATCACACTTTCTGCCCAAGTTCCATTAGTTTCTGCACGAAAAACAAGAAAAAAACAAAAAACAAAAAAAAACAAATTTTTGAAATGTCATGTATAATGCAAACGTGGACCAGCGTACTCCCGCGTTTTTCAAAAATTTGAAATGAAATTGTTCTTTTTCATTTTTTATTTCTTTTTTTTCAGTTGAAAAATGATATGGCCTATTATTGATGGACTGTATTTAGCTCAATATTCAGTAGTCTATGGTTCAGAAAGAAAACAAACTTTCGAAAAACATAATGTGAGTTTTTTTTAAATTATTTGCTAAATAGAAAATTCCGAAATTCAGATCAAAAGAGTGTTGACCGTGACAGATGCCGCAATATCAGAGGAAGTTCGAGTAAAAGGAGTGGAATACATATTTTTCGAAATGTTTGATATTGATAGCCAAGAGATTTTGGGAAACGGTTTATTGGAGAAATGTGTGAAACTTGTGAAAGAATCGATAGAGAAAAAGGAGAACATACTGGTTCACTGGTAAATTGTTTTTGAATTTGATTTTTTGATCAAAGACTGGTTTTAAAAATCCAATTTTTTATAGTTTGGTCGCAGTATCTCGCAGTGTCACAATTTGCCTGGCTTATCTCATGTTTAAAAATCAATGGTCTCTGCAAAAATCGTTAAAATATATGAAAGAAATTCGACCAGCCATCAGGTGATTTTTTCTTCAATGAATAAATTTCAATAACACATTTTATGCCTTCAAGTCCAAGCAACGGCTTTCTCGAGCAGCTGAAAATCTTCGAAAAATCAAACTTCAACTTGAATCATGAATTGTATACATCTGTGAGACTTGAGATTCCCAATTCGGATCAAGTTTTATATCGACATCCAGTTGAACAGAATACAAATGTTTTGAGATACAAGTGAGTTTTATTATCAAAGTGGTGACAGTTTAAAATTAAAAAAAAAGTATTTTAGGTGCCAAAAATGCCGGAAAATCCTTTTCAATATCTCAAACATAAAACATGGTGAAGAAAATTGTCAGAAAATTATAATTGAACCAATGAATTGGCTGAACTTATCGGACACGAGTTGCACGGTATTTTTTTTTTTGAAAGTTAATAAATTCCACGATGGATAAAATAAGTTTTTAGATCACTCATACATGTGGAGCAAAATTGGGAAATTTTGTTTTTAGTGGTTCAAACTGCCCAACCTGCAGAACTTTTGGTGAGTTTTTTTTCTTTGAATATTTTCTTTTAAAAATTAATTGAAAACATTTAGAATCCCCATATATTTGCATTGATAAATCGAACATCGATAGAGTTCTTCCGATTCAATGAAAACTTTTTAAAATCAGGTATTTGTTCTTTGTTAGTTTGTTGATCTCTTGTTGAAATTTTTTTATTCATTTCAAAGAAATAAAAAAAATCAAAAAAAAAATGCCCATTGTTCCTTCACAATAATAACATGTATGAACAGCCGTTTCGAGCCATCCAACATATAAAAACAGACAAAATGGCACAAAGTGACCATCCGTAGACAATGACAGTTATTATTTATTTTTTTCTCGTATTGTTTTTTGTTTCACAAAATGTGGTAGATTCAAAACAAGCCTGGGAAATTAATGAAGAATATTCAGATGGTGGAAGTTCAGTTTTTGGAGATATGAGTGAGTTAAAATCAGATTTTTTTTTCGAAAACAAGTTTTTTTTCAGTATTGACACCTGCTCAATTACTTCGATATGAAAGTGGAGAAGATAAAACAATTCGAGGTGTTTCAGTCAAAGCATCTTCCTATAATCGATGGGAGAATAACATAATACCTTATTTCATATCTCCACAATACACTTCACAACAGTAAGTTTTTCCACTGAAGATTACTGTATTTTTTTTCATGAACTTTTTTTTTTTTAGAAAAGCGGTTCTTCTGTCATCAATCAGATATTTCGAGCAAGTATCTTGCTTCAAATTCATTGAAAGATCTAATCAACGAGATTATATTTTCATAGTTCCACTTGATGGATGTTATTCGTATGTGGGAAAAATTGGTAAGAAGTTTTTTCAGAAATTGAGGTTTTCAAAATTTTCTATATTTTAGGTGGTCGTCAAACTTTATCTCTTGCAATCGATTGCATCGCGGATTATATAATTTGGCATGAATTGATGCACGCGATCGGATTTGAGCATGAACATCAGCGGCCAGATCGAGACTCGTTTATTCGGGTTGATTATCAGAATGTTATTCCAAATCAATTGAGTGAGTTGATTCGAATTGAAAATAAGTCACGGTAATTTTCTTCCAGTTAACTTCGACAAACTCTCATCGAATCTTGTTGATTTTCCTGATAATTATGACTATAAATCAATAATGCATTACGATGGTTATGCATTTGGTAAAGTTGATCAAGCAAGGAGAATTCGATTAGCAACAATGACACCGCTCAGAAATGGAATCAAATTGGATGATAACACGCGATTTAGTGCAACTGATATTCGAAAATTGAATCGGTTAGGAAAATGTAGATCAGTTGGAACAAATGCAATCAGTGGATCAAGAGATTGTGTTGATGCGTATTCGAATTGTGAAGGACATCGAAAAGTGAGTATTTTTCAATTCTGGGAAAAAAAAACAAAGCGAAATTTAAGAATGGAATGTGTCAAAATTCTTTATATCGCCGGGCAATGATTGCAAATTGTCAAAAAACTTGTGGATTCTGTAACTCTTCACGAGACCCAATAGAAAATTCTACACCTACCTCTCCTTCAAATTCCACTTCAACTTCTACTTCCTGTCAAGATTCTGATCCAAAATGTTCAAGTTACGCAGAAAACGGGTTTTGTGAACACACTTTTTATGATATCAATATCAAAGCAGAACGCTGTGCTAAAACTTGTAAATTATGTAAATAAAAATGAATGAGATTAAAAGAGTTGAGAATTTCGATGGAGCAGAATTGCAAAATTGTTTATCCTTGCACAAACATTGAGTGACACTATTTTGCACCAAAACACCAGCTGGATTCATCGAAACATCGTTGGTTTGACAAGTATTGTCAACACCATAAATATTGACATTTGAGCAAGTTTTGAGAATTTGTGTTCCTCCTCCGATTGACACACTTTTCTTGAGACAATATTTTTTGCTACAACGCGAGTCGAAACAATTTGAACCTTGTTTTGCCAAACAATCATAACAATTCACAGCATTTCCGTTCAACACTAAAAAAATTGTGATAAGGTTTATATTTTTGAAAAGCCAAACGAAAACTTACATCCAGTTGTTTGATTATCACAAGTAAATCTCGAATTCACATCAAATTGTTGATTATTACACTCATTGTCATTACAAAGCAAAAACACCATTCGAGTCGATTGTCCACTTGTTTTGTCCTGCCCATTCAAACTATAAGTCTCATCAATTTCACAAAATGTTCTGGTGCTATTATCATCAAAACGATCAGCGCGAGATTGTGTTAGAGTTTGATGACAACCTCGCACATAATAAGTTTGAATTGTGTTTCCAGATGTATCTAGAAACCAACATTTTCAAAAAATATTTCTGGAAATTTGAATGCAAACAAACCTGGATCAGTGAAACTCATAACCATACAAGGACCTGCGCAAGATGCAGTAACTGCTGGAGTATGATCACAACTTGTTGTAAAAAGTGAACTTGAAACTGGTGGAAGTCCAGTCAAATACCATTTACTTCTCAATCCTTGACTGGCACACTGCAATTTCATTTAGTTACTGTAAATACATACGGCTTCATTTTTAACCTACCGAATAACATAATTTTTGAGCAAAAACATTTTGGACAAAAATAGACGAAAAAGTCAAGAGAAAAAATAGAACGCGCATTTTGTTGAGAAGAAATATTTAGAAATACGAGAAAAATATCAGTTCATAAACTGTCGAATATTTACTTTTGCATAATCCGGCTGATTCATTTACGTGCCTGGTATGCACTTTCTCAAATATGATATGTTTTGGGAGGCTGAGGAATTGTAAGAAGTTTATGAAAAACATTTTCAAAATGAAAAAAATTATTAAGAATATATAACATGAATTAAAACAATCTGAACCCGCTTTTCTGCTCAACATAACTATTAAAATATGCTTTATGCGCAACATTTGTCCAAGTTTGTGCAGTTTTTATAAATTTAATACCAGCTGACAGCATTCCTTCACATCCAGACGCGCTTTGCTGACACATTTCATTTTGATCATCCAATTTGAATCCAAAAGCTTCACGTCGACATTGTTCCAAGTCCCGCATTGTTTGTCGAGCTTCAACTGCCCAAGGAGCAAGTTTCATTTCTAGAATTACAGAAAAAGTTCCCGAAAATAAAAAGATAAATGTCTACCTTCATATTTAGTTCCTTCAATTCTTTTGGAAAACGATGCATGCATCTTGTTATTCAATTTCATCAAAATCTCCGAATCGAATGAATTATTATAGTCAACTATTGGAGGATTCAATAAATGTCTTTCAAATCTTCGCAAATGAAGGAAAAATAATTTTGGATTATTGAACATTTCGATAGTTGTATATTGATTCTCATCATCTGGCATTAATTCATTTCGATAAATTGAATGCATATCAAAATGAATCACTCTTTCTGGTCTATGGAATATTTTTTTCGAAACTCGATAATCCCATCGAACACTTTCAACTTGTAACACTCTTGTTGCAAAAAGATCAAATCGTATATCATTTGGGCTTTTCACAGAATCCCAATTCTGTGGTTGATGACTCAAAATCCAATCAGCTTTGAATTGCGCGGCATTTGGATGTCGTTCAGAAACCTCATTCAAAACTTGAGCAATATTCAAATTATGAGCAACTGGTAAATCATCAAGATCAGTATTCGAAATGAATTTCACATTTGATCTTGCTCTCAACATACAATCATGCATAAAAGCAGTCGCACCTTGTCTAAATATTCTTGAATTCGGATCTTTTTCATAATTTCCTCGATCTCTTTCCGCAACTGGCACATCACTCCACTCGATTAATTCCAATGAATCACCCAATGATTCCTTATACAAATTCAAAATATGTTTAGTTTGCCAAGTATAACTATGCAAATAAAAATAGAACTTTGTTGCTCCTTGAGCCAACCAAGATTCCATAAATTGCACAATTGCTGTCCAATCAGTAAAAAAGAATATTGGATTCAAACAAACTCCGAGTTGATGCTCATATTTTCCTCGAAATCTCACATCTCTTACTGGAACTACAGTATACTCATCATTCATTTCTGATGTCACATGAATTTCAGCCACATTTCCAGAATTCTCATCAATTTTTAGTGATCCAAATCTTGTAGCCAATGAACAAAATAAAATATCCATACATGTTTTATTAAAACAAGACCATTCAACTGGTTGCCACGTTTGATTCGCTAACCGCGCTTTCAAATTTATTGCATTATCCTGATTTTCCAGATAAACCATTCGAATTTCATCGTTTGATACACGATATGCTTCACGAACATAAATTCCAGGAAATCCGCCAACTTTTGTTTTTCGGCTCATCCAAGCTTCTGAATTGAAAAATAAGAGAATGTTTGATTTTCTGAACTAACCTTTCAAACTCATGTCTCTTTTTCTCTTCATTTCTGAATTTTCGACTTTTTTGCCCAATGTGATTTCTTGCTCTCTTTCATCACGTTCATGTTGTTTAACCACATTCAAAGTTATAACTGAAAATATTCTTTATTTTTTTTAGTCAAAAAAATTATGGAATAGAAATTGTTTTTACCAAGTTCCACGTTCACTATTGAATAAAAAAATCAAGAATTCTCTAAAATTATTCTAGGCCGTTTTTTGGGAGCTCAAAAAAGATCTGTGTCAAAAATGTTTCGGTTTCTGAAAAATTAAATTCAAAAAAAAATCTGATATTTCAGAATTTCCGAAAAAAAAAACTAAAAACCGCAATTCCCTCACACCACTTTTCCAAAAAATCCCCTAAGTCCCAAATTCCACAAAAAACAAACTTTCACAAACTAACCCAATAAAGTCAAAATCGCGAAAATACAAAAACTAGCAGCTAATGTCCTCCGATTTTTACGCATTTTTGGGACAAAAATTAATGCGTCTCTACCGGCGCCCTATCTCAGTCAAAATCAAACACCGAAAACTGGAAATTTTTTTATGAAACGTACAAAAAAAAAGGAAAAGGGAGAATTAGGCGATCCTCGCAACACCTGATAGAAAATCTCCGCGATTCATTAGCTGTGCCATTCCTTCCGAAATTCCTTGCTAAAATGACACATTGTGTAGAGATAAAAACGAAGTTAGGTTAACTTACCTTTCTCTCATTTTCTTGCCGTGGTTTTTTTACCAGTAAGTGATTTTTGGAATGTGGTTTGTTGTCAATACATATATGTGATTGTGAAAATTGAAGCTTTTCCTGATTTTTTTAATTTGCAAAAAAGGAATCACAATTTCTAGGAAAAGAAGAGAAATATTTTTATCGAAAAGTATTTTATTTCCAAATAACATTTATTCCAAATAATTCTTCCATTATTTTAACTTTCGTAACTTTCGACGATTTTTTTGATAAATCGTTTTGACGAAAAAATCCTTCACTCTTCCCTTCCGGCTTCAATACAGATTTTCTGAAAGAAAACTGTCATATCTAAAAACTTCAATGAAAACTCACGGAACTTTGGCCTTCTCGAACAGTTGCCACAGTGGTCGCAATTTCCATAGAGGAATTTTTGTTGATGCTTTTATTGATTTTTCTTTTTCACTGAAATAAGAAGTATTGATACACTTTCTAATCCAACACACATTCTTTTGAATCTTTGTATTTTAATTGATTTTTCTCGATTCAAAAACTCGATCTACTTACCCATTGCAAATCCGAAAAATAACATCCATAATTTGGCCAATTGAAAGTTGCAGCTTGTCAAAAATGCTGGATTCGAACAAGTTTGAAACTTGGTGGTTACAGCACCATACCTAAATATGAACATTTTGGTAATCACAAAACGTGTTGTTGTTACAAACTCACTGCTTCACCTTCTCCAATAACAGGTTCGATTAAACATCCATTTTCGCACACTGGACGTTTCAACACTTCAAACTGTTCAAGTTTTTTGACGAGATCAATCCCATCCAAGTGTCGCAATTCGGTGTAATTGTAGCCTTCCAGAAATTGCTCTGGAAAATAATGTATTGAATATATAATTTTCAAAATAGGTTGTACTTTTTCAACGTTGAACTGAAATTACATATTGTTTCTGATAACTGAAAATCATCACAAAATATTTCTTTTTATCTAATACATCAAAGAGCCACACAAATTCCTGCCAGCAAACTTACTTCGTGTCTTCAAATGATTTTCTTTCAACTCATCAACCAACAATTCCAACAAACAATCCTGCTTTCGGGAAATTTGTCGGAGCACTTGATCTTCAGCGGGATTCATGATTAAAATAAATAAGAAATAAGATTAAATTTCAAATGTTTCACGTAAAATGAAAAGGTCACGTAAAAATAAAATTTTTTATTTTTATTTATTTATTTATTTTTTTTTTTATTTAGAGCCGTATCTCTGTCAAAATCAAACACCGAAAACTGGAATTTTTTATGAAAAATACAAAAAAAAAAGAAAAAGGAAGAATTAGGCGATCCTCGCAACACCTGATAGAAAATCTCCGCGATTCATTAGCTGTGCCATTCCTTCCGAAATTCCTTGCTAAAACAAACAATAAATAAAGATTTAAAAACTGAAATTAGGCTAACTTACCTTTCTCTCATTTTCTTGTCGTGGTTTTCCTTCGATAACTATATATCCACATAAAACTACATCTTTTTGAGGAGTTTTCATAACATATCGAGATCTTTCCACTTTTCCACTCTCAACATCGCTGTTGTATTTTTCAAGTGAGTTATTACAGCATAAAGTTGTCAAAAGTATGATAATTGGTAATAAAATTAGAGCAATAAGGACAACAAATCCCTCATTCAAACTGCATTGACAAACAAACTGAATTCCATTGTAAATAAAATAAATAGCTAGAAAAACAGTTCCAGCAACAAGTCCAAGACTTAAACCAGCACAAAGAACCATTCCAATCCATTTAATAAGAAGAATTGAAAAAATAATAAATCTTGAAAAATACCAGCGGAAAAACGCGCGGAAACCTTCTCCATTACTGTGTTGCACATGTTTTTCATAGGTTTTTCGAAGTTTCTCAATTTTTTCATCAACAAATTCTTGATGTTCATCAACTTCTTCTGATGCTATTTTGATTATTTGTGTTTCTTTTCGACTTTCTTTTCGCATCGATGTCAATGATGCTCGAATTGATGTTTTTCTCGATTTTGGTCCAAATATTTCCAATAAAAATGAAGATGTTGGCCGTTTATCAGAATCAATTGTGAATACTTGATCCACTAGATCGCAGATATCTTTCGAAGTTTTTGATGGCAATAAAACTTGGCTTGTGAAACTCAACGAATGCTGAGATGTCCACTCTTTCATCAATTCCCAGTGTAATTTTTCACCATGAAAATGCAAAAAGTGATCAGAAAATGGTGAAAATCTAGTGATCATCGCAACTAGAAGACAACCAACTGCCCTGGAAATTGGGTTTGAAACAAAAAGGTAGATCAAAAAATTGGATGGATTACCAGACATCAGAAGCCATTGTGAGGCAAGGAAAAGAGGCATAGGTTTTGAAAGCTTCTGGTGGAGAACTGAGCAAAGCACGACGTTTTTGACTTTGTGGAATACCCTCGATATAAGGATCGGATAATAAAATATCATTGGATAATGTGAGAAGAAGATTTGATGCTGGAAAAAAATGTACTGGGGAAAAATCAAAAAAATCTCTACCATTCAGTTTGCCGTGTACAATTTTCCGATCGTGCAAATAAGAAAGAGCATCCAAAGTTTGACAAGTATATTTCAATGCGAGTTCCTCAGACAATGAAGATTTCTTCAATCGATCTGCAATTGTCCCATTTGGAACATGTGTTCGAAATATAAACAATTGATTATTTTTCCAATGATAACCATAAGTTCTCGCAACTCTTCGATGCCTCAATTGACACAAATGTTCAATCGAACTTGTGATTTTATCATCCTCTCCAGTTTCAATAAGATATTCAGCGACCGTATAATTCGCCATAGTTGCTGTATATACGTATTTTCCAGTTTTACAACCCTTCGATCGTTCGTGAATTGTACCTGAATTTTTAAAGATGATGAATTAGAGATTTAATTAAACGGAAAGCAACGAAAACTAACTAATTGGAATCATTCCAGTCATAATTTCATCACTAATTCGGAAATTCAAAAAATCATGTCTAGACATTGTGGATACTGTAGATGGCGTAGGCGAGGGAGCATAAACTATTTCTTCGGTGTCAAGAAGAGGTTTTGCAAAATATGGTGAATTTCTTCGACGAAGTGGAAATGTATCTGAAGGTCGAAGTGGAGTTGCAACATCTTCGTCTTCTTCCTCGTCCTCTTCTTCTTCTACAATTATTTGAGGTTGCGTTGTTAATCGAGACATCTGAAAAGAGATTTAAGGTTGAAAAATCCAGAAAACATCTAGTAGGAATTTTTTCAGGGTCGAGAAATTAAGTTCAAATATTGTCGGTAAAATTTGGAAAATTAATTTTTTTCCCGAAAATTCTTGAAAAATCGATCTTAATTTTATTTTTGCTCTTGAAAAATGCAACAATTGAAACAAAATGAAAATCAATGTCTTATCACTTTTTTTCTCGATTTTTTATTGTTATCAAAAACTTTTCACTTATTCAATTAGAAAGAATCAAAATATTTTTCCCCTTTTTCGATCCAAAAAACAAAATAACAACAACATTCCACTTATTACTATAATCTTCATTAAACCTGATCCAATTTCCTCAAAATTTCGAGCGAGTGAAAGTCACTTATTTTTCAATTCTTCCTCAATAAGAAAACAAAAACGCTATTCTTCGTTCAAAAAAAGCCTAACAAGTTTGCCCTCATTTCTCTCAATCGAGCGTATATAAAACGATGAGAGAGAAGCAAAGATATCACAAACAATTTCGACTGGCGAGAACGTGTCCTCGGTAGTATAGTGGTGAGTATCCGCGTCTGTCACATGCGAGACCCGGGTTCAATTCCCGGCCGGGGAGAAATTTTTTTTTAAATTTTTTGTTATTTTCAGAAATGAAACTTTTATTTGTCCTTCTCGCAATTTTGGCATTCTGCGATGCTTGCGGTTTTCTTGGGGGCGGCGGCGGTTGCTGTGGTGGATGTGGCGGAGGATGTGGAAGAAGAAAAAAGAGAAGTGCTGAAATGGAAGATCACATCAAAAGTTCAGACGAAGACATGCTATGCAATAGTCCAGAATTAAAACAAGTCATTGTGAATAGTATGCAAAGCTCCGCTTTTGAATCCAGCAAAATCCTTCAACAAACATTGGAAGACTTCGAACCAAATAGATATGTTATAATATGTTCCGAACATCCATTTCATTATACAGTTCGACATGACACGGCATATTGTGGAGCAAGAAATGGAACACATTATTGTCAAGCTTTTATAATTTGATTTAATTGATTATCAACGCTTTTTGAATAATTGTGTAAATAATAAATATGTTTTTTTGTTGATAGCTAATCAAATATCCTGGTCTGCGGGATAATATAAAAGAGAGTTTCAAAACACGGAATATCAATCAGATTTTTTGAAAAATGCTCGGAGAAATTTTCTATTTTGGATTAGTGGTCACAGTTTGCCTTTCGGAAATTGTGAGTTCTAGAATTTATTCAGAAATAAATACTGTGGGATTTTTTGAAGACTCTAGGATACAAATTTAGAAAATAAAAATTTTCTGACCATGAATGTTACTGTATTTTCTCTAAATATTTTCTGAGAATTACAGTAATTTTCAATTTTTTTCCTGGAGATTTCAAGAGCTAATATAATTTTCGGGAGTTTTGAGGTTATTGTAAATACAAAACTGCATAATATCAGGTTCCCCAAAATATTTTATCAAAGTTTTCTAACCATAAAGATTACTGTATTTTCTCCTAATATTTTTCTGAGAGTTACTGTCTTAATTTTTTGAGAGTCAAATTTTTTATCAAAACTTATTTGAGCCCAAATATGTTTTAATTCCACCGCAACTGCTTATTATAAAATCATTTTTCTCTAGATTAATATCCCGCCACAAACTGAACTTGCAATTGTTCGCTCAAAAAGACAATGCGGTGGATCAAATGGTTGTTGTGCTGGAATTTGTAATTGTGGAGATATGGGACAATGCGGTCAAATGTGTTGTATGCCATCTCAGCCAAATCCATGTGCTTGTGGAACTCCAGGCTGTATGCAATGTGTGGAACAAACTGTTTTAGTTCCTGTGCAAGTTACAAGTTGTTGCAAATGTTGTCAACCAGTTTGTACAAATGCTTGTGTAACTGGAGGAGGTTGTAGTTGTGGATGTACACGTGGAGGATGCGGAAGGAAGAGAAGATCACTTTTAGCGATTGCGAATGAAGAAATGAATAAGAGAGGAGAACATATGATTGGAATTAATTGAACTTAGCTATCTTTTTGAAATAAAATTATATTTAACTAATAATCAAAAACTCCTTTTATTTACTTATGAAGAACAATCAAAACTTCTAAATTGTCTAAATTTTGTTTGATGCAAATTATAAGAATACAATGCATGTAAACTTCGATGAATCACATCAGCTCCAACACATTTTTTCGAATCACAATTCCAAGAATTATCACAAGTTTTGATATTTGTTTCATCTCTCTTCAAAGATATTCTCATTTTATTCAATCTGTCGCTAAACATCGGAGTGATTTCTGAATTGAGATCAAATGGTGTTCTCAAAATATATGTTTTCGTGGATCCGATTTTGATTTCATAACCATGGGTAGTATTAATAAACGCGTTATATTGCATAATTGAAAACTCGGGGAATTTCGAAAATTCTGCAAAATAACTTTGATGTCCAAGAAGTGGTGTCACAATTTGATCAATATCCTGGAATATCAGAAACTTCGCCGTCGACCTGCAAAAACTTTTATTTATTTTCATATTTTCTACCTGCTATGAATAAGTTCCCTTACCTATACATCAGCATACAGTTAAGTTGCGCTAATTCTGATTTCAATTCAGATTTGACAATCGGATATCTTGACAATGGATTCGCATCCAATCGTAATTTCCCAGATTTTTCGAATTGCCTCAAATATTTGAAAATTTCTCCCGGTAGTTCCTCATAAGGAAGATTGACAAATGAGCCCATTGAAATTGATTTGAGTATGGCTAATTTAATAGGTTTTTATTTTTTTTTTCGTTTTTTTTTTTGTTTGTATGTAATTTCTAAATAAAAAAGACTTACCTGTTATTGTTGTGTTCATTGGATTTGATTTATTTATTATTGATGCACAAGTTACAATTCGATGTCTTTCTGAATGTGCTCGAATTGGTTGAATTTTCAAAGCAGGTCTTCCGTAAAACGCTTCAATCAGGTCTGATTTCTTATGTTCGGATGTTACTAATATTGTATTGTTCATTGAAATTTCCCCAGTCCATGTTTGAATTTCCGAATATTTTCCAGAAATTCCTGATCTTTCAAGCCTTAAATGTATTTCATTTTCACCATCGAGTAGAAAAATATCACGTTCTTCAAACTTGGAAAATTTTGGAATATTGAAAATCAAACTCAATTGATTTGATTTCTCTAGAACTGCCGAGGTCACATAAACATCATAGATTTTCGAATATTTTTTTCTGATATATAAAATGAAAATAAGGAAATATAGGAATACAAGAAATTGGATGAGGTAAAAAATGGGATTTCGCATGGAAAAAGTAGATAGAGAGAGGCCAACAACAGAGAGGACAAAAGGGAAAGGTTGAGAAGATTCGATTTTTAGATAAATGAAAATCAACCTCGAATTTTATAGGATGGGGAAAGGGTGGAATAAAAAACAAACTTGGGAGTTTTCGAATCGGACCAGGATGAGAATTGTTTTTTTTTAAATCAAATTTCTTTTGTAAAAATTTTCTGAAGTGTTTTAGATATCAAACAATTCTGCTGAATATTTTTCGATAAGATTTCAAAACTTACAAAAAATTCCGAGATGTTCCAAAATTCTTTGACCAACTTCAATATGATTTGAAAACATTTGTTTCATTTTCTTATTTCGAAAAATCGCTTATCCCATTAGCAAATCCAATTATCCTTTTTTCCCAAAAAAAACAATCATCGCTCCAATTTCTTCTGGCATTCATTCGGTTTTTTTTGCATAATTGATAAATTGTGTTGTCATAAACTTTATTGCGTCCGCATAATTTCCACCACCAATATTCATTTTTTTCTTCTCAATTCCACCCAAAAACTTTATTTATTGTTGTTAAAAAAGGAGAAGAAGAAAAAAAAAGTTTGTCAACAAAACTTTAATCAAATTTCAGTTCTTCCCCTTCTTCCATAATTTTTGTCTCTGGCCAAAAACCAATCCCTGTTCCCAATTTTTCTTGAGCCGGTTCCAATTCTAATATGTATATAAATAAAATAATAAAAATATTTTCAAATCGTCAGCGTTCATTCGAAAAATGACTCATTTTTTCTGCTGGACGAAAATAAAACCGTTATTGTTTTATTTTTTATTTTAATTTTTTTGTTGTTGAAAAATTGGGCTGTAGTAAAAAAATTGTACGGTTTTTTGTTAGATTTTTCTCTGTGCAAGCATGTTCAAAAATTCTGTCTATTTCCAAGATTTGATACGTTTCAAAATCATTTGAATAGTATTTTCTGTTTTGAGAATTCGGTATTCATGATTAAAATAAATAAATGAGATGAAATTTCAAATATGTCTCGTAAAATGGAAAAAATCAGTATCAAGATTTTTTTTCAATGTTTTATTTAAAACAGTGTTCAGAATTTAAGGTGTTTTCGGAAAACAATTCGAAAAATGGGAAACATTTGAGAAAAAAAAATGGATTTTCATCATCAACATATTTAGTCGAATTTATCCCGATAAAATTGATATAAAATTGAAAATCTCGAGTTTCTCAAAGGTTTTCAAATTTCAGTTCTTCCCCTTCTTCCATAATTTTTGTTTCTGGCCAAAAACCAATCCCTGTTCTTAATTTTTCTAAAGAAGATTTGATACGTTTCAAAATCATTTGAATGGTATTTTCTGTTTTGAGAATTCGTTTACTGTTTTACTTTCTCTAATTACAATATTGTGTTGACAGCCATTTTATTGAAATTGTTTCGAAAAATTTTGATTACTAATTTTTGTAACTTTTGTGTTATTCCAAAAAAATCCCTAGAACTTTTTTTTCCAAACCTGAGGGGCTGAACTTCGTTAGTTAGAAAAAAATAAAATAGTCCCATGTTAGAATTTTTTTGAAAAATTTCAACGTTCTTGTTTTTTTTGAGTTATGAATTACAATTCCATAAATTTCTGTTTTCTGAAATTCATCCAAACTATTTCCGCTTACAAAATGTTGTTAGTTAAAACACTGATCAACATCAGCTCCTTTTCCAAATATATAACTTTTTCCAAAATTCTACAAAAAAAGGCGGAGTTTTGGATGATGATCAAAGCGCATATTATCATTGTTCACTTTGAGTTGCGTAAATATAAAGAAGTCGCCTAAATGTCTACAATGCCAAGCCTCTTAACGCAGAAAAAAACATCAGCTTCTGGCAAGCGGCATCAGTGTCACATAACATACAGATTGAAGACAAAAGAAATACGAATAAGAATAAGAAGAAGAAGCAAAACTTCTATTTGCTCTCTCACAAAACAACAAAACAACTGCTAAATCAACATAAACCGTACAAGCCTGTTATTCTCGGGTTTATGCTTCTTTTTCTGTTTTTTTTTGCTCTTGTCTTTGCCTTTTTTGGTCTGCCGGTTCATTTTTTTTGTTTTTGCAATTGCACAACAAAAAACTGAACCGAATAATCAAATTACGCATTTCGAAAGGACCACTAACGAATTGAATTGATGAGAAAAAAGATAGATGAGGTTATTTTTGGAACAAACATTTTTTCGAGAATAAGATTCGTGGTTTTCGAACTTTTGACTGACTTGATTAATGCGCTAGCTGAAAAAAACCAAGTTTCTTTCTAGTTTTAAGTTTTTCTAAAGACCTCCAGGGAAAATTTCGAACTTTTAGAATTTGAAGTTCTATATCGTACCAGGCAAAAAACAATGCCTTTGCAGATTTTTTTCCAAAAAAGGAAATGCTTGCAAAAATGTTTGTATATAGTTTTTGATGAAAAACGCGCTGACCAAAGCTATCAATTTCTGGCTAGCAGAATAGGAAATTTTTGAACTTGACTACTTTTTCGGGTCGAACTTTGATTGGTTTCGAAATTTTCTGAACACAAAAATGTTCACGAAGAACTCTGATCTTCAAAAAACCCGAATTGTAGCTAATTTTTTTTGTGGAAAAAAATCCGATCAAAAAATCAAAAATTGTCTTTGAAGAACAAAAATCTTTTTTTTAATAATTTTTTCTAAAAATTCCAGAAGTTTTGCGCTCAAAATTTTCGAGGTACACAAATTGTAGTTAATCAAATTTTGAAAACGAAATTTCCAAATTTCTCATTTTAAAAAATGAGCTAACTTTCTAAGGGATCAAAAAGTTACTGATCAACACACATGAATAAAACACTAGCCACACCCTAAACACTAAAAAGAAAATAATAACGCAACCCAAAGCACATAATAAAAAATCGGAGGGCACCCAGAATGTTTCATTTCTTCTCCCTCCACGAAAATAACTATAGTCGTTAAAGTAGTTTGAGCTGCTGATAAGAATTCCGGCGCCCGATTCCCTCCCTCCGCTTTTTTTTCTTCTGCCTGCCTGCCCAGTGCCCACTTTTCTCGAAGATGGTTACGAATTTTCTTTTTTTTTTATGATCTCTCATTGCTACTGTTTTCTGCACTTCATTCATGATGGTGCCAGTTTGATTATGATTATTATTTTTTTTGCTGCTGCTGCTTGCGGTCTTTTTGATTCTCTTCTCTGATAATCAAATAATAAACATTTATTATTTCATTATCAATTTTTCCAGACACTCATTGTTAGGAATTACTAATTAATTAATTAATTAATTATTTCTTGTTTCTAAATAATCCTTTTCAAAAAAAAAGACCATTTAAAATGCCACATGTCTCTTATCACTTGCACTTTTCAACATAACATCGTGCAAAATGTTGCTAAATTAGGGAAGGATGTGTCTGTCCTCTAAATTCAGAAATTTTTATGTACATACATTTATTGTGACAGTTTTTCGCGCGCGTGTGTGAGTGTTTGTGTTGCAGGTGGACCTTATTTAGAATGAAATTAATGCAGCTGGTCTTTGTCATACTCTGAATTACGCGTTTCGACATTTTTTTTCGACAGGGTTTTTTGTTGGGTTCCTTGGATTTTTTTGTTGATTTTCTGAACTTCCTGAAAAATTCTCATAAAATATTTGGAAAATTACCAAACATCTGATCTTTGTTCTAGTTAAGAGGTTTTATCAATGTTTCCCGGAAATTCGAAAGTGAAGTTTTTGAACTCGAGAAGAATTTGAAAAAAAAACGTTTCAAATCTTTTTTGAGTTGGAAAATTTCAATAAAAATTCTCCTGAACCAAAATTCTGTTTTATTCTCAATTTTTCTGGAATAATCCGAAGTTTACATTTCGCAAAATTAAAATTTAATCTCTGATTTCCAGAAAAAAATGAGATCAAAATTTTCTTGAAAATATTTCAAAATGTTTTCTCTCAGAAACTTATCAAAAATTTTCGGAACATTCAAAAAAGATGAAACAATTAATGTGATAAATATTTCAAAAGCGATTACTTTAAAAATGACGAATCTTCTCGCATCTGTTCACACTTTCCTTATATCGTTTTCATTTCCACACACAAAAAAGGCCAAGCAAAAAAAGTATGGTATTGTTTAATAGTACGCTTGTACATAACATAAATACCCGGGCCTTGTGTGTGATTAATTGTATATATATAGTATTCCTCCACAGTCCAATGCTTTGTTCTCCCTCATTTCTTATTATTTTCTTCCGGAGGCGCAAGGTCATATATGTGATTATGATATTTAGTTAGTTAATATGTAGTTATCTTATTACAAGTGACATATATTTTTTCTTCAATTATTTGTTTTTTCTATCTTCTGTGGTAGAAATTTCGAGGACAGTTCAAATAAACAAGCTACCTGTTCTGGTCTGTTTTGTTGACGGATTTCAAATCATTTTTGTTTTTGATGCGCTTTTGAACCTCACAACAAAAAGGTCACACCATTTATATTTTTGGTTTTCATCAAAAGTGTCAATTCCAATTCCAAGTGTTTTATTATACCGGATGGTAGCAAAAAACACACTTTCAGTTTCTATTCCTCGTCATTTTGCTGATAATAATTTCAACACAGAAATACTTGTTTCTTTCAAAATTGCCTAGAAGTTTCAATTTTATCAGGTTCGAAATTCAACCTATTTTTTGAATGAGTCAGAGTATCAGGAACTGGCCCATATATTTTTTGGAAAAATTCATTTTTTTGAAGTTTTGAGGTCAAATTTTGGTATACCGTATGCTCTTTTTTTCAAATTTTGAATCGTGGCTTTTGAAATCCTCAGAAAATCTCCCGAATCATAGATCAGACTAGCTGAGATTTGAATTGTTGTTGTTATTTTTTCGCACATCTCTGAATCGTAAAATGTTTCATCTTCATCATCTCATTTTTTCCTTTCTTCAGCTTTTCCCAATTCAACCAACACCTGGTTATCGTCTCCTCATTTTCTCTAATATTTTTATGTTGCTCTCCAAGATCCTTGAAGTGTATCAATTTCACAGGTTTTTTATATCAGATATTTATATATACAAAGTGAGTGAAATGACCAGCGGCCATTTTGCACTTTTTTGCGTTGAACAGATATTTTTTAGTGTCTTCATTTCTCTTTTGCAATCTGTTTGCAATATGAAACTTTTCGTTTTCGTTCAATTTTTCGAGTCGGAAATCATATATTCGTAAAATTATTATTCATTTTTTGAAAGCCTTCAATTTTTTTCTAGAAAATGTGTCTTCATAACTTTTGACCTCATGAAAAACTGGTTCACAAAAAACTGAAAGCAAGTTTTTTGTTGTCTGGAAATATGACAATCAAATTGTCACCTTGTATTAAACAAAGCTAAAATTCTTGACGTGGAAAAAGTTAGAAATGTATAATTTTCCGGAAATGAGAAATATAAATTGCCACCTTCTACGGTTCACGTTTTTTTTCGAAAAAAAAAAGAAATTGTGATTATTTTAAAATGATCACTCAGAACTCGAATTTTGAGGAAGAGTAGTAATAAATTTTTTTCTGAAAATGAAAACTATTTTCAGAACTATACTATACATCCGATACATTTAATTGAAAAATCCAATTTCCTAGAGTCGTTCATGAGGGCCAATTAAACAGATGAACTTATTCGCTCACATTAAATTTCAAAATCAGATTTTGGAAAACATTTTTGTTCATTTGAACTATTTCCATGTCAGAATGGAAAACTTTTAATATTCAAGTGCTCTATAAATCCAAAGATACAGTTTCTCTCTCTTCCGTTTTTCCTCAAAAACTTTATATTTGTTGTTTTTTATCCAATAAAATCTGTCTTCTATACAATTTCAATAAAAAAGCACTTTATATCCGTTTTGTTTCAAAATTCTATTAATATTTTTATTGGTTTGATCTGGTCTGCTCTGCTCTTTTCTTTGCTGTTCCAAAAACTTTAGACTATCCAAAGATTTGAATTTTTGAAATCCCAATCATTTTTTAAGCACCTGCCAGATCCACCTGTCCCATCATTTCTGTCATTTTCCATTTTTTGCAATCTAAGCCACTCTCTCAAAATTGTTGCGACCAGCCCAATACAAAAAAATTGGCAACAATTTTGAGTGAATATTTTTATTATTATTATCAAAAAAAAACCAAATTGCGGCTGTTGCACTTTTTAGTGCCAGATACACTGCAAAAAAAATTTACAACACTCATCCCCCCATATATTATATTATTTTTACTATTATTGTTGTTGTTATTTATTTATCTATTCATTTTTTTTTCGTTGAGTGAAAAGTTGTGAAGTGCATTTTTTGCTGCTTTGCCGAAAAAAATCATTCAATTCGTAAGGTCATTCTGATTTATTGGATTTTTCGTGTCCTCTAGGACCAGGCTAATGAGCGAGCGCCAAAACTTTTCTTAATGGAAATGAAAAACTTTTTCCGCGAAAATTATTTTAATCCACATTTCTCCAAATGTTTTTTGAAACTTTTTTGTAACTTTCTCATATTTGAGTTAGACTAAGTTTTCGGCTTGTAAAATATATTTAAGGTCGACCGGAAGCTCACTTTCAGTAGCCTTAGCCTAATTTTAGGTCCATGAGCCTTTTCTAGATAATCTTAGGATCGCTTTGTGTTATTTTCAAAAACAAAAGTGAGTACTGAATTTTTTTTAATTTCGAAGTTCAAATTTCAAAACCATAAACTCTCGATTTTTTTTTTTTGAAAAATACCTTTTCTGCGAAATTATTTTTTTTTATTATTTCTGTTAAATTTTGAAACCTTGCTCATATTATAAATTCTCCAAATTATTTCCCAATTCTCAAAAAATTGGTTCAAAAGTTCAACATATCTGTTGCCAAGCATCTTCCCTTCTACAATTTTTTTTACGAGTTCCTAACATCTGCCAAACTGTCACAACCCAGTACTTCGTCTGTATTTCCTCGCTTCGTTTCAAGACAAAAACCATTTCCGGTCTTCTTCTTCCCGAAACCAAAAAAGGGCATTTGGTCAAGAAATAAGCACAAAAATCAAGAGCGCGTTTCGTTCGTCGGCACAAACACAACATTTTTTGTTGCGCTTTTCCCTACGTGCGCAAACTTTTAAAGTGCTCCTATCTATCTATCTGCAAGCGAAGACGAGACAAAAAATTCCTTTTCATTCCAGAATTGTTGCTCCTACCCCTAGGGACTTCTTCTGTGTGCTCCAAAAAGTTTTATGTGGTTTCTGATTATATACCTAGTAGGATTAGTAAAAAAGAGAGGAGAAGAAGAAGAAGAATGCGCACTTCGTCCTTATGAGAAGAGAACCCTTTAAACCCACCACATTCTGGACAAACACTCTGCGCCTCTTCGTCTTCCGCACTATCTTTTGCTAAAAAAAGAGGGAGATGAGAAAAAAAGCACAGTAATCTCTAGTCTTGTTTAGAGACCTGAGTGAACAAACCAACAAAGCGCAACGCAAACCGATTTTGTTGCGTTCTTCCCTTTCTCTTTTTTCAAAACTTCTCTCTTGACCACATTCTAGATCTTCTTTGCTCACTCAACTCAACTCACTTAAAATATTTTCAGACACCAAACAGAACTTCTCTCAATCATACATAATCTCATCTCTCTTCTTCATTTTTTGACAGGTACGTGTCCCATTCTGTCACTTTGAATTTCAAATTTTGCTTTTCAAATTCTCGTCTTTTCTCCTCAAAAAACTAGATTCTTATTTTGAAATATTTTTATTTTTTATTACTATTATTTTCATGTTTTTGCATTATATCTGAATTTCATTGTTATTGTTTCTGGGTCATTGAGCTCGGGTTACTGTATCTCTTTCTCTACTTAAACAGAAATTGAAACTGTGCCAGATAGTTTTTTTTGCTGGTTGAAAGAGTGTGAGAAAATACATAAGAATGCACTTTTGATGCTTACTTGTGTGGGTAAACAAATCGGAACTGTGCGTATCGTATTTCGGAACCCACGCTGAATGACGATTTCTTGAATTATTTCTGACTCATCTTAATTTCTAGTCTGCTTTTAAATAAAAATTGAGAATTGCTAGTTTTGAGTCATAATCTTTTGAAATTTATCTAAACATGCTCGTTTATTTAATTTGGAATTATTTGTATTGAACATGTAGGTGAAGAGTGGGTTTTTGAAAATTCCAAAGAATTCTTGTTCTTCTAGAAAATTTTTCAATCTCCCAGATTTCGTAGATTTCGAAAAATGGAATTTTTCTGAAACTCTGATTTTTTCGTAAAATTCATTTGGCTGGAACTTTGCGGAATTCTACAATTTCGGAGCGGACCATCTAAATAAGCAATTATTTCTAAAGAAGAATTCAATTTTAATGAAACTTGGTGAAATTTTATATAACGGCCATGTTGAAAAAAAATGAAGGAGTCGAAAAGTGCTACTTCGCTCATTTTGAGCACCTACGTGGGACCAAAACAAGAAATGCACCAATTAAGAGCTACGATTTTCCCTAACTTCAATTGTCAAACATTAACTTCTGAGCAACATTTTCCCTGTTTCAAATTTTGGCTGAATAAAAACACAAGCTCAACATTCTAAAAATTAGTACCTCCTTCTAGAATCTCACGATTTATTTTCAACAATAAGTTTCATGTTTCAAGTCTGAACAACAATTACTACTACTACGACTACTAATTCATGTTTTATCCCATCTTCTTTCACTTTATCATTTTTTGCGTTGTTTCATTTTTTGTTTCTCCTGTTTCTTGCGTCAGTTGCCCATTTTGCTCTTTTTTCCACCCTCTCTTTTTTGCCTTTCCCCCTTCCCGTTCTTCTTCTACTACAACTACTATAGAAAAGATGAGATTGAAAAAAGAGAGCGAGAGAGCAAGATGATGCAAGTGAAGAGCACGACGAAACCATCGAGAGCACGGACACAAGAAAAAAAACATATAGCAAAGCAAGAAAAAAATGAAACCAGGCCGAAGAAACACACAAAGTAAAACGATGGGGTTGAAATGAAGAGATGAAGAAAATGAAGATTGAAGAAGAAAGAAGAGACTTGTGGTCCACATCTAATTTTTCAAATCACAACATCACTTTTTGTTCCGTCTCATTACAATTTGCGGCAGAAAAATGTGTTTTTTAGTTGTTAAACATGACTCTTCGTAACTTTTGAATTTTAAACTCTCTCCTTCCTTCTTATCCGAATCAAATCCCAAAATTTGTGAAAAAAGTACTAGATCACGTTATCTCGAAGCTCATCAATCTTCTGTCGTTTTTCAATTTTTCGAAATCAATCATTCATTTTTTCGTATACGCACATGGAGTTGTTTTATCTCTCCGCGACGTTCAAAAAATAATTTTCATTTTTTTTCAGAAAGATCTTCTAAACCAATACACATCATTCATCAATCAGAGCTAAGCGATTTTATGAGGTTAGTTAAGTGAAACCAGGCGGTGTGGTTTACTTAATAGTAGTATGTACTAGTACTTATCTTATCATCAAATATTTTTGTTTGATTTATATTTATAATATATTTTGAAAAAAAAGAAGAAGAATGAGCAGAAGATTGTTCTTTATTTTCTAGCTCGATAAAGTGGGCGGATGTTGATCTTTTTCTTGAACACAATTATAAAATGTTTCCAACCAAAAGTATTTGCTTATCTTTCATCTTCATAGAACAGTTTATTTCAGAAACCTGTGATGGTCAATCAATTTCGAAATCAACAACAACATCAACATTTCTTCTTTTCATCATTATAATAATACAAATACAGAAGATCCCCGGAACATTGGTGGTCACCGGGTAAGAACGGAGGACCGGCTGGTATGCGCCGTTCGTTGCTATTTCAAACAAAATCCGCTGCTGCCGTTGCCGTTGTTGCCGTCGCCGCCTTTTTTATTGCTCATTTTATCATCACACGGATTATTGTTCAGAGGTCAGTTGATTTTTCTTTTTTTGATCTTTGCTAATTTTTCAGACAGACTTCTCGGCGCCCCTTGTCGAGTTAGTTGGTAAATACACATTTTCTAGAGAGCTTTAGTGCGTCACGAAATTTTTTCGGAATTTTCCAGAAAAGGGTTAGGAAATATTGCGGATTAGGATGAACTTGCTGAAGTTTACGGGATGACCCTTTCTTTAGAATAATTATATTCTACGGCATCTCAAATCCTTAATAATTTACAGATCGTGGTTCAGCATCGGATGTGTTGCTGCTCGACTCCCGGGCCAAGTACTCAGGTGTGCGAGTGCAACACACACCACATCGACTTGACAACGGCATTTTTGCCATTGAACCACAGCACATCAGACGACGATTGGTCCGACGTGACATCGACGAGCAACAGAAAACACGTTTCAAGAGAAGTGGTGGATCGGCAAGATTGCGAGGTGTCGCACGAGAATGTGGACACGCTTGCCATCTCAAATTACGATCCGATGATCAAGTCTATGTTGTTTACCTCCATCGATGGAATCAAATTCCGGCGTCGCATAATAAGTGAGTTACTTTTTAATTTTGATTTTTTCAAAATGGTTCAAATTTTCTAGAAGTATTCCAACGATCTCAAACCACAACTATGCACCCCTTGTATTACATTTGGATTCGGAAGATTCGGTCAGCGGTAGAATGTCACGCATTGAACCAGATTGTATCTACCGAGCTCATGTCAAAAATGTTGAACAACAAAGTATCGTCAATTTATGTGACTCCCACGAAGGATTAGTGAGTGTTTTTGACCCAAAAAAAAATGAATTGCTCATATTAAATTTCCAGTACGGAATGCTTGCCCTACCATCCGGTGTTCATACAGTCGAACCAATCATCGGAGATGACGAGTTCGGTCGACACCGACATCATCTCGTCAGAAAGTTCGATCCACTCCACTTCAAAGCATTCGATCATCTCAATTCAACAGCCGGCGAGGAATCGAAACCGAAAAACTTCCAGGATCATCAGTGGGAGGATATTATTGGTTAGTGACTTTTTTGTGTGTGTATCTCACCCCCACTCAAACAAACTCTGACCTTTACACGTAAAACAAAACTAGTGTGTGTGTGTCTGTGTGAGCGCTCGCGTAGACACACACACTCGAAAAATACCTTTAGTAGCGCAGGCACTCGCTTGAGTACCCTTTCTGTCATCATCATCACCACAATAATATGGTTTGCGAGGATAGTAGCCATTAGGGCGCGCGCTCTTAATTGATTGCGCATCATTTAGCAGAACGATTTAATTTGAATAGATTTAGATTTGATATGTAGATAGAAGAAGAATAAGAAGAATTGGTGTGAAACAAATGTGTTAAAAAGGGAACGTTTTGGAGAAAAAAAAAACAAATTTGTGTTTTCTTTCAGAACGAAAAACGAGATCACGTCGTGCTGCAAATTCTTGGGATCATTATGTTGAAGTGCTTGTTGTTGCCGACACAAAAATGTATGAATATCACGGTCGTTCATTGGAAGATTATATCATAACTCTTTTCTCAACTGTCGCTTCAATCTATCGCCATCAATCACTGCGAGCTTCTATCAATGTGGTTGTTGTCAAAATTATTGTTTTGAAAACTGAAAGTGCTGGACCACGAATCACTCAAAATGCCCAACAAACACTTCAAGATTTCTGTCGTTGGCAACAGTATTATAATGATCCAGATGATAATAGTATACAACATCACGATGTTGCAATTTTATTGACAAGAAAAGATATTTGCAGGTATGCATTTGTTTTCTAGTTTTGTTCATTACCACAAGTGAATTATTTCAGATCACAAGGTAAATGTGATACACTTGGTCTTGCTGAGCTTGGAACAATGTGTGATTTGAAGAAAAGTTGTGCTATAATTGAAGATAACGGGTTGAGTGCTGCATTTACGATTGCTCATGAATTGGGACATGTGTAAGTTGAACATACATTCAGCAAAAAATAAGAGAAAACATATGTGTCTTTCAGTTTTTCTGTTCCTCATGACGATGAAGCAAGGTGTAAACAATATATGCAACTCACAAAAAACAACTTCCATATTATGGCTCCAACTTTAGAATACAACACTCATCCGTGGAGTTGGTCACCTTGTTCAGCCGGAATGCTCGAACGATTCCTCGAGTTTGTTGTGATCCAGGGGAAAAACAACTAGTGTTACTTTTTTGCAGAAATCATCGAGGACAAATTCAATGTTTATTTGATCAACCGGTCGAACGCCGTTTCTACGAAGATGTGCTAGTAAGAGATGAACCCGGTAAAAAATATGATGCACATCAACAGTGTAAATTCGTTTTTGGTCCTTCATCCGAACTTTGCCCTTATATGGTAAGAAAAAACTAGGGTTTCGATTTGAAAAAATGGAAAAATCAAAAACTTCCACAACAAATTCGATTAAATTTTCAGCCGACATGCCGTCGACTTTGGTGTGCTACATTCTACGGAAGCCAAATGGGCTGTCGAACTCAGCATATGCCATGGGCTGATGGAACATCTTGTGATGAATCGAGAAATATGGTACCTCCACTCAATTATTCATTCTAACCAACTTTAATTTGTTTTCAGTTTTGTCATCACGGAGAATGTGTTCGACTCGCTGCCGATTCACTTGCTAAAATTGATGGACAATGGGGAGATTGGCGTGATTGGGGAGAATGCAGTCGAACATGTGGAGGTGGAATTCAAAGAGGACTTCGCGATTGTGACAATCCACGACCATCAAATGGCGGAAAGTATTGTGTAGGTCAACGAGAACGATATCGCTCTTGTAATACACAAGAATGTCCGTGGGATACACCAGCATTTCGAGATGTTCAATGTTCTGATTACAACAATAAAGATATTGGAATACAAGGAGTCGCGTCGAAAAACACAATTTGGGTTCCAAAATATACGAATGTTGCCGAAAATGAGAGATGTAAATTGTATTGTCAACTATCTGGAAGTGCTGCATTCTATTTGCTCAAAGATAAAGTGAGTGTACATTTGGAAAGTACAAAATAACACATATAAACTTCAATTCTAGGTCATCGATGGAACTCCTTGTGATCGTAATGGTGATGATATTTGCGTTGCTGGAACTTGTATGCCAGCTGGATGCGATCACACTCTTCAATCAACAATTCGTCGGGATAAATGTGGAATTTGTGGTGGAGATGATTCATCGTGTCGAATTGTCAAAGGATCATTCAATGAACTTGGAACATTTGGATATAATGAAGTAATGAAAATTCCAGCCGGTTCAGCTAATATCGATATTCGACAACGTGGATATAACAATCAAAAAGAAGATGACAATTACTTGGGTATGATTTTTATATCTTCTTTTTTAAATTGTTACAATGTATATATTCAGCTCTTCGTTTGGCAAACGGCGAATTTTTGTTGAATGGTCATTTCCAAGTTTCACTTGCTCGACAACAAATTGCTTTCCAAGATACTGTTCTCGAATATTCTGGATCTGATGCTGTTGTTGAACGAATTAATGGAACCGGACCGATTCGAAGCGATATTTATGTTCATGTTTTATCAGTTGGAAGTTTTCCACCAGATATCACTTATGAATATATGACAGCTTCAAATGCAGCAATGCGACCAACAATTCGAAGTGCATTCTTATGGAGAGTTTCGGATACTTGGAGTAATTGTGATAGTCCGTGTAGAGGTGTTCAAACTAAACAACTTATTTGCTATGATGCTGCTGTTAATCGACAAACACATGATCGAAATTGTCAAACTGTTCATAAACCAAAACCAACAACAAGAATGTGTAATCTTGAATGTTCAACAAAATGGATAACTCAAGATACATCTTCATGCAGTGCAAAATGTGGAAGTGGTCATAAGCGACAAAAGGTTACTTGTGTCAAACTGTATGGTGCGAATCAAAATCCAGTTGGTGAAGAATTTTGTGATCGAAACAAGCGACCAAATGATATAACAAGTTGCTATATTGATTGTAGTGGAAGAAAATGGTCATACAGTGATTGGACACAATGCTCAGAAACTTGTGGAACAAATGGAAAACAGTATCGAAAAGCTTATTGTGTTGATAATTCGAATCGAAAAGTGGATGAAAGTTTGTGCGGAAGAGAAACAAAGGAAAATGTTGAAAAAGAATGTAATCGGATACCTTGTCCACGATGGGTTTATGGTCATTGGTCAGAATGTTCGAGATCTTGCGATGGAGGAGTTCGGATGCGACACGGACAATGTTTGGATGCAGCTGATCGAGAAACTCATAGCACATATTGTGGACCAGCTCATACACAAGAAACGTGTAATGAAAGAACGTGTACTTGGTGGGAATTTGGAACCTGGAGTGAATGTTCAGTTTTATGTGGTGAAGGAATTCAAAGTCGAGATGCAATATGTACTGATAGAAGAGCAAATCATCTTCCGGAAAATAATTGTAATAAATTAGAGAAAATTGTGACAAAAGCTTGTCATAAAATTGCTTGCCCCAAGTATAAAGTCGGAGAATGGTCAGAATGCAGTGTAAGTTTCAATAAAACAATACATTTCAACAACATTCAACATTTTTCTTCAGGTTTCATGTGATGATGGATGGAAATCCCGCCGAATTAGCTGTATGAATGGAACTGGTCAAGAAGTCGATGTGAAAGAATGTGGCTTGCCAAATGAAAGACCAGCTACTCACAAAGTTTGTAACATGGGTCTTTGTCCATTTTGGCGTGTTCACGATTGGGGAGCGTGTTCAGTTTCATGTGGAAGTGGACATCGAGAAAGAACTATCGAATGTATTCATCGTGATCAAGTTGTTGATGCAAGTTATTGTGGAGAAAATTCAACTCCAGAAACTCGCGAAGTATGCAACCTGTTACCTTGTACCAGTTGGGATGTGAAACATTGGTCACCCTGTTCAGTAACTTGTGGATCTGGTATTCAAAAACGACAAGTGGATTGTGTTCGTGGACCAAACAGAAATATCGTTGATCCATATTTCTGTGATCGACACACAAAACCAAAAGATCAGAAAATCTGCGAAAAAGATCCATGTGGTGCACGAATGATCGCAGCTCAACCAACCGCTGAACTTCCACCAATTCGTTGGGCCACCGGACCATGGACAGCTTGTTCAACAACTTGTGGAAATGGAACACAACGAAGACTTCTCAAATGCCGTGATCATATTCGTGATCTTCCGGATGAATATTGTAATCATCTCGAGAAGGTACCAAGTACCAGAACATGTCACATCCGACCCTGCGCATTCTGGAGTGCTTCACAATGGAATAATTGTCCAGCTACGTGTGGATCACATGTTCAACAAGATCGAAATGTTTCCTGTGTTAGTGCCGAAGATCATCGAATTTTGAAAGATGTCGATTGTGATGTTCAACATCGTCCGATTAGTACTAGAAATTGTCAATTAGATCCATGTCCACGTGGAGAAGAACATTTAGGTCAATGGAATTTAGGAGATTGGTCAAAAGTAAGTTTTTCAAAATAGAAAATGAAGATCAAAACGAATTTTGTGATTTTTCAGTGTTCAACCTCGTGTGGAGGTGGATGGCGCCGTAGAAGTGTTTTGTGTTCTTCAATTAGTTGTGATGAAACTAGAAAACCTAGAATGTTTGAAAGATGTAACGAACATATTTGCCCGCCGCTCACAAATAACTCGTGGCAAATTTCACCATGGACTCACGTGAGTTTGATTTTCCCAAGATACGATTCTCTAACCAGATCTCAAAAATTTAAAGTGTTCCGTCTCATGTGGTGGTGGTGTTCAACGACGTCGAATTTGGTGCGAAGACGTGTTGTCCGGACGAATTCAAGACGATTACGAATGTAGCGAACTGAAACCAATTTCACAACGCGATTGTGAAATGCCTCCATGCGCCGCTAATCTCACAACAAACCAACCCCAAACCACACCAATTTCATCACATTCTTCCTCTTCCCGCATTTCTGCCGCCGCTTCAAGTCCAAAACGAAACACGTGGCAAACGTCATCGTGGAGTTCGGTACGTAGAAAAGTGCCGACACGACGTCGTAAAACGTCGTCGAAGCGTAGAAAAGTGCCCAAAAATTTCTATTCGTACAATGTTGTGCATACTATGTTATAATCGTTATAATGATACGTGTTTTGTCCAATGTCTCTCTCACTTTCTTTCTTTCTTTGTCCGTCTTTTATTTTATTTGTTAGTGTTTTTATTTGTGTCTCACACTCGATTTCAAAACAATTGTTGTTCTCTGTTGCATGATGCTTTTACAAATATCACAAATTCGGCCAAAAACTGCCTTCAGCGGGTTTCAAAATAATTCATTATTCTTTTTTGATGATGATTTTTATTATGACTTCATAAAACTTTTTTGTTATAATAAATGTGTATGTTTGTTTTCGTCTGTGTAAATCAAAATTTGCATGACTTACAATTTTCAGTTTGCTTTTTTTTCAGTTGGCTGTTTTTTTTTTGGGAACTTATTGTTACAGAAATCTGATGAATAGGAAGTTTTTGAATAAAAACAATCCTAACTTCTACAAAATTTCAGTGCTCAACAAAATGTGGGCGAGGAACAAAAGAAAGAATTGTGGAATGCGTTGACACCCATCAAAATGTCACTGTTGCCAGTACTCGTTGTGATCAAACCAAAAAGCCAGTTACAACAATGAGATGTAGAATTGCACATTGTCCAAGATGGAAAACAACAACATGGAGTACTGTAAGTTACTAACTGGATAATATTCTTTTGGAAACTGTATTGGTACTTTTCAGTGCTCCGTAACATGTGGAAGAGGTATTCGTTCTCGAGAAGTTCACTGTTATCGTGGCAGAAAAATGAAAGTCAATGACACGGAATGCGAAATGACCAAAAAACTTCCAACCGAAACAAATTGCTTCTACGTTGCCTGTCCAGCCTACAATTGGTCACTGACACCATGGAGTAAAGTAAGCATATATCATATTAATCTTGATCCCAAACCTATCTATTTATTTTCAGTGCAAAGATGATTGTGCTCGTGGACAGAAACAAACTCGCCGGGTCCATTGCATGAGTAATACTGGAAAACGTGCAGCTCCAAGAATGTGTCAACCTGTCCCAGCTCCACCTTCAAGTCGAGATTGTGATGTATCAAAATGTCCATATGAATGGGTTCCAGAAGATTGGCAAACATGCTCGAAATCATGCGGAATTGGAGTTCAAAACCGTGAAGTTACTTGTCGTGTCAAAGCTGGAGAAGTGACTACAATGTCTAGTATTATCAAATTTATAGAAACAACTGTACCCAAAGAAAAATGTGAAGCATTCCAAAAACCAAAAGAAACACAAGAATGTAATTTGAACCCTTGTGACTCTGAATATCAATGGTATTTTGGACAATGGGGAACGGTAAGAGATACTTATCAAAAGTTATTTATCAGAAATCATGATTACAGTGTTCAAAAACTTGTGGTCAAGGAGTTTCGCGACGAAAAGTTCGATGCGTTGACAAAAACGGAAAACGGGTTGAAAAAACGAAATGTTCGAACAAGAAACCACGACGAACTCAAGGATGTTTCGAACGTAATTGTTTGCCAGCCACGTGTCAAGAAATTCGAACAACGACTGGGGCAACAGAAAATGGAAATTACACAGTTCTTCTTGATGGTTTCCTTGTTCAAATCTATTGTCATCAAATGAACGAAACAATTCCAAAATCATATTTGAATTTGGATCCAGAATCGAATTTTGCCGAAGTCTACGGGAAAAAATTGATATATCCTCATACTTGTCCATTCAATGGTGAACGAAACGATTCTTGTCAATGTTCAGATGAAGGAGATGCAAATGCTGGATTGACAAAATTCGACAAGATTCGAGTAGATTTATCAAATCGCAAAATACATTGTAAGTTCCGTCTTGAATTTCTTCATAAAATAAATTTCATTTTTTCTAGTAACCGACTACACATTTGCTCGAAAAATCCACGGAAATTTCGTACCATTCGCCACAGCTGGCGATTGTTACAGTATGAAAGAGTGTCCACAAGGTAGATTTTCATTGGATTTGCGAAGTTCGGGTTTGCGAATTGTTGATGATTTGAACTGGGAAGATCATGGTCATCGAACAACTTCAAGAATCGAAAGAACATTTGTGAGTTAGCCTAACTTATTTGAACAAGAATATCCACAATATTTCTAGAATAACGCAAAAATCGAAGGAAGATGCGGTGGTTATTGTGGAAAATGTTCGCCGGAAAGATTCAAAGGTCTCATTTTCGAAGTAGATACAAAGAATATGGAACAAATCTCTGAATTATTAAAACTCTAGTTTATACTATTTTGTTATTTTGTTTTTTTCTAAACATTCAAATTGGTCTCCTCATCATTCCTATTCATTTTTATAATTTTTAACTGGTTTATATTGAGTTTCCCAAATTTGCCTTTCGAAGCTTTAAAAAAACATACAAATTTTTTTATATAAAAATACCCAAAAACTTTTCGCGTTGCATTTCACTTCTCATTAGATTGCATAATTATTTATTTGTTAATAAAGTTTTAGATTTTTGAGAAAAAACTGTACTTTCAAAACTATTATACCAAAAAAAAATTACGTGAGAAGATTTTTGATCACTTCAAAATCTACTAATTAGTCTCACTTTCCGATTTTAATTGGATATTTGTGATAAAACAGAAAACAGAAGTGGAATGGTCCATTGGGAAAAAATGATATAATTTTGTGTTTTCTTGATAATAACAACCCCCTCTCAAAATTTTAATTGGATCTTGAAGTAGAACTGAAAAAATCTGATGGAGCCAAATTTCAAATACTTCACTACTTTCATCGCAATATTTTCAAATATGATTCTTATATTATTGATTTGGTATAAATCTCCAAAAAAATTGGGATCTTACAAATATCTCATGTTATTCTCCTCTTTTTGTTCAATCTTCTTATCGATTATGGAAATTGTAGCGAGAGTTGTGAGTTTTTTGAAGAAAAAAAATAATAAATGAATTTTCAATTTTTCATTCAGAATGCTTTATCATTTGGGACAAGTTTTGTGGCTTTCATTGATCGTAGAGATTCAATTTTCTCGTTTGAGATCGATAAGATCATTTTGTGTAAATCAATTGTTTTTTTTTAATTTTCAAAATGTGTATCTTGACATTTTCAGGTGTTGGTTGTTCTTGTTGTGGAATGATAATGTATACTTCAGTTATTCATTTCATTTTTCGATTATGGGCTATTGAAAGGTAAACAATAATAATTAGAAAAAATATGTTACGATCACAAAATTTAGAAAAGGACGGCTGAAGCATTTCGAAAAATACCGTATAATTTTTTGGTTATCAATTCCAATTTTTATGGGAATTCTTTGGACTTTTACCGTATATTTTGGATTACACATTGATCAAGTAGCTTTGGAATATATAAGGTAATTTAGAAGTTTTTAATTTCTGAATTGAGCCAGATCCGAGTATTCGGATTATCAGAATGACTGAATAGAATCAAGACAACCTCATTTACATTTTAAAGGCCAAGTTTAAAAAGTTCTTATGGAATTGATCCGAAAGATGTTGCGATAATTGGAGAATATTATTATTCTCCAAATAAATTGAATTTTTATCGAAACTTGGGAGGTCTTCTTGTAATTAGTGTGACAATGATAATATCGAGTGGTATCATAATTTATTGTGGTGTGCGAATATTTCGAAAAATTCGCAAAATCTACGAGAAAGGCGGTGCTCCGGGCACAAAACGGTTGCAAACTCAACTTTACAAGGCGCTTGTTGTTCAGGTTTGAAAAGATTTTCCTAGGACAAACTATTTTTGAACTAAAATGATCTTTTCAGACAATTCTACCATTATTTCTAACTATTATACCAGTCGGAATCCTCAATTATTTCCCATTAATCAACATTGATCTTGGAATTTATAGTCAAATTCCTAATGCAATAATTGCAATTTATCCAATTTTCGAGCCTCTTCCTGCATTAATCATCATTGATGATTATCGTATTGGTTTTTGGAATATGGTTAAACCTAGATTCACTAGAGAAAATCAAGTTCAACCTCAATCTCCAAGGAATTCTAATTCATATGAGCTAGAAAACCGGGATACTCAAAACATTTAAAAACGGAAGTTTGTGAAAATAATGTTCTTGTTTGTTTGTTTATCCTTATTGTTTTCAAAATGATTTTAATCGTATGATTTTCAAATCAAAACGTGTACCAAATCACTATACACTTTTTAAAATAAAATCTAATTTTTAAAATTATCCCCCAGAAAAAAACTCACAGCTGGAGCACATTTCATAATATCCGGACACAAATCAATCGATAATTCCGACCAAAATTCGATAATCCAACCCACATCTATCAAATATTCGCCTTTCCAGCGATTTTGGAGAAGTTCCGAATTTCCACAGAATCGTCCACTCGATTCCAAGGTTTCCACATCGATCGAATCGCTCCAATCAAATATTGACTCGAATGTTCCTGAAAAAAGCGAAATGATTTAAATTTCAATCTCGTTCCCGAAAAAAATTCCAAACAAAACGTACCTTTTTATTATTTCAGTCTGAAAAAACTGCATTTCGCGTTTTCTCTTAAATTCGAAATGAATGCCATCGAAATATGGCAGAAATGCAGATTTCCACGCAAAAACGTGGCAACATCCAAAAAATCGCAAAAAACAGAAAATTCATATTTTTTTGTTTGGAGAAACAAAAAATAAAAATTCCCGGGATGTTTGTTTGCATCGCTTCGAGACACAGCGATGATTAGAAATGTTCCTTTAACATTTACACCGTATACGGTCTTCTCTCGTCTGTCTTCTGAAAAATTGAACTAAATTTGCGTCTCAAATCATCGATTTCAGTGAAAAACCAAAGGAAACATATTTTTCAATCAAAAATTGAAATAAACTAATAAATTATAGAGCATCATTGTATGAAACACAAAAAAAATAGTTTTCCATTTGAAACAAACATGAATTTTCTCAAATAACCAGGAAAAACTCGAAAAAACAGATAAAACCGTTTTTTCGAAAAAAAAAACATTGAAATAAAAGTAAAAATGGAAGGTCGCTCCATTGCATTTCGCACGCTGTCTCGCACTCTCTCATTTTTTGCAAAAAAAGGGTGTGTGTACCCTAGAGGTTTTTATGTTTTTTTCTTTTTTTTTCAGAATTTTCGTTATGGGGTGCAGGGGTGGGGAAAATGTCATGGCCTCATGTTGTCCTGTCCTTGAATATGGCCTAAACTTGTCCTGGCTCGAACATGGCTTGAACATGTCCTAAAGCCATATGCCCAACCTGTCCTCGCGTGAACAAAAATTAACAGAGAAATTTTTTTTTCTGCATAAAAAAAATAAAAATGCGATCTTCTCTGTTTTTCGGCGTATTTTTTCTCAACTAAAAAAAGAACCTGTCCAGGACAGGACAGGTAGCCAGGTTTACATGTGGACCTGTCATGGCTTATGTTCTTACCACCACAGCCAACATGAGGACAACGTGAGGCCAGTTTCCCCACCCCTGATGGGGTGATTCAGGTCGAAAAAAAACTAAAAAAAAACGTTTTTTTACAAAAAACTTCGATTCAGCAAATGTCAAAAAACTATTTTTTTTTCCTATTTTTCGACATTGTTTGACATTTTTTTTCATTGAAACATTTTCGCTGCGAGATATCTCTCATTTTTGTGTGGAAAAAGATAGGGTTTTTTGACATTTGCTGAATCGAATTTTTTTGTAAAAAAACGTTTTTTTTAGTTTTTTTTTTCGACCTGAATCATCCCAGTACAATTCTTTATCTAGTCTATTCTAATTCATTATTCAGTCTATTCTAATAATAACAACATGTACTTCGAGAAAGTAGGGGAAAAACTTGGGAAGCCACTTCTGAACGTTTGAAAAATTGAAAGCCTATTTTCTCAGGCAGTTTTTCGATAATTTAATTTTAAAAGAATATCCAACATTTTCCAAAAAGCATAATTTTGAAAATCAGATACTAACTTGTAATATTTTTTTAAAAATTAAGCGTTTCCCAAAAAATCAAAATTATTTTAATCCTTTACACCCATATTTTGACACCAATCAATCATTTTCTAATTCCTTGGGATGTGCAAACATTTCAAATAAAATATTTCCATTTATTTATATCTAACAATAATAATAATTTAATAATTTTGTGTTTCCCTCTGATTTTATTCAATTATCCAACACATTCGTTCATCCTCTCCTTTTCTTCTATTTTCATCCAAACTCCTCCCATTTTTCCGCCAAACTCCGCCCTTTTCTTTGCTTCACCGCAATCTGTTTTGGTTTTAGTTTAACAAGGTGATTAGCTTTAGATGTTCAAGCTTTTTTTTCAAAACTTCACAACATTTCAGGTTTTGGCTCGAACAAATCAATCAAATGATAAGGAAACTTCGATGAGGATTTCACTTTTTTTCATTTTTCTTCCAAGTCTTTTCCTAATTCATTGTTGTGGTGAGTCATTTTCCCGGGCGCGCAGCAGGATATTAACCAACCAAGCCACCCAAAAAATGCAAATTTTTACGATTGTCGCTTTTTGAAGAAAAGAAACATCATAGTTTTAGAAGAATAAGGAGACCATATGGGGTATAATGATTAAATACTTGGCCCATATTTTTTGTGGAAAAAAGAAGAGTAAACAAAAATTACTCAAGGTTAAAGATTTTTGAGAAAAAATTGAGATACAATTGAAGTTCAACAAAAAAATGTTGCAGATTGCGCATATTTGTTGGTCGAGCCATCGTTTTTATTAGTCGAAGAGGATTGGAAAGTGTCAACAAGTTTACCGGTTACAATTTGTCCGAGAAATGTGAAGGTTAGAAAAATTCAACATTTTGAACAGGGAAAACTTTGGAAATCCTATGAAACTTTCCCGAGTATCAGTTTTTTGAAAAAAAAGTATTCCGGAACTTTACAATTGTTAGTCAAAGGGAACTTTTTCTCAAGCTAATTTTTAATTTTCTTGAGTAGTTATTTTTCTTTCTAATTTTAGTTCACCAGTGTTTATGTGTTCTGGAAAATTAGAAAAACTTGGAATTTGTAAAAACTTCAATGTTTTTCAAATATTTGTGAATCTTCCGAAAGATTTTCCAAAATTTAGAAAAAAAATAGAATCTCAAAACCTCATGAAAATAGTTTGACAAAATGACTTTTAAAAATTTCAAATCAATTTTTCCTCCTGAAATATTTCTCCAAAATTATTTCAGATAATTTCCGGTGATCCAACTCATTATTTCGACGTAATTCGAATCAACGAAACGTGCGCAACCCTTCGATTAAATACCGCTTTGGACGCAGATGTGAGTTTTCGATTGTTTTTGTTTTGAGGCTTCTTCTTTTGCTTCTTCTTTATTTGGTAGTTGTTAGGGGGAAGCGAAACGGGAGACGAAGGATTAGGTGCTTCGCATCGATGAATTTTCTCCACCCGTTTTTGTTTGAAAAACGGATTTATTGATGACTAGCAAACTCGAACCAAACTTTTTTCTGCTGTTTTTGTTTTGGAGAAAATTTTGGAGAAACTTGGAGGGGTCAAATTGAATATGTAATTTGTGAAACAAGAAAATTAAAGCTCAAAAAACATTTATTAGATAAAATAACCAACTATCAAAACTCTGAAGAAAACTATTCCAAACTGTTTAAAAATTATATGAAAAAATTTTTAATCAATTTTTGAATTTCTTGTTAAATAGCCAAAAACAATGTTATGTTTGAAAAAAATTTTTGGACCAATTTTCAATTTATTTTTTGAATTTCGGAACTGTACAACCATATTTTCTTTCAATTTTTTTCCGATTCTCTAAATATTTCTTTTTAAAAAAATGACATCATCCAAATTCCAACCTTGTTAACAAAATGATATATTTTTATGTATATGTTTTTCCAAATATTGACACGAATGACCAGCCAGTCAAGCCAGCCTGATAGCTGATCTCAAAAACACACAACCCTTTGTACATTTGCCCTTTTCGCAAAAACGAAGGGGTCAAAAACAATTCACACACGCTTTTCTCATTGTCAGAAAGAAAAGTAAGAAGATTACTGTAATCGCAAGATGTCACGTTTTTTATTTCTTTCGGTTACTTTTTTTTCAATTCAAAATGGTTTTCTTTTCAAGAAATGAAAAAGGCCTTGAAATCAAATAGGCGTTCATAAACTTATTATTCATTTTACATATACATAAGGATCAGATTTTCTGGGTAGACGAAGAAAAAGTAGGGTGGTTTGTTGTAATTAACACATTTTCCTTCTAAAAAGAAGAAGGAGATACTTACTCAACTTGTAAGAGGAACTGCTAATTTGAAAAAAAAAAGTGAAGAGGAACGGGTTTACTAACAATAAATTACGTATTCATTGAAATCGACTAATTCATATTTAATTTTTGTTTTGTTTTTAGTGGAAAATATATTGTTTGATGTTTGATTTGAGCAATGAATAATTAATGAAAAGTTAGGGGAAGTTAGCTGAAGTTTTAGTTGGAAAGAAAGTGGGGAATTTAAAGTTTCAGAAAAAATTTTGGTCAAACAGCTTTTCATGAAAATGTAACCTATGTATCCGATTTTCAAAATTTTACCCAAATCCGTTTTTTTTCCAGTTTTCACATGCGTATTCAAACATTCATAAAATTCCAACTTCTTTTTTTTCTTTTCCATCATATCAAAAACATAATAACAATATAATAATACAAATCTTATTGAATGCCAGTCGGCCTTCAGCCGTTAGCATTTCATTTTATTTCGAAAATTGACCAGTTTTCGCACTTTATTCATTTTTTTCTTATTTCGCATCTTCCGAAAACGAGGACAAAAACAAAAAGTTGACTAATTCGATTATCGATTCTTCTCACACAAACATGGATAAATGAATGTATGAATTAGCTTGATATTAGATGTATGTTTTTTTCAAAGCTGGCAGATAGGCAGGAAGGTTGAAAAGTATCGGAAAAACAATTAATTATTAAGGAAGCTTCATTTCCTGAAGAAAAATAGGATAATTATCTATATGACAGAAGGAGGAAAGAAAAATGTCATTAAGTGCAGTTTATCAATTATTTATGATTTTGTTGGTTGATATTTACAACAAATTTAAGACGTTTATTTTATTATTTTTTAGAGGAAAGGGAGGAGAATTTCGTAGAGAGAATAAAAATAAGTTCTGAAAATTCACAATTTTTTTCTCTCGAAATATTTTTTGTGTTGAGTTTCATCGATTGTAAGAACCTCAAATTTGGGACCCTCAATTTTATTTTTTTTCAAAATTACAAAATCTTCCTATTCCTTTATGATGTTCAAAATAAAAAGTGAAACCTTAGTTCTATTTTCGGTCAATTGCATAATCAAGTGTCCTTTACCAGTAGTTCATAACAATAAAAATATAAAGGAAGCCGAAATAACACTTGAGAAGTAAATAACCATTATCTTATTCATTCAAATATAAAAACAAAAATAACAATTTTTTCCAGAAACAAGATGGTTTTGGTGGACAGGGCCAATCATTTTCGCTTGTCATCGCTGGACCCAAAAAATCGCGAGCAACTCTAGAAATTCAAATCGTTGATGTCAATGATAATCCACCGGTTTTCTACAACACAATTTCGAGTTTGGAAGTTTCGGAGAGCACTGAAGTTGAAACTGAGTTATTCAAAGTTTATACAAGTGATCCGGATACTGGAATAAATGGAATATCGAGATTTTCAATTGATAATGAATATTTCAAAGTTGATAAAAAACGAAAATGTGGAAATGGAAAATGTTCGAGTTCGATAACACTTGCGAAACCATTGAGTTTTGAAAATAAGCCGATTCATGTTTTCAATGTGACTGCGAGAGATGGAGATCCACATACAAATCGAACTCATATTGTGACTCATACAGTTACTGTAAACGTCAAAAATGAACAGAAGTGAGTACTACTTTAGATTGAATTTAAACAAAAAATGGTAATTCTTACAGTAACCCGCCAGTCTTCGAAAATGATTTTTCAAAAACAATCAACTTCAAAGCATCAGATGAAATTGTTGTCAAAATTCGAGCAATTGATAAAGATTTTTCAAAAGTTATCAAATATTCGATTGAAGAAAATGCATATTTCGAAATTGATGAAAAATCGGGAGAAATTCGAATTCGTCAGATTCCACCGGAAAATCAATTGATTAGCTTAGAAGTTACTGCAACTGAAGATGATTCGGCTAAATTGAAAACATCTGCAAAAATTAATCTGATGTTGACAACTACAGTAACCCAACAATTATGCGAATATCCAATTTATGAGGCAAAATTAATTGAAGGAATGGGTGAATTTGAAAATCCAGTGAAGATTAAGATTTTGGGAGCTTCAAATCAAAATATTCGATTGATTGGTGGCACTGAATCATTTGCTATCGAAAATGTGAATGAAAATGAGATTGAATTAAAAATATCAGATAAAGTTAAAGTTGCATCACAAAATTTGGATAATGCTCAACTTTTGATAAAATCAACATCTTCTGGTGGACAATGTCGAATAACACTTCGATCAATTCAAAAAGAACAACTGGTTCCAAAAATGACACCGCAAAAAATCAAACATTCGAATATCAAATTCGAAAATGATGGATATATTTTGGAAGTTGTGGAGAATAAAGAGCCCGGAGAAATTGTTGGAATTGTGAGGATTTTGGGCAGCAAAATAGATGTTGATTATAGTTTATCTGGAGAAAATGCACAGAAATTTGAAATCGATGGAAGTTCTGGGGAGATTAAGACTAAAGAAAAATTGGATCGCGAAGAAATTGCGAGATATCATTTGACTGTTAAAGCTGAAACAAAAGATGGTGAGTATTTTGCTTTTTTGCTTCATCCTCACACAGTGCGGATTCCTTACTTTTCAGATTATTTCTGACAAACAACTCAATAATTTTATTTCTAGGTTCATCTGCAAAAATGGCGGTCACAATCAATGTTCTCGATGAAAATGACAATTCACCAATTTTTGAAAAATCTGAATATGTTATCACAATTGATGAAGGAAAAGCTGATAAGCTTCAAGTAACTGCAAAAGATTCAGACGATTCGAAAAATGGAGAAATTGTTTATACAATTCTTAACAAACCTCAAGATCTTCCAATTGATATTTCATCCGAAGGTCTTATTTTTATTGGAGCAATTGATCGAGAGAGTTTGTCATCAAAAACATCGGATATTTTATTAACAATTCAAGCAAAGGATAAAGGTGATCCAGCAAGATCTTCCGAAGCTAAAGTTATTATCAAAGTTCGAGATATCAATGATAATTCGCCGATTTTTGATAACTCGAGATATTCAATAATTCTTGATGCAAATATTTCACCTGGTGGAGTTTTTGGTAATATTCATGCAGATGATTTAGATGCAACAAGTCCAAATAATTATGTAACATATTCAACAGCTGATAATCGATTCAAAATAAGTGATAATGGAGATATTGTTTTTGTTGGACCTGGTATTTTAAGCAAAGATAATTATTTGGAATTTAATGTAACTGCAAAAGATGGAGGAATTCCGGAAAACACTGCAATTGCTCAAGTTGTTATAAATGAACATAAATCGGGTTTGCAAAATGAATTAACAACTGAAATTAATAGTAATGATACAATGTCAAAATCTGAAATCAAATGGTTAAATGCTGGAATGCCGGGATATAATTATGAAATTGTAAGAGCAACAGCAAATGGATTTGATGATAAAGAAGTTGCAAAATGGATTGAAATTGATAGAAAATCTGGAAGAATTCACACAATTTCTAGAATTGATCCTGATCTTGTCAAACAAATCAAATTATATATAAGTATGAGAAAAGGAAAGCGAGAAGTTCCAGTTGAATTGATTATAAATGTTGTGGATACAGATGAAGTTATCCCAAGTTATCCGAAAAATGTTATGAAATTCACTACTACTGAATCTGTAACAATTGGCTCAACGATTGCTGATTTACATGTTGAAAATGTATCTCCGAAAATTAGCACAGAGTAAGTTATAACTTTTTTATTTTTTTTTTATTTTACTAACAAATACTAACAGATACACACTAACAATAACAAAAGGTCCAAAGGGAAAACTGAAAATTAATCCAGCTGGAAGAATCATTTTGGAAAAACAATTGGATTATGAGAAGGAACAAATTATTGAAGGAAAGGTTACGGCAAAAGTTCGAGGAAAAATTGCGAGTGTTCGATTTGAAATCAAGATTCTTGATGCGAATGATAACCGGTACTAACTACTAACTTTTTAATCATTTTTTCTTTCAAAAATTCCAAAAACCAACTCATCTTTTTCCAGACCGGTCTTCAAAAACGGCTCCATTTTTTCAATCTACATTGAGGAAAGTGCTGTTCTCGGAACACTTCTAGATCTACCGTATCCTTTAGCCGTTGATAAAGATTCTGGAAATTTCGCGCTTCTCAAATATTCAATGACTGGAGATGAAGGTTTTTTCAAAATCGATGCAAGTAATTCAACGATTCGATTGGTTGCTCCACTTGATTATGAAAAACAACGAGTACATTCTTTGAGTGTGAAATGTGTTGATAATGATGGAAAGATTCCACATCATGAGGTTTTTGCATCGGTGAGTTTATGGGGAAAATTTTGGGGAGAAGTAGTTATGACGTGGCAGAAGCTGAGGGTTTAGGGTTTTCAGTTATTTTCAAAGGAGTCCAAAATTTTTAATTTTCTAATTTCAGCATGTTAAAAATCCCATCACTTTTGGATACTGTAACTATTTTTATGTTTTTCAAAGTAAAAAAAAAAATCCTAGATTATCGAAAATGGAAATTTCTCAAAAAATGTATTTTTTTTGTAGATCACAGTTTATGTTTTGGATGTGAATGACAATGCTCCAATAATTCACAACACTGATTTAACTCATCTAAATGTTGGAGAAGATGCAACAATCGGAACTGTTGTTACAGTACTTTTAATAACTGATGCGGATGAAAATGGAAAACAAAGATTGAATGTTGATATAAACAGCACTATGTTCCGAGTTGATGACACTTTCCGATTACTCGTTGATGCGCCTTTAATCGGTTATGCTGGACAACGACTTTGCTCAACATTAACAGTCAAAGATTCATCAATGAAAACATCATCTCCATATTGTGTAACAGTTTATCCAGCTAAAAACACTCATCATAATCCACTTGTCATTTCGCCCAAACAAAACTCGATTCATTATTTTGATGAGAACATTGTTTATGATGAATTATTGCGTGTGAAAGTGTTGGAAGAGGAAAATGCTGCTGGAAATGTGACTTTTAAATTGGATGAGATGTTTAAGAAGGATTGGCAAATGTTTAATATTGATAAGGATTTGGGGATTTTGACTGCCAAACAACCATTTGATTTTGAGAAGAAAACTGTGCATGAGATCAAGATTCTAGCGTGTAGATCGGAGAATTGTGCATCAACACATTTATTCATTTCAGTAAATGATAGAAATGATAATTGTCCAATGTTTCCAAAACAAGATGTTCGATTAACTGTTGTAGAAAATGAAAAAGGACGAAGACAAGTTGGCAGAATTCCAGCTGCTCTTGATTCCGATTTCCATTCTGATAATACCAAAGTATGTTATACAACAGACACTCCAATGTTCATATTTGATGATCCAACACTTCCAATTCTTTATACAAATAGCAGTTTTGATCGAGAACATCAAAAACAACATCAAATTACAATCACAGCTTATGATTGTCATTTATCATGTCGTGATCCACATAAAACTACAAATGGGACAATTGTTGCATTGATTGATGTCATTGATGTAAATGATAATTTCCCAAAATTCACACAAAATATCTATACAACAACAATTGTTCAAGGACAAAGTACTGGACCAATTATGACTGTAACTGCAACTGATTTAGATGAAGAAATTGATGGATTGAAATATCATATTCGTGGATTTATTCGAACTCCAAGTGGAACATTTTCAACTCAAGATTCGCCACTTTCAATCGATGAATTGAGCGGAGAAATCAGCTCAAATGAACTTCTCAAAGAACCGTCTTATCAATTCAATGTTGTTGTGACAGATTCAGCTGGACATGAAGATACTTGTAGTGTTAGTATTTCTGTTGTAACTTATGCTCAACAAACTGAACTTGTATTTGATTCACCGTTTGATTTGATTATGAAGAGTCAGAAAATTATCGGAGAGTGAGTTGAGATTTTTTGTTAAAGTTTTACTGGATTTTTTTTGTAGAAAACTATCGAATGCCACTGGTCTTCAAGCAATTATTGATAAATGTCGGCAAAATTCGAATTTTTCTTTGATGTTGGTTCATTTTATTGAGGAAGATGGAACTTTTGCGAATGTGGATCGAGCTGTCAAGTGAGTTGGGTCTGCCTTTTTGAAATAAAATCAGAAAATTAACAGCTAATTGCCACGTGGCATAGGCCACGTAAATTTTTTGCAAAAATTGAATTTTCTAGATGATATTAAGTTAGACCAGAAAATTACTAGAATATTTAGAATCTTGAAGTTTTTGATGAATATTTTCAAATTTTCGAAGTGAAAATTGACACAAAACAACTCTAAACTTTAGAAAATCTCACTTATTCCAGTTTGCTGATGACATCAAATTCTGAATCTCGAAAAGATCTTCGTTCAACTTTCGGTCTTCGCGAAGCCTTTTCTCCAATCCCCGTCCAATCAAAAATGCCACAAATAATAATCATGGCAATTCTAATATTCTTCCTAGTCTTCATAATTGGTATGTGTATTTGGTGTCGTCAACGCAATAATTACGAGCGAAAACTTCGACATATTTCGGCGCAAGCATCTACAGTACACACTGTGACATTAGGTCGACCGAATCAAATGACTAAATCAGCTGTTTATGGAGATGTTCCGATTGTTCGACATCCACCGCCTCCACCGCCACTCGAAAATTTACAATCTACTGAACTCTAGCTTTTTTCAATGGTGCTATTTTTTATTTATTGCATTTTTTTCACTTTTTCTAGTCTTTCCGTTCATCCAAAAATACTGGTCATTTTTTAAAAATTGAGATTTTCTATATTTTTTCCAAAATTTATGTAATAAATAAAAACTTCATGATTCAAATAACCGTAGTGAGTGATATTCTATAAATAAAAAAAACTTAGATGTTTATTGTTTATCCTCCTTCTCCTCCTCATCTTTCTTTTCTTCGGATCTTGGTTTTTCTTGATCTTTCGAAACCTTTTTAATTTGATCTCTCCACTTCCTCAAATCAATTGAAGTCCTTGTTTTTTGCGCTTCTTCATCTTCTTCTGCAACTGAAGTTAGAACATCAATTGGAGTTCTTCTCGGTGAACCAGCAAAATCATCAGGTGTCAGTAAAGCATTTTTCGATGCTTCTTCAGCCAAATCTTCCAGAATACTTTGTGAACTTCCAGCAGTAATTGTGTTAATTGAACAAGTTGATGATCCGAATAATCTTCCAGGTCTATTTATTTTCCGCGATCCTCCGCCAAGACTTTTCAATCGATCCAATATTCCACCATTTCGATGTCGACTTGTTATACTTGATCGACTTTCACAATTTCGATTCACTGAAACCACGGACACAACTCGGGGAAGAACACGTGGAGCTGCTAGATTTTCTGGATCGATATCATCGTCATATTCTTCGATGACGTCATTGTGTCGAACCATTACAATTTCATTTTCATCGTTTCTGAAAAATAAACATTTCAGGGAGGGGGAAAGGGATTTTTGGAAAAATTCTGAAATAATTTTAAAGATTTTGAAAATTTCCATTTATGTGGCCCTTCTCAATTTTCAGGAAAAGCCACGTGGATTTTCGGTGAAATTTTTTAAAAAAATTTCAGAAAATTAACCATGAATGTTTTGCTTGAACATCCCCGCTTTATGAATTCCCCAAAAATTCCAAAAAAAAAAATATAAAAAACCTACTCAAAATTGGCAGCTGATCCAACTTGTGGATTCATAATAATACCAGCAGTATCTGTAGAATACAATGGTTCAACAACTTCAGCACTCCAAAATGCATCTTTCTGAAGTGGCGGAGCATCGTTATAACAATCATCAACTATTGCGAGACCAATTGCAAGATTTCGATCAATAAGATAATTACATTCAAAATCATCATCATCTTCTCCAAGTGGATTCATCAAACTTTCCGCAACTTTCATCCATCCAACATAAAACATAAATTGTAGAGAAGTCATAATATACGGAACAAGTGGAAACATAAATTGATAAGTTCCTTTTGGCGGTTCGCCATCAATTAAAACCGATTGTCGACCAATTAAACATAGGAAGAAATAAATTCGAACTGCTAAAAATACAACTTGCGGATAAACCAGTGGAATTGGAACCCAATCATAATTACAAAGTTGTCCAAGACCTCTTCGAAAATCTGCGACACTTTTGATAAGTTCATTCAACATTACATCAGCTCCAATTTTTCCTTGAGCACGAGCTTCGTAGAGAAGTGAAAAACACCATTGAATTGGCAGAAAATATTTCTTGTGTTTGATATTGAGATCCGTGAACTTTTCACGTTCCGATTCAAGCATCAGACCTGCAAAAAATTTAATTTTCGAAAAAAAAACGTGACATCCAAAAAAATTTTTAAAAAAAAATTCAGAAAATTTCTGGGGCTTCATTTTGGATAGACAGCAAGGGATCAAATCACTGCAAAAGTGTCAAAACTATTTCTATTCTCAGATAATAAAATGAGCAATGTCAAGAAGTCTGATGTGAATCAAAAAAAGTGAGTTATGACGTGGCAAAGGTGACAATTGAACGTTTCCCTAGGATTTTTCAAAAAGTTGAAGAAAAATCATAAAATCTGAAAATTTTAGAGGATTACCAACTGTTTGCACACCAATACCATCTGATCAAAGTTCGATCATCGAAAGGGAAGCGAATCGAAAAATAGATTCCGAAAAATCGTCAAAGTCTTCGAAATCTTCAAGATCTTTGAATTCTAAGAGAAAACACAAGAAACAAAATATCATAATTGTGAAACCGTGTGATTCTGATGAAAATAATTCATCAACAACTCCAGAAAAGAAATCAGTTGCATCAACTCCAGTTTCAATAACATCTTGTATTGATTCGAGTTTTCTTCGATATTCTGTTCCAATTCAAATGTATTTTATGCAACGTCGTATTGGTTCAACCGAAATTCCAACAGATGGTAGACTTCGTCAACCTCTTATTTATATTATCAAAAAAGTCATGGCAAAAATCGACAATCATTTTACATTTTATGTTTTTGCGTCGACTTTTGAGATTCGTTGGAAAAGACCCAAAAATGCTTTGATGAAAAAGGCTGCAAGTGATAACATTTTCAGAACTCTTCTCAAACCAACAACTGTTGATTTTAGTCTTATTGAACTTATGAAATTGATGGAATTAGATGAGATGAAGAATCTTAATTTGTATATTTTCATCAAAGATATCAATGAGGATGTGAGTTTTTTCTCTGAAAAAATTTAGAGGACAAGTTTTTTTCAGAAACTCGTGGAAAAAACTGACAGCAATGCTTGGAAATTTGACAGCGTTTTAGAGAGCAAGTAGAATATAATTAGTGTGATAAAGACTTGATACAGAATTATGTTTCGGTGATCTAATTTTGAAATTAAAAAAAACCACCTGACCTATGGAGTGGCAATCAAAAAATTTTGAAAATGTTTTGCCAAAAGAAATATTTTTTGTAAAGATTAACGTGACCTATGACGTGGCAATTAATAAATAATTTTGTGAATAGCAAAACTCTATTTCTAAATTTTGAAATATTTTGAACAATCATCCCGTTTCGAATAACTATTTTAGCTGAAGCCTATTCAAACTATTGCCAGACGAAAAAACCCATTAAAATCTCTACATATTTTTCTCACAATAAATTACTAGTGCCCACCTGCCGCAACCATCGTTTCCAAATGCATAAATCTTCGTTTCACTTGCATACTAATGTCACGAAATATAATCGCCTGTGTTAGAACCATATATCGTAAAACAGTTCGGCGTAGAATTCGACTTTTCTCATCGCTTCCTCGAATATAAGTTGCAATCAATAAGGCGGTGCTGAAAAAGTTATCTTGGTTTTAAAGTGAGAAAAATGAAATAAAAAAAGAAAAATAATTGATCGTCAGTTTGTGTGGTGTTTGCGGATTTCTCTGCAGACTTTTGAATCTACAGTAGTATTGTTTGTTTTTCAATCAATTATTTTTTTTCTCGAAGAAAGACAATTCTCCATGGAAACGCTGTCAGCTAGTTGAACTTACTTATCTACCCATCCAATATTCAAAAATATATCATTCCAACGATTCACAATAATTGTCACAAAAAATCCGAGCATAAAGGTGAGTGGAATATAATTTAATTTCTGATCAAATAATTCGGCAAAATTATCCCAAAAAACTCGATTCTCTTTATCCAAAACATGTTCGGTTCGATAAATCACAGTGATACAACCGAAAGCAATGGAAAATATGAAAAGTTCCTAACAAAAACCAAATTTTATTCAAACATAAATTTAAAAGAAAAACTGACCTTCATGACAGATTTCCAAATTGAACCTCGCCATCTTAATTGCAATTTGACAAAATTTTCAAAAGTCGTCGAAGTTTTCGATAAATCTTGATTGTAAGAAATCGTCATTTTTGACGAAAAAATCTAAACCGGAAGAATGGATTATAAAAATTAGAAAAAATAGCCCAAAATATGTAGAAGTTCAAAGAGGTGGTGAGGAAATGGAATAAACAGAAATGGAAAGAGAGACAGTGAGAGACGCAGACACAAAGAAAAGATGGGTGAAAATGAATGGGCAAAAGGTGGTGCACAAATAAACATTTTGTATTTATATTTTGTTATTTTTATTGGATTGGATTTTTTTGATAAAGAAAAACCACACTTTTTATTGGAAAAAAAAGATGAAGAAAAATAAAAAAACACTGCTTCAAAAAAAAAGAGAAAACACTTTTTTCTTTTTTTTTCTGGTTGAAAAATGAGACGACTGTGAATTGTAGTACTTCAACAAAAGAAAAAATTGATTATACTTTTTTATTGACCTAAAAATAGATGGTGATATGTGTTCAAAGTTCAAAGAAAAAAGAAATCTGGTGTTTCGAAAGTTTTCGAAAACCAAAAAAAGTCGAGAAATAGAGCTCAGATGGTTATTTCAATTGAATGAGGGAAAATAAATGAAACAAGACTTCTGAACAAACAAAGAAACACAAAAAGCAAACATTTATCGAGATTTCAAAAGTATTTGGAAATTTTTCGCACGCACTGCAATTCCAATCTGCTTTTCCGTGCTTGGAACGCCGCCAGATGGATCGAGTGAAATCTAGAAAAAAAAGTTTATTAGATTTACAATTTTATTGCTCATATTTACAACAAACCTCAAATTGATTAAATAAGTTGGCGAAAAATAAAAAGAGTTCAAGTTTGGCGAGACCTTCCCCAAGGCATTGACGCTTTCCAATTGAAAATGGAACGAATTGCTCGATTTTTAAAAGTTGGCCATTTTCCAAAAATCGCGAGGGATTAAATTTCGAAGGATTTGGAAAATAGGTTTCGTCGTATAAAACTGAACTTATTTGAGGGAGAACAACTGTATTGGCTGGAATTGTGAAATTTCCAACTTTTACTTCTTCTGATGTTTTTCTTTGAAGATTCATTGGAAGAAGATTAGCCATTCTCTGTGATTCATTAATTGTAGCATTTATATAATTGAGATTTGATTTATCCGAAGTTGTGATAATTCGATCTGATCCAATTTCTCGATCTAATTCTTCATAGATCTTCTCTCTAACTTCAGGATTCAACATAACATATAAAAGTGCCCAATATAAAGTATTCGATGTTGTTTCCATTCCAGCAATCCACAAATCAAAACAAACACTATCCAACTGCTCCATTTCAAATCCCCCAAAATTAGGTTCATGTTCATGTTTCTTACGTTCCTTCAAAAATGCTTCAACATAATCTGAATATTCATCATTATCATAATCAATTGTCCGAAGTTTTTCATCAATAACTTCTCTGAACATTTTGAATAACCCTCCCATATTATCCATGATCACTGAAAATGTCAAAATTTGAACAAATAATTATGAATTGAACTCACAAGCTTTCTGTTGTTTAAAAAATGGGAAATTTCCAAGCGATGGAAAAACAGCAATCAAGATTCCAACTGGTGTCATCGCAATTCTCATATGTTTATCTAATCGACTTTTGAGAGTTAGGAATTCATGAATATTGTTCTCATCAAACCGATATCCAAAAAGAAAACTATTAATAATAGATCCAACCGAAGAATCCAAAATATTTGCCATATCAAACGGAACATTTTGAACTTTTTTGAGATGGTCAATCATTGCTTGAACTTCACACAAAACTTTTTCTTCCATCAAATTTCTTCCCATTCCGAAATCACGTAAAACATGAATCGCAAATCGACGTTGTTGAAGCCAACGATCACCAAAGGTTTCAATTATTCCATAACATCCTCCTATAATAAGAATGTCTTATGATTTTTGTGTTCTTTGTGATAACTTATCAATAACAATTTTTTTCAAAAATTACTTCTCATTTCAATTGAAACAGGAAACTGTTCGCGTCCGGTAAATAAATGTCCTTCCTTGATAAAATGTTGTTTAATCAAATTCCAATCTGTCACCACAACCATTGGCAAATAACCCATCCAAAATGTATAAACTGGTCCGAATTGTTTTGTCAAATCTTGCCACATTTCATATCCAGGAATCGGATATTTTCCAAGAAGATGCACATTTCCAATAAGTGGAAGGGGCGTTGGACCTGAAAGTAATCAAGAAATAAAAATACCAAAGATTATTATTTATTTGAAAATATTTATTTTTCTGATAACACTTATCATCTATCATTTTCTTCGCAATGTTTTTGGTGATTTTTCTAACTTTCATTGTAGTTTATTTATTCTATCAATTTTATTGGAAACGAAGATGTTTCCCTCCTGGACCTTTGCCTTTACCTTTAATTGGTAATTTATATTTAATGAATAATGATGTTAAACCAGGTTATGCACTTTGGAGCAATTTAAGGTATTTTAAAAACTTTTTAAAAAAATTTCTTAATCTAGAATGAATACCTTGAGATAATCATTTTCTAGCAAAATCTATGGTCCTGTTTATACATTTTGGATGGCTCATATGCCAATGATCGTTATCACAGATTGGAAATTATTGAAACAACATGTGATCAAAGATGGAAATACATTTGCTGGTAGACCATCTTTCCCAATAAGTGTTGAGATTAGAAGTGAGCTGCAGTACTCCTAACTTTTTTCTAATTTTCTCCCTTGTTTTTTCTAGAAGGTTCCTATCGTGTTGTTGAATCATTTGGAGATCGATGGGTTCAGCAGCGTCGATTTGCTTTGCATATTTTGCGAGATTTTGGATTGGGCAAAAATTTGATGGAAGAGAAAATTATTGGGGAAATGATTTCGATGAGAGATCAAATTCGAGCTAGAAAAAACGAGCCGATTGATATGATGTATCTTTTTGATACCGCAGTCGGAAGTATTATTAATGTTTTTTTGTTTGGTTATCGATATGATGAGACAAATATTGAAGAGTTTCAAATACTCAAAGAGCGAATGACAAAACATTTTAAAATTGCAGCTGAACCAATTGGTGGAATAATTGGAATGTATCCATGGGCTGGCAAATTACCATTTTTGAAAAAACACAAACAAGTGATTGTTGATAATTGGGGTGGATTGATGAAAATGTTCAGAAAACAAGCGGAAGAAAAAATGAGGACAATAGATTATGATAATGATGAATATTCAGATTATGTTGAAGCATTTTTGAAAGAACGAAAGAAACATGAACATGAACCTAATTTTGGAGGATTTGAAATGGAACAGTTGGATAGTGTATGTTTTGATCTATGGGTTGCTGGAATGGAAACAACATCGAATACTTTATATTGGGCATTTTTATATGTTATGTTAAATCCTGAAGTTAGAGAAAAGATCTATGAAGAATTAGATCGAGAAATTGGATCAGATCGAATTATCACAACATCAGATAAATCAAATCTAAATTATATAAATGCTACAATTAATGAATCACAAAGAATGGCTAATTTATTACCAATGAATGTTATTCACCAATCTACATCCGATACAACAATAAATGGATATTTTATTCCAAAAGGTACTGGAATCATACCTCAAATCAGTGCCGTCCTGTACGATGAACAGGTGAGTAAACACTAAACTAGAGTCTACTCTGATAAGAGAAAAAGTTGATTTTTAGATCTTTCCAAATGCTTCAAAGTTCAACCCAGATCGTTTTTTGGAAAATGGTCAACTTTTGAAAATCGAAGAACTTTGCCCATTTTCAATTGGAAAACGGCAATGTCTTGGAGAAGGTCTCGCAAGAATGGAGCTATTCATATTTTTTGCGAATTTGTTCAATCAATTTGATATATCCCTAGATTCTTCAAATCCGAATCCTTCAACTCAAAAAGAATATGGAGTAACCGTGAAAGCACCAAATTTCAAAACTATTATGAAATCTCGACATTAGAAGTTAAGAATGAAGTATGTACTTAATTATTGATAACTTAAATATTTTTTAATGAAAAAGGTCATCCAAACCTGCTGGTAACAATCTTCGTTTCCAATAAAAATTGACAAACAAGTATTTGATTAATAAAATAGTCGATATAAGGAAAATAAACAATGTTAGCATAGCAACCAAAGTAGAAAAAAAACACTTTTTTATTTTTTGGTGTGGTGAATTTGTGGTCTCTGTCCGTCTGTTTGTTAAATAAACTCTCTTTTTTCGAAGAATCAACTGATAACAATTGAGATTTTTGTATTTTGCATCACTCTCTCTCTAGACAGAAAATGTTTTTTGTATTATTTTTTATTCTGACTATTGGATATTTATATTATGATCTCATATGGAAACGAAAAGCCTATCCACCTGGTCCAACACCTCTTCCTTTTGTTGGAAATATTTTCCTGATGAATGACAAATTCAAACCAGGTTATAAATTGTGGCAAAATCTTGCGTGAGTTCATCAGTGGAACTTCAGAAAAACATGTATTTCTCTAATTCAGTGAACAATTCGGCCCAGTTTATACATTTTGGTTAACCCAATTACCAATTGTTGTTGTGACTGATTGGAATTTGATCAAAAAACATTTCATAAAAGATGGAAATAGTTATACAGGACGTCCCGAATTCCCACTGCAGACACAAATGAGAAGTGAGCATTTTTCCGGGATTTTTTGAAGGATATTTTTTTCAAGAAAAAAATTGGTAATTTTCAGAGGGTCCTTATGGAATAATTGAATCATTCGGAGACCGCTGGATTCAACAACGTAGATTTGCTCTCCACATTTTCCGAGACTTTGGCCTTGGTAAAAATCTTATGGAAGAAAAAATCATTGGAGAAATGCGTTCAATGTGTGATCAAATAAAGAAAGTATGCAGTGAACCAGTTGATATGATGAACTATTTTGATGCATCTGTTGGTAGTATTATCAATGCTCTTCTTTTTGGTTATCGATATGACGAATCAAATATGGAAGAGTTTTTGGTGTTGAAAGCAAGAGTTGCTAAACATATGAAAGTTGCGGGTGAACCAGTTGGTGGAATTATTGGAATGTATCCAAAGCTTGGAAATTTACCAATTTTGAAAGGATATAAAGATGGTTCGTTTTCCAGTTTCTCAAAAACTATTTATCAAAATTTTTTCAGTGGTCGTTGGAAATTGGGAAAGTCTTATTGATTTATTCAAAAAACAAATTAATGAAAAATTAGAAACCATCGATTATGATAATGATGAATATTCAGATTATGTTGAAGCATTTTTAAAGGAACGAAAGAAACATGAACATGAGCCTAATTTTGGGGGATATGAAATGGAACAACTCGAAAGTGTTTGTTTTGATCTATGGTTAGCTGGAATGGAAACAACATCGAATACTTTATATTGGGCACTTTTATATGTTTTGTTGAATCCTGAAGTTAGAGAGAAGATCTATGAAGAATTAGATCGAGAAATTGGATCAGATCGAATTATCACAACATCAGATAAATCAAAACTCAATTATATTAATGCTACGATAAATGAATCACAAAGAATGGCTAATTTATTACCATTCAATCTTTCACGCACAACAACTTGCGATGTTATTATAAATGGTCACAGTGTTCCCAAAGATACAGTAATCGTCCCACAGATCAGTACTGTCATGTATGATGAAAATGTAAGGATTTTTTGAACCATTAAAAATTATTTGGAATTTTCAGATCTTCCCAAATGCTATGAAATTTAATCCTGATCGTTTTCTTGAAAATGGCCAACTTTTGAAGATCGAAGAACTTGTTCCATTTTCAATTGGAAAACGGCAATGTCTTGGAGAAGGTCTCGCAAGAATGGAACTATTTATTTTCTTTGCAAATCTATTCAACCAATTCGATATATCTCTAGATTCCTCAAATCCAAATCCATCAACAGAAAAAGAATTTGGAGTTACTGTGAAAGCACATAATTACAAAGTTATCATGAAATCTCGACATTGATTATGAAAAATATATGTATTTTGTAGATTAAAATATTTTCACAATAAATGTTTTTTATTGAAAAGTTTCGAGTGTATCTATTTAGTTTCTTGCAATCAATGGAACCATGTTCACATTATAATCCAATGAATTCTTTTTGTACATTTCGGCAAAAATATGAGCTGGTGAGACATCGCCTTCTTGTTTTGCGGTGATGAGAATGAGCTTGTCGTGTTTGGCAATACCGTTTTCACGAAGAATATTGACATTTGTCTCTTCATTTGCACCAATGCTACCGTATACCGGAGTGATACTGTACAACATATTGTCCGAGCATTTGATCTAGAAGAAGACCATTGAAAAATTGTGCACGAAAAAAGTGTTCTAGTTTTTTTTTTGGTTCATTACTCAAAACTTTACCATGTAAACGATCGGAGTTGGGGTCGAGTTTTTGATACGAATAGTTTTGAGTCCTCCAATTTGCTTGAAAATAATCTCATGAGGAATCACACGAATGTTAGCATAAGTAATATTGTGTCCTTCGTGTTCAGAACATTCGGAATGAGTTGTCATTTCGGATGATGGTTGGATTGCCGATTTTGCAGCCATTTTGTCAGCTGAAATTGCAGCTTGAACGCGGAGCTGCAAAAAAAATTATCAATAGAACTATGAAGAAACCCTAGTTTTGAACTTACATCGGAAGCCGATTTTCTTTTTGGTTGACGTTTGGAAGAGCTGGATTTGCCAGATTTCGATTTTCTTCCAGATTTCGAACTCTTTCTGGATTTTTTAGACTTCGACGATCTTTTGCTGGATTTTCTGGACGATCTTCCAGATTTCGAAGACTTTCCAGATCTTCCAGACTTTCCTTTTGACTTCGATGATTTTCGAGATGCATTTCTTTTGTCGTTGGCGCAACCTGCTGTCAGGACGGCGAGAAATAGAAAAACTGATAACCCGAACAACATTTGCTATTTCTATCAAATCAAACAATACCGACAATTTTTCGGGACTGTTTGTGCTTTTTTTTTGTTGGAAGTCCACGTTGACGCAAATTTCAATTTTTTTTCTTCTCAAATTTTTTTAAGGCCGGATTTTTTCTGGGAGAAGAATGTTCTTCTTCAAAATCAACAAAATTTTTTTTACGTGACCTCATTTTTTCGACCATCAAAAAAATTACATTTGCCATTGTTATTTTTCTTGGTTATAAAAAATGTCAGTCCCAGCACCGCATCCACCTGGAAATGAAAATAGTCCAGCGTAAGTCCAGTTTTTTCCAAGTTCCACAAAAAAAAAACATTTTTCAGACCAAATGGTTATGGCGGTCTGATGCCAAAAGATTGTCCACCACAAGTTTATCCTCCAAGTATTGAGAGTTTAATGGCAAAAACAAAAGGAAGTCGAACTTGTTCTTTAATTGGTGTAATTGCATCATCTTTGCTTTTTCTGATCGTTGGCTCACTTTCAATTTTATCTCGAACATCAACTACAATCGCAATATTATCACCACCATGAGATCGACAAATTTTATAGTATTTTTTGAAATATTGATTTTTCTTCAAGACAAAAATAAACTCATTTATTCATCTCTTTGCTCATGATTATGCTCTTGTTGTTGTTGATTTTGCTGTTCTTGTACCTCGGCTTCAGCAACTTTGGCAGCGATATGACCATAAAATTGACGACGTGGAAAAAAATCTGTAATTGATTGGATGAATAACAATTGAAACAGTAAGTTCTCACCTTTGAGAGTTGTAATTTGTGACAAATTAATAACTTCAGCAATCGAGTCATAAGTTATTTCACTGGTTTTGTTGATTGAGCCAACTTGCATTAAATATCTAGTGAAAAATTCGACGGCTTTCGAGAGTGTATATAAACTTTCTTCATCGATTGGAATATCATCGAGAACAACGTGAGTTCGTTGAATAATGTAATCCAAAGGAACCTTGAAATCAGAATAACATTAACTTCAGAAAATTTAGTAAACTAACCACAATATCAGGATCTTCTTGTTCTTCATAGAGAGAAATTTGATCAGGTACTTGTGATGTTGACGCCATTCTTCACTGAAAATTTGCCGTCAAACTTTGGCGTGAAAAACACTGTGTTTTTTTCTAATAGAAAAATGCAATCCCGAGGATACGCAGACAGAGAGAGAAAGAGGCTGGTCTCGACACGCTTTGTGTCTGCCACACACTATTTCTCTCCCTTTTTCGGCGAGAGATTTGTCTGCCCACGTTAAAGTCTGCGTCTCTCAGAACTGGCAAGAAAAAATACAGTGAAAAGAAAAAATTCAAAATTCGAAAATGAGAAACAAGGGCTACCATGGAGACGCAGAGAGCAAAAGTCAGCAAACGCGCCCCATTGCAAATTCAAAAAAGTATTTTTTGTTTTCTTTTCTCGCGTTCTTTTGTTGCATGTTTTCATGGAGTAGGGCGTTCTAGTAAGTGTTAAAAGTTCTGATAAATATTCAAGACATTTTTAAGTGTAGGCTTCAATAAACTATTCATGTTTAAATATCGTTTCATCCTATTTCTTCTCTTTCAAAAGTTACTTCTTATTTTGCAAATTGAAACATCAAGAAGTCATTCTGTGTAAATTATTATAGTTTGAAGTAATTATTTCTAATCCAATTTTTAATTATATATTACTTTATCATGTATGAATTTCAACATATTCCAATTCTTCGAAATTGCGCAAACACACACAAACTCACAAAAACACTCACATCACCCCCGCTCACATAAAAAACTTGTCTGCACCCTCCTCTAATCACACACTCTTCTTATAAATGTCTTCATTTCTCTGCATTCTGTTGCTGCCTTTTCTTTTCTACATGTGATGATGAACATGATTTCTGTTTTGTTTTGTTTTTTTCTGTCCTGCTTTTGGTATAATTCAAGTCAATTTTTTTTTCAGAGATACGAATTGCCAAAACTTGAGGAATGCGACTGTCATGACAACTTCATCAGTCAATGATTTCACTCGTCTTTTAAATGGCGATTTGCTCAATTTGTCAACAAAACTCAAATGTCGCCCGGCGGAAAAGAAGAAAGAAAGTGTTGAGAAAAAGCTTGAAACATATCGCACGCATTTTCGAACATCGCAAATCAATGTGCCACCAACAAATGTTACCGATTTAGGAAATCTTTTGCAGCGAGTCACATTCAAATGTCCATCAAAGTGAGTTTATTGTTTTTTCTTCTCTTATTTTTTTTTGAAGAACGAATATTTAATGGGTTTTTTTTTGAAGATATATTGACTACAAAATCCCGGAAATAAATGAAAAAACAGTTGAATATGATATTGATGAAGAAGATCAAGAGTGGATTGAAGCATCGAATCAAAAACGAGCAGCTGAATCTGTCAAAGAAATAAGTGTTGAAAAGTTTGAATTAGCAATTGATCGAATGGAAAAATGCTGTAAATTTGAGGTAACTTAAGCGTTTGGCGTATTTTAATTAAATTGTGCGAATTTCAGAATCATCCATCTGGTTCGGGATCTCATCATACTGATAATAACGAAATTGATGATGTTTGTTGTATTTGTGCAGATGGTGAAGTCACAAATGCGAATCAAATTATATATTGTGATATGTGTAATATCGCTGTTCATCAAGATTGTTACGGTGTTCCATATATCCCTGAAGGTTCTTGGCTTTGCCGAAAATGCAAATTAAGTCCATCACTTCCCGTTTCTTGCTGTCTTTGTCCAAATGAATATGGTGCATTCAAACCAACATCTGATGGTCGTTGGGCTCATGTTGTTTGTGCAATATGGTTGAATGAAGTGCATTTTGGGAATGCCGTGTTCTTAGAACCAATAGAAGGTGTAAACGAAACATTGCGTGTTCGAAAAACCCTTCGATGTTTATATTGTCGATTGAAAAAGGGAGCTTGTATCCAATGTTCTAGTCGAATGTGTATCAAAGCTTTTCATGTGACATGTGCTCAAAAACTTGGTCTAGTTATGAAAATTGAAACTGCGCAAGAGGATGATGGAGATGGTGAAGATTTTGATGTAAAACGATTTGTTTATTGTCAAAGGCATAGTGAGAATTTGAGTGCTAAAGAGTTCCAAAAAACTCTCAAAAACGCTAGAAAAAATCTAGTTGCCAGTGGAGGACATAGACCTATGATTAAGTATGTTTTTTTCGCTCAAATATTAGGCTTCGAAAAAAACCCCATAATTATTTTCAGCACTCCTTCGATAAGTCGAGAAAATGTTGATAAAATTGCGAAAGAGACAAATATTGTTGATTTCGAAGATGTTGTTGTTTATTGGTATCAAAAAAGACGATCTCGAGCTGGAGTTCCGCTTATCAAACGATTGAATGTTGAAATCAAACAGAGAATTCGAAAAGCGGCACATGAAATGAGTGATGAAGAAACTAAAGTGTATGAGGATAAACAGACGATTAGAAAAGATTTAGAGTTAGCTCGATTAATGACTGGACAAATTTTGAAAAGAGAAACTGATAAAAGGAAGAAGGTTGGTTTTTTCAAACTTTGTATGATAGACAATTTTATATTGAGAATTTTTCAGGTGCTGGATGAAAGTCGATTTTTGTTGGGATTGGCTGTACCAGTTTCAGTGCTTCTTGATGAAATTTGGAATCGATTGAAAAAAGCAGATTCAAAAGATGTTTTTGCGAATCCTGTTGATGTTGAAGGATATTCGACGATCATTAAAAATCCAATGGATTTATCGAAAATCCGAAAAAGCATTGATAAACAGAAGTATGATTCGATTGCGGAAATGCGGAAAGATGTGCAATTAATGATTGAAAATTGTATGAAATTTAATCGAGAGAATCCGTATTATTATGATTATGGAAAACGGTTCAAACGATCAACAGTGGATATTTTTGAGAATTATGATGGGAAAGATGAGAAAGCGAAAGCTATTGAAGATCCTGATAATTTCGAAATATTTATGAAGAGATTTAAATTGGAAGTTGGAGAGGAAAGTGAGATGGAAGAAGATGCTGAAACAAAACCGGAAACAAAATCTGAAACCAAACAAATTCAACAGAAAAAGGAAGAGAAATTGACACCAAATTCTGGATTATTCCCAATATTCAGCGGTGGATCAATAAAACGAAAAAACAACAATGCGGCTCCCACAACAACACCAAAACGAGTCAAGAAAAATGATACACCAATAACTGGAAATTCATCAATTCTACCGTTTTTGAACAATTCATCGAAACAAATGACTTTTGATTCTGTCAAAAAATCAGCGACAACTCCAATTGTATCAGTACCAAGATCATCGAGATTTTCGGCAAGATCAAATGGTGGTTTCAGAGATAGTAGTGCTGTAAGAAGTCCATTGCCAGCAGATACAGCATCTTCGACTGAAGAATCTATGGATGAAGAAATTGTGACGAATGATGAACAAAAAGTGAGTGATTTAACAATTTCAAATTTGAAGGGGAAAGCTCAAAAAGCTTCCCCTGAATGTTTATTTAATTAAAACTTTTTAATTAATTTTATTTTTTTCTAGAACTCGAAATATTCATCAAAAAAGAAGCAATCAACATCTCCCAAAAAGATGCCAAAATTTATGACACCAAAAGAAGCGCCGCCAATTGAAAAAGCAAAAAATGAAATAAAATCGATTTTTGCGCATAATGCAATTGTGAATGTTGATGGAAAAGCTGCAAAGTAAGTGTTTTGTATTAATTGTAAGGAAAATGTGGCGGGAATAGGATTTTGATGAGACTTGGTAGGGAATTCCTTCAGGTTTCAGCAAAGGCTATGAATTTTCAACATTTTTCATTTTTTCAGAGTAATCGACATTCAATACGCATTTCTCGATATATCCCGAGAACAACGTCATAAAATGATTTCATCTCGACCACTTCGAACATCACAAACAAATGCAAATGTGATTTCGAACAACAAAAATCATCGAATCAACGAAGAAGATGATCATCATGTTGTTTATGTGGAATTCTTTCACAAAACAAATTCTTCGGATCAGTGAGTTTTCATTAGAAAAAAGTTCAGCGGAATAATTATGAATAATTTTTAGATTCAAATGGGTTTCATCGGAGAATGTTTCATTGATTGATTTATCGACATCAAACAAGTCGAAAATTGTTGGATTGAAAGCGGCCAAAGAGTGGTAAGTATTTTGGGTGGGATTTTGAGAATTGCAAATTATTTTGGTTCAAACATCTGAAAAATCTGAAGTAAACGCTATAATTATCAAAAAAAATCAATTTCTTTTCAATCACATCAATATTTTTCATGATCCAATTTATCATTATTTTAATGTGATTTATTTTATTGCAGTTTTTGGAGAAAAATTTCCAAAAAGAAAATTGTCCAATATGATTTTTTTTGGGGACTTTTATTCATTTTTTCATTTCAAGCTTTACGCTCAGATTCAGATGAAATTATGAAAAATCCCTTGAAAATTTCTAGGTTTTGTTCCAGAACCTATTTTGAAAAAAAATCCGTTTATTTTTTTTTCCAAAATTCAAAATGAAATTTTGCAGGCAACAAAGCATGATGTCGAAATGATCTTCTTCTTCTATTTCTCCTTCTCCATTTCTAATTTGTATATTTGAATTCTGGTTTCCTACGAGTCTCTTTCCATTGTTTTTTTCTTCCTGATTACTGCACCCCGGTTGCCTTTTCCACCCAACTTTTTTCCCCATTTTTTTCCCCTTCATATTTTTATCTTTCTCTCTTCCCTTTAGCTATTACCATTCATTTTTATATCAAACAAAACTGGTTACTTTTTTCTCTTTTTTTTTGGTTTTTCCTTTCCTGTCCCTTTAATTTATTTATTATCACTATTTTTCTCTTTATGTGAATAGCTTTTCATTTTTACGTACTTTTTTTGTCGTCGTGAACATTTTTTAATAATATTGTTTTCTTGTGAAAATGAATTTTATAAGAAGGCCAAAAATCATTTTTGTTGGTTTTTTTGGACGTTGTGATGTCGTTTTTGTATTTGATATATGCCTTTGTTGTTGTATTTTTGGGGTTGTGCTTGAAAAATTTCAGATCCTATATTTTGCAGTAGACCAGATTTTTTTAAATTCAGAATCGAAATATTTTATCAAAAAATTCAGAAAAAATAATCGGATTTTTTTTTTTGATTTTGAGTCGGTGAAAAATTTTTGAAAAAATTGACTGAATTAGGCAAAAAACTCAAAATTCTAGATGTTTCCAATTTTTTTTTTTGGAAAAGATTCAAAAGTTTTTTGAATTCTTAAAAATATTTCAGCGATCCCTGAAATCATGAAAATATGAATTTATATTTTTCATGAGGTGATTTATCATTTTTGATCATTCCATCTACCTCTTCTGCTTTTTTTCTGTGCCAAACAATTAACTGAAATCGTGTGAATTCCACAAACACACACACACACGACAAATTGGCCAATTTTGCAGACATACATTATATAGTGCAGCACTTCTTCTTCTTCTTCTTCTTTTACTCTCTTATGACTATTTTTAGATTCTTCGTTGTTTTTGTTGCTTTTCCTCTTTTTCTTCTTCTTCTTCAAAAAAAAATCATCTCGAATTTCGATTCGCCTCATCTCCTTTTTTTAAGGAAAAAAAGAAGAAGTATGATATAATTACTATGGATACGGAAAAAGAAGAGAAAAATTGACTATTTTTAGGTTGTTTTTTGAGAATGAAAAAAAAGTGTAGGCGGATATATATATTGGGATACTGTAGGGTAGATTGATGAAAAAATAGGTTTGGTGGAGTTTGAGGAATTTTTATTCCTCGAAATCTCTGAGACCCGTTAGGATGTTTTCCAGCGTGACCCGCGAATTCAAAATTTTGAAAATCATTTCATCAACAAAAACTGATGAAATTTTCCGGTTTTATTTCGAAACGTGAACTTTTCTCTGATCGTTTTTCATTTTTTGTTCATTTATTCTTGATTTCATGAAAACCCGATAAGATTTCCAAGTAATATCATTCCAGATTGATTTTCTAATCCATTCTTTGACCAGTCCATTTGGTGGCCAAAAGTGAACCCTTTAATTTAGAATTTCAACATATAATTACACCATTTCCGTGTTTTCGAGCAATATTCAAGGCACAATTTTTTTTTGAAGTTGTCAGGATCTAGGTTTTCCACAAAACCTTTCTCGATTTTTCTCGTACTATTCAAGTCTTCTACATTTTTTGACCAGTCAGCTTTGACCAAAACGAATCCCTCTAATTTTCTCAACCCAAACATATAATTAATTACACAATTTTCCCATAATGCCGTGCAATTTCCAAGAATAAGTTCAAAGGTTGCAACATCGACGGGTCATTTCAGTCAGTTATCCGTCATTTTTCCGTCCTGCAAAAACTGCGTCTCTTTTTGATCCATGTAACTCTTTGTGTCGGTCAATTCATTCATTCATACATACATTCAAAACGTGTTGTGCTGACTGACTGACTGGCTGCTACTTTCGTCCTGGCTACTATGTATTTTCATCTTCTTCTTCTTCTTCTCGTTTTTCGTTGTGTCCTTCTCTTCTTTAACACATACACTATTTTCTCTGGATGACTGGTGTCGCATTCATTTTTTTCTCGTCCGTCCGTATTTCTCTTCTGTTTCTGTTTCTTCGTCTTCTTTTTTCTTCCATTCGACCACCACCAATTTTTTTCGCACTATTTTTGGTTCGCCTTCTTATTCTTAGCTAGCTCTCCATTTATTAGTCCCCCTCCCATTCATTTTTTTTTCCGAACGATTGATTGGATTCTAGCCAAGTTTTGTTGTTTTCTGTCTCTCGGCCGCTCTTTCGTCTTGACCAATCTCTTCCCCCTTTTTTGCCGAGTGTGAGAAACGAGAAATGAAAAAAAAAATTTAAAGGTCACGTTGAAGTTAATTGGATTATTGTTCTAACTTGTTGATTTTGGTAGAAAAATCTGTTCATTTTTTTGTGAAATCTAGAAATAGGTAGGGGATTTGATCCATTTGTGAGCTCTAGAACTTCGTTCAGCAAAATTTAATCCTATTCCATAAAAATGATTTTTTTGAGTTCTCATGGGTTTTCAAGTTTTCCACGTAGTTTTTTGCGAAAGTTTCAAGTTCTCTGCAGATAGCAAATTTGAAATCGGACCAAGTTCATTTTTTTTTGAAAAAAAATTCTGAATCGGAATTTTTTTTTTCGAATTATTCGGAAAAGTTTTCAAATTCGGCCACATAGAAAAAATCGAAACTCTTTCGAAAAAAATTAAAATAATCAGATTAATTTCCGATGGTCCCAAGATTAATTCCATTAATCGAAACCGGAGGTCCAATTTATTATTTCCCCACCACGAATATGAAAAAAGTACTAGGTTACACCAATCTGTCTACATCTGTTTGTTTTCTGACGTAGGTTTTGATTGTGCACTCACATTTTCATTTGGGGTTTGTCTAACACATTTGGGTTTGGAAAAAAATTTGTGGGATTTTCATTTTTTTTTTTTTTTGAAATTTTGGTTTCTGATGATTCAATAATTTCCATCTAGGGCAAATTTCCAAAATTCTAGAAAATAATTTAAAATTCTCCCATGTTTTCGAACAAAGATTGAGTTTTATTTCGATTAAAAATTCCTGAATTTCTCACATTTGTTTATTTTTGATGCTTTAAATTGTATTTTGTAATCGAAGTTTTTCGGAACATTCTAGGCTAGAAAACTAAACTAATTTCTGAATTTTAAATGTTTTCTGAATAAAGGACTTCAAAAAATTCGTCATTTTTTTATTATCTGATTCACTTAAAAATAAATTCGAAATTCAAAAATTCCCAATCTACAGTAACATTTTGTACTGTTTCCGAACTACACATTTCTAGCATCAATCATCAACCGGTAATTCAAAACATGAAAAATCGGTATTGACAAATTGTGTGTCTTATTCTATCACAAACTAGTTTTCTATCAAATATCATTTGCAATTAGTTGTTGTTTTCAAAAAAGACTGAATGACGTGATGCTCCTTAAAAGGTTACACAACCACGTAAATGAACCTTTTCACCCTCGCTTCCTCATTTTTGTTTTTTATTTTTTTTTATTTGGTTCAGCTCAAAAAAACAGAACATGTTTTTAGTTTGTAGTTTATCTAGCCTACATTTAAGCAAAGCCTTCAATTTCAACTAGGCTAGGCCAGCCTAAAATTTGACATGGTCTAGAAAACCTAAGCACGCCCCTAATTGTAAATCCAAAATGAATTTGACCGTACTTGAGATATTCTAGGCCATCCTTATATCGGTTTCCACATAATTTATCCAACTTATTCAATAAAACTTTGAAACTTTCTTCTCACAAATCATATTTAATCCTATTCAAAAAATAACGAGCCTTAAATTATTTGTGAATTGAATTCAATCAAGTTTTGCTATTTCCATAATAATAATAATAATCTTATTGGCTAGTCTTCCGGGAATTATTAGAGTTGCGTTGACAACCGATTCATACGAAAAATATACGCTGAAATCAAGTGGGATTTGAGTATTTAGCCGATATTTTTTGGCGATTTTTATCTGTCTGGCATTTTTTAAAGTGACTCATAAGTACTATTGATTTTTTGAAAAACCATTTTTTATGTATCGTGCCTCCCAAGCCAAAACGTGGTTTGTGCGTGTCGAAATTTGTATTTTATTTTCGAGATTTATTTTTGTTAGTGCTTTTTTGTATGTTTTAATAGAAACTTTGAAATATTTTTTTTAATTCCGCTGAAAATTAATAATGTTTTGAATTCCCCGAACGCGTTCGCAAGCGCTCGATAATTTTTTTATAAAATTTAATTTCAAACAAAAATTAATTTCTAACGTGACCTCATTTGATTTTATTTTGAATTTAAAAAAAAAATTTTGGCGTTTCACTTCTGATTTTCATTTTTCTCGAATATGTTCTGAATTAAGTGCAGTTTTACGTGAGTTCCGGGAATTTTCATATTTTTACTTTTTGGTATTTCAAAATTTTGTCATAATACTCTTAAAATATAGTTGAAATTATTTTCTGGACTAGGTTTATTTTTTGAACATCTATGGCATTTCAATATCAGAATCTTCGGTCTGGAAATCGTGCATTTTATATCCTTTTGAAGTTTTCAAGATTTTTGATGAAGTTTTGAAGACAAATTCTAATTTTAAAATATTTAGTTTTTTTAACCGAAAATGAGACCTTCTGAAACTCCGAGATTAGTTTGAGTTCAAAATTCTTCTCCGCGAACTTCTCGAATTTTCAGATTTTCTAGTTACTAGTTTCTCTCAGAGATCTCAGCCTACTGTAACAATTTTCATATCTCCGTTGTTTTTCACCCGGAACCTTTGAATTTCCTGCAAAAAAGTCTTGCAAGATGTTTGGTTGCATGCTCCTCCGCTTATCGAACATTAATAAAATATCACTTCTCACTTCAATTTTTTTCTCGCCATCCCAGATAAACGATGATCATTCATTCCATATTTTGTAGCATACATGCTTGTTTCTTTTTTTTTATAAGTATGTTTTATTTTTTGTGTCTTATTTCTGCTGACCAGATGATGCTGCACTTGGCCCACTCGACAAACAACAATATTTGTCCTCGCTTTATCTATCTTCCCCCCAGTTTTTTTTCTTCGTCTTGACAGAGATTTGTCTTCTTCTTCTTCTTCCTTTGTGAATATAAGATTTTCTTGTCTTATTAAAATGTAAATTCAGCTTCGCCCCCAGACATACACACATTTTTTCCAACCAATATATATATATTTTATTCGTCTTTTTTTCGTTTGAAAAATGAGTCTATGTATACTGTAATCCAATTGAAATTCTAGAGTTGCTCTTTTCAATTAACTAGACGTTTTTTGTCCCTCCACATCTCTCATTTCTCGCTTTCTCTCGATACTTTTCAATTATTTTAATTAGATGCATTCCTGTAATTAAAATGATCTATCCACACACAAATATGAATAGATACATATCCATCCACGCATGTTTTCTATGAGTTTCGTATGTGTGATCAGAAAATACTGTAGGTGGGTGACGAGGAGAGAGGAGCAATTAAAAAATACTTTTTTCTTGCTCAACAAAGCTATTTTTAGAGAGAGTTTCTAATAGTCTTGGGATATGTGGTTTATGATCCAGAACATGAGAATTTTATGGATGTCTGTGGAATATTTTTTTTGAAACATAATTGGTGGGAATTTCGGCAAAACTTGAAGTTGGAACAATTTTGTTTGAATCTGATCTCTAGAAGTTATGGGGATTCTCTGAAATTCTTTGATTTGGCCTATTTATAATCTAGCCTGAAAGCACACTTCTTCTCAAGCCTGAGCTTGCAGAAGTGTTAAAATTCCCAGAAATGAAAATTTTTGAATCAACCCGATGGATTTTTTAGTGATCCAAAGAGCACACAGATCCAGAACCTGAAATTGGCTTGAAAATGTTCTGTAGCAGATTTCTGAATAAGGTACGCTGATACGATATCTGGGAATTTGACAATATCCAATAGATTCAGTTTTTCTCTGTAAAATGGTCTTTTCTCTGTAATGGTCTACATACAATTCAAGAAAAGTCCAAACACCCTCCGTTTCGGAAATCCACATTCTTCAAATTATTTTTTCCCGAATCCACACCAACATCTGGTAATTTTGTTTGTTTATGATTTTTTAAACAAACTTTTCCCGTTTTTTTCATTCCCCACTCATCAGCCAAGATGATTTTCATTTTCAACAACAAAGAAAATCTCCGCCCGATTTCGATTTTTCAAAAAGTAGGCGTGGTCTTATATTTTTTGACCAACCAAGAAGAAATGGATTCATTTTTCATCTCTATTTCAATTTCACCCCATTTTCTTCTGCTTTTTTCTTCTCGTCGGATCTTTTTTTGGCGGCGTGCCGTTTTCGGACATAAACACAATCAACAAGCGGATATTATCTAATAAAGTGCTCGTCGTCGTCTCGTATGTCGCTCTTATTTTGCTCCTCCATTATTTCCTCATTTTCTTGCTTTCGCCCTTTTTAAACGAAATGTAATGTGTTGATTTAATGGTCATGGATTTTAAGGAGGCTTGACTTTTATTTTTTACGCCCTTTGTTAATGGATTTTGGTACTATACACTTTTTATGCGATCCTGATGAGCACATTTTGAATCGGCTCGAGAATAAGATAGACTAATTCAAGGGATTAAAAAATTGGACCTGAGTTCTTACGCTAATTTTAGGTAGTTCTCATGTTGTTATAGATTTTTCTCCGATTTTCTAACGAAATAATTGGCTATTCATTTTCTCACGGAACAGTTTTTTATGATTTGTGAAAATTGAAAACTAAAAATTGTGTTCGATATTTTCTTCGACCAAAAATTCAACTTCTTGAAATTTTTTGAATAAAAGTTGTTGTTGTTGTTTCAAACGAGTTCTAAAGTTTTGTGTTTTTATCTCGAATTTTCGAAGCCAAAACTAGGCTCATTTTTTCCGGCTGATCTTTTCATCTTGCTTCCAAAAATTTTTCAATTTTCGAACCCTTTTTGAACAAAAGGTTTTGTTGGTCTTTGTCAGTATTTTATTATTTATTGCGGATTACTGTAGTAGTTCAATTGGTTTTTCTTCCTTTTTTTTGGTTTTCGAAAATCAATCCCAAGGGAGTATATTTTGATAAACAAGATTTTTTTCACTTGTTCGTTAGGCCAGCACATATTTAGATATAACGCACTTTTCTTTCTTTCTTTTTCTCCCATTTTTTGCTATTTTTGTTCAAATAGATTACTGTAATCATAATAATAATCATCTAATTAAATATTGATTTTAGTTTTGGTTTTTTCAGAAAACAAGAAAAAGCAGCGCGCAGCCATCCCATCCCGCCCAAACTAAAAGACCGTGAAGGGAAGGGTTAGGGGGTGAGAGTGGGCGCGACCGACAAATTGCTTCGCACCACCAAATAAATGGTGTCAACAAGAAGTTGCGATGAGTTGGAAGTGTGGAGACAGTCGGTGTTGCGCGCCAAACAAACGCATCCGGAAAAAGAGGCACCGCTGAGAGCGCTATTGGAAGGAACATCGGGAACACATCAATGGACGCAAACAAATCATCCGCGACCCACATTTTGCAATTATTGTAGGGAAAAATTATCGGGAGTTCCGTGGCATGGTTATACGTGTGACAGTGAGTTTATTTTGAAGTTATTTGCAACCCTGGCATACTTTTCCTTTTGTAAAAAGTGTGTGCCAGGGTTGCAAAACAAGCCACACCCACTTTTCAAACTGTTTATTTTTGTAGTTTGTAAAGTGAAAGCGCATCGAAAATGTACGCAAAAAATACTCGACAAATGTAAATGGACAATCGAAGCCAGCATTCCACAACATCTTCAATATATCAGTCCAGAGGTTGTTTTCAACCTTTCCTTTCCCTCCAAATAGCTTTATATTTCTAGAATGCAATAGTTCCACATCAATGGGTTGAGGGAAATCTTCCGATGCCTGCAAAATGTATTGTTTGTGATAAACCTTGTGGATCAGTTCGAAAACTACAAGATTGGCGATGTATTTGGTGCGCGTGTTGTGTTCATTCATCGTGTCTTTCACAATTAGGTCGAGGTTGTTCTCTTGGAGCAGCAAGTCTGTCTGTCATTCCACCGTTGGCGCTGAAAGAAGTGTCGGAAGATGGAATTGCTGTGTTGAGAGAAGATGCGTATGGTGGAGAATGTGGTGGTGGATCGCCGTTGATTGTGTTGATCAATTCGAAATCTGGTGATAATCAGGGACAGAGGATTATTAAAAAGTTTCGGAGATTGTTGAATCCTTGCCAGGTTTTTGATATTATTGCGACTGGACCGGAATTTGCGTGAGTTTTTTTTTGGAATTCAAATTATTTTTTATTTTTATGAACATTTTCATTTTCGGTGAACATTTTTACGAAATTCCAACCAAAAATTTGTTTTTCATCATTTTTTCACCTCAAAAACAACCTCTTTTTTTCAGTTTAACATTCTACTCACAACTCGAATCATTTCGTGTTTTGGTTTGTGGCGGAGATGGAACTGTTGGTTGGGTTTTGAGCGCATTTGATCGACTAAACCTTCATTCAAAATGTCAGCTTGCAATTCTTCCACTTGGAACTGGAAATGATTTAGCGAGAGTTCTTGGATGGGGACATGCATTCTATGATGATACACAATTACCACAACTCGTTCGAACACTTGAAAGAGCACATACAAAAATGTTGGATCGATGGAGTGTTTTATCGATTGAGGGACCACAAGCGGATGCAGTTCGACGATATGAAGAAATTGTTATTGAAAAAGTTCGAGCTGTTCTTGAAGCTGAACAAGCGCACGATATAATTGTTGCGGTGACGTCATTGTGTGCGACAATTCGAGAATTGATGAATAATGTGACTGAAACGTTTGCAAAAGTTGAAGAATGGCAAAGACAAGAAGGACAACATGTGCCGGATCCGATGACTGAACAATGCTCAGCACTTTTGGGAAAACTCGATCGACTTATGAGAAATTTGAAAGATGATGTGAATCAGATTGAAGAAAGTGGTTTTGAACCAGGAGATGAGGATGAATTCTCAACGAGTGATGAGTTAAAAAGAAGAGATTCGTTGGTAAATCGAGCGAATAGTTTGAAAAAAGCACTACGAGATGTGATATCAATTGCGGAACGAGGCATCGATCAACATTATAAAGATTTGAGTGTTGGAACAAGGAGAGAGAGATTCAGGAAAAAGCGAAGTAAAACAACGCCAAGTGGATTACGCGTTTCGCATTCGAACCTGTCATCAAGTTCTGCTTTCACACCACCCGGTTCACCAAGATTACGAAGTGCTGCTGATTCAAATCTGTCACCATCACCCAATCCCAATCCAATTGTTCAGCCACCAACACCTGGTGGAACTCGAGAACCATCAACTTTTGAAGAAGAAGAACTTGAAGAAGATGATGATTCAGTTGGAGTGGATGATCTCTTACCGGATCGACCGAGAATATATTCGGAATCGAAATTCAGCGATATCGAACACGGTTGTCATCTTCACCCTGGAAGAGGAACAACTGACAAGAAAATTAAGACAAGTCATTCAGACAGCAGTTTATATGGTTGGTATTGAACAAATCAGGATTCAGTAAAATTTGAATTATTTTCAGATCATCTTGAAGCTTCATCATCTGGAACAGGCGGTGCAACACTCTCACCATCGCACGCTGGAAATCGAAGAAAACGAACAACTGGCGATTTGGCAACATCTACATCGTCACAATTGAGAAGTTGTCGAAATATGTTGTCTGGATTTGCGGGAGGATCATTGATTGCTGAAGTTTTGCTGTTGAATGCGAGAGTTTTGAGTAAAGGACTTGAGAATGAATGTCATACACCTTTGTGAGTTTTTGTCAGAAATTTTGTTGCAAGAAACTAATATGTTTAGAATTTTGACGTCAGAATTGTTTTTTTCCACGTGAAATTTGATGACGTGGCAATTTAGAAATTAAATAATTTCATTTGAATTTTTTTTTTGAATTCAGAAAATAAGGAAAATGTTTACCCGAAATTTCGGATTCTATTAATAAATAATTTTTTCCAGTGATCAATACAAAGAAACATGTGTAATGAACAATTATTTCGGAATCGGTCTCGACGCGAAAATCGCCCTCGAATTTCACAATAAACGAGAAATATCCGAGAAAACTCGAAGTCGATCGAAACTATTCCTCTGGTATGGAATGCTTGGCGGAAAAGAACTTGTGCATCGAACTTATCGAAACTTGGATCAGCGAATAAAATTGGAATGCGACGGAGTTCCGATTGATCTACCGTCACTGCAAGGAATTGTGATTCTGAACATTCCGAGTTATTCAGGAGGAGCGAATTTTTGGGGAAGAGGCGGAAAGGATGATTCATTTACTGTGCAAAGTTTTGATGATCGAGTTCTTGAAGTTGTTGCATTATTTGGTGTTATTCATGTTGCAACAAGTCGTGTTCCAAATGTTGTTAGATTACAAAATCATCGAATTGCTCAATGTCGACATGTTCGAATTGTAATCCTTGGCGATGAGCCAATTCCAGTTCAAGTTGATGGAGAACCATGGCTTCAACCACCAGGAATCATGCAAATTGTGCATAAAAACCGGGCACAAATGCTTGTTCGAAATCCCGTTTTCGATGCGACACTCAAAAAATGGGAAGAGCAAAAAGAGCGAAGTTCAACGGCGCCATCAACTCCAACCGCTCTATGCTGTTCGGCATCGGAAATTGTGCCGTTCTCAAGAAGAGCTGCCGAATTTTTGCGACTCGTTGAAAGCGAAATTGCACAATTGGGTGTGAGCTCGGCGTTTTTGGAAGCATTGGATGAGGCGTCGATTTTGTTGCGAAGTGGTGGAACTGGACCATGTGATGAAGAGGATACGGAGGTGAGTATAGGGTAGGGCACCCCGAATTTTTCTCTCCAAATTTGGGTACGGTAGTTTATTGGGGTTTTCTTTTCACCTAAAAGCTTTTACCACATCCCATTACAAAATTTTTTATTAGTTAGGACAACTAGTACACGTAATGTATGTTTTTTTCACAAAATAAAAATCTTTTCCAAAATAAAATCACATTATGGCCTCAAACATCGTAATTCGATTTCTGATCTACTCGGAAGCAGCAACTCTTCTGTATCGATAAATGAAATTGTTGTTGGACATTCTGATTTTTGGAGTTGATTAGGTCTTTGTGATTTCCATAATGTTCGAGCTAGCCAAACTGAAATTAGAGATCTTGTAAATTGAATGAAAAATGGGGACTTACTAAGGTAAATCACAAGAACGAATGAATATAAAGCATATGTCCAAATGATTACAAGAACATGGACGGCGGTGTCCGAAGAATCCCAGGATTTGAGATATTTCTGAAATTGGGTTTTGAGATGAATTTATCACATCGGCAAGGAAACTTACATCAATTAAAACAAAAGTGAAGATGACGAGAACCGGAATCATAATTATTTCTTGAATAATTTTCCACACAACATATGCCATAATTGAGCTGGCACATTTTACACTATATAATTTGATCAATAACCTGCCAGCAGTTACTAGATTCAAAGTGATCACCACTGACAGCAAAACATTCATAAAATGTCCATTTTTAATAGATGTAAACATTGTTACATTAAATAGAATTGACAATAATAATTCGACACATATCAGCCAACGAGCTCGAATTATTTGCTGCGATTTCTCGCGCATTTTTGGCATTTTATTCTGTCTGCAAGTATGTAAAATTGTTATAGACGAGACTTTTTTTTAATTAATTTATGCAATTGAGAAGGAAATAATAACAAAAGTTCTCTCTATTTTCTCGAAAACGAACAAGAAGAAAAACGAAAAAACGAAAAAATGAAAATGAAATATCAGATTTCAGTGATGAGAAAGTTTTTGAACCAAAAAACACGAACTCGGATCATTTTCGAAATTTTGAAGAAAAAAAAAAGAAGTGCGGTAATTTTGAAACCAAATTCAAGAAGAGAAATTAGCGTAAAACTGAAAAATGATAAATTCTAAATTCAAAATTTAGTAGTCACTTTCAAACCAAAAATAGTGATATTCAGTATAAGAAATTGTTCCACGTGGCTTTTCAGAAGTTCAATCTGGTATTTAAATTTTCCGAGCTGGAGCATTATTTTTAAAATTTTGATACGGAACCTTTTGGAACTGTCAGAAACAGCGATTTTTCTCGGAACAAAACGAGAAAAGCCGATTTTTCTTGCAAATATGATGAAAATGATTCTCAAAAAACATGTGAAAGTTTTATTTTTCAAGAAATCTAACGCCAGATGTTTTTTGTTGAGAAAGTGTGAGAAACTGAAACCACGAAGAAAATAAAACATTTTAGTAGTTTTCTTCGATTTTCGAAATAAAATAAAAAACAGAAAGCCGTTTCTCGTCGATCTATATTTTTGAACCAGAAAAAGAAAAAAACAAGAATGGGGCAATGGCAAAAAAAACAACAAATTAGCATTGCATTAATGGAAAACCATCATTTTCATATTATTTTATTTATCAAAGCTTGTAAGGAGCAATATTTACATTTGGAAAAAGAATAGAATAGAACCAGGAAATTTTTTGCTTCATTTTGGAGCACACAAAAAAACGAGAAAAGAAGTTAGTGGGAAAATGTGAAGATGAGAGAAAATATGAATTAATAATTGAGTCTTCTGCTACTTTTCTCCAATTTTTTTCTCCTCCCATTTTTTATTTGATCAAAGGGGAGAATTTTAATTAGATTTGTTTTTCGATGAAAAAAAGTTTAATTATTCAATTTTCGTTTTGTTTTGTTTTCCAAAGGAAACAGCAAAAACAAAAACAATTGAAAGTTCTTGGGGATTAAAAACGAAGTGACTTTTAAAACTTTTTGAGTCAAGAAGCTAACCTGGACAAATTTGGAGGGAGACAAATAATTGACGGCGCCGAGACAAAATTTGATTATTTTTGGCCGCCAAAACAGCGAAAAAAGGATATTTTTTGGAAAATTAGATGTTTTCTAGAACACAGCCGATTTGGAGGATCGAGAAGAGGCGCTGGCGTCAGTGGAGCGTGTTGTTGAATTGTTGGAGGATCATTTCGGTTGGCCGGAACGAATCAAAGCACCGGCGACACAGCCAAGATTGGGACCCGCACCGCATTTTACATTTGAAATTCATGTGAGTTTTTTGGGCGACAGAGAGAGACAAATGGGAAGGAAATGACCTTTTTGAATATATTTTTTTGAATTAGAAAGTGAGAAATTAATTGGGTGGTTGAAATATGAGGTTAATAAAATAAAATAAGAAACTGAAAAATGGAATTTCAGAACTCCAAAGTTCGAAAAAATATTTCTCAAAATTTGTTTTTAAAAAAAGTAATCGAAATTTTGAAATTCAAAAATTTCCCGATTTTCTTCATTTTCTCTTACCTTCTTCAATTTATTTTCAAAAAAAAAATTCAGAAAAACCATCAATTTTGTCTGGAAAAATGCTGTTTTTGAAATGAGACACCGGAAAAAAATTCGGAAAATATGTCTTTTAATTTCTCTACTCATAGAGAAATATTTTTCAAATTTACACGAAAAGTATTTTTCAGCGAATCAGAAAATTATAATTTCATTTATTAAAATCCAATTTTTAAATTCAAAAAATATTTTATTGAAATATGACACTGAAAAATTAGTGATTCAAAGAAAATTCAAAAAAAAGCACCAAAAAAACCGGACATCATCAAGAAAACAGAAATTAGGTCTTCCAAATATTTTCAAGAACAAACCACCATATTTTTATGACGTCGAACGAACAGACGAAAAACCATAAAAAGTACATTTGTAGAATTAGGGACTCATTTTTTTCTTCTTCTTTTTTTTAAGAACACAAATTCTATTTTCAGGGCGATGAACCAGATAATTGGAGATATGTTATAACGAGTATTCGACAAGAAATGGATCGAGAAGAAGCTGATCTTCGAGAATTGAGACATCAAGATTTGATTGGTGTTAAAACAAAGAGAAGTCGATTGACTGAATGGTTGAGCAAGAAATTTGGATCGAGAACAGCACAGCTGAGTTATGATAATAGTTAGTTCAAGTTTGGGGAATCCAGAAAAATATTAAAATAATTGAAAGTATTGAGAGCATGTTTTTAAAAAGTGAGCCTTGAACTTTTCCCTTTCAAAATGTGTTTTTTTCAGTCCCGAATTGGAATGTGGATCAAGTTTGCAGTTATTTGTCGTCGATTGGATTGTCTGAATATTCGTCGCAATTCAAGGCCAATGATGTGCAGGTAAGAAAAAAGCTCAAGAAATTTCAGATTTGTGTGCAATTTTAGCTTGACCTCACAATTATTCCAAAACATTTTCAGGGAGGAGAATTGATACATCTGGAACGAGCTGATATTCAGGAACTTGGAATCAAGAAGATTGGACATGTTAAGCGACTTCAGGTAACTTCTTATTTCTAAATGTTTCCGAAAATTTGAATTTTTGCTCCAAATCATCCAAAAAATCATTATTTTGCAGTCTGCCATCGAAGAATTGCGTGAACGAGAATCTGAAAAGCGTCGAGCCCAAGTGCGACGAGATTCAAAACGTGCTCGAGCCGAAACAACACCTGGAAGTGGATCTGGTCGAATGGTAAAAGCAACAAGTTTATCCGCTGAAAGATGGTCTTCACAAAATCCAGCTTCTTCAACATCTGAAAATGTTTCTTCTGCATCTGGAATTGTTCTTGCTGAAAAAGAGCTCAATAGTTTATAATAGGCATTTTTTTCATCTTCTGATATTTTCTATTTATTTTATTTATTGATTGCTAAATTCACTTGCTCCAGTCACTTATAGGTTACAAAATTTGTTTGAAAATCCCGACATTTTATTTTCCTTTTTTCTTTCGTTTTTCAAAAACGCGGTATTCTTTTTTTTTATTGACTTTGTCTATTTTAATTTGTTCTAAACAATTTTCAGTTTTTTTCCCCAAAATCATATCAAAATGAATCTCTTTGATTTTTTCCTTCTTTCTGTCATGCTTTTCCTGAAATATTTATTTTTTAATTATTTTACGTAGACATAAATTATTTTGCCCCGTTTTTGGTCATTTCTGAAATGTCCAATTGTATGAAATTGTCTGAAATCAATGATTCTTATATCGATGGTTTTGTTTTAGCTCAAATTCAGGAGAAAATCAAGGAAAGCTCACATTTTGATCAAACATCAATTAATTAATTAATTTTTTTTTAGGAAAACCAGTCGAATTTGTGGAGCCGGAAAAGCGAGAAGAAGGGAAATTTGGATGAGGCGAAAGTGAACGAGAAATTGCCGAAAAGTATGGTTTTTGAATTTTCTGTATGAATTTTTGATATTTGAAAAAGTTAGACTGTACTCTGAATTTTTAAGCGAAAGTCTTTTGAGAACAACAAAAGGTAAAAATAACACGTGGCTTTTCTGAAATCTGAAAATTTCAAATTTGTACAAAAAATTCTACTTAAAATCCTGGTTTTACAGATTTTTCAAGAATCATAAAAGTGTTAATTTTCTTTTTTTAAATTGAAAATGTAGCTCTTTTTGTGAGAATTGCTCATATTAATTTCGGACTTTTGATTTATCAAAAATTTCTCTCCCGACATTTCCTAATACCTTGATAATTTGCATGAGCAATCCTTTTCGATTTATTTACAACCGTGTTCTGTCCAATACAAAATCATCTAATAATCGAATTGTTTTTGATCATTCAAACAATGAGATTCTTCATCCTAGTTTTATTTTTTCTATCAATTTCTAAAGCTCAACAATGTTTTGAAAATAATTATTCGAACTCTACTCGGTTGGTTTTTCTCTTATCTATTTTTTTCATTAAAAATAGTTGCTAAAAATAAATAGATACTAGTTTCCTGACTACTATAGACAAATATTTGATTTTTCATAGGAACTATACTAAAATGTTCTGCAAAAATTTTGAAAAGCCAAAAATTTCGATAAAAAATGTTTTGAGAATTGTTTATTTGCTTTTTGCCGGATGTATTTTTCTGTTGTTGAATGAACAAAAATAAAAATGAAATAATTGTGTACTTTTTATTATAAATAACTAAAAATGAGAGAAAAAAAGAAATGTGGTTTCTGATTTCTTGAAAAATGTGGTTTCTTCCGTTTATGTGCTCTTTTCTTACTTTTGTCATCATTTTTTCGTTGTTTTCAAGGTTTTTCTATTGGGAAGAGCGAGGAAACCATAGTGATTTTGAGACACTTTTTTTATTTTGATGATGATTATTGTGAAATTTCAAAATGTGTTTTGTGACTTAGAAAAACTAGTTTTCAAAATTTCTTGGGAGCTTGAAAAGGGTTGAAAATATTTTTGATCCCATGATTTTTTCGGTTAAACCAATTTTTCTCACTAAAAAGTAAAAATTGCCACGTGGATTCTCATCACGAAAAATTGAAGGTAACTGTAGTTTCCAATTTTATTTAAAATATCAATTTCGAATTTTTTGATGTTTGATTCATTCGTTTTATTCCAAAAAATTGTATTTTGAATTTTTAAAATATTTTGCAATGACTGTAATTCCTGATTCGAAATTTATAATTTTCAAAAAAAAATTTTCCCAAAAAATCAACTTTTTCTAAATCCTAAATCCAGTTATCTTTCAATTCCCTTTCTTTACCAAAACCAATAAATTATCATTAACTAGAATCTAGTTACTTATCTATATTTAGACCTTTCTTCCCGCAAATTCTTGTCCTCGACAAAGACATTGACATTCTTTTGCACCCACATCCACCCACATAAATCCATTATGGGAAGGAAAGGAGGTGGGTAAGTACAGAATACATACACAAAAACAAGCTCCGCCCCATTTTTCGGTCGCCTTGATAAACAAGCAAGCGGTCATAAAAAATGTGTGTCTACTTTTTCGCCTTTCTGAACACACATTTCGATTCAATTTTGATCGAATTTTATTTTGGTCAAAGTAAAATCACGTGATTTTCAATTTTTTTCAAGAAATTATCAGTTTTCTGTGCACTTCTCGCTGATAAATCAGCCACTATTCAATTTTTTTTGATATTTTTGTATCTATATTTTATTTTTCCTTATTCAAATTGTCAATTTTTGCAGCCCAATGGCAGCTTTGGCGATTTCTCAAATTTGCAATCTTCGACCATGCTCAACGACTTCAACACTTCCAACAACTTCCAAATCTCAACAGGTAAATTTGAAGTTTTTTTTGTTTGAAAATTTCTGAGTAGTGAGAAAAGGTCTGGCGAAATATAATATTTTTAGCAAACAAAAAGGTTTTTCACTTGAGACTGGGAAATGGGGGCGAAACTGAATAATTTTGAACCCATTTTAAGGCAAGGAATATGAAAAAATATATGAAACTTGATTTTTTTTTCAGAAAAAAAAGTCGGTCATTTTTCTGTCAAGTTTTCATTCAAAAAATTCAATTCCCATCAAAAAAAAAGGGTCCCATAATTCGATCAATGACGTATCTTATCAGTGTATCGGTCTCTTCAAAACACACGTTCTCTAATCGCTCTGTCATTGAAAAATTCGTCGTTTCTTTGCATTAAAGACACTAGAAAAAATAATAATACGATCAACGATTTTCCCTTGCAAAAAGAAAGAATTTTCCAGATTTTTCGCTCTGCTCTAATCCTCCGAAAATCGACAAAATGGCAATGGGAAAAGGAAAAGACGGGAATGTCGGATTCGGAACTCAAAAAACATTTGCAATCGAAGGGAATGAATGTGAATGAGATGTTGGAAAATGAAAAGAAACAATTGAATGCGGTGCAAGAAATTGTGGCAAGATTAGAGTGGGTTTTTCTATTTAACTGGGAAATTCTGAATATTTTTCGCAAAAAACTCCTTTTTTCCTGAATTTGAAAAAATCAATTGATTTGTTATTTGAAACAGAGAAAAGAAATGAACTATCTCTACGTAATTTTGACCAAAAACCGGTTTTATCTAATACTGTCCACCTACCAAAAAAAAACAAAAACCTTATGATTTCAGACAATCTGGAATAACAACTCGAATTGTGACAAGAGATCAATTGAAACAATATCTACCAGAAGCGGATCTTGTTATTTCAGCTGGTGGAGATGGCACTTTTTTGACAGCCGCTTCTGTTGTTAACGATGATACTCCAGTTGTTGGAATCAATACTGATCCAATTGGTTCGGAAGGACATTTATGTGCTGGGCGAAAGAATCCACCAAGAGATTTGATTGAACAATTAGTTGCGGGAAAATTGAAACTTGTTGGAAGATCGAGGATTCGTGTGACTGTTAAGGATCCAAAATCATCATTTTTCTCAATGAAAACTAGAAAGGAGACTACGAATTTGGCGTTGAATGAAGTTTTTATTGGTGAAGATGAGGCTGCAAAAGTGTCGACTTATAATATCTCAATTGATGATTCGACAATGGTTAAACAGAAATCGAGTGGATTAATTGTGTCGACTGGAACTGGTAGTACTAGTTGGTATTTGGGAATGAATCGAATTGATGAAACGACTGTTAATTCAATTATTGAGACGATGCAAAATTTGGGAATTGATGTGTCATCGAATCGAGATTTGGTTAAGAAAATCACATCGAATTATAATCAGCGAATTCCATTTGATGTTGATTTCCCAAGTAAGTACCGAGCACTTTTTATCACATTTTTTGAGGGCACAAAAAAACAACACATGATATAGGGCAAAAAATCGCACTCGAGAAATCCTTATTTCGAAGGTCAAAAATAAATAACCCATATTTTTCCAGGTTTCGCATTCTACATTCGTGAACCAATTTTCAATGCAACTTTCAAACGAACTGCTCAACGAGGATTTGCTCAAAAAATCCGTCTTGAATCCAGATGTTCAAATGGATATTTAGTTTTGGATGGTTCTACTAAAATACCATTTCCACATGGAGCTGTTGCAACATTGGAAATTCGAGCATCGGATTCTTTGAAAACTGTTGTGAATTGAACGGGTTTTTATGCAAGAATTTCACTTTATTGTTCATAAGTATATTGTGATGTTATGGATAACAAATAAACATTCCGATTTGGTCTTTTTCTGTTAAAAATTTTACGTATTCCTAGCGAAATGAATTGAAAAAAAGAGATTATTTCCGAAAAAAATAAATAAATCGTGACCTGTTCGAAACGTCAAAAATAAAAAAACAGTCGATTCGACAAGATCAGTTCTGACTATTTTGATTTTTCGGTTAAACACAAACTAGACGTCTTCTTTGTATCGTTTTTAATTGAAGTGTTAGCCATTACAAAAGGATGTGTGTACCAAAAAAGTGAGTTGGCAAAGCATTAGAATAGAACAAAAATACAATACTGTAGAAGCGTGAATTTTCTGCAAACACTGCACATTTGAATTCACGACATTTCGTTCACTTTCAGATCTTTCGAACGAAAAATACACACAAAAAACTGTGCGGCGACAAAAAACACGTGCCGCATATCGGCGAATCCCACACCGCCTACTTTTTTCTTTTTTTTTTCGGAAAAAAAGGGGGAAATCCGTAACTAAAGGTTTATAGTGTATTTTCTTCTTTTTTAGCGCTATAGCTGTGATATACGTTCAATTTTCAGGAACAAACGTGACAATAACGATTTGCGGAAAACTGAAAAAGAAGTAGCTGCAAGCGGATCAGATGGAAAAGCAAAAGATAGAGCATCGTCAAAAAAATCGAAAAAAGGAGCATCGTCGAAAAAAGAAACTGGAAATGCATCGCAAAAAGGGGATAGTATGAAAGTATCGAAACAAATGGGTGGAAAAGGAAAAGCGAGTGTTGAAAAATGGGTTCAAAGAACATTGGATATGGGAGTTCAGAAGTTGGTTGAAGAATTCCGTGGATTGGCAAAATGGACACCTGAAGGAATGACCGTTGAAGCTTTTCAAGCAAATAAGGATAAAAATAGATATCAAGATGTTCCATGTCAAGATAAAGGAAGAGTTGTTCTCAAATTTGCTGGTGTTCCAACTGATTACATTCATGCCAATTATCTTGGAACTGCAAGTAATGCACAGCGTTTTATTTGCGCGCAAGGTCCTCTTGAAAATACTCAATTCGCATTTTGGGCAATGACAATTCAAGAAAAAGTTGAATGCATTATTATGCTTTGCAATTGTATTGAAATGACCAAAATCAAATGTCATCAATATTGGCCACCGGTGCAAAATGAGAAAATGACATTTGGTGAGGCACCAAATGTTATAACTGTGACAAATATGGGAATGAGAAAAATGTCGGCGGAGGATCCGTGTATTAATGTGACAACTCTGAAATTGGAATGGGCTGATGGTGGAAATAAGACAATTCAACATTATCAATGGGAAAATTGGCCGGATCGTGGTGTTCCAATGACTAAATTGACTGCAACGGTACATTTTTCTTTGTGAAAATTTTGAGAGCACAAAAACTCGCGTGACATTCGGTTATGAATCTGAAAATAATTTATTTTGTCACGGGAATTTTTGTTAATTAAAAAATACTGTCTCTAAAAAAATCACAGCATAACTGTTTTTCAGAATTTGCTCTCCGCTGTTCGTGGTTCAAAATTCCCAATTCTCGTCCATTGTTCGGCTGGAATTGGTCGTACTGGAACAATTGTCGCGTTGGCATATGTTCAAGAAAAAATGCAGGCTGGCGAAGATTGTATGGCGATGAATGAGTTGTTGAAAGAGTTGCGTACTCATAGACCATGGTCAATTCAAAATGAATTTGTGAGTTTCCATTTTTCTATTCCAAAATAAAATACAATTTTTTCAGCAATATTTGTATTTGCACCGTGTTTTACTCGCTTATTTCTTGGAAAAGTATAAGGATTTATTTGCGAGTTGTTTGGAAGGTGAAAATGGTGCGAAATTCCAAAAATGGTGCGAAGATTATAAAGCGGTAACTGGGGGAGATTAATCCAAAAAATTTCGGGATTTCTTGATTCGAACCAAATAAAATGTCTCGGTATTTATCGATTTTGTCTCAATTCAAAATCTATTTGAATTATTAAGACACACATTTTGATCCGCATTTTACCCAGTTTCTCTCAATTGGAAAAAAATTAGCCTCCACGTTTTTGAAAGATGCCAATCTTTCTTGATCGAAACTAATGATCATGCTATAGAATACTGTGAAACTTGTATCGTATTTTTTCTCATTTTTCAGTTTTTTCGCCGAAAAAAGATTCAAATCTAATATTTCCTCATTTTTCGGATTATCTAATTAGAACTTTTGAGAACCCAAAAAAAGGTTCAAATATTGTCCGATTTTATCTAGGAATTTTCGAAACGGATTCGAAGCAAAAAATATCTGAAAAACTTGCAAGTATTTGTGAGAAATTATAGAAGTTGAATAAAAAATCGATAGAAATATATTGTTTTTCAAAATAAACCGATTGTCAGAAAACTGAAAAGCATGAAAAGTTTAACAACCGTTAAAAATTAGAAAAATGTCAATTCGGAATTTTATAAAAACATTTGATTTTGCTGAAATTATTCAAAGAACAAATATTTCTTTCGATTTCCAATTTTTTTAGTGAATCGAAGTTTCCTGTCAGTCGTTTTTTTTCACATCAATCCTGATACAGAAAAATCATACCAATTTTCAGCAAATTATGAAAAAGGGTCCCTTTTACTTTTGAAAACCCAACATGTTTAATGTTTCGCACATTTTGTAAGATCACCTTTTTTCATAGACTTCAGATTTGAATCTACCTTGAACTATTTTTTTAAAAACTGAAAGAATGACGTTCAGATAAAAAATATTTTGCGTGCGCAAAGTGAGGTTTTGAATATGAAAAGGTCACCCACTTTACAGATAAGAATTATGAATTTAAGAAGATCGGGCAAAATTGACATTTGAAAATTCTTTTATATTGCGTTTTTTTTAATTGAAATTACAGAGCGAATTTCAAACAGGCTAGTTTTTTGTTTTTTTAGATTACTGAACGAAGTATGAATGTGAGCTTTCTCCCTTTCCTGAAAAATGATCTCAGGACCACTTTTGATACTAAAATCTCAGATAGTATTTCTTCAAATCCCCTGAAAAATTTCCCAGATAAAATCGGACAATATTTGAACCTTTTTTTGGGTTCTCAAAAGTTCTAATTAGATAATCCGAAAAACGAGGAAATATTAGATTTGAATCTTATTTCGGCAGAAAAACTGAAAAATGATGGCGTGTAAGAAGAATTCCTTTTCGCGATTATCTCAAAACTTGGGTGTTTTCAAGATCTTCACAAGAAATCAATTAGTTCTCTTAATAGATTCGAATCTGAAACAGCAAATTTTTTTGCTTGAACCATTATTTTCGAAAACCCGCATGTTTTCGGTTTATTGTTCTTTGAGAAACATCTTTAAATTTGAAAAAAATTATATAAAAATGTCAAATAATCTGAAAACTTGTGGTGCCTTTTGTGAACGTCTAAAATCTATTTTAGATATTCTGAAATTTAGTTTCTATAATAAGCTTCTCGGTCAGAAAACGGCGGGGTCGCTACCGATCGGGGCGGAGTCGCTACACGTTTTTTGTTCCCCGAAACGTGTAGCGACTCCGCCACGATTGGTAGCGACCCCGCCGTTTTCTGACCGAGTTGTGTTTTTTCAGTTTTCTCGCTGAAGAAATCGTTAATTTGGAGTAACTCCAAAAATCAGATTTTCATTTTCAGCCATGAAAATAATCTACAGTTTTTCTATTCCTAAAACCCCTATTTTACACCAATGTTGATTTTCTGATACAGACACATTTTTCGAGAACTTCACAGTGAATCGAAAAAATTCCGTAGATTTCAATCTATATTGAACCACGGCTTTTTTTGCATAAAAAATAGCGAGGGTCTAACGTTTATGATGTCATTTAGAGGATAAATTCTTGATTTTTTCCGTGTGTTCTACTAAGAACACGGTAGATTTTAATCTGCAAATACCATAATCAAACTTTGAAGTGTGAAGTTTTGAAGGACATCTTACAATTAGGTGTGAATAGAGAAATTCTTTCAAAAAAAATTTAGAAAAGTTCTAGTACAGAAAAACGTCTTTTTTAGTTTGCCGCAAGTTTGAAAATGTATTTCGGATTTTGTCATCAGTGAAATTCAAACGTGATTTTTAAAAAGTTTATCGGTTTTATTATTACTTTTGTGTTGTTGAAAATATTTACACAAAAAAAATCAAAAAATTTTGACCACTGAGCGGATCGAACGCCCAACCTTTCGATCTGGAGTCGAACGCGCTACCATTGCGCCAAGCAGTCATGCTTGTCCAGCTCTTATTTCTCGATAAAATTTTCCACTTTGCTAAAGGCAAGCTCCGCCCATTTCAATGCATTGTGTGTCGTCTGCCGTTTCCCGCTAAACGTCCGCAAGCAGGTGAATGTAAAAGGAAGGGGGAGATGTGTTTGGTATCTCTGGTTCCATTGCATTTAACCGAGAAAATCTTTCGCCTTTTACTAAAGATTTCCGTGCAAAGGGACACTTTATGAGTGTTTATCAATTTTTGGAATCCCCTCGAAAGAGCGGGATAAATAACAAGTGAACATTTATGTTCGAAGTTCCGAATCCTTTTGCGAAAAATTGATCTTCTGACAGAAAGATTTTATCCCTTTTGCGAAACAAGATTTTTGAATAAATACCTCGCAAATGTTTGATCCCCTTATATCGCAGGCAATTCAATTCAGAGCGAAAGAATAATCTACGCCCCCGCCACGGTCGCGCACTGTTTTAATGATACCCTAATTCAAAATGAAATAACACAATTCAAAACGTGTTTCATCCATTTTCCCCCCACAACTGTTTCATTGGTCGATAAAATCGTTTTATTTCGTTTGGTTTTGTGAGGTGTGATGTTTGATAGAAAAATGGGAATAGATGGAAAAGAACACGACGAAAAACAATATTGTGTTAAGGGCGCTGATTCATGGTCGCGTTACGTTGTTACCGCCGAACTTTTTCCCCTTTTTTCTCAATTTTTTGATGATAATTATTTATAACTATGTTAGAGATCGATCGGAAATTGTATCATGCTCTTTTTTGCACATTCTTGACTATTTTTATGACCCCCCTTGTTTTATCAATTTTATTTTTTGTACCGAAATGAACTGTGGTACAACGAACGTTCGACCCCGAATTCTTAAGAGATATGAATCTGGAAATTCTAAACCGCGGTCAACATGTTTTTGTTCTCAAAAAAAGTCTAGAAGTCCTTCAGATTTCGATCTTATTTTAAAAATGTGTTTCGTTGGTTAAAGGCGGTTAAATTCCCCGAAGTGTTGTGTAAAAAGTAGTTGTAAATGAAAGAAAGCCGGTAAAACTTTCAAAATCAAGAAAACCCACGTCCAGCAGATTTTTTTGTTAGATTTGAACTCCAACATTCAGTATTTTACGTTTAGGCAGAATAAAATGAAGCATCTTTTTTGTACAGTACTCCTTGAAGACTAATTAAATTTGTAGCGAAAATTAGGAAAATGTTGAAGGTTTTTTTGAAAACTTGGGATCGCATTTGATTTCGGAATTTTTTTCAGATTCTCACACGGGTTTGAGTTTCCGCCTATTCGATTTGATAAAATCGCTAGAAAATTTTGGTTCCTAATTATTTTTTTCTGTTTCTCAAAAGACTGAAATGTTCTCCCGATAGATCTAACGAAGCATTCGTAAGCATTTCGCAATCCTTGTTTTTTTCCTTACGGAGTGAATTGAAATTTTAGAGATTTGTAATTGCGAACGCCGTTAAAGAAAATTATATATTATTTTTTGTACAGTACATCTTGTTCCTTACTGCACCAAGACCTCTCCTGAAAATCAGGAAACTTTCGGAATAATAACCTTTGATTTCGGAAATTTTCTCAGAATCTCACACCGGTTCTGCAAGATTTTGGCCTAATAGATTCGATGAAATCGCAAAAATTTTGGTTCCTCATTTTTTTAAAATCTTCACTCAATCAAAACGTTTCGCACCTCCTCAACAAAACGTCCTCATTTTCCCTCCACTTGACACTGTGAACTTCACATGATAACATCAAATTCGGTAACATTTTGTTCGATTCGGTACAAAAAAACACAGTGACCAATGAAACAAAAACTTGGCGGTGAAGACATAAAAAAACATGAGAGAGAAAGAAAGAAAGATGAGAATTTGCTATGTGAGAATAATAATAAGAATATGGAGGAGATACGATTTTTGTTTTGTATGTTTATTTGCAGTCGCATTTATTTATGTGTGGAAATGTGGAATAGGAATAGGAATAAGAATACATTTAGATTAGAATAAGGATAAGATGAGAAGGGCATACTGTAGCTGAAATCATCCATGAAACAAAAATTAGAAAATTGAATTAGTTATCAGATTGTTGAAGAACTAGAAATTCAAATCTATTCAAACAAAGTTATGCAAAATTTATAATCATTTATGGAGTTAAACATTTCTGGACCAGAAAGATATTATTATCTACAGTTTTTGATAATAACACATGATACAATTTATAAGAAAACTTTTACATAAGGGTCTGAAAATTAGAATTAAAATTACAAAGTATAATTTCTGGGCTGGCTGTAAATTTCATGCCCTTATTTCTCAAAATTTTCGAAAATTAAACTTTCAATCCCGATTTTTTTTATTTTTCATACTTCTTATCGAAAAAAAACTGTACATTGGACTAATTTAATTTGGAATTTTATCTAAATTCATCTACGTTACCGAGTTTCTTCAATCAACCAGAAATTTTTATGCGTTTTGTACTCTTCATCCAGATTTCGCACTGAAGAATATTATTTTTCAAGTTGAAATCATCCACGAAACAAAAATTAGGAGTGAATTTGAATTAGTTATCAGATTGTTTGAGAACTAGAAAAAATTATATTCAAACAATGTTCAAAGAATCAATTTTGAAAAAAATTATTCTAACTTTTTTTAAAAATCATTTTTCAGAATGAGGAATTTTTTTTCGTGGTGATAAATGGGTCTACATTTAGTCAAATGTAATGCACTTACTGCTGCAGTTTTTATACAGATTTCCCTACTGTAAAGTTCTCATCATTGTTTCATTTATTTCTTTGAAAAAAACTCTTCTTCGTAAAATATTCGATCCGATTTTTTTTTTTGAAAGCGGAGTTTTTAATTAAGCTGGTTTCGATGATCTTCATACTTTTTATCGAGAAAAAAACTGTGCATTGGACTAATTTAATTTAGAAGTTTCTAAATTTATCTAAATTTGTAGCGTGTTTCTTCAAGCAGAAATGTTGTATTTTCTATATTTCATCCAGATTTCGGACTGAAGAACGTTATTGATCTAGATTTCGAGTTCATCAATTTTCTTTTCTCCGAGTTAATGAGAGGCATAAAATTATCATATTTGTTCATCGGAACAACTTCGTTCAAATATTCATTGATACAATCGTAATGCAAGGTTTCACCCACAATGCCACATTGTATTCATTGTATTCATTTGTTCTATTTAAAGGGAGGCTTATATTGGAGATTTCTTATTCGAAATGTTTTAAAATTTGATTGTGTGAGTTTTTTATTTTGTTTCCAAATAGCTTTAACATTCTGTAATCATTCTAGTCTTTGATCTAGAATATTTCTGAACTCTGAAAGAATCTGAATAAAATAGAGTAGCCGGGAAGTCACGGTATCTCTCAAATTTTGATATTCTCTCCGGTTACATTCCCTCGATTTTTGTATTTATTCCGAAAACGCTACAGTAATCTTCTCAATCTAGAAGTTACAGTATCCGTTGTGTCTTTGCAGTTTGAAAAAATGATTTTTGAATATTCTGAAAAATTCCAAAAATATTGGAAATTTTCGCCACGTCATAACTTTTCCCTAAAAGTTCTAGACCAAAACCAGAAGAAACCATAAATTTCTCTTGCAAAAAAAAGAAAATTTTTAATTGTTATTATTTTTATGATAATTAATTAACCTCCCGAACCACAATCATTATTTTGTTTTGTGTTTCGTTGATTTTCTCACTGATAGGTCAACATTTTCTTTTCATGCACTTACAATCCTCAGTATCACGGGGTACTGTAGCTATCTAAAACCGCCCTCTTTTCCCATAATAGAAATTCCGTCTGCGCGCAAGAAAATTGTTGATTACGGTAGTTTTGTTGAGTCGCTGGTTTGTGTCGGATTCGTTTTCTTATCAAATGATAAAGGGTGTAAAGAATAGAAGAAAAGAGAGAGAGAGAGAGAAAGAAAAGAGTGCAAGAAAATTGTTTGATGAATAAGAAAAGAGAGAAAGTCAAATGATAAACAGAATGATCTCTTTTTGAAATCACAAAAAGTATCAAAATTTTATATTTGTGTGTTTCTGTGTTTCCAAAACCATGTGTCTACTTTTTCATTGTTTCGATAATCAATGAGTTTGTTTCAATGATCAACCATAATAATAAAAAAATTTTACACCTTTTCTATTTTTTCTCCAAAATATTTCATTTTATTTCATTTTGATCTATCAAATTTCATGCTTTTTTTCGATGATAACATTTTATTTACAAAATTTCCGACAAATTATGTTTAATTTTAGCATTTTGAACTATTTTGGTTTATCAGGAAAATTGAATTGTAAATAGGTGATCACAAGTTTTTTGTTTCTTTGGGAAATGTGTTTTTCTGGGAAAAGTTGTATATGTAGAACGTGGAGCCATTCTTGGATCAAATTTTTATCAAAAATAGTTCACCAGAACTCTTCTAAACTCACAAAAGTTTTTTGTCAGAAAGTTTTGGGGTTCTAGGCTTAGGTGTTAAGGTTGAGCTTCTAGTATTAGAGTTTCTAGGCGAAATAACATGTGTGATTATTTTCTGATACTCAATATTTTGAGAAGCTCAGCTTGGGTCCTTTTTTGTTGCCTGAAATTTTTGGTTAGCTTTTTCTCTTTAGTGAATTTTCAGAAAAACTCCAGGTGAACGTAATATTTAAATAAAAATTGTGGGTGGGTTCAGGTTTTCTTGGAAACTTTGTTAGAAACTTTTTTCACCTGTTTTCGAATTCTGAAATGTTTTATTTTTCTAGAATTCCATTTGTAGTTTGTCAGGCAACAAAACAACACTCGCAAAGTGCAAAGTATTACAAACTTTGCTGAAAAATAAACCGTTGTGATGTTTCTATATGCACTAAACATCACTATATTCCGTACTTTGTCTTTGCCAAAACTTGATGATTCCTAAATTATTTTGTCTCCACTTAATCACACATCACATGGAATTCAACAAACCAATCACAAACTTCAACATTTTTCTCTAAAATCATTGATTCACGTGTTTCACTGATGCATTACGTTCAAATCATTCAAAGATCGCTAGTTTTTGCGACGTCATTGTGCTATGTTTGTGAAACTCCGCCCACTTTCACATCAAATCCCGCCCCTCGATTTTTACAGTTTCTCTCCTCCTTTTCTATCTCATTTCATTTTATTTTATTCCAAAAATAGATTTATTTTAATATTTTCTCTGCTTCGAGGAAAGCGATTTTAATTCCCTATTTTTGGATTTTCAGAAAATCAAATGATATCTTCAAACTTTTATCAAAATCAACCAATTGCTGTTGCTTCAAATATTGTTCCAAAAGAATTTCAAATCATGTAAGTTTTTTATGATCAAACAAATAATAAATATTATATTTCATAACACAATTTTTGTATTTGATAAGCTCTCAATGACCGGTGAAAAATAAATGTTTGTGTTGTTTGCAGGCCAACTCCGTGCTCATCTGTCGACACAAATGAAATTCGTTGTCGAATTTGTGAACGAAATTACGATGGATCACAACATTTTGGAATTGATGTAAGATTCAGAATTGCATTATTTTTTTGTATTTCATAACAACTGATTTTTTCTTCAGATCTGCCGAGCTTGCGCCGCATTTTTCAGAAGAAGTGTTAGTGTGAAGAAGAATTTTGTGTGTAGACGTGGATCGGATAATTGCCATTTGAATAGTAAGTTTTTTTGGATAATAGAAAAAAATGAATAAAATTTTGCAGCTCCTCGAAAAATCACATGTCAAAAATGTCGGTGGATGAGATGTTTGCAGGTTGGACTTCAAGTTGAATGTGAGTTTGGAGCAAAGAGAAAATATTTGAAATCGGTTTATCAAAAAATGCCACGTGGTTTTTGAAAATTCAATAAAAAATTACTAAATTTCAGTAGTTCATGGAACTCGCTCATCACACACTCATCACAGTCCTCAACACAATCCAAATAACACGAAAAACTCAGACGATGAATATGATTCTGCTGATGGTTCGGATAAATCAATTGATGAAGATGAGCCAATGCACATTTTCAAACCAATTCCACTTTTTATGACAATTGATGTCGAAAAAGCTCATACAAATTTCATTCAAAGAGTTTTGGCAAATTATCGAGAATTTACAATTCAAAGACTTGAAGTTGAACAAAGTATTCCATTGATGGGAGATCAGGAAGTTATTCTAAATGGAAAGAAAATGTATAAAACAACAAGACAAAGAGTGTCAGCGATTTATGAAAAACAACTTCCACTTCTTCATTCATTTTTATTGAAAACCTTTCAAACATATCAAAATTGCAACGAAATGGAACAAAAAAGAATCTGCGGTCTATTTTACCCAGTTTTATGGGAAATTGAAGCTTGTTATTGGACTTATCGACATATGACAAATGAAAACGCATCAAATAAATTGATGACGACACAAACCACATTCATTGATGTTAATGATGTTAAATTTTGGCTTGGTGAAAGTGAATCGAATGATTCATCAATGATTGAGTCACAATTGAGATCACTTGTTGAGAAAGCGCGAACTTTGATTCTTCGACCAATGCAATCGCTGATTATTTCTGAAGTTGAATTTGCTGTGCTCCTTGCTTTAAATATTTGGGCGCCCAGAAATCATCGAATTGGTGAAGAACAAGATCGAAGAGCTGCTGAAATGCGAGATCGACTTTTTGATGATGTTCATATTTTATATCGACATGAAATGAAAATGGATAATTATGCAAAACGAATGGGTGATATTATGTGCCTCTACACCGATGTTCAGGTAAATTTCTATTCTTGATTTTTATTAATGTTTTTGTAATTATTCTTTTTCAGAGCGCCAACATTTCTGAAACGATTCAACCAATTTTATTTTCAACTTTACATCAAGCTATCTCAAATTTATAAACGGGCTGTTTTTCTTTCTTTTTTTTGTGTTTTCTGGTTTTGGTAATTTTGCTAATAAATTTTTTCGGAAAATCGTATAATTTTTATCGGTGTTCAATTGATAAGACAATATGAAACCTCTCTTATCAAAATGTGATATTTTGAGTTGAGTTGAGATTTTTTCTGATTTATTACATTTGCTCGGAGATAGGGGCCAGGTGCTCAAAATTGTTAGATCGAACCATCTTTGATTATTTTCCAATAATCATTAGGCCCGATTCCTCAGGTATAAATTTTTAAATCGGCAAATACCTCACAAATTCTGTATCTGATCATTACTGTGTCTAGTTTAGGTTTTTTTGAATTCGTCATTAATACAGATTTTGTTCTTCTTCAAAACCTTCAAAAAAGTTTTTCAATACACAAAAGATTGACCTCGCATTTTTCCACCAAAAAAGTTTCTTTAAAGTTTGTAGATATAAATCTACAGTAATGAAAAACATTTGATGAATCAATAAAAGAATATGATTCTTAAGAAAAGTTAACACTGAATTTTGTTTCAAAAAATGGCATCAATGATCAGTGAAAAGTTAATTGAGAGAGAAAATTATCATTTTTGTAGGCTTGATTATTATCTGTTTAATTTCCTGCTTTCAAATCTCTTGATCTTGTTTGTGTTTTTCATTTTCTATGCAGGAGATATGCTAAATTTTGATCTATTTATTTATGTTGTACATTTTAATTTGGAATGAATTATAAAATAGATTGAAGTTGAAGATTAGTTCTGGATTTGGTTTACAATTAAAATTACAAACTTGGATTTTTTGGATGAAAAAACTGTGGACAGTGGTTCAAAAAAAGTGTGAAATATTGATCCATGAGTTTGGAGAGAACTTGATTTTTTGTGGGTTATGTCTGACTTTTTTTCTGTGCGGTGAAAACTCGATTCAAATTTTTTTTCTTCTAAGATCATCTTGTTTCTATCAAGCACAAGTTCTGAAAAAAACCGTATCCTTTAATAGGTTAAAGTTGGAGTCAATTTTTGTGGCTGATCTTTACCGTACCTTCAACTTTTTTTTCAGTTTTTTTCTGCAAAACCTCCTTTCGCAAGGTCCTTTTCTTCACAACTACAAAATATACGCGAAAAAAAAAGTTATTCGCCTTGAACATTAGTAGTACTGATTATATCAAAATGTCTTTTCATGAGGAATAACCTAATCTGAAATTGAATCAACTTTGAAGTGGTGTCAATACTCAATTAATAAGATCGAAGTGTTCGTACTAGACACATTGCGGCCGAGGGAAGAAATTTGAAAAATTGGGAATTTTAGTGGGGATCAACTTTTTCAATTTTTGAGTTTTTTAATTGTTAATTTGTCATGACCTCTGATGTGATAATTTTAAATTTTTTATTTGAAAATCAAAATGTCTCAATTTATATTTTTCCAGAAACTTGTATAATAGAAAATTATCATCTAATGTGTTATAAAATTTCAGTATTCTCATCTCTTCCTTATTTTCCCTGCTATTTTGTGTCAAAAATTGATGAAGATCTTCATTCTAATTCAAAATTAGAACTTTGGATCCAATTGCATTAAATATGGCCTGGCCTCGCAAACATTCCTCGTATCATAAAGTCAATCATAATTCATTTTCTTCAATAATTCTAAAAAAAGGACACAAAAACTGATTTGCCTGGTTCGTTGAACCATTCATTTTTGAAAAAAAAGTGTGTCGACTTTCTGTCGATTTTCTGTTGGTTTCTATCAAGTTTTCAATCTTCAAAAAAAAACTTCATGCGAATTCGTATTCGATTGATTCAATCAAAAGATAATTATGGTATTTTTGCGAGCTGTTTTGTATTATTAAATTGGGAACAGAAGACACATCTTTTAAAGAAAAAACTTTTGAACCAAAAAAAAACATCTAAGTCTACAATTGTGGGTCACCATTTTCAATTAACTGGGTTATGCATGTTTGAGGACCAAGGTGAAAAATATTTGGGGAAGAATTCCAAGAGAAGTACACCAAAATAAATCGTGTAAATAGTAGAGCAAACGTGTTATGTGTTTCAGAGAAAACATAGGTTGATGCTCAATTTGTCAGAATTTTTTGAAAAGTAGATATTTTTAGGAGGTCATACCTAATAATTAAGCACAAGTTTCACTGAAAAACCAAAAACTCTTAAGCGCGTTTACCCCATTTTCTGGAAGCCTCATTCAGTTCCTAGAGCATTTTGAGATGCCTCTCTCCGAATTTTCGTTTCAATAATTTGTGATATGTCTACACCCGATTAACCCGATCATTGAAACAGGCAAAAATACGTGTTAGAACGGAAAGATAACAATCTTCTCTCTCAAAATATCTTTTGTCCAAAAATGTGAGATCTGCGTTTAGATGAGGTCGTTCGTTCAGCAAAATAAATAACAAAATAAATTGGAAAATCATCAATAACCAATGGAAAGATTATGCAAATATCTACTCTCAAAATTTTACACAAAAATTGAAAAATACAAACATTCCTGACTGAAAATGCACGAGAAACATCTGTTGAGTATCACTTTACTCGGTGTTTTGACCGGTATTTTGTTGGGTGTATTTTTGAGAAACTTTAATCTGAGCGATGATTTCAAATTGGCTGTTGGATTTCCTGGCGAAATTTTTATGCAGATTTTGAAGCTGATGATTTTGCCACTCATTTTTTCATCGCTGATTTCATGTGAGTTGAGGATTTTTTTTTGAAAAAGGAAAATGTTGAAATATTTTTGAAGCTCTTGGGCAAATGAATGCGAAGGGTTCTGGTAAAATGGGATTTTTGGCAGTTTTATATTATATGACAACTATGATTATTGCGAGTACTGTAAGTAATTTTGATCAGAAAAGTTACAATTACAAGTTCGCTCTATCGAACAATCAACATTTTCTCGATTTCAGATCGCTGTTATGTTTGTCTTTCTGATTCATCCTGGAGATCCGAAGGTCAAAAATCGATTGATTCCAAACACCAAAGATAATTCTGACTTGACAGCTTTCGATGCTCTTTTGGATCTTCTCAGGTTCACATCCACCCTACAAACCTCTCTCTCTATAACAAAAACTTTTTTTCAGAAATATGTTTCCCCAAAATATCGTTGAAGCAACAATAAAACGATCACAAACAACGATAAAATTCTCGAAAAAACATGTGGAGAAAAGCGAGGGGACGAATATTTTGGGAATCATTGTGTTTTGCACGATTTTCGGAATGATTATCTCAAAACTCGGGCAAAAAGCGCGAATAATTGTCGACTTTTTCATAATTCTTGATAAAGTTGTCATGAGATTTGTATCATTTTTGATGTGGTTTTCACCGTTTGGAATTATTAGCTTGATCAGTTCTAGTATTTTGGATATTGATGACTTGGCAAAAATGTTGAGCACCATGGCTTTGTAAGTTTTTTTCTAACAAGGGAACATTGTGTTATTTACTACCTCAAACTAGTAGACCTCAAACTTTTCAAAAAAATTTCTGGTAGATCAAAAATATTTTTCTCTAAATCTCTCAGTTTTGTGTTGAATTTCGAAGATCTTTTTCAGATATGTCACAACAATAATGATCTGTCTATTCGTCCATTGTGTCCTGGCAATTCCAACATTATATTTTCTGCTAACTCGAAAAAATCCTTGGAATATTGCCAAATCAATGGTTCAACCGTTTGTTACAGCTCTCGGGACGGCGTCAAGGTAATTTTGATTGGGAGTTCAAGTAAGTTGATACAACAAGTTTGTGATTTTCTAAAACCTTTTTTTAAACACAGTGATTCATAAAAAATTTACAAAATTCATAAAAACAAAAGTGAAATAGCAAAAGTAACCCATAACATAAGAATTCCCGTTCCATTATCACTAATTTTAGCGATTGAAAAATCAATAAGTGCACCAGTTGTGTTTTCACCATTCGTTTGATAAGTAATACTCAAAGTTTTTCCTGAATGAACATCTTGATTTGTTGGTGGAAGATTGTTCTTGTTGTAAATATGATCATCAATAGCATTTCCCGATTTATCATAAGTTGTGATTTGAAGAGTTGCATTTCCAACAAGTCCATGATTGATAACTTTTGTTGTATAGTTATAATAATCATTTCCACTGATTGCTTCAATTACGGATTGATAAACAGAAGACACTCCAAAGTTTGGAGAAGTCACGTATCCAGTTCTGTTATCATAAGCTGCATTCCAAGTTGTCATCAGATTTTCAAAAGAGAGTTCGAGAAGTGCAGTATTAGAATCGAGAACAAATGTGGTCATATAATTATTCAATTTTTGAGGAAATCCTGTTGATTTTGAATTATAGGAAGAAACAAGGTTTGAATTCTTGATTGATCCGTAGTAGACATTTAAATTTGAATGTGGATCAATTGTGGCTGATTTCAAATATGAGGCAGATTTTGAAAGTGATACAACAGCTGTTGTTCCGTTTACAGAAGATAAACCCTGATAGCAATCAGTTGTTGAAATACAACTTGCCAAACGATAATTTGCAAATTGCTTGACATCTGAAAATATGTATGTTATGTTTCCGAAGTTTTTTGCAAAACTCACTTGAATGATCTTGAACCATGATAAAGTTTCCAAGATTCGACATAGCTGGCAACAAATTCATAACAGTTAGGGTTTTGCCAGATGAAACCAATTGTTTTCCAGAGGCTAGAGCTTGGTAAAGATTTCCAAGACACGTGGCATTTGGACTTGATCCATCGAAAACAACAAATAATCGATTGTAGGGATAAAACAAGAAATTAGCTGTGTTTGAAGCAATCAATGATACTTGTGTTGGGGCTGTGATAACACAAGCAGTCAAATCAGATATTATCTCAGGATCAGTTGCAGAAAGTGAATGAGTGTCGGGATTGAAATTTGGCACTAAAAATGTTTTTTAGTTTGGGCTGCACACATTGTTTTATTCAAACCTACTTTTACTATAGCTAATACTAAATGCCAATTGTCCTGATTTCATTGAATTCGCTTGAAGTACAATACTGAATTTAGGAGCAAGGAAAAAGTATGGAAATTTCACCGCATTTCCCACTACATTATCAATCATCCCATTAGCATAGATCAACTGTAAACTTGAATTTGTTGGGGTTTCCGCGTTCAGCGACAGAAAAGCAAAATATCCTTGTGGAACTTCGATATTCCATCGACATTGTTGATTGAATTGATATGTTGGAATAGTTTGTGATTCATTCCATGAACTTGGATAATTTATTGTTGAATTCAAATTGGCTGGAGCGTTTATTGTATTTGTACCATTACAGACTGAATGGAATTAATATAGTTTGAAAGCCTCGATGTTTGTAAACTTACTGTACAAATCAGCTGCAACAGTTGAAAATAAAAATGAGAAAGTAAAAAATAGGTGAAACATAAATATAGGCAAGTTTGAAAAATGATATCATATCAGTTAATGTTTGCTTTTTATACTAAAAAAATTATCTTGGAAATATATGCTTTAATCGCCTATCAGAGTTTATATTCCATGACGTATAATTCAAAATTTGGACGATTAGAGAGCTGATTAATATATTTTGAAATTATGAAAGTCAACTCATTTCATAATCAGGGGTTTCAAAAAAAATTAATTTCTGAATTCAAACATAAATACCAGTCTGACCAAGTGTTTTTAGTGGAGCATCGTTACCACAAGCAATTCAAAGTGTTGAAGAAAATATAGGAGTCGATAAAAGGATCGCTGGATTTATTATGCCATTGGGAAATACGATAAATATGGTGAGACAAAGTTCGGAACACATTTGGAATTTCTTGATTGCCTAACTTTCACAAAAAAAATTCATATCCAAAAAAAAATATTTTTCCTAGGATGGTAACGCTTTGTACGAAGCTGTGGCTGTTATTTTCATTGCTCAACTCAATAATATTCAACTAAATTTTGCCGATATTATAACAATCTGTGTGACTGCAACTTTTGCATCAATTGGTCTGAATGCAGTTCCAGCTGGGCTTGTCTCAATGTTTGTTATTCTCACAGCTGTTGGACTTCCTGTCAATGATATTCCACTGCTTTTCACAGTGGATTGGTTGATGTAAGTTACAGTTTTTTGAACCGAAATATTGTTTTAATTTTGTAGTTTCAAAAAAAATTCCAGTGATCGAGTTCGAACTGCATTGAATGTTTTGGGCGACGCATTTTGCGCTGATGTAATTCAACACTTTATGAAAAACGATTTAGAGCAAGTTCATATTCTCATTGAGAATCCTGAAGGATACGAAGACACTTTTGAAACCCCGGACATCGAAAAATCGGAGCCACGAAAGAAAAAAGTGTCATTCGCTGATATGGTTCAACCAGAATTCAATTCAACAAAAACCTATTCTTTAAAATCTGCAATTATTCAACCACTTCGAGCGCATTTAGCATTACAAACAAGATTGTCACAACTGTCTGAAGAATGAAATGTTTTTTTTCGAAAAGAAATTCGTCAAAGTTTTTGTTGTTGACCATTCATTGAATTTAATCCGAAGTTTTAAATCAAGGTTGAAGAAGATTAGTAGGTTTTCTATTCAAGAAGATTGTTTGAGTGATGTGTACATAGAATAATCCAGAAAAAAAGTCACATGTTTATTTACAAACAATTATCCGTGAATACATTAATTAGAAGATCAAATTGGAAAGAAGTTGAAGAAGATGAAGACCACTAGAATGGGGACGAGTGCCAACCACCTCTGAAATTGGGGAATATATTGAGGATGTGGAGAAGTTACAGGTTCAAAAAATAAAAAAAAAGGATGCAAGGGTTTACACTGATCAACGTGGTGTTTTGGAATTTTCAGAAAATTGTTTTGAGATAAGTTATGACGTGGAAATTTTGAAACTCGGTTTTTCGGACGATCATTCAAAAGATTGTAAGACTTTTCTAAAATTTTTGGATGAATAAATTCAGATTTGCAAAAATCTGCTGAGCTATATTCTGAGCTTTGCCACGTCATAACTTATTTCCTGTGATTTCAGATCCCAATTGTGAAAAGCAGCATGCAAACAAAAATAAAGGGTGCCAAGCAAAAACATAACCATTCACTTACAAACCATATGGGCTGCTCCCAACACTGGTAAATCGATTATAATATGGTGAATATGGCCCGGGGCCCATGTGTCCATATGGTCCATCAATAAATGCACCAGGTGGTGAATATCTTGGCCGTCCCCAGAAACCCATGGGTTGCGGAATTGGGGCTGGCGCATTGCCAACACCGTTGTATGGTGCATCACCGGTTATTGATTTCAATTCCGCCATTCCGCCACCTTTTTGACATTTTGAGAGAGTTATGAAGGCTGGAAAATAAAAAATGATAGAAAATAGGAAATTTCGGAGGGCCGAATTCAAATTTTTCATACAAAAATTTTTTAGAACTTCTGAAAAACATTAAAAATAATGAATTTTTTATTGTTAAAATACTGAACCATTTTTTCCGAAAAATATAAAAATTGAGCTACAGTAAATACACTTCAAAACTCCAAAAAAACATACCTGAAACCAAAACCAAAACCAGAAACTTCATATTATTATTGCAACTAGTAACAACTTACTCTTCTTCTTCTTTTTTATATATATGATTTGAAGTGGTTACAGTACTTTGAAGAAAAAATGGGCGGAGTCTAATTCAAAAAAAAAAATAAGGGGACTTTCAGGTTTGTAATACTATGGATGACTCATTTCTTTGTTTGAACATTTTGGAGTTTTTCAGTACGAAATTAATTAATTAAAGTAGTTTAAGTGATAAGGAATCGAAATTAAATTGAAATCGGAAAGAAGGTCAAAAAATAATCGTTTTCCTTTTTTTCTGCAAAAACTTTGTTCCTTTTTGATATCAAAAATGATAAGTATATGAATTTTCGGTTTCTTACCGGTCACTATAAAATAATTACACTTTTTTACTGACCACATAAAATAAATACGATTTTTTGAAAAACCTGCTTTTCGCCCGAAATTTATTATTTTCTCTTTTTTTTCTCGAAGGTCGTCTGAAATCTGTTTCAAATGCGTTTATTTATTTATTCAGTGGTTGGTCGAAGAAGACAAATTTGAAATTGAAATATAAAAACCTGAATTTTCTTGTTGGTTTTTGTGAAGCGTGACCTGAATTTGAAAAACAAAAATTCAGAAAAAAAATACAAAAATGATCGGGCATTTCTCAAATTAAAAAACAAAACAAAATGAACCATTTGATTCAAATTTCTTCAATAACACTTGGAATATCAGCTGGAATTGCTGCCTATTTTGTATATCAGCGTCAAAAACCAGAGATTCTGAAAAATGAGGAAAATGCCGAGGAAGAAGTTGAGGAGGAAGAAGAAGATCTTCGAATGAGTGCTGGAAATGATTTGTTCAAAATTGATGACGAGCAAGTGAAAAGTGTTTTTGAGCGAGTTTTTCTTGAACAAATGCAATTGGCTGAGGATCTTTTGGCTGATGGTGAGAATTTTAAATTTGGAATAATTTTTTCAAAACTTTTTTCGCCCAGATGAAACAGTTGAACGCGGCGCTGTTCACATGTCGAATGCTTTGGCAATAACTGGTGAAACCGAAAAACTCTTGAATGTTTTGAGAGAATCACTCTCACTTTCAAGATATTCCAAAGTTTTGAAGTATATTCCAACTGCTGATGTTGTAAGTGATCGAAAAAAATTGTTGTTGAAAAGAAATATTCTGTTGTTTCAGAGAGTTCGCTATCTTCTTCAAGATGCTTTAGAAGATGAATCTATCGAGTCAGTTTTTGCTTGAAAAACATCGAGTCTAATTGAATTGTACAAAAGAATAAATGTATTTTGTTTCAAAATGTGCCTTACAAAAAATTTATTATTACTTTACAAGTTCGAGTAATTCTTTACATTTCAACGCAAAGATTTTTGCGCATCACGATCCTTTTTTCGTTCAAGAGCTTGTGTTCTTGCTTCCTTCGCTTCTTCCGATGTTATTTTATCCTCCTCCTTATTTTCCTCAACTTTTTCCACCAAACTCATTCCCGCTAGTTTCTTTTCAGCATCAATTGGATTATTAACCTTCTTCTTTAGACTATGTGTATTGCTAGTTGATGAATCTCGTTTTTCCAGCTCTTTCTTCTCCGGAACAACAGTCTTTTCAGTTTCTTTAACTTCCACTTTCGCTTTGACTTCCGATTTCTTTTTGGCTGCTTTTATTGATTTCTCCTTCTTTTCTGATTTCTTTTTCTCCACTTTTTTCGCTTTTTCTGATGCTACTTTCTTTTTGCTCTTCTTGCTCTTCGAACTTTTCTTCTTCTTTTCAACAACAGCTTCTTCAGTTTTCGTTGTTTCAGTTGGAACACTCGGTTTCTTACTAGAATCCTCGAATTTACGAATAGGTGCTCTGACTAGAGGTTTCTTCGAAATCGGAGCAGATGCTACTGAAGTTGTTATAGTTGAGATCGCAGAAACATTCATCGATTGTGCACCAACTGTTTGTGTTGTGCTAGTAGCATTCATATTATTTACAGTAACATCCTTGCTAGCATTTGGCCTGAAATTATTTTGAAATGGACTTTTAGATTCCAGAAATCAGGAGATCACTTACACAACAGCTTCCTTAGTTTTAACTGGAGGTGTAAAATAATCAGCGCGGAAAAGATGTCGATGTGTTATAATACGTTTATCCATTGATATAACATGCCTTTGTATATCCATAAATTGTTTAATTTTTGCAACACCACTGAACGATTTCCAAATCATAATAACAATCATAGCCACAACTAACATTAATGGAGTTGAAAGTGGTATAATTGTATGGATAAATCCACCAGCCTTATAAGTGTCACAATATAAACCAGTATATTGAGCAAAACATTGACATTCTAATGTTTTATCGGTCGCGGAGCACAATCCAAATTGACATCTGAAAATTGTTTTTGTTCAATAATTTGAAATACAGCTTTAGAATAATTTCTCACGGGTTATTCAAATTATTTGCACTCGCTGTACAATTCTGAACAATAATACGAACATTTCCTTTAATCGACGTTGCTTTGTCCAACCAACATTGACGAATAATATTATTGTCCTCCTTTTTCGCAAGTCCAAAATCGAATGATTTCCCATTTGGCAATTGTTTTCTAAAATTATTCGTATATTTTCTTTTATTCAATCAAAATTATTTCACTTACAATGGCACATCATACCATAAAACATCTGACTCCAAACCCAGTTGATGAGCTCTGTTTTTAGCGGGACATGAGAGCACAATTGGCCATCCAAGTGGCACAAAATACCTGGCATTGTCTTGAACTTTTATATTTCCGATATTTGGTTTATTTTGTCCATCAAATTTATAATCTTCATCGAAATTATAATTAATATCACTTAACAGAAATTGATTGGGATATGAATATAGAGTGGTAAACAAAAAACATAGCAATATTCCGAATATTTTAAACATTTTATTTTAATCAAAATGAGGCTTTTCAATTTGGCAATCACGTTGCCAACCATGTTTCTGCCACAAGTTCACGCGAGAAAAAAAGAAAAATAATTGTGTTTCAAAATCGATTGAATTGCCGCGAGTGTGCAAATGTGCGTCGCCGTGTTTGCACATAGCAGTTTTCTCTGTTTTCGAAATTCCCAAAATTCGATTTTTCCGCGTCCCTCATTGTTCGCTCGCTTCCGGTGTGTTTCCGTAGTTTTACTTGATTCTTATCGGTTCGTATAACCTTATTCTAGTTGTGAATATGAGAGAATGTCGTTGAGTTTTCTGAATTACATTGAAAAACTCATAAAAATTATCATAATTTTGGGAAGTATATTTCTAATTCTGTTTTGAATTTGGGCCTTTCTTTTTACACTCTGGAGCTGAATTTCAATGAATAATCTATTTTCAACATTGTTAAAATGTTTTTCTGGCGAGAAAAATGATTCTGCAGACATTCATTATTATCGATTTTCTCCGGCGTTCTGGCGTTCTTTTTTCATATCTACAACTCGCAGACTATGATTACAATTCATTTTTTCCAGACTAGCAGTCGGAAAGAGGTCGCTCTTGAAGCACCACTGTTGTTTCGAATCGAAAGTAAATTGAAGAGGGTAAAATGTCGGACGGAAGCCCAGAACGTGGACAAAAGCGCAACGAGCATCAACTCGAATCCAAGCAAATCAATGTGCAATACAAAAGGTATCCCCTGTTTAATTTTTGAAGTTTTCTCAATTATCTACTCTATTCTTTTCCCGTTTTTAATATATCGCTTTTTTCGAAGGTACTACGTTGATGTCAATGAAAACGATCGTGGTCGTTTCTTCAAAATTGCTGAGGTACTGAATAATTTCATATTCGAAAGGGAAATAACTTTCAAATTTTCAGCTTGGAAGCAACTACAAAGGTCGCATAACTCTCATCATCCCAGCCGCAATTGCTATTCGAGATGAGCTCAACGTTATGGTTGAACTTTTGGACAAACCACTTGAGGGCGATGCGCCAACCGGCAAAGAAGCCGTTGTTATTAAATCTGAAACACTCAACATTGATGGACGTCGTTTCTATATTGATCTCAAGGAGAACGAACGTGGCCGCTTTTTGCGCATCGCTCAAATGCCACGCAATCCTCGCCAACAACGTCAACAAATCTCGATTCCATGTGCTGGAGTTGTTGAGATTCGCAATACTCTTACCGATTTCCTCAACAAATACTCCGAAGGATACACCGCTGAGCCAGAAGCCCAAAACAAGATTACTGCTGAAAACAAGTCTTTCTTGTTCAATGTTGGTGAGAATGAACGTGGACAATTCTTGCGTATTTCGGAGGTAATTCATTGATCTAGTAAACTTGAAAAATATGTATGATATTTTCAGATCAAGTTGAACACTGGTTACCGTAGTGCTATAACTATTCCACTTCCATCTCTCAACGATTTCCGCAAGGCTCTTGACGATGCTGCCAAAGAAAAACCACAGGCCAGAGCCTAAACATCTCCGCAATAATCTTGAAAATTAATCACCGTAATTGAGTAAGTATATTTATCTGCATTTCTTGCACCATTCCAAGCATAATTTTCAAATTTTGTCACACATTTTTTTCTGTTGTATTTATTACCGCTTTGTAATAAATCGAATTCGGTTTTGAGAAAAAGAAATCATTCATTAGAAAGAGAAACATGTTCAAGAATTCAAAGACAAGATTGGGGAAAATATACACAACTAACTAGCGTTCGGGTGAGAAAAGAATCTAATAAAGGACTACAATTTTGCACGGCGTGATGGTCAACACCTTTTCAAATGGGACAAAAATTGGTAAAGGCAAATGGATGAATGAGATAGAAGTTGGTTGGTTGATTGGTAGAAAAAGAATAATATTTGATTCACTGGGCCAAATGAAGGCACATTATTATATACATCCTAGTATACAAGGAGTTTCAAAGGGGTTTTGAACAATCTACACATTTTCACATATAAAGTGGGTAGTTAAAAAAAAGGCATGGTAAAAAATGACAAAAGGACCTATAGATAGATTCCTCACACAAAAAAGATTATATCAACAAATTATTTCCTGATTTGGTTGAGTTGCATGTAACATGAGAAGTTTAGACACGGAATTTTTACAAAGCATAGTGGAAGTGTGAAGATGTCAACTACATTTCCATATGATCTAATAAATCATCGTCGTCATCATCTCCACAATAATCGGACATCGAGGAAACACTATCATCGTCATCGTCGTTTTCATCATTTTGTGATGCATCGTGGAATGCTCGTTTCAACGCAGCTTCAGAAGCATATCTATCGACATAATCTGTAATGATTAATGATTTTTTGAAAAATTAATTACTTCAAATCGACAAGAAAACACTGATTTCCATCGAAATTCTAAAATGCCATGTCATAGTTCACATTTTCATTTTTATTTAAAAAAAAATACGAAATTAGAAGACTTCTTTCTTTACTTTCTTTCCACGACTTTCACTAATCCCCAAAAATGTTGCAATTTCCACAAACTCATGTTTATAATTCAAATTGGCTTACACCCAGTCATTTGACCGACAAAGTCATGTGTTTTTCACAATTTTCTCTTTCTCTCATGTTTTTAGATAAAATTAGTACTTTTCCCAGGTTTTGTGACCTTGAAAAAGAAGTTCTAAAGAACAAAAATACCATATATTATTTACCTTTGCATTTTTTCTTGAATTCTTCCGGTTTGTGAATATACAATTGTGCAGCATCTCCATTCAATGGATCTTGTGCATTTGGATATGTGAGAAGTTGGGGAAGGAAAGATTCGAAAATATTTGCAAGATCATAAAGAGCTGTCCAAGCCTGGAAACAAACACTAATTTTGTTGGTCCCTCAAAATATACATATTATAAATATTGAGAAAAGATGAAGAGACAAAGAAGATTTTTATCTTCTTTATATTTTTCTTCTTTCTCATAGCAGGTTTCATTTATGATACAAATCAATTATGAATTTTATAAATATATTCAAAATAAATACCTGGTTAATAACATCCAAACAAACAGTTCCGCTTGATTCATCAATATTTGGGTGGTAGATTTTATTCATGAATCCGATTGATGGTGATTTGAATGGGTATTTTTCGGGCAAATCGACGCGGATACGCCAAACACCATTTTCGTAGGCAGCTGCAAAATTGGGAAATTTTTCCAGAATCGGCTCAAAAATTCCAGCAGCTGTGAGATTAGACATGGATTTCGAAAATTGGATCTAGCTCTCTACTTTTTACTTTTCAACTTTAAAATGCTTTTTAAAACACCTGAATTTCGGAAATGAAAATGCAAAAAATATTCCGAACGCAATTAAAAAGCCTAAGTTCACGCTTGAAAATTGTTTAATTTTCCTAATTTTTATTTCAAAAAATTCCAGTTTTTGTGAAATGTTTTGAGAAAATATTTGTTTCAGATAATCATTGAATATTCTCTATTTCGAGATACTCAACTCTTTCAAGAAATTTTTTTTTCAGAATTTTGGAGGTCCATAATTTAGCCCACGGATTTCAGACGCTGAAAACTTTCCCAATTCCAGAAAATCACTAACTTCCTTTTGGTCCATAAAATTTGACGATAAATTCATTCAAACTTCCTTGAATCGAAACTTCGTGATGATTGGCGATTCTGGAAAAATATTCAAAATTTTCAATTTTTTTCCACATTTTAATAGTCTTTCAATATATAAATATACACATTTTCTATTTATATTTCTCTCAATTTCCCATCCAAACACATCATACATATAAATACAAAAATTCGTCGCTTTTTCCCCGTCGACTTTTTTTTTCGCTCGCCATTTTCATTCTCTGCCCATAGACCTATTTCTATGTCAATTTCCCGCAAATCATCGAAGACCAACAAAGAAAAAGTGGAGAGATTATGGGAAAACGAGGAGTGTTGGGTAGACAGTGAAAGATGTGGTGAGAGACGAAGAGTTGGCAGGAAAAATAAAAATTTTTGTTAGGATGGAGAAAAAGACTGGCTGTGGTTGGTTGGAAAAAAACGAAGGAAAAATAAAATAAAGAGAAAAACGAAGGAAAAAAATTCGAGGACGAAGAAAAAGTATAAAGTACATCTCGTTTTTTGCTACATTTTTGGATATAAGGATTACTGTAGTTATGTATTTCTATATATTAGCCTTTTACCAATCGGTGCACCTCGCTCTATCGCACTCGCCATGGAAGAGAAAAGTTTTTTTTCGCGTCCTAGGATCCGACACACTCGGCCATCTTTTTGTTTTTGTTTTTCTTTTTTCGAAACGGTTTTCGTTTGCATTTGAACTCGTGCGCTTTTTTTTGGCGCGTCGCGTGCGATGCGGAGCGTGTTTGTTCGATGGAGCGAGGTGCACCGACGTATGAAAGGCTAATATCAGATGAGATATGAAAACTGTATCAGGAAAAAGTTAGGGCGCTTTACAAGAGAACTGTTTCAGATTTCCAAAGAGATCTTTGACAAAGTATATATTTTCTAGTTGTTTTCGACAGAACTCAACTCCTAATATGAGTAATGTCCTGGAAAAGTTACAAAATGTCGAAAAATCGGGATTTCACAACAAATCACTTCAAAAATGATTTTCTTATGTAATCGACCCTTCTGAACAACGCTACAGTATTAGATTTTCAAAAAAAATCATTTTGAACTTGTTTACTACTGTAAGTTCCCGATTTTTTCCAAATTTTCGAAATTTCGGCAGGTCATAACTCGTATTAGAAATTGATTTCTGCAGTCGGAATCGATTAGAAAGCATATTTTATTTTCAAAAAAATCTCTAGTAGAAGTGGAAACAGTTTTCTGGTTAAGAATATAGATTTGTCTGAAAATTGCTAGACGTTTCAATATTTGTTTTTTGTGGTCTTCTGATTGTCGAATACACAAAAGCAAACAAAACGATCAAATTTACATAAGATCTCGAGGCTTCTAATGTTTATTTATTTTTTTCGAGCATCTAAATACTTTTTCTTTTTTCCACCACTCAAAATAAACTAACTCTTGTCTTCCTTTCCCTATTTTCTTTCCTATTTTTTAGAAGATCCCAGCAATAATCTATCGAGTTGAGTCGAAACGCGCGCACAAATATTTTGCCTTTTTTTCTGTGTAGAGCAGAAAAAAAAGGAAAACAACATGTTTTCAGGGCAAAAAATTGATGGGATTTTCAAGATATTTTCTTTTTCTGTTTTCCTTTTTTTGTAAAATTCCCATCCAAAAAGAAACTTACAGCTTGATAACATCTGTATCCATTCGTCGTTTTCCTGAGCTTGGCGAAGACATTTTATTTATTTTCTTTCAGCCCAACGCACACAGCGAGAGAGTTGTTTTTGTTGTTGTTGTTTTCGATTCTGAAAATGAAAGACAGACAATATTGGGTTGAGAAAAACCAGTTCCATCGATTTATTTTAAGTCGATTCAAATCAAAAGAAAATAGGTTCACGAATATTATAAAATGAAATGAAAAAGTTAGCAAATCATATGGCAAAGAGAGAGAGAAATGAGAAGAATACTCTTTGATAAGCGTGTTGTGTTTGAGTGCGGCCTCGAATGACAACACAGATGATATTGATAACAGCGAACAAAATGTATTTATTGAGAGACGATATTTAAATTTATTACTTTTCTTAATTAAATTGAATATTGTCTCTGTGAGGAAAAGTTACTTAAGGAAATGAGGAAAAACTTTTCGGCAACTTCGATCAATAAAAAAGAGGGCAAAAACGAATTTCTCTTCGAAACATTTTAGGTGAAACTAATCTGCAGAGCATAATAGAAATAATAACCAATAACAACCGGGAATTAATAAATATTCTATGAAATGAAAATAATTAGAAAACTACAATTCCACGTGAAACCTACATAAATATTTGGACGTTATCGATTATTGTTCAGAACTGTCATTCAACATCTGGCGTGTTTATGGAGAAATAAAAGCTGTTAATGGAGCTCCGAAATATTAGCGGTGGAAGAAAAAGGCACAAGATGAGACAGGTGGGTGAAATGGCACCACACTTTTCTTTTGCATCTATTCATTTGCAAAAAAACACGAAAAAAATGTATTTTTTTACAATATTTTTCTATTCACCAAAATCACAAATTGTCGCGAAATACATGCAATCGTGACGAGACCCACACTCATTTCAAGGCAACGAGTGTGAAAAATGCATGCTTTCGAAAATTTCATTTCTTGTTTTTTTTTTCTCGCATGTTTTTCTCCTTGAAATGTGTGTGGGTCTCGTCACGATTGACATTTATTTCGTGCATTTTGGTGAATAGAAAAAAATTGTAAAAAAATACATTTTTTTCGGTTTTTTTCGCAAATGAATAGATGCATTTGTTTGAAAATTTGCGATTTTTCGAAAATATTTAAATTTGAACTTGCTCCCTGAACAAAGGAAGAGATAATTGAATTTTAATTCGAATTTCGAACCAATTTACAACAAAACAAAACAAGAAAGACATGACAATCGGAAAAAAAGAGCGAATGAATATATATGAAAATAAAAAGGGAAGGAAAACGACGAAAGAGCGAGAAAAAAGATGGGGAAAAGAAAATGACAAACAGACGAAATAGTTGGGAAAATGATGTAAAGTCACGGATAACAGACAGCAGAAAAAAAATAACAAAAACACAACGACGAAGAGGAAGATCATGTGAAACAAGTTTGCGTATACTTTTATGGATTTCTTAAGTGAGCGTGAAGCGTGGAATTTTTACTGTACTGTAGGTAATTCTTTTATGAAGGCTAAGAAAAAGGTTTTTTCTTCCATGTCCACGAAATACAGAACCCGTACAAGCAGATGAAGACGTACAGGGCCTGTAGGAAAAATTCTGAAGTTTTGCTTCCGCTAGAATTCAATGAAAATAAATAAATAAATTTCCCGTGACAAGTCTCCAAAAGAAACTCAATACAAAGCTATTTTTCTCATCGGCTGGCCCTTTTTTCAATGCAATGACTAGGCAAACATCATGTCTGGTCGCCTAGTTTTTATTTTTGTACTTTTCATCTTCCCCAAATCTACCAGACTAGATCTCCAGATTTTAATGATAATCCAAATCATTTCATCTCAACTGACCCATAATGAGAATGTGAAAAACATGAAAATGCGCGAAAATGTCGCACACTCACACAAAAACACATGGGCCGCTAAGAAAGAATGAATGACTGAATGGGTTAGGAAAAATAGATGGGGGTAGCGGCAGAAGGGAAGAGCATCACGTGTCGAAATGTAAGAGACGTAGGCATACATAACATATGAGAGAGGATTGATACTATTCTTTTTCTTCTCTTTTTTCTCGCTCTTTTGCTTGTTGAACGAAAAATTTCGTTCTACAAAATTGCAAGTAGGGACTCAACTTGAACATTTTTTTCGTTTTCAAAGAACTTTTGTGGAAAATTTTCGTGGGAAGATTGAATCAATATGAACGGCGTTGGAAAACATAAAATTTTTATCTACAAAGAATTTTTTATGAGCGAAAAACAAAATCAATTTTTGGGGCCGTGGAATTCTTCGCCAACAAAATGCGCGATTTGTGGAAAACGATCAGATCCGAACACAGTCTGAATAACATTTCCAGTCGAATCATCAATTATATGTGTCCAAGGAGCACCAAAACACTGGAAAAATTGAAATTGAAAAATATTTTTTGTGAAAAAAAAACAAAGTGAAAATACCCCATTATCCAATGCTTCTTTGGTATTTTGTTTCAAAACTTCCTTGACTTCATCAGATTTCGAAAGTTTGACAAGTTCTTCAGAATTTGAAATTTGTAAATCTCGCAAAACTTCCTCAACTTGTTCGATTGTAAAAATCGGCTTATTGTAGGCATAAAATCTGTGACAAAGTGCACTTGTCAATTCAATCATTTTATCCTGAAATAGAATTCAGAGTTCCATATTTCAAAAGTTTACTAACCTCTCCATCTCGAATTTTTGTTGCAACCAAAAATTTTTGCGGAACAATTGAACTTGTTGTCATCATTAATTTTGTATAATCCTTTGGCATTCTGAATGGAATTCCCCAATATTGAGCAGAGAATGGTAGATCTTTTTTCATATATTTTTCTTTGACAGGAATAGCAAGCGGCATTCCTTTATTCCCCGATCCTTTTACAATTCCACCGAATAAAATTGGCTTGAGTTCAATTGGAGTTTTCCATAGATTTTTCTGTTTTGTGATCCCCTAGAAAAGAAATCATTAAAATTCTGTATTCAAGAAAAGCAACTCACGGAAAATCCGAAATAACTGTATGGAGAAATAACATCGAAAAAGAAACGAATCGATTTTGACATTTTGAAAATTCTCTGGAAAACAGAAGTGAACCACGTGTGATAAAAGAGAGAATGATAAAAATATCGGTCAAGGTTCAAAGTAAACAACAACTACATGTAATAGATAAAAAGTGAGAGAGATACAGTGAACTCTGATTCCAATTCGAGACAGAACAACATTTTTTGTTTATTTTTATTGTCAACAAAAACAAGTGGCTCAATAAATTTTTTGTTTAATTTTTAAACTCTTCGCCAACAAAATGCGCAATTTGTGGAAGACGATCAGATCCGAAAACAGCTTGAATAACATTTCCAGTCGAATTATCAACGATATGTGTCCAAGGAGCACCAAAACACTGAACAAAAACAATGTTTTTAAATAGCACAAAATTCTCAAAATTACCCCTTGATCCAAAGCTTCTTTCGTATTTTCCTTCAAAATTTCTTTAACTTCGCTAGATTCTGATAATTTGAAAAGTTCGTCAGAATTTGGAACTTGAGAATATCGGAGAACTTCTTGAATTTGATCACTGGTGAAAATTGGTTTTCCATAGGCCCAGAACAAATGTCCGAGTTTTTTAGTGAGGTTTTCCATTTCTGCCTAAACGTAAAGAAATTATCAAAAAAATCATTTTCAGGAGAAAACTTGCTTCTCCATCTCGTAATTTGCTAGCAACTAATACTCTTTGAGGTATAACAGAACTTGTAGTCATCATTAAATTCACATAATCTTTTGGAACTCTGAATGGAACTCCCAAATATTGTGCCGAAAATGTCAAATCTTTCATAACATATTTGGTCTTGAGCGGATTTGTCAGCGGCATTCCTTTATTCTCTGATCCTTTTATAATTGCTCCCAACAAAAATGGTTTCAGTTCGACAGATGTTTTCCAGACATTTTTATTTTTTGTTATTCCCTGCAAATCAATTTATTCTAAAATTTTGAGAGCAAAAACTTACCTCAAATCCGAAATAACTATACGGAGAGAGAATATCGAAATAAAATTTGATAGACTTCGACATTTTTTGTTGGAAATGAAGAAAAAATTGACCTCGTGGCTCAGGCGAGTACAACACGTGTGTTAAAAAAAATAATAAGATGATAGAAAGATAAATACTAGCAAAAGTTCAAAATAAACTTATCGATTCGATTCACTTATAAAAATCTTGAAAACAAAGAAAATAAACAAAATGAAAATGAAAACTTGATAACAGTTAGCGACAACGATCATCGATCAAAGTCCCACTAATAACCTTTGATAATCACTTTTAGTACTGAAAATGTACGACTTTAAATGGGGGAAAATAACTTCTTGAGATTTTTATTGATTTTGTGTTTCAGCGATGAGGAAAACAATTCAGAGAAGCCACGAACAGTTGAGAAAATATTAATAAAGCTTCTAAAAAAAGTTGGAAAATGTACGACACCATAAAACAGCAATAAAACATAATCAAACGCTTGAAAAAAGTTCGGAAACAAAAAAAAAAAGAAAAAATGAACTGCAATTTTCAAAAATATTTTTGCCGCGTTGTGTATCGTAACGAGACCGAGTAGAAAATAGTTGTGCGCCTTGAAACGTTACGGTTTGTTTGGTTTTACTTTTTTCAAAATTTATTTTTTCGGTTTCTATTTTTTTTAAATTCAGCTTTCGGAGTTGAGACGTCCGAAGTTTGTATGAAGTAAGTTCAATTTTTATTTAAAACGAAATAGGTTTTTTTTTCATTCAAAGGTTTATTAATAGTAGAGCATTCAAAAGATTTTTAATTAGCTATTTTTCCCATTAAATTCCATCTTTATTGTTGATATAAGCATCAGTCGATTTATCATCAGCTCTGTTTTCCAACCAGAATGTGCAAACCGATCCTTTTCCTTTCACTTCAACTTCTCCTCTTTCAGTAGTGACAAAATGTGGATGATGAGCTGTCAAATGATAATAGGCTTCCGAGCTCATTTGAACCATTCCAGGTTTTCCAGTTGATTCCATTCGAGATGCAACATTTACAGTATCTCCAAAAAGACAATAACGTGGAGATGTGAGACCAACAACACCAGCAGCTACCGAACCAGTATGAAAACCCCATCGACAACGAATTCGGGTTGTTGGACGATGTGGGATTTGGTAGCCAGTCAAATATTGTCGCATATCTAATGCAATATTTGCTATGTTTTTCGAATGATCATTTCCATTTTCTTCCGGAATACCAGAAACAACCATATAAGCATCACCAATTGTTTCAACCTGAAAATTCCAATTTTGTGAAAAAGAGTAACTTTGCTAATATTTCTCAAAAGTTCTAAAACTTTTCTGACTAACTTTGTAACTCTTGTTATTTGTAATACATTCATCGAATCCAGTATATAATCCATTCAACATATTAACAACTTCGATTGGTGTTGAACTTGAGCAAATAGTTGTGAATCCAACAATATCAGAAAATAGGATTGTTGCTGATGTATAAAGTTTTGGCGCAACAGATCTTCCCATTTTTAATTCGGATGCCACATATGCAGGAAGTAATTGAGTGAGAAGAGCATCAGCTCGAACATTCGCCTCTTCTAACATTCCAGTTCTTTCAGCCACCAGTTTTTCTAGATTATTCGCATATTGTTCCATCATTCGCATCATCTGATCAACCAAAGAACCTTTGGTTTTCAAAACCATTTCGGTATTCAATCGAACTCTTCGAATCGACGGTCGGATTTCTGGATTTTCACTCCAACAATCTCTTAGCAACGCGTTGAGATCCGGATGAAGACCCATTTGATTTTGAATTTCGGGTGTGACTGTCTTCGAACCATCCGCAAGATAATCACAAAGTTCTAAAAAATTCAAAGGCTCATCCTAGTTTCCAATGAATATTCTCACCAGAAACATTAACATTATCTCTAAATGGCAAACTTCTGAACAAAATCTCATACATGACCATTCCGAATGCATAAATATCTCCAGCTTGTCTTCGAACCATTGACTGTTTCACCCAACTTTGTTCCATTCCTCTTTTTCGATTTTGCTCACGATTTTTCAAAAATTCCGGGGCACAATACAACACCGCTGAAATTCAAATATTCTTATTTTCCGCTCAGACTTTTACTCAAAACTTTTAAATTTCCGCTTTTCAACTCACATGTGAATTGTGAAGCTTGACTTTTGTCATCAGCATCTTTTACAGCAGTTATATTAATCGCTCCTTGTTTTTCCCAACGTTCGAGCGGATTTGCAATACCGTAATCGGATAATTTGATCATCCAATTTCTATCAATCAAACAACACCAAGGTGTCAAAGAACCATGATAACCAATTGGTGAAGCGTGTAAATATTCGAGACCCTGAAAATGCTCCTGCCTATTCACTCCTAAGTTATATGAACTTACCAAAGTGATATCTCTGACAAAAGCTCCATGAAACTTTTCATCTAAAACCACATTTGTGTTATAAATCAGATCTTGAACTGTTCCCCGACTACAAAACTTCCATAGAATCAACATTTCCTCTTTTTCATTGAATGCCATTCCCAAAAATGGATTCAAATTGTCATGAACAGCTTGTTTCATTTGAGTGATAAGTTGCATGTCTTCTCGAACAAATTTGATTGGTCTACGTTGTTGGTATTTATGATAAGTTGCATGAGTGTTGACACCGATTATTGCGTGTTGTTTTTGACCGGTGTGTGTGTTGCTCAATTTTGTGCTCGCTGAACCAATCGACATCTGAAATTAGTTAGTTTAGAACCCGGAAACTTTGTTTCCAAGAGTTCAGAAAGTAAGATTCAGAGATTTTTCCTCATTAAAAACCGGCCCAAAAATTGAACTAACCATAGATCTAACTTGTTCCTCATCAATAAATTGCAAATCATCGTGGAAGATTCGCCAAGGCATTTTTTCGAGCTGTTTGTTCTCGCTGGAAGATTCCATTGAATCAATTTTATGAATTTTATTATTAGATCATCCCCTTATATATCATTTTTTTCTTCATTATTCGATTATTCGATTTATTATCGATCTATTATTATTAGAACAATTCTCTCAAACAAAAAACTCACCAGTATCTGAATAAAACATAAAATATTCCTGATAATAAAAGTAGAAGTATTATCAATGTGGCAACACTGATTTCCAATAAATAACTGCATTTTTGTCCACGATAACCGCAGATTGGTTCATCTAACGGCATTGATCCATCTTCACTTGGCCAAAATCCACTGATAACATCGTTCAATTTCTGAATTGACATTGGAATTTTGTGAAATACAGGAGGGCTAACTTACCAATTGGAAACATCCACTTTTATTTTTCAATCCATCACAATTACTGATCAATTCACTTTCCATATTAACCATTTTCATAACTTTATCCCGAGTCGGTGAAATATAGAATGCCGCAAAAATCGGTGCTCGATCAGCAACATCATCCATCAAAACAGTTCCAACCGACCCAATATCATTCTTATCACTGTCATTCGAACTTCTCGAAACAACTCCTTCAAAACTCAATCGTCTCATTTTATTCCAAATAAATTGTCCATTTGTAACATATGCCTCATTATTTGTTTCATTTATAACTTTTCTCAAAGCCAACGCATATAATCGAAGAGCATCAAAAAGATGAAGATAACCATAAATATTTGATGAATCAATATTATCCTTATGAAGTCCATATTTCTCAATTTTTTCAACGAATGACGAAACAATTGTGTCATCAAAACCATTAACATCGTCCACAATAATTGCATTTGCATAATGATCTTTTACACGTTGCATTATTTCACCATCTGCACCAATCCAAGGTGTCGCATCTTTTTGAGCATTTTGGAGCCAAGGTATGATATAAGCATATTCTGCATTGTTCATTCCAAGTGTATAAGTTGCTTGCATAAATTCTTTGGTGATTTCTTTTGTTGAGGAGAAAAGCAAGATCACAACTGTAAAAAATTAAAGTTGGAAGTTTTGTTGAAAAAGTTTCCATAAAATCCTGCGAACTTTGTTTTCCTTGATATTTTTCTAGATTTTTCAAAAACTAATCTAGATAGTTTGTCCGAGCTTGGAAAATAACAGATTTTTAGAAAGAGACCCCTCCCCTTTCCAAAACTAACTTCTCGCGCTACTCGCCAAATCACTCATCATTCCCGAATTAATAATATCATTCGCCTCAACATTCTCATCAAACGTAATTTTCTTGACCAATTGAATTCCAACTCGATGCAAAACATCTTCAAAAGTCGCCACTTTTTCATATGCTCCAGTTCCCGTATTACTAACAATCGCAACTTTTGACCAACGATAATGTAATAAAAGCGCAACAGTTGCTTCCGCCAATGAATTTGTATTTTTCGATGAAATTCTCGCCAAAGTTTTGTAGACACTTCGATCAGAAATTGCATTTGGAACTGATGAATAGGAAATTATTGGGATGTTCCAAAATGTTGCCATTTTCGTAACAGCCTCCAGTTCTGAATAATATGATTTTTTTGATAAAAAACGTAATAATTAATTTTCCAACCTGATGCACAATACGGTCCAATGAATGCTCGAACTTGATGAACATGATACATTTCAGCAGCAACTGCAACACCTTCAAATGCTTCACTGCATGTCTGTTTCGAGATTATTCTGAAAACGTATATTGTGTTTAGCAAAATTTTCATTCTTAAAACTTTGAAGATGAAATTGCTCATATTTTTTCACTGAACAATTAAAGATCTTTTTTCAGATCTCAAAAATCCAGACTCCTTCCAAGATCTCCAACGACTTACTCAATCTCAATATCCTTCCCAATAATTCCTTCCTCAATCAAAGTTTCTTTACTGATATTCAAAATCTTCTCATCATTTGGCATCAATCCAACAGCTCCAAGATGTCCAATTCGAATCACTTTTTTCTGATCCGAGTTGATTTCCAACTTTGTTCCAGAATCGAATTGAGTAAAAGCTGATTTTTCAGCATCTTCTGAGTTTGAATAACTCGCCAGATAGACAAGAAGAAAGGTTAGAAGATTTTTCATTATCAAATGAAATGAAATGAAATGGAACAAATGGGCTTTTTATTTGAGGCCACGCCTATTTTATTTTACCGTATTCAAAAATCGGATTTTTTGGTGCGTCACCAATGCATTTCTCTTTCTGATGTCGATTTAATCCCAAAAAATCTTCTTATTTTCTGGTATACACAAATCTTGAGCGCTATTTTTATAAGAGTATATAGCTAGCGAGCTAATAAGAAAAGAAGATTTGTGAAGTCATCACCATGAATAATATCTCTTTACTATTAAAATTGAGATTTTCATGTTAGCCAAAATTCGAAACAAGGAATATAGAAATAATTATTTTCTGTAATTTTGAAAAAAAAAACTTTTTTGAAATTATAAAAATTACCACGAAACTTTTTGAGCCAAAACAATGTGTCAAGAACTTTTTCAAATTCCAACTTCGGCCAGGAAAAAAAGGTTCAACGTAAATTTTCGAGTACTGTAGCTTTTTCAGAAATCTCTGTGATTTTATTTGAATTCTGAGTTCACAAAAAAACAAAACCTTATTTTTTTCTGAATTTCAAAGCGTTAAAAATTTATTAAAACAAAACAAAACAAAACATTTCAGTTCTTCTCCAAAAAAAAACAATTACCCGACTGAAAACAAAAAACTAGATGAGAAAAATCACAGAAAATTATATAGATAATTAGATAATTAACAAAAAGAGAGACAAACTATGCTTTTTGGTCATTGGAAGCTTCCTGAAGTTCAACATCTTTGGGATCTTGTGTAGGAACTGGGACGTGGGAAGATCTGGAAAAATTGATTATTTTTGCGTGAGTTTTTCGACGGAGAAAAATTCTGGGTTTATCCAATAAATATTCTGAAGTCAACTCACCTATAAGGATACATACTATATACAAAAACAGCAGCAATAACAGCACTTGCTCCAAGAACAAATAACATTGTTGGTCTGAATGTGAATAAAAAGAAGGCGGCAATACAATTCAAAACAATAGCAAAAGATGTGGCGAAAGCTTTCAAAATATTATCGGCATATTTGATAACAACAGCTACAACCAATCCACCAAACGCATTAATTGCTACAGTAACCCAAACAGCCCAATCAAAACCTTGCAACATATTTTTCCAAACTTCCGGTGGACTTGGACCATCTGCATAAACTTTTGAATTATCTTTGACGGAAGCAAAGAGGAAAGCGAAGAAAATCGAGGGAAGTGCGAGTTGAATATTTCGAATCCAGATTGAGACATTTGAACCTTTCAATATTTTTTCGAAGTAGATTCCAGCGAAACCAGAAAGAATACAAGCGATTAGAACTGCAACAAATCCAAATATCGAATTTTCGCCGCCTTTTTTCGATGCGTTTTTGATTTCGCTTAATGCAATTGATTGCAGAGTTGAGGTTCCCTAAAAAAAATGCCTTAATTTTTTCATATCAATTTTCGGGTTTTCTAAATTCACCATTGGAAGGATCTTGTGAGAACCCAGTTTTGAACCGGATTCTCACAAGTTCAAAAATTCAAAAAAATCCTACCGGTGTTTCGATTGTTGTATTATCCAAAGTCAAAACCGATTTACTAATTGCCAATAATTCTTTTTCCTTGTCATTCGACATTTTTTGATCATATTGAACGATAACAACACCAGAAAACAACACCAAAAGAGCCATCCATTGTTGAATGCTCAATTTTCGTTTGAGAACAAGAACTGTGAAAACAGCGGTTGTCAGGATTTTGAGTTGATAGGTTACCTGAAATTGGATAAAGATAAAGATAAATATAGATTAGACTTTTTTGAGAAGTAAAAACACGTGCTATTTGCGTAAGAATCCGATTTGAACGTCATAAGCTCGCGGATAAAAAGGTGGAGAGCATATTTAGAAGTCAACAAAAAGTAAAAGGATTTTTGAGCAATGATTCTTGAGGTTCAAAAAATACGAAATTGGAATTTTCGGGACCAACATTTCAGTTTTGAACCTATTCAAAATTTGAGTAATATGAGCAATAATATTCATAAACCTTAATTTTGGCTGAAAATTCAATATTGAAAATTTCCTAGAGAAATCCAGTAACATGAGAAATAGTTTAAAGACATAAGAGCACCTAGAAATTGAGAAGAATGAGTTTTTTATTCATTCATAACACCTTTCAAGAATTTGAAATTTCAAGACAAATATATTAATATGAGCAATTATACAAAATATTAAAATATAATTTTAGCTCAAAATATTTGAGAAACGTGAATTTAGGTTCAAAATTCAATAATTTCAGATGGTTTTTTCATTGAAAATCGATTAACATGAGCAATTTTCAATGTTATCCACTTACCATATACGTCGCCGCTGGCAAATTATCAACCGCCACATACAACAAGAAATTCTGTACAGTATAAACTGCAGCCGGCACCAAAACCTTCAACGTATCTTTCCAATTTACAACAAATTCCGTATAAATTCTCTTGAGACCTTTCACCAAACTTTTCTCTTCAACGCATGCAAAAATCAAACTGACGGAAAATTTGAAAATTTCACCGAAGAATACACTGATTGTCTGTAAAATATTGAACATTTTGAATATGAATTTTTAAAAATTAAATTAAATTTACCTTCAAAAACTTCGGTCGATCATTTGTCATAACATATCGCATAAACAAAACTAAAGAGCAGTTTTGGACGACCAAAACTATAAGCGAAGTGTATTTTATCACCTCAGCTTTTGCCATCGCTGCAAAATTGTTGATGATTTTTGAAAAAAAGAAAGAAAGAGAAATTCCAGGCTGGAAAAAAACAGGAAAAAAAAACAAAAAAGCAGAACATTTTCCCTGAAAAAGAATGATGCTCGAAAATTAGATTTGGGGAAAAAGATCATTCAAAAAAACATAGAATTTTTGATTTTTTTGAAATCTGAGAAAAAAAATCCTAAAAACTAGTTCATTTTTTTTGGAAAAAAAACTCACATCAGGAAAATTTGCTGTGATTTCTGCCGACTTCAATTTTTTAAAATTATTTTTCATAGAAAATTTCATTTTTTTTTCCAAATTTCAAAAAAATGTTAAAGAACTTTGAAAAAATCTGATACTAAATCTAAATTCTTCGCGAAAAAAAACAGCATTTTCTTGAAATTCCAAATTTTGGCGCTGAACGAAATATGAAATTCCACGTGGCAAAAATGTGCTAAATTTTCAAAATAATAAAAATTCAGAATGAATAATTTAAATCCCTCTGTCAATAGAAAAACTAGACGTACTTACTGAAAATCAAAAACAAAACAACAATAATACTACACGCCCTACACCAGAATAAAAATGATCATTTTGCAAAAAGTGGAGCCAGCTGTCAGGAAGAGGACACAGCGAAAGAGCACAAGGAACCAGGAGTGCGGTGAGAGAAACGAGAGAAAATGGGACATTTCCACGTGGAGAGACGCAGAATGTTTGAATAAATAAATAAATGGATTAAAACTGTACAGTTTGTGTGAAAATGAAAAAAAAAATAATATTTCAGTTCGACCTTGGAGAAAAGTATTATGATGTTGATTGATAAAATATAAGTTAGTAAAAATAACTTTTCACGAAAAAAAGAGTAGAAAATAAATAAATATTATTTTTCTTCATCAAAAGGAAAAAATGCAACAATAAAGCTATAAACAATTGAAAAACAAAAAAAACACCCAGTAAACCCAATCACATTTTGTCAAAAAAAAATATCACAAACAAAAAGATTCTTTAGAAATTGAAGGAACATCACCGCGTAATCGATTCAATGCAGAAACCATCGATTGATGAGAAGAATATAAAAATATACTGAAAATGACGAGAGAAGCGCCGAAAATGAAGGTGAGAGATGGAATGAAGTCGAAAAGGAACATTGAACCGATTGTTGATAAAACAATTGCGACTGATGTTGCAAAGTTTTTGGCAATGTTGTCAGCGTATTTGATACAAACAGCGACGGAGAGACCTGGAATTTAGGAATAGAAATTGAGATATGAAGTACAGAATTTTTAATTAGTTTTTCAAGCTGAAAAAAAATCAAGAGTAGTTTTGAGGTTTTTAGTTCTAAAGGCCAATATTCAAAAAAATACGACAGTTTTTTTCTAAATTGTCAGAAGATTCCCGATTTTTTTTGTTCAAAAATTTTATTATTTGGCCCTAAATTTGACAGCTGCTAATTTTCGAATTTATTTTTTTAAATAATATTTTGCAGGAATTTTATGCATTTCTGAAAAATTTTGATTTTCACCAAAAGTTTTTAATTTTTTTGGATCAGGAACCTTTTTTCTGGACATTTTTTAAGACGAAGTTTTTCCGTGGGTTTTTTTTTCAAAATAAATAATTTCAGAAATCGAAATCCCAAAAATGTTCTTTTCAAAATCAACATTCTTCGATTGATCCAAATTATAGATAAGACTTAGACTTCGAACGCAAAATGAACCGGATCCAAGAATTTCTCTTCTTTTTGATTTAGTAAAAAAAACAAACCTCCAATTCCATACCACAAAACAGTCAACCAAACAATCGAATCAAATCCATATAATAATCCTTTTGTTGTAACAGTTTCCGAGTCTGACACGTAAATCGCCAAAAATGAAGATGGAATCGCAAAAACAGCCATTTGCACATTTCTCATCCACAATGAAACTGGAGCTGATCCTTTGAGAATTTTCTCGAAATAAATTCCAGCAAAACCTGACAAACAACATGCCACAACTACAGCGATGAAACCTGAAAGAAAGAAGTTTTGAGAATCATACTGAATCTGAAACTTACCAACTAAAGGCGATTCACCAGCAATTTTTGCTGTCGAAGAAGTTCCTTGAAGTTGCACCAAAGATACACCAATAAATAAAACACCAAGTGCAAACCATTGTGTTTGATTTAATGATCGTCGAAGAATGATAACTGTGAAAATAGCGGCGGTGAAAATTTTTAGCTGCGATGTAATCTGGAAACAGCTATATAAATAAATAATGTTTCAAAATCAAACAAACCATAAAAGTAGCGGCGTCCAAATGAGAAGCTGCCACGTAGAACAAATTATTTTGTACAATATAAATCATTGCAGGAATACATACTTTTAAAGTATCATATGGTTGTTCAATAATTTGAGCTCGCAACGAAGAAAGGAACCTAGAATAAATTATTATTTTGGGGAATCAAGTTTTTGCGCGGTGAAAATGAGGTATGACGTGGAAAAATCGTGAATTTGCGGCTTATTTTAAGCGGAAAAATAAATTTTAATAAATTCTTTTTTTTAAAGTTTGAATTAAAATTACTGACAAGGCTACATTTTTTTTAGAAAAACGATCATAATTAGTTTTTTTTTTCAAATTTTGCCACGTCAGTTCTCAGGTCAGAAAACGTTCTTGGCAACAGTAAAATTATCAATGTGTGAAAAATTATCAGGAAAATATATTTTGTAAAAAAAAACAAACCTCCTTGGAGTTTCCTCTTGTGCTACTAAAAATAGACAAATAATACATTTGATAACTTCAGTCAACCAAACAGCTACCGTACTCACAAACATATCTTCAACTTCTCTTGCACGCGAATATCGAATAAGTAGTGTATGTATACTATTTTGTAGTGTTAACCATATTAAAATTGCTGTTTTCATATTTCGATTTGATTGCGATTCTCGACCAATCGAAACTTGTGGAACCTAGAAAACCATCTTTTTAGAATTCAAAAGGAGGAAAAGGTGAATGAACAAAAAGACTTGGAATGGATGGAATAAACAGGAAAACCTTTCTTTTTTTTTCGTGAGGAAGCGAAGAAAGCCCAGATTTTATCTAAAAGCTTTATTTCTGGGTCTTTTTTCCAAATCCATACTTTTATCTTGATTTTTTTTTTGAAAACATGAAAATTTCATGTGAAAATTAATAACATCATTAAATAAGTTTTCTATTTTTTTGGTTAAAAATTTAAATTTCTTTTCAAAGCAAATTCTTACCGGTATTTTCGTCTCTTTTTCCATTGAAGAAGAGTGCAACAATGGATGCAAATCGTCATCTTTTCTACTCATTCTGATTTAAAACCCTGAAAAATCAAGTATTTATTGAGGAAGATTTTCAAAAAATAGAAAAATGAAAAAATGAAGAGAGTTGACTGGCACACACACAAATAATTGAAAAACGAGGAAAATATGTGATAGAAAAGGGGAGACACAGAGTGAAAAACATTTTGCAACGTAGATTTTATGCCTTGTTCTTTATGTGTATTGTTTTGTTCGATTTCTAATTTTAGGATACATGTTGTAAAAAGAAATAATTTTCAAAAATTGAAACATGACTAGCTGGAATTGATAATAAAATTGAATAGATCCACAACAAAACTTGTTATCAGTTGGGGAAAAAATAATGTGTGGGAATAATTCATGTGAGACCGAAATCACATTTTTGAACTCAAAAAGCAGCCAGAATGAGAAAATTCAAAAAAACAACGACGGAATGACGTTATATAATGGAGAAAATAGGTTCGAATCTCTTTTGAATTACTTAGGTCCGATGGCTCACCTCAAAAAAAACTAATTTTCCGAAAATTTTTCAAAATTACGAAAAAGGGGTCCATGATTCTTCTTTCTCAACGGGAAAAAAGAGGAACAAATCAGAAATTTATTTTGCGCAAAGATACATTTCTTTCTGAAAAACTGATGTTGTCTCATGATTTTCTAGTTAATCGAATACGTAGATCATTTTTTTCATTTTCGGTTTTTCGAGAAAACTGTTTTGATTTTGTGCGATATAATCATGTTTAGGGCGAAACTTCTTTGATTTTCCGAACTTGGTCTTTTTTGAGTTTCCTTCTCGATTAAAATCATAAATATTCATTGTCAGGAAAAAGGAGAAACATTTTCCCAAAAAAATCAATTTTCACGTGACCCATTTATCATTATAAAAACAGCAAAATCTCAATGTCTTGTCAGTTTATAAATTTGTGAATAAACCAAATTGCCCTCAATATAAAGAAGTTGCAAAATGAAGAAAAACAATAGACCACGATTGCCAGCAGCTGGACCATCGGAAAATTTGAGTGAAATGGATGAAATGATGTTGGATAGGGCTACAAGATCGAAAATACTTGAAAAACATTCAGATGCTCAAAATATGAAGTTTGTGGAGGGTTTTTTGTTGAAATTGTTGTCTTGCAAAGGAGTTTCGAAGCATATTCATACTCTGGAGATATTGAGATTAGCATGTGAGCTTTAGATTGAAAATTATGAATTCCAAATTTCAACTTTTTAGTTCTCGCCAAAAAGGTCTTCACACAGCAAGGAAGATTGATTGAAGTTGAAGGCCCGATTCGAATCTGTGGTGATATCCATGGACAATATTCCGATTTGATCAGATTATTTGATAAAGGCGGTTTTCCACCAGATTCAAATTATATTTTCCTCGGAGATTATGTTGATCGCGGTCGCAACAGTCTTGAAGTCTTGTTCTTATGCCTTGCATACAAAGTTCGATATCCTAATAACTTTTTCATGTTACGTGGAAATCACGAATGCGCACATATCAATGCTTCTTACGGCTTCAAAGATGAAGTTTTCAGTCGTCGAACAACAGGCTGTGAAACGATTTATGATGATTTGACCGATATGATGGATATGATGCCATTATCAGGATTGATTGGTAGAAAGATTCTCTGTATGCACGGTGGAATAAGTCCGCATTTGAAAAGTTTGAGCGATTTGCGAAATTGCAGAGCGTAAGTTTTTGCATTTGAAATTCTCATCAAAATTCTGGAATTTTCAGTCCGTTCACTGGCAGCAATGATGAATTAGAAATGGATTTATTATGGGCTGATCCAATGTGCAATCAAGAAGGTTTTCTACCAAATCTTCGTGGTGCAAGTGTTTCATTTGGCGAAGACATGGTTCATAAAGCTTGCAGACAACTTGGAATCGACTTGATTGTTCGAGCTCATCAAGTTGTCCAAGATGGCTATGAATTCTTCGCTGGACGTCGATGCATAACTATCTTTTCTGCTCCAAATTACTGCGGTCAGTTTGATAATAGCTCAGCTGTTTGTGTTGTATCCGAAGGTCTCGAAGTGTCTTTTGAAGTCTTGAAGCCAGAAACGATGAATTTCGAGAAAATGGAGGCATCTGTAGCATCAATGGAAACTTAATAAAGTTTTTCTGTTTCAATACTGTTTTTTACAACAAAAAAAATTCAGCATAAATAAGAGAATAAAACAACGAATAAATTAAAAAAAAATAAAAAGCTATTCTCACCAGTTTGGTGAAATCTCACACCACGCCCATCACCGTGTAAATTAACTTTTAAAAATGACGAAGCCACCTTCGAAAAAAATCCGCGAAAAATTATTTTCGCTTCAAATTTTCTGTGGTTTTGTTAATTGGCACCATGCTTTGCCGCGGCAAAAAAAAACTTGAATCATGAAAAACTTCAATTTCTAAGAGTTTAACTTCTGAACTTTCAGTTATATTCACAAAAACAGCACAAACTCTTTTGAAACAAGAAAAAAGAAAAAAAACAAGAAAAAAAATGAAAACATTGTCAAAACACGCAAACGCGCCCCATAGGACACAGTGAAAATTCCCGCGATTTCAAAAATTCAAATGCACAAAATTTCTAAAATCAAGAAAACGTGAATGAAATTGATAAGATCTCTACGTGAACTAGCTCAGCGCTATAAAAATGGAGGCAAACCAGGTGTCCAGCAGTTTTACTACAAAATTTTGATATTTGAGAAATCCTTCGAGTGACGTCATAAAGAATCACTATGTTCGAAGCAATGGCAAGTACAATAATTAGAGCAACGATGCCGTGAGTTTTCAGAGGGGAATTTTGAGAAAAAATAATTTTCAGATCAAGTGGATTTTCAAGATCCGATTCCGAAACTGGAACACCTCGTGCTACTGCTGGAGCTGTTATGGATGTTTTCAATAAGAAAAAACCAGAAGCAGCAAAAGGGAAAAACGTGAAACAACCCAACAGAACGGCGAAAACGAATGTAGCAACTGAAGGAAGTACTCGTTCAAAACGAGGAAAGAAGAAGAAGGACAAAGGGGGCGACACAACAATCGCACAAGCAGCTCCCGCAGCACAAATGCATCCAGCTGTACAAAAATGGGTTGAAAGAGCATTGACGATGGGTGTACCAGCTCTCCGTGATGAATATCGTGGACTTGCGAAATATACAATGGAAGGAATGACGATGGAAGCATTTCAAGCGAATCAACCACAAAATCGCAATCGTTATCAAGATGTTCCGTGTCAAGATGCGAAGCGTGTTGCATTGAAATCCCCACCAGCTGCTTGCGACTATGTTCATGCAAACTACGTCGGAACACCAATGTCTGATAAACGTTTCATTTGCACACAAGGTCCACTTGATAACACAATTGATGAATTTTGGTGGTTGGTTTGGCAGGAAAAAGCTGAACAAATTGTGATGTTATGCAATGTTATTGAGACTGGCAAATTCAAATGTGCACAATATTGGCCATTGGAAGTTGGAGAGAAAAGACAAGTTGGTGGAACACAAATGACAATTGAGAAGATTGATTGTAAACCGATGGAAAGAGAACCAACTATTATGATTACTAATTTGAAGGTTACTGTTGGATCAGAAACTCGGACAATTAGACAATTACAATGGTTGGATTGGCCTGATCGAGGTGTTCCACCGTGCAGATTGACAAGTATGGTATGTTTTATTTTGGCGGGAAAGGGGAGGTTCTAAAATGCTTGCTGATTTTGAAAAATTAATTTTTGAGCTAAATTCTAGAGTGTGCCAGAATCTTTTGATCTTTTATTCAGTCTCAAAATAACTCCCAAAGTGTTGCCTATAATCTACAGAACCCCTAGATCTAATTAATTTTTGCAGGAACTCTTGTCATCAATTCGTGGCTCAAAAGCTCCAATAGTTGTGCATTGTTCGGCTGGAATTGGCCGAACTGGAACAATTGTTGCAATCGAATATATTCTCGAGAAAATTAGCGCTGGCAGCGATTGTATGGCAATGGGAGAATTGATGAAAGAATTGCGAAATCAAAGAGCATATTCGATCCAAAATGATTTGCAATATTTGTACATTCATCGTGTCATGCTTTGCTATTTTCTTGAAAAATATAAGGATAAATATGCGGCATTGTTGACGGAAGAAAATACTGCAAAATATAAAAAGTTTGTCGAAGAATATAATGCGGCAGTTGGTCAATGAGAGAAGAGAAAATGTCTGTGAGTATGAATAAAATGTATTTTTGTAAATTTGTTTTTTGAAATTGCCAAAGATTCTGAAATCCAAAAAAAGTTCTCTGGAGAAATTTTTAAAAAAATGTAGACTTTTTGGGAACTTTTTCCGAAAAAAAAGTTATTCTTAATCTTCTGAACTTCTAACCAGAAAATTAGTCACATAACATTTTTCGAAACAAATCATCAAATCGAAAAATATCATTTCAAAATAAAAAAAAACACAATTATTTTTTGCCACGTCATCTTTTTTCCAAAGAAGTGTCAAAATTCTTCCAGTCTTTGGTCGATGTTTATCATTTCCCAATCTCTTCCGGGTTACTGTAGTCACTTTTTTCCCATTAGAAGTACCGAAAATAATTTATCATTTCAAAAAGTAACTTTTTTCTGTATGTATGTGACTTTTTCTGTCACTCTCCAAATTCTCAACAATATTTTACTTTTCTCTCGCATAAAATCACACAAACAAAAAGAAGCGACCAGTTTTTTGAAAGTATTGACAGTTCTAAAAAAAATCTATTTTTTGCTATATTTTTTTTAGTTTCGTATCGTATCTAACAAAACTGAAAAAAGTTATCGATTTCGGAAGTAAAAATCAAAAAAGTCTAATCTTTTTTTTCGCCCTATTTATTTTGTGAATCATATTATCAATACAAACAGTTTTTTTATCGCTTGATGTTTTTTTGTTTTTTTTTTCAACAAAGAATCGATTTTTTATTTATTTATTTTACTATTTTACTATTTGCAATGTCCTTGAAAATTCACAAAAAGTGTAAAAGTTAGATGAGTTTTTGTTTATTTTTCAATGGTTTGTTGGTTAGAAAATCGGGAGAAAAATCCAATTTTTTGCCAAGCAGAGTAATTTGATTTTTTTTTGTTTTTATGTATACAAAGGAGCATTTTTTGAGCAGAATAGGCTAAAAAAATTGATGTGAATTTTTCAGCTGCGATATATCAACCTGAAAAATATTGGGGCCGTTCTGATTTTTCCATTTTTTTAAATGTTCAAATCAATTAAGTTTTTCGAATTCCAAGATATTGCAGCCTATTTTTTGAAGTTTCCGAATATTTTTTCGAAAAAAAAAATTAGTTAATGATATTTTTTTTTGAAAAATAGAGCTTTTTGAATTTTTTATTGGAATCTTGCTGAAAAAATTCAACAAACTATTTTTTGAGCTCAAAAATAGAACTTGAAACTCTTTTAAAATACTTCCTCATCAAATGTTCAACATTTCTTGTCTCACTAGCTAAAAAAAAAGACAAAAAAAACATCTATATCCATTTTCTATCCAGCTCTAGTTAGTTATCGTTTTTTTCTCTTCCTCCATGAAAAAAGAGTCCCTTTTTCTCTAGCCACTCTCCTCAATTCTCATACTCTCTCCTTTTTTCAAGCTTCTTCTTCTTCTTTCGTTTTTTGTTGTTGTAGTGGAAAAATTGTATTTTTGCTATTTATTTATTCGAACCTTTTCCTCAAATTATTTTGCAGAATTTGTATGGCTTTGTCGCATTTCGTGAGATGTTTTGCGACTTTTACTAATCTCATTTTTCTGGTCAGTTTTTTAACCTATAATTTGTGAAATCCTAAATTATAGGGTTCAAAAAAATATTTATTTTTCAGGCAATCTCATGTTCCTTATTAGCAACTACAGTTCTAGCATTTTTCAGTCCTCCGCCACAAAATGTATCACCCGTTGATGTTGGAAAACTTGACCATGTAAATTTTTTTTAATTTTAAAATTTAAGTAAATCTGAAATTAAAGATTTTATGAAAGTAATGCGCGTTTTCACAAAAAAATGTCTGGAACTCGAGAAAAAGTTTTGGAACTTTTTTTCCAATAAAATATTCCTTTGAGATTTTTTTTAAATCAAAAATCATAAATTTCTGTATTTATTTTCAGTATATAGTGACAATTCTACTAATGGGTTCCTATGGAATTGCTCTTTTCATTCTTTCACTTGTTGGATTGATCTCACTTTGTTTTCTCAACTCATTTTTGTTATCTGTGGTAAGTGTTTTTGTCAGGAAAAAAAAATTATAACTGTGGTTTTCGACCTATAAAAATAGCCAGGATTTCTTCCATTCGTAGCTTTGGAATTTTACGGAGTATTGTAGAGTACTCATAACATCAGATCTAGGAATCTCGAAACTTTTTGCAGTTTATTATTGGTCAAGTGGCAATGATCGGATTACTGTTGGTTTCTTTTGCATTTACCCTAACTGTCAGGCATCAAGTTCATTATCAATTGAAACAAAAATGGACAGGAAAAGCGCCGTGTCTTGATATTGAAAATTGTGTGCCAATTGAAACATTCAAACGATCCGAAACCATGCTTCTTGTTTGTCTTTTTGGATTTCTCGTTCTACAGGTAAGAAATTTTGGGAACTTTTTTGAGTCACCGTAGATTTTGGCGACAAACAGTTTGGTGTTATTTCAAAAGCCAGAAAAATCGAAACAAAATTCAATTGATAAATTCTGAATCTTGTTTCTCAAAAAAAATCCAATTTTTCCAGATTTTACAACTTGGCGCATGTTGGTATTTATGCGAACGTCGATCGAGTCAAGAAAAATACAAACTTCAACTTCAAAAAGCAGATGAAGATGATGAATAATAACTCACTCACTCATACATATTTCAAATTAATTAGATGCCAAACTAATCATTTCTAGCATTTCAAAAGTGCCTTCGCCTCTTTTTATTTTCACTATTCCGCCAGCAGCCAAAAAACCCCCGAAACGTGTCAAATTTCGAACCTCTTGTCTTGTAATCGAATAATTCCCGAATGATGAATAATATGTATAGAAGAATGCCGGTAATAAAGTTTTTTTTTTGAAACTATTCTGTTGAACATTACATTTTCATCTCGAAAAATAAAAAAAAACAACAAGAAGAGATAGTAGATATGTTCAAAAAATGACAAATTATGATATTTTTAATGGAGAAGAAAATAAAATATTTGAAAAAAAAATACCCGGAATAAGAGTTCGTCGCAAGAAAATGGAAATTGTCAATTAGATTTTTTGATAATTTGTTAAATTATGATTTCGTTTCGAGAGAGATTTAGACATCCAATAATTCTTCTTTCTCCGATTTTGCAATATTTTCACTCGAATTTGAATATTCGTTGTCTTCGAGAAGTGCATCGAGACGATCTTGTGAAACAACTGAAGATAATAAGAAACCATCCGAATGTAAAATACGAAGGAAAAGTCCGACATTGATAATGAAAAAGCAGCAACCACCGCCGAAAGCAATGAATGCGAACATTCTGCAAAATTTCTGGGATTTTTTTGGTTGGTAGGATTTGAGAGAAGTTAATTATCCTCAAGAGATTGGTCAAAACTTTTTTCCATAGTTGTGAACAGAAAATTCGATTTTTTTTTAATTAAAAAGTTGTAAGTTTGATAAATCTCGAATGAAAAGAAAATCTTATTGGGAATTCTGGAGCTCGAGGTTGTCAATGTTTAATCACAATTTTCAAATTTAAATCACAAAAATGTCAAAACTTACGTATGCATATTATCCAAATTGACCCAAGCCCATCCGACCAAAAATACTTGAACGAAGAATCGGAAAACGATAAAAGCGACCAAATTAAACCACGCAACAACCTTCGAAAATCCAATCATTGAAGTTGTACTTAATTTCGAAATATGAAGAATTGATCGAGTATGAAGGAAGATTGAGGAGACTTCCATAAGAAGAGCCCAATATGCGTAGAGAAGAAACTTTTTCGATAAAATTGAACTGGATAATACGAAGATTGAGGCAACGTGGTGGAATAATAAGACTCCGGTGGAAATTGAGATTCTGTAACAAATTTAATTGATAAGTTTTAATTAATTAATTTCAAATAAATTACTTACTTATCATTGACCAATAAATCGAAACCATCATAAATAAAATATCCGATGGATAAAATAATAATTTGCGAGTCGAGATTAGTCCAATAATGAAGTGGTGAACCAAACATTAGTCGAGTATTTAGGCAGAAAAATGTGAACAGATAAATTCCAGAAATCTGCAAAAAGTTCCCCATTTTTATTGCATTTCTAGATTGACACTTTTCACCCAAAAACGAATTAATTTTATTTTATGCATGCATTGAACTTTTCGTTTTGTCGTTTCCGTTTTCAAACTTTTTCCCCTTTCCAATTTTTTCGAGAGAAAATTGGAATCGAAAAAAAACCCAAGTAAAAATAAAAACTAACCGATGAATGAATAAGTGAAGTTGTCAAATTGATGAGACGTTTTCGTTTGATTCCTTCTTGAAAACTTGTAAAACAGTGCATTGTGACTAGTGTATTTACTGCATACCTGAAATCAAAATAATTATTTATTTATTTTTTCTTTTTTTTTGAAGAGGAAGAAGAATTTTTTATTGGCCAATTATTTTTTTTCAATTTTTTATGTGAATTTTTATGTATTTAGAAAGGTTAGAAAAGAAGAACTTACCATAAAATCGCGTAGAACATCACAGTTGGAAAGAAGATCGAATTGATGAAACCCCAGAAGTTTGGTGCGCGAAGTTCAGCGCCATCTAAAAAAAAAAGAATTTTTGATATATGAATTTTGATGGTCCCAAGCCTTTAGGCTTAATTTTCGAAGATGACTTAAGACGTGGTAAATTTGGAAAATCGTGACTTCTATTTTTAACTATTGCATTTTTCTGCAAACACCACACCGTAAACATGAAAATGCACACAAATGTTTTTGTGTACCGTATGCCCAAAAATTTTAATTTTATTTTTTCCAACAAAATCCCCAAAAAGTTAGCAAAACTCACTATTAACTCCCAAACTGGTCCAATTATCGACGGCGAAAAATTTGAAGGGTGAGTTTTCCAATTCTTCGAGTGTTTGAGTTTTCATCATTTTCAAACCGTGTGAAGTATCCGAAGGGGATAAACTGTAAATCGGAAACATTCTCCTCGTTTTTCATAAAAGTTTCCTTTCAAACCAGGAACATTTTGAAAAATATGGGCGTGGCTTAGAAAGAGAGAGAAAAGAGAGAGACGCAGAGAAAATGACATGGGGGAATTGAAGGATTGGTCTGACTGATTTGACAAAGAAAAGCTAAAAAGTTAGTTTTTCGGCAAAAAAAATGAAGAGTTGGCTGAAGATCAGATAAGATTTTGAGAAACGGCCAGTTAAAGGGGTCACTAAATCGGTGTTTTTTTTTGGCGGAAAAGTGTGAAATGAGTTTTGATGTGGCAATTTTTTTTTTGAAAATCTTATTAAATTTTTTAATCAGTAAAACCAAAAATTTAATGAATGACATTCAGAACTTTTTTAAAATCAGACCATATGGTGTGCACATTCTCATGATATAAAAATAAGGTTTGTAGTTTGAAATTAAATCAAGTAAAAATCGGCCTCAAGAAATGTTTCGATGAAAAAATTCGAAAATTAACATGAACGGAACATTTTTTCAATTTTCATTTTAGGAAATTCGAAAAAAAGCTTGGACTGAAAAGAAAATATCGAAAAATGTTCTAAAATTGAAAAAAAAGAGCTACAGAAAGCATATTTCAACTAAAAATTATACAATAAATTTTCTGAGCTCAAAGTTTTGATTCCAAATCATATCATTAAAAGATTGTGCAGAATTTGAAAAATAAGCTTAGGGTACCAGATTTCCGTTCGAAATTTCGAAAAAGAAGCTTCGGAGCTCTAACTTTAATTCAAAATAATCCAAAATAATTCCAGAGCTCAAACTTTGACTTAAATTCCCTTAAAAAATGCTCCTGAACTTGCTTCTAAGGTATTTTTTTTGCAAAAAAAGTTCTTATCAAAACAAAAAACTAGACGATCTCAATGAAATTCTTCAAAGAAACAAACCGACATATTTCAAAAACCGAAAAATCTCAAATTTCCCGACAAAATCTCAACTAAAAATCAAAAATCAGGAAAAACTGAGTCATCTCTGGAAAGGACATAAACAGGACGACAAAAAAACCCACACAACCAAAACCAAAACTATTTGATGATTGAAATCAATGAGAGATTGGGTGTGACGTGGAGAGTTCAGAGAACGCAGAGAAAAATGATGAGAGAGTGTGGGAAAATTAGAGAATGAGACGAGAAAAAAAATGAAATGAAATGAAATGGTTGTTTGGAATTTCCAATTCAATAAAAAATGATTGAATTGCATAAAATTTGGATTTAGCGGAAGTTAATCGATATGGAAATGGTGAAAAACTAGAAAATCGATAAAAAATTTGATTTAGGTTCCTAATTTCATGAAAAAATTAAAATAAGGAGCTGCTCATGTTAGTTTTTATGAAATTTGGATTCTGAAATTTCATAAAAATTGAAAATTAAGCGTTGCTCATGTTAATTGTTGAATTTCCATCGAATTTAAATTCTAATGAGCCTAAATAAGCCTAAAGTTGGGAAAGAACCAAAAAAATAGTTTTTCAAAATTTTTGCAATAAAATTTTATCCAACAAAGAAACTGTTACATACATTTCCGCCCAAAACCTAACTTAATCTTATCAAAAAAAAAGTTTTGTCATTTTTTTTTGTGACAAAAAAAATCAGGCCATTTCGCAAAAATGACACAGCTGCCATCATTTTTGTTTGTTCCGCAAAAAAATTGGGGAAAAAATTGAGATGATTCACTGTTTGAAAAATATGAACAACTAAAACTAAAATCAAAATTAAATAAGACAACATTTCGTAATCACAAAGAAAAAGAAGAAGAATCTGCTCTGCATCCTGCGCGTCTTCTCTTTTTCTCTAACTCGAACGAGAGAGTGAGAGACGCAGACATGAAATGGGTTAAATCGTGAGTGGTAGAACAAAAAGAAAACAAAAAGAGAGCTCATTGAGCCGTCAATTTCGGAGAAAAAATGGAGAGAAATGAGAAGAAGATTAGTAATTTGTTTTATTTATGGATGAATGGATGAGAACTGCAAATTATCCCCGGGGTACTGTAGGTTTCGTGGAATTTGGACCGAATTTTGAATGAAAATTGTGTTTGACAAAATTTTGATGGAATTCAAAGATTTGAAATTTTTACAAATTGTTTACTTGATGAATTAGATCTAGAATTCTGGAAAAATGTTGAAATTCAATTTTTTAGACAAAAAGTTACTGAAAAATTAAAATTTCAAACCTCAGAAAATTCAAATAAAAATTAATTATAAATTTCGATTTTCAGGAATGCTCCGACTAAAAAAACGGCTTTCTTTCTAAAAATTCTCAAAAAATTAATTTTTAGGAAGATATCTATTTCGGATTGAAAAATTCTCCGGATTGTCTGAATTCTTCAAATCTCAAAAATCTGACCTTCAAAAACCCAAGTTTCAATCAAAGAAAAAATTACGTAAGACAAAAATCCTTCAGAAAAACGAGGCGAAAAAATTGGAAAATCTCTAAAAACTGGAAAAATGCAAAGATTTTCAATTAAGATAACCACGCATTTACCGGCTAATAGATTCAAATCTAATCTTCGCCCAATAATCATCAAATACAAATTGAAAATTTCGACAAAAATATATTTCAACTTTGAGAAAATGTTTAAAATAAAAAATATTTATCACAATTTGGAGAAAAACAATATAACAAAACGGATATTTATTTGACTGTCAAAAAATGTAGGAAAACTGAAATGAAAACTGAAAACCCGTAATTTTCTGAAACTGCAAATTCTTGTTATTTTTGGCTAGGGAAGGGAAAAGAAAAGTGAAATTTCTGGGGAAAAAAAGTGAGGGGAATAAAAAATCATCGGGAATATTTAAAGACATATCAATAATCACAATAAAATAAAGTGAGCAGGAAAACGATAAATAAAATTTTCCAGTGGAAAAACCGGGATCTTTATACAATTGTTGCAGTTTTTGGACCAGTCGTTCTTTTTTGTCCATTTTTTTGCTGTTGTTGTTGTTGATTTGTCTGTTGTTTATAATACGATAATAATGCCTCCATTTGTGGATTGGTTTTCGGAATTGCTCCACCGCCAGACGGTGAACCAGAATAGGGTGGAAGTGAGCCACGTGGCAAATGAGTGACACGTGCGACTGGAGGAGGATGGGGGAAACGTGGCAATTCGGATGTTGAATAGGGTTTGCCGCCGGCTAGGATTACGGTGTTCTGTGGTTGAGCGACGGGAAATGTTGTGATTCGAGTTGTCACACTTTGACGAATCATATCATCTGATGAACCATTCATTGGAATTCTGAAAAAAAATTTATTTTTTTTCTTGAGTTCTCAAGAAGAAGTATGGTTTTGGGTATTGAACTTCTTAATTTCGGATTTTTCAAGTTATTGTTAATTTTTAAAAATTTTCAAAAAACTCGAATAATTCTGAAATTTGTAAAATTCCGTAAAATTTTTAGTCAGGCTAAAAAAATAAAATTAAAGGGTTGGTGCTCCGCCAGGGAATCTTGTGTGGTTTAGATAGGAATAAGGTGCTCCTGGAAGGTTCCAGTTTTAGAAAAAATTCTAGTATCAATTCAGCCCATGTTTTTCCTCAAAAACACAAGCGAGTTAAAACCTACGAAATAAAGCATGTAAATGCGCTCTAGCGCACAACTTGTTTTTGAATTTTCGTGTGTGTGTTTGCACACAACTTTGAAAACAACACTGTGACGCCTTTTTGCAGACAATTTTTTCACCAGGAAAGCACCAACCCTTTAACTTGAAAACTTCAAATTTTCATAAAAGAAAAAAGTTTATATTTTGAAAATCGAAAAATTTTGGTTTTTAAAATTTCGTGCTATTTACCCTCCTCACAGTTTTTTTCCAAATTTCAAATCCAATTCCCAAAAACCCCTACCTTTGCACATTACTCTTCCTTCTATCCAAACTCGCAGTCGCAAATCCACCTTGACACGAAATCGACGTAGTCAATCGATGATTCAAAACCATCGGATAATCAGCAGTCGGTGTAACATCATTCTGCTCATCAAAATCCATATCAATAAACTTTTGTTTGGCATCATTTAAAGGCACCGAATATGTGCATGTTCGATTTTGCTCAGCATTTCCAGCTCCAATAATTTGATGCGCAGATTGTGCTCTTTTTCGATCTTTTTGTATTTGTTGTTGAGTGTGCTCATCTTGAATTGTTGGATAATGCGCCTGTCGATAACTACTTCGATATGACGTTGATCTATATCCCACATTTTCGTAGCTGAAAAAATCAACTTTTTTTTGCGAAAACGAAATTTTGGGATATAATATTTCTGGTATTTTGAAAAGTGGTATTAGTGCTTTCTCTGAAATTTTAGTGGAACGAAAAAGTGCTGTGGAAAAAAGGAAAGGATTTTATTAGTGTTAGATAGTGAGATGAGATGAGATCGTCTCGAACCGAAAATCTGTGGAAAACAATGGGACAACAAACGAGGATTTTTGAATCGGGCTAGAAGAATTGGGCCTGACTCAGAAGAAAATTGGCTCTGACCAAAACTAATCTTTCATCTGAAAATTAGCCCAATTCCTCCGCCAAATTCAATATTCCCCCAACATCAACAAAAACAAAGGATAAAAAAGAAGAAGAAGAAGCAAAAAGCACAAGTCAAGTTCGAGTTTTTTTAATCGGTGGAAAATAATCGGGTATCGTTCTTTTCGGTCTCAGAATTGCATGTGGATTTTCATTTTCATTCTGGATTTCTTTTATTGTTACTAACAGTGGACTCGACATTTCCATCATCATCATACAATCGATTGGTGTTTGTGTATAAACAGATGATGGTTTGGGTCGAGGTGGAAGTCCGCCGCCAATTGAATCCGATCCTGAACTTGTTGACGATGATGATATTCCAGAATAGCGTTGTTGAAGTGAATGACGGGAAAGTGCACTGAAAAAAAGAGAGAAATGGTGAGGGAAAAGGGAAAACATGTTAGAGATGTTGATTGGATGAAGTGGGAAAACGGGATCCGGGGTTTTTCAAATAAAATCTTTTTTTCTCAATTCCAAGCTTCCTTTACCCCAAATTCAAAAATACCAACCTTGGTGCTCTTCTCGAAACTCTTTCTTCAATTGAATGATCTTCAATCTCGCTTTTCTCATCATCATAATCCTGATTATGTTTTCTCAAATCCGGAATTGATCCTCTTGGAGTCGTCGGACAACTTTTTGTCATCGCCATTGTCATTGGTGCACTATGACTTGAAACATTCCAAGAATCTGAACAAATACAATTTATCTAGGTTATTTCCGATTTCCGATAACTCACTATTACTTCCATCACTCGCAATACTACTAATATCGGGTTTACTCGCCGAATGCCGCATTTGCTGCAATCCCTGTTCCAATCGATTCAATTTCTGTCGAGCCGCCAACAAATCCTTTTGCCGCTTCTTTCTCACCGATTTATTTGTGTTTTTATCAGTTGCCAATCTCGAAGCGGCTGCAACAATTCGTCGATGACATTCGACGTCGGTTTCCAATTGTCCCATTTTATCGGCCTGCAAAAAATAAAATAAAAATTCACGTTTGAATTTTTTGGGGTGAAAGAAAAAAGAAAAAAAGGTGCTGGTCATTCATTCTTTGATAAAATTTAGTGAGGAAAATGACTACTGTTCCGTGAGTTGAATAATTTTGAGCAGGGAATTCGGATTCTTGGTCCAAATGGAATAATTTTTTGGGATTTCTGGACAAGAATTTATAAGTTCTCAGACATCAATGTAGTTTCGAGAAATCTAACCAAAATCCTTTCAGTGATGACCCTCGAACTGCTTCTCCGGCCACTGCTCAACTGCCACAAAAAGCATTTCTCGAACAACTAATCGCCGAATTCGAAAAATTGGTCGAAAAGATAACAGATATGAAGGCAATCTCACCAACTTTCAAAAAATCACTTCTAACAGAGTAAGCTTAGCCTTCTAAATCAAACACATATGAATTTCCAGACTTTATGTTTGTCGAACAATTTTATTCGCTAGTTTCACTTTAGGAGTTCGTGCTGGTGGACTTTCTCTATTTTATACACCAATTCGTGAAATCTTTGGTTATTTCATTCTTTTCCTTCTAACTTATGGGTTATTCCCAATAATTGGATTGAATATCGCGTATGCATCTTTCAAAAAACACATTACCGAATCGGAATTCAAAGTGCTTATAATAACTTGGGCATTTTTTGCTGGTGTTTTCTCAATTGCGAATAATATTCATTATTCATTGGGTGATTATGGAACACCAACATATTTTATGCCGATTATTGTTGGTTTGACATTTAATTGGATTGGTGAACAATATTATAATGATCGTCGTAGATTGTTGACAATCAGTGTTGGAAGTGCATCAGTGGTTTCGCTTAGTTTACTATTAGTTACTGGTAAGAGGATCGCATCTTAAAATCTAAAAAATCACTATCTACTCAAAATTTCTTTCAATTTTCAGGCGGTCTCTCAATCGCCACAATCTTCTCAGTCATTCTTTGCTCATTGAACGCAACAATCGCTCTTCAACTTTTAATCGCAGATGTCAATGAGAATGGCGAAAAAGTAGTTGCACCATTTACTCATGCAATTGGTGTTATAATGCTTATGATCAACTATTTGATTATCACAAGAATCTTCGGAAAATACATTGAGAATGCGTCCGAAAATCATGTTCAAAATTCAGCACCTCTTCACTCAATTTTCTCGCAATGATTTGATTTTTCTCTTTCATAAAGGGTTATTGAAACAAAAAATTACCTTGTCTGCTTTGATCAATTCATCTGGAATCGAATAAGCTGTGCCAACTCGTTTTTTCAATCTTGGAAAATCATCTCCAGGCAATATTGCGGTATGAATTTCTTCAGGTAATTCTCCAGTAATATCACCTTCTTCAACACAAACATCTTTCAATTCTCTCAATTTTTCAAACAATTTCCTCTCGAGTTCACTTTTCTTGTTTCGCAACAAATTATATCGTTGAACATCTTTTTTGAATTCTTCCGGTGAAATTTCTGCAAAAAAAACAATAGGTTTCGGCGTTTTTGAATAAATCAAAAGAAATGAGGAGAGAAAGTTTGAAATTTATTGGCGTTTTTTTTCGGGGTTGTGTATACATAATTAGTTAGTTGGAAGCGTAATCAAGTGTCTATTGAAATTCGATGAATGAATTGAAGTTTGAAAATAAATATGGGTGGTCAATTAGCATTTGGGAATACGGTACTTTTTGAATTTTTTTTCGAAAATGTCATTGAGAGTGGAATTTTTAAAATGAAATTTCAGAAGGTCACGTTTTTTGGGAGAAAAATTGGAAGTTTTCGAGTGATTTCCAAAAGTAAAAACTGTACTCTAAATTTTCAATTTGAAAATAATCAGGATTTTCGGCATGTCAAGTAGCCGATCCTAGAAAACCTAGTTGGCAAGCAACTAAGCCTAGAGAACCTAATCTTCTAGGGCCTACATCGAGGTTTCCATTCTGACAAGTAGCTGCGCCTTGAGAGCTTTTATTTCAAGTAGCCAAGTCTTGAGAACCTAATTGTCTAGGACCCACATCTAGACTTCCACTATGACAAGGAGCTGGGCCTTGAGAGTCACTGTGGCTCGGTACGACATCTTGAGAGATTTTGTGTCAAGGAGCCAAGTCTAGAGAGTCTAATTACCAAGGATCAGCGCCTAGACTAATTCAAATCCCCCAAAAAAAACTCACTATAAAACGAGGAAACACTATTATTGAGTGATTTGCTTGTTGTGACCGGTTTCGACATTGGCGGTGTTGAGACAGTTGGCGCTGGCAAACTCGACGTACTCGTATCGCCAATTTTCGCCGCAGGCATCGAGTGTTGTGTCGTCGATTGATTTGAAACGAGCGAAGGAGATGTTAGCCGATTCAATTTTTCAGTCAACTCGTTGTGATCAATCACCTGATTGCGTTGATGACTTTTCTGCAAAACAAGAATATTAATTAATTTAAAAAATTGAATTCTTTTCATAATTTTAGAGCTGTAAAAATAGCCAGTTAGCTCAACTCTCAAAAAAATTAGGTAAATGAGAAAGAGCTCAAAAAACTGGCCACGCCCATTTTCCTTGCGCAACAAGAACAAAAATAAGAAGATGCAAATAATGGGCGTGGCCTATAATTCTCGAGACAAAGAAACCATCAAAATGTGGTGAGGAGGAAGAAGAAGAATAATAAATATATAATAATAATCGGCTCCGCTTTACACACTACATAATTTGCGCGGTAACATTAGATGAGATAAATTGAGGGTGGAACAGGGGGTTAATCTGGTGTGTACTGTGGCGACAGGTGTCAACAGGAGGACAGAAAGAGCACAAGGATTAATTCAAATTTAGTAGAAAAAAAAACATTACAGGGAGGAGGAGAGGATTAATGTAATATTTATTTATTTATTGGCAGAGGATGAGCACGCAGGTGAAATACTAATTGCTAATTTGATTGAACAACACATGAAACATTTGAAAACAGATTGAGCAGGGAGAGACAGAAAATTATGAGGTTTTGAGCTCAAAATTTCTAGAACCCCTGGAAAACTGCTCTGGAACATTTCAGGGAATTTTTTAGCGTAAAATTCTGAGCACAAAGGTTCGATAGAAAAATATAAGACAATTTCAGCTGGAATTTTCTAAAAACAAATTTTTTGATTTTTTTATCCGAAATTTGATCGTGAAATTTCTAGAAATTAAAACTTAAAATAAATTAAATCTGATTTTCCGGGTCAAAACCTTCTCTTCAATATAGGCTGAAAAAATCAGATTTTCAAAATTCTTGAAAAAATTTTCCACATCGAAAACTCCAAAAACTACTACATTTCAACCACAATTTCTCTCCACTTCGTACAAATCCAAATTATAGCCTTTTAAACCATCAATTTGTATCCATGACTAATAGAAAAACTAAAAAGATCTACAGTAATCCTATGCTAATTGGCAGCGATTTTCTAGCACTTGTTGCGCATTTCCAAAATAATAATAATAATAATAATATGGTGGGAAAATATGGAAACATGAGAAGATTAGGTAACTCGAAAGAGGAAGCAACAAAAAGAGGAGAGTCATATCTGACTAAACCATCAATTTCGAAACTCGGCGAAAAGAAAGGGAAACAGTTGTGATTCTGAGTGAAAGAATGATCGAAAATGGCAGAGAATTTTGAAGGAGCCTATAGGTCTCGAAGCGATTTTTTGTGTTTAAAGGAACATGCGAGACCCAAAACTTCAAAAGCATCAACTTTTTCATCCACAAAAAATGTGTTTTGGGATTATGACGAGTAAAACAAGAAGAAAAAATGATTAGGAATGCATTAGAAAAAAAATCGAAGGTCAATCACATTCTAGTTTTATATTATAATGGGACTCAAGTTTTGACTTCTTGTTTTTTTTTGAATTTGGCCTAACAAAACTGGCCAGATTTATGAAGGGAAAAATAAATAAAAAACATCTTGGTATTTCTACTACGATTATCGGTCAAACCGTGTGAACAGGTGCATAAATTCCGTAATTTAGTTATTGTCAGAGGGAAAAATGGGAAGAACAATAGAATTATGGAGTAAATAGAAGATTGACAGAAGGATAGAAAATGATATTGACAGTCGGGAGAGAAAATTGTGAAGAATATTTAGAAATTGTAAAATTTCGAGATTTAGAAGAATGTGTTAATATTAGGAAACAAAGTTTGAAAATTGAAAACAAAAAAAAATTCAATGAAACTAAAAAATTGAAAAATTACAGCTTTTTTATTGAAAAACTCGAGATATTTGAACAATTTTGAAGCTGATAAGGTCGATATTTTTGAACTTTAAAAAATTTTCTAGCTATTTTTTATATAAAATTTTCGAGATTCCCATGTGTAAAACCCAAATTCTTGGGATTTTTGAACTTTTCCAACAAAAAAAAATGTTCAGTCAGAAAGAATCGAAAAACATCGGACGAAAAAAGCCATAAAAATATATACAACAATATTTAAAATAAAAATAAAAATACACATAGAGTAGAATAGAAATGTGCATTTGTTTTTGATAAGACAAAATGCGGGACAAGAAGAAAAAGTGGACGAAATGTGGTTTTAATGAAAAACAACGGGAAGCAAAAAAGACACAAAAAAATGAAGATTGGAGCGGGGAAAAATGAGAAGGACACTGCAAAAAATTGTAAACGCATCAATCACTTTTCGTTCGGATTATGAGACACAGAAAAATGTGGATGGACACTGAGGTTTGAGTTTGAAAAAAACGAATGAGTTTTTTGAGAAAAAAATGGCGAAAATTTGAACTTTTCGGAAAAAAAGTGAACAAATTTCATATTTTTTTTGAAAAATTGGATTTTTGTTCTAAAAAAATAGAGAGATACATTTTCTGGAAATTCAGATATTCCGGATTTTTTGTTTATTACTGGAATTCCAAATTTCCAAAGATTTACAGGGAAAAGGTTTCTAATTTTCAAGAAAACACAAATTTTCCGAAAAAATTGTTCAGAATTCTTGGAAAGTCTCTCAGATTTTAGACAAGCTCAAAAAATTTAATTCGTTGCAAGAATCTCAAAATCACAAGAAAAATTCATATTTTCATTTTTTTTTTCATTTTTTTGCAAGAATAGCAATTCAAAAATCAAACAATCTTCTAATCCAACCAGTTCTTCTATTTTTCTCAACAAAAAAATCCTCTTCCAAAAAATGTCCATTCTTTTCTCTACCAAAATAGTGTTGACGACAGAAAAAAAAACTACAGATCCCATGAGACAAATCTCTTGGTTGAAAAAAAGGGGTTTTGAGTGGAACCACCAAGAAACGGAAAAAAACACATACTCTCGTTCCGCCAAAAAAAAAACCTAGGAATGACAAAAAAAAGGACATTAGAGAAAAAAAGAAACGGAAAAACTACTAAGTAAGAAGTAAGATAGGATCAGTATTGTATGCATGTCAAAGGGCAACAAAAAGGTCATTTATGATATATTGGTGATTTTTTATGCGGTGAGTGAGGGTGGACAAAAAAGGGAGGGTGTTTGGTGTGTACTTTTATTGATTTGTGATTTTATTTCCCTTTGGCGCTAGAAATTTTATCTGCGGGTTGTGCAATTTTGTGCAGATTTTAGTATATTTTATGAGAAAATTTGATTTTTCGAAAGATTTTTTTTGGATGATTTTACTTTTCAGAATCAAAAGATTTTTTTACAAAATTAAAAATTAAAAATCACACGGAAAAGTTTCTAGATTGAGAAGCCTTTAAAAATTTCAATTTAATTCTTAACTTTTTTTTTTGACGGCCGAAAATTCTAAACACGACGGAAAATCAAATTTTCAAAAGTTTCACGTCTAGAATTATTCTAGACGTGAAAAAAACATATTCTAGTAGAATATGATCCTTGACAGTTAAACTTTCAAAGCTCGGATACTTGACAGCTATGATTTCTAGGCGCGGCTTCTGGCCAGAGTAGATCTCTAGATGCGGGGACTTGACAGTTATAATCTGTAGGCGCGGCAACTTGAGAACCAGGCTTTCTAGGATTGGCTACTTATTGATATTCAAAATCTGGAGCTCAAAATAAGTTGGCAAGAAAAATCCACTGTTTCTCGCAAAATTTAAATTCGCCTCCCTCTCCACCACAAAACATCGGCAACATAAAAAGACAATGTATATCAAGCAGGCGACAAAAATATTCAAAAAAAGATGAAGAGCAGACGCATCATCTGATCTTTCCAACACCAGAAACATCCGAAACCCGATACATTTTGGAGTGGAAGAAGAAAAAGAAGAAAAAAGCGAGGTGGTCAAAAATATTTGATATTTAATACATTTACGAGTTATTGAAATAAGATACACAAAATATGGCTGGCTCAGCACCGAAAATTCGAGGAGAAAATCTCAAATGCAATAAAGTAAAGTAATTTTTTGAGCACCTGTCACTAAATTTGATTATTTTTCATTTTTGCTTGGAAAAAAAGTAATAGTAAAACAAAAATAAGATAGAAGAAAATCAACAACAACAAAATGAGGAGGAGCAAGAAAGAATGTGTGGAAAAAAGTACGAAGAAATAAAAAAAAAGATATGGAAATTCTCTCAAGTGTGAGTGTGTAAAAAGTGCATTTGGGTAAGTTGGAAAAAGGTACGAGATTTTGAAAGATCTAGAAAAATTAGCCTGGGCTTTGAATTTTTGAAATCAGGGCCTCCGATTTTTTTAGAAATGGATTTTTGAGGAACAAATTTGAAGTGGTCCTATCCAAGAACTTCTCACGAAAAAAATTGTAATGGTCCTCCAATAAAACATCTTCCAAAAAAGTGGTCACCAGGGGTCAATATGTTGACCTAACGAATAACAAGGATATCATAACTTATGCATTTTACTATTTACTATTTATTGGTACAAAAATATTATTATTATTCGCATAAGAATAATATTTGTTTGGGTTTAGCACACACAAGAGAAAGTTCTACTTAAAACAGAGAGAGAAAACATAGAGAAAATATGAAGAAGATGACGAGATTTTTGTAGAAAACAACAAATATTTATGTATGTGGCAAAAATCAAATATGATTTAATCTGTTTCATTTTTCATTTCATTTCACTTTTTCATATCACTTAATCTTACAAAAATCTCATGATTCATTTAATAAAGCAGGAAAAAATCGTTGAGAAATAAGATAATATATTTGATATTGCAGCAACAACAAAAAAATATTGCTTGGGGAAAGGAGGTCTAATTAAATTGGAAATAAATTTGAAGTCTATAATTTTTAATGGAACTGGATTTTGAAGCGAACTTGGGAGTTTTTTTTAAAATTCTTTCAGTCCTGCAAATATCCGAAATTCAAATTTTGGATAAAAAATACAGCTTGATTTTATTAGCAAAAACAGGTGAAAAACTTCTATACTTTCGCTGAATCTAGAAGAAGCCACCCAAAGTTCCGCTCAATCCAAAAATCATATACAATTACAAAATGAATCTTCTTTCGCACTTCAAATGGAACACGCACTAAAACCACCCCAAAAGTGAATGGTAGTAAAAGTAACAATTTATGAGACCCTTGAGAAACTAAAATATGGAAATTATTAGAAGGCAAAAGAGAAATAGAAGGAGGAGGATTAATTTGAAAATAAGACTTCTCAGAGTTTGCACAATACTTCCATTTTTCAACGATAAAAGAACAAAAAAATATCCAGAGGGAAGGAAAAAACTCAACAAGCGGAACAAAAACAACCAACCTGTAGATATCGATGTTTATATGGCGTTTTTCCAGGCGTCGAAATCATTTTCGGAAAAAAATCGAATAGTAGTCAAGTGAATTCAAAATATTCGTAGTATGCACATGGATGAGCACCTTTTCGATAAAACAAAAAGGCGAAGAAGAAGCACCCGGGCGCGCAAGCAAGCAACTATTTACCTATGCTGATGAGAAGAACATAGGTAAAATAGTTGTAGAATATTAGAGAGAATGAGAAATGTGGAGACGAAATAGTGACAAACGGTTGGAGAGAGAAAAAAGAGGCAGAGAGACAATAGGTCGATTGTTGCGCACTTTTGCATTGCGCGCCCAGATCGCCCGCCCTCTGTGGCCTTGTCTTTAAAATTCACAGGACGCCGTTGGGTGACGGGAAAAAGGGAAAAGAACATGGGGAGGGAAACTAAAAGAGGAACGAGGATTACATGTTGTTGAACTGTACAAAAACAACAACAACAAAATGCAAAAGAAGAAGAAGAAACGACCGGATATTATAGTAGTACTATAAATTGGATTATATTAATGTGTGTGTACATGTTTTCGAACAATTGAAAGTCCGAAAAGCCAACCGGCTGCCTGGGAAACGATGAAGAATGATAAAAAATTTAGCGTTCATGACGATTGGACATTCCTAGGTTTTAAAGGAGCTTCGGATCCTATTCAGAACTTTTCTGATGAAGATATCTTCAAAATCTGATGCGATTCGAAAGATCGAGTTTTTCAATTGAACCAGACGGTGAAAAATTCGAATCGAGATCGAGAATTCGAAAAAAGCGTACAAAGTCCGACGATCAAAACTTCAAACCTTTGGGTTCACATTATTGCACGGGGCCAATTTCGACCAACATCAGAAGAATGCGAATATCGAACGACTTCACAAATTTTGGCGAATCTCAAGGATCTTCTCTGTCAAAACTCCGATGTTTCCAGTACCATCTATTACAATCCTCTTCCCTTCCAACGAAAATTCAAATTCCCACAAAAAAAGTGCAAGTTCCACAAAATGACACAACAATAAAATGCGTCAATGAGTCACAATGTGAACGGGATGTGATGTGTACGATTTGCTTTTGTCAAAAACCGCCACAAGTTCAAACTTTCCAGACGAGGCGAACAAGTCATAAAAACCACTTTGTAGGTCGGTAGCTTTATGGTTTTTTGCTAGACAGTAAAAAGCATCCATTAATTTTCATTGGAAACAGACGAAAAAAATGGGTCATGCCACACCTCTAACCTAACCAATAATAAATCTTTTAACACTTTCCGCGACCAATTAATAAAAATTGTGTCGGGAAACTAATTGGTTCTATATCCGCGAGGACACGGATTTATTTTTGGTCAGTTTTTTGTTGTTTCTGCTGCTGCCACACACACTCCTCCTCTATTATTATCAAATTAGTTGTTAATTGACCCACAGTTATTTGTTCTTCAGTTAGGTAGGACACAAACACACACAAAAAGTTGCGATTTTTCGCAGTGTTTTCAAGTGCGCGCAAGTCTGTCTGCTCACTACAAGAATCGGATTAACAGAGGTGTTTTTGAAGAAGAAGAAGAAGATGGAATATTGATTTTGAAAAAGAATGGGAAGAGTAAACAATGAAACGCATTGTTTGTCTGTAGAAGTGGTTTGAGTGAGCAAAACAGATTTGATTTGATTTGGGAAATATTAGTCACAGGAAAAATATTTGGGATTTTCATTAAATCGCAAATTTTCACTGATCAAACTACAAATTATCATATCTTATGCAAACACTTCAAAAATTTCTCATGAAGATTTCATGGTGGTCTTTTTAGTACACCTGGTTTTCAAGATCGGGGTAAATCCTAAGAAAATTTATTAACTGTGAGAGCAACGTTTTACAGGTCAAAAATCCCTAGACTAAAATAATCCACCATAAAATAATGATAAAAATAAATATCCGGTTGACACTATTAAAGTTTCAAGTGGTGCCCGACAAAAAACATGCAGAGAAAAAATTTGAATCGAATTTTTTTTCGAAAACGAAGATGAGCGAGCGACTGTACAAATATGGGCATTCCATCATTTCTCAAACAACAGCATGAAAAAATTGTACAAAAACTTGAACAAAAAAACGGAATCGGAATCGATTGAGGAATACGGTCCGCAAAAAACCACTGGGTGAACACAAATGAATGTCCAAAAAAAAAAGAGAGAAAGAGTACTATACACGAATTGTTGTAATTCATTCATATGTAGATTGAATGTGAAGAGGGGGTCGGATGGAAGGAAAAAAAGGTTGAGAAGACAAGGTTGTTGCACATACAAAAAGACAGACAACGAAAACTTGTGGGAACAACGAAATAATTGTTTTTTGAACGGGAAAAGAAAACGAAAAAATGAGAAGAATTTCGAGAAAAAGCAGCTGATTGGATTTTGTCAATTGATTATCATGTGAATCAGAGAAGATCTGAGGAGGAAGAGGTCAAAGTGGAGTCACAATTTTTGCAGAACAAGAAGGAAGAAGAAGAAATGGGCTTACGGATCAATGCTCAATTTTTCATTGGAAAAAAGTTCTCTGGAGTTCACATCCTTCCAAAATTCACCAGTTTTTTTTCAGTATGGAACAATTCCGAACATTTTATTTGAACATTGAAGCTACTCAGATCAGGCTCTTAATTAATTTCCATTCCAAAAATACCAATCTTATCATATCGAATCAACCACACCCAAATAAAACCGCGTAATTCAATCAGCAAAATTCAAAATGATGTCAGTCTCAAAAATCAACAGAAAAACAATCAAAAATAACCAGGCACACGATGGAATCAATAAATAAACAATATTGAAAATCAAAACGCGACGAAGAAAAATGAGAAAAAAAGCACATTAAAACAGAAACAATGCAATAAATTCACGTTTTGTTGTTTTTTTCGCTCATTCTATTTCATTCCTTTTGAATGAATCAAACAAACAAAATAACGCGTCTGTTTCTTTTTTGAACCATTTCAAACAATGATAAATTAGCTTGTGGGTAGGTGAAACAACAACAAAAACAAATGCCGCAGAAAAAAGTACATTTGAATGGAAGGAGATCAAACCGAAAAAAGATTGATGAATGAAACATGAGAGAGTACAGAATATTTTATAGAATTTTCGAAAAAATAAAAAGGTGACATGAATTTGGAATAAACTATTTGGGAAGAGGGATCTTTGAGATAACCAATATCTAATCGAATTTAACGGGAAAAAAATCTTTGATCTGCTAAATTTGTTAATTGAGTTGCTATCCTAAGAATTTCCGAAAAACCAAGAAACTAAATGAGACTTGTGATAGTGTGGAAAAGACTTTGAAAAACTGAAAAAATAATGACTGAAAAATACTTTTGAGAAATGATTATGAAGATGACAAAAACTATCACAAGACCTAAAAATTCCAATGATTTTTTAGAACCAACAGAATTAGAAGTTGGAATCAACCCTCTGATCTGAAGCTAAATCAAAGTTGCTTATCTGAATGGAACCACCAAAAATCGGACCATCTTGGATTTTTTGCACACCTCGGCCAAGCCGTGGCTGGCCAGAGTACCAATTTTTTGAAACATCTGAATTTCAGTTTATAGAGTACAAAAACTGAAAAATTCACAATTTTTGTACTGTAAAAAGTTAGCGTACAATTTTTTATTGTGGAAACCACGATTTTGGCCGAGGTGTGATTTTTTGAGAAAATTTTTTCTAGGGATAACAATTCTTCTCTCTATCAAAAAACCTCATATTTTCATATATCTCTCTTCCTACACATTTCATCTGAAAAAATTCTGCCATTTTTTACACAATGACCTCATCCAAAACACATGTTCATCCAATTTTCCATCATTTTCCTGTCACTCAATAATATCAAATGTCACCATTTTCACACCATATTAAAAAAGAAAAGAGAAGCGGATTATCATTGGTTTGCGCAAGCGCGCACCACTTCAAACACTAGCAATAAAATTAATATAAAGTGTATAAATAATACAGTTGCGCCACCCGATTAACCGAGACAAAATAATGGGGGAACAAAAAAATGTTTTCAAAAACTAAAAATAAAAATTTTCATTTTTCATTTTTCATTTGCCACGTGGATTTCAGGAGCTCCAGAATTTGGATATTCGCCACGTGGCAAAAAAAATTCGTGTTGCCACGTGGTTTTTTGGGGGCCAAAAATAGAGAAAAATTATTCCTATTCAGAATTTTGCTCAACATTTTCGAGGTGCGAGGAAATAAATTAATTTTTTGCATCAGATTTTGAAAAGCCACGTAAAAAAATTTTATGAAAATTTTTCTAGAACATGTTCAAGACTGAACTTCCCGATTCAAAATTCAAAAACCCCAAAATTATATTTTCTAAGAAAAAGCCAAAAAAACACAAAGTTGTTGCCACGGACAACACAAAAAACATGAAAAGTAAAAAATTCACAATTTGGCAACATATCCGACAAGCGGATGTTATAGTAAAAGAAAATAAGAGATTTTTTTGATGTGAGCTAGAAAAAACAGATACATATAAATAAGAAAAAGAAAGAAATAAGGAATATAGATAGAAAAGAGTGAGATGATTCATTTTTGATTAATAAGTCGTGGGAAATTGACTTCTTTTTTTTACTTTTTAGTTTTTTTTTGTTTTTTGATTTTGAATTTTTTAGAAGCTGAAAAAACTCACTTTTCTTATCGTTTTTTGTTCGAGAAAAAATCGGTGTTGAGCAATTGCAGATGACCAAATTGATCGACAAGTTATACAAGTTTGACAAGTGAAATTGAACATTAGAACACGTGGATGAGATGTGATTCCACGTCGGCGAAGAGTTGAGAATCTGGAAAAAAAAAACAATTGGAGAGAGTTTTTGAAAGGTCAAGTTTTAGGGAAATTTTCAGGGAAGACGAAAGATTTTGGACAGGAAATATCAGATTTCAAATTTGTAAATCGATAGTTTTTCAGATAAGTCTTACGAGTATTGAAAAATGGAAATTTTTTCTTTTGAAGTTGTTAGGTTCATGATTTTGTACAAAATTTCAGAATTTTTGATTGACACAAAGATTTTTGAGTCGAAAAAATAATCCCGTGTTTTTTCAAACCAACTTCTCATTCATTTCGATACATTCAAATTCAAAATGCACTGTTTTCCCGACTCCCGCGCCGCGCCTTTTCCCCTACCGTACCTAATAAATAATTCATATCTCATCTCATTTCTTTCCCGCCATCTAAATATTCTGCTGTCACTGTCAATCATTCCTTCACTCATAAATTATTCAAAGTCGCATTTTCAAAAAAAAACCACCCAATAGGTTTTACAAAAAGCTCTTTACCGTTCAATCATGCCACACCTTTTTGTTCTCCAAATTATTATCTAATATCCACACCTGCGTCTCTTCATCTCACACACTCTCTCATCAATAATGTCGGTTTGAGAAAAAGGAAACTTTTTGGGGTTTTGTTGTGACGCAAATATTATTAGCTACTGTGAAGTGTTGCGCTATTCTGTTTTGTTTATTCAAATAATTTTGAGTAGATAATGAGGGGGGAAATTATAAAAAAAAACTAACAAGGGAACTTTTAATTGGATTTTCATAGTAAATTACAGCTCATTTCAAGTTCCTACTATAAAACCTCTAAATTTCTTTAACTTACTGTGTTGTTGGATGATTACAAGCTTCTGAAAGTTTTCGATCATTTTCCAATGTTGAATCTCCGCTAACTAAACTATCATAACTTTTTCGAGTTTCACTTCTGAAAAAAAAACGTGGGAGGTTTTTCTGGGAAAAAGAGGGAGACTTACAGTTTGGAATGTCGGATTTCAATAGAGAAAACTTTGTCGCGAAAATATAAATTATCGATGACGCGCCAAGGAAGACTCTGTGAGAAAAAAGAGATAGAGAAGAAAAACCATGGAATTTTTTAAATGCAAAATTTCATTCAGAAATTAAATATTAAAAATATTGCAATTCACCAGAGCTTTTGAATTTTCAGGCTAAAATTCAGATGTGAAAAATTCAAATTCTTGAGCTAAATTTGACTGAAATTTCGTGATTTTCAGCTTTTTTCGATAGAAAATTATGAAATGCTCGATTTTTAGAAAAAGTTTCTGACAAAATTCTCCAATTCAACCTCCCCCAAAATTCTCACCATATTCAATGTGATCAAATTTTCGATTTTGGATCTTCGATACACAAATATTCCTTGTCCACCAATTGACACCACACACATTTCACCATCATCATCCATCAATTCGTACATTTTATAACCATATGACTCGCTTTTCTCAGCCAATTTAATGAACCTAGCAAAAATTTATATTTATGAAGATTGAACAAAAAACGAGTGAAAAAGAACAAAACTTGCATGTTCTCACATATAAAACAGCCCATAAAGAAATGAAAGACAGGAGAATGCTGCTGCTACTGCTAAATGTTTTGATCATTCCGACAACTTACCTCATCATAGCGTTTCCTTGGCGTAGTCTGACGTGTTTTTGATGACCGAATATGTCGAAAATCTTTCGTTCGATCTCAATTCGATTGTTTTTAATTAAAATGTATGGGGGATGATCATTTGGCATCATTCGGCATAATAATTCATTCAATGTTTCTTTCCTGAATGACAAAAAATTGAATTGAAATGTATAAAGTACTTGTGTGTTTGAAATCTAGTTCAATTCAATTGAATTTTCGGCCTCTCCCCCTCCCCATTTCTATTTTCAAGTATCTACCTGCAATCTGCTGCATAAACTGTCAATAAAATAGCAGCCATTTCAAAATAGGTATCACTATTCACAAGTAATTCATGATGCATTAATTGATTATGAGCTTCGATGAAATAGAATTTGGCGGTTGATGCACTTTGAATTTCACAAATATTTTCATTGAAGAATCGAATACGATGGGAAAGCATTAGAACACCATTGAAATTTGAGAGTGAAAGAGCCAAATCGATGAGAATAACAAGGCTATCGATCCATTGTAAATCGCCGCTGAAACAAAAGAGAATATTTCATTAATTAATTAACTTATTATCCAACTCACTGTTCATCAGTTGTACTCAATCCAAAATACCGTGAATCCCAAAATGCATTAATATCCAATTGTTCTGCAATCATTCGAAGAACATCTTCTGCTGATAGCCTTGGATGCAAATTTATTTCGATTATTCGAAAGTCCAAGAGCTGAACAATGGCTCGCACTTTTGGTGCAGGTTTACTTGGTGTATTTTCAGACATTTATGTGAATTGCATTTACTGGAATGGGATGAGATGCTGAAATTTAAAAACTCAAAAAATTATTTGCGAGAAATAAAAAACATGCATTTGAAATCCCGCGAAACGGGTCCCGCACAGAAAAGCACAACAACAAAGAATATTACGGTAACACACAAACGAGGTGTGTTTTTTTAAATTCAGTTTTCAAAATGAAGCATTTTTGATTTTTCAGATTTTCACGTGATTAATCGATTGGGACACGTCTAGAATATTCAGAAATTCAAAAATCAGGAAAATTTCAAGAATTTTGTTTCACATGAAGGTGGGTTTTTTGTGGGCGTGGGTTATGAGAAGCGAAAAGTTTACATAAACTGGCTGCACTTTGAGAACGAAAAGCTTTAATTTTATTCTCTGCGAAAAATATTAGACAGATTTGAGTGGAAAATAAGCTTATTCTCCCTCTATAATCATCAAAATTTTAGACTGATGATAATATTAAAAATGTGTTATTACTCATAAAGGGCATTTTGACCTATATCAAAAAGAAAATTCGAATTGAAACAAAAAAAAACGAATAAACATGGTTTTCCTTGAAAAAATGCTAATTTATGTGATTCTAATGGTAATTAGATACCGGTTTAGATTAGATGGGATGGATTTAGGTGTTGAAAAATATCGCGAAAGAGAAAATCACGGTTGCTATGACAAACAGAAATGAAATTATTCGGTAAGACAAAAAACGGCGAACACTAATCACCTCTGTGTTCAAAAAATGAACATTTTCCAGTTGCTTTTGCTTTTTTCTTTTTTTTTCGTGTGAAAAAATAATCTTTTTCTCGACGCGCGAACAAAAAACGAAAAATAAAAAAAAGAAAATATATACATAGCATAACAAAAATATTATGATAAGAACTGGATCCATTTTTTGTTTGGACGAAATTTGAATAATTATTATTTATTTTTTCTTTGAAAATGTATCTTTGATATAATGCGAGCGAATGAATATAAAGTTAGAAAACAGTAAGAATAAACCGGATTATGATTATTATTATTATTACTTTTTCGCGCGCGGCAAAAAAAGTTCTATAACTTAATTACGGATGATTGAATGAATGAAATAGGCAAACACTTTTTGAACGAAAAAAAAGTTTCTGTCTATTGATCAGATATAAATCGAATCTGATCTATCTATGAGTCATTCTTTCGAAATATTAGAAATTTCGAAAAAATGCAATAAAATTTGTTTGCTTTACTTTAAAAATGTGGTTTCTTTGATGTAATATTTTATGGGTAGTTTTCAAATCGCTGATCACAATCACATAATTAAAAATTGTTTCTCTCAACTTTGAAATTGAGTTGTGACGTAACACAGTTTGAAACGTTCAGAAAAAAGTGAATTCACTATCCCAAACTTCTATAGCTGAAATTCAGCCACGTCATAGCTCAATTGAGCTGAACAGTCTTGAAGAATGCTAAATTATACTAACAAAAATATACAAAAAGGCATTAGCAAAAAATAAAATGATGAAAAAAGCAGGGAAAAGTCACCTCTCACCCGGCTGGGTGAAACGGACAAATTGCATAGCATATAGCATCACACAGTGTCTGCATCTAACCTATTCTCAACACTATTTCGTAGGGTGGTATTTAGATGGAGGGAACATATTCAGAACAGACCACACTATTAATTATAAAGGAGAAGAGGAAAAACATATGAAAAAAAAGATACAATGTTGTGTTATCCGAAAAATACACATTATAAGTACGGTTGGTCAGGTAATCCGATCTATTTAGCTTTCGAATACAAATAGTATCATCTCTCGTATTTTTTGCGGGAAATTTTGAATTCCGATGAATCGGACTTTTATTTCAAACCTGGCATTGCTCACATTAAACACATTAATAAAAATGTACTTTTTTTTGAGTTTGGATTCAGAAATCTTTAAAATCGAGTCTGTCCCGATTGAAAGAAAATTTCAAAAAAAACAGTTTCATAACGTAAATTAAATGGACCGAAAATGTTTAATGAGACGAGATGTTTTTGGTCTAAACTTCCTTCCTTCCTTCAAGAATGAAAAAAAATGAAAAGGAAATTAGATGGAATAAAAAACACATAAGAAGAGAAATCAAAGTGATCCCGAATATCTCAAGTATGTATTATTTCTTTTTGGACACAAAGACAACTGAGAAAAAAGAAGTGAAGTGGAGTGTGGACAGTCAAGAAATAAAATAGAAGAAAAAACAGATATTTGTGTGTGTGGAAATTTATATGAACTCAAGGACAGCAAAAAAGGAACAACGGAGAATATTTTCTGTTTGAGAATGGAATTTGTGTCAAAAGTTTTCTGGGCCGAGATGTAATTATGAATTGAAAAAGGAAGGAGAAAAGGAAGTTAGTAGGTGCAATTATGGATTATTGGATTTTAGAAAGAAAATATGGAAAATGTTTTGAAAAAGGTCAGAAACTGGTGGAGAAAATCTAAAATCTCAGCACAAAAAAATTCCGAAGCTTTGAAAAAAAATTTCCAATTTTGTTAATTGAAAAATAGTTGTATGATTTTTCTGTTTTCTGAAAAAAATTATCCTGAATTCAATTTGAAACTAATTGTAAAAGTAAAATTCCAAATCAGCTCCAACAAAAAAAAACGGAAAATTCTCTTACTATTGGAAAAAAAAACCTTGACCGAAAGAGACAGAAAAATAAATCCCTGGTGGCTTATAAATTGCAAATAATGTACTCACAAGAGAATACATTTTCACGTATTTTTGAAAAGTCTGGAATTACTGTGGCTTCTAGTTGAAGTTCTATACAAGTTTACAAAAAGTATTTTCTAAGTCTCCGGGTAAGTTCAAAAAAGGTCACGAGACTAAAAATAACTCATTTGCATTCAACCAAAAAGTTGTAAACAAAAAAATGTTTCAAAAAAATGTAGATTTTCTCACTTCTGAGCCAGAAGTTCTAGAAAATATTCATCTTTCGATTTTTTTCCAATTCTCACAAATTTCAACAAAGATCAGAAAATATTTATTCTCAACTGGGGTTTCAGATTTCGGCTTATTCTAAGTTGGCAGCTGATGGTATTGAGCCGATTAGAAATATTTGTAACATAATTGGAATTCGATTATTTTAGAATTTTGAATAAGCTAGGAATGATTGAACAAAAAACATGCTTATCGCGATTATTTTTCTGGGACACGTTTTCTAAATTTTGATTTTTTCACGTGGATGTTTGTGGCTCATTTTTTAACGCAAAGAATCCTCCACAAAAAAAAACAAAACAATTTCGCGACAAACATTTATCTCAATAATCATTCATCAAGAGAAAACTCAGACAATTCATAACAAGAAGTTGTTGGTTGTGGTTTTTTAGTATTCTCGATGGTGACTTCTTTTCCAGCTTTGACCATTTCTCGAACATGTCGCGCATAGTTTTTATAATGTCCCATAAGTTCACGGATATCTTGAGATCTTTCAATTCGACCTTCTTGAATGAATAGTTCGAATAAGCAACAAATGAAAAATGAATATTGAAGTGGTGTTTCGATTGCGCCATATCGAAAATAGTGAAGAGCTTCGAGAAAAATATTGTGCATTTCTGAAAAAAAAAGTGTTTAGAGTTTCTCTCCCTACAAGAAAGGGGTTTCTGAGACTAACTTTGGATGGATTATGCTTAAAATGGTTTTCAGCATGTTTCACCAGACGTTTAATTTCAGAGCACTTCCATGATAAACCATCACTTACCATATTTACATCTAGTTTCCTTCCAGGTTGAGATATCAATTCGAGTGAAAAAATAGATAGCCATAAATGTGGCAGATCTTCCAATTCCATTATTACAATGAAATACCATTGGGATATGTGTTTCGTTCTTTTTCATCAACCATTGATATAATTCAACTGTTAATTTCGGATTTTTTGGTGCTGTATTTTCTGGCCACCAAGATACATAAATATGATTAATTGTTCTTGGTTTCGTATCATTTCCAGTATTGTTAATCAAATGTAAAACAGTCCAAGTTACACCTTCCACTGGATCTTTCTCTTTATCCACATATTTTACCTCGAAATTATCATATTTCTCGATTCCTTCTTTAGTTGGATAATATTGTGCACATTGTTCGACTCCTTTTTCAATAAATGAGCAAAACATCACAATATATTCAACTTTCTCTTGATAAATCATTGCCCAAAAATCAGGAGATGTATGATTGAGTGGACCTTGTGTCAATATATTTTTTCCTCGATATTCTTTGTGATCACAAACTACCCATGAAGCATTGATATAATCATTTTTTCGATTTTCAAGAACAACTCGAGAACTATCTCTACATTTCAATTCGGCATATCGATTCAAAGTTGGATTTGCATCAAACGCATCAAATGAGGCAAACTTGAGGTTTTTTCTAAATTGATAAGAATCAAATTCCCTCCTCGAGACGCACAAACAATTCATATATTCGAGGTCCAACTGTTTTACAAGTTCCGCATAAGTTTCTGGTGATATCAGATTTGTCTTCTCATTTCGATAGATTTTGATTTGTGCTTCTTTTTCCTTCACCGACTCCTCTTTCTTATTATTTCGCACATTTTTATTCTTTTTCGAGCATTCAATCATGAAATAACTAATTCCAGATATTGATCCGATTAGAAATATTTGCAACATGATTGGAATTCGTTTATTTTGAAATTTTGAATAAGATAGCAATGATTGATCAAAAATAAGGGAAGCCACGTTTATTTTTTGAGGTCACGCTTGAAATTTTTCTAAGCTCTATTTTTTTGCTCGTATCAATTTTACGTTGATATTTGGGTTGATTCTCCAGGAAAGGTTATCGAAATTTTGAAGATTTACGAAAAATGTTTGTTTCAATTTTTTCAGTTTCTATATAAGTTCCTAACTTCTAGTTGACTCTCCCAAACATTTTCTCACATCATACAAACATTTTATTCGGTTCTAAAAAGTTGTCAATAATTCACTTACTTTTCCAGCTGTTCCTAAATATCAAAAGTGTTTCTTCAAACTTTTCATAAGTAAACAAAGTTATCGGAAATCTTTTTTTATATTTTATGAACTCTGATAAATTAGTTCAGTCAACCATTTGCTAGCCATTTTGCTAGAATTATTAGAATTCAGATTTTAATTCGTATTATTTGTCATACATATATTTCAGACATAAACTACAATGTATTCAAATATTACTGTAGACATTTCACCATCATTATTTATTCTTCGATTTTACACAATTCAAGGAATATTTTCTCTAACTCTCAATTCTTTTGGCGTGTTTTTGATCTGCAAAAATTCCAGAATTTATACATTTTACAAAAAGTTTTTCCTAAGTCTTCAGGTAAAATTCAAAAAAAGGTCATGAGACCAAAGAATACTCATTTGCATTCAACCAAAAATTGTAAACAAAAAAAAAGATTTTTTTCAAAAATAGATTCACTCACTTCTGGCAAATGTTCATCTTTCGATTTTCATGCAACCTATTTTACTTTTCCCAATTCTCGCTGGTTATACTAATGGAATTCTTTGGACTCGTTTCAAAATGAGTTCACATCTTCAAATGGTAAATTTCTTCATCTTTAATTCGAAAAACTTGTTATTCAGGGTTTATTTTTTCTGATCCTTTATTCTCAAATTGCTGCAATTATTTGTGCACTTTTAGCAAAACATCAAATGATAATTAATATTGGAAAATCTACAATAAATTCAAAAATATTCTGGTTTTTTGTTATTTTTTATCACATGATCCCTATTCTCATTTTTGTATTTTTCAATAACTCAAATTTGACTCGAGATCAAATGAAAATTCTATTAGAAAATGTGAGTTAGATTTTTGAATGAGAAATCTTCAAAATGTTTTATTTTGCTTCAGAATTTTCCATCAAGTTTAAATATTTTATCATTAGAAAATGTTGACATGTATGATATGAATATAAATCCATGGTTTATGTATACAGTTATAACAATTGTAATAATGCTTTCAATTTCTTCAATCTCATCAATTACAGTATCTTTTCGAATGTTCAAAATTCTCAACAAAAAACGTCGAATTCTCTCCGAGAAAAATTTCAAGAATCATCGAAATTCGATAATAAGTTTATTAACTCAAGCAACTCTTCCAATGCTTGTTGTTATTATTCCAATGGCTGTTTTGAACTATTTTTTTATTCGGGTTACACCGAATTCTCAAAGTTAGTGAAACTCAAATCATTGTCTTGACTGTCTTGAATTTTCAGCAATATCTAATCTAATGATGTTGATTTATTCATTTCATTCCTCATTATCCACTCTAGTTATGATTTTGTCAGATTCAAATTATCGAAAACTTATCAATTCCAAAATACGGTATATTATAATTTTTAGACAAAAAAAAATCATCCCTAAATTTTTTCCAGGCCTAATTCAATTTCCCTAAAAACTGCAGCAAATCGAACACGATCATCAATCATGATTTGAAAAACAATTCATTCCAATAAAAATTAAAAATAATCACCGGTTTAATAATAAGTGAAACAAGAAGTTCAATGATAATTTCGGATGAGTTCGAAAAAATTGACACAAACATTTTCGAAGTGTTTTGGATTGTGAAGATAACAAGCATGTCCAGCGTCGGTAATTTTCATGAGTTTGACGTTTGGAAGGTTTTTCAAGTTTGAAGCAGCGGTTGGGCCAAGAGAAGTGTCACGATCGCCTGGAAAAATTTTGGATTTTTTATTTGGGAAGAGGGGGAAGTTCCAAAATGTTTTGAAGCAGTGTATTTTTGAATTTTGAAATAATTTTTGCCTGAAAAAAATCCACTTGGAATTTATAGCGCGAAAAGATGTCTATTCTGAACTTTCGAGTTGGACAAACATTCCACGTGGATCTTTAGCGAAAAAATTTTCAAGATGGTTTTTATCTTTTTAAAAAAGTTACTTCAACGTTTTTTGTGCCGAAATCTACAGTAATCTGAGTTTTACTTCCTACAAATGTTTTTAAAAATAATCCAAAGTTTTGTGCTGCCGAATTTCAAAAATCAAATTGACTCACCCCAAACAACCAAAGTTGGTGTGATATAACTTGCTGGACTTGTAACTTCATGGGTATTTGATGGAGCGACAGCTACAACACAAGTCAAATATCGATTAGAAGTCATAAGTGGCAAAATATATTGAGATGACATTGATGCACAAACAACCATTATTTTTTTGAGACCAAGAGTCTCAATAAAATCCATCAAAAATACTGGTTTTTCTGTTTGACTTAAAGCTTGACCGCGAGTTTGACCAGAACCTGGCAAATCAATTGCAATTGCTCGATAACCAAGGGCAGCAAATGTTCTGCAATTTTTTGTTTCAGTTAGGTTGGATCATGAAAATTGGTTACCTTAACATATTATTTTCCAACCATGTTGAACTGGAAAATGATTGACCGTGAAGAAAAAGAACATTGGCTTTTGAATAATGTGCACCAGGAGGGCGAGCTTCTCGAACAAAAACTGAGTGCGACTGGAAAAAAAGTGGGGAATTTTTTGGGGGATTTCCTTTGGGTTGAGAAAATTTTTCAGCAAACCAAAGTTCCCAAAATAAATTGTCAAATTTTTTCCTGGAATTTTCTCCAAATTCACTCACGACTGAATCGGTCACTAACTACATTTTTCGCTTGCAATTTCTAGGTAAAATGAAAATTCTATTAGTTCATGCCAAAAATATAATTCCAAGAAAGGGATTTCAATCGTTTTTTTTTCAACTAACCCCCATCTCAACTCGACTTTCATCATATTCCACCAATTGTGCCAATTTTCTCGAATTTTCCGGAATCGGCCGGCACAAATCAGCTCGCTCCAAAATACTCGTACTTGGCGAAACTGTAGATGGTGTAGTTAGCAGAACCATCTGAAAAAAAATGAAAATGAGAAGAAATTTAGAGTCTTCAGAATGAGACCGGAAAAGGAATGAGATTGAAATAATTTTTAATGGCGGAATGAACTATAGTTCCTGAAAACTGAGTTCGAAGCCCGATTCCTTGTGTCTAATTCAAAAAAAATCGTTCAATAAAAAAGAGAAATAGAAAAAATATAATAAAAATGAGTCATCTTTTATTGTTTATAGGGCTACCTTTTACTAGTATTTAGTTAGGCCTTTTGTACTTTTCGAAACAAAAAATAACTGTTTCAACAAACCGAAATCAATTTAATCAGACAAAAAATTTTAATGCATTTCGAATTTTCTTCGAATACCGTTTTAATTGTCGTCCGCTATTCATATGTATATTATGAGGCGAAATATTGCGCAAAAATCAAGAGACGCAGACAAAATAAAAATTGTCGCTTTTATCGTTTTTCTGAATGCATGTACAAAACAATGAATTTTTTTGGAAAAAAAAAATAATAAGGAAATTTTCAAAAAAAAAACAATTTATTGAAGAACAGTTGTTGAAAGTGAGGAGCAAGAGAGAAAGAGCACCGGAAACAAAAAAAAAGAGGAGCCGGTTATTTACTATCATTACCGGAAAATTGTTTTATTTGTCTTGTGTTTTTTCTCAAGTAATAAAGAAAATCTACAATATCCAGAAAAATATTATAAGAATAAAAAAATATAAACAAAAAGAAGGCAGATGGTGTTGGGGAGAAGATTCATCAAAAAACTAATACAACTCTTCAAATATCTCTGCGTCTCTTATGCTCAAGCACTCTCTCCATTCCTCTTGCACATTTTTTCCACATCTTGGAAGAGCATAAATTAAATCCAGCAGGATTACTGAAAGACCACCCAGCCATCATAAAATCGAAAAAAGGAAAAGGAAAAAAAATGATGAAATTGCAAAAAAATATGTGAAGAGACGCAGAAGCTGCGATGATTGATAATTTGTTGATCGACAAAAAAAGAAAAAGATAACGCCCTTTTTTGATGATAAAAGGTTTTTAACATTCGGTTTTTGTGATGAATTGTTGAAGCGGAAATAGAAAATAATAAGAATAGAAGTTTGGAGGCTGGAAACTTTTCTATAAAATTTGAAAAACTTTTTGGACCTACAACTCAGATAGACTTGAGTCTCAAGAATTGTATGAAAGTGTTTTCCCAAAAAAAAACTCTCAAATTCCGAATTGAAAAAAAAACCTATCTAATTTTCGAACACGAAAAAAGCCCATAAAACGTGCAAGGACAAATGGCTGTCCGAAAATGGACGAAAGGAAAATTTGTCACATTTTTCAGTATGCACCAGCCAAAAAAATGACAGGAAAAACAAACAGAAGAAAAAAGGTATTGATTTAGAAGCTCATAAAATGTTACGGCATATTACTGCGAGGTTAGGAGCAAAATGGCATATCGCAGCGAGGTTTGGCGGGTTTTTGCGACTGCCGCAATATGGCAGCGACCCGCCACACACAAAATTGTGGAGGCTTAATTTTGCGACGTTGCGGCGACCTGCCTGCTAGTCGCCTATTCCCATTTTTTCGCAATGGAGCGCATTTTCTTTGCCAAACTCGTCATTTTCGTTTTCCAAAGTTCCCAAAATTTCAAAAAGAGTGGCGTTTTATCTGTAAAACAGCTTCTTCTTTTTGGTTTCTTTGATTTATATTGTTTTTTCGTGACGATTTTTCGTGCCATTCTCGCCGAATGAAAACATTTTGAAGAATCTTCAAGCTGTGAGCGAACGATCGGATTGTGAAGAAGCCGAAAAACAGAATTTGAATCGAGTAAGTTCATTGAATTCAATTCGTGGAATTCCAATTTACCGTGACAATCAAGTTAAAATATTGCAGAAACTACAACACGATCTTCAACATTCCATGATTTTGGCAATCATCCTGGTTTTAGAAATGTGATTTTGGCGACCATGAAGGTTCTGAAGAAGCTTGCGTTGGTATGTTTGTTCCAGTAAAATCATCCTACAATGAAAATTTGTTTTAGAATCCATGTCCTTAGAACATCGATGAATGTTTATGATGTCAACATGAGATTGGTGTGACTATAACATCCAAAACATCAAGAGAGAAGAGTCGCCGAAAGTTGCGCAAGAAACACCGGAAAATGGCGATTTGTCATTGTCGGGAAACGAGTTGGCGGACAGAGTGGAACCGACACCGGTTCATACTAAGGTAGGGGGATTTTGGGGTGAAATTGGACTAAAATTGGGAATCTCGCCCTAAAATTAGCGGAAAATCCGTGAAAAACGGGATCTCTAGCTGAAAATTGACGATTTTTCGTGGTTCAACCTGGAAATCTAGAGATTTGGCCGAAAATCGCGATTATTGAACTCTTCAGCTTGAAAATTATCAAAATTTTCGATTCTAATTATCGAACTTATCGACGAATTTAAACTTGAATTATTGCAGAAACTACAACAAGGTCTTCTTTTGGCGAACACCTTGGTTTTGGAGGAAACTGGCTGATAACCGGAAATGTAATCAACTTCCAACCGGCATCGTAAAATCACCCGTCGTCTTCAGTCGAATCCTATCTGCTCAATCATGCTTTCATTTTCAACCAAATCACCAGCTCCAGAAGACTCGACATCACCAACGTCTTCACAGCAGGGATAAATTTTAATTTTTCTTGTGTATTTTTTATCATTTATCTATTCAATAAACGCTTATTGTAATACAAATCTCGAATTTATGCTATCCAAAGCGCAGGTATGCAAGCTGCCGTTTCTAGCGAACAAAAAAAAAAGACGGGTGGCAGCCACACATTTGCCAGGTCGCTGCTAGGTTAGCGACGGAAAAAAGCACTGCCTGACGGATAGCGCGCCATAAGACGGAATAACCTCGCTGCGACATTGCAAAAACCTCGCAGTAATATGCCGCAACATTTTATGAGAGAGGAAGAAGAAGCAACAAAAAACGAGAAAAGAATGAAATATTTGAATTCACAGCTAAAAATAGATTTCAAGGTGGAAACTATTTTTTGAACTTTGTCAAGATGAAAATGGAAGGTTTTTAATCTAATTTTTTGGAAATTCTAAAAATGTTCAATTTCATTTCAAAATTCACTCTAAAAAAATATTGAGAAATAAAGGTTTGGAGTTAAAAATTCAGAGAATTTCGAAATTCAAACTTTCATTAGGTACCAAAATATTAGCATATATTCAAGGAAAAGTACTATGAAAATTATTGTGAATTTTAAATTATTCTCAAAATTTCAGTCTAGAACCAGAAAAAATCCAAAACTTTTAGAAAACAGAAACTTTCAAAATGTCACCAACAACGCCAAAAAACCGAACAAAAAAGTGCTGTCAACATTTTTTGTTCGACCGCCCGCCGCCAGTCAGAAAAAAACTTTTCTTTTTTCCCACAAAAAATGGCAAAAAAGAGGAAGACGAACATTACATATGCACTTTTTTTGGCGAAGAAATAAAATTTACGATTTGAAGAATTCGAAAAAGAAAAGTACATATAAAATAGACAAGATCCAGGTGAATGATGGATTATGTAAATAATATAAATTCGGGTAACATGAGAAGAAGAAGAAAAAGAAGCGAAAAATTTTGAGCATGTTGTTTGCTTAATTAGAAGAAGAAAATGGTGGAACTTATGACGTGAAAATGAAAATATAAGAATAACCATGACAAAAATATACATAACAATATTTATCTACAAATCTACTACGTTTAAAAATTATTTCAAAAATAAACAAATAAAATTACACAGGGTGTAATTTACTACCCGAAAAATTTCCCGCATTTTTTGAGACCTGACACAATCTTAGGGGGTCAACACAAAAGTGAGAGATTTAGAGAAAAAATATTTTTGATCTAACAGCAAATGTTTTGAAAAATTTGAAGTCTAGTAGTTTGAGGTAGTAAATTACACTCTGTGAAATTTAGATCAAATTGTAATTCCATAGCCATTTTTCAGCCAAATTTCTGTATGGATGTTGACCTTGTACTTCACAAATACATTGTCGCGCATTTTTGCTTCCAAAATCGGCAGGATTCAATTTGGCAATACTTTCGAGACGTTCTCTTCTTTCAACTAATTCGGTTTTTCCCAAAGTTTTCGCTAGAGTTTCTTCGATTTCTTCTCGCTTCAAATTTTCCAAATCGAATAAAACTTCATGGCGATTTTCTGAAATTATAGAAATTTTAAAAAAATGTGATAAAATTTATTTGAACTCAGCTTTATTTTTTTAACAGTGTTAATTTTTTTCATATCCAGGCTTAAAATTAAATTGACCTTTTTTGAGTTCTTAAATTATTTTTATCCAATAAAAAAAACATCTCCAAAACGTATTATTTCTCTTTTTTTGGAAATATTTCTAAATATATTTTTTTGAAAAAACGATTTTTTTGAAAAAATTCGGGCCGATTTTTTTTTGAAAAACTCGGGCCGATTTTTTTGAAAAAACTCGGGCCGATTTTTTGAAAAAACTCGGGCCGATTTTTTTGAAAAAACTCGGGCCGATTTTTTTGAAAAAACTAGGGGGGATTTTTTTTGAAAAAAACTCGGGCCGATTTTTTGAAAAAACTCGGGCCGATTTTTTTTGAAAAACTCGGGCCGATTTTTTTTTGAAAAAACTCGGGCCGATTTTTTTTGAAAAAACTCGGGCGATTTTTTTGAAAAACTAGGGGGGGGAATTTTTTTTTTGAAAAAACTCGGGCCGATTTTTTTTGAAAAAACTCGGGCCGATTTTTTTTTGAAAAAACTCGGGCCGATTTTTTTGAAAAAAACTCGGGCCGATTTTTGTTCATCCAACTAAAAAACTCGGGCCGATTTTTTTTGCAGGAATCGAGGAATGTATGGGACAATTAGAGGAATTGAAGAAAGAACACAAATTTTTTACAGAGTTCACTGCCGAACTGGAGACATTGATCGGCAAAAGAAACGATAGAAGATCGGGAAAAAATTGGAAGGGTAAGTTCAAATTTCAAAATGTTTTGGAATTGAATTGGGTGAGAGAGAAAACCATTTTTAATTTTTAAGCGGCAAAATCTTCGTTGAAATCGTTGACTGAAAGACAAATGGTCGGCCAAAAAACAAGGTTCGTTTGTTTTTTATTTTGGATAAAATTCATACATATATTTTTACAGAATTGGAAATCGACTCGTTCACCAATGCAAGCTTATGCCATAGTTCTTCTCTCAATTCTCGTGCTCCCTTCTATTATTTATTTTATATTTACTGAATCTAGTTTCTGAAAATTATTTATAATATTTTCAAATATACTTGAATTTTTCCAGTGAATAAATATCATTTTTTTTAACTGAAATGTTTTTGAAAGGAGCACACAACTCAGGAAAACAGAGCTTCCGCCGAGAAACAAATGAACAGAAAAGTGTCGGACTGACATGAGGAGTTGAGAGCGTAGTGTGCGAGAACGCTGGTAAACCGCCAGTTGCCCATTTTGTCAAATTCAGTTTTTTTTCTCTCGCGGGGTGACTCGCACAATGACGTGAAGCTTTTCCAAACAAGAAATGAGTTGAGAAAGTTTTTTCTTGGAATTTCTTTGGTTAGTCCTATAATTAAAATTAAAAACCTTATTTTACAGAATATCGTCACAACTCGATTCAGTATAGGAAGAAAAATGGACATTTATGCCGTGAAAACGAAAATATTAACCACGAAGAAAAAATAACAATCAATCTAGAAATGTATTTACAAATCTATTACTTCTAAAAATAATTTCAATAAATGAAAAAAAAAACTTATTTAGATCAAATTGTGATTCCATCGCCATTTTCCAGTCACACATTTTGGTGCTCTCAATAAACTTGTGCATGGATGTTGACCTTGAACTTCACAAATACATTGTCGCTCATTTTTGCTTCCAAAATCGGCAGGATTCAATTTGGCAATACTTTCGAGTCGTTCTCTTCTTTCAACTAATTCGGTTTTTCCCAAAGTTTTTGCTAGAGTTTCTTCGATTTCTTCTCGTTTCAAGTTTTCCAAATCGAAAAGAACTTCACGGCCATCTTCTGAAAAAAAATTAAATTATATATTTGATCTGTCTATTCGCGTGACCTATTTATGAGCTTAAATTATAATAACTCAACGTCAATACTTTTGCTCATTTCTTAATTCCAGAAAAGCTAGAACTGACGCTATTATTTTTCCATTTGTTTTTCGAAATGTAGTCAAAAGAAGTAAGTCGGCTTAACCTAGGAAAACGTTCGATTTTTCAAAAATTAACATTATCTTCCATTTTTCAGATTGTCAAACAGGGAATGTTCGATTAAATTATTTTTGAGATAAAATGACTGAAAACAGATTGAAGTTTGGAGGATAATAAAGCACTTCGGGATCTGATAACATTTGAATTGTGAATTTCGGTTTCAATAACTTTTAAAACTGAAATTCCCTTAAAAAATTAACAAACCTAAATACGCTCTAGCAAATGGTGTAATAACTTTATCGACGTGTTTCACCAATTGAACTTTTGGATTATGATATTGTAATTGAGCCCAATGCCAATATACAAAATCTCGAGCTCCAGCTTGTTCTGGTGTTGGATTTCGATTGAAACCCAAAGAGAAGACATGAACCGTATCACGGAATTTGATTTTTCCCTGTTGTAAATAGAAAAATGTGCGCCGAAGCGGCATCGATCCATGCATAAACGGCATCTGCAAAAAGAATTTTTTAATTTGAATTCTTTCTTCAAGAAAAAATATTCAAAGGGTTCAATTAACCCACACAAAAGTCAGAGTATCATGTACTGAATAACAATTTAATAATAATAATAATCTGCAAAAAAACACCGGAAAATTAAGCTAAAAGTTGATCGATTTTCTTCGCCCAAATCTCAACATTGTTTGGAAGAGTGTTTGTGGCTTTGATGAGACTTCTGAAAATAATATCAGCAAGAGTAATATCCCATTGAGAGCTGAGAGAATCAAATCGAGCCAAGAATTGAGAAGCTTCACGTTCGAGAAGAGATAAATCAGCGGTTTTCAGAAGAACTTGGTTGGACTGAAAAAAGATGAAGCTATGAGAAATCTAGATAGATTCAAAATAATAACCTTGTTCAGCCAAAGTGCTTGATGAGCGGAGCTTAGAACTTGTTGTGATGTTCTTGCAAATAATCCAAGAGCCAAACCAAGCGATTTCCAGACTGTTGCTCTTGATCGAATTGTGACTTTGTTGATTGTCAATGAAACTTCCTCACCTAAAAAAATACGAAAATACATTTTTTGAATCACCAAAAAAAAACAAACCAGTTTTAACATTCACAGTTGTTTTCGCATCTTTTCCAACTTTATTCGTCACATTTCCAGTGAAAGAAACTGATCGTTTTTGACCAACAAGTGCAAGACTTTGCACCCAAACAAGATCTGATTTCGTAACTGTCAATGTAATTTGTCCTAAAGGTTCTTGTGGATAATTCACAAGTGTTGATGGAATATTGGCAGTGAGCGAAAGTCCAGTCTCCCATGTTTTTCTGTCGTCTTCAATTGTCCATGAAGAACCAGCAGATGTGGCTGTTTTTTTCGGCGCTGGTGCATCTCCACTTGCAACTTTATTTTTCGCTTCATTTTTAGCAGCCTTTCTCGCTTCCTTTTTCGCATCTTTGTCCTTTTTAGGTGCTTCTTGTGCTGGTTGTGGAGTAGATTCTTTGGCGGCGCCCTTTTGTGGTGCAGCGGTTGTTGGCTTTGCAGATGCTAGGAGCTTTCCAAGGCTATCAGCCTGTTTTTTCAGTCTTTCAATCAATTCCAATTGTTTTTGTTCTAAGACTTTCACTGGATCAGTTTCCAAAGAAACCGAAGAAGCTGAAGATTGTTGTTCGCCAGATTCTCCATGATATGAAGCAAGTTTGTATACAATATTCTTTGGTTGAACATTGAAGTCAGCTGGGAGAAAAGCGGGAAGCTTATACATCGGCATAATGTACTAGTTTTACCTGAAAAACGTACAATTTAAAAACTTGTCCTAAAAAATAAAAATAATAAAAATATGGTACGACACTCCGCGTGAGCACTTGCCTGTTGTTTATCGTAAATCGCTTGGCTTTGTTTTTCTTTTCAATTTTTGCGTTTGTTTTTTGTTTGAACGCGTTCTTTTTTAAGTTGCCTACATTTCATTTTTATTATTTCAGGACAAAATGGAATCAAAGAAAAAGATCACGCCTGCTGCTGCTGAACTTGCTGCTAAAAATTTAGCGCAAATTCAAAAAATAGATCCATGTGCAAGTCAAATTCTTGACAAAGTCCCACACGCTGCTCTCTACAAGTTCAACAAAGAGAAAAATGCTTGGGAGAAAACTGATATTGACGGAACAATGTTCGTTTATCAAAGAGTTGATCGACCATTCTTCAGCCTTATGATCGCAAATCGACAATCGCCTCAAGATTATATAGAACCTATTACATCTACTCTCAAAATTAATAACGATGAACAATATATATTCTTCTGCAAACAAGATGGAACAATCAATGGACTTTGGTGCTATGATCCAAGAGACACAAGCAGAATCTATAAATTGGTCGAAAGACTCATCACCAAAATCAACAAGGAGACAAAACAAGCATCAGCTACCAGTTCATCCGCTTCAGTCCCTGGTCCAACAAGCTCAGCCCCAACAGATTCACGAAGTGCTCAATTGCTTGATTTAATTCGTGGAGGTAAACATAATGACATCAAACAAACTCCAGAAAAACATCTCGATACTCCAACATCATCTACTCAAAAATCGCCAACAAAACCACAAGAAGTAATGCCAGTTCTTCTACAAAAATTGATGATTCAAGAACAACCGAAAAGTGCGCTAAAAGAACCAGGCACCGCAATTCCTTCTGACGAATTGGAAAAAGATTTGCTGAAAACTGCCAAGCCACGTGGAAATCTTCTTCAAGATTTTGTAAGTTCCCCATCAGCAGTGAGTTTGGCCGCAATTTCAACAAAATCAGTTCACGGATCGGAAGGTGAAGAAGAAGCCGGAGTGAGTTTGAAAATAAGAGTTCAATAAAATAGTTATGTTTTTTTCAGTCGGAAGCTGAAGTTGTCGAAAGAGAACCTGGATTTGTAGTTGGATCAGGAGCTTCAACACCAGTTCTCAATAAACAACAAGTAAGTTTTTTTTGGTTTTTTACTTTTGAAGTAATACTTACTTGTAAGTAAAAAGTAAAAATTTTAATATTCTAATTTTTAGTTCCTATTGGCTATCTCTCATCTTTTCCAAACTGATGATCAATTTGTTGCCCAAGTTCATCAAGCATATATTGACGCATTGAATCGAAGACTTCGTATTGATTGATTTAAAATCCATATCCACATCACATTCCTCCCCAAATAATATAAATAAATAAATATCTAACCCGTTTTGTCTTTGTGAATAATTTTTAATATTGGTTTGTGTTGTGATTTCACTCGTCCTGCAGATTCCGAAATATGTATAAAGTTATTTGGTGCACAGTCAATTTTTTGTTCGAATTTCGAATCTGTGATTTTCAAAGCAGTTTTGACATATATCTCTAGATTCTTTTTTTCATTTTCAGAAATTAGATAATATTCGTTTTCAGATTTATTAAACTATGGATGATATACAACCAGGAACAAGTACATTCGCTGTTTTGCAAAACATCAGAAATATCACCGAACCACCACCAACAACTCCAACATTTACTGATAATAATATTGATTACGAAGATGATGGAGAAGAAGATGTTGCACAAATTAGTTTGGATATATCATTGGATCCTGTTGAAAAAGTTGAAGAAGCTCCTGTAGTTATAGACGCGAAAGGCAAAAAACCACCAAAACCTCCGAAAAGACCTGTTGAGAAGTTCAGTGATATTCATTTTCAGAACACAAGTTGTGAGTTTTCTCTGGAAATTTTTAATATATGGTTTCTTGTGGAAACAAGCCTGACGAGACGTGTCCAAAAAGGATACTGTACAAAAATTTTCAAACAAAAATTCCCGCCCAAAGCAAAATTTCGATTCGGGCGGGAAGCTAATAAAAATTTCAAAATTTTTTCATTGCACTGCACATTTTTTTCACGAAAAAGTGAAGTTTTCATTGATTTTCAGCCGATTTTGATGATAATATTCAAAAAAAATTCAAAATTTCACGCTGCACACTTTATTCTGAAAAAATTTTCACGCTGCACAAAAATTTTGGGACACTCTCACCAAGTGTGTGTGTGGAAAACTCGGGGAAATGCTGCTCAAAGCTTCCTGAGAATATTTCCATAGTCCGAAAAAACCCCTAAATTCCAATTATTATTTGCAGTAAATATGTATGTTCCATTCAATCCAACTCATTGGACATCTCAAATAAATTATCGAATGCCACAAGATATTGTAATCAGTGCAATTAGAAATAATGGAACTGAAGGATTGCCAAGAACAGAAATTGGATATTCATTGGGATATGATGCGAATTTAAAAACGGGATCGAGAAGAGTATCTCAACATATTATCACAGCAAACACTGAACAATCGGATCATATTGGACAATATCAAAAAATGGATGGAAAAATTCGAACAATTAGATATTATTGGAAAGAAAATGAACAACCGGAAAAATTCGGGAAAATTTTGAGAGATTTTGAATTTTTGACTGGAGCACCATGTCCTTATAAAATTGGAGAAGTTGTCAAATTTCCTGAAACTAATTTGAGTGAGTTAATGATTTTTTTTTTTAATTTATTGAAAAAATTTTTTCAGATACGTTAAGAATATCAGATGTTAGTCTTCAACGACTTTATCGAATTCTCCAAATAGCCGAAACCCATCGAGTTATTGTAACTTCGAACAAATTGATACGAATGATTTCGGAAGAAGAAATGAGTGAAGGATATAAATATATGATTGACAAGAAGTCACTTACAAAATGTTTGTTGGCTTTGAAACGAAAACAACTTATTCAAACTTGGGAAACTACGGTAACATCAGATTTGGTTGATCATCAAGTTACAATTGTTGCGCATCGAGATATTCAAAATGTTTCTGATGATGAAGTTAAAAATGCGATTCAGACTATAGTTGATGAATATCATAGAGAAGGACGAGTATTTCCACATGGACAACAGAGGTTTTTATTTTATGAAGAAATTATTTCAATTGAATTTTTATTTTTCCAGAATATTGAAGAATAAAATCGAGAAAACGGCTGAAAAATCATCTGAAGTGTCAATTAGTAACATTGATGAAAATTTGGAGATTCCACGAACAATTTTGGATAGATATGATTTCTTCAGATTACAAGCTATACGGAATAGTTATTCTGGAGTGAGATATTTTTAGACTTTTTCTGTTATTTATTTTTCCCAAAAAAAAATCTTTCAGAAAGCTAAAAACAAAAAAGAAGCTTCTTCTGCGAATGATTCAATTGATTTGGGAGACGAAGAAGAACCTGAAGCTGAATGTGATGAAGAAAATATTCATGAATTCACATTGGTCTACAATAATTTGGCACCAGCGAATGGAAAGAAACAATTCAATAAAAATTATCATGTTGGAACAAGTGGATTTGGATATCAGCCAAAAGCTATTCGATTATATACTCTACATCAAATGATTTTTCATTTGGTTTATCAGCAAACTCAAGGAAATCGCACGCAAACGCTTTTTGATTTGTGAGTTTCAAAAAGATTTCTTTCGGAAAGAACACTTTTCATTCTCTTGTCAAATAAATTGTTTTTTTTTTCAGGTTTCCACCAACAAAACCGTTCGAATCTTGGCCATCTCTTGATGAAGAAAATGCTCCAACCTACACCGATAATCAACAATTCCGCTTTGTTCCACCTCAACCAGTTTTTGCTGGCTCAAAACAAGGATGGTTTATGCTTCAAGATTTACTTGTCGCAATGCCTTTGTCAGTTTTAGCCATTTGCGCGTTTCTTCCAAAGAAAATCGAGGTAACAATTTAAACGTGTCCCAGATTTTCATAATTTCATTTTATAGAAAACATTTCTGTTCCACTATTTAAATCATCCGGATCGAAGACATTTATGTGTTGGACATTTGCCGCAAGAACAAAGAGAAGCGATTTTGAGGGATAAAAAGGTTTTGAAACAACTTCAGCATTGTTTGCTGTTATTGGGAGCACTGGGAATTGTTCGAATTGGACCGAATCCATGTGTCAGAAGATTCCCAAGTTGTGGATCTGAAATGTATTGGGTTTCGAAATATGCTGAATTATATGATACAAGTACTAGTGATAAAGGATATGCAACAATTAGCAGAGATTATAGAGATTTTCAAAAATATGAATATGAGTTTTTGACCTTGGTAAGTTGATATCTAACAAGGGATTATTTGATAAAATATATATTTTCTAGTGAATTCTGATCGGTTAAAGTAAATGTTTGAATATAAGTTATGATGTGGAATTTTTTTCGGCTAAATTCAATTTGATTAAAAATGCTTTTGAATCAATGATTTTGGCACAGAAATCAGATTTACATTGAAATAATGTTCTCTTGAAGTTTCAGATTAAAAATTTTCTGGAAAATCTTTCTGATCCGTTGTAAAAAGCCTCCTGGGCATCAGGATTTCGAAGGCTAGTAAAGTCATGATAAATTTCTGTTTTTCCCATGTCATAACTCATATTAGAACTCAAGTTATGCTCTTTCGAGTGATAATCTACTAGAAAACATATTTTGAACCCCCTCTCTCCCGAAAAATTTTCTCTTAAACATTATTTTTTAGCACGATGTAACTCTTTACTGGCATCATCTTCGTGCAATTGTTCTTTCAACTCCTCTTTCTTTTCGACTCGAAGATCATTCTGAACAAAGTAGGCACAAAGTATATTCAGCTGGATATTTTGATAAGAAACTTATTGAAAGACCACATGAAAGTGAAGAAAAACGAATTTATCCGATTGGACCTCGAGATGGTGTTGCTGGATTTGATAGTGCACTTTTTATGCATGTGAAAAAGAATTGGGATATGATAACAAATCCATCATCTGTTTGTTCGTGGTTTATTTCTCAATTTAGAAAAGATTCGGAAGAATTGAAAACATTGGTTGAAGAACGAGTTGAACATTTGCAAAAAGATTGGAATAGTTTTATGAAATCTTTGATGCCAACTGATTTGGATTTGACAAAAAGTAAAATGAAGACGGTTACATCAATGGCTGAATTTACACTGAAACAAGTTCGAAAACGCGGTGCAGGAAGTGATGGAAATAATGGAAATTCTAGAAAACTTGCAAATCATAAAAAACGAAAAATGGATAGTATTGATTGTATTTCAAATGCGAATCGAGTTTTTATTCGATGCCGTTTTACACCAAAAGAAAGAGATCAATTAATTATGATTCGAGCTGTTGGATTCTTTTTGAATCCAGTTTATCGTTTCTGGTTGGATCCGACAGTTTTACGTGATTTGATGCATGAATTTGTACCGGAATCAAGAACCAAAACAGTTCAAAGTTTGATGGCTTGCGGAGTTCGCGAATTGGTTCGACCAAATCGATTGGCCTATTTACAAAGAATTGTTCGAAATTTATCGACGTTTCCGGAGATGAGAGAACTTCGTTGGCAATTGTGCACATCACCAGTTTCGCCAATACAAACGAAAACTGAATTTTTCAAAGATGCATACAGATTGGCAATGAAATTATTGTTTGCGTAAGTTTTTTCAATATCAAAGGCAGTTGGGTTTTTTTCGGAACCGGCTGAAATTTTAACCGGTTCCGAGAAAGGTTCTTATTGAAATAAATTGCTCATTTCAGTGACAATAACCGTATTCCTCATCCAATGGTTAGCGATAATTCATTCAATGATTTTCTTGATTCCTCAAATGTTCTCATAAAAAAAGAGACAGTTGTCAATAATCCATTACCATATCGATCACAAACTCCAAAAACTCCATCGCATATTCAACATTGTATTGCATCAAATCTTCTCATCTCAATTCTCATTCATTCTACACCTGGAGATTTTGCCGAGACGGTTCTTTCACAAATTTCACCGAGTGTACTTCAGAAGGTTTTGCAATCATTGCGAAGTGATGGACTTGTATCGAGAGTGAGACAAGGTGAAAGTGATGTGGTTTCGAAGAATCAAGCTGCGTTGTCATATTAGTAAGTTGAGATTTATGACGTGGCAGAATTTTGAAAGTTTCCAGAAATCGGATTTTGTTAGAGAATTCACAAACAAGATTTATCTTTAATTTTCAAGTAAAAGAATTTTCATGTGTGAAAAAAATCTGAAAGGGAAAAATAATAATTTTTGTTACAAAAAGTATGAAAGTAGTTATCAAAGTTAGGAAATCTCATTATGAGCACGTAGAAATCTACTTTTGAGAAAAAATCAAATAAAAAATTCAAAATGTATTTATCCAATGGTTTTTTTGCAGCTTCCGCCATTTCTTTTCTCATCGATATCATCCGGATTTGGTTGATTCGAGCGGTGTTTTATTGGAAGAAATTAATACACCAAATGAGAATAGCGATGAAATGATTGAATTGGCTGGCGATTCTCCATCTGTTCTTGTTGCTGCTTCATGTGCATTTTTCGATGATAATTATAAATTGGAAATGAGTGTTGATGAAGATATTATGGATGTTTTTGAGAATACTGAAAATGATCAAACAACCAAAAAGATTCGATATTTGGAATCGGCAAACCTTCATTTCGAAAAAATCCATGTTTATTTGGATAAAAATAGTGGAGAAGACGAAGAAGAGGATGAAGAGATACCGAAAATTGTCGAAAATCTTATGATTTTATTAGATAGATCAATACCAATTGATGAACCTGTTTGTTTTGCGGATTGGATTGAAAATTGTGAAGAACCGGCAAAAAGTCGGAATATTCTAGTTTACAATATAATTGCATCAAAAGCACAAACTGGTGCGGCTCTTCAAGATCTTGTTGAAAGTATTGATTTTTCGACGGATTATTTATTGGAAACAATGAGTGATTTATACGAAGGAAGACAGATAATTGAGTGTGGAGTCGATGAAAAACGATGGACAACAATCGAATTCGAGCATATTTGGAAAATCACAGTTTTGGATAAAAAATGGACACCTCGACCATGGATAATGCCGATGGGCGGAGTTTGTTTAGCAACTGTTCGATGGATGGCTGAAAGTGTTTTATTGACGATTGTTTCGAAATTGGGCATTCAACTATCCGATTTGCATTTTCAATTTGAATTTGCGATACAGCCTGTTGTTTTGCGAGAACTTATTGATATTTTGGAAACGTTGAAATGTGTTGAGGTGGTTGTTAAGGAATTTGTGAGCCATAAAATGAAGTCGCCGTTTGAAGGTAAGTGTTTTTGTTTTTTTACTGTTGAGAACGTGTTCTGGCTCTAGACTTGAGTTTTGTTGAGCTACAAAAATGTGAAAAGTTCAAACCCTTTGTCAAAAAATCCAAGTTTTTCATTATTCTCTACTGAAAATTCTTGAACTACAGTACTCTGAATTTTAATACCTAGAAGTTGTTTGTTCAAAAAATATCTAGAATCTTCAGAAAAAAAGTTCTTAAAATCAGGTTTTTGAGCTCACAGAACATACAAATTTTTAAATTTTTTTTCCAGAATCAACCGAAAAAGTGAGCATTGTCTACGTTGTTCCAACTCCAAACGCTCTCGAAATCTTTTCGCGAATATTCCACGGTGTTCCACTTCTCCCAACAATGTCTTCTGCAAAAACAACTGATGATCACAAAAAATGATCTTGTTACCTGTGAATATTGTTTTTTTCCCTTCTTGGGCTTTTCAACTTTTTTTATCTGTTCATGTTTTTGTTATTAACTGTTTTGTGAAATATATATTTTTTTTTGTTTTTTGGTTTACTAAACAGAAAAAATCGTATAATTTTACGATTCGAAGTACTTTTTTAAAATTTTTTTCTTGAAAAATTTCAAATTTGGATTGAAGAAAAATAGCATAAATGACGGGTTGGTGGGAATGGCTTGGCTGGAAACCATCGACAAGTCAACAGCAACAACAAATTGTGATTATTGAAGAGCAGCCAAGGATAGCAGAACCACCTCAACCAATTTTGCCATCCAGAACATCTGAAGAAGTTCGAGAAGAATTGAGTGGCTGGGATCGAATAAAACAGATTTATGAAACGAATTCAATGGAAAAAGATGCTGTTGTTAGGGTAAGTTTTAAAAGGGAGAATTGATGGAATCTGAATGAGAAAATGGAGTCAAGATGATTTAAAAATGCAAAAAAAAAAAACAGTGGAATTTTTTTCTGAAATTAGATTTCGATTACAATCAAATCTATATTTTTGCAGGTAGTCCGAATGTCATTTTTCGGTGGTTTTCTAGTCGGCGGAGCAACTGGTTATGCACAAGCCAGACATGCTTATGAAACAAATAATGTTGGTCGAAAATATTTGAGTCCAAGTGATGCAGTTAAAAGGAAAATCGATTATGCGATTGTTCGATTTGCGAAAGGTGGATTTGGAATTGGAATCAAATGTGCAATTATTTCTGGATCTATTGTGTGAGTTTTGCATTTTTATAAATTCTGAAAAATCCACGTGGCAAAATTCTAATTCTGGAAATTTCATTCGAAAAAAAAAGTTTCCAATAACTTCTGGAAATTAGACGCCGAAAGTTCACGTGGAAATTTTATTTTGAAAATAAAAAAAAAATTGAATTTTGTACCAACAATAAAATCCATGAAAAGCTCGAGAAATATTTGTAGATAAATACCAGAAGTGTCCCAAATTGTATTTCCAACAAACACGTTTTTTTTCCAGACTTCTAACAACTCACGCAGCTGCCTATCGCAACAAATTCTCATCTTGGTATTTTCCGGCGATTTCAGGTGCGACCGCCTGTGTTCTACACTCAGGTATACGGTTCTCATAATAGCCCGTTTTCAATTTTTCAGCTGTAGTCGGTGGAATCTTCACATTCCCCTTGGGTTTGCTGGGATCGATGAAAGCGATTGGATTAGGAATTTCGTCTGGGTAAGAATTTCGAGCAGGACCGTCCACATGAGTTCAGATATTTTCAGATTAACACTTTCGGCTGTTGTTCATTTATATGCAATGAGTATTGATAAACCTGTTGATGAATCTTATCGATTGTTCAAAAGAGATTATGAAAAGGTATGTTATTCAGCTATTTCTTCTCGAAATTTTAGAATTTTATTTAGGAATTGAAAGCTTCTTCTGAGTGGGATTCGAGAGTTGCTGAATTGATGGAACGTGAAAATATCAGGTGGAGGCAGTCAGCGGTGAAGAAGTTGAAACAACTTGATGCCGAAAAATTGGCTCATTTGGACGATTAGTTGTTGTTATTTTTTCCTCTAGATTTTTAATAGATTTTTTTTCGATAGAATTTTTATGATAAAACATATATAAAACTTTTCGGTTGAAATATGAAAATAAATTACATGCTCTCTTTCAAAGAAGAAAAGAAGAAACAACAACATTGACCCATATACGTTCTGTTGCTAGCTTAATTATATTGAATTTAAGCGCGACTTCTTGTGAATTTTCCCCAAATGTGAAGAACGAAGACGGAAGCGATGAAGACCAAAGACATGACGAGAACTGGAACTGGTCCGATCTTGAGGCCGGTCGAGTCTTCGGTGTAGAAACGCCAGAGTCCTCCGTTGTTTCCTCCGCGAGCGCGAGCTGGTGCAGCTGTGGCTCCTGGAAATTTTTGATCATATGAATTATTTTTTTAATTCCTTAGAAAATATTTTCGGGAAAATTTTGTGACCAACTTCGGTTTTAGGTTTTCACAGTCCTTTATTTATCCCATTACAATTTTCAATTTGCTATATGAATATTGAAATTCAGAAAAAGGTTCAATTTTCAGAAACAGTCTCTCTAAATTCAAAATCAGACATGTGCAAAATTTATTTGTGAAATTTCTCATAAAATAAATTATTGACCATGTTCAACTATAAGTTGCACCAATTCTTTCCCAATTCATAAGATTTTTATTTGAAAATTACAAACCTCCTCTGCGTTGACGGACAGCGTTTCCTGCTGGTCTTGGGCTACGTCCAGAATCGGCCATTGTTTATTGATTGGTTTCTGGAAAAATATTGAATATTCTCTTCAATAAAAGCCCAAAAAATATTCGAAGAGTGAACCAAAAAACGAAAGAAAACCACAAATGAAAAACTGGAGACACTGTCGAGTCGCCAAAGAGTTTTCATCAACGAGTACGGTACACAATCTGGCTTGCCGCCAATTGCTTGCAGTTCGAGTGCGTAACTGCCCCTCTCAACACTGGCCGCTGTGTTGAAAAGGGTGCGACGCACAAGCGGTAGGCTGCAGTGGGCGGAGTTTTGTGTCAACACAACGACATGAAAATGCAGATTTGGAGGAGTCGTGGACAAAACGACGAACACGCGTTGGATTTTGTTTGGGTCGTGGTATTTTCTGCCGTTTTGGTGTCACTCATATTTTGTCCTTGTCTTTTGCTAGAAACTTTTTTTGAATTCACCAAAAGTACAAATTCCTTTTTTGCAGTAATACAATGGCCAAGTTGACAAAAGAAGAGGAAGTTTTATTGTCGAGCTATTCGCCGGCCAGCTCAACCAAGGGAAATCTTTTCTTCTACGTCAATGCCTTGATCATCTCATTGGCACCAATCTACTTGTTCTATGGAGTTCATCAAATGGAAATTGCTGATTCGTGGATTGTTTGGGCTTTGTCAAGTCTCTCAACTGCCTACCTTTTGGCTTATTCATGCAAGAACCAAAAGAGACTCTTGAAACATCAAATTGTTATGAAGAGAGGTCCAGCTGTTGATAGAGAAATCAATGCCAAATACGCCAATGACAAGAAAATGAGCATCAAAGAAAAGGAGGTGAGTATTTTATTTATTTATTTTTTGAGAAAATGAAATGAAAAATGGTTCAATTTCCCAAGTTTACACGTTTTATTTCCAGGAACGCGCTCTTTTCCGAAAGAACGAAGTTGCCGACAGCGAATCAACCTATCTTTCAATCTTCTACACCAACACCCTCTTCCTCACCATCATGCTTATCTTCGCATTCTTCCTTCTCGCCAACGTCGCCCCAATTTTCAACCTTCTTTTGTCGACCTCCGGATCGGCTGCTCTTGTTGCTTTCCTCTCAACCGCCAAGAACTAAAGATTGATTGTAACCTTCGATAACGGGACTTGTTATATATATACATAGAAACAGAAACATCAAAAAAATGTATTGTTTTTATTTGTGATTTTATTGCGTTTAAATTATTACCAGAGTTTTTAATAAATAATTTGAAAAATTAGATGGTTTTTTTGAAGCGCTGTGTGTCGAAATTTTCAAAACTAACCATATTTTAAAGTTATTTTTATGAAATTTTGAAACCAAATATTTTAGCAAAATGCTGAATAATAATCAAATAATAAAACGGATGTCTATCAAACAAACAGCACAAGTTGAAATTATTCGAATAATTTCACCTGATTCATTTTTTATTCGACCAATAAATCATATTGCAAATCAACTTGTATATACTGAACCGTAAGATCATATCCATAAATACTTATGAATTTAATTAATATTTTAAAAAAAAATTCAGTTTTCGACTAACTCCATTTCCGGAATATTCAATTGGAAACTTTGCGTTAGCCCCAATTGAAAGACGAAAAATTGGAAGATGTTTGATTCTAGAAAAATTTGAAGTGGAAAAATGTGCCAAAGTGTTTTTTGTTGATTTTGGATCGGAATTTATGGTTCATGATTCGTGTATTTTCAAAATTGAAATCGAGCAATGTTATTATCCTTGGCAAGTGATTCATGTTGGATTAGCAAGATGTAGTCCTGTTAAAGAACAAAATTGGACTGAAGAACAATGTAGACAATTCGAAGAATTATTAAATGAATTCCAAGATTTTGAAATAATTGCAACAGATTATGATATGGATAATAATTGGGATCGAAGTACAATAAAAGTGAATCTTTTTGGAATTCCAATAGATGGCGATGAAAAAGTTAGCATTGAAGATATATTTGCGTGTTCTTGCCCATTTGTTGCGAAAACTGTTCTTCCCAGTAATTACAAGGTGAAATATTTTCAGATGTTTATGAAAACTTGAAATGAGACAGAAATTTGAATTGATCATTTTTTCTCTTGTAATACTTTTTAACAAAATGTTAATATTTTTTTGGTTCAGAAAATGTGTAGTTTTAGTTTTTATTTTTTTTCAGTTTTTTAAAGAAAATTATCTGAACATAAATTTAAAAAAAACGATAAACCCGAATAAAAGTTATTTTCAGCTTTCAATTTTTTGCCTTTTTTGAAACATTTAAATTTACAGAGATGTTTTTGTCATTTTCAAAATTTTTCTTTTAATTATTTTTGTAGGATTCGAATTTGTCAAGTGAGTGGACTCAAATATTCATCGATTCAACACGTTTGAATTTTCCGGAAGATTGGCAATTTGAGGAACACTTAAATAATAGAGATGAAGATGAATGGGAAATGAAAGAAATTCCAAATTTTCCCATTGAAAACAGTTCAAATCTCATTGGATTTATTGATTGTTCATCAACAATTTCACCGTATGAAATGTATATTCGACCAATTCACCCGAAAAATGAAATAATATCTGTTGATGAATGGTTGATTGAAGATTATGAAGATTTTGTTGAATTCTCACAAGATTTGGATGATTTCTATAAACATTTGATAAATCAAAGACCATTCAGCTATGATGAAATGTAGGTTTGAAAGTTGAAAAAAAAAATCAACATAAAACATTTGTTTTTCAGTGAAGAATATCTAGAAAATGGTCGAGTTTTTGGAATTTGTTCAAGTAGTTCGAGAACAAATTCATCGTGGCATAGAATTGAAATTTATGGAATTCAAAATGAATCTGTTCACATCAAATATTTGGATATTGGTGGCATGACTCATGTTAAACTTCGACAAGTTCATCGGTTAAATTCCAAGTGAGTTTTCTTTTTCAGTTTCTTATTAAAAAAAATTTGATACATTTTTTAGGCATGCAAAACAACCACCGTTTTGTGTTCAAGTGAAAATTAATAAAATTCATGAAAATGAAGATGTCTTTTGGAGTGCTGATTTATGTCAAATTTGGGCTGATCTTATTCCATATGATGTTCCAGTTCAATTCGATGAAATTGGTACGAAATTCTCGCGAAAAGTGATAAAATTTTTTTAAAAAATTCAGAAATGAACAATGACACTGGAAATGTTGTAAGCTCAAATTTATCAGTTTTGGATGAAGATGAAGATTCATTGATCGAACAATTTGTTGAAATGTCACAAGGACGTGTCAAATATTTTTCATAACTCGAAAGATTCTTGAAGACATTTGTGAATCTACTCGTTGAATTGCGGTTCAAAAATGTGTGAGTTTGCAGATTTTGATGGAGTAATATTTCAAGTATTTTCAGACTGCTGTTCGCAACCAAGAATCTAAAGATACTGGAATTTTCTGTGCTCATTTTAAATGTAAATTCGTTAAAAATGAACTTTTTATAAAAACAATGGGATATAAAAATCCTTTGGCTCAACTTCAAAAAAACTTATATTTCTAGTAAACTTCAGTTTTTTGAAACCTGGAAATTACAGTATCTCAAGTTTCTATAAAAATAACTACAATAATCCTGTTTCTAATCCCAAAAGTTTGGGCCGCATTTTTTCCAAAACAAAATTCAACTGCTATGCAAAACTTCATTCAATCCCATTCAATCAAAAACACGAAAAAAATTTGGAAAAAAATCCTCCACTTTCTCCTGAATTCTCCTCCTCAGCATTTTGACCAAGCTGCTCTGCAACAACTTCTTCTGGACTAGCCTCAACATTTTCTACTGGCACAGTTTCCGTGATATTATTCCCGTCTACTGCAACATCTTCATGGCCAACTTCATGTGGAGGATCTGAATAATCCCTATATCTTGTGTGATGCGTATCGTCGTCAATTGGAGTCGGGTTTGTATTTGCTGAAGATGATGGACCTGCTCGGTTTGAGGGCCGACTTGTACCTGGCCGGTTTGGTGAATTCTCTCCAACCATTATGTGGGTTGGATTTGGAGATGTCTTCGGTGTAGGTTGTTTATTCGCATTCTCAGAATTTCTTCTCTGTTCCCAAGCCTCTAGCGAATTGTATTTCCCTCCATACATCACGGATTTGTCCTAAATCAATATAGATAATTTTTTCAAAAAAGAAAATCTTACCTCTGGTTCTGGTGTGCTTTCTGAATCTGCATCCAATCCAAATTCAGCCGCAAAATTTTCTAGTTTAGAAGACTCTTCTTGTTCATTTTTCTCTGGTTTCTTTGGGTCATCTTCGGATTTCTTCATTTTTTGTATTTCTGAAATTTTGAGAAAAATAAAAAATTGAACATTTTTGACTTGAAAAGGAAAAAACAAAAATATTTGAAAACAATCAATTTTGGGGAAAACTGATGGAAAAACTTCTTCTCGGTAAAAAAGGTCAAAATTATGGTAGGTCAAAAAAGAGTTTTCACAAAAATGTCTGGAACTTGAGAAACATTTTCCAAATTTTTGGACCTTTATGTAATATTTTTCAAAAATTTATGATAACTGTCAAAATCAGAAAAAATCCTGAACTTTTTATGAATTAATTTCATTTCGTAATTTTTTTAGATCTATGTGGACCAAAAAAATCCACGTGTAAAAATTGTTGGAATTCACGGATTTTGTAATTCAAAATTTGAAGAATCCACGTGGAATTTTTTTTATTCAACATCTGAAAAAATTAGGAAAATCCAACTTCAAATCATCTGAAACTTATTTTTTTTTTAGAATTCCAACTCTTAAATTCTTCAATCAATACATTTCAATCCTGATTATATCCTAATATTATTCTTCAAATTATGAAACTTCTTCGATCAATCAGTTTATTAAATGTCATAAAGAAAGTGTCAAAACCCTTTTGCTAAGCGTCTTAGACAATTCTTAGTTTGATAAAAAACCACTCATTTTGTTCCAAGAATGTTCTACATTCAAACTTTTCTACTTTTATTATTAATTGATATTTCGACTGGAATCGGAAAATGTGATTTATCGGCTCCACCAACAAGTTGGCTTAGTACAAATGGAAGTGGAATAAGTGATTGGGCAACAGCTGGAGATCCAACAAATGGTACCAATTTCTGTATTCAGGTGAATTCTAATTTTTATTTATTTATATGCTGAATTTGGGTATTACAGGGTAACCGTACTGCTAAAACTGTTCAAGTTGATTATCACATTGATCTAACTTCACATCATCGTTACACCAAAAAACCATTTATTCGCCCAAATGTTCGAGGTGGACAAAATGGTTGTGTCAATAATAATACTCGAATTGTATATTGTTTTGCACTGTGTTTCAATGAAACTATGCAATATAATGTGAGTTTCAGAAAATTTTAAAATTTCAAAACTAAAAAAACTTTTTGAGGTAATTGAATCGGCTTTGAAAAGCAATCAGCCATCTTTTGTTGCTCAAGACATTCAAAATACAGTAATCCAAGATTGGGCAATCGCAGTTATTCAAGTTGATTACAATGATCCAATGGCTCATATAAATGCTTCTGAGTTTTTGGATCCAGCTGTTTTTTGTAGTGTTTATGTTGGAATTCGACCAAAAGTTGGATTCGATTATTTATACGAAATTGAACTTGCTAAAGTTATCTTGCCTTGAATTCACTTTTGAAATGAATTTATTTTGTTGTCAGAATTTTTTTGAAGTAAAAAAGTGAATAATTTTTCAAAATTCTACAAAGCTCGAGTAGTCACGTGACACGAATAATATTTTTTATTTATTCGGTTTTTCATTTTATGCTTCTGAATTTTCGGGAAAATTTGTCTCGGAAAAAATTTCTCGGGGTACTGTAGTCGACGAGATTTGTGCAAACACTGGCACACACAATGCATTTTAGTCGACGCGCACGGTTTTCTTTTTTTCCAAAGTTTGCTGACACAATTTCTGCATTTTTCTTCGACATGAATCACCCCATTAGAAAAATAACATGTTAAAAATGTTTTTAAACAGAATCTTTCGATTTATGAAATCACAAATTGCTATTTTTCCATTGAAAAAACTTCGCGGTGCAATATGTTGCTTTTTCCGTGAAAAAAATATTTTTTTGACTTTTACTGTTCGAATGTTTTTTCTCCTTCATTTTTCAGTAAATTTTCAAATTTATATTTTTGAGCCCTGCTGTTCAGAATGCGTTCTGACTACATTATTTCTTAAAATAAAAAAAAACCCATCCTTTTTCTTATTCTTAATTCAATTGGTGCACTCGAAGAATGAGATCATTTGGTCTAACAAACCAATCCAAAAAACCGCAGGCCTGCCGGAAAACGAAAAAAACAGAAGGGGAAAAAGAGAGACGCAGACACACCAAACAGCGCTCCACCGCAAAATCAATGTCTCTCGTTTTCTTGTCGCATTTCTCTCGTTCGTTCACTTACTCATCCTTTCGATTTTATTCTTTTTGTATAGAAAAATAGAAATTTTCGCATTTGAATATAAAAAAGAACGTTTCAGAACGCTAGAAATGTCGGAGATCAGTGATGCGGAGAAAGTTAGAATTGCTTCGGATTTCATCAAACACGCACCACCAGGAGAATTCAATGAGGTTAGTTGAAAAAAAGATTAGAAGTTCTTTCGAAATGCTAAAGCCCACATTTTTAAACTTACGTGTAAACATTTCGGAAGCATGTTTAAAATTATATATATTTTTCAATCCCCTTTACACTATTCAAAATATTTCCAGGTGTTCAATTCCGTTCGAATGTTAATGAATAATGACGATCTTCTCAAAGATAAATGCATCACAGCAGTTTCTCAATATAACATTGGTCAATTTGTTCCCGTCAAATTGGACGGTGTTCCAAAACAAACATTGATTACTTCACACAATGATCTTGGAAATGGTCGATTCTATGATGAAGTTTCGAAAAAGAGTTTCAAATATGATCATGTTCGAAAAGAGGCCAGTGATTTACAACCACATACAACTTCTACCAATAATATTGATGAACAATGGAGAGTTGCATTGCAAAAAGAATTGGATGCTTATGTTGATAGTTATTATTTGAAAACAGGAACTGGTGTCGTTTTTGTGAAGAATGGTGTTTTTGTTGTTTGTATTGAATCACATCAATTTCAACCAAAGAATTTCACGTAAGTTTTTTAGAGAAAAATATTTCTCGAAAAATAATTATTTTGGGAAAACCGGACATTTAGTTGTTGTCATCGGGAATTTGAAATCTCTAAATTTTTAACAAAAACATACCTCAATTGAATAAAATATCAATTTAATTTTGTAGCAATGGTCGAATTCGATCAGAATGGACAATTCCAGTTGGCGATGGAAAATCGGGTCAACAAGATTTGAAAGGCTCAATTCATGCACAAGTTCATTATTATGAAGATGGAAATGTGCAATTGTTCTCAAGTAAAGAACCAGTTGTCAAAGTCAATGTTTCGGCGGATTTCGAGAAAACCGCTCAAGAAGTATTCCGTGTAATTAGCGAAGAAGAAAACAAATATCAAAAGAGTCTTTTGGAGAATTATTCGAATATGAGTGAACACACTTTTAGAGCACTCAGAAGACAATTGCCAGTGACACGTGCTAAAATGGATTGGAACAAGGTAACTGAGCATAGAGAGATTTCGGATAACTTTGGATTGAGGAAACTTTGAAATTTGTTTTTCATGATTTTGTAGTTTTCCAGTTAAACTTCTAATTCCCTATTCAAAGTTTATATCTTGAAACTTATCTTTGAATTCAAGAAAAAATCATAGATTCCTCCCAGAACTTCGAAAACAAATCAATTTCTCTTCCACAACAATTTTTCCATTGATAGCAAAAATGTTTTTTTTTCTTCGAACGGTCATGTCATTGATATTTCTTTCTTCTCATATATATATATAATTTTCCCCCAACAAAAAACTATTGATTTCCAAATTTCATAGTTCCCTTCCACGTCCCATTTATTTGTTTGATTTCTGCCTTTTGTCCCCCTATATTTTCATTCATTTCATATATATATATTTTGCAGGCTCACACCTATCGAATTGGACAAGAAATGAAGTAAACAGTGCTTTCAGCGACGATTATTTTTCAAATTTATTTATTTATCACATGTTTTTTTCTTCGAACTTATTCTCTCTCTCCACCAAAAAAATCGCCTTTTTTGTTGCTTTACACCATAATTTTCAACATACATGTATTCCAACAAAAACTATTTTTTTATTCGTATTTTTGCAGCTTATAATATATGTATGTATCTACTTTCGAAAAGTTTTCAATTTTTCCTTTTTTGAAAAATCTCATGGGTCTGATAACCCTGAAATATCTGATTTATTCACCAAAGAAGTTTTTTTTAATTTCGAATTTTTGTAGGCATTTAGAATGGAGGATCTTCTGGGTAACTCCACAAGTTCGAATATTACTACATTGTTGGCTGAAACAACAACAGCTTTAGTTCTGAATTCAACAACAAGTAGTTCTACAACAACATCGACAACTACAATTCCACCAACAACAAGTTCGACAACTCCAAAAATTACGACGACGACGACACAAATTTTGACAACAACTACAGAATACATTAAATGTGAGTGAGCTTTTCGGGATTTTTGGGAAAACTTCGGGATTCCTGAAAAACATCAGGTCTGGTCCGAGTCAAACACTTCCAATCCCCGCTATTCAAACTGTATTTCAGAATCTAAAAATGTTTTCTCTATAAAAATGTCCTTGCAGTGGAGATTTTTAGGGTTTCTGAAAAAATATTTTTGAAAAATTAATGTCGCTCAAAATTAATTAACTCCACAAAAAATTGTTTACATTATTTTGTCTCCAAGATTTTTCAAAATCGTTCATTTTTCAGCGACTCCAATTCCAGTGCCAGATGTTCATTCAACAACATCAATCGCATTCATTTCTCTCGTCGTTTTTCTTGTTGGCGTCGCTCTCATCGCCAAAATTGTGATAAGTCATAAGAAAAAGTGAGTTCTCCTCTCCTCCCTGATCTTTCAAGTCTTGTGTTTTTTCCAGAAGACTTGATTTAATTGGTGGAACAGCTCGATGGCGAATATCAGCATCATCGGCATCTTCGAATTCGATAAATCCTGGATCAAATCAAACGACGGCAACATATTTGCCAATGGGAAGATCGAATCGAGCATTGAGTCAACAACAACAACCATTGACTAATGGATTGGATAATCCGGGACCTGATCGATTAGATTGGGAACGACAATTTTTCGATGATTCTGAAGCTACGGTCAGTTTGAAATTTTCAATTCTGCTATGAAATTCCAAAAAAACTTTCGGGAATCAATTTATGAAACTAGGGAAATATCGATCTGAAAATAAGCCTCTAGCTATTTTTTCTTCGTATCAAAGACACTTTAAACTGTAACTTTCTGAATCACTTTCCTTACTGAAAAATTCAATTTCAAGAAGAATTTCCTTGATAAAATTCAAATTATGAAATTTCTCAGATCAATGTTGAAATTTAATAAGCACAAGAAAAAGTGAGTTGTAAGCTGTTGTGATTGTTTTCTCCTTCTTTCTCCATGAAAAAAAAATGAATTATCACAATTATTTCCAATTCATTTTCCAGACCCCATCTCGCCTGCTGCTTCGATAATCTATCTATCTGTCCCTTTTTCGTGTAATTTGTATATAATATACATAAGTTCAATGTTTCATGCATATTTCGTAGCTTTATCGTCTCTTTAATATTGGGTAATTCTCCAAAGAATGAAAGTTTTTGAGTTTTGAAGATCCTTGTTTTCTCAAGTTGCAGATCTCCCCGACGAAAATTTATGAATAACTTTATTTCAAAATCAAAAACATTGTAACTCATTTTCAGTAAATTGCAGTTTCAGGAGAATCTTGATAATTATAATAATATGTGGAAGGCGTTAGACTCAATCTTTTGAGACGAGCAGCTGCGATATTCAGCTGAAAAAAAATGAGATTAGAAATTGAGAGTAAGAAATCAGAGACATGAAAAATAGATAATTTTTCAAACCCTTCTCTCTCTCTTTAAAAAATCCATACATCTGGAGTTTGTCGATCAGAACGCGGTGTTGGTTGTGGATCACTGTATCGTGGAGATGGAGATTGTCGAACACTTCCACCACGTTTATGAGATGAACTCTATAAAAGAAACCTTTTTTGAACCCTTTCATCGTCAGCTCATCTAATTTCAATTCGTTTTTTTCTCCATTCAATTTCATTTCGTCTAACACGATTAAATGAATAGAGGCTAATTAGGAATCTAGTAGGATTTGTTCGTCATCTGAAAAAAAAATCACGTACCCTTTCTCGTTTCACAGTCATTTGTCCTGGTATACAATTACTTGATCGACGAGTTTTTGAAGTGGATTTTTGAGAAGCGGGAGAAGCATTGTTACTTAATTGATCGACTGCTGCAAAAAATATATGATTTTTGAAAGTTATATGAGACTAGACAAACATCGATTTCGTTTTGTAGCCGTTGCCGTTCCAGGTTTCGCTTTAGTGCTACTTCTTCGAGTTGATGAGCGATTTGTTGAGGATTTTGCGCGATTCACGTTACCCGCTGAAAATTTTGAAAAGTCATTCTAACTTCGTCCCGCCGACACAATGGTTTTAATTTAGCTCAGAATCCGATATTTCAGATTAAAATTACGAAAGCATTTTTGAAAAAGTTAAAAAAATTCCCATCTGACAAAACCAAGCAAAAATCTATGCTAACAGAATTTTTTGTCATCAAAATTGCAAGTATACTCTGAATGTTCGGTTTCTGATCTCTTTTTGGAGCTTTTCCACGTCATAACTACATATTTTTTTGTTAAAAATATTACTGAAATTGTTTGTTGTCAATAATTGTCCTACAGTAATCCATTAAAATACATAACAAATAATATAAAATCTAAAAATAAGAATACAAAATTCATCTCATCTCATGTTATTCTACATATCTCAAATAATCAACTAACCATCTGACCAAAATTTCGAAAACTCTTTCACATTTCGATTTGTGTTTCGAACTGACGTCGATCTTCGAAGTGTTGGATCAGTAGACGGTGCTGAAAATCACATATTATCCCCAGATTATCTCTATCTCTGTCTCAGTTTCTGTTCCCAGTATTCTTCATAAATCTTGTTTTTTGATATTTCCGAAAAATGACAGTTTTGTCAATCATTGAGATTGAATTTCTATGTAGATATGTGTGTTTTTTCATTTTTTTTTGTTTTCAGAAAACTGAAAACTGAAAGACTGACTGAAATATCAAGATTTTAATGAAAAATTGTTTGTTGAGAAATCCATCCGCGTGGGACACAAAACTCTTCAAAAAGAAAAAAAGAAGGGCGAAATCGAATTGCTGCAAAACAGTGATCGGATGGATGTAAAATTAAATTTTGCATGTTTTTTGAGAGGTTTCGAGTGGGAGCAGCGGATTTTTGAGTTCTTTTTCTTGACAGAAATAGAAATTTGAAGGTTCTTGGAAAATTGGATGAAATTTGAGGAGTTCAAAAAATTGAGAAAAATGTTGCGTGACAATTTCAATATTTTGACATTTAAAATTTTACTCGAAAATGCATTTTCGTAGGGTTACTAGAAATTCAGAAAGGGTGGAGGTTTAACAAAAAATTTTATAGAAAGAATCGTTGGAAACATACGTTTCGTACATCGGAAAAATTTCGTACATCGAAAAAAATTTCAATTCAAATTTTTATACGAAAATTTTGAAACCTATTTTTTTCAGGTTGAAAAATTTCGGTGGAAAAACTAGGTCAATTAGGAATTCTTGAATTTAAAAAAGGGTACGAAACATTCTGAGTTATTTAATCAGGCTTAGTTTCAGGCTAATAAAAATAAAAAATCCAGAATTTCAGAGCTCAAGTTTCAGGATTTTTCAGAATTTCAAAAAATATAGAAAATAGAATTCCCAGCTTTCCTCAAAACTCACCACTTCTGGTAACTCTCATACTTCTTCTCGTCCCATTTCCACTGAACTTTGCAGCTCTCGAAGTTGACTGACTTGTACCCATTTCTTATTTTCTTCTTTCTAGAAAAATAGCAAGAAATGAAAAAAAAATGAAGGCGAACAAAAATCTTCAGTTAGAAAAAAGTGGGCGGAGCTTCTTATTTTTTGTGCTGAAAAATTTATTTTTGACTAATCCGTCCATGATCCATGCTTTTTATGGATTCACACTTTTTGGCGTAGAAAAAATATATAATGAAAAAAAGAACTTGAGGGAAGAGGAAAGGTGAGAAAAAGCTTGGTTGTTTTTTTACAGATGAATATTTTTGTGGGGCCGAGAAAAAAGCCGAGAAAAAACACGAAGAAATAGAGTGTTCCGGTGCATGTCCTAACTAATGGCACACTTCGTTTTTCCTTCATTCATTCATTTTTTCTCTTGACAACACATGAACAGCTTAATTATTGGTTTATTTTTGTTTGTCGTGGAATTCTTGGGAATCCACTTGGACTTATGATTTTCGAGCAACGGAAAATCAATTAGAACTTCCGGAAAAAACCGAGTAAAGCTTAGAATTTGAAGGAAATTGGATGGTTAATAAAAAAACAGGTGATCAGTAGGGAACATTTTTTAAAAATTGCGACAAATCACTTTTGAATTACAGTAGTCCTAATTTTTTCTAGATTCCACATCAAACTCTCCGAAATTTTCCGAAAACTATTATTATTTTTTTGAAGCTAGCTATAAATCTTATTTCAAACCAGGTATTTTCTTTCTCTTCTCGAAATCTAGAAAAAAAAGCACAACAAAAAGTTCGTGTTTATTCAAATAAATCCGATGATTGAAACCAGATCTGTTTCTTTCTTTTCTTTTTTTTCAGAAAAAAACAACAACACAACAAAAAACACAAACAAGATTCAAAATATTTTTATTTATCAAAATAGGTACTTACAAAAAAAATAGGAAGATTTGGGAATATTTTGGGAAAGGGAAAAATGAAAAAAAAATGGTGAATCAACAAATCGAGCATACAGTTGATTCGGCTTCAGCCGGTTCACTCATTGAAACACCGCTATCATTACTTTGCGCAGTTCGAAAACGTTTTTTGACTGATTGCAGACGTCGAAGCGCTTTTTTAGTTCGACTTGGTTTTGTTGTATCAAGTGCTTCGACAACAGACATAACACGATATGCTGAAACAGTTGCCTCATTCCATTCTTCGTGTCCATCATCGGAATGAAGTTCACGATATCCATCAATACTTTCTGCTGATGCTAGAAAAAAAGAAAATTGTATTACTTTGAAGCTTAAGCTTGTTTGTTTATTAACTAACTTTTCTCACGTTCCACAATATCGTAAATACTCATTTTCTCGTTTTTGTCCAAAAAGTGTGTGAGAACTTTTCCACTTGGTAAATCGGTATAACCATTTGATGTGAACACAAATATGCTTTTCAGATGTTTTGTCGTCATTCTGCAAAAATTGTAATTTTACAGTAGTCCGTGGCCTAGAAATCCAAAAACCATTCTAGACTTACATTAAAAAGCAAATCGAATAATCTCCTGTTTTTTCAAACTCACGTTCTAACTGCATTACTAACTAATGCTTTTCCTGGTTGACTTTGTGAACATAAAGCCTTTGTAATATTCACAGTGTTTCCCAAAACACAAAATCTTGGTTTCTGTTGACTAACAATTCCAGCAACAACTGGACCACAATGTACACCAATTCGAAGACGAACAAATTGTTCCAATTTTGGAACTTTTACTTGTTTTGCCTCATATAAAAGACCCAATGCAAGATTGAGACTATCTTCACAGTGATATTGATTTGCATTTGGAACACCGCCAACAATTAGGTAAGAATCCATTAATGATAATACTTTGTAGCCTTTGTGTTTTTCAATAATTCGATCAAAACGATGGAAAAGATCAGTGACAACATCGATGATTTGGGTTGGTGAACAATTGACAGAAATTGTGAAGAAATCTGGGATATCAGTGAAGATAACAGAACAATCCGAAAATTCTTCTGAAAAAAGTTTTGTATGAGGTCCAGGGTATATTTAGATTAGAAGATACTTACGTGCTGGCACAGGTTTCGATGCTCTCAATGCTTCTGCAATTATTGGAGGTACAAATTCGAACAACAATCGATCAGTTTGTTTTTTCTTTGTCTCCAATTCATCAGTCATTCCCTTCATCTTTTTCACAGTTTCCTCCAGTTTTTTGCTATAAATTTTTTTGAAAATATTTTGTTCAGAAAAAGCTGGCTCACTTCAATTCCATTTGGCAGATTCTGGATTGATTTAACATAACAAGATCTCTTGTGGCATCATGCATCGGCATATCCGAGATGAATAATTTGTGATCAAGAATATCTCGAACCTGAAAACAACAAACTGTTGATCTTGATATTAGGAATTTTGAATTGTGTGGATCAGCCTAACTGCAATATCTACAAGCCTGAAGTTGGCCTCACTCTATTTTTGTCAGGCCTGTTTCATTTTCCCTCTTTCATACCGTTGTAACATGCGGCGAACAAATAAAAATAATCGAATTTCCATCCTTTAATGGCATCATTTCTCCCTTCAAAACTAATGGTGCTTGCAAACTGCTCGATTCATTATTTGTACTTCTTTTACTATCCAATTTCACTTGAAAAATGAACAAAGTATTGAGATAACTCAACACATTTTTGTAAGTTAATTGAATATCACTCGGCTGAATCAATTGTAATAAATCGCTAACTTTCAATGTTTTTTTGTTTTCCAATCCATATTCTCGAAGAAGATAAATTCCTAGAAAAAAACAATGTTATCGTTAGATATCTAGATAGATATTTATTCACCCCACACACACACACATTGACGCAAGTTATCAAATGAATAATTTATCAATTCTTTTCCTTTTCCTCTTACTTACCTAAATGTTCGATGACCATTTGTTTGTTAAAACACACGTGATATGGAAATATATTCTTAAAGTCTCGAAGACTAATCGGCATTGGATCAGAAATATCATGAACTTGAACATTGTCCAAATTTTTGAGATTTCGAAATTTATGCGCCAAACGTTTGCCTTTTTTATGATTATCATCTGGTTCAACCGAAAATATCACATGTTCAACCATTCCACTTTTTCGACGCTCTTGATTTCTTTCAAGAACTTGAACCTACAATTAACTTGATAATTTTAAATGTTATCATTTTCGAAGGGAAATGTTACCTTAACATCCATCTCGAAAAGAATTCTAGCAGTTTTTCTAACCAATCCTTTAACAATCGGAAAAAGTCCTTGACGAAATGAAAAATAATGGAGCTTGAGACCTGATTCACCAAATGGTTCACATTGAAAAGTTGGACCTTTCATTTCAGATTTGAACGCGATTTGATCGATGAAATAATGCATGCTGTTGAGATTGTCGAGGAATTCCTGGAACAAACAGTGGAGCTACAGTAACTCTAGTCCCGTAAATTTTGATTTTACAGAAAAATTTAAAGAAATAATTTTTAAACTGTTACTAGAGTTTTCCGACAAAATCACAGTTCAAATTTTCAAGAGGAGATTATCAAAAATTTCTTTAAAATATTTGATTCCAAAAAAAACAACGAACCTGTAAATTGTTAGCCATTGCAAACAACATTTTCTGCCATCCAGTCTCACAAGCATAAGTTATCAAAAACTCTCCATACATTTCCCACATATCATCCACCGACAAACCCAAAACAGTTGCAGCAACTCGGAAAATTCGCATAGTCTCTGTGTCATCATAATATGTGCCAATCTCAAATGTATTGTCTTCAGCGAATCCAGCTTTTCGTAGAATTTCAGCCAAAACTTCTTCACCATATTTTCGTCGAATCAAAGTTGTCACACATAAATGTGTCCATCCAATCTTGAAGTTTCAGATATTTTTTTTTTGAGATAAAATTTTATTTCATAAAAAAAACTTACCATATTTTAGTTTGAAAGTGAATGAAAAAGTAAAAAGTAGTAAATAAAAAGGTGTGTTGAAATAGGGAGAAAAAAAGGAAAAAGATGATGATGTTAATGTTTTTCTTCTGGTGTCACTTAATAATTCCAGACACGCGACTATTTACTTCATAAGAAGGCAGAAGAAGATGCTTGAACAGAAACTGGAGAAGCTGAAGACTTTTTGGTGGGTGAAGGTCGAGCAAAGAAAAAGATATACATATATACATTTGAGAGTATCAATCATTTTCGATCACTTTTTGCGCTGAAAATGTTTTATTTTTTGAAAGGAGCGGGGATATTGAATTGGAATTCAACTGGAAGGGAGAAAGGACATTTTCGTCAGACATTTTGAATTTTTAGAATTTATCTAGAGTTCGTTACACTTGAACTTTATCAAGAAAAAGTTAAAAACAAGGGGAGATATGGGTAAATAAAAAAAATGATTTTCAGAAAAAGGGAGCATGGAAACTACGATAATAATATCACAAAGCTTGGAACTCTCGAATTACCGGTTCAAATTCACAAAATACTTTCAACAAAACAAAATTAAAATTAAAACTTACGACACTCCAAAAAAAAATTAAAACTTACGACACTCCAAAAAAAAAATTAAAACTTACGACACTCCACTTGCCCTTGGTTTAACGGAACGTTTGGTTTTTATTTTGTATATAATGTTTATTTATTTATCGATTTTCATTTTTTTCAGTTTTCTCAAAAAATGTGTGGTTTCACATCGGTTTTTTAAGTTTTTAATTTCTTCACGATTTTATTTATACCCATATTTTTACCCATAAACACATCACTGTTTTTACGTTGACGAAATTCTCATGTAGGCGAGCTTAATTTTTGAATTTTCGATTAAGTTTCCAATTCAAACTACATTTCTATTTTTATCCCAAAAAACCTGACTAACTATAGTCTAGTTTGTATTTTTGAACTCATTTCGAAACAATTTCATTTTTTAAAAATTGTTGTATCCAAAAGTTGTATCCATGAAATTCTATATCCCACAACCTACAACTGGTCCAGTTGGTTTTTCCATTTCAAAGTTGTGAAACGCATTTTTCCCAAAAAGTGGTCCCAAATCGGTTTTTCGTGTATGTAGGTAGTGTACTTGTTTATTTGTCTGATTTCTAATTTATGTTCTACCAGTTAGTTCAATGTTATTTCACTCCAACTCCAAAGCTACACAAACTCCAACTCTTTTTTCTTTTTTTTTCTATCCATTTCACCGCTAGAAAAAAGAGTATTACATAAAAAATCAGAAAGGGTCATGTTGACTTAACTTCTTCAAACATTCTCTGCGTCTCTTCATTTTTGTATTGCTGAAAGTAAAGAAGTAAAGTATTACTGTAGTGTGAGAGCGAAAAAATAGAGAGAGGAAAAGTGCCATTTTCTCTGTTTGTGCATTTCAACTTCGAACCGAACGGTAAGTTTTGTTATTTAGGTGAAGTTAGGTAAAATTATGAAATATCTAAATTTTAAGTAAGTAGATTAAGTTAGTTGCAGTCATAAAACTGTGGACTGAAAATCCTGGATTAGTTAGCCTAAGTTATATTTTCTTGTGGTTTGATTTACTAAATTATATTTGTGTTTCACTTATGAAAATTTTCCCAAAAAATGTATGTATCTAGATTCTCGAAAATGTAGCCGTGTATGTGAAATATGACCTTTTTGTAGGGCTCAAAAAACTTTACCTAAAAAGGATGATTTTTCGGAGAGCTCAAAAATTGAGCAAGAATTTTGTTTTTTTGGTGATGACAAATATTTTTGAGAAACTTTTTGCGCTGTTTGTTTTGGTTACGAAAAATTTATTTGAACACATTTTGAACACATATTTGAGGAAATTCAGAAAAATTGAAAACTTAACAGATTTTTTTAAAGTTAAATTTTGCTGTTCTAAAAAATTTGATTCAAAATCTCATTCTCTTTGGAATTCCCTGAAAAATCCCACCCAACTAGTAGATCAAACTACCAACCTCTTCCTCAAAAGAAACCCGAAACTTTCCAATAATTTTTTCTTGTCTTCTATTTTTTTCTCATTCCAGATCTATCTATACATATTCCTTACATATGTTAGTAACCCACACTTCTCAAATTTCACAATATTTTTTTCACTCTGCGTTTTTTTTTTCTCAACTTCAGCTTGTTTGTTTTACTTTCCACAGAAAATGTGAGTATTATTATTATTATTATTATTTTGATTATTATTCAGAACAAAACAAACAGGAAAGAAAAATTGATAAGAAAAGTTCATTCGAGTTTTTATTTCTTGCAAAAATGACTGTTTGTTCCCGTCCATGTTATTGGACGATTTAAACTTTTTGTTTAAGTTGTTCTTTAAATAGATTTTGCATGACTAGTTTCTTTGCTCCTCCTTTGCTCCTAGTTACTCTTTGGCATGTGCAAATATCGCCGCCTTTTTGACATTTGACTTGATAATATTCTCACAGAGTATTTTCATCACAACTTTTTTGTTAATTCTCTGAACACTTTCTTTTTCAGAACATTTTATTTTTGGGAAAAATAATAAAAATCAAAATCACCTTTATTTACACAGCAAAGAAATTTTTAGTATTCCCAACCATCGATATATTTATTCAGTTTTTTGTTGAATTTTTTTGACTTGTTTTCATTTTTTTTTTGTTCATAGAATAGATAGATATATTGGATTAATAATCCTCTCTAGGATTACCTTTTTTCTTTCTAAATAACTTCAGATAACTTCAAAATATTAATAAAAACTTTGGTCACATTTTTGATGAGAAGATATTAAATTTCATGACGAACCTAACAATGCTCCAAATATTTTGTTTCATTTTTTCCAGAATTCGAAACAAAAAATGCCGTTAGATTATCAAGATGAACCAACAACTTCTTCGAAAAATGGTATTCCAAATGGTGCGCTTACTGTAAGTTTATTTGGTTTGATAATTATAAATTAATGATAGATTTGTTTAGATTCTTATAATCGCAGCAATTGCAATTGTATCTGTTGTTATTACATTATTTTGTATGCTTGTGAATAATCGAAGAACAGTTCGACTTCGACAAAGACAACAGGTTAGCTATTTTTTTTTTATTTTGGAGGATTTTGAAATAGGGTCTTAGGTAGGAAAAGCTTTAGGCTAAGCCTAGGAAAATTTCCGTAACCTGTATTGGAAAAATTTTTTATACACTTGATTTTTAGACCAACTTTTTTTGAATAAATCAAATCAGAAATGAAATTTGCCTAGGATCCACATAAAAAATTGCTGATGTCTTACTAAATTTTGAAAGATTGTGAAATACTGATCTTATTTTATGACGTGGCACAGCGTCAGAATTCCAACGAGAACCTCAACAAATCTTTGAATCGCTATTAATTTTTTGTCCAAAATTTTAGAGGTTCTAATTTGAATTCTGAAAATCTAAAACCATTTTTTACAACGACTTCTCTATAATCTATAATAGATTACACTTTTTTGTATTTCTAGATATTCCTTTCATTTTTTTTCATTTCTTCTCAAAATTTCTCCAAAATATACTGTAATCAGGTACATTTTGAGTGCATTTGGGCAGGTCTGTTTAAGATAAGAATATCATTATTATGTATGTTTTTATTAGATTTTGACGCCTTTTCGAACAATTGATGACAATAAAACGAGGGTGTTGAAAACGAAATGATGTTTTGTTGATCTTTGCCCAAAATTTCAAAATTTGGAATTGAATTTCGATAAAATAAAATTGAATAAACTCTGATAGTCAGTACATTTCATCATGCAAAATATCTTGCACCTAGGTAATTTTCCTCGAAAAAAAAAATCAAGCTGCGTTCATTTTCGGTTTAATCCTCTTATAGTCAAAACTGTTCCATTGATAAGCAATACAAAAATCAAAGTTTCCAAATAGTTTTTGAGAAAATGATGGTTTTAAAAATAGTAACAAGCGGTTCGAGTGGCAAAGCAAATATAAGAGTTTTGTGGAATTTTTTTTTGGAAACTTAAGTTTGTAACTAACAATATAAATTTGGAAGAAATGACGCATTTTTGATCCAACTTTTTCGCTTTCGATTTTGCAGTGAACAACAAAAAAAAAGAAATTTGACACTTCAATGGCAGAAAAACCTGACCCAAAGTACTTTCAGAATAGATGACCAATTTTTATTTGAGGTGATCTTTGGAAGCTTTTCAGATTGGAAATTTTAGATTCCAAAACTCAAATTTTCTAAAATCCTGAAAATAATTTATTGCTATTTATTTGTTGAAAAAACACTTTTCTAAATCCCGAAAGAATACTTCCTTTCCTAATTTTTCCAAATTTCAGAACGCAAGATCTGGTGGAACAATAGTCCGACTCTCTGCCACACCATCTGCTCTTTCATCTCCCAATGATCCATCAACAAATCGCCCCGTTGGTTTTCCACCAATGTATATTTGCTCAAATATCGATCCAAAATTCGATGCTCCACCATCATATGAAGATGCAGTTCGAGCAATGATTTCAAGCACTGAAGGTGTTCAACAATTGAATCCAGCAACATCGATTACAATCGAATCGACATCAAATGCAGCTGAAGCGGCTCGAATTGAAGTTGATCAAACACATGTTCAAGTTCCAACAACTTCAAGTGCTGTGTAAATTGTTTTTCTTTAATTTTCTCTTCATTCATTCATCTCTAGGCATTTTTTGGTATTACGGGTACAATAAACATTTTGTTTTTCTTCAGCAGTTTTTCCATGAAATGTACTTGAGATGTACCAACCTACCTAAGTATCTGCAATAGTTTTTGGTTGGTCACGATTCGAACCGGTTCTCCCGTTATCATCCAAAATGATAACAAAGATCTCTCTGTTTTTATTCATTTTGTATCTACATACAAATAATTTTCTTTATTCAAGTCAAAATGAAGGTGAAAATTAGTACAAATTATGAAGCCGATGGTAAGACTTATCGAAACTATGATCAAAAAGCGGAGGACCCAATTCAGTTGAGAGTCAAGAATCATTATTTCACTCAACATCAGAAGCAAACTGTTGAATTTGTGAAAAAAATGGTGAGTTTTTTCAGATTTTTTTGTAGAAATGAAATTTGGGGAATGTTCGGACTTTCAATAAAAATTCGATACTAAATAATTTTCAAAAGTAACTCGATTCACAGAATTTTTGGAAAAATTCAATATTTCAGCACAAAAAATGGCTGTCATTCTCGCACGCCAAAATGCCGATTCTCGATTGTCTCGATATGCTCGCCAACTTTTTGGATGAATCTGATCCGGACGTCGATGAGGCGAATCTAATGCACGCATATCAAACAGCCGAAAGACTTCGAGTCGCATTTCCAGACAAACCGTGGATGCATTTAGCCGGATTGGTACACGATTTGGGAAAAATTATGAGTGTTTGGGGAGAAGAACAATGGGCTGTGACTGGGGATACATTTCCAGTTGGATGTGCGCCAGCAAAAGATATTGTTTATGGAAAAGAAAGTTTTGAAGGAAACCCGGATTTGGAACATGATGTTTATAGGTTGGTTGTGATTGTGCTTTAGATATTACTGTAGATTGGTTATTTTTCTTCTAGCACTGAAAATGGAATGTACAACGAAAAATGTGGAATTGAGAATCTTCTAATGGCTTGGAGTCACGATGAATACATTTATCAAGTTCTGATAAATCACAAGACAACTTTACCAGATGAGGCTTTGTATGCAATCCGTTTTCACTCATTTTATCCATATCATTCTCATAATAATTATACACAATTTGAAAGTGAACGAGATATTGAAATGAAACCAGCAATTATGATGTTGAAGTAAGTCATCTATATTTTTCAAAACAAAAAACATACTTTGTTACAGTAATTGTGATCTTTACTCGAAGAACGATGAAACACCAGATATTCAAAAATTGAAACCATATTATCAATCATTAATCGACAAATATATACCAGGAATTGTATCGTGGTGAAAAACAGGCAGTGAAAAAAATAAAGAATTGTGTGAAAATAAAGTTATTTTTAAGAAAATTTAGAAGCGAGCGTGAAGATCTTGCAAGTCTTCTTCGGACAAATCGGAGGCTGGAAAATATGAATTTCAGAAAATGTGTGTTTTTTTTGTATTTGGATACCGTATTGTCCGCAATCTGGAAGTTGTTTATCAACACGTGATTGATCGAATTCTCTTCCATATTTGTCAACACACCAACATTGTCCAGAATGACATTGTTCTGGTTGATAGAATCCTTCCAAATCGCAACGTGGCAAAAATGCGCCCAACAAATGTGGATCGATGTCGTGTTTTGCTTTGTGACATGGTGGTTCGTGACGCAAATTATCGGCGAATGAGAAACAATCACACCATTCATCAATTGAGATTTTGCCATCAACGATGATGTCATCTAGAAGATAGAAGAGAGAATTTTGGGGAGATTTTTAATGAGACATCGAGAAAATGGGAAAACTACAAATTCAGGAATTTTAGAATCTGGGACAAGAAAGCTGACCAGATTTCATTTTTCAAAATTAAGAAAATTGATTGAACATATGAAACCTTATTATTCAAACAGAAAAATGCCACGTGGAAATTTTTTCAGCTAAGGGAATTCGGCTGGAATAACCTGAGACACCAGAAGTTTTGACAACTTTTGAAAATAGACTTTTTGATCTACAAAAACATAGAATTCGAATATTTTGAAAAAATATCTCCCTTCTTAAAGATTAATATTATTTATCTGAAAATTGTGCCGAATGCATCAAAAATGAATTGTTTCTCAGAACTTTCAAATTTTGCTGAAAATCTGGAATTCTGAGATTCAAAAAAAAACTAATCCAAATATGTACAATAGTTGATCACAAAAAATTTTCGAATTTCAAAAATTGTCACCAAATTCTTTAACTCACCGCACATATCAATAAATTGTTCAACACATTTTTCACTATCTCCTCTTTCCAATGGTTTCAATTCTCTCTTGCTCAAATGTCCATTATTATTTCCATCCCATTGTTGGAACATCCACGCGACTTCTTGTCGACATTGAATTGTATGCGATTTGAGAACACGATCAGTTCCAGCAGTTTCGTGATGAACATCAGCAAACCATTTCAACAAACGGCCACCCATTTGGTGCAATTCGGAACGGGTGCATTCTAAAAAAAAATATAAAAATAATAATCTAAATACAGTAATCCTAGAAATATCTTACGATTTTTGTCAGCGTTGTGAGTTTTGGTTGGAACTCCATTTTTCTTGACGTATGTTTCCAATTGTTTTTGATCAACACATTCAGCTTTTCCTTTCACTTTGTCAACAACACACATTTGACTATCAGAACAGGCGGCACGTTCGCAAAGAATATCTTCGGCATCATTTGGAAGAATTAGAAAATTTGCAGAAACAATCTGACTGATTAACAATAATTTCAAAACGAACCACATCATTTTGGCGATGTGGAGGAAAATGAAATGATCGAAAAGAATAAGAAGAAGAAGAAGAAATAAACTTTACGAATGTTGTGAAGAAGAAAACGAAGCAAAGAGTGCTCGTCTCTTGTCTTTACACATTATTTTCTAAAACAACTGTTGGACATCTGGATGGAAAGAGAAACCGACGAATTGTTGATAAAAAATGGTGGCTGGTGCAATTTTTAAGAGGTCAAATTTTTTTCTATAATAAAAAAAACAGAATCTATTGAACAGTCCTCTGAAATTGCAGTGACGCAAAAATGCACACAATTTATTTTTGAAAGTTTTACAATTTTCAAAACAGCTGCAGCAAAGTTTTCATTTTAATTTTTTTTCTTCAGAATTAGGAATCATCTCTTTTTTGAAAACTACAAAATTCATCACATTCAAAAAAAAAATAAAATAAACAAGATGAACCATGCCACGCAAAGATTTGGAATTCATTTCGCTTTTTTTTTGATTTTGCCAATCATGTTACTTATTTTTCTCTCTCATTTCCATCTCCTTGACTAAAAAAAATAAAAACGCAAAAATGTACTTTAAAAATATAGGTACAATACAAATACATTTGAAAAAGGTCTCGTAACGCACCTGTTGTGTGTAATACGGTATATAGCGTCCAACAGTTTTTTTTCTTTTTGTTTCTTCCAGCCCCAAAATATTTGTGTTTGTTCGTCGTTTTTGACCTTTTGCCTTGAGTGATTGTTTGATTGGCGAGCGCGAAAGTTTTTATTTTTCATTATTTTTTCTAGTCGATCAAAGTAGAAAAAATCAGTTTTTTCGAACGCAGTCAGTATTATTAAAATCATTTTTGAATGGAAGCCTTGTATTTTTTATCGCGTTTTTCTCCTTTTGTGTTTATGTGTGAAAGTTTCCTTGCCACCTAACAAACAATATTGTACGCGTTTTATTTCAGTTGTCTTTTCTTCTCTCATTCTTTCGCCCTTTCTCTCCTTTCAATACAATTCATGTTTTTTTTCATTTTTCAGACATGCCGAAGGTCACCAAAGACGCACAAGACGACAGAATCAAGAAGACCAAGAAAACCAAGGATCCAAATGCACCAAAACGACCATTGTCTGCATATTTCCTTTGGTGAGGTTTTAAATATTGAAAATCTATTTTATTTTTGATTTTTCTAGGTTGAACGAAAACAGACCACGTCTGACGAAGCCAGGCATGGGTGTTGCCGATGTCGCAAAGGTAATCGATTTTATTTTCGAAATTTTTCTGGTTCATACTTAATTTTTCTAGGCTGGTGGTGCCGAATGGCGGCTTGTCGAAGACAAATCCAAATGGGAGAAGCTAGCCCAACAGGAGAAGGCCAAGTACCAAAAAGCTTTGGAAGCTTACAACAAAGGATCCGCATAATATGCGTCCGAAATTGCCTTTCCCCGAATCATCGCCCATCCAAAAAATAAAAAAAAATCTGTACGATCTCACTATTTTATCTCTCCCCCTTTCAACTCTGTTAAAATGTTTATGTCCATGAGTGAATACTATCAAATAATTACCAAATAAAGAATGAAGACTACAAAAAATTCTGAATTGAACTGGCAGGTAAACATTTTTGTTTACAAAATAATATGAAAAACTGTCGGGAAGAATTATCTCCAAACTTGTTGACATGTATGTTTTGACGCAATCGCAAGAGATTATGATGTTTTCCATTATTCAAAATTTCTGCGTTTGGGAAAGGTTCATATTTTTGCCAGTAAATAACTGAAATCAATCAATACATTTTCAAATGTGACATTTTCTCTCATTTTGTTTTTCCATCCCTCTTTTTGTTTCGTCCCGCCCACTCATTATTTCGGGTCTCCTGCTGATTTTTTTCTTCTGTCGTTTTTCAAACTACAATTTTCTTTCTTATTTTCAACAACACCCTTTACTTACTTAAATATTACGAATTGATTCTTGTTTGAACAATTTCCTGATTATCAAAATTTTACGATACATTTTAGGAGGTTACTGAAAACATCTAATTTTTCCAAAAAAATATAAATTCTGAATTGATTTTTGAAAATTGGCTGAAAACCATTTTTTCAATTGAATATCAACCGAAAAATCTGTTTGTTATCTTAATTTTTATCGATTTTCGGATCGTTTTAATAGATTTTATCGGTCCAATTTTATGGTGACTAACCTCATTATTATTTTCCCTCTTGTCTATTTTTGTTGACTTTTTCGAATAACTTTTCAAAATGCAATTTAATTCAAATCCCAGCATTCCAGATTTGATTTTCCCATGTATCCGCGATCAATGACAAATGGACTTGCCGCAAGTCTGCTATTTTTCATTTTTCTCTTTTTTCTTGCCAGGTACGAAGATTAATTGGAAAACTGTGGGAAACTTTTGAAAAAAAACCGAATTTTTAAGGCATATTCGAAATTTGGATTGGAGTCGAACCGAAGACGATTTGAATAATTTGGAAAGCGGAAAATTGCCACCGGCTTATAATCAAATACCATCAAGTCCACCGCCAACTTATCAGGTACTTTTTAAATTTTTGATAAAAAGGTTGTTGAAAATTATAGATGAAATATAAAAACTGAATTTTGACAAAAGTTTTAGAAATTTATGACAATACAAATTTTTTTGAGATGAGTATTTGATTTTAAAATTTGGAATATTTTTCTAATCAACTTTCATTTGTAAATTTGATTTTTATATTGTTTTCACGCTTCATTTTTGAAATCTTCAAAATTCTCAAAAAAACCCATGTTCACTCAAATTCTACACCATCAGATATTATGTGTTTTTGGTGACCTTCTCATGGTGTCTTTTATTTTTCTGTCTTGTCACTAATTTATTTATTTAGTTCACTCACATTTATCTACAAAGCAAAAAAAAGACATAAGAATCAATTTGGGATAATTGAACCGTGAAATTGAAATTGCTTTTTCTTTTCTTTTGATGAATCTTCCTTCGTTCAGTAAAAACATGTTTCTTCGAATCACAAAATTTTCATATTAGTTCATTTGAAAAATCAATGATAATTTCCTCTTTTTTCAGGAAGCCATTGCTATGAAGTTCTAATCTTCTCGAATCTTCGCAAAAAAACGGGTCAAAAAATTTATAAATATTTCGGGTTTTCTTTTTTCTTTTCCATCTTCTCAATTAAAAGTATAATAATAAATCATTCTAAAATTCCTTTTTTTGGGTGGTCTGAATCGTAAATCTTTATTAGATACGCGCCTTGAATCTTCTTTTGCAAACAAAAAAGATTTTTTTTTATCAAAAGTGCCGATGAAGGTTTTGTTTACTGTAAAAATGATGTAAAATGCAGGAATTTTGATAAAATTCAAAGTTTTCAACCAAACTTTGTGAAAAAATTGAGAAACCATTTTTCCGAGAATAAAAGTGATTTCAAAACAATTTAAAATTTCTTTTAAAAATTTTAATGTTTCTGGGAACTCCGAATATTCTGAAAAAATAGGACCAATCTGAAAAATTTTTCAAATCTGGAATTTCATTCGAGCCTGAAATTTTCGTATTTCTGACACTCGGAGCTTCCTCTCTGAAATTCCATATTTTCATAAACTTCCTCGATTTTTTATAAAAATTTTATTGAAAAAAATCAATCAGTAAAATCAAGTAAAACCAATATTTCAGAAAAAAAGAAAGAAAAAAAAGAGAGAGAGAGACAAAGAGATTTGAGAGAGAACAGAGAGAAATGATAAAAAATGCTCTAAATTTTCCACGGGAAAATAAAGTCTAAATAGATACTTTTAAGTATGTCAGTCAGTTATTACGCATCTTATTATTGATTTTTTGTCTTTTTTTTCGAAAAATTTCAAAGCTGAAAGTAGCGGGAGAGGAAGAGAATATGAAAACGATAATACTGTGTCACAAGGGAAAAAATGAAAATTACAGAGATTTTGACCTAGAACAAGATAAAAAAGAAAAAAGGCGAAGGGGTGAAAAAGGGAAGAAAAAAGGGGAAACACCGGAATTTGAATTTGAAATTTATGAAGAGAAAAAAATAGGGGAAAAGAAGCAAATTATCAGAGATTGTTAGTTTCTTTGATATTTCCTCGTGAAGATGAGCGGGCTGTAAAAATTTTTTGATTTTTGAGTGGATTCTGGGTGAAGGTGTGTGTTCTGGAAATTCAGGTTTCAGGATTTCAAAATTTTTGTGATTTCTTAAAAATTCAATTGAAACATGCTGTAGTTTTTCAAAGAGAAATATCTATTTCAGTCTGGAATTTTCAATTTTAAAATTCCTCGAAATCGGCTTTTTCCAAGAATCAGGAACTTCAAAAATTTTCCGAATCCTCAGTTTTGACAAAATAATTTCTGATGTTTCTAGAATTTTTTTTTGAAAAAAAATGAAAATTTAAAGTTTGGGAATTCAATAAATGTTTGACTTGTGGGAACTTGAAATTCCAACAGCGAAGCCTTTTTCAACAATTCATTTCCTCCCAAAAAACCAACCTCTATTCTCACTATCAACTTGCAATCTAAGTTGTCTACTAATTTCTCTAAGTCTAGCCGCCGATTGTCCAGTCAAACTCGGCTCTCTACGATCCAATCCGGCTTGGAACGCTTTCACCACTCGAATCTGCAAATAATGAAATTATGAATCTTGATAGTTTGATTTTTTGGATAACTAAAAATAAATACTAAAATTAGAACAGAAGTAAAACATATTACGATAATGAATAGAAGCGTTTTAAAGGTGATAAATAAATTTTGTTTGAGATTTTGTTTTTGTAAGGTAGAAGTTGTTAAAAGGTTTTTTTGGTTGAAAAATCACACATCACACCAAAAAATATTGCGAAATGTGGGGAATTTTTTCGAAGCAAAATTTCACCAACACACAACACAACATCAAAGTTTAGAAAAAAACCACGCCACCACCAAAAACAACAACTAGACTCTAGTTTTGTGTGTGATAGTGTTTGTGGGCCTTACTGCTTGATCTGTAGGTGCACTGCTTAATGGAACCGGAATCAAATGATCCGATCTTTCACCTCCAATAACCTGTAACACTTTTGATGAGTGAAAAAATGAATGAATGAATGAATGAAAAAATAATCGATCGGGGGAAATTGGTGATGAATTTTTGAGGGGAAGAATGAAAAATGTGCAAAAATATGAAATTGTTCGAATTTTCATCAGAAGCCATTTTCCCAGAAAAAAATATTCTGGGGATGAAAATTTGTAGCCCGCTATTTTGAATTTTGGGTTTTTCTCCAAAATGTTCTCATTGTTTTCTAGTGCTGTATTTTTTAATTAGGATTTTTAAGGCTGAATTAACGAGCCTAGATTTTTTTTATTTTCCAAATTTTGTTAAATCTAATTTTTCCCATTTCAAATATTTCTGCGTGTTTCTCATTGTCAGAAAAAAAACATCTCAAAAATCACTAAAACCAGCGGGGTGAGGCGAATAAAGGATTTGTGTATATCAGGAGAAAGTTTTTGGAATTCATGCAATTTTGGAATTATCGAAAAACCTTTTTCAATTCAAAAACTCAAAGTTAATAAAATTCACACGCAAAACTTTTAAAAATATTTTTATTGTTATCTTCAAATATCATAAAATAAGATAAAATATAATAATGTTTTAAAAGAAACAGATAAAATCGGAATACGATAAAAAACCAAACACTAACACAAACAAAAAACATTCAAATCCTAAATTGGCTAAAAATGCACAAAAAGTGAGAGAGAGAAAGAAAAACGAAAGAACTTTGAGGATAATAAAACATTTCGAACAAAGCTTCTCGATTGACGAATTTTTTGACAATTACTACCAGTAAAACACAAAAAGAAAACTATTTTAAATTATAATGTTTTTAAGATAAAAAAGAGAGAACAATGTTAGCTGAGCACAAAATGTTGATGTCGTCAATAAAGCCAAAACTGTATTAGATTTTGTGGAGAAAAAAGAACGGTAGAGGATAAATGTATCTGGCGAAGAAAATATGAAAAAATGTGGTAGTTTTTGGGGACAATACATGTCTCTTGAAGTCTTCTTCCAATCTAATTTCTTCAAAATTCCAAAAACCACAACATTTCTCCGATCTTCTGCAGATTCATAGATCCAAAAAAGAAAATTTCAAAATATAAATATTAAAAAAATGTCAAAATATTAGGTGGGGAAAACATATTACACGTGAGCAACAGACACCGGTGTGTCCAATGACATACTCTTATTGATACTCCTTTGAGTTTGTGTATAAGAGGAATTTGTATCTGGCGACCATTGTTGTACAAGTGGTACTTTCTCCATTTTTCCATTATTTGCCGCATTTCCTGTTGGAGCATTTGCACCACTTCCAGCTCCAGTCGCAGAGTTTCCATTCTCAACAACAATGTGTGGTTGTGGCGAAGGAGTTCGCGGTTGTTGATGATGATAATATGGATATGGTTGGGGTGATTGGCGATGTGCCAAACCCGCCATTCCGCTTCGCATTCCAGCTGGATCTGGTGAGGCGGCAGTTGTTGTGTGTCGACCGCTTCCCCAGAATCCGCCACGCATTGATTGAACTGAATGGGTTGAAGCAATTGAACGACGCTCGTCGAATTCTTCGAGAGAAGAACGGAATGCTTTGACAACACGTAGCTGAAAATTGAGGGGTTAGTAGGAAAATGAAAAAAATGGAATAATATCAATGATAATGGAAAAAGTTTGAATAATGGTTATTTTCGATTTTCGGGTGGTTTTGAAGATTTTCAACATACTCCAAAAGAAGTCAAGAGGTGGAAAAACTGGAAAACTTCTGAAGAATTTCAAGTTTTCAATGAAAATTCAAATTCTAAACATGAAATTATAAGATTTTCTATAAATCAGATAAATCTTGAAATTAAGCTTCAAATTCATTTTTTTTTGAAATAGGAATTTTGGTAAAAAAAATGAAAACGACTAAAACCTTCAGAATTTGTGAGTTGAAATTGTCAAATCTCAGATTTTAAAAAATTTATGAGTTTTATTGTTTGATTGAAACGAAACCTACTTTGAAATTTTTCAATTTTTTTTACAAATTTGAAAAATTCAGAATTTCGGTCATAGAATATCTGATCTCAAAATTCCAGGCCAATTCTGGAGTATGAAAATTTTCCACTTCAAAAAGACACCCAAAAAATCGTGATAAATAAATAAAAATGAAAAACAAAGAAAAAGAAAAGAAAAAAGAATCACCGTTTTTTTTATGAAAAAGAAAATTCATGAAAAACCTGAGCAACACTCTCTTTCAATTCAAAATGTTAGATGCGACCGTCGGAGTTGGTAGGTTGTGTGCCATTTCGGAAAGTAAGTTAGTCAAAAATCAAAAAAAAAAAACCGAAACTAAATAACCAAATGTTAGAAAAAGGCAAAAGCATTAACGAAAAACTCAAATTTGTTTCTTCTTCTTCGATTAATTCAATTAATAACTTTCAGCAAAAAATAAATAAATATAAATACCAAATGAATATTCACTACAGCACTTGAAGCATGCGGAAAAATATCAAAAAAACTTCTAGAAAATGAAATGAAAAGTGAAACTCAACCACAGTTTTCGAAATTGATTAGAATATATTTCTGTTTTCGCGGAAGGAGTTAGAAGCGATGATATAATGTTAGTTTTATTGTTTTAATTTTGCGTAATTTGTTGGAATTTTAATTAGCCAAAAAAGGACAAAACAAGAAATTCGTTGAGTGCGTTGCGTTGAATTCAGGAACTTTTTTGGGAACTGGCTGGAAAATCGATAAATGAAAAATTTAAAAAATTCAACCAGTTCCAAAAAAATTCCCTATTTATATAATTTTTGGTTAGGACAAAACAACAAGACGTTTTGCCTCACATAAAATATAGGTTAGAAAAATCCTCAAAAAAAAGCGATTTCATTTCTTGTTGAGGGAACGAGTAGCGGGGTTATCACAGCATCCTAAAAGAGGAACAAAAGGAGATATTTTTTTCCGGAGAGGGAACTCCCAAAAAAAGGTTAAAAACACACGTCGATCGGTCGCATCTTCATTTCGATTATGAAAAAAATAATAGTGAGAGAGGGAGTGTTTTGTTGTGCTCAAAAAATAAATAAATACCGCTGCAAAATATATTTTTTGTATTTTGTTGTAAATTGTATTTTTCGATTTTTGTTTTGAAAAAAAAAGACTTTTCGATAATTCCAGGACACAACATGAATAAATAACGACTTTTGCACGGTGTTTCACAAAATGACGCACATTCCGGTTGGGATTCTTCAACAATCCCAAAAAACACAACACAAAAAGACACTGAACAAAAAAAAGATTTTGAAAAATAGAAACAAAAGAATACACAAAAAAATTTGAATTTCTATCATGCTCTAAATTTTTCTACTTGTTTTTATAAATTAATTAACTATTAAACTAATTAATTAATTAATTCAACTAATCACTGAAAATAAACTAAAATAACACACACACAATCCTTTATTCACCTAGTCCTAACCTGTTTTTTGATTTTTTTTGAATAATGTTTTTTTTCGTTCAAAAATCTCAAGACACATCAACCATATAACTCCGCACGCAACATTGAGAACAGCTCAAGATTTTCAGTTTTTCTCTACCAAAAAAACAGTCATTCTTTTCTCTCTTTTCTGTTTCTCTGCGTCTCTTACTCTCTCCTAATTTTTCCTAGTAACCAAAAAAAGAGAAATAGAAGAAGCAAACTAAGGCTAATTTTTTTCCTGTTTCAATTTTTTTTGGCGATAAGATAGAGAAAAATCAAAAATAAAAAAAAATTCGTTTGAGGGGGTGAAGGTGGGGGATAATTATTGATATATAAATAAATAAATAAATAAATATAAAATCAAAATCGAAACAAAAATGACATACCTGTGTTTGAAGTCGAGTCAATCCGCGAACCCACAAGATTTGTCCCGATCGTTTCTCGTGAGTGTCCGAATCTTCATAATCTGGCATAAGTGGATCATTGTCTGGAGCTTCGCCAGATCCAATAGTCATATTTGCTGGCAATGATCCAGTTGGGATTGATGTTACAATCTACAAGAAAAAAAATAATATTTCAGCTTATGAAACAGGGTTTTTTCAAATTTATTTTGAAACAATTCTCTCTAAAAATTGAGATTGGCCTATGATTCTGAATTGAACATTTTCGAAGATTTTTAATCTAACGGCCCTAATTTGTGTCCCAAAACATACTTGTCCCCAAAGAAGAGTTCCAACTCCGAATGCCAAACACCACAACCATTGATTCACATCCAAAGGAGCTGTACTGAACCATCTTCCACCAAATTGAACAATAATAACCTGGGAGACGAATGTGGCAATCCAGATAACATAATAGATTGGATTCGAGAACAATCCCTTGAAAATATTACGTTCTCCGTGAATTTTACGAGCATTGATCTCATTGAACAAAGTCATCATGACAAAAGTGTTGAAGACAATTGTGAAATGAACTGATGGCTCAGAATGAAGCGGTGCCCAGCGACCAGATTTAATCGAGAACAAAACTTCTCCATAGAAGATGAGAGTGAACAAAAGAACGAGTTGATAAATAGCGTGTCCCAAGATGTTTTTGCTCATTGTTCGAGAAATCAATGGAGCTGTACGACCATATGGTTTACGTTTCAATAATTCTTCAGTTGGCATTTCAGTGGCCAAAGCGAGAGAAGCCAAAGTGTCCATAATCAAGTTGACCCAAAGCATTTGAACAGCTTTAAGTGGAGTATCTTGGATAGCACAGGCTCCGACGAATGCAACAACAACAGCGACAACATTGACTGTCAATTGGAATTGCAAGAATTTTGCAATCGAATCGTAGACATTACGTCCCCACATAACAGCCTGAAAATATGGGAAAATTGTTTAGGGAAAAAAATTCGGTGAATTACTTTTTTTGAAAGTTAGCTTTTTATAATTTTCCCAATTTTTTTTCAAAATTTCTTGATTTTGGCCCGAAAAAATTGAATTTTTCGAAAAAGTGGTCCGATTCAGAATTTTTCTCAAAAAATAGAGCCTGGCCCGAGAGCCCCCTTCATATGGTCCTATTCAAAATTTGCCGAAAAATAGCTGGCTGAAAAATTTATCAGAAAGTGGACTTCTTCCAATTTCGTAAATTTACAAAAGGCCTGAATTCAGGCCTGAAATAAGCCCGGAAACTTCTGTAGGTCCGAAAAACCAGAAATTTGTTTTAAAAAACTTCTAAAAGCATATTTTTTAAATAATTAAGTTTTATATATTTTTAATAATCAAGAAATCCTATCACAAAAAGTTTTTGTCAATTTTTCAGCAAAAAAATTATCCCTCCTCTGAACCACTGAAATTCTCCTACCTTGACAATGGATGTGAAATTATCATCAGTCAAAATAATATCAGAAGCCTCTTTAGCAACATCAGTTCCAGCAATTCCCATAGCAAATCCAACATCAGCTTTCTTCAACGCAGGTCCATCATTAGTTCCATCTCCAGTTACAGCAACAACTTCTCGTGAATCAGTAACTCTTGAGTCAATAATTCCCTTGACCAAAGTGTATTTGTCGGATGGTTGAGCTCTTGCCAAAACTCTCAATTTTGGCCAAATCAAGTCCAATTTTTCCTGTGAAACCTCGCCATTTTCATCACGAATTCTTGCGTTGAAATCTTTTCCTTCCAAAGCGATAAAATCTTCGCCAGCTTTCAAAATTCCGCAAGCAGTTGCAATTGATCGAGCAGTATTGATGTTATCTCCAGTAACCATTCTGACAGTAATTCCAGCTTCTTGACATCTTACAATTGCAGCTGGTACTTCTGGTCGAACTGGATCTTGAATTCCCAAAATCGCGATAGCAGTCATATCACCAACAATAAGCTCTTCATTTTCCCAATCTGGTTCTCCAGTATAAACAATTTGATTATCCGAAGTTTTCTTATTGGCTGGAACATAATCTTTATAAGCAACACAAATTGTACGAAGTCCATCAGAAGCCATTGGTTCAATTACATCGCGCACAAGATTTTCTTGATCTTTTGGCGAGAATTTTGTGATGACTCCATTCTTTCCAAGGAAATGTTTGCATCGTTTTGTGACAATTTCAGAGGCTCCTTTTGAGAATACACGATATCCACCATCAGGAAGATTGACAACAGTTGACATACTTTTACGAACAGAGTTGAAAGTATAGACCTAAACACAAGAAATTGTATGAATTTGATAATTGGGAAAACGTTTTATTTAAAAATATTACCTTTGGAATAGTTTCTTCAGGATGTTTGTCTCGAATATCTTGATAACTTTTACCCAAAGCCAAAACGAATCCCAACATTCCACATTCAGTTTTGTTACCCAATTGAGTCGCTTGTTCTCCCAATTGTTTTGGTGGAATGACTTGAGATGAATAACTCGAATTAATCGAAATACAATCAAGCAAAACTTTGACTGTATTCGCTTCCAATTGCTCAACTTTTGGTGTATCTTTATAATGAACCTCGTTGATATAAGATTGAACAACAGTCATTCGATTTGTTGTCAATGTTCCAGTTTTATCCGAACAAATTGAGGTGGCATTTCCCATTGTTTCACAAGCATCCAAATGTCTGACCAAATTATTATCCAACATCATTTTCTTAACTGAATAAGCCAATGAAAGTGTGACAGCAAGTGGTAATCCTTCAGGAACAGCGACGACCAAAACAGTAACTCCGATAATAAGGAAATTGATGAAATATTGGAAATCGGAGAGTTTGAAACCATTTCCATCGATTGCATATTGTTTGATACAGAATCGAATGATAAGAATAAGAACTGTGCAACCAGCAACAAATGAACCAGCATATCCAATTTGAATGGCCAATCGAGTAAGTTTGGCTTGCAAAACAGATCGTTCTTTTTTGCCATCAGCTTCAGCCGATCCAACTTTTCCATTTGCCATTGCTTCTTCGCCTTTTGAATCTGTAAACAATTGTTTTATTTCTAGAATCAGAATTTTACCGTTTTCTGTCTCACAAGGGAACTATTTTCTGGAATCAATACAGTTTGAAATTTCCATCAATTTTCAAAATGATTCCGAAAAAGGTCCCCTTGTTTATTCATTTTCAAGAAATCGTGTTTATTCTTCAAATAGCCCTCAAATCAAACGGCCAAAAAAGAAAAAAAAGAGAGAGAGACAACAGAAAGTGTGTCTAATCTATATATGAATAAACAACATCCATATTGAAATCATCGTCGGATTCAGGCCAATCAAAGCAATAACTTACCAAGAAGTGCTTGCGCTGTTCCTTCTTCGGCTCCACTTGCTCCATCTCCTCCTAAAACAAATATCATCATTCCAAAACTATCAGGTTTTCTTTTCGTTTTAAAAAAAGTGAGAAATACAAGGTTTTGAATCACAAAAATATGATTCAAAACCTTGGATTTTTCTTGAAGATAAAGTCGTGAGATCCAAAAATAAATTATACTTTGTGACAAAAATTGATAGTTTTCCTTTTCTATCCAGAAAAACGTATTTTTGATTCCACGACCTTCTCTTTTCAGACATTATTTTTCTTATTTTGATGTTCAAAACAAAAATATTCAATTTTTTTTTGTTTTGGGGACCAAACCACAGAACAAATGTGAGGGTGATGTAAAAGAAAAAGACAACCATCATGTGCCGCAACACAACGATCATTCAAAAATGTTCTTCTTTTTTTTCTTGACAGACTTGACTCATTTTTTACGGCCGGAAATAACAGATAGATAAAAAAAGATAGAGAAGAGAAGATAAAATAGAAACGAACGGATGCAATTTTCAAAAAAACCTAATTTTTTCAAAACATTTTGTGGTTCAGAGTGTTTTCTGAACCCGATAGAATTTCATTTCACTTCAAAAAGAGATAGAAATAGAGTAGAAGTAAATATCAACAACCACAATATTCACGAAAGTTCGAATGAAAAAAACAAATACCATGATTATTGTGGTTTTGTTGTTGATGATGAGATTTGATCGAGGAACGAGAACGTCGATCTGAAGAATAAGAGGACCCCATAAGAAAAGGTTTTTCTACGAATTTTTCTTGTTAAAACATTAATCAAGCTCGTGCTCGTAAATAACGGGAAAATTAATCTAGAAAAAAAACAGGGGAATTGGGGGAAAGGAATCTCATGTACTCCAGAAACTGAAAATATTCAAAAAAATACCTTCACGTTTGGCAGTTTTTCTCTCCTCTTCCGCAACAGTTTTCGCCGCTCCAAGAAGTGTCATAATAATACCAGTTTGCGAGTTAACACCAACAGCGGTAACCAACATTTTTCCAGATCCTTCCATAACATGAGTTCCAGATAGGAGAACTGGGTCATGTTCGGGGCTTTTGCGGATTTGATCAGATTCTCCGGTCAATGAGGATTCGTCGATTTTCAGGTCATTTGATTGAATCAAAACTCCGTCGGTTGGCAATAAATCTCCGTATTTGATTTGAGCGATATCTCCAACAACAAGTTCGTTGACAACAACTTGGATCGATTGTCCGCCACGAATTACGAAGAAACGATGTTCGGTTTCGATTTTCGCTTGGAGACCTGAAAAAAAGATTGTGAACAAAACTGCCAATTAAAAAAACTCATAAATTTAAATGTTGGCCAAAAAATATTATCAGATTTTGAGAAATGAGCTTTAAAATTGGTTTCGCTTAGAAAGATCCTGTTTCTAGATTTCAGAATTTGAAAAGTCATTTAACAGAGTTTTAGAACTTCAAAGCACAATTTTCAGTTAAAGAAAAATACAGAAACATGAATTTTCTCTTAAAGTCTTGCCACCCAAAAACTCACCTCTAAATTGACGTTCTTTGGTATAATCGTTCAAGGCAGTAACTAAAACAACAACAACAACCGAAATCAGAATAGCAACACCTTCAATCCATCCAGCATCGTGTTCACCATCATCATTTCCGCCGCCTCCTTCCTCTTCTGGTGGTCGATAAAATGACAAAGCTAATGAGATAATTGCAGATACGAGAAGAATTACAAGTGTTACATCCTGCAAAAATATTGGATTTTGATTGGTTCCAATTTTTCCAGGTAATCAATTTCTCAAGTTTCACCAAAATCAAACGTCCAATTTCAGCCTGTTATTATTTTTCCAATAATTTTGTTCTAAAAATAAATCAAAATTATAGATTCCCAAATTTTAATAACAGCCTGTCCATCCAAAATTTCCCAATTTTCTCGAAAACAATTAAAATTATCTCTCCTCCTTTTTTGTTCATACGTAAACCTTATTTCGTGTAAATCCGTTTTAGTTCAGTCGTTTTTCCTATTTCTTCCTTCGCGTAGCAGCCACCCACTCATGCATATTCAATGATTTTCCCCTTTCCAAAAAAAAAAAAAGAAAACCGAAGAGGGCTCCAAAAACTCAGAGTTTTTCGTGTGTGTGAGCGGGCTGGCTGGCAAGAAGAAGAAGTGAATGGAGATTAGTGATGAAAAAATGAGCGCAAAAAAATCTTGGCGAGCACAAAACCCATGGGAGCCTTTTCGGAAGGCTCCGAACCAATTTATCATTTTTGCTGAGTTTTTTTTCCAAGAAATACATGCATCCGGGTGGTATTTTCAGATAAATATGATCAAGATTTACCTGAAGTGCTTCCCAAACTAATTGCAAAAAGCATTTTGGTGGATGTGGTGGAATTTCGTTCGCGCCAAATACATTTCGCCTATTTTCAAGTTCTTCTTCTGTGTTCGGTAAACCTGAAAAAATATGATTCATTTCCGATTATGATTCATGGTTTTATTGTATTGAAGATTTCGAAACTTTCTAAAACTTTAATAAAAAATTCGAAGTGATTCACTTCGGAAGTTTGAAAATTCGAATTTGGGTGGTCACAAACTCATGCAACAATGAAGAACACAAAAAATAAGAGAGCGCAAACAGTTTTTCAAAAATAAGATATTTTTGCTCTCTCCGTTCTGTGTGTTCTTTGATCTCAAATTCAAAAACCTAATTGTAAGATTGTGTGAAATCGGAGCAGGTCCGATTTTTTCAGACCTGGCCCAATTCCTCGGATTCGGTCCGCAAATTCAGGGCAATTAAATTCAATTTTTCGTAATAATATATCTTCATTGTTTTTTCCATTTCCCCGCACCTTTTCACCCTGAAAAACTCACCATTATTTGGATCTGTCTTCAATTTTTCGCACAATCCAGCTGTTCCACCATAATCATTTTCAATCTTTTCCTTCGCTTCGGCACCTCGATATTCCATCAAAGCGCGAAGTTCTTCGAGCGATGCTCCATATTGGGGCATCGTGCTGCAAAAAAAAAACAATTATATTGTTTTCAAAAAAAAAACAAGGAAAAAACTAATAAAGACGGGGAGAAATAATGCATTTCACACGGTTTTTCCCGAGAACCTAACAAAAATAAATGAATATCGATTGGTAATGACTAATATACTATTTTTTAGTAAACACCACTCCCACATAGAAGAAAAAACAGAAATATTATATTTTTTGTGAGACACAAAAAACTATCAAAAAATAAATATAACGATTCACATATTCAAATGATGTGTTCGAGTTTTTTTGTGTTGTCAATCGGTCGGACGCACGCAAAATCTTCGTGGGATAATAATTGAGAAAATCGACATCAAGCAGAAGAAAAAAATCAAAAGGATGTTCTTTTTTTTCTAAAAATGTTTAGAGATGAGGAGGAGAAAAGCAGACAAAGTTTTGTGCGAGCAGAAGAATATTTCTTTATTGATGTGAGAAAGAAATTTTGTGATGATGAAGAAAAAAGAAATAAAGAAAGGAAACGGATTGATTCCAGAACTATTTTATTTCCGAAAAAAAAATTGACAGACATTTTTATCAAATTTGAAACGGGTTTGATAGATTGTTGAATGAAAAATAGATGGACTAGGACGAAAACCTAGTCCCTCTGATTTTTCATAAAAATTGGATCACCAAAGGAATCGGTTCAGGTCCATTTTTTTTTCAAATTTCGTCGGGGACTAGGTTTTCATTTGTCCTATTTTTCAGTGTTTTCTAGGCCAATTTTCTCATCTTTTGCAAAAAATTCAATAAATTTTAGACCGATATTAATTCCCAGCCGCATTGAAAGTATATTTAAATTTAATGAAAATAACAACAGAATATTTTTGAAAAATACGTTCTTTACACTTTTAAAAGATGCTTATATCAAACAAACAAACATGTACAGTTAAAAAACGTCGAAATGAGAGACCGCATATAAATATTCTTATCAATTGTTAAAGGGAGCCAGCGATTGTCGTCAATGAGTACAGAAAAAAGTTGAAGAACACAAAACCTTCAGAAATTAATTTTTGTAAAAAATAAACTTTTTGCAATAAAAAAATTTGATGAAACAAACTTGTGAATCATGGAAAATCGATGAAAATGTTTACATCGCTCCTCAAAAAAAAATAATTTAATAGGATTAGATGTGTTCTTCGAGAGATGACAAATGAGAGAAAAACATTATAAATAACAACAAGAAGACACATGTATTTAAAAAGTAAATGATGAAGAGGAGAAAAACGCACCACGGACGCAAAAAAAAACGAGAAGAGCTCAATAATATAGAGAAAGGCTCTTTTTACGCCTCACCAAACACATAAAACAATTTAGCATTCTTCTGTTTTTTTCGGGGTTGGTTTTGAAAAAAAAACCTTCTAACGGAAAGAAAGAAGAGGTTGGTTGAATCAGTTAATTTTGAAGACAAAAAACGTATATCGAAAAAAAAGAATGAAAATTGGTTCTCAAAAAAAAACCCGAATAAATTGCATGTTTCTTCAATACGAAATGTCACCTCTGGTTTGGTTTGTTTTCAAATAAAAATATTATATATTGCTTCTACCACTTTTTTGTTCAAACGAGAAAAAAACCGAAAAAGAACCTGGCTCCTCCTTTTTTGAAGAGACAAGACAAAAATTAATCGTACGAATGAAGAAGCCCCGCCTTTTTTATCAGAAAATTTAAAAATCTAATTTTTAATCGAAACGGACTGAACATTAAAAACAATTTCGAATTCAGGAGAAAATTCCTAGAACAAAAACAACTAATGGATCTGAAAGCCAAGAGTTTTTGAAAACGACCGGATTTTTTTTTGGAATATTTTTCTTATTGAAATTTTAGGTGTCTGAATCGGAAATATTTCAAAAAAATCTCCGATGTTTAGGTCTCGCAAAAAATCAGATGTTGTTAAGCTTCAAAACGTGGACCATTAATTTTCCGAAAAATGATTGTCCAAATTTTGTAGCTCCTCAGCTTGGCTCATGAATTAACAACCCAAAAAATGGATTCTTCATAAAAACTAGGAGAACCGTATTTCTATATCTATTTCATTCACATAGAAAACAGCAAAAAAATTCATCGAAAAAACAAGTAAATAAATGAACATGTGTTGTTTTTGCATGTCTCTTTTTTTTCTTTTTTCTATATTTTGTTGTTCTTTTTTTTCATCCATCTCACTGTTCTGTTCGATAAAGACAGCCAGTGTGCAAAATAGCTATATTGGATGGATGAAAAAGAAAAATATATATACAGATATTTATAAGCTTATTTATTTATACTAGATATAAAGATATTGCGAAGTTTTAGTCTTAGCTCGAGCTTGTTTTTTCTTTTTCTTTCGAAATATTTCTCCGAAGAAATAAAAAACATAAACAAAACCTTTGATTATATATACGATAAAATATATAATAACACACATAGCTTGTTAAAAAAATTGGAAAATACATAATTTTTATGTGTGTGAAATTTATGGGTTTCTACGAAAACCACGAAAAAAAACCTACATGTTCTAGTAGTCGAGTTGCGCCAACCAACCAACAAAAAAGTCCGTTTTAGTTCGTCAAAACTCTCAGTACACTGCTGCTCTGAAAAAAAAAACGAAAAATGACAGATTTTTGACAAGGGAGTCGTTTTTGCCTTGAAAAGAAATTGAGTAAAGAAGGGGGTGATGAAATGAGTTGAGTTGTCTAGAGAAGACAAGTTCGAAAAATTTGAATTGCATGAAAAAAAAGACGGATGAAGAAAAGTTTGAGCTACTTTCATTTCGTTTGAGCTTATTTCAAATAAAAACTAACAGGCAATGAGATTAAATTTCAGTAGATCACTCTTTTGTTGGAAGGAGAAGAAGAAAAAGGTCGATTTCTCTCAAAGAGCACACAGAAAACACACATTTCATTTCATTTTTTGAAAACGTTTCGTTTCGTAATTATAAATGAATCATCGAAAGGTCGTTTTGACTGTCGATCATTCATGGAATTCGATAGCGAAATGGCGAAAAATTATTTCTTAATAAATACATTTCCATAGCGACAGCAAAATCTATTTATACAAGACGAAAATTACTACAAACTTCGTTATTGCAGCTGGAGAAGGAAAAAAGAAGTTATCTAGATACCTCTACTTTTTCTCGATTTTAATTATTCATAACGGAGCAGCCACTTTAGCTAGCTGTGAGACAATTTTAAGCACCTATTGTTTTTTTCTTTCGCGTTTTTTGTTTCGAAAAAAAAAAGGAAAGGCAAGAACAAAGAGTTGTGATGTACTTCACTGCATTTTTTTAAACGAAATTTCCAAAAAAAGAGGTGGTAGAAAATTCTTGAATAGACAAAAAATGAAAAGATCCTAAAAATGCACCTTATCTACTTCCCCGCTTATAAGAATCAATCACTATTTGCTCTTCGGAACCTGCCCTAGAATTTCAAAATCTTGCTTCAATTAAAAAAACGACATGATAGTCCTTATGAAGCCTCAAGAAAACAAAACTCGAAAAAAAAGAAAAATTTGGGCGGAAAAAAGTAAGAATGAAAGTGTGCTCTATTGATAATCTGTATTTGGCAATGAGTACGGTATGCAAGAAGTGTTTGCAGACCATGAATATTTTTATTTTAAAATTTTTCATTTTCAAATTTGAATTTTTAAAACTTTGCAAAACCCTGAAACTAACCTTGTTTTTATAAAAGTCGAACACGTCAAATGAGCATATTATCGAATAGAAAATCTAAAATATTTCTAGGTTTGGTGGTCCCAATTTGAGCTCCACTACTTCCTCCGCTCCTTGTTGTGAGTAAAACTGTAAATGTAAATACTAGTCAGTGTTGTTTTTGATCAAAAAAACAGAAAAAGGAACCGAAAAAGGCAACAAAAAACGACAATTGAATGGGCACAATTGAAGACGTCGGAAAGAGAGAGGAAAAGAGAAAAAGATGCGAAAAAAACGGACGGAAAAATCGAATTTGCTCGTATATGTGCACAGCTTTCACTGGCTCACCGGAAAGAGGTAAGACTTTAATTTTTTGGGGTGAAAATGGGGGGGAGAGCAACGAAAAAATGGACTTTAACAATATAAATATTGAAGATATGTAATATATAAATATTTGGGCAATGTTTAGAAATATACTGCGCACGCACATTGGTATGACAGTTTGAATGTTTACTTTTTAACATTGATTTTTGTATTTGTGTGTGAAGCGGGCAGCAACAAAAAAATTTCGAAAGATGTGAAACGTTTTCTAGCCACGATAGCCACAGATTTACGATATTATAAACATATGGCAAAACATTTTATATCTTTTCTTTTTACAAGTCTCGAAAAATTTTGTTGAAGAAATAGGTTGAATTGTCTGACAAATCAGATATAATTATAGTTTCGAATGAAAGATAATCTTGATTTTTAAGTCACAAAATACTCCGTGAGTCCTAGAATAGAATGGGGACTAGATTACGAGTTTCGCGATTTTTCTTCAGCTGTGTACAGTTGTACATCGACTAAATAAATGACCTTTTCATATTTTTTACGCAGATGAGTTGAAATCGTGGGTTTTAGTTGTATACATAAGATAGACAGACTTAAGACATTTCAAATGATATCATTTTGAAAAACTATATATTTTTCTCAGGTGGTCTGTCCTTTTAGTACGGTTAAAACGTGAAATTTCAACTGACTTGCGCAAAAAAAATTAATTTGTACGAAGTTAGAATTTTCAAAAGAATTATTAGTTTTCCTTGATTTTGGAAAACCAAAAAGAGAAACTTGTGACATTTCAGGTTTAATTAATGTAACATTTCATGTCAGAAAGTGTTTCACAGCAAAACGTCATAAAAATCTCACAAACAAAACAAAAATCTGCAAAAAAGGTCAAAAACCATTCACTAAATCATATTCAAATTCGAATTTCCTATCCTATCCTATTCTCCTCAAAAAAAGTTTGAGCATGCAAAAAAATCGAAAAAAAAAGTATGTATGTGTATGGCCCTGGCCAGGGCTCTTTCTCTCTTTTCGGCAGAAAGAGCGTTTAAAACACGGAGAGTGGTTTGAGAGAACAGAGAGAAAAGAACACAACAACAAGTTTATTGTCAAGAAAAGAAGAAGAAAGAGCAGATGAAGAAAAAAAGACGATGAAGCAGAAGCAGAAGAAGAAGATGCCACTTTACACAACTTCTCTCTTTCTTCTGGAGAAATGAGGAAAATAAATATATATCTCACATTTTTTGCCGTACGTATTAATTATTTTTCGGCACCGAACACATGAAAAAACAACAAAAAACGATGGAAAAATGCCAGAAGCGAGCAAATTGATTAAAAAGGGATTGATTGGAAAAATGACGAAGTCATACACAAATTGGGACCAGACCAGAATAGGAAGGAAGAAAAACAAAAACAGGGAAGTGAAATAAATGTTGACATAGAAGATATCTAAAAATATATATATCTACAACAACTGAATAATAACTCAGCCAGTCAGACAAGTGATACTCTCAAGTGGTGAAAAAAAACGAGAAAAGTCAAATAAACAAAGAAAACAAAAAAAATGGAACACTTTGGAACAGAAAAACAGCGAGATTTGATAAGACAAAAAAACAACAAATCGAATTTGATGAAAACCAACCTCGAATTTTTTGTTGTTTTTTTCAACACAGAGTAAATAGATCGAAAAAGAGAAATGACGTTACGGACCATTGAGCATGAGAAAATTGAGTGAGGTCACGATAAAAATCGCCAAATATTTTTTGTGATTTTTTTTTTGAAATGTTTTTGTTTGGGAAAGTACTTGAGTTGTTCTCCGAAAAATCACAAAAGATCAGAGAGAAAAATATGTCTCGAACTTTTTGGATGTTCTTTGGAAATCATTGGTAGATATTTCAAATAATTGGGGGCGGGGTTTTGAATAGAAAGCCAGGAATAGGTGTAGCTGTTCGATATTTTCGGCAACGTTCCGTGCTTCGAAAATCTGTCAGAAAAAATTTCTCGATGAAACCAGGTTTACTTTATTAAATTTTGTGTCCCTTGGAAGAGAACCAATACATTCTGAAAATCGTAATCGATTATTTTCAGTGACCTTTGAATGCGCTTCCTTTCAATTTGTCATCTCGCTATGTTTATTTTATCAAAGATTGAAATCTTTTGTGACACATTCTCGAACCAAGAAAAAGTAAGTTGCCGAAAAGATAGAAAAGCGGCCATCAAAAACACAAAAAAGCCTAGAGAACCGCCCGATTCTATCTATCCTTCACCGACAAATGATGTCATGAATGGATTTGAATCGAAAAGATAGAAAGAGAGAGAAGAGAAGGTCAGAATTTTTAATTTTCTCCATTTTTTGCTGCTCTTTCTGAGAAGGTATTCCGATTGAAAAATGGATTCTCATCAAAATGGCAGTAAATTGTTGGTGCTCGCATAAAATTGGCTTTTAAAACGAATTAATTAAAAAGCGGTTCATCTTCTTTTTTCGCTTTTTTTTGTTCTCGAAATTAAAACAAAAAAAAACACAAATTTTCCGACCGAAAAATGAAGCAGAAGAAATCCAAGGAAACCGAGCGATTTTTCTTCGCCTTGCAGGTTTCTTCATAAATATTTAAGATCTCACCTTTTTCGTGGACACCTTTTCAAAAATTCGTATAGCACGAAAGAGAAAAAAAAAACTGTTAGGTTTCTCTCAACAACAAAAACCAAACTGATTTGTGGTTTAGTTTTGAAAAAAAGGAAGGGTGGTTGAGGGTGTTGAAAACTATGTAAATCGGGTTAGAGAGGATTATTCAAAAATATTAAACCAAAAAAAAATACATTTATTTATTTAGAGTTTGTGGTCATTTTTCGCAACGAAAAGATCAGAATTTGGTCGATTGGTCGAGAAAGTTTTGAAAAAACAATAATTGGATCAACAAAACCTACTTAATTTTCAAAGAGCAGCTCAGGAAAAAAAGAAAGTATCAAGTTAGGGTCAAGTGACACTTGTTAAACCAAAATTTATTGTAGACTAAATAAATAAATAATAACGAAATTGATCAAAATGATAAGATAGAAGTAGACGAGAAAGTACAATATTTTTCAAAAAGGAAAAATAGAAAGTAGAGATGTTTGAGGTCAGAAAACCGTTAATTTGCAGACAAGAAGGAAAAATGGTTCTAAAGGTGGATGGAGGGAGAGAGGAAGTAAAGTTAGAATTAAATTCATTTGGCACCGGATTCTAGGAGGATAGCTGGCTTCGCGAAGTACGGTACTTGGCTATTTAGAAATTAAGTCACCTGAGTTCATAGGTAACCAATTAACCTTGTGTCCCTAACTACATCGTGATCACTTTGGTGAATCGAACAGAGCGGGCTCGTAAACCCGAGGTTCCTAATTTTATGTCAGAATTTTGTGGGTCTGTAGACTGCAGAGTTTTCAAAGGATAAACTCGGCGAAGATTCCAAATGTGATAGACCAAAAAATTGGTTCAAAAAATCTTCCCCAGGTTCCTCCTTCTCAAATTAAAAAAAATCTAGTACGCAAAAAAAGTGTTGCAAAACGTTTGAAAAAAAAGAGAAAAAACTAAATAGTAAGGCACAAAAAAATTCTTCCGCTTTTTTTTGCATTCATCTTAAACCGAAAGCGAAATAGAAGAGAAATAGAGTGGGGGAGGGGTCAAAACAGCTTAGCTCTTCTTCTTCTTCTTCCTCTCTTTTTTTCTCGTCACCGTAAAGGCCTCAACACAACAAATGTCGACGTCGTCTCTTGCTTGCCTTGCCAGTGGCACCAGAGATGTCTAGCGCCTCTTCAGGCGTCACACTATTCTTTTCTGATCGATAAAGAACAACAACTGCCATACTGCCTGCCGACGACGATGAACAAGAAGAAGGAGAAGAAGAAGAAGGCGCGCGGAGCAGTAGTTTTTTTTTTGAAAAAAAAAGAAGAAGAAAGCTGGGGACTCTGGGGAAAATATCGGGTGATATATGAGCCAGCAAGTCAGTTTCTCGGTTTGTGTTGCCATTTTTTGCGTCGAGTATCATATATGAGATATACATATACATATAACAAATAGACTATGGTCTAAACAAAAAGTTTTTTGAAATCCTCTTTCCATCACGTCATTTTGAATTACCTGAAAGAACGAAAATGGTAGTGAGATAATCCGGTTCGAGTGAGAATTTTTGAAATACACGTATCTAGTTAGGTAGACAACTAAATTTTGAACTAGAACTATTTGGAATTTTGAAAAAATTATTTCAAAAATTATGTGTGGGTTGGCAAGAAAAGTAGCACGTTAGTTTTGGAAATTTTAAGCTGGTAGCTTATAATTTGGGCCAGGTTCGAATAAATGTTCAATCATACTGTACAGCAAAGCCTGACCCGATCCCTTGGACTCCAGTGGTTTTTTTTCTGAAAAAAAAATCAGAAACTTGAAAGCTCCTACAGCAAAACCAAAATACACATTGTGCATAATTCGATATTATTTACATTTTCATTAAAATGTTCATCGCTCAAAAATCTTACCTTCTTCTCCAAGGTTTTTGAACATATATCAAATTTCAGCCGATATATTTATGTAATAAAATTGACCTGCAAAGATCAAATCAAAGATTCTCGCCAACTAATGAAAAAACGTATTATGGGAAGAAGAGAAATCTAGCCACCGGTTTCGAATTTCGATATTTTTCCCACGCGGAACCCGTAGTCATCGGATATTTTTCTGTGTTGTTTTATTCAAATTAGCTTCTCGCAAAGGTTTGACACAATACAACACGTTTGGGATAATCTTTGAAGAATGCAACCTCGAAATATGGGAAACTACGTCAAAAATCTATACGATTGCGTACAAACGAACAATTTTTCGCTGATAAAATTTTAAAATGCATTGTTATCAAACAGTTTCTTACGTAAAAATGCAAATACTCAACTTATAAATATGCGTCACGAAAAAACCGAAAATAGATAAATTTTCGAGGTATTTTTAGAATTGAGAGAAGGGGTTCTTGGAAAATTTGAAGTGAGTACTGTAGCACTTTTTTTTGAATGATTTTTCCAGACAAAATGTGTTCTAATCAGAAAAAAGGGTGTGTACAGAATACAAATAGGATATCAGGAATTCCAAAAAAAAATGAATATAAAAATCTTGATATCAGGGAACAGTGTTAAAAATTATTCGAACTCATCTTTATTTTTTAACAGTGTTAAAAATTATTAAAACTTTTTTTAATGTCCATTTTTGTGGTCCCATTTAGTATTTGCCTGAAAATATTCCATCTGTTCAAAAAATAAAATAAAAAATATCACGTGAAAATTTAAACGTGTTCCAATTTAAAGATATCTGATCAAACGTGGCAAAAAAAATCACAAAAAAAAATGTCAGTCAAATCGAAAATCGGTTTATTCATCAATTCTGATATTCTACTAACTACTCTTCTAAACTAACCTAGAAATACTAACAAAAATGAAACAACAACAATTGAGAGAACGTAAAGAAGTTTTACCAATTGCCAAGAAATTGTACAAAGTAAGTAATCTAACATGGAATAAGTTAGCCAAAAATAATCCTAATTTTATTTTTGTAGTTCGTCAATCTTCCAAATGCAATGAATTGGAGAGTTGAACCAAATGAATGTTTGGCACACGGAAGAATCGCTTCTTATACTCGAACAAAAAACCGTTTCTTTCCTGATAATCTGACTTGTCTTAAAATGCGTTTGGCTACAGTAACCTGTCATGGTTTTTTGATTTTGTATGAAAAATCTGATCGTGGAATTGTTGTGGATTTACGAAAAGCTCGTGCAATTTTGACAAATTGTGATACTTTCAAAGGAGATCGATTGACTTATAAAAGATGTCATATTAAGATTCGATTGGATTTTGGAAATGTTCATTTATTTGTGAAAGATGACTCGATTTCAAAATGGACATCTGCTATTATAACATCACATTCGAATATTAAAAAAGGATTGGTTATTAAAAAGGAAACGGTTCCTGTTCTAGAAAATATTGCTATTTCTGATACTGAAGAAATCAACAATTCAGTTTCATCAAATTCTGGAATAATAACAGTTATCGAAAATCCAAAAATCAATCAAATTCCTTCAATTCGTCACGGTCATTCATCAGTTGCATCGATTTGTAAAAAATTAGAAAGCGAACTTGCAATGAAATCACCAGAAGATCAGCCATCACTTCAAAATACAAAACATTTTGTTTCTTCGGTCGTTTATGAACCAGAAAAAGAGCAAAAAAGTCAGATTGAAATCAAGGAAAGTGCGGTATTTGTTTTGCCATCATTTGAAGAAGAAAATGGACAAGGAACATCGAAAGCATGGTGGTTGAGATCTCTCCGATGCTAATGAACTTTTTGATTTGATTGTTTTTTGAGTGAAAATTCTGAAATTCTAGGGAAACGTACTAAACCTCAAAAAAATTTTCTAGAAATTTCGAAAATAAAACAAAAGAAACATATATATATACACAGGGGTGCGAACGCGACATGCGCCAGCAAAACGCGCGAGGTGTGTGGTGTTGTGTGTGTTTGTCTGCGTCTCTTCATACAAACACACTCTCTCGCCACCGAAATTTTTTTTTGTTTTTTTTTCGAGAAGCCGGTTCAAAACCGACTTTTTCGGAGTAGTTCTATATGTGAGGAGATAGAGGAAGACAAGACAAACAAAATTATATTTTTTAGTTTGATTTTAAAAATTACTGAAGCAGGAAATTGATGTTTTTGAACCATGCCCTCGAAATCATAGTTTCGGGTCTTTCAAAGTGTGAATACTGAAATTTTTCGACAGTTTTGTATGTATTCTCTGATTGTCGACCGATATTATACAAAATATTATTAAAATATTCTTACATTTATCTAGTAAAAGAAGGTAACCATCTTTTATGAGGGTTTTCTCTGACAACAGCTTATTAGTAGCCTATTATTTTTACTCCAAATCGTTCAGAACAAAGTTAAATATCAAAAAATATGACAATTTTCAAAATTCTAGACCGAGAAGTCCAATTGTTCAACGTTTTTTCTAAGTGATTTTTTTCTGTTCTAGCGCTGGTACCTTACTTTTAAAAATCAAGAAACCTATCGAAAATATCATCAAATTCATTGTTATTACATCCCACTCTAAGCCTGACATGTAAAAATTGAAATAAAACCAAAATTAAGAAAAAACAGATTTTGAATTGAAAAAATGGTATGTCTTCAAATGGCATCAGCACCTTTCATTCTGCACCGATCTTCATCGTTGAGGTCTCAAAAAAATGCTAATGTGATTTTCTATCTCGGATACTCCTCAAGAACATGTGAAAAACACCCATCAACTCGTAAATCTCTTCGAAACTTGAAAAAACGTTTTTTTGCAACAGAAAAAAAAGTCGATGTTGAATGTGCGCTCTATTGATAAAAATTGAAATGCGCCAGCGCCCGCGCGATTCAAATTTATGTAGTGTTCGCACCCCTGTTAACATGCCTATAAAACATTTCAATATCTCGACACGAAGAGAAGTAAATTGTGTTGCGCCTTCAAAGCGTCTACGGTATGCATTTTCATTTCATTTTTTGTTGCGGCAGTGCGCGCTCGAGCACTCAAGTGTTTTGTTTCTAGAGTGAAAAATTTTGGACTTTTCAATCTTGAAATTACAATTTAGAACAGAAAGTTCGACATTTATTCAACTTTTCTAGCACACAAACGATAAGATTGATTTTTTCAACAAGATCCGCAGGTTTTCGCACACGCTGTTTTTCTTATTTCGGATTTCCTACATAACCCTTTACTTCTCCATCTTCCACATCTGTAAACAAGTTTTTTGAATTATCAATCTATTCGAAAATAGTTTCTTACGATCCGAATAAGTCTTTGCAATTCCGATTGAACGAACAAAATCCACACGTGTCTGCACAATACAATTTCTTGAATTCCAAGCTTATTTCCTCGTTTTCACAAATATTCAATTTTTCACAAGAATCACTGAAATCTTCACATGTTTCAGGTACAAGTTGATGTTTTTTAGATTCTCTTCTCAAATTATCGTATGTTATTTCATTACTATTCCACTCATCGGATTCTTCGGAGATATAAAAAGTATCCGATTCTGTAGTTCTTTCCGAAGATTTTTGGTGAAGGTTCAAAGGGTATGATATTTTTGAATTTTTGGTAGTCGCCTCATTTTCAGATGTTATCTGATCTTCGTATATAACTATCTCATAGCTTCCTTCAGAAGTTGATTGAGGTTTTTTTGATGTTTCTTCCTCCTTTTGATATGAAACTTTTCGATGAAGATTGAAAGAATAAGATTTCAGCGTTGATTCAGTTGTTTCCTCCTGTTTTTCTGTTACGTGATATTTCGCAATATCTGGTTCCTCTCTGGTTATTTTTGATTTTTCGATAGTTTGATAGTCATTGTTTTCCTGATAACTTTTTGTTGTATCCTCGACAGTACTGCAGAAGTTTTGAATTTCAGATTTTTCGAACAAATTCAACTTACATTGAAAATAAATCCTCAATTGAATATTCACGTGAACTGATTTCATCCACGAGACAAATTATGAAAAAAATAGAAAAATAGAGATTCGAATTCATTTTGTCGAAAAATGAACTGGTTTTTGTTTCAAACTGTATTATTGTGGTTCTCTATCTATCCTACTCATTTTTATGAACCAATTTGATTTTTTGGTACATTTTTATTCATTTCAAAGTCCTGATTTACAACAAGTCCTAATCGTGCATGTTCGCTCTATCGAACTCTATCCAAAACATTTTTTATTTTTCGTCGTTTTTGTGTTGTGCAGCATTTTCCATAATTTCCTATAAAACTTTGTTTTCAGACTCAAATAGCTTTAAAAATTGATGCTTCAAAATGGGTAAAGAGCAATTTCGTGAAGCCGATATGGCTTTAAAAGTGTTAGTTTGATTGTTTTCTCCATATTCAAATTAAAATCAATTTTTTTGCAGAGTTGGAGTAAAGTTTGCTCCGGGAGATTGTGAATTTATGCGACAAACTGCGCATGTTTCAGTCTTCAATAATAAATTGTACGAAGATGTTGGTGGAAAACTTCAACCGGCAGCTTATGGACCACTTGATCCTAAAATGGGAGTTTCGACGAAAACTGGAATATGTGCAACTTGCGGATTAGGATTGACTGATTGTGTTGGGCATTTTGGTTATATGGATCTCGATTTTCCAGTTTTTCATGTTGGATTCTTCAAATTGACTATTCAATTACTACAGTGTATTTGTAAAGTAAGGCATTTTTCTTTTCATCGAAATCAATTATTGTCTCCTTACAGAACTGTTCTTCAATTCTTCTTTCTGCTGAACAACATCGTATTTTCTCCCGTCAAGTAATGGATCCAAGAATCGATTATTTGCACAGAAAAGCATTGCACAAAAGAATTGTAGCTGCTTGTAAGAAAAATCCAACATGTCCAAATTGCGGACTGAAAAATGGAACTGTCAAAAAGGCAGTTGGTGCTGTTATGAAAATTGCATTTGCTAGTCCAGTTCCAATTGATGAAATTGGAAAATATGCGACAATGTGTGCAGCGAATGTTGAAATTGGAGATTTGTTGAAGAAAATGAAATTCACACTTTTGAATCCGTTGTATGTTCAGAAATTGTTTGCCAATATAAAAGAGGCGGTAAGCTTGTTTTTGAAAATTTTCGATTAAAAAATATTTGTTCCAGGATATTCCTGTTTTGATGGTTCGATCTGGAGAAGAAAAACATCCGAATGATCTACTTCTAACTCGTCTTCCAGTTCCACCAGTTTGCATTCGTCCTTCAGTTGTTTCAGAAGTAAAATCAGGAACAACAGAAGATGATGTGACAATGAAATTAATGGAAATTATGTTGACAAATGATGTATTACGAAAACATAAAAGAGATGGAGCTCCAGCAAAAACATTATTCGAAACTTGGGAGCATTTACAAGTTCAATGTGCACTTTATATCAACAGTGAAATGTCTGGTCTTCCACCAGATCTTCAACCAAAACGAGCAATGAGAGCGTTTACTCAAAGATTGAAGGGTAAACAGGGAAGATTCCGTGGTAATTTATGTGGAAAGCGTGTTGATTTCTCTGGAAGAACTGTAATCTCACCTGATCCAAATCTTCGAATTGATCAAGTTGGTGTTCCGATTCATGTTGCAATGACCCTCACATTTCCTGAAATTGTTAATAGTTCGAATATTGAAAGAATGCGGAAATTGGTTATAAATGGAAGTGATATTCATCCAGGAGCAAATTATTTGGTAGATAAAAAGACGGGGAATAAGAGATTGTTGAAATATGGAAAACGAGAAGAATTGGCGAAAAATCTACGAATGGGTGATACAATTGAAAGACATTTAGATGATAATGATGTTGTTTTATTCAATCGACAACCATCTCTTCACAAAATCTCAATTATGAGTCATCGAGCAAAAGTTGTGCCAGGCAGAACTTTTAGGTAATTTTTTTTAATTTTATATGAACATTCATTTTAATTTTCAGATTCAATGAATGTGCTTGCACACCATATAATGCTGATTTTGATGGAGATGAAATGAATTTGCATCTCCCACAAACTTATGAAGCAAAAGCTGAAGCTAGTGAACTCATGAATGTCAAGAACAATTTGATTACTCCAAGATCTGGTGAACCACTCATTGCTGCAATTCAAGATTTCATCACTGGTGGTTATCTTCTAACTCATAAAGATACATTCCTTCCAAAAGCTGAGGTTTATCGATTTGCCGCATCTCTTATTGATGCTTCATCGAAAAAACAGGCGAAAATTCGAATTCCACCTCCAGCAATTCGAAAACCTGTGGAATTATGGACTGGAAAACAATTGATTGAATTGATAATTCGACCAGATCAAGGATCGCAGGTTTCGCTGAATTTGACAGCCAAAAATAAAAGTTATTCGGGAAATTTGGAACTTTGCGCAAAAGATTCGTATGTTATTATCAGGAATAGTGTTTTGCTTTGTGGAGTTTTGGATAAATCATTGCTCGGAAGTTCATCGAAAACCAATATTTTCTATATGTTAATGAGAGATTATGGAGAAGATGCAGCGGTTGATGCGATGTGGAGATTAGCTAGAATGGCACCCGTATATTTGTCAAATCGAGGATTTTCAATTGGAATTGGAGATGTTCGACCAAGTGAACGATTGTTGCAAGAAAAAGGGCAACTTGTTGATAAAGGTCAGGTTTATTCACGATTTTGATACAGAAAATTTCAAAAAAAAAATTTATCGAAAATTTTTGGCTGAAAATGTTTTTGATTTTTACCCAAAACTTACTGTTGAAATAATTTAATACAGAAATTTTCAGAATTTTCTCAAAAAAATCTTGAAATATCTGAAAATCCTGAATTTTTGGCTGAACAATTGATGAGCTGACATTTGCAAAAAATTTAATTTCTGGCTGAAAAATAGTTTGTTCATAAATTTATCAGCCAGCAAAATATTTTTCATTTTCTTAAACATTTTTGAAAAATCTAAAAAATCTCAATTTCTGGCTGAAAATTGGAGATTAGCTGGAAATTTCAGAAACTTGAGATTTTGGCTGAAAATTCTAAAATTCTTGATGAAAATTGGATTATTCATACATACATTTTTTAGGCTGAAAATCAACTGAAATGTTCAGAATATTCAAAAACTCGATTTTTGGCTGAAAATTCCAATGTTTTAGCTCAAAATTCAATTAGTCATCATTATTGTGCTGTTACAATTTTCATGAAAATTTTAGGTTATGAAACTTGTGCACAATATATTCGAGAACTCGAAGAAGGTCGATTGAAAGCTCAACCAGGTTGTACTGAAGAAGAAACCCTCGAAGCAATTATCCTCCGAGAACTCTCAACAATTCGAGACCACGCTGGACAAGTTTGTCTCCGGAATTTGAGCAAATACAATGCCCCATTAACAATGGCAGTTTGTGGATCGAAAGGTTCATTCATCAATATTTCTCAAATGATTGCTTGTGTCGGACAACAAGCTATTTCTGGCCATCGACCACCGGATGGATTTGAAGAACGATCATTGCCACATTTTGAGCGGAAGAAAAAGACACCAGAAGCTAAGGGTTTTGTTGCCAATAGTTTTTATTCGGGACTTACACCCACTGAATTCTTCTTCCATACAATGGGAGGAAGAGAAGGATTGGTTGATACGGCTGTTAAAACTGCGGAGACTGGATATATGCAGAGAAGATTGGTTAAATGTTTGGAGGTTTGTTGGGAGAGTGAGGAGGAAAAGGGGGGGGGGGTTGGAGATGAAAATAATTAGAAACGAATTCTTGGAATCTTGAGCATATAGCTAAATTTTTACAATGTTGCCACATTTTCTGACAATTTCAGGGCGCGATTTTTTTTACAGATTTCTCTTACAATTAGCGATATCTACACAAACTTTTCAAATTTTTACAGAAAATGCCTTTCTGACAACCCAAAGATTCAAAATTTCCAGATAAAAACAAGCTTTTTTCAAAAATTCTGGAAATTTTGGATTTTTCGTCCAAAAATCCTCTAGATTTCAGAATTTTGAACTATTCCTTCTTGGGATATTTTCCTCACTTACCCCATTCAATCTCGCAAATTTTCTAGGATCTTTGTGCAAGTTATGATGGAACTGTTCGATCTTCTGTTGGAGATGTCATTGAATTCACATTTGGAGAAGATGGACTTGATCCAGCAATGATGGAAGCAAAAGATGGAAGTGTTGTTGATTTTGTTCATGTTCTAGAACACGCTAAAAATACATTGAATACGAAAGAACAACATATGACAATTGAGGAAATGGAAGAAGCGATTCAAACTGAAATCAAGACACATTTCAAAGGAGAACATCAACATTTCACTAAAACACTTGAAGAATTTATTGAGAAAGAGTTGGAGAAAAGTAGAAAGTTGCAGAAAATCGCGGCGAATTGTGAAAGACATAATGGAGGACAGGTTTCATGTTCTGATTGTAGCAGCAGAAGTTCTTATAAAAAGTTATTGTTATCGAATTCTGGACTCACTCGTGGTCAACTTTCATCATTTGTCAAATTATGTGCTTACAAAGTTGCACGAGCTGTAACTGAACCTGGAACTGCTGTTGGTGCAATTGCTGCAACAAGTATTGGAGAACCATCCACTCAAATGACTCTCAAAACTTTCCATTTTGCTGGTGTCGCTTCAATGAATATCACTCAAGGAGTTCCGAGAATTAAAGAAATTATCAATGCGGTCAAGACAATTTCAACACCGATTATCACCGCAAGTTTACTTGATCCATATGATCAAACATTGGCGAGAAGAGTAAAAGCGAGAATTGAGAAAACGACATTGGGAGAGATTTGTGATTATATTGAAGAGGTTTATTTGCCAGATGATCATTTCCTGTTGGTTAAATTGAACGCAAAACGAATCAGATTGTTGCAATTAGAAGTGAGTTGTTTTGTTTTTCAAAAATGTATTCTATAACAACGGAATTTTTTGTAGGTTAGTATGAACACAATTGCTAGTGCCATTATGACTTCGAAAGCTTGCCCATTGATGAAAGGTGTTAAAATAGTATCACATGGAAAAACAATTATGGTTGTTAGACCTCCTGCAACATCGAAATTGAGCAAAACTATGACAATGCAAATGCTCAAATATTCGCTATCGAATGTTGTTGTAAAAGGTATGCGTTTTGAGAAAATGTTGGAAATGATTTTTTTGTGATTTTTTCTTTCTACGAAGGTCCAAAATTTTCGGTTCAAAAGGTTTTTCATGAAAAATTGGTTTCTCAAAAAGTTCGATAACCTTCCTTGTGATCAGAAAACAAATTGAATTTTCTATTTTTCGGATAAGTACATATTTTCAGCAAAGATTTTCTTATATACAATGTTCCGTGTTCAATTCAAGATATAAAGATCCTCAACAATTTCCACATCTCTTTTTTTTCCAGGAATCTCATCTGTAAATCGATGTGTCATTCATGCGGACGAAAAGAAAGGCGATTATTATTCACTTTTGGTCGAAGGAACCGACTTTTTGAGTGTTTTATCATCTGTTGGAATTGATCCAACTCGAACACATTTCAATAATGCACTTGTTGTTGCTGATGTTTTGGGAATTGAAGCGGCAAGAAGTTGTATTATTAATGAAATTATTGCAACAATGGATGCACATGGAATTGGATTGGATCGAAGACATGTTATGTTGCTGGCTGATGTTATGACTTATAGGTTGGTTTGTTATTGGGAAGAGTAGAAGTGATTTTCTGAAATTTCAGAATAAACTGAAAATTGTATTTAATATCTAAACTTCGGAAAGATCCTTTCTTTTTCAACAAATCAAATTATATCCCAATTGCCACGTCATAGCTCTTTCTTACAATTCTGTGTTTTTTCAGAGGAGAAGTTCTTGGAATCACTCGAAATGGTCTCGTCAAAATGAAGGATTCTGTTCTACTTTTGGCATCTTTCGAAAAAACCATGGATCATTTGTTTGAAGCTGCATTCTTCTCACAAAGAGATGTGGTAAGTTCTTTTTTTCTGAATCTGTTTGGTTTCAAACTACAATTTTTCCTCTTTTCAAGTTTCCCCCTCAAAAAAAAAATTATTTTTAGATTCACGGAGTTTCGGAATGCATTATTATGGGAACACCGATGACTGTTGGAACTGGAACTTTTAAACTTCTACAAAAATATGAAAAAGAAGCGGAAATTAGAAAACTTTCCCCAATTTTTGAGAGAAATGGACTTGTTGCTTGATTTGTTTTTCGTCCCCAAATTTATTGTTTTGATCTGTTTTGTTATTATTGTTAATTGTTTGTTAAATATAGGTTTATTAAATTCATCGTTTTCCAATTGTTGTTGATGGTCGACTTCGAGATCGACGTTGAGCTGATGAAGAACGACTTTTTATTGATCTGCAAAATTTAACTGGATCTATTATATTTTATAGTTAGTGTAAATATACCTTGTTCCTTGAGCTGATCTCAAAAATTGTCTTGGAATCATATTACTCGGTGGAATCCATGGTGTTGGAGGCGGTTGAATTAATACCAAATCAGCCATCAGTTGTTTTTCCTGATCTTTCATTTCCAGCCATGTTTCATATGCTTCTTGTGCCATTAATTTTCGATATATTTTTGTTTCCTCATTCTCTTCTTCATTGTTATTTTCTCCTCGTTTTTCATATTCCATTTGTGTTTTCTTTATCAGCCATCCTTCAAATGCAGCTTTTGCTTCTTTTTGTTTTTGTTCTAATTCGATCTCTTTTTGTTTTCTTCTCGAAGTTTCCAAATCATCCTGTTTTTTTCTCAAATCTCCAATCGATTTCGATCTTTCCTTTTTCCACATCTCGAAATTCTTCTCCGCTTCCACTTTTTTCCTTTCCTTCTCCTCATTTTCCTTCATTTTTTTCGCTTTTTCTTTTTCCCGTCTTTTTTCTTTCTCAATTTTCAGCTTCTCATCATAATCATTCTTCCATCTCTCGAATAATTTTGCCGAATTCTCTTTCCTCTCTTTTTCCGCCTGTTTTTTCGCCTCGAGTTCCTGTAACTTCTTCAGCTTCTCCTTTTTCTGCTGTTCTAATTTGGTTTTCAGCCATTTTTCGTGATGTGATGTTGTTGGTTGAGAATTTAACATTGATTTCATTTCGATTGGCGGTTTTTTGATGGATTCTGGTTTTTTTGGAGGAACATGTGAAGGAGCCGGGGGAGATGGATCAACTCGAAATGTCAAACTTGGACTCGTGGTCTGAAAAAAACAGGATTACTGTAGACATCGGAATTTTTCCTTAAAAAAAAAGAAGTTTTTTGTTTGAAAAAAATCGCACTAAGAATCTGAAAGTTCTAATTTTCTGATCGATCGAGAAAATTAATTTTAAAAACTTCGGAAAAAAGTTTTTTTGAAGAGTTGCAACAAGTTGAAAAAAAAAACTTACACCATGAATTTCTTCAACTTCAACATGAATTGGAAGTCGCGATTTCTCAACTTCGACAGAAGGTTTTGGAGTTTCCATTGTGATCACACTTCGACGACGAATCTCATTTCTGAAAATAATATTTTTCTAGGCTTTCAAGTTCAGAATATTTTTCTGAAACTTCAATTCCAATTTGAAATTCAAAACTTCTTAATTTATTTTCAAATAGAATTCTGAAATTTGATTTCAGATTTTCCAAAAAAATGTTTACATTCTAACAATTATATTCCTCTCTACTCACAATTTCTTCAAAAATTCATCATCTTCCTCATTTTCCGCTTTTCTTGATGCTCTTCTTGTTGTTGGTGGATCGGGATTCTTATTTTCCTCATTACTATTCGATGAATCTCTTCCATGTCTTGTTGGTGGACGAATTGGTGAATTTACCGAATTATTGATTGTTGATGCACTTGATGATGAAACTGTTTCTCTTTCGCTTTTATCGAATCCTAAGATTTCTTCGAGAGTTTGAAATGCAGAGAGATTTCGAGATTGATGGTGATTCATACTGCAAAAAAAAGATTTTAATTATTTTTTAGACATATAATTTTTTGGTTGATGGATTGCAGAAATAGAAAATTAAGAGAGACAGAAAAAGTTGGACTTTTCATAACTACATACGATTCATCAATAAAAATTCGAAAAATTTTAATTTAAAATAGTGAATCCTATTTTTAAGTTTCAATAAAATGTTCTGAAAATTCAATTCAATTTGTTTTTCATGTCATATAAATTTTGAGGGCGGACTAACAAAAGTGATTTCTCAATAATTTCTAGATTTTTCAGTTTTCTGGACAAAAAATTAGAATAAAAAAGTCGAAATGTTCCCAAAAATAAACTACAAAAATCCCAAAAATACTTCCAACTTTCCAACAAAAAAATTCACACGCTAGATTAAATACAAACTCACCTCTCCACTTTTTTCGTATCCTGAAATTGGCGAAAAATTGTGAAAGCGAGAACAACTGGTCACTCTCCTTTTCGTAGTATTTTTGGACTTGTCTAAATATCTTTTTTTTTCTTGTTATGCTTTGGTTGCTATGGAAATCGAGTGTTTCTTTAACGAAAAATAAAAAAGGAAAAAATTATTGGAAAATAATTATAATCAACTGGAAATTGGCGGATTTTTGATTGATAAAAAGGAAAAAATAGAAAAGATAATAAAAATAAAAGAGAAGGGAGGGGAAGCTTGGGAGTAGGAAATTGAACTTTTTATTTATTTGTGAAAACAAATTAATGGAAAATCGAAGTTCAAAAAAATTCACCTGGTTTCTGACTTGTGGATAAAGTTTTTTTTTTTTTTTTAAAAATGGAGGGTCTGTGAGGTTTGGGAATGCTTCCCAAAGTGACCCCACCGATTTGGACGAGACTGGGTGGAAACTTTTTAGTATGAGCAGTACTCATCTTTTTTTTTTTAACAGTGTTAAAAATTATTCGAACTCATCTTTATTTTTTTTAACACTGTTAAAAATCATTTGAACTCATTTTTATTTTTTTTTAACACTGTTAAAAATTATTTGAACTCATTTTTATTTTTTTTAACACTGTTAAAAATCATTTGAACTCATTTTTATTTTTTTTTAACAGTGTTAAAAATTGAAAATAGAATTTGACGATAAAATTCATAATTTTATCCATTGCTCGAGAAATTGTTGTTAAGGCAAATGAGTGCTTTTCTTGTTGAGCTAAGGTTCATTGGTGTTATCTGCTCAAAGGCATGACCATTTCTAGATTCTGACTGAGAATATAATTGTTGGTGTTGAAATTTAAAAAATTTATTATTCGATCGATAATCTACTTGTTTCTTGGGCGATTCCTTCCATATCCTCTTCATTTTCCACATCTTTTTTGCTTTTTTCATGTTCGTCTTCTTTATCCGTGGAGGCTTCTTCATCTTTTCTTGGCAGTTCATTCTTGGCTCTTTTTCCAGCTCCTGAAAAATGAGTCAAGCAAATAAAAGCGAATTTCTTTTTCTTAATGTTTTCGCCGAATTCGTTTCCAAGATTTTGTATCCATTTTTCCGAAATTTTGGTATTGTCGGTACTCTCGTCAAAAATTTTTGGTTTTTCGTTTTGTTGCAATAGCAACATTTGCGAGTGTTTATGTGTTTTTTGGGTTCCTGAAAATTAATCGCACGTTTTTAAAAATAACTGACAAAACAACTAACTTCAACAGAAGATTCATCATTCGAACTTTGACTCATTATTAGAATTTTTGATTGCTTTTACAATGTTTTTAAAAAATGATTAAAAGACAACAGCTGTTTTTTCTGATATGGTTCACGTACGTTTGGATTTTTTAAATGGGCAACAAAATTTGATTATTTTTCACCGGCTACAGAATCACCGGTTCCTAGGTAAATTTCTGAAAAAAATTGCAAAAAATGTCTAATGAGAATGGATACCTACGGGATTTTATAAAGAAGTTAAAAATTCCAAATGGAATTTACAAGATTTTCTACCAATATTCTACCAACAACTCCTTTAATATTTTTTCAGGTCAAGATCAATATTCCACAAAAAACTGACTAAAACACCAAATTCCAATTCATCTAATCCACAATTCGCTCCCCATACACAATGTAAAGTTACACCGTCTTCTGCCATCTTTGATTCATTTTTCGGGGAATTATAATTACTTTTTTCTTGAGGACACACACACAAAAAAGGCGAAATAGTATTGGAAATGCGGAGATATTGGATCGTTTCACCACTCTGTCCGTTTTCAAGTGTATTTCAAATCGTTTACTATAAAAGCGGCCGGATTATAGTCACTCATTTCTGGTTTTTCGTAGTACTTTATTTCTTTCGAAATGGTTTCAGCGCATACAGCTGGAATTACAGCATGTGCTTGTTCTGCTGGAGCTATTTTAGTGTGCCTTTTTTATGTGCCAGCTTTGGTGAACAAGATTCAGAATATTAATGATATGGTGAGTTGAAAGAACTATGACGTGGCATTTTTGGGTACTGAAAATATTTTCGAATTTATAATGTTCGATCAAAAATCTGAAATCCCAAAAAATTATATTTAGAACTGTTAGATTTACTGTAACTTTTTTAGAACTGCAAGGAATACTGTAGCTTTTTTCGAAGCTTCCATAGTTACTGTAGCCCTTGAAGTTGTTTCGAACCATAAGCCTTACTTTAGTCATTTTTGAAATTCAAGGATTACTGTATCTCTAGACAGCAAATATAACAAGAATTACTGTAGTAGTTCTAAACTTCCAGCTGCAAGGATTACTGTAGGCCCTTAAGAAATGCGAGAACTACAGTAACTTTTTTTAAAGCTTCCAGAGTCACTTTCTGAACTGCAAAGGTTACTGTAGTTCCACAAAATCTGCTCACTATTTTTCTCCAAAAATAATTTAAAAATTAACAGCTAAAAGTTGATAGTGAAGAATTCCGTTCAATGGCCGATTATACATGGAGCGAACTTGTAACAATGCGACGTGGAAAACGTCAAGCCTACGGAGAAACTCCCAAAAAAACCTATCAATTACACACGGCCTATGTGAAACCGGATGCATTTGTTGAAAGTGGTGGAAGTTGTAGTTGTAATCAGAATAATGGATGTCCAGCTGGACCACCAGGAACACCTGGAAAACCAGGTTTGGATGGAGAACCTGGAACTGTTGGTGAACCAGGATCACCTGGTTTGGCTGGAATTGCACCGCCTGTTACTATTGATCCAGTGGGTTTTTTCTTGAGGAAATTTAGTTATTTTAAACGGGCCTGGCCCAATTATTCGGACCTGGCCTGATTTTTCGGGCCTGGCCCGACCTCTCACCCCTCCCTTCCCAACCAAAAATTTTTGCAGACTAAAGGTTGTCGTGTTTGCCCATCTGGCCCACGTGGTCCACCAGGTCCACCAGGAGAAGCTGGACCTGTCGGACCAGAAGGACAGCCAGGAAATCCTGGAAGACTCGGAGAACATGGACGTGAAGGATATCCAGGACAACAAGGAATTCCAGGGGAACCAGGAAAATCTGGAAAAATTGGAGAGCAAGGTTTACAAGGAAGAGATGGAGTTCGTGGAGCGAAGGGACCAATGGGACCGAAAGGAGAGGCTGGTCCAGCTGGACAAAAAGGACCAACTGGATATCCAGGAAGAGATGGACAACGGGGAAGTGATGGGGAACCAGGACCAAGTGGACCACCTGGACAAATTGGAATGCCAGGAGAAGTTGGACAAATTGGAATGGTTGGAGCACCTGGAGCACCTGGGCAAGATGCAAGTTATTGTAAATGCCCAGAAAGAAATGCTGCGGTTCACAAGTTTGAAGCCCCAGCAGTTGAGCAACCAGCCTATCAACCAGAGCCGGTAATTTTTTAAATTTAAAATTAGTCAACCCATAATGTTTTCTTCCAGCCAGCAACTTATGCTCCACCAGCTGACGCGGCAGTTGAAGCAGCTCGATCACCATACAGAAAATGGAAATGGTTACAATAAATTTATCACAAGAAATATTTCACATTTGACCCCGGGGATGAAAAATAAATTAATTATGCGAACCTTTTTATACAGTTTGTTGAAACAGATTTGCTTGTTGTTGTTGTTGTGGTTGAGATCGTCGAAGGACATTTAAAAATGCCCATTTTGAAAAATAACTTGTCATTTGTTCGGTATTATTCCAGCGGCATCTCAAGTATCCATACAAGTTTGCGACATTCATCATAAATCCGAGAAGAGCAACAATCATCCATTCGAATTTGAAAGTCAAGAATGCGGTTACAACGAAGAATGCCCAAGCAAGTGGTCCTACAACTAGACCAAGCCAGAAAACACGACGATCAATTGCTGGGAAACGGGAATTATCCTGAAATATGTTTTATTTAAAAAATGTTTTTGATCTAAAACTAACCTTTGCACTTTCAAATTTCCAATGATTGTTACCATCAGCATCTACGAAATTCCACCATCGTAAACCAACTAATAATCTACCAGTAATATTTTTCACCGCCCAAAAATCCATTGATAATAATGTGAGAATAGTCAAGAATTGAACAATAAAACTATCCGTGAAGAAATTGGCAAAGAAATAGAAGAATAGTGCGGCTCCTTTGAAGGATAAATGAGCAAGTACAATGGTTGGCTTGCCGAACATTTGAAGACTGAATCCTTGAGAATTGGATGAAGATTGCATACCGCTTCCTATATTTAAATCACCATCGAAACCAGACATTTTGAATTATTTTATTTTTCTGGAAAAAAACCACAAATTAATGAGAAAAGAAGCGCAAAAACGATAAATTCAAGAACTAGACACTATATTTATCGATTTTCATCCATCCGGAAGGCAAAATTAGCTTTCCTTGAGCTTAAAGCAAGGTTTCAAAAGAAAAAAGAAAAATAATCGAATATTTTTTTCTGTCGGTGTTTGCACATCCCACAATTGCGGACTTGCACACCGTATACCAAACAAAACCGCGAAGCGGGTGCGAGGCGGTCTTTTCTTCTCGTTTTTCCAGTTTTTTCAGATTTCTCGAGATTTTCAGAGGTTTTTCGATGAATCAAAAAGTTAAAGCAGTCAATTGTGTCTATAATTAAGCTGTTATTTTCAATAATTCTCAAAATTACGTCATATTTTCCTGCGTTTCGAGAATTTTCGAAATCATTATGAAATCGATTGATTTTCGAATTGCAAAACAAACTTACTATCTGCAAATGTTATTTGACTGTTTGCCTAATTATCAATCTTGAGAAATGCTTATCTTTTCTCATTTTCACGTCATTTTGTCGATACACGTTTCATTTCCATTGAAAATGCCTTTTTTTTATTGAAAACACTTTGGAAATATTTAGAAGAAATCGAAAGTACATACTTAAATCGTTAATTTTCTATTTAATTCTTTTCAAAATTCTTCTTCTTTCCTTTCACATTTAAGTCTGCAAAAAACTAAGATTTCCAAGAATGATGTAATTTTCTAACGTAAGCCGAAATCCTTCTTATCGGCTTTCCCACAATTTAGATAGATAAATATCATTTTTTTTATCTCGAATTTGAAAAGAGATCAAAGGATTATATAACAATTATGTGTTTTTTCTCTCGAAAATCTAATTGGAGATTAGAAGTCTAACTTATTCACTTTTCACATAGATTTTTCATTTCAAAATTTCACTTTCAACATATGTTCTCCATTAATTTCCGGTTTCGGATCAATTATGATAATCAAATATTTATTATTATTCTCTTCCATTCAAATCCCCATACTCAAATTTCAAATAGTTCATTCCAAATTTAGAAAAATTTTGGATTTTTTATTTCTTTTTTTCGACGTCAAAGTCTCTTTTGAATTATAATTGGCGTCAACAATAGAAAAATAGACATCACAAATCTTGGTGTTCGATAAATTTTGTATTTCTTTCTTATCAATAAAAGTATATGAGTGGGGGAGAAAATCATGTGTTCTCCCTTTTTTCATTAGGATTTCATTTAAAAAATTCTCCCCTTCTATCTAGATTTTAATTAAATCGCGTGACACCTCGTTCGTCATTTTTAAATATTTCAGAGAATTGAGAATATTAAAAATAGGGCGAATGCGTGAATGAAATAAAAAAACAACATTTCTCATTTGACCGATTCTCGGAAATAGTTTTTGTCACGCGCTCTCCAAATTTTGGTTTGTTTTTTTTTCAGAACGAGAATCGATTATTTGAATGAGGATTAATATTTTTGATAGTTTCGTCCGATTAAGAATCCTGAAAATCCTATCCGTTAAAAAAAACCATTACAAAATTCTTTGGCCCGTTCGAAACTATCAAAAAAAAATGTCTCATTCAAAAAATCGATTACAATTCAAACAAAAAAAAGTTCCCTTGGGATTTTCAATGATACGTTTACCAATATTCACTATGGCGACCAAATAGTTTTCTCTTCTTCAAACTTTTCATTTTCTCTCTAAAAAATGACACATTTTCTGAAAATATGTATACACATTCAGAACGAAACCACTCCTTATTTTACTCCATCATTTTTCTTTTCCACCTCTACGTCTCTAACATATTCAGTCATGCCTAGTAGTCAATACCCTTTTCTTCTTCTTCCTCTTCGACTATTTTTTCTCGTCGCGGAAAGAAAGCGGTGGTGGCGGCACGAAGCTGAATCAGCTGATGATGAAAAAAAAAACTAGGGAGAACGGCTTGGTTGTCTGCCTGGGTGTTCTTATTTCCTGCTTTATCGGAGCGCTTGTTTTTCTCGCCACCGCTATTCGTAAAGTTGTAGTTAGGTCGCAATTTGTTTTTATCAAATCAAAATTTTAAATAATAATATTTTTTAGTTGTTTTGTCCATAAAAAGTGGTATCGATTTTGCATTGTCTCTTTTCTTCTGGTCACTTTTTTGTTTTGTTTTCCTTTCGAATCAATAGTTTATAAACACACTGATGTTTGCAAACAAAAGAATTTCTGTTTTTGAGCATTCTGTCTGTTGATTTCGAGGTTCTTATAAAATAGTTCTAATTATTTTCTGTAGAAATGTATTATGTGTCAAATTTTGAAATTTGACAAAAAACATTTTCAGTGTAGGGTTTATTTTAGGTCAGAATTTTTGGAATTATTTCTGTGGGAGTTCTGTAAAGTGGAAAATGTGATTGTCTCTTATACATTTCATTTGGAAGCTAAACCTATTAGAAATAATTAGCTTCGTGTTGTATTTTTCCAAATTTCGTGTCATTTATTTTTTTGCAAAAGTAAGTAAATAAATACTCAATTTCGAGTTGTTTATTTATTTTTTAATGCAATTCCTCTACTTCTTTTTTTACTTCCATTCATTATATCTTACAAAGTTGTTTTTTTTGCAGATTTGGGTTCACCAATATAATATTCAACAAAATTTGTGTATGAAAAATTTGTGATCGATTTTATTTGTTATTATTGTTTTGTATCATTTCGTTTGTAACAAGTAGAAATGGATGGAATTGATCCAGAAGTGCTACTGGAATGGCTTCAAACGGGTATCGGTGATGAACGGGATCTCCAGGTACATTTTTTTCGAAGTCTTATACAAATCTTTTCAACAAGTGTTTTTCTAGTTGATGGCATTAGAACAGCTTTGTATGCTTCTTCTTATGGCCGATAATATCGACAGATGTTTCGAATCGTGCCCGCCGCGCACATTTATTCCGGCTCTTTGTAAAATATTCTTGGACGAAACAGCGCCGGATAATGTTTTGGAAGTAACAGCCAGAGCAATCACCTACTATTTGGATGTTTCAAATGAGTGCACACGAAGAATAACACAGGTTGAAGGAGCTGTGAAAGCGATTTGTACTCGATTGGCTGCTGCTGAAATGAGCGATCGAGCCAGCAAAGATTTGGGTATGTTTGTTAGAGAATCAGAGATTTTGTTGTTGTGCACATATCCCCACTAATTATTTTTTCAATCATCAAAAACCAGTTTTCCGTTTTGAAATTGGTAGAAAATACTATAATTATGATGACACTATTTCTTCCAAAATTGATATTATTTGGGGAATAGTTCGAATTTGATGATTTACAAAAAAACCCTGTTTTTAATTGAGAAAGTTTCAGAAATTTCGTTTAAAAATCTGAAGTCATAAATAAAGTTTTGAGCCAAAATCCAAAGAAAAGAAACATTATCCAAATCTGCAATATATTTGCTTTTATGAATATACATTTTTTTATTCCAGCCGAGCAATGTGTCAAATTATTGGAGCATGTTTGCCAAAGAGAAACAATGGCCGTATATGAATCCGGCGGAATCAATGCAATGTTGACACTTGTTCGACAACACGGAGCTCACGTTCATAAAGATACAATGCATTCAGCAATGTCGGTTGTAACAAGATTGTGTGGAAAAATGGAGCCAACAGATGGGGAATTGGCAAAATGTGCCGAAAGTTTGGGTGCTTTGTTAGAACACGAAGATGCAAAAGTTTCCGAAAGTTCACTTCGTTGTTTTGCTGCTTTAACAGATCGATTCATTCGAAAAATGATGGATCCAGCTGAATTGGCTTTGCATAGTAATCTTGTTGAACATTTACTCATTTCATTAGCAACAAGCAATGACGAAAATTCACAAGTTTCTGCAAACTTTTTGTCGATAGTTTTATCGTTATTGAGCAATTTGTGTAGAGGATCAAGTTTTGTGACTGAAAAAGTATTGACATCTCCAAATATGATAAAAGGACTCTCATCAGTTTTAACAAATAAAGAAGAACGAGTTGTAACTGATGGACTTCGACTAGCTGATTTACTTCTTGTTTTATTATGTGAAGGAAGATCTGCGTTGCCAATGACTGCAGTTGTTTCGGGAGAAAATATTGCTGGAGGATCTGTTGGTGGAAATGTTAGTGCTGCTGGAAGTGTTGATCGAGTTCATCGACATTTGATTGATGCTATTCGAAAGAAAGATTTGACTGCATTAGTTGAAGCTGTTGAAAGTGGACAGGTAATTTATTTTCAAAAAAAATAAAACAAAATATTGATTTTTTAAAGGTCGAAGTCAACTTTACTGATGATGTTGGACAATCTTTGTGCAACTGGGCATCTGCTTTTGGAAGTATTGAAATGGTTCAATATTTATGTGATAAAGGATGTGATGTAAATAAAGGGCATAAAAGTAGTTCTCTTCATTATGCAGCTTGTTTTGGTCGTCCAGATATTGTGAAATTGTTGTTGAAACGCGGTGCAAATCCAGATTTGCGAGATGAAGATGGAAAAACTGCATTGGATAAAGCAAGAGAAAGAAGTGATGATGATCATAATCAAGTTGCAAATATTCTTGAGAGTCCAACTGTTTATATGCATTTGAAAGCAGATGATGGAAAATCGAAAGTTGCATCGAATAATCAAACTGAAGGAACTAGTGTCACAGAACTTCCAAATCCTGAAGTTGTTAACAAAGTGCTCCATCAACTTTTACCAATTTTCTGCGAGATTTTCCAAAAATCGTTGAATTCAAGTGTCAGAAGAACATCGTTGTCTTTGATTCGTAAAATCGTTGAAAATATGGGTGATTTGAGAGAACCAATTGAACCAGGACAAAAAGAGCCACTATCACGGAAAATGTCAGCCGATGTTACTGCTGGAGCTGAAAGTTTGGTAGCTGTTGTTGTATCGGTTTTGGATCAAGAAGATGATCACGAAGGACATGAACAAGTATTGTTGATATTACAATCATTGTTAGAAAAAGATGCGGAATTATGGGTGATTGAATTGATTAGATTAGGTGTTTTTGAAAGAGTTGAAGCAATGGCAAAAGAACCACCAAAGGGTCTTGAACAAATTTTGGCGGAAACTGTTGCTGAAGGAACCATTGTTAAAGCAAGGTAAGATTATTTTGTTTTTAAAAATTGTGTTGAGCCAAGTTCACAATGAAAAGTTTCAATATTTTTCATTCCTAAAAAAATAATGCATTATTTTGAATTTTTCAGAACCAGTTCAACATCTGCAATGGAAATCGATGTTGATGCACCAAAAATTGAAGAACAACTAAATGTTGCAATTGAAGGAGATGATTTCGTTTTGGCAACACAAACACCACCTCCAAATATTGAAATTGGCGAATCATCCGAATCTTCATCAAAAAGAAGTTCAACTGCAGCATCAGCATCATCTGCCATTTTCCAAGTTGTTTCGAAATTGGGTGTTGGATCAGGCGATAAATCATCGGAAAAGAAACCGACAAAAACCGCACTCAACACTGGTTTCCCATATCGTTGGAAAGAATGGCGAATTGTTCGAGGAAATACTGCATTGTTCATTTGGAGCGATGTTGTTCTCATTGAATTGCCGTTCCAATCAAATGGATGGTTCAGATATTTGGCTGATAATGATTCACATGTTCAATATTCATCCGGAATTGCGAATGTTGATCAACAAATGACAGAAACGGAAAAAATGAATGAGAGAAAAGGAATGGTTGCAAGATGGAAGGCTGTGAAAGGAGTATTTGATGATGATTCATCTTGTGTTCCAGCATCAGTTTTGGGAATTCCAAGTAATTCGAAGAAGGTCAGTGAAAAGGTGTGTTGTGCTTTTCTTTTGTTTTTTCTTGGTTTTATTTTTCCTTTCTTTCTCGCATGACCTTCCTTGAAATATGTACAATAAATATTTTTAGCTCGAAGTTCCTGCTTGGGAAATCTGGTCGACTAGAAGTTCTGAACTTCAAATCAAATCCACAACATCAACAACTCCCGATGGACAACAAAATAATATGATAACTACCATAAAGGTAAATTACTTGAAAGAAAATTCTGAAATACTCTTTACCGAAAACCCCATTTTTTTCAGGATGAATCCGGTGGTTTTGTTTTTGAAGCGAATACAAATGGACGACGAGTTACTGTAATGCCTGAAATGGCATTACCATCTGATTTCCATACTGGATGGAGTACTCATGGAGTTTCGACAAGAAAGATCAAATTCAGAGTTGATATTCAGAAAAGAAAAGTGCAAGAACTTGCTTGGAAATTGTGGAATGATCATTTGAAAGAGGCTCATGCGAAACCAAGAGAAGCACTTGTTAGATTGGAAAAGGCTGCTGTTACAATTGAGGTAATATTATAAATACTGATCAGAATAATATTAAAATGTCAAATTATTTTGCAGAATGCTGTTCGAACTGCAAGAGCAATGCATGTTAGCAAACATAAAAATGCAAAACAACCAAGAATTGAACGAGTTCAAGATCTTGTTTCTGCAATGCGAGTTGTTCATGAATCAATTGTCAATGATCGTCTTTTGAGCACTTTCGAATTCTCAGTTTCTGGAATTGTACCCGCTCTTTATAGTTTGCTCTCACTCATTGAAACATATCCAGAAAGTTATCCAGCAAGTATTTTCAAAGAGAAATTCTCGACTGGCGATGCTCTTGCTCAATTAGCTTTGAAAATGGTTGCAGTCTTGGAAGCCAGTGAAAAATTCCCACAATATTTGTATGATACACCAGGCGGTTCATCATTTGGATTGCAATTGTTGTCACGAAGAATTCGAACAAAATTAGAATTGAGTAAAATTGAAGAAGGCGGTGAAAATAACGATGTTCTTTTGAATAAAAGTGGAAAAGTAATGAAATGTGAACCATTGGCATCAGTTGGACAATTGAAACAATTCTTGATGAAATTGGTTGCAAAACAATGGCATGATCGAGATAGATCAACTTATCGATTTGTTAAAATGATTCAAGAAGCAAAATCGCGAAAAGAACCATTGAAATTCAGTTATACAAGTGATTTTGATGATCAAGGAGTTGTTTATTGGGTTGGAACAAATGGAAAAAGTTTGTCGGATTGGACAAATCCAGCCAGTGCAAATATTATCAAAATCGAAAGTTCGGATACACGACAACCATTTGGAAAACCAGAAGATGTTGTTAGTCGAGATGTTAATCCAATTAATTGTCATTCAAGTGATGATAAAAATGCTCATTTCACATTGGATCTTGGATTAATGTTGGTACCAAGTAGTTATTCATTGAGACATTCTCGTGGGTACGGTAGATCTGCATTGAGAAATTGGTTATTCCAAGTAAGTTCAATCAACATATAATTATAATTTTGAAGTTATTTATAATTGTTTTGATTATAGGGTTCGCGAGATAAACTAGTTTGGGAAGTTCTTCATGCTCATGCTGATGATCAAAGTCTTGGTGAACCAGGAAGTACTGCAACGTGGCATTTGAGTGATATTCAAAAAGATAAATCATATCGATATTTCCGAATCGCTCAAAATGGACGAAATTCGTCGGGTCAAACATATTATTTGAGTGTTTCTGGTTTTGAAATTTATGGAGATGTTGTTGATGTTGTTGTTGAATCATTGGGAACAGATGAATCGAAGAAAACTGGAACGGAAGCCGCAACACCAGCTTCATCAAGCAATCAAACACCGGTTACAGCTTTGAATATTTTGGATGTAAGTTTTTTAGTAGTTAATTTAAAAATACAACTCGCTGAAAAAATTGACTAATTCTGAGAAATCCCGTATTTTATTGGGTAATTTTTGAGTGACGATTTTTTAAAATACTGAAATTCTAAGGAGTTTTTTAAAATTTTGAAAAATAGGAAACATACAAATTTTTCAAATGTGAGAACTTTATTCAACTTCCAAAATTACGAGAAAATTTTAGTTGCGAGTTTTTCTTTGGTAATTTTCACAAAAGCGATATTTATTCCAGAATATTCCGAGTGGCGAAAATAACAATAAATTAAAATCTGGTCTTTCGGCTGAAACAATTGCCGCAATCCAACAACGCGCTCGAACACGAATGAATCGAATGAAAAACAATGAGACGAAAGGGGCAAAAGTTATTCGAGGAAAAGATTGGAGATGGGATGATCAAGATGGAGGAGAAGGAAAGATTGTAAGTTGTTTAACTTTGAAAGCAGCTTCTCAACACTTTTTTCGTTTTATAGGGAAAAATTGTTCGTGGACCAGAAAGTGGATGGGTCGATGTTGTTTGGGAAAATGGATATTCGAACTCGTATCGATACGGTGCAAGTGGACATTTTGATGTTGAACGAGTTTCTTCGTCATCAAATACACTTACAAATTTGCCGGCCACATCTTCAAGTGTTCCATCTTCGGTTATTGATGCTGTGAGAACAAGAAGTCGAGGACTTATTGCCAAAAATACACGAGCTGGTAAGTATAACTAATAATTTCAAAACCAGAATAACTAACAGTGTTGTAATCCCTCTTAGGAGCTTTGTCTTCTTTTGCATCTGGTATAGCTTCTGGTTTGAATAGACGTAAATCACAAAATATCACAGGTAGTTGTGCAAATGATTATTATATTTGTTTTTTTGATGTTGTGTTTTGTGTTCTTTTCTTTCACTGAAACTTCTATGCTAGAGAATTTTAGTTTTGAACTATCTGTTATGTGATTTCAATTTCTTTTTTCCTATTTCCTCATTTTAATTTAACATCTTATATTTTCAGCTACATCTGCCGCAAATACTCCATTGTCTCGATTTGCAAATGCGAAGAATCCAACAACACCAACTGGAAGTAATCAAGGATCATCATCATCTACAAATCAAGGTGGAGCTATTGGAAAGAAATCAATGTCGACAACAAATCTTGTCGATGATCGAACCAAAAATAGTGGACCATCAGTTGCATCAACTGGACAAGCGGCCAGCGCTGAATCACTTCAACATCAAACACCATCACTCGAGAATCTTTTGGCTCGCGCAAATCCACATCAATTTGGAAGAATTGCTGAAAATCAAGAAGATGAACCAATGGGAGGAGAGGAAAGTGATTCTGCAGCAAGTATGAGATCAGCAACATCGTCGAATTCCCAAATGTCAATGTCTTCTTTAAATTCATCTTCAGTTGCTCAACAATCTGACGCAGCTGCAACAACACCACGAGATGCGCCAGGAACACCAAAAGATGAAAAATTGAATAGTTTGTCAGTGAGTGCACCAGATTTGGCAGCTGCTAGACAAAGACAACAAAGTTCGGAAAAAGTATCAACGATGGAAGAAGAAGAGGAAGAAGATGAAACATTGGATGATGAAGATGAAGATGAAGATGATGATGAAGAGGAAGAAGAAGAAGAGGAGGATGAAGATGAAAATGATAAAGAGGATGAGAAAATGCAAGAGTTTTTGGAAAGAGGTGGAATATTGGAGAAATTGCGAGAAGTTATTGGAAGAGATTCAGTTCTTGACACAACTGCTACTTCATCTTCTTCGAATACACCACAATCATCAACACCGACATCAGTTGTTCAAAGATCAGATGTTTGTGAGTTGAAGGGACTGGGATGGGATAGAATGGGCTGCGATGGGGAGAGGATTTTTTTAAACTTCAGAAAAAATTTGAAAGTTCAGAAATTTATTTTTTTTTCTCACTAACAAAATATATATTTCAGTGAAAGGTGTTCAACTTCGTCCAAACAAATCGAAGAAAACAGTCAAACAAAAATTATCGAGCTATGCTGAAGTGTTGAAAGGACTTATGGCGACTGTAAGATCACATCAAAATTCACAATTGAATCTTCCCAACTTGAGTTTTCTTCAGATGATGGATTCTGCAGCTCCATCACTTGAAATGGACGATATGATGGATGAAGATGACTATTATGATTATTCGGAAGAAGGAAATGAAGATGAGACTGAAGAAGAACTCGCCGCTCAACTCGGTATTCCAGTCGATTCTTTCGCATCAATGTTGTCACAAAAACCAATCAATTGGAAACAATTCTCACAAATGATGATGGGATCTTCGTCAAGAGATCGTGGATCAAATCGAAGTGGAGCAAATAGCAATAGTTCGGGAGGACATAGAAATGCAAATTGTGCACAATGGGATGAAGAATTGATTGTGAAATGCAATTTCGAAGCATTGATTCCAGCATTTGATCCAAGACCAGGAAGAGCTAATGTTAATCAAACTCTTGAAGTTGAACTTCCAGCTGTTGTCAATGAACCAACTGTTGCTTCAGCATTTGTAAATGTAAGTTTTTATTAGAAAAATTAATAAATCAATAAATTGTGATTACAGGACGGTGAACAAAAATTGCGTGTATTTTTACGTGGTCCAAATTTGAGCGGAGTTGATAATGTGACAGTTGAAATGGAAGACGATGACTCATCATTGTTCAAGTATATCCAATTAATTAATAACAATGTTAATTGGGCTACTGTAAGTTGTTTTCTTTTTGGAATTCCTCACACCACTATTTTTTTTTCAGAAAAACGATAAATCGCGAAGAATTTGGGAACCAACATACACTTTGATCTATGCAAATGCGAGCGAGAAAAGTCTAATTGAATCAACAAAAATTGTTGCCGAAGAAGATACGACACCAATTCAAGTCAATCAATGTTTAGAAGTGATTGGTTTATTGTCAAAGATTCAAGAATTGTTACCCGATGCACCAATCACACCAAATGTATTTATCAGTGATAAATTGACATTGAAATTAACACAAGTGTTATCAGATGCATTGGTTGTTGCAGCTCGTGCTTTGCCTGAATGGTGCTCTAGACTTGTTTATAAATATCCATGTCTTTTTACTGTTGAAACTCGAAATATGTATATGCAGGCGACTGCATTTGGTGTTTCACGAACTGTTGTTTGGTTGCAAGATCGAAGAGATGCGGCACTTGAAAGAACACGTGGAAGTGCACAAGCTGGAGGAAGTAATGCAAATCGACCACATGATAGATATCATGAATATAGACTTGGAAGATTGAGACATGAAAGAGTTAAAGTGACAAGATCCGAAGAATTACTTTTGGATCAAGCTGTTCGATTGATGAAATTCCACGCCGAAAGAAAATCAGTTCTTGAAATTGAATATACAAATGAAGAAGGTACTGGACTTGGACCAACTCTTGAATTCTATGCTCTTGTTGCTGCCGAATTGCAAAGAAAAGCCTTGGCGATTTGGGTTTGTGATGATGATGATAGTCAACCAAAACATGAAGAAAGTGAAATTGATTTGGGAGAAGGTAAAAAACCAGCTGGATATTATGTGAGAAGAGAAGGTGGATTATTCCCTGCTCCACTTCCACCACATACTGAAGAAGTTAAACGAGCCGCTGATATGTTCAGAGTTTTGGGTATTTTCTTGGCGAAAGTATTGCAAGATGGAAGATTGGTTGATTTGCCACTCTCAAGACCATTCTTGAAATTGTTGGTTCATCCACAAATTAGTGAATTACATGGAAATGTGAATTTGCGAAAGGTTTTGACTTTGGACGATTTCGAAGAAGTTAACCCGGTAAAAGGCAACTTTTTGAAAGAATTGAGAGCATTGGCACAACGAAAACGAGCGATTGAAAATGAACCGAATTTGGATCAATCTGCGAAACGACGAAAAATTGGAGAATTGAAATTGATGATGAAAGGAACTACTTGTAGAGTTGAAGATTTGGCTCTTTTCTTCACGTGAGTTGTATTGTCAAAGTATACATGGCACTGCTCCCAAAACTGTGAGGTGACATTTGGAAAAAATTTTCAAGGGGGGGGGGGTTCACGCCCGAATCAAAATTTTGATTTGGGCGGGTAGCTAATAAAAGTTCACGATTATTTTTTTTTAGATTAACTGACTTATGGTTTTTCAATTTCGAGCTTTGCCACGTCATAGCTCAAAAAAGTAGTTAAAGGTTTATAAAAATTCAAAATTCATGCAAAAATCCCCCCTAAAATTTTTAGTCAAATCTAAGTCATTTTCTTACAGAGTCAATCCGCCATCAAAAGTATTCCAATATGCAGAAATGGAATTGGTTGAAGGTGGAGCCGATATTGATGTAACAATGGACAATGTCGAACAATATGTTGAGAAATGCGAAGAATTCTATTTGAATTCTGGAATCGTTCATCAAATGCGTGCATTCCGCGAAGGATTCGATCACGTTTTCCCACTTCGAGCACTTCGCGCTTATTCGCCAGAAGAAGTTCAACGATTATTGTCAGGAGAACAATGTCCAGAATGGACTCGGGATGATATTTTGAACTACACTGAACCCAAATTGGGATATACCAAAGAATCACCGGGTTTCTTGAGATTTGTTGATGTTATGCATGCAATGACACCACAAGAGAGAAAGAACTTCTTGCAATTTGCGACTGGATGTTCGAGTTTACCACCAGGTATGTTCTTTTTTGAGAGAAAAACAATTCCAAATTAAAAGTTAAAAAATTCTGAATCTTAAAATGATCTTTCTTTTTTTCTAGGCGGACTTGCCAATCTTCATCCTCGCCTAACAATTGTTCGAAAAGTTGAAAGTGGAGATGGTTCTTATCCATCTGTAAATACATGTGTTCACTATCTCAAAATGCCTGAATATTCATCAGCCGAAATTCTACGCGAACGACTTTTGACAGCAATCAACGAAAAGGGTTTCCATCTCAACTAATTTTGTTTTTTTTCTACTCGCATTTTTCTCGTTTTGATGCGCTTTATTACCGGTTTCGATTCATGTTTTCTTTTATTTCTTTTCTATTTTTTTGTCAATGATTATTATTTTTCGTCCACATGTTTTTTTTGTCCCAGCAATATTTTTTGTCCCATTTTCCTCCCCCATTTTATTTCTTCCTCACATCAACCCATTCAACAAATATAGTTTTTTATCGAATTTTTCTTGATTGCAAAAATAAAGTAGATTTTTTGTATGTTTTATTTTTCTTTTTTTTGAAATAGTCTATTGGGTTTTTTAATACTCTTTGAATATTTTATTCTATGACGTCGTAGTGATGTTTTGAAAATATTTAGTTTTGTTCCAGTTTTCTGTAGAAAAATGTCGATTGCGAATGTCGTCAAAGAGGTTACATTAGTTGGAGAACAGATTTTTGATCATTCTGCGGTTGTGAGTTTTTTTTTGCTTATTTTGAAGTTTTCAACTGAAAATCGAGGAAAATTGCGATTTTTCGAGTCAGAAAAAAGAGTCCTTGAAAAATTTATAAATTTCTAAGATTGTAGTTTTTTTTGCTAACAATCTTGAAAATTTTGTGTTTTTCGAATCTGATTTGTAATTTTTGTCTGAAACTTTTGAGAAAAATATTCATTTTCAAGGTTGGAAAAACAAAAAAAAAAGTTAAAGCTCACAACCAAACTTAAAAATTTCAGATTCGAAACGAGATTGAAAAATTTGTTGATCGTTTCGAGAAAAATGAAAGACATCGCGAATTTGATGGAATACTTCGAGCAAGTCATGCTGTAAGTAGATATTTATCTAAATTTCCTCTTTTTAAATCAGAAACCTCATTTTTACAGTTAGTCGAAGCATCGGAAACTCCAGTAGAAGCATTATTTGATATGGGAAAAATGGAAAAAATGACACAAGAAGTTGATGAATTGACTGAAAGAATTACAAAGTTGTCAAATCCACAATATAAGGAGGTATGGGCTTTTTCGTGAGAAAAAATTCATCAATTTTTGATAATTTCTATTTTCAGGAACACGATAAATATTTGGAAAATGTGCAAAATGAGCAGAAGAAATATGTTGATGCGTGCAGAGAACAAGCTATGATTAAAATGAGAAATATGGTATCAAATCGCTAAACAACAATCAAGAATATTGTCGATATTTTTACGAATGAGCTTTCACTTATTTATCTAGTCATTTATATATATTTTTCATTAAATAATCCATAATAAATTATTCATTTTTTTATAATTATCATTAAACAGTGATTAATAGTTGGTTAATTAGTTCACCATTATTTTATTTGTCTGTGAAAATTTTCTATCAATGAATAGCAAAAACAAGAAACAACATCAGATGGCACCATCTACTAATGATCAAGCACCTTTTGTGATTTTGGAGACGAGTATGGGAAAAATCGCATTGGAATTATATTGGGATCATGCGCCGAGAACTTGTAAGAACTTTTCGCAATTGGCAAAACGGGGATATTATAATGGAACGATTTTTCATCGAATTATTGCTGGATTTATGATTCAGGGAGGAGATCCAACTGGAACTGGTTTGTTGTTTTTTGGAGAATTCTGAAATTCAATGATTTTTTAAAATCAAACTTTGATGAGCGAAAAATTGAGTATTGATGAAAAATTTTGATCATTTCTATAAAATTCAACGTTTTTTTGGAAAGAATGATAAAAATACTTTGTTATACAAAAAGATCAAAATATTCTGAAAAATAACATTCACTGAAAATTATCGAAAATCCTGAACACCCTGCGAATTTTCCAAAATCTTGAATTTCCAGGTCGCGGCGGTGCTTCAATTTACGGCGATCGATTCGCTGATGAAATCGACGAACGTCTCAAACACACTGGCGCCGGTATTTTATCAATGGCCAATGCCGGACCAAACACAAATGGCTCACAATTCTTCGTCACTCTTTCACCAACTCAACATCTTGATGGAAAACATACGATTTTTGGAAGAGTTGCCACCGGAATGAAGGTTTGCAACATTTTATTTGTTTTGCATTTGTGGGTGTTTTTCAGGTGATTGCTAATATTGGTCGAGTTGATGTTGATAATCATGATAGACCAAAAATGGATGTGAAAATATTGAAAGCATATCCATCTGATGAATCTTTGTTGTCTGCGTAGAGAAAAATGATCTCGAATTATTTTGGGGGGATTTGTTGTTAAATTGCGTGTACTTTTGATCTAAAATCTCGATTTTTTTATTTTATAAATTATTTTTGAATATTTAGAAAGTTGAAATCTAACTAAATGACATGAGTGGCACAAATAGGAAATTAGAAATTTTTGGAAAAGCTACAAAAAGGTTATTGAACATTTTTGATATAGAAATTCACCTTGATTTTTTTTTCAAAATTTAAGCTATTTTTAAGATGTTCCAAGTTTGCCAAGTCATGACTCATATTAAAAAATTTCAAGTTTTAAAATTTCCCTGTTAAAATCTTTGCAAATTTACACTTCCAACTGCTTCCCCAAAAACTTGAACAAGAACGAAATGTTTTGAAAAATGAGATGAAGTTAGGCGAAGTCACAAGGCGGACAAAATGATACGAAAGATCATTTGATAAGACACAACACTTCCTATATAAACACCCAAATTTTTTATCATTCTGAGACAAAACAAGCGATGCGATCATTTTTGACAATTTTGCTAGTTTTTGGTGTCTTATTCGAATATGCTGAATCGCAGTGTGAGTTTTAATCAAATTTTAGTTTTAATTTTAATTCATCGATTTTTTTTCAGTTGGCTGGGGAGGACCACCGCCTAGACCATGGGGTCCGTGGGGAATGAGACCTGGAATGTGGGGAGGACCTGGATGGGGTCGAGGAGGAGGTGGACCAGGATGGGGAGGTGGTGGAGGAGGACCACGAGGACCTGGCGGAGGTGGATGGGGTGGAAATAATGGTGGAGGGGGACCTGGAGGAGGTTGGGGTGGAAACAATAACAATGGCGGCGGAGGTTGGGGCGGAAATAACAACAATAATGGCGGTGGATGGGGCGGAAATAACAACAATGGTGGCGGAGGAAGGGGCGGCGGCAACAATGGCGGAGGCGGAGGAAATGGAGGCGGAAGAGGTGGAGGTGAGTATTTTATCATTTGATAACAAATTCCATTCGGCAAAATTTCAATTCATACGTCGCATTGCCCCGCGAAAAGGAAATCCCTATATTTTCAACTTTAAAAACTTGAAAATCTATATTTTTTACAAAATTTAAGCTCAAAATAGCTTCGTTCCGGAAAAAAAAACACAAATTGTAATTTTTCAAAAACAAAAAAAATAGGTTTCAAAATTTTGGTATAATTCATTATCAAATATTGTTCTCAATCCATTTCGGTAATTCTCCAGAAGAATAGAACAAAATCAAAATGTTTCAAACGGTTTTTGATATATTTTACGAAGGGTTATCCTGGAACTAGAAGTTTTAAAATTGTTCCGTTTTCTAACAAAAATGAACTGTTTTTCTGAAAAAAAGGATGTATTAGTTAAGTGTTGAAAAGTGTACAGAAAAATCTATTCATTACTGGAAAAAGATTCCATTTTTTTTTTTTGAAAATTTAAATTTTGAAAAGCTTTTTGAAAGAATGTGGCTGAAAATTTTGAACTTTTAGTATATGTTTTGTACTTTGTTCACTTATCAATTCTAATCTTTCAGGAAACAACGGTGGAGGAGGTCGAGGTGGTGGTGGCGGCGGCGGAAAAGGAGGAAAAGGTGGTGGCGGACGTGGACCACCAGGAAAGAAAGGTTGATCAAGTTTTTTGTAATCAGAAATAATCGTTGTTTTTGCGGGTGTTTTGGTTTTATTTTGTTTTTTATCCTAATTAATCTAAAATGAAGTTTTCAATTTTTGATGCATGATTTGTTGTGTTTGATGGTTGAAATTGCCGTGTATTTGTGTTGTGTTGTAAATCAAACAATTTTCAAAAAATGTCCAGCCAAAAAAAAATGCGTGATCGATTAATCGAACTTCAAACATTAGCTGGTCTCGAAGAAAATCGACAAGTTCAGCCACTTCTCAATCAATCAACATCACACAATGATTCGTTTGAACAATTTCTGACGAAAATCGACAATTTTCGACATATTTTGACGACTTTGTCGGCAGATCGAATGATTATTCGACGAATGCAAAATGATATTTTGAAATCGGGACACGATTCGATGAAAACGAGAGAATTGAATGAACATGTTGATCGATTTATACAAAGAGCACGATTTTTGAGAGAGAAATTGGGAAGTTTGACAAATGATCTCAATCAACATTATCCGGAGGGAAAAAGTGGATCAGCAAGAGCCAGACATGAACAGGTACGGGTTTTGAGATGATTAGATACCTAGTTGGGACCTTAAAATGAAAAGTCACAAAAAAATCGGGGCGATTTTTTTCACTCACAGAAAAAAATTCGGGCCGATTTTTTTCACTCACAAAAAAACTCGGACCGATTTTTTTTCACTCACAGAAAAAAATTCGGGCCGATTTTTTTCATTCACAAATAAACTCGGACCGATTTTTTTCACTCACAAAAAAAATCGGGCCGATTTTTCTTGGTCTCAGAATCCGAACGTTCCACTTGTTTGACTGAAAAATTCCTCAACCTTCATTTTTTGCAGGTTCGTGTTCTTCATTTGACATTCGAAACACTAATGACAACTTTCAACGAAGATCAAATGATTTTTCGCGAAAAATCAGCTCAAAAAATTCAAGATTATCTAAAAGTGCAAAATATTGAAGTGTCTGATTCACAAATCGAAGAAGCGATTGAAAGTGGAAATATTCAACAATTGACATTAAATGGACATTTGGGAATTGAGCAAAGAAAAATGTTGTTTAATGATGTGAAAAATCGAGCAAATGATATTATGATTTTGGAAAAACAAATTCGAGAAATTTCGGAATTATTTGAGGATATTAATATGATGGTTAATCATCAGAGTAGGTTTTTTATTTGGAAAATTTAATATTGAAAAAGATTTAGAAATTATATTGAGCCCTGTATTTTTAACCAAAAAATGCATAGAAAAATTCAGGATTTTTGAAGTTCAAGTTCATGTTTTCAAATTTTAGGGCTCAACAAAAATTCTCATTATTTTCAAAAAAATTAGAAAAAAGTACCTGCGGTTTTTGAAACAAAAGAATCGAAATTCGAAAGTTTGTCTTGAAGATTTCTGAAATCTCACCAATTGAAAAAAATTAATTATTTCATATTCCTTGTTACAGGCGAAACAATAAATCGAATCGAATCAAGTGTTCTGAGCGCTGAAAATTTCGCCGAAAAAGCTGGACAAAATGTGAAAGCCGCGATTGAAATGCGAAAAAGAAATAATAAAATGAAAATTTGTTGCCTTGTCATTTCAATTGTCGCAATTTTACTCGCTTTGATCTTTCTTCAATCAATTGTTTGTCTTTATACACCAATTTGTTAATAGCTTTAGTTTTAGTTTTATTCAACCAGGTATTTATTTTTTATGATGATCTCTATGAATTTTATCAAGCTTTAAATTTTTGTCTGAAAATTTTTTGGTTTTTAAAACGTTTTTTCGTTTGAAAATATTTGAAAAATTTTGAGGATTCAATAAAAAAAATTCCAGGAATTTTAGGATGTTACGGTTATTAACAAGAAGAATTGCATCGTATTTACCAAGGGTAAGTCTAAAATTTTTGGCCTGAATTTGAAAATTAAAAATCCATTCTGTGTTTGAAATATTAAAAATTTTTTTGTTGTTCTGAATTTTTGAATTGTTCATCATGAGTTTAAAAAATTTCAGTTCCAATTTGATATTTCAAAGCTGAATTTTTTCAGCATGAATTTAGATTTGAAAAAATTTAGAATTTTTCATCCTGCTCGGTCAGAAAACGGCGGGGTCGCTACCGATCGGGGCGGAGTCGCTACACGTTTTTTGTTCCCCGAAACGTGTAGCGACTCCGCCCCGATTGGTAGCGACCCCGCCGTTTTCTGACCGAGTGATAATTTTTAAAATATTAAATGTTTCAAGCAGAATTTAAATTGGAAAAGTTTCTGAATTTCTCAGCCTAAATTCAAAAAAAAAAATTTTCAGCTGCTTTTAAAAAATATTTTCAGCCTGAATTTTTCTTGCTCAAACCTGAAAATTTCAAAAATTCTGAATTTTAGAGGCCGATGGAACCGGAACCTGGATTATGTTGTGATGAAGGATGTGAAAGTTGTGTTTGGTTAGTATATGCGAATGAATTGTTGGATTATTATAGTGAGTTTTTTAATCCTGATGTTTTTCCTGACAATCAATCCTAATAATCAACCCTATCCAAAACCCTCCTTTTTCAGGACAAAAAACACCTCACGGAAGCTTGGATAAAGTGAAAAATGAAATAATCGATAAAATTGAATCTCCAAGTGTAAAAGCATTTGTGATTGGAGAACTCGAAATGGCCGCGAAACAATTTGATGATTTATCGAAGTTACGGAAAAAATAGGCGAAATCACAATTTATTTATTTACAAAAAGGAATTTTGAGAATGTGAATGTGAATAAGAATGCAGATAAAGGTTTTTTTAGAATGCAACAAAATATTTTCAAAGTTGAATAGCACGTGTGTAATCGTATTCGATTGTTGGAATGACTGCCTGGACAAATTTCAAGAACAAAAGCAAATACTCGTGGACACCGAGATCTTTTCCATTTTCCGAATATTGAGTGATGAGTCGTTTCATCATTTCAGCGTGTTTACATGGATGAACTGTTGGCATATCACAATCCAAAGATGTGTGAGTTTCGACGGTTATTGTTTTGTTCGCGTGATCCTGGAAATTTTGAAAAATTAGACAAAAAATCAATAATCAGCAGAACGATGATTTCTGGATTACAGTTAGCCACCTTCTTTTCTAACTAAATAATTTCTTACCGCTGAAAAATCTTCGTATGTTTGTTCGATGCTCAAAGGTTTTCGATTCTCATCATAACCCATCAAATAAACTCGTGGAACTTGATAATATTTGTCATAACAAATATGTAAATCATAAGTTCTTGGATGTTCAATTTCACCATGAGCAAAAAGATTAGTTGTTCCCGGTTGTGCAATAAACCGATTTGGATCGCCATCCTCTTCTAAATTTTCCATCAAATCATCAAGATCAATCGCTTCTTCGTTTTCATCGATTTCATCGTGAACTTTGAGATTTGTCGCATCATCCAAATCAATAATTTGTTCTTCTTTCGGTTTTTCATAATGATGTGTATCAACCCATCCAGAATCATCTTCTTCTTCAATTTTTTGAAATTCATCCGAATCTCCAGATTCATTGATGATTTTCTCGAGATTTTCGTCATATTCCATTTGTTTACATCGTTTATGGCAAGGAACATTTCGTGTGATTAGATATTGTTTATCTAGAGGTAAATAGGTTCGAATCTTAGATGGATCTGAAGCTGGAGCCCATTTCCATGTTGGACAATGATGCACTAAATGATCACCAGCTATCACATATTCTTCTGGAGTCAAAACTCCTGTCTCCCTGGAAAAATATGTTTATTGTTTTCAACTGATATGTATTTTTTAATTGAAAAATAAGGAACCTACAAGATTATGAAATATTATCAAAGTTATATCTAAAAATCGATTTTTCGTCCTAAACCTGCTGAAAATTTAAGAACTTTGAAACTACTCAAGGAATCAGAAAATTTCTAACTCCACCGTCATAATTAGTATGGTCCCTTAAATTTCCAAAATAAAAAAAAACTTACCGAAATTTGCTTTCTCGAAGAACTGGTGTCAATTTCTCTCCAATATTCAATGCTACACTTTTTACATTGTTAACTAAGCTTTGAATATCCATAATAAATTCGATAACCTACGGATTTGGCTGAAAACACACAGTATTTTGCAAGAGAAAAGAAACAAAAATGAAAAATGGAAGCAGCTGACAATAAATAGTGCAATTTCACGTGATGTCCGCAAACACTTTTCTGCAACTGCTCGTCAATTCCGCAAACACCGTCATTATTTTATTATTTTTTTTCTTTTTTCCTTGTTTTTTCACTTTCCACAAGCACAACAACCAATAAAACAGCGCTGTTTTGCTCTATTTCTTATCTACTTTTCATATTGAACAACTGCAATCATGGGCGATACATACAAAGTGGAATATTATAAGGTAATTAATTAACTAAAATAAAAATAATTATTTCTTTTTCATTTTTTTCAGACGAAGAAAATCACATTTGGACCAATTGAATATGTAATTGTCACGCAAAACTCGAATGGACCTTGTCCACTTTTGGCTCTTATAAATGTGTTAGTTCTCAAAGGAAAAATACAATTAGACACAACTGAGCCACAAATCGGAAATGAAGAATTGGTTCAAATTTTATCAAATGTATTATTAATTCCTCCAAGCGACGAAAAAGAATTGGAAATTTATGAAGCAAATCTGCAAGATGTTCTTCCAATTATCTCAAATCTTCACAAAGGTTTAGATGTAAATGTTAAATTCTCGAATATCAGCGACTTCGAATTCACTTCAGCTCAATCGCTTTTCGATTTACTAAAAGTTAATTTATATCATGTTTGGTTGCCGGATCCTCAATTAGGACCAATTTATGAAGCAGTCAAAAATATAACCTATAATGAATTGGTTGTTCGAATTTTCGATGAAAACGACAAAGAATATCAATTTTTGAAAGATTTCCACGATGATACCAAAAGTCAAATAACATTTCATGGATTAATGAAATTATGTGAAAAAATGAAAGATGGAGAAATTGCGGTTCTCTTCAGAAATAATCATTTTCACACAATATTAAAACGAAGGGTTCGTTGATTTCATGAAAATTAGAAAAAACAACGAAATTTTCAGGACGAAATCTTCACTCTTGTCACCGATGAAGGTTTCTTCGACGAGAAAAATATAGTTTGGGAATCGTTGAGTTCCGTGGATGGAGATTCATTCTTTGTGGATCCACAATTTCATACTTATAAGTGAGTTTTTTTCGGAATTGTCTGAAAATATTATAACTCCTTATGAAAATATGTTTATAGAGAAGTCGTGGTTGCTCAGGAACCCGTCAGATCTTCACAATCTTCTCCAATTCCTTCACAATCTTCGGTTCCTCCACCAGAATATGTCGAACAATCAGCTCGTTCTCGATCAATTCAAGTTTCTCCAACTCATTCGTCGCAAAAATCGGACAAGTCTAAAGTTGGTTTTTTTCTGAATAAGTGGGATTGGGTAAAAAATCTCCCCAAAAAAATTATTTTTTTTCAGTGCCTCATCATGTAAATCAACCTCACATATCCTGAATTCCTCACTGACTGGTTTTTCTAAAAAGTTTTCAAACTTATTATTTTTTTATTTTCATTTTTTACGGTTAATAAAAAAATAAATTTATTTCATCTAAAAGTTTTAGTTTTCTCAATTTTTCTCCCAAAAAAGTTGAATCTTTCCTATACTTTTCTTTTCCAAATTTTCACAATTTTTGTGATAATTCAAAAATTGCAGACAATTTCCAGACAAATGGGAATTTTTAGAAGTTTAGCCAAAATCACAGTAGGAACATGTAGTATTTTCACATTTTTCGATGTTGTTGGTTATCCAGCACAAGTTTTAGGTGAGTCAAATCGACAAAAAATTTTCTTTACATAAAAAAAAACATTGTTAGGCTTATCAATGTATCCAACATTACAAGGAGAAGATTCGAGATGGTGGAAAAGAGATTTTGTTTGGTTGTCAACTTGGAATTTGCATAATTGTAGTAAAGGAACTATTTTGACTTTTACGTAAGTTTTTCATTTAGAATTGCACAAAAATTTGAAAAAAACTTGGAAATTGTCCGAAATTGAATCGTAAAATTTCCAGAAAAACTTATTTCCGATTTCAAAAATTAATTTTTTTTGCAGTTGTCCCCGTGATCCAACATCAGTTCATATTAAAAGAATAAGCGCAACCGAAGGACAAATGGTTCGACCAGAAAATCGCAATATTTTACAAGAAATTCCAAAAGGTCATTATTGGATGGAAGCTGATAATCCACAAAATCGAAATGATAGCAATATTTATGGACCAGTTGCAAGTGGATTAATAAAAGGACGTGCAACTCATATTATCTGGCCACCAAATCGTTGGCAATCACTTTAGAATAGATAAAACACTAGACATATTTAATAAAATAAATCTTTTATTTCTTCAAAATCGAATATCCATCAAATGAAAATAGAAGAAGTAGAAAAAAAGGAAGATAGAACATAGTACAGTAATTTCAGCTAGAATACAATTCTAGTATTTACTTTGAGCAAAACAAACGGAAAAAAGCTCACCGAAGGGTTTCAGAGAAAATAAAGAAATGAGCAATAGAAAATGGGTGGGATCTGTACAAAAAAACGAAAAAACCATGCGGGCTCCAAAAATGGACCAAAAAAGAACCCGTGACGAGAAAAAAGAAAAACAATAGGAGGTTTTGATAATAATTATAATAATAACTCAAGTCATGGTAATGAGATTTGAAAAAAAGAAGGAAAAAAACACACGAAGGCACACACTTATTATATTCGTTAAATAGACATATATTTTCTCTATATATCAATATATACACATCAAACAAAGAAATATATGATTGATTTTTGAAAATGAAAAAAAAAGAGCCCTGTATCAGAATGAATCAAGAAAGAATGAAAGATTTCGGAAATTAATAAAACAACCAAGAAAAAAAACGAAGAAAAAAATGGTGTATCACCGGGAGGAGGAAAATATGAACAATTTGAAAGATATTTGATAGATTTGGGGGGAGAAAATAAATTAAAACATAATAAAAGACAAGAAGAAAAATAGGTTAGTTTCATCCAAATACTGATGATAGAACTGGAGGACAATAAACGGCTGCAACATTCACTATTAGTCTCAAATCCGAATAATCGCATCCGACAATTGTTCGAACACGTTCTGGTGTTAGTTCGGGAGCCTGCAAAAAATTGAAATTATTTTCGGAAATTAGAAAATGAAATTTGATAACGTGGCCTAGTTTTTTATATAATTTCGAGAAAAAAAAGGAAAATTTACTAATTGCCACGTCACCTTCTCATAGCAAAAAATTCAAATCTACAATATTCAGAATCGTAATTCCCCTTAAAAAACTCACTTCACCATCTCGGGCGACCATTTCAACTAATGTTAAACTTTTTCCAACAATTTGTCCCAATTCATCTTCAATACACGACAAAATAAAATCGGTTCCTAGATTTAATGGATCATTGTATAAAGTGACGAATGATTCAAACATTGATACAATTACTTCAGGCGGTGATGTTACTTCATCAAATCCTTCACTTGAAATCACTTTCACACTCAATTCATCGATATCCGCCATTATTAACACATTTTCCGGTAGTTGAACATCATATGGAGAAGTTGATGGAATTGGGGAGGATAGATTTGGATTCGAAGCGGCTGCAACAGCACGATGACACGGTGTATCAGCACATCGAACTTCTTCAAACATTTTCATAATTGTTTCCGGCATATTTACTTGACTTTTCAAAATCGATGAGACAACAAAATGTGGGCAATATGTATTCAATGGTCCAGCAAAAAGACTTCGACCAAGTCCATCAGAACTTGGTCTTGGAGACCAAAGATCTGAATGACTTGCTGTATCTTCATCATCGGTTGTACTATGATGATCACAACATGGTGGATATTCAATTCGATCAATTATTGTGATTGCTGACACATTATCATCCGCAATTACGCAAATCTGAAATAACAAAATAATAAATTAAATTCAAAACTCTTTTTGAAAAAAAAAACTCACTGCTGCAGTTTGTGTTACAACCGATGGCAAAGAATCAACCGAACTCGATGGCGAACCATTTGGTGGCATCATATTTGGTGTATTTTTCGGTTGTGTCGCCGCTTCACGTCTCAATTTTCTTCTCTGCTGTTGATGTTGCACAAAACTTCGTCGATCTTCATCCGATGATTTATCTTCAGTTGGTGGACTCGGAATTTCAATGGGACTTGTTCCAAGTGTCGCATCATCATCATCAATCGGCGAAAACGCTTGTTCAATCGGCAATTCCCACGATGATTTCTCGATTTTATCCTCATCAACGTGTTGAACTGCAGAGCAGCGAATGAAAAATGACAAAACTTGACAAATTGTCGACATCAATTCGGCGTCATCTCCACAAATCACAGTTTTTGCTGATCGATGTGGTCCACAACTTCCAGACAATTCAAGATATTGTGCCATATGTGCATTATATCCGAGTGCGTGAGCATCTTCATTTGTGGCCATTCCGAATAACATTGATGTTGATTTTTGAATTTGTCGATCATTTCGAGCCAAAGGTGGAGACGCAACACTTGCAACCCAAGACATATGATGCATTAGAATTGTTGAAACAAGATTCGAGAAGAAACTGGAATAAAACAAAATGTTGAGGTTGGAAAGAAGACTTTTTTCGGGGGGTTTTCAAAAATTAAAAAAAATATATTTTCCAAACTTTTTCTGAACATTTTTTCTCGTTCTAAATTTCAAAATTCAAAATGTATTGAGAATTAAATACAATTCTGGAATTAATTTTTTTGGAAAATACTGTGCCTCGGCCAAAATCGTGGTTTCCTGAATAAAAATGCATCATTTTTTGGAGAAAAACTGTGAAGTTTGGCCTCTAAAAACTGAAATTCATATTTTTCAGAATTGTACTCTGGCCAGCCCCCACATTCCTAAAAATCTCAAAAATAACTCACTATCCGGTCTCTTTGGTTTCATATTTCTTCAACAAATACGCCAATTGATCACAAAACTGTTTCGCAATAATTTTCTCTTCATCAACGTGTTCATTCAATGACAACCATACTGGATTTCGAAGTCGTGGAGCATTATGAAGACAACAAATCGTATTTACAAAATCATTCCAAGCATTGTGTGTATTGATGAAAAACGACGGTGGATTCTGTCCGATGTTAATCATTCGCGCTTCAAATCTCGACATTTCAGCCTCAATTAATGGCATGTGTTGAAACAGAAAATGTCGTTGTGCTCCTGGGAACAGCAGTCCCAATGCAACGTGTCGATCATTACTGTGTTCGTCTTCAGTTTGTGATGAATTCATTGATGAAAGTCGAGATCGAGATTTCAAACATGCACCTGCAAAAAAAAGAAAAAATGATTTTTGATCATTTCAAACAAATCTGCACTTTTCAATACAATTATCTTCTTTTCCTTGTTCTTAGAAGTGATTTGTGATCAACACAGGAAAAATGAAGAAGAAGAGGAAGAAGACAGAAGTATTAATGAATGATAACGAAAAAATGTAAGCTGTCTTGTCCTCCCGGAAATAAATCAACTTCCTGTTCTTCATTGAAATACTTCTGGTTTTCAGCAAAAGCTTTCTTATTGACGTTGAGAATGTTCAAATTTCAGTTTTGAAGCTCTCATCAGCTCATTTTCAGACAAAAAACTAACCATTTTCACTCAAACTTGTCTTAGCAGCCATTTGTCTTCTTCGATTTCTTGACAATCGATGTGGAGGTGAAAATGCTCTCGGAGCACAAGATGATGATATCGAACAATCAGCCGTCGATTCGTCTTCAGTCAAATTAATCGAAACGTGTCGAACACGTGTAAATTGTTCGGGTGTAGATGTTGTCGATCTTGTTACGTGTGTTCGCATCTGCCAACCATCCAGTGATTTGATTGTCATTTGTGAATCCGAATCCGAGCTAACTGTTTGATTTTCCGACGTTGTTCGTTTATTTCGATCCGGTTTTGGCATATAAAATGTTTTACTAACTAATATTTTCTCTTCATCGCTGAAAAAAACACATTTATTTTTGAAATTCTTCACTGTATTTTCTCAACTCACTCTAATATATGTATTTTAAAAGTTTCAGATCCACTTTCCGTCGGAACGGCTCCGAATAATAATTGTGTCAATATTCGTGTGTCTTTGCGCCTTTTTAGCAATTCAAATTTTTTACAAACGGACAAATTTTTGGCATTTTTAGCAATTGTTGTTGAATTTCTGATGGGTATTACGGTAGTTGTATCGTATAAACATTTTGAGTCGACATCAATTAATACCATTCGTATATTTTCAGGGTCCAATAAAGCCATACTTTGGGTGCTGGAAAAAAACAAGAAATGAGATATAGTTATGACGTGGAAAATTTGAAAACTACAATTTTTGGATTCGGACCAGTTGAAACAGGATTTCCCTAGAGTTTGAAAATATTAATTTTGTATTTGAAAATCACGTTTTCCAAAAATTATGTTAAATTTGCCACGTCATATGTGTTCCAATTCAGAAAAAAACACGTCATTTCGAATATTTCCTTCACCCCATTTTCAGACCCCCAAACTTACCATAAATCAGGTATATTTGATGACGTTGATACACCAGCACCATTTCGTATATTACTATGATTATTATTATTTGATTCTCTTCTCCTTGTTGTTGTTCCAGTTCCAATCGTCACTGTTGGCGCACTCAAACGTGGTGCAATTGGCGGTAGACCGGGTTTAAATGAGCCCGTCGAGTGTTGTCTTCGATGCTGTGCTGTTGATCCATTTGGTGCGAGTGTTGAGAGCGAAGCTGTTGAGGAAGTCGTTGGAAAATGACTGCTGGTACTTTCTTCAGCGACAATGTTTTCAGAATCGGTCCGACGTCTTTTCGACGGAAAAAATGGGAAAAATCGTGGCATGCTGTAAAGAAAAGAGTATTCATATACATATGACATCAAAAAATGCTATGTTTTTATACAGTAAAACTGATAAACCATCCCGGCGCCATTTCACGAGTTCATGGTAATAAAAGTCAGGTGCCCCGGGAGGAAATTCGTTGAAATGAAACGAAAAAAAATGAACTAACCGTTTTTAAATGAATAATAATTCGAATAACAAGAATAGTCGATATAAGTCAAAATAGCAAGATAAATGTATGTTTTTACCGCGCGACTCTTTATCCAAATTTGCTTCCTCTTCAGAGAGAAAGCATTGTTTCGTCCTTTAAAGGGGCAGGTAGAAAATCTGCAAGAATATTTTTGTTGGAGAAGAAGAAAAAAATGGGAAAAAGCATACGAGTCAATCAAACGTGCATTATAAGAAATGAAATGGTTTTGAAATCAATGATCGAATAAAAAACGACGTTTTTATATTTATGCTAATTTTTGCGTGGTGACATACATATATCATTTTTAAATTTGATTGATAGATGGATGATAAAAAATTGGAAAAAAAATGGGTGGGCTAACATTACATAAAATATCGGTGGGAAAAAAACTAGGAAAAAGAATAAATTATGTTTTTGATTTTTTCAACACAAATACGGTAGGTTTGCACATCCGGTAAAATACATGTGGCGCCAGAAAACTGTTATCAATGATGATGATAAAACATTTTTGCAACACTCTACTTCACTTTTAGAAATCTTTAACAAATTGTAAACATCAGTCTAGACTTGAAAAAAAAAGTTTTGGAATAAAAAGACCAATCTCTTGTCACCATTTCACCCCAAACGGAAACCATAAGAAAAATGGGTGGAAGGAGACACAAAGAGGCGAAAAACGCACTTTGAAAAAGTGCAACATTTTTTTGTCGTTTTTTTTTCACCTCCTCCTCCCGCGCGGGGTTGCGCACACAAATACAAAGAAAGGAAAAAGTGAACGAAATGAACGGGCGAAGAAAAAGTACATTTTGGAAGTTTGCCAACGTTCGTTGTTTCGTTCGTTAGTCAAGTACACTTTGAGACGAATAAGAAGGAGAAGAAGAAGAAGAAGACAATTGTATGCATAGAAGGGGGTAGAGTAAATATGAAATTATTATAATATTAATAATAATAATAATCAACAACACAAAAAGCACAAGTTTTGTGTCGAGAGAGGGCTTTCCTAGATAACGAGCCTAATGATAAGGTTATCATTTTGATTTTTGGCCATGCTTGTTTTCCAGAGGAGGAGGAAAATGTGGAAAACATGTGATGCCATCAATGCACAAAGTATTTTCTCGAATTGGTAGTAGGAATCAAAAGAGAATCTCAAAAGCTACGGAAATTTTCTTCAAATGAATTTCATTCCGCCTCCCATCTGCTTTTAAAGCTATCAAGAAAAGGTGCAGCTGATCAGACTTCAGAAAAGTAATAATCTCCCAGTGTGCTACAAATGTCTCGGCGGAAAATATACTTTTGTAGCACACCGGGAGATTTTGGGGTGTGTTCAGAATTATCAATTTTCTGAAGTCGAATGTGCACTTTTACAGCGAGAAATAAAGTTTTTTTCAATTTTCTCAAAACCTCTAAATATTACTTTTAAGACTTTGAAATAAGTTCATGAAAGCAAGTTATCAAATTATGGAACAGTCGGAAATTTTCAGAAAGTTTTTCAGAAAACTAAAAATAATTCTCTGAAAACACACCTTCAAATCTCCCGGTGTGCTACAAATCGCCTGTCTCGACGGAAAGTACTTTTGTAGAATACAAAAAAAAACGAGTGATGACAAGTGTAAGACCGTATGGTGAATAACAATAAAGTGCCGTTATTTCAACCCAATTTGCCTAATCTGTTGCACTTTTGTGTTGTGTGCGCAAAACACCAACTACTTGTATCTATACATACAATACGGTTTTTGAAACCGAATAAATTAGTTGAGAAGGAGGAGAAAGTGCAACGAGGAGAAAAAATGAAAATGCAAAGAGGGGAGTTTTGTTTGTGATAGATAAAAATGAACAAATTTCGCGGACACCGAGTTTCACCGATTCCATGAATTCTCGCGAAAAAAACACAAGAAACGTTGTTCATTTGCAACAACAACTGACACACAGTGCGAGAGCAAGCACAAAAAATATATTGAGCAAGAATACGAAGAATAAGAAGAAGTGGCCAGCGGTAGACAACTTTTTTTTGCCATCAGCAAAAAATATGTGAGGTCAAAAATCTATCGTGAGCAGCAACAACAGCAGCAGTAGCACTAGTAGAAGAGCAGATACAAAAAATGTCTATCGGATTTTCACGAGTTGAAAAATAGCTGTTCTAAGAACAGAAGGCATCGCAAATTAGTGGGAAATTGTGTGAAAAAACCGAGGTGTAAAATGGGACGAAAAATTCTAATGGTGGGCGAAATTTTTTTGGAATCAAATTGGATGGCACACGATTTTAAATCTTTTTTATTTTTATGTTGGGAAAAAATTCCAGATAGAGCATTGTGTGGGTGGCTATGAATTTTTGATCAGAGACATCGGATCCCACGTTTGATAGTTTCAAAGTAGATTTTATTTTTTTTTCATTCATAATTTTTTGATTGCATTATATTTCCAATACGATATAAGATTTTACAACAAGTAATTAATCATCTTCGAATATTATAATTATTCGGCTGATATCTAATAAAACAACAGTTTTGCAATGTCCAATATTATGATTTCTAAAGGTCAAAAATGATGGAGAGAAAGGGAAAAGACCAAAAGATCAACCCTCTGTTCCCTTTTTGCTTGCAGAAAACGATACGTGCCATAACAAAAAATGATTGGAATGAACGAAACGAACAGCGTTTATCAAAGAACGAATCGAACCACAAACAAAAAATAAACAAATGTGTCTACAATTGATAATATCATCGTTATACATATAGAAGAAGCCAAAACAACTGGATAGAGTGAGAATTCATCCCGGAGAGGAGGCGACACAACAAAAACAACTGTGTTAGTTATTGAGTGAACGAACAAATGAATGTATATTTGTGAGTGAGTTTGTGTGTAGTGTGTGATCTATTCAATTCATTAATCAGTGGCAGTGGACAAAATCAGTGAAGCTTCTGAAGAAGACAAGGTTCGTTGTGTTTTTTCTTCATTCGCCTCTGTTGATGATTGAGAGGGACGAGGAAACACGACGAAAAACACCGAAGAAAAAAATCAATCAATTTGCTTGCTACTGCAATCGATCTTATCAGTGGACGCAGCCAAACGACGACGAAATGCGACCGATGCGAAAAACGACACATTCTTCGTTTCCTTTTTTAGGTTGTGTTTGTTCTAATGTTGCAAATCACCTTTTAATGATCGCTATGAGGAAGTTCTAATGTGTTTAGAGCGTGAGCGGTCGATGATATTATTTTATCAAGATTTTATTAGGAAAACGAAGATTTCATCATGATACGGTAGTAGATTTATTTTGCTTGAAAATTTGAAAAAATAAATCGTAACTTGCAAAAAGAACACCCAGCGACCAAAATAACTATGACCGTAATTAATATCAATTGAATCAGAGACAAGAAACAATGTTAAAGTGCGTGTGAGAGACCTCCAAAAAATCTGATGTTTCATCTCTTCTGATTAGTTCGGAAGTGAATTGAATGATTAATACGTTTTTTTTTGACAAGATTGGAAAGAAAGACCCCCCAAAAAACGCGTCTCAGGAATTTTAAAAAGTTTCGATCTTTTCGATTAGATTACGACAATATTTAATTAAAACAAAGCAAAAAATAACACGGGTTAATGAAAACAAGCTTTTGCTGAAAAAATAAATGAGGAGGCAAAAATCCATATGAAAGCAAAAGCACGTGAATACATATCTACACACACACAACAAATTTGGTCAGCTGATTCGATGTTTTTCTTTCTGAGTCTCGCAATGTTCTTCTGAAAAAAAACCGGAAGCTATTATGTGTTTCAGAGACGAAGAATGACATCATCAGCATTGGTGGATTTTAGAAGCAACACTAAAAAAACGCGGAGGAGGAAAAAAAGTGCAAAAATGTTGTGTTTTTTTTGTTTTTTTCTGTTGCTGCGGCGAATGAACGAACAGAGGGAAAATCGAAAGATCAACTTTTTTATGGCGATCATAAATTATAAGGAAAAATTTAACAGCTGACTTTTTCGTGTTGCAGAAAGGTGTCAAGGTTTTTTTGTTGAGGATAATGCACTTTAAGATGCTCGCTTCCGGTGTAAAACTTTGAGCTAATTAAAAACACTAAAATATTAAAAATCTATAGAAATGGAATTTTGAGGAACTTGTGAAGAACACCGTACGAGAATAAAAAACTATGCGGGAAAAGTGCAAATGACATTTTCAGAACATATATAAAATGTCAGATACAAGAAAATAAAACACTTTAGACTGAACATTTTAGAATCCCCAGCTGGTATTTAATGACATAAAAAGAGCAGATGCTGATGATGATGATGAGATGCAGAATAATGTGCTGATGATGAAAAAAACGAGTAAATAGCCTCCAGACATTTTTTAGTCGACGATCGAGAAAATACATCAAAATAAAATGAAAATAAATAAAAACTACGATAATTGAGAACACCTGGAAGAGTTCGAAAGATCTAAATCATATGACGATGATGAAAATTGAGGGATGGTAGACCCATCATAAATCGGATTATTTGTTAGTTGGTTTGGTTGAAAAGTGAAAAGGCGCGAGTTATGACAACTTACGAAATAATTCCATGACTAATACGAGAACAAACAACTGTTAGAAAAAAAAACATTCAAATGACATCATGTGAGAATGAATGAAATTCCAAAAAAGGTCATTCACAAAGGGTGTGGTTGGTTTAAATTTAGATTGAAAAACCAAAATTAAAGTTCAGATTTTTGAGAAAAATAGGTTTTCAAATTTTTTGAAGAATTTCAGAAACAGTCAGTATTCAGTTATTTTTTAAAATTTAGATACTTTTCAAAAATAAGAAATATATAAATTTTGAAATTTTCGAACATCAAATAAACATGAGCAATAAAACAGATAAGTGATGAATAAAAAATTTGGAGCAAAAACTATGTTTTCAAAAAAATTCAAAAAAAAGTTTTAAAAAATTTCGAACAATAAATAAAGATGAGCAATGGAAAGATGAATGTTGCAAAAACGGAAATAAAAATTTGGAGCAAAAATGACATTAAAAAGGAAAAAAAATAAAAGTGCAATGAAATTGAAAAAAAAATTTAAAAGGTCACAATGAAATGTTGACCTTTTTAAGCGAGAGAAAAAGGGAATAATCAAAACCACATGGTCGGAAAAAAGTCCAAGAACATGTTTAAAAGTGCAAAAAAAAACAGAATTAAGAAAGGGAGGAGGTGGTATAAAATAACACAACAATACAAGCAATATAAGAATAGTAATAATACCGCGTCGCGCATACACATTCATTCATTCATTCATTCTTTCCATTCACACAGCCAAAAAAAAAACGAGTGCGAGAGAGACGAGACGCAGACACTATGTCGTCCTTAATTTTTTTCTGTTGGCTGAGTGCCCAAATCTTGTACACACACCACCCATCACGTGAGAGAAGCGAGGCGGTTGTGCGGCGCGGTCATCTTTTGGCTCGTTGCCAGCTACACTCGTGAAGAAGAAGAAGAAGAAAAAGAAAATAGAAGAACGACACATACAACATTCCTTTCCGTCTCTCTATTCTCTCTTCATTTATATGTGTCTTTAGGCGGTGACTGACACATACACATGATTCGGCTGCTTTTCAATGAGGGAAAATGCGAATAGCTGCTACTGGGTTCAGTTTTTTGCGAATGCGTAGAAAGAAATAAGAAGATAGATGACTGGGTGGGGTAATTGAGCAACATAAATACATGTCCGTGAACACAAAAAAAATGAACAACGAATAAAAAGTGGAGGGATGACACGTGAGATGATTCAAGTGTCGGAAAACTTCAATGAAACAATCTAGAGGTGAGTTATCAATTATCGTGTATGCTACTTAGCCGAACTGAACTTCGGATTTGGAATCGGAAGTTGACGACAGACTAGGTTTTAGGAGTGTGAGTTGTGGAAGAGAATCCGAATTATTTCCAAAAAATAAGAATAATGGAATTTGAGTTCCAAAAAATTACACATCCAGAATTCCGAGCCTCCGAAATAATAAGAAATCAACAGAGTGTAAATTTCTACCCGAAAACTTTTTCCGTACTATTTTTTAGATCTAACACTATCACAGGGAGGCCGAAAAAATATGGCAACTACAAAGAACCTTAAACTTAACATGGTTTATCTTTTTTATCAAACTGCCATCGGGCCATCAACCTGATTTCATTGACAACCTTCAAAGTCAAGCTATAAATTATCGAGTATTACTCTTAGCCGAAATGACCTGCCGACTGTGAGAGGTGACAAGTGTTCAAACATATAACTTTATTCAAAGATATCTGGATTGTGCAATCTACGATTTGCGCAACAATTTGACCTAGTTCGAATGGGAAAAAATAGCTGGTTTGAATATATGCACTTTATATTGGCACTCATCCAAACATCATCGCCAATAATAAATAAATTGGGGAGGAATGTTTGTAGAGACGCGGAATTAAAACATTATTATTTCAAGGTGGGCGGACAAATACACAAAGATTTTGTGAATTATCTCATGAGAACACCAAAACACAGAAATACTAACTACAAATTATGGAAGACACTTTCATTTTATTTGTTTTTTGCTTGCTGTTCGAAATACAAACAAGAAGATACAATAAAATGAGGGAATAGTGCAAAATTCTCATTTTCAATTCTCGAAAACCGAAAAAATGCGCCACCCACTCAGACATAAAATTAGCATAAATACAAGAGATAGATGTGTCCAACCAATACCCATTTCGCTCATTTAAATAAGTATTTATTTATAACAATAGGATGAGAGAGGAATAATGCTTTACAGATAGATAGATCAATGACAAATTATGTGTGTATTACATGGTTGGATACATATATGATCATCTCTATATTGTTATTACAGGTGGGCGAGCGAGAGTAATTATTACTCCAACATCAAAAAAGGATATTGCCAATATATAAAGTGCATAGAACCAAAAAGAAAAGGGAAGACAATATTCTTAACACCCATAATTATCTTGGTTTCCAATTCAATATATCAATTAGACTCTACCGTAGTACTAAATCAGAAATCTTGTGAGAAATGAAAAGGGCATAAATGAATGACAGACTATCCGCGAATCGCATTTTCTCACTGTCAATGACAGTCTTATCTGCCATTTTTATGAGGCTAGAAGTTTTTATGATTTTTCGGCACGTGTCTTTTTTTTTTAGAAATTCCAAAAATATTCAGAAGAAGTCGTTCAATCATGAAAAAGATAAGATGTTTCGTGGACATTGGAAAATCTACACAAGTTGAAAATTATTTTTAAAAAACAAGTTTTTGATTACCGTATACTTATGAAAAACACTATTTTCGCTGCGAAACTAATAGAACTTGTGTGCGCCTTGAAAACAGATACGGTAAGAAATTTGAATATTTATTTATATTCTTGGTCAATTCTTATTCTAGATTATCCTAAATAATTTTTCTAATGCTCCAATTGTAAATATTTTTCATATAGAAATTTTGGAACATTTCTTGAGCACTTGATAAGTAATAAGAATGTATGATGATAATTTCGAGAGTCTGATGTAACTTTTTGTTTTGTGATTAAATTGTGTCCTAAATTGGCCGATGTTGAAAAATAGTCACGAGGAACTGTGGGAGAATGTCAGCTGATAACAAAACATGGGACGAGGGAGAGAGAACAAAAACAGTAAACGAACATCATATGACATTGTCAGTACAACAGGATTAAGCGCTCGCTGAACTTTCCTACCGAGAATGAATCAATAAAAAATGGAAGAAAGCGAGAAAGCAACATTTTGGAGCATCGAAGATCAAACCAAACCCAGTTATTATTAATATATGCTTATAACCGATAAACAAATATAGCGATCAAGCGATCAATTGACACATTCAAAACTCAAGCTACAAATTATATGATATTATTGCGAACGCGGGCGAGCGGAGGCACTATTAAAATCGGCGAAAATATTATTTAACCAGCAACCATCAAAAAAACTGATTGCCGCTCAACAAACAGAAAAAAGGCAAGCACAATGCGATCAAATATCGCAACATATCATCAGCGATATTTGCACTTTGCAAAAGAGCAGCACAACGGGACACTGAGTTGGTTTGTGCAGCACAGTGTTGCAAAAAGAACCAAAAAAAAATAGTTGTAGTGCTTTTTTCGTCGTTTCTCGCGCGCGCGCTTTTTCGCGAGCAAGCAACCAACTGAGTTATCAGCACGATCGAACAGTTGTAGACGGAAATAAACATACACACAATATGTATTTGTATATGTTGTACGATGTGCTGCTCCGAATGCACTTATATGCAAGAGTATAGGATGAATATAGAGAACAAAGATTGAGAACATGGGATGGATAAGTGCAACGATTTGTTTGTAAAACTAGATGATGCATGAGGGATTTTTACACGATTTGTAGATCGTATTTGAGAGAACGGAAAACGTGGCTAACAAAATTCTAACTATTCTTAGAAACCACACTGAAAACTCCACCAGAGAAAAATGTTGAAACTAGAACTTTGAAAAAAAAACTCAAGAACTTTCTCCATCCTGATTCAAAAAATGAGATGATTTTCACTGGTTTGCTGGGAACGACTCTACTTCTATAACAACGGTGCTAACTCACATTTTTAAAAATAAATGCTTGAATCGAAACAATCTTGAATTCCCAAAAAATAATCATGAAAATCTTGAGCTTAAAATATTGGAGCCGACTTCGAAGAAAATGTTTTTCAAAAATAGAGATGCCGAAATTCATTTTGAAAAATTATTAATTGTTGACGCCAAGTTTCACGCGAAAAATTGAAAATAATTCCAAAAAAAATCTTATTTTCAGAGATGAATTTAACAAAAAACCGCAAAAGATAGCATTTTTCGCACCTGGCACCGAATCAAAAACATCTAAAAATAGTCCAAAAACAAATTACAGCAAAGCAAATCCTTTTGAGCCGGATTGAATGAAAGTTATAAATAATTAAAATGAACATAAATATGAAGAGATTGAAAAAACAATAGCTGATTCTGCTGCTCTTGCATATTTTTTTGTCGGTTGTTTTCTGGGTGGGTGGCATTTCTCATTTTACAATTGATGTTTGATCATTAACCAAATGCGATTGACACCAATCGTGAATAGAAAGACCATTTTTAAGATAGACGAATAAGGAGATGGATTGGTTATTTGTTTTTTGGACATTATTGGGCTTTAAATCATTCTCGAAATACCATTTTCTTAAGACAGTACTCAATAAATTCTCACTAATTCTAACAATAAATGAATTGCAATCAATTTCTTAAAATAAAATCTCGAAATTTGGCTCGATAATGATGCATTTGTAAAACTGGAATACCTTCCAGCTTTACAAATTTTGACCAAAAAAATTCACAATCTCTAATATCATACCTACACCAACTTCTCAATTATTTCAAAAACTTTCTCTTCACATAAATCTACAGTACTCCTCTAATTTTGACAACGAGAAGAAGAATAATGTCCGAAAGTTTATTATGAGAAAAAAAACGAAGAGGACACAAAAGTGATAAATTATTGGAATATGTTGTAGATTTATTACTATTATATGAACATATTTATGTGATTTTTCGTTTTTTGAAAGGAAAAAAACCATGGGAAAGCTGGGTTCTACTTTTTCTTATAATTTTCAAAAAAAAAGCAAAAGATTGGAAAAATGGAAAAACCATTTGACAAAAGAGAAAAATAGAAAAAATATTAACATAAATAAATCTTTATTTTGCTGTTTCAATAAACCGAGATCGTTAGAAATTTAAAAGAAAAAGGCAGAAAAATAAGCATTTTCAAAAAAATTAAAATTAAATGTAGAAAAAAAACTACCTGTGGAATCAAAAAAAATCTAATATTTTTCTTGATTAAAAATTAAACCGGATATGATTTTTGGTATTTGTGAATACATGAAAAAGAAAAACTAAAAGGACGACTAAGAAAATGCCATTTTTGGGGTTCGGCGAATAAAAATTCAATTTCTTTCTATTTCAGGCGGCGGTTGTTCGGTGGTGAGAAGATTATGATGAACTGTTGGAGGAAGAAGATTCTCATCGACCAATTTCAATTTTCGTGGATTTTCGATGTTTTCATCGACCAATTCGATTGCTTGTTTTTCAACACTTCCATTATCGAGAGCCTGGAAATGAGGATCACGGTAATTTTTTATTGAGAATATTTTCGGAATTGATAGTTAAAATTTTTTGAGAAGTTACCCAGCAATTTCAGGTTCCGAACAATATTCAAGAGTATAATTTTTGAATTTCTCTAACTAAAAATACAAATTAAAAAATTCAACTCACAGCTTGTTGTCGTTTTCGCATAGCTTTAAATGTCAAATGTACAGCAGCTCCAAGCAACAATGGTCCTGGTGTAAAAGCAGCAACAATTACAGGTAAAAGTGATCCAATATCAGCATCTGGTTGACCAAATGATGCCTGCAATATTGATTTATGGAAAAAGTAGAGCGATACAAAAACGAAACTTCCCTAAAATCAACTTTTTCTAATACTTTTTGAACTAATAAAACCTTTACAAAAAAGTTTCTGAACAATTTCTTAGAATTTGAATATATTGGAAAAAAATTGAACTAACAATTTTGAAACGAAATGTTTTGGATAACGAGAAAACAATAACATTTTTTGTTTATGAAAAAAATTTGATTACTATTATTTCAAAATTGCACACAAGACAAAAATTTGAAACGTATTTTTTTTCTCATTTTCTTTCATCTCATTTATTTCCAAAATTCTCACCTTCAACAAAAGAATAGCAATACCAGTATTCTGAATTCCAGTCTCAACAGCAATTGCAGTCACATCTTCCGGTGCTCTTTTTGTCAACAACGCGACAAAACATCCAAACATGAAACCACACCACGGAAGTGCCAATCCACCAATAAGAGCCGGAATTGTGAGCATACGGAACATATATAAATTGGTAAGCGATCCGAAAATCACCACAAAAATCATGACAAAAATCACAAATGGTCGCATAACTCCTCTCGCTTTTCCAGCCCATGTTGGTTTCCATTTTTTGATCGCAATTCCAATTAACAATGGGATTATTAATGCAATTAATGAGCTAACAATTTTGGTATACGGTACTTTGATAGTTGCATCCGATGAGAAACCTTGAAGGAATGGATGACCAAGAAAATGCAACCATAAAGGCATCATAACTAAAGAGCACATTGTTGAAATAAATGTCATTGTAACTGATAAATTCAAATTTCCATCTAATAAAAGTGTCCAGAAATTCGATGCTCCACCTCCTGGAGAGCAACCAGTTACAAATAAACCAAGAGCCATTGAATATAATCCACGTGGCATGAAAATAGCATAAGCAATGAGATATGATAAAAGTGGCATAATTATGAATTGTGCAAAAAGACCAATTGCTGGAGCAACTGGTTTTTTGAGTGTTGCAATTACAGCATCAAGATCGAGCTGGAAAATTCATTTTAATTAGTTTTTTTCTAATTCCATCTATAAAGCAAAAAATAAACTCACTTCACAACCCATCATAACATTTGCCATTGAGATCAAAATAACAACAGAAAGCACAAAATATTTGGTGAGTTGTCGAGATTCGGCTGATCTTACAACCCAAACATCAAACAATCCCTCTCTCGTTTTTTCGTTTTTCAATTTATCCACAAAATTCTCCTGTTCCTCTTCTGTTTCATTTGTTTCCAACCAATCGCTCGCCGAAACCAATCGAATTTTCATCGCAGTTTTTCCCAACAAATTCCCGTTGACTTGGATTACGGTCTCTTTTTCGTATTGTGAATTTTTCAGGCGGAAATCCGACTTTTTTATTGTTTTTGATATGTCACCAGTTGCAGTTTCCGGGTGAAATGAGCTAGAAAATTACAATTTTCATGAGAATTGAACTAATGTAGTAAAGATAAATAAGTATTAAAAAACTCACTCTAACTTCAAATAATATTCTTCAATATCCGATTTCTCGAAAATATCTTGTGGAAATCTCAACGTAACATTAACATCAGTGCTAGAATATTCCGATAGATCTTGCAATGATTTCGGTTCGAAAGATACTGTCATCGAATTCGCTAATTGAGAGGATACTGTAGCTGTTATCTGGAAAAAAAGTTGATTTTTTGGGATAAAAACCTTGCCTATTTATACTTAATTTAAATATTCTCTCAAGTTTTTTTTGTGGAATTATCAGAATTTTTAGATTTTCAAAAAATAAAGTAGTATGAATTTTTTTCACAAAAATGGAAGCTTTTCCAAAGATTTTATAGATTTCTTCAAACTTAACAAAAAACTCACTTGTAAAAACAATTTCAGTAAAATAACCATCGGGCATTGTTTGCCGCCGGAAATGTGACCCATCTCTCAAACTACACCAAGAAAATATAAATTTCTGCAAAAAAAAACGCAATTAGTTGGGTAAAAAATGACTGTTGACAAAATGAGATAGATACACCAAGCCAGAGATAAAATCAACTGGTAACACAAAACTTATTAGATTTGATGAAATAGATAACGCATTTTGTTAACAATAATAATAATATTACTGGAGAAAAGGGACAGGTTTGAAAAATAAAAGAGATCAGGGGTAAAACAACGAACATAATAATATAACAAAAAATTATTCAAGAGGAATGAAAGTCGACGGCAGTCGAAGAAGAAGAAAAAGAGAAGGGCGAACAATTCATTCAATAACGACGACGGCTGAAAGAAAAAAGTGAATTCGTGTTTTTTTCGAATCATTATATTATAATCGTTCGATTCTTCGAAATCTGGATTTCCTATTCATTTCGAGGAGTTAAACAAAAAATGTCTAATAATTTTGTATTGAAGCGTTTATTGGAAAACAATTCAAAAATCTCAAAATATTTTCTGTTAGCCTGATTAATTAACTACGCGAAAATAAAACACCTCATTCTGAAAAATGAAAAACAACAACCGCCTGCCCTTTTCAAATTGAAAACATGTTTTCTTCTTCTCTCAATGTTCTCAAATAAATTAAACCATAATACAAAACATCATATTATTTTGCATATTTTAACAAAAAAACTAGTTGATTATTATGTACTTTTGAAAATGTTAATGTCTATAATTTTCTATTGTTTTTTTTTCCTTATAAAATTACACGTTCAGAACGCAACAAATAGCTATTTAGCTCAGTAAACAACATAACTCAAAAAAACTTAAAGTTTGTGAAAACTATTGACACACATTCATTTGATGACGAAAAAATGAAGAAAAAGATAGAAAAAGAACGTGTTGGTCGGGAGATGGGAGGTAGAAAAAATGAGAGTAGGCGGTAACAAAATTTTGAGAGAGAAAAACTGTGGTTTGTATTTAGACACGTAATATTTTAGTGTTCTTAACGTGTTAAATTGCTATTCAATTTGTCATCAAAAATATTCGGAAAAGAAACAATCATGAAAAATATAAATCGAAAATTGGTTCAAATTATTTATATAGCGCGGAATTTCTCATTCCCAACCTTGTGTCAAAAATATGTAGTCTATGTGTGTGTGTGACACAACTTATCATATTAGGAATAAAAAACTAAATGTATGTCTCAACAACTACGAAATAGGCGTGGCTTATTTTCTAGAGAAAAAGTCAAAAATTTACCTAGAAAATTCGGTGGATTGAGAAGAAGATGTCCAGTCTGGTAAAGAAGACATTCCGCTTCCATAAGCCAGTCTGGAAGAAGAAAAAAACGGTGAAATGAGCATTTCGAAATGACGAAAAACTAATCAGGCTCTTTTCTCCTATTCCGATTTTTAATTGAAAAATTCTTTTTCGCTAAGCGTTTTTTTAATTGGAAAAAAAAGAAGAAAAAAAACTAACTCCATGTATCTATCCTGGTCAGAACGTGCAAATGCCGAAGATGAGTATCCTGGAAAAAATGCGGGTTGTTAAAAAAGGTTGTCTTATCGGGCGTTTTGTGTTTGAATGTGTGAAATTCGGTGATAATTTTAATAGTAGTGAGGTGATGAAAACTTGATCATGATGAAAAAATTTAGAAGTTCAATAAATCAATCGATCTTAATTTTAACTTAGAAAAATCATAATAATTTACAGTCACAAATTCTCAAGTTTTCAAAAACCTGTAGCTCGCGAGAAGCATAAAAAATTATCGATTTTTAAATTCCTCTATAAAATTCCAGAGACACATTTCCCTCATTCTACAAAAAAAAACGGAAGTCTTAGGCTAATCGTGTCACTGAATTAAATTAATTGCTATATTTCCTGTAACAAACCTCCACGATTTCCTCCTCCTCCACTACTATATGTCGGTCTTCCAAAGGGATCAATGTGTGGGCGTTCATTATATCTATCCGATTGACTGGAAAAATATATATAATTAATATATTCAAAACATGCCAACTTACTATCCATATGCACTGCTGCTGCTTCCACTATTTCCACTGCCTCCAAATCCACTAACTGGTCGACCACTTGGTCGAGAAGACGAAGAAGATGAAGAATATGAAGAACGTGGTGGAATTGCTGAAAAAAAAGATATAGAGATTCTTATGAATTATTAATTGAAACGAATACTCAAACAAATTAAATATTCAAAATGTATCGTGCGTATTTATCATTTACCTGTTCAGAAATGCACAAGATAAATAAGTGTGACGAAATAGAGGAAAATTCAATTTGATCTTGGTTTTAATAGACTGAACTTTGTTTTTTTGGGGGAGAAGGGAACATTTATTTGAACACCTTTCAGCGTGTTGTACCTGATATATGAGTTGAAAAACAAACTAAATTTAGAAAAAAACGGAAATTGTCACTTTCATGATTGAAAAATAAAATGAAATGTGAAATTTTTTTGAGATGTCACGTGGAAAAAAATTATTAGAAATGAAAAAAAAAGAAAATAGGACGAGGTTTTTTGAAAAAAAGAAAATCATTTTTTATTATTTTTAGAAGACTAACTAAAATTCTGCACAATTTAATGAAATTTTTCGTGAGTTCTTGGGAATTTAAAAAATCGATAAATACACGAAAAGGGACTAGATTAATTGTTTTCGTGAATTTTTCAGTTTCCTAAAGTTAAGAGAGCATTTTTCTGAAATTTGAATTGAAAAAATAAGATTTTGAAACAGACATTGTGCTTTTATACCACGCAGAGATTCTCCGATCAGCTCCCCATGACAAAAAACTTACATCTTGGTGGCGGTCCTCTTCCTCTCGAACTCGAAACTGGTGGCGCTCTTCTACCAGGTGGAGATCTTGGTCTTGACACAAATGGTGGTGGTCCACGTCCTCCTCCTCCTCTTGGTCCATTTCTAGGTCCACCTCTCGTTGGTGTTCCACGACTTGGTCTTGGTGCACTTCTTGGCGGCAATGGCGAACTATTTCGTGTCTTTTTAGTGATCGGTGCTCGAATCGTTGAACCAGCTGGCCGTTTCATTGATTTTGGTGGTGGCGGTGGTCTTTTTGCCGCCTTTTCTTCCAACCATTTCTTTTTGATATCGACATTTGTGAGAAGTGAGCCAAAGTGAGCTTCGACTGAAATGAAAAAAACAAATCATTTTTAAATCAAAAAAAATTTGTATGTGTGGGAGGCGGAAGGAAAACAAATGAACACACTTTGAACTATTTGAGTTTTGAAATAATATGTTTAAAAAGCTGTAACAACAAACCTCCACGCATATACACATTACAATTGGTCAGTTTAGTTTCTTCCTTTTCCTCTCCATCCTTATCAACTTTCTTGGTTTTCGTGCTGATTTTAACAATTGCCTTATAGGCGTGTGCAGCGATTGCTTCTTCCGCAGTTTCGAACTTTATGACAGCGCAAGGTTGTCTAAAATGTTAAATATGTATACATTTTTGAAGTAGGGAGGTGAGAAAAAGAGTTAGTTATTTTCAATACCAAAAGCGCGCTCCAAATTTGAGATGAAAAGTCGAAAACCTACCCCCATTCATCATGCAACAAATCGCATCCAATAACCGATTGAAGTGGGAACCAACTACAAGCCAAATCCAAACTTGGCTCGAAATTTTCTGGCAAAACTTTGACAACCAATTCCTTCATTCTTGGAGTCGCTTTTATAACTCGTCCAAGTTTTTTCTCAAGTTCTTCCTTTCTCTTCAATGATCCAGGTGCTGGAAAAATAAAATTTAAAGATATATTTTATGAATGAGTTTCTCACTTTGTGGCAAAAGAATCTTTATTCTTCTGCCGTCTGGACTTCTAAAATAAACAAGATGTGTGAGAGCTTCCTCCATAATCGCAAATGGTCCAGAAAATGTCAAACTCATTGTTCTGAAATATATATTTCTTATTTTTGCAAAGATCAAATCGACAAAAAACATACACATGAAGAACACGAGATCCATCTGATGAATATCTTGTTGGAACATTGATATCAACTTTGAGAGCTCGTGTCATACAACGATACATGAATACGTTTTGCAAATCGGAGAAGAACATGTTCTCGATTACCAAACGTTTTTCGTCTTGACTTCCTTCGACAACTGCAAAAAATTACTTTTTTTGAGAGAAATTGACTACAATTTTATACATTTGTAAAAGAAACTCACTTCTCCATTGGAATTCTGGTGCTCCTTCCCATACAGTTTCAAATTCTACCTTGGCATCTTCGTCTTCATAAACCTTTTTCTTTTTATCATCTCTCTTTTCATCTGATTCAGCTGTCTTTGAGTTATCTAAAAAAATAACCTTTAATTTAGAGAAGCCAATTATTGGGAGGGAAAACAATGGTGTTAGTGTCGATCGATTTCCATATAACTTTTGTAGGTATTTTTTGGGACAATCTTCGGTTTCAATTTCGATTATAACCAAAAAAGCTTGAGGTTTTTACTATCGGAGTAGGGATGAACAATTCGAAACCATAAAATTTTCCAAAAGTCAGTGATAACTCTTCTAGAATACCGGCGATATTTTACAGGAAGTCATCGATTCTTGAGTTTAAAAATTGAGGCTCAACATTTCTTGTGATAGTTTTCTGTCAATCCACCAAAATCAACTCATTTGTAAACTTTTTTAACTGACACTGAAGTATCGCAAAAAATTCAAATGTTCAGGATGAGCCCGGTTCGGCTACACCATATGCTGATCATTATTTCATGAGCTCTTCAACAATGAAAATAGTTATTCACCTTTTCCATTTTCTTCACTTTCGTCCTCTTTTTTATTATTCTCATTTTCTTCGGTTTCATCATATTCTAATTCATCTTCTCCATGTTCATTTTCCTTTGTTTCTACTTCTTCTTCTTCATTATTATCATCTTCATCATCTTCTCCAATTTCATCAGCCATCTCATAACTTGCCCCACTATTCTCTTCGATTCCATTAACATCTTCGTCAGTGAATTCGAGGAAATCAGTTGGAAGTGTATCAAGAGTTTCAACTCTCATTCCAGCCGTCTCGAAATCCTTCTTTCTTCCCATCATACGATGTTTGTGTGTTTTTTCTGTGAAACACAACAAAGCACGTACTGAATTTGTCTGTAATTATAGATGCTTTCGTAGAAGGAATCGATTAGAGAATGGCAAGTTGAGATGCCGGAAGGCTCTTGTCATATTAGATAATCACAACAAAAAACAAAAAAAAAACACAAAAGCTGAATAAAATCAAACCTCAGAGATATCCGCTTCAAGTTTTGGAATTCTTACAATCTGCAACAATACAACTTATTTTCAATTATGTTTAAAATAAAAATATAATACCTGTGACAGTGCTGATGGATCAAGTTTATGTTCATCAGCCAACAAATTACGAATACATTCTGCGAATTGATCATAAGTATCGGCCATGAAATCGGTTGGAAGTTGACTGAGAAGAACACAGCTGAAAAAACATAAAACAGATTTAGATTCAAATATAAGTTTTCTTACTATGAAATATCAATAAGACGTGGATCACCACCATGTTGTGCATAAACTTTAGTAACGATATCATCCCCATTTCCATTCTCTTTTTCTTCGTTTCCATTTTCCACCTCATTTTCGACGTTTGCTTCTTGTTCAGCTTTTATTTCAGTCATTTCTTCATCTTTGATAACTTGAACAGCTTCTTCAGTCATATTACTCTGAAAAAGTAGAAGTTAACCAGTTTGAATACTCGTAGGAAGTTAAATAGAAAATGATGACGTAATTTCGTTAGACAAGACGAATAACATTCTTAAACTTGAAAATAGAAAGGTAAACCTATATTTCTGGAATCGTCAATCATTGATTACTATTTGTTGAATGAAAAACAACCTTTGGAGCCAGAAAAAAACAAGAAGATATAAAAAAATGACATCACAACTCGATAAAAAGAATGAAGGGCGGCGGTTTTAAAAAGATATGCGCCAGACGAGCAAAGACTGACACACTTTTTGTATCTTGCGAGGAGAAAAAACAGAGGAAGAAAAATGAGAATTAACGTGGGAGAAGGAAGGAAAAATAGAAAGAAAACAAACAATAAACGAGACTGACAAATTGAAAAATGCTTCTGCAATTGCAATTTCAGAAATTTACTTGTTTTCTCTTTCAAAACTGGTCATGCTGCCGCTGAAAATTGATAGCTATTTCAACGAATATTTGATAGCTTAGACTGCTCTTCATATAACTATGCAAAGAATACCTGAAAACAATACGGAAAACTGATAACCTGGCGCTATAACAGAATCGGACGCCGCGCGGGCGAAAAGAAAAATGTGCGCGTCAAATGGAGTGTGTTTGTGTGGTGTTTGCAGAAAATGCACACAAACAAGAAACCTACAGTACTCATTTTTGTTGTTGCATTCGGACCCATGAATTTCAGTTTCAAAATGGTGATAAATATCTAAATACTTACCTATTAGTGTAGTTGACTCATAATTTCAATCTTGAAAATGATACTGAATTTGTCCTGATTTCTGTAATTTTTAGAGAACATTTTTTCAAAAAATCACATAATTGTTTATTAGAATGTCAAAAAGTGCATAATTATACATGAGCATGAAAGATTAAAAAATGTAAAAATGCAACAAGAAAAAGTTGGCAAGAGATGTTTGGCGAGCTGAAATTGGAAAACAAAAAAACACATGAAAAACGAAATCAGTGAATCCCTGAATGATAAAATTTAGACACAAGTCTCAGATTTTCGTCGAATTCTCGAGAAGAAATCATTTGATGGATAAGCTCCTCCACCTCGAACAACTCCTCCTAATTCAGGCATCGATTCAGCAACAACTTTTTCATCCAAATAACTTGGAGTACGGTAGTTTGAAACTGGAGTTTGTGGAGGATACATTAAAGGCGCATCGAATTCCATCGATCTTCCGATATTTGTAACATTTGTTCGACTGCTTCTTTGAATGCTAAATGCATCGGAATCTTTTGATGAGGCAAATGAGAAATATGTGAAAAGCATTGAAATCAAAAATGAGAAGAAATGACAGAATGCAGCAGCCATTTCCAAAAAGAAAGCAGTTCCAACACGTTGCTGAAATTAATTCGAATTGTTTTATTTTATTTTATATGGGTCCGATATTTCAAGAGAATTTATATTTTTTCGGAATCCATATTTTTGGATAATTAAAAAAAAACAAACCTCATAAGTTCCAACAATTCCCTTGATGAATCGATTATCAGCTCGATGAGAGTAGAAGAAGAAAATTCCTTCAGCAATTGCAGATAAAAATGCTGAAAACAAATACAGATTTTTTTTGATAGTCTGTGTAAATACTCAAAAAACCAACTTGTCAAAAGTGTGATTCCGGTGAAAATTAGAGCTAGGGATGAATAACAACAGGCACACATTCCGATGCATGTTGATAAAAATGTTGTCAATAGTGCGAAGCCGAGAAGAATAAGGGTTGCAGTATGCCAACCTGAAAAATGTGGTTTGAAGAAAGATCTCTCGTCATTGGGAAAGCCAGGAAAAAGTTCCAAAAAAAGTTTTGAAATTTCAGATTTGTTAGAATCTCAAAAGTGATCCAAAAATTAGGAACTTTTGAATTTTGGAACATTCGGTATTTTTTTTAGAACTCGAACTTTTAAATCCAAAAAGTTTTCCCCTGTTAAAACATACCATAGAATTTATGTCGATTAACTTCTCCAACTGGACTATTATCATCTTCAATATCAAAAGTTCCCGAATATTTATCATAATCGAATTTATAAACACAATGAAGTGGTTCGGTTACAGTTGCATATCTTTGTAAAATATGATTACCATCTCTACTATGCCTTGTACAATCCAACCATAAACCATGTTCATGAATCGAATTATATTCTCTTAAATTGACAACTTGCCACGAGGGTGTCAATATAGCTGCAATCGATAATCCACCAGCAATTAGTGAAAATATTATTGCAAAAATTAGTGAGCCTTTTCGAGCCACCTCATTTCCTGATGACATTCTTCGACGCTGAAAAATACGAGTTTAGATAACTCTAATTTTTAATTTCACAATATGCAAAAAGCTCACATTATTCATTTTTTTTTTATATTTAGAGTAGAGTTTCAAAAATCAATAGATGGAAAACAAATTCGTTATTTTATTTTTTGGCAAACTAGTATTTGTAAAGTGGAAATGTTAGAAATCGAGAGTTTCGATGATTCATAGAATATTGCAGAAAAAGGTCATTTTCAGGTAAGAATTAGAGAAAATGAAAAAGAGGATAGAACATTTTGAAGAGAAACAAATAACGGGGTGATTTTCGAACTTTTGTAATTTATCAAGTTTGACCACATGATCAAGGTGGTGAATTCAGAAATGACCGGAATTTTTTGTGAAAAAATTTTTTGAAAATAAAGGGGGGTCTAAATTTAGATCAAACCCAGTAACTTCTCGAAATAGTATTTTTAGGAAGAGTTTCAAAGTCCAGAAGGGTAGTATTTATGAATTTAAATTTTAATAAAACTTTTTCGAAAGAAAATTTTCGGAAATTTTGGATGGGTTTCAAAATTAAAAATTGAATCTCTACATTTTGAAGCTGAAAATAGATTTTTCAAAAATAGAAAAATTTAAATTCTACCGGGAAGACTCTCTAGATTGACTTCTAGACCACAAGTGTCTTCTATAAAAAATCGATCACTAAAAAAGGAACCCCAAGAAGTCATAAGAAAAAAGCGCGTTGGCTGAGGTTTTTTGACCGTGATCGGTCAGGTAAGGAAAACGACAAAATGGCCGTTAATCTCAGAGAGCGCAGACAATATTTGAAGGTCAGAAATCGATACCATTTTTCGGAAAGGTTCCTTTCATTATACCAATTTCTGTACATTTTTGTTGTTGAGAAACCAAACACAAAACAGAATAGAACAGGTTACAAACCAAGCAAAAACAAAAAAGCTAATGAAATTTTATGGTGAAAAAAATTATACAGAAACTACAGTAATCCTATAAAGTTTCTTCAAATTAAACTTTGTTTCTCACGAAACAAATAAGAAAAAATAGATAAAACTTTTTGGAGACGGAAAAAAAAAGATTTATTGTATAAAAGTGTACAAATATCGGCCACCGGTAGCGCGAAAGCTTTTTTACGACCCATGGCCAATGGGGGATGTATGATTCATCAAAGAAACTGGATTTAGGAAGAGGATTTTAAATTTTGATGATTAGAATGTGAGATAATTATATTATTATTTTTTTTTCGAAATTTAGGGCACAAAATATCTATTTTCTCTTACGGAACTCTGAAAATAGCTTATTAAAATTTTATCATTTTTTAGCCCAGCTAATCCAAAATAAGTTCTCCAAATTCTTGGATAATTACATGAATGACCTAAGAAATCAATCAATAAATAAATTAAAATTTGAAAAAAGGGCAAAAATGAAGAGGACGAATTGAATTCAAATTGATGACCATTCGATTGACCGATTGGAACGCGTTGGGAGAAAAAAGAGAAGGAAAAAGAGGACAGTTCACTTTCGATTTGAAAATTGTATGCAAAAAAGGTAGTGCAAAGTATGTATGCAAAACGATTATCGTATGAAAAATATATTGGCTGGTATTTATAAGATTTGTTGAGTTAGCTGAACCGTTATTTTGAATAAATATATTTTTAAACAAGAAGATTATTTTAGGACTTGAATAGTTCTAACAAGGCAAAAAAACATAAGCAGACTTTCGGAAATTAAAAAAAAAATTTCAGAATCTCTAAAAATTTTGTGCCAAAAGGTAAACATTTTTCCTTGTCAACAAAATAAATTTCTAAATATTATTTAGAAATTTGTTTTCAACAAAAATTAACCTGAAGGGATCTCGCGCAACGGGAGATCTTGGAATGTATCTAGATCGAATTGACGATAAATCACTTCACTGAATTACAAAAATAAAAATAAAAAGATAGGGAGTGTTCTCCCATTCACACATCGTTTAATTTTTGGAATTTTTATCGGAAATAAACTGTAGAAAATTTTGGGTGATTTTTTTCAGTAGAACAATTTGCAAAAAAGATTCAATTTCAGAAGAAAAACAATAATATTCCAAATAATCCACAAGACCTATAATAATAAAACAATAAAATAAAAATATTAAACTCTGCCACAACAAAAACACTCAATAAAGGAATGTCCTTGGATAGAGATCATATCGGACCTTTTCTCACCGCCCCTCCACTTACAATTCAATAAATAAATACATGTATATCTCAACAGAAGAGAAAGGTGGGTGACCTTGGTGGCAGCCACGCCTATTCAATGGTGGCTGCCTGAATGGTTGGTTGTATTAATTAAAGAGGAGGAAAGTTTTCTGGGAGGCGAAAAATTGGTGAATAAATGAGGTTATCATCTTTTTATGTCACGAGGTTGTTGTGGAAGCGCGAACAAAAAAATAAAAATAAAAATGTTCAGACCCAAATATTTTCGACGAAAAAATGTGTGCGCCTTTGATTGTCCTACCGTACTTCAACGCGCGAACTTTTTTTTATTTTTCGGCGAAAAAAAGCAAGGATTTCCCGAAACCGCTCATTTTCTATAAAAAAAATCAGGAAAATGTCAATGCATAATGAGAATTCACCAAACAGCACGTATGTTGTTGTCGGTGAAAATTTCTTGGCGAATATCTTCGATATTGAAGGTTAGTGTGAATGAATAGCTTCTAAATATCCAATTTATACATTCTTTTTTTTCAGGGGAGCAATTTTTGGAGGGAGGATTCAACATTCAAAGCGTCCCCTTCTTGACGAAATTCAGAAATTGGATTGGATGTTTCCTCAGTTCACCATCGGAAGTTGACTTAAATTGTGTCGATGCGTTGGGAAATCTGCCAGTGATCGCGAATCTCAAAGGAGGATCAACACCACAAGTTCGGAATTTGATCAGTTTAGGAGATATTCAAGGATTGCGCGCGGCACCATTATTCAATCCAAGATATGAGCCGTATGTCATTTACAAGGTATTTAACACTTTGATACGGAAATTTTAAAATCTTGTATAAATTGCAAATATTTCTAGACATTCACCAAAGGAGAACTGTCTTTATATGTAATTGCTGGCGATGAAAAAGATGCTGAAATGCTTGCTCGAGCCGCAGGAAACGATGAAGAATTGAGAGAAGTTTCAGCAGAACATGGCACTGTTGCAATTCTTGTTTGGAAACCTGCCAACAAAACCAAACCATATATTCGATCTCTTCTTTCTGGTACATGCTCTTTTGATAGAATACAAAAGGCATTGGAAAAAGCATCGAAGTCACTTCCATTTTTGAATGGTCCGTGTGTGAGAGTTGGAGATGAATTACTGATTTCACCAACTTCTTCGATGCCAACTCGAACATTTGCAAAACCCAATGAATCAATCCAAGTTCGAAGTCGCCAGTTTGCAAATCCAACTATGGCTACAATTGCAAGATCAGCCCACCTCCAAAAATCAAAAGCTGCCAGACCGCTTCCACATCCAACCACAAGACCAACAAAATCAGCAACACATATTCAATCAACACGAACAATTTCTGGAACACGGCCAGAAAAATTCAGATCAACGACAGCAAACTTCGAACAACGAAATATTGGGTATACTTCCACAGGTTCAAGTCGACAGGATCAAAAAACAATGAAATCATTGCGAAATCCAATTACAAGGTAAATTTTAAGTTCTATTAATTTACCAATCAAAAAAAATTATTAGAATCTCATAAAACGTCGTGACCTTGATCGGATGAATTGAGTAGAAAATTCATTTATGAAAATGAAAATTGTTTTTGAATTGTTGCTAATTATTAAATATTTTGCAGCAACGATTCGACATCCGATCCAGCAAAATCAAGTAAATCGATTGCTGTGGCTGAAAAGAAACAAGAGGATGATTCAATAATATTTTTGTGTGTTATAAACAAAAATGAGAATGAAATCGCTGAAAAGGATTCACAAAATCCAGATGAAGAAATTCCACAAATTGAGAACGTATCAACTTCAGATTCAGAAGTCAAAAATCAATCATCGAGCGAAAGTGAAAATTCTAATTGTGAAGCAAGTATTGAAGTGAAGTCTATCAACTTTTCGAAGGGACAAGATGAACTCGAAGTCGCATTTTTATATTCCGAAAATGCTACTTCAGTGGGTTTATCAGAAACCAAAAATGAAGGAGGAGATTCGAGTGAAAAGGATGGCTTTACGATTGATTTTGGTAAATTCTTAACAACCAAATCTTCGCTTGGACCAATTGTATCGCCTTTTCAAAATGAAAAAGAGATTGGCCGAAGAGAAGAAATAAGTATCATAGAACAGGAACCTTTGAGAATGGTGCGCGAAAAAGGAGTTGTTTATAATGGCCCAAAATTTTCTCGCCCATATTATTTCGATTCTGTTACATTTCCAAGAAATTGTGATTTGGAAACAACGCTTGGAAATTTGGAAATGCGGGAATTTGTGAAGAATATTCGATCTCGACACTTCATTTTGGCATCGAGAAGTATAAAGTCAGATGTTCTTGAATCGATTATGTTTGGATACAAATTGTGGGAGAATCCGAGTAAGTTTTTGAATATTTTTAATTGGATTTTTAAGATTTCGTAAACTTTCCAAATTTCATAAATTCTTTAAATCGGTAAGGTATATTAAAAATGTATTATTTTTCCTAGATCACAATTTTTGTGATGATAATCAGAACTTTAAGATTTCCAAAATTGATTTTCAAGTTCCATTTCTGCGACTTATGTTAGACCAGACTTTCAAATACAAATTAAATAGCAAATAAAAAAAATTTAAATTTATAGATTTGAAATGCTCAATTCATCCAACTCATCAAAATCTGGCAATCAATGGATTCATGGAAAAATATGGCAGCCAAGAACATCCGAATTTTGAAATATGTTCGCCAATTCAAAGTATTTCTGGTGATGAATGCGAAGTCGACCGAATTTATATTTCTGGGAAATTCGACTAATTTTAATTTTTTTTGATTGATTGTAAATAGTTTTTCGACCTTTTTTTTTGTCAAATCCCACTTATTATATTTATTTGCACCGATTTTCCCCATTGACAGAAATTTCCAATTTTTTTTGAACATTTTTTTCCCACAAAAATAGAATTTAACGTGTAAATAAAACGGTGACCCATTTTTTCGTGTCTTACTTATTTTGCAACGTGTCAGGAGATTTTGCGAGCGGTTTAGTCAACCATTTTAGAATTGAGCATCGTCACCGATTAGCCATACTTTTATTTGTGTGTTTCGAATTGGTTTTTGGCAACATGACATCGAATGTTCTAACACTGATGAATACGGTACATTTTATAGATTACTGTACATATAATCCAAATTAATAGAAATGTTTTTAGATAAATTGGAAGCCTCTTATGATGCAATCCTTCAGTCTTTGGCCAATGTTAATCGCTTTTCTTGGAATTCCATTTTTAGTCCAATGTGGAAGTAAAAAGAAAAATGTATGTTTTCAGATTTTTGGGGGAAGAATTGGGGTTTCGGAAACCCAGCTGAAAAATATTACCGTATTTTTGGAGCTCTAAAACTTAGCTCACATCCAGCTCTAAAACTTAGCTCAGATCCAATATTTTCAGTCAGAAATGAAATCGACTTCGGAATCGAAACCAAAACCGGTTGCAGCTGCACCTCCTCCAGCTGAAGAAAAGAAGACAGCATCGAAAAAAGAGGATGAATCGGTAATTTTATCGAAATTCAAAAACGAATTACTATTTTCTTACTTTTTCAGAAGAAACCTGAAGAGAAGAAAACTTCATCGAAAAAAGAAGAAGTGAAAAAAGAGGAAGCACCGAAAAAAGAGGAAAAGAAAGAGGAGAAGAAAGAAGATCCGAAAGGAAAAGATGATTTCAAAAAACCGACAGATGAAGCAGCGGTGGCTGGTAAAAAAGATCCAAATTATCAAACACTTGCTGGTTTGGATAATGATGGAGTATTTGGAGCGGATAAGAATCCGAAGAAGAAATTCAAGGCGCCTGAAAAAGTGGAAAAAGCTGACGCGAAAGATCCGCAATATGAGACTTTGGTTGGATTGGGAGAGGAAGTTTTCAAAGAGGATGGAGGAGAGAAAAAAGATGGAGAAAAGAAAGAAGGAGAAAAGAAAGAAGAAATGAAAAAGAAGGAATTCAAACCACCAGAGAAAGTTACAAAAGCAGATGCAAAAGATCCACAATATGAAACATTGAATGAAGTGGATAAAGGAATATTTAATAATGATGGAGAGAAGAGCAAAGGGGATAAGAAAGATGAAAAAGAGGAGAAGAAGGATAAAAAATAGACCTGTACACACAATAAATTCATTTGTTCTTCTTCTTAATTGGGTTGTTAAGTTTTAGTCAATTCTATTCACAAATATTTCACATTATTCTGAAGTGGAACTTTCAGCTGAAACAAACGAATCTGAATCAGAAGATGACGATGAATCGGATGAAGATGACATTGAACATTCATCATGACTTGCAAAGAGAATCGACGCTCCATCAGCATTTGCTCTTGAGAGTTCTATTGGTTCCACTTCTTCCTCGTCCTCTTCTTCATCTTCATCTTCTTCTTCTTCCTCTTCTTCATCAGATGAATTGTCCATATCCACATCTTCAATCGCGAATTCGATTTCAGAACTCAATTTTTTCACAGCTTTATTGAATTTTTCTTCATTCTCAAATATTCCATCCTCTTTACATTCATCCAATTTCGACATAATTGCACCTTTTACACGGATCAGTAATTGACGATATCCCTCTGTAAAATGTGCTTGATTTTTCTTCACGAAAAAATGAGACTTACCGTGTAAAAATTTTTCTTGACTATCTTCTTGCTCTTGATCTCTTGAATTTTGGACCGAATTGTTATCGATTGGTGCTACTTCTGTTGGTTTTTCTTTCGAAAGCATATCCATTTTTTGAAGGACTTCTAAAAATATTACCTTTAGGTTACAGAAAAATTATTTTTTAAAAACAAATATTTGTATCTTAAGATATCTTACCCATTAGATGGTAGTTTACTGGAATTTTTGCGATGCTACATTTTGTTTCTGAACGACATGTTGGACATTCGAAGTGAAGAGCATTTCCATACTCATTTACTCGCAATAAACATTGATTACAAAATGTGTGACCGCAATACAACATTTTGGCGATTTTTGATGAGTCGTTGAACTTCTGTGAATAGAGAATTGTGAATTTTTATTGTATTCAATTGGAAGATCAAACTTACCATGTAGCAAACAGCACATAATGAGATTGAATCTATAAGTTCTGTACTGAAAGTTTGAATTTCTGCTTGTGGAGTTTCAGCTTTCACTGCTTCTGAAAGAATTTGTCTAATTGAAAATTCATATTTAGCTATTCACTGAAACATACCGATTTTCTCCGATGGAGCTGCGAACAACGACATACTTTCCGCTCGAAATGAAAGTCGAAAACTTTTTTTTTCGAAAGTGAAAACAAAGAAAAATGAATTTCCCGCGCGCGCGCCTTCAATGTGTGGTCCTGCCACGATTTTCTTCGCGCGAAACTTTCGGTGTTCGAAATTCTCGAAAAATATTTTCGTTTTTTTCCGTGTTCACGTGTTGTCCTTCTAGTCAATTATTGGAATATTGGTCATTTTTTAGGAGAATTTAATAATGAATCTGTTTTCGAGATATATAACGACGTTGTTTCAAGGTGCCCAATTCAGGGATATGAATGGCGAAGATGTGAGTTTTTACCGTTTTTTGAAGAAAATGAAAATTAAAGGGTTTGTGATTTATTCGAGTTTTCTAAGAATTTGCTCATCAATCAACATTGGAAAAATTTTTTCTACGTTTTTTCAGCATTAGTTCGTTTCCATTATTTTGAAAAAAATGCAAAGATTTTCATTTTTTCAGGTGTTTTTCTCTTGAAATATTCATATAATATGTTTCTTCATCAAGCATTTTTGATATTTCACAATCTCTCTTTCCCTTTTTCTCTTCTTTTTTCCTCGCCTCTCGTTTCTGTTCAAAGGCGCACTCTTTTTCTCTTCTCTTTGGTCTCGTTAGGCAGGACGAAAAATTGAAATTGCTGCTGGCCGCAGAGACCAACAATCGATCTTGTATCTCGTAGTCATTGATTCTCGTCCCTTTTATACATTGAGTTCTTCGAGTTTATATAACTTTTTATGTTTCTCAGTTTGTTTTGATTGTATTTCATCTCTCTAACCTCATATTATAATAATATTGCAGTTCTAAACCATCATGTCGTACGATTTGCAAACCGCTGAAAAAGCCGCATATGCCCCATTCTTCGGATACATGGGAGCTGCCTCCGCTCAAATCTTCACCGTTTTGGGAGCCGCTTACGGAACAGCCAAATCAGCCGTCGGTATTTGCTCAATGGGAGTTATGCGACCAGAATTGATCATGAAATCAGTTATCCCAGTTATTATGGCTGGTATCATTGGTATCTACGGTTTGGTCGTCGCCATGGTTTTGAAAGGAAAAGTCACATCAGCTTCGCAAGGTTATGATTTGAACAAAGGATTCGCTCATTTGGCTGCTGGTTTGACTTGTGGACTCTGTGGTTTGGGAGCCGGTTATGCTATTGGTATTGTTGGAGATGCTGGAGTTCGTGGAACTGCTCAACAACCAAGACTTTTCGTCGGAATGATCCTTATTCTTATCTTCTCCGAAGTCTTGGGACTCTACGGAATGATCGTTGCCCTTATCCTTGGAACTTCATAATTTTTCCATTTTTTCCTCTTTTTTACTCTTCGAATCAAAAAAATCTTCCATGCTTCTGTGATGGTACCCCCAAGACATTCCTTCAATTTTTCTTTTTTCTCCATTTTTTTAATTATAGAAACTGTATTCTATTAGATGTACTTATAACTACTTAGCTCTCCTCCTCGGTCATTTTTGAGGAATCAGCTCTCTTTATGTGTTGCTCTACTCTTCTTTTTTTTCTTATGTTGAAAATGTTATTATATTTTATGAAAGAAAGAAATAAAACAATTTTAGGAGATGTCCTCAACACCGTCGGGGGAATATTGGCTGATTTCGGTGCCCGGCGAAAAGGCTCCAAATGATGCGTGGGACAAATTGAATCGAGCAACATCGAATGTTTCGACCAATTCGAAGTATCAAATTCCAGACTTGAAGGTATCATTTTTTTTTTGTGTTTTTTAACTCGAAAAATATCACGATATTTACAGGTCGGAACTTTGGATCAATTAGTTGGACTTTCCGATGATTTGAGTAAACTTGATACATCAGCCGAAGCGTAAGTTTTTTTTTTCTGAAAAATCATGAAAACTCGAAGATGAGTTTAGCTTAGTCGACTCACACACCAGCGAGGTTTCAAAAGAAAATTGAATATTTTCAGTGTCACCCGAAAGCTTGTTCAATACTTCACCGAAGTTTTGGAAGAAGACAAGAGCAAAATCGCTGAAAACTTGTTGATTGGAAACAGTTAGTTTTTAAACCCTATTTCAAACAGCCCATATAATATAGAATTTAGAGGACATGAAGACGTACGTGACTAAGTTTCAATGGGAAGGTGCCAAATATCCACTTAAACAATCATTGAAAGTGTTGAGCGAGATTATTGGAAAACAAATCACTCAAATCGACAATGATCTCAAGTCGAAATCATTGGCCTACAATAATTTGAAGAATAATTTGTCGACTTTGGATCGAAAAACGACTGGAAGTCTTTTGACCAAAGATTTGGCCGATATTGTGAAAGCTGAAGATTTTGTATTGAACTCGGAATATTTGCAAACCGTTGTTGTTGTTGTGCCAAAAATCAATGCGAAAGAATGGGAAGCGAAATATGCGACATTGTCAGCGATGGTTGTGCCGGGATCTTCGAAATTGTTGACTGAAGAAGGCGAACATGCTTTGTTTACTGTTACACTTTTCAAAAAAGTTATCGATGATTTCAAAAATACTGCCAGAGAAAACAGGTTTGTCTTATTTTCTTCAAAAATTGAGGAGAGAAAAATAAATCTCGATTTTTACAGATTCACAGTCCGTGACTTTGTCTACAATGAGGAATCCCTAAAGGCTGGAAAAACAGAACGTGACAAAGCTTTGGCTGAAAAACAACGACAATACGCCCCACTCATCAGATGGTTGAAAATCAATTTCGGCGAAATCTTCACCGCCTACATTCACATTAAAGCGCTTCGTGTATTCGTTGAATCGGTTTTACGATATGGTTTACCTGTCAATTTCCAAGCTGCTGTTATTGAACCATCAAAAGGAGCACAAAAGAAATTGAGACAAGAATTGAATAAATTGTATATTCATTTAGATGGATCTGCTGCTGGACCAATTGATGTAAGTTTACAAATAACTTTTTTTGAAATCTAGATTTTTTCTAAAATATTGATTTTTTAGACATTGGAAGATTCACCAGCACTTTTGTCACTTGGAGTCAACGAATATTATCCATACGTCTTCTTCAAATTGAACCTCGACTTTACCAACAAATAAATAAATATGTAGAGCTTTGTGTATTCAATAGCAAAATGTATATGTAGTTTGATACTGTGATAGAAGCTCCCGTTGTTTATAGTATTTTCTTTCTTTTCTATTGATTTATTCACTTATTCCAAATTCCCAGTGCACCCCTCTTTTTTCCAACACAAACAATTTTAAACTTTTCCAAATTTGCCCTAGGAGAAGATTTAATTTTTCTTTGAAAATATCCACTAACATTCCACAAGAGTTGTATACTTGACAGAAATATATTTTCCTTAATTTTTATGTTTTTCCTCATGATAAATTTTGTTTATCGATCGAATTTATGTTCTTTTGGAAAGTTACGCTTGAAGAAAATTCGGTCATTACTTACCCTAATTTTTTTTACTGCATTTTTTTCATGATTTTTGGGGCAAAAATTAGAAAAAACAACAACAATGCTCCGCTTTTACGCCACGGTAAACTTGATGTTTGAGGTGTAAACGTGGATTGTCGTAGTCTCTGTTTTCAAACTGTAAAACTGTAAAACTAAAATCGACCCATAACATGAGCAAGCCTCGAGAAAAATCCAGAATTTACAAAATTCAAAACTTGGCAAAATCTATAAAATGAGCAATGCATCAGATTTTTTGAGTTTTCGCATTTTTGTCCCAAAAAATTATACTTGAAATTTCAAAATAAATAAAAAAGGTGAACTACTTTTTTCACGTTGACATTTGATCAATCGCTCTTCTCATTTCTATTTATTAACAAATTAAAAAGCAAAATGTATTGGATTGTAATCAATTTCTACATAATTTCAACTATTATTCAACTTTGCACTCGTTCACAAAAAAATGCGACAAAAGGCGAATCTGCGAATTCAAGTTTAGCTTCTGAAAGAAATACATCAGACAGGGATGCTAGTAGTAGTAGAAGATCGAAACCTGATAAAGATATTCGAACTGGAGTTTTGGATTCGATAAAAATCATGCGACGTGGTTATTCGCCCAAAAAATCGTCGTCTATCAATTTGTCACAACGAGAACGAAAATCCGATTTTTCATCATCGCGACAAACTTTTCGTGCAACATCGGAAGATTCGCAAAAAACGTTGAGTATAAATGTGCCATTGGGAAAGGCGGCAAAAACTCCACCAGATGCGGATATTCTTGTTCAACCTGAAGATCGAAAAGAGTTCGAAGCGTCCAAAAAAGTTCAGACGCCACGTGTTGGATTTTCGAAAAAGCTAGAGGTTCAGACAAATTAATTTAATAATAATAATAAACATTCTGAATTTTTCATGTACTCTTTCAAATTTTTCAAAGAATTTTCTGGTAAATCAAAAAAAAATTGACTCTCAATCTCTCACTTTTGCTTTTGAGTTCCATCTCAAAGATCGTGTCAGGTCTCAAAAAATGCGCGAAACTTTTTGGGTAGTAAAATACATGTTGTACGATAATAAGCGGTGATTATTAGAACATATTTTCAGATTTAAAAACCACTTTCTAAATCTTGAGAAATTCACAAACAAGTATATTTTTGGATTCTCAATTTCAAACAAGTAACCAAAAAAAATTCCAAAATAATTTATTACTGTTCGTATTCCTTATCAGGGAATGGAACGCGACACAAGATTTCAATAAGATTCGATTGACGATATTCTCCAGTTTCTGGATCCCACATGAAATTGTGCTCCTTCAAAACTTTTTTAGTATCGACGTAGGCACAAGTGAAGATATCAGTCATGATATCATATGTTCCAATGCATTTTTTCTGATTTCTGGAAGATTTTAAGTATATTAATATTTGAAAAATAATCATACACTTACCCATTATAAATCATTGGCATACGATTTCCAAATTTGACAATGAAATCCTCAGGAGAATAATTCAATTCGGCTTTAGGAATCACTGCATACACAGCTTTTTCACAAGCTTCCTTCATATCTCCTTTTTTATCATCTTTTGAGAGTTCAGTCTTTTTGAGTTCAATCATATCATTGTGAAGATAAAAGAATCTGTCATCAGTGATTGTTTCCAAGTAATTGGTGACAATAACAGCTTGACCCAAATTAATGTTGTCATTCTCAGTGTGTCCACCAAAGTAGAATTCACCATTGATCATTGCCACATAAATCGGACCATAAAGGTTTTGTCCAGCTGACCTTCCAACATGTGTATAAATCGAATGGAATGCACGTTCACCAGATGGAACAATATACGGGCGAGTGTAGAGATGTTTATACACTTCATTTTTTCCGATCCATCCATATGCGATGACAATCAAAGATATAAGAATGATCAGCGTTGATTTAGCCACCATTTTCTTATCGAAAACTGAAAAAAAGATTACTGTAAATGAATAGAACTCAGCTGTGCCTAAACTCACAATTGTTCAGTTGATAGTTTCAATAGGACTTGGAATTGTAGTCAGTTCCTAGATTCTGAGCAATCACAATGATTTCAATTCTAAATTTTCGGTCCCACATCGACATTTCCACGTCATATCATACGTTGGCTAAAGGGGAGGTCACGCTTTTATTATTTAAAAATCATTTATTTATTTTTCCGAAATTAAAAAATGAAATAGAAAGGTTCACGTTATAAAATAAAATTCAGAACAAAATTCAAGATTAATTTCTTCTTTTTGTATGTTTCTCCTCTTTTTTGCCGTCTTCAGTGAAAAGTTTTCCAATGTAGAACAATGTTGGGATTTCTTTTGGATATTTCTTTTTGCGAAGTTCTTCAACCGCATCATGTTGTTGAATTTTGGTCATTGATTTATCAGCAAAGATTTTGTCGACCTCGATTTTTGCCTCGGATAAACGACTGACAACAACTCCAACATTTTTGTTGAGTTGCTCTTTGTGTTGAGTCATATTGGTGAGATGTTCGTTGAATTGCGCCTGAAAAATTAGGATTTGAAAATTTATATTGAACATTTAGAAATTGTTGGTTGATCATAGGTTTTTTCAAAGAAAGTTTGAAACCATTTTGGAATAAAACGTTCCAACTTCTCTCAAAAAACATTTCGAAGTGAAAACAAACCCAAAAATTATTTCAAATTTTAAAATTAGGAAAAGTTAAAAAGTTCCCGTAAAACTAAATTGAACATAAGATCCAAAAATGTTGTTTTGAAAATTCTTCAAAAATTATTTTCTCAACCAACCTCAACATTATTTTCCTTGGCCCATTCTTTCAATTTATCTTCCTTTTGTTGAATTGAAATTCCAGGATTCTTTGAAATATTCTGAAATTCCTTTCTCGCATCTGCCGTAACATTTTTCAAAAATTCAGCGCCTCCTTTTGGACCATGTTTATGTTTCGAATCGACGATAATAATCGATAGAAAAAACACGAAAATCAAAGAATAGTAGTGCATTTTGGAAAGGATAAATACACTAAAAAAATGAATGAATTGAAAGAAAAGAAAGGAAAGGATGAGAAGGAAAAAAAGGAAACAACAACCAGAAAAAATCAGAGAAAGACAATAATTATATGAGAGATTTAGAGAAAACTAGATGAGTCAGTCAGTCACCTGTGGTTAGAAAAAAGAATAATTGACGTCAAGGTTGACCAGATCAAACCTCAATTTTATTCAACGAATGCTTCATGTGTATAGTAATTGGGAAAGATTTTAAGGTCAAAGATTTTTCATATATTGATTGGGCTGAACAAAAACCTTCATCCAAAAAAGCTCACATATCTCTATTTGGATACTTCATGGAACTAATTGTGTACACCTCGAAACATCTGTTATTGCGCAATTCACACCAATCATAATATTTCCATATGGGACCAGCCAGACTCATTTTTGTTGTCGAGAGAAAATTTGTTTGCATACTTGTTTTCAGAAAGTCAGATTTTTCAGAAAAGATCGATTGATTTTTTTATAAAATTTGTTTCTCGAAACAACTTCAAATTCAAAAAAAATGGGGATTTCTAACAAGGGAAGTTTTCGGGCTCAAATTTTTTGAAACATTGAACTCCTCGGCCAAAACTGTGAAGCTATTTCCAATTCAAACATTTCAAATCAAGAAATTTTGAAAATTCAAAAAACTTTCAATTTCTTTTATTTTCTTATCAACATATTTCAATCTTTCCCGAGGTCATTCAACAAAAATATTCCCTTATTATTATTATATGTAAATGTTGTGTTGTGTGTGTAAACAAAATCACCGGAAGTTTGATTTTATGATTTTAAAAACATATATTCTCGCTCCAAAGAAGCCCAAAGAAATTGAAAAGTACATCTTCTTCTTCTTCTTTTTTTCCCTCGCGGTGCTCCATCTTTTTCTCCTTTTTTTGCTTGATATAATACTAGTCCTCCGGCTACAATTTGTATATGTTTTTTGTCAAAGACAATCGATTTTTTTCTCTACTAATCCTCAGGTTTATTTTATTGACCCCCCACAAAAAGTTGAATTGAATATTTATAAAGTTCTTCTCGTATGCATTTTCAATTTTTTAATTACTTATTGGTGAATGGGTGCTTTTGGCATATTTTATGAGGCTGGCAACATTTTCAAGTAGTTTTACTATTTTGGAAAAATATTTTTTGAGTCTTCATATAGAAAAAAACAATTTTTTTTTACATTTGGAAAGGTCTCGAAGCAAATTTATTTTTTTAAGTGTTACTGTTAAATTTTAAAGGAACACTAGAAGGGCTTCGCTGGCTAACGCCATCTACAGTAGTTTGACTTACTTTTTCTGATTAATTTTCCGGTTAGGGAAAGAGAAACATTGAGAAATGGCTAAAAATTGTTGACTTTTTCAGAGAATAGAACGATCAGATAAGAAACGTGTCCTTTAATTTTTTTGGAATAAAAACGTAATCATTCTTTTTTACATGAAAAAAATTTTGATTTTTCACGTTAAAACTCGCGCATTTTTTGAAAAATTGAATATTAGCGCATCGATGGGAAAGAATTTTGGATCGAATGGTGAAGGTCCCATCAAAAATGGTCTTCTGGAAATTGAGAAAAGTCGAGCGACACATTTTAAAATCGAAAAATACATTGGAGTTTTCAAACTTTTCACTCTCCGCGCACCCACAGACATTTTGAGGGTGAATTTTTGAAACGCGCATCATTGTGCCACCATTTAGAAACTTTTTCTTTTTTTGATCATCAGTTTTTATGCGCACAGTTTTGAGAACGGACCGCGGACAGACTCTTGCCAAAAAAATTTTCCCAATTAGTATATAAGTAGAAGTAGATAAGTAGATCGTATTTAAGAAAAGGTCTTGAAGTGGAAGTTTGAAATTCTGAGCTTCAAAAACCTATAGCCTTCAATTTATCGTGTCACCTATATTTATTTTTTCCTCATATAAATACCATAAAAGTTGATTTCAAATAAAATAAAATAAAATTGAATGTAAATACTACAATCGTAATCCCATTGTTGAGTAATCTCAAATATGAACATACATATTTGCATTTCGGCCTATCCTCCTATCAATTTCGTGTGTTTTTTCTCGTTCGTGTTTTTTTGTTTTCCCTTTGGGACCTTTTTGAGAAGAACCTAATTTAATTTAATTCCAACAAAAATACATTTATTTTGTTCAACCCCAAACTAATCCCTTTTCTTTTTTCTTTTTTTCTTCCTTTCCTAATTTTGACTAATTTCACACCAGAAAAAGTAAAAAGAATGGCGACTTGTTTTTGAGTGACAAAAAGTTCTCACTCTTGGGGATAACGGAACAGAACAATAAGAGAAACATGGAGACAAAAACGAGAATTTCTGCGGAATTGTCTTTTTTGGAACTTTTTTTTGTGTGGTTCTGAATGTTTTGTTGGTTTTTCTTTTTTTGTTTCTTATCGAAAGATTTTTTTGAAGGAAAAAATCAAAACGCTGTTTGCAATAGTTGGGGCTCAATTAAGTGTAACAGGTTTTGTCTTTGAAAAATTTGAGGACCTGAATTTCAAAGATAAAACTCAAAATTTAGCTCGGTTCGGACCCCAAGCTTCAAGATTTTCAGAGTGGGTTAGATTCCTAAAGCTCCAGATATTGTCTGAAACTAAGAATCTGGATCCAGATATGTTTCTAAAATTAAATAGTTCTAGAAGCTTTTCTGAAGTTCGAAGCCTCAAAAATGAGATCCTATAATTAATTTCAGGTCTCACTTGAAAATTATTTAAAACATCTGAAATTCTAGAAATGTTTTCATGTTTCCAAAAAAAGTTTCCTAACAAAAAAGCGCATAACAATTTATCGTCTCTTACCTTCACCAACATTTTTTATGTCAAAGAAAACTATCCTTTTTCCTCCCGCCGCCATTTTTCAATCACATTTCATTCAAAATGACTCATCATCTTCACATTTTTCTCCTTTGGCGGATGGATACATGCAAAAAAAAGAGTGAAAGACAGAGACGCAGAGAGGCGCTTGTGCATTTTTTTTGTCTGCTTTTGTCTGCCAATTTTCATTTCAGAGTGAAAGAGAATGAAATCTGACACCCTCTAATTATAACATTTTTGTTACATTTTTTGGTATTTTTATTTTATTTTTTTTTCTGCCAATTTTTTTTGGTTGGTTTTCAACAAACAAGAATCCACATTTTGTTCATTCACACATTCATTTTTTTGTTTATTTTATATATTGAATTTTGTTCCCCTTTTCCATTTTCCATTTTCTCCATCCATTTTTTTTCTCAAAAACAAACTGTTTCATGTTGTTTTTCTTTCAATTCATTCAATTATAATATTTTTATTCTGAAAAAAAAGCAACATTTTAAATATTTTCCTCGTTTCGTTTCGTTTCGTACAAATTTTCTTATGAATCATCTTTCGTATGGAAAAGCTTATCACCATTTTTTATCGAAATTTTCATCGCAGGAAAAAACAAAATCAACGAATTTTATGACGGATATTGCGTCGCCGGTGGTCGATGAGAAACCATGTTTCGGGGCGAATCCGGAGATTTTTAAGTTGGGATTAGGGAGACAGGTTAGTTCAAAAAAGTAATAACAAAAATAGTTAAATATAAAAGAAGTCAGTAGAAAAGTTTCAAAATCATGAATGTTAGCTGAGAAAATCTTGTGATTTTGAATTTCAAATTACTCCGAAGCCACGCGGATTACTGTGTAAACACTTTTGCCTACAGTAAGATCTTTTATATTCATTCAATCTTTTTGAAATAACCCTTCAGAATTCAGAATTTCTCTTCTTGGAATTCTTGAAAATTTTTCCAAAATATTAAATTAGAGCCAAGGATTCAAATGGGTGCCCTCCTTCAAAATTCCTTCCAAGTTTTTCTTTTCAATTTCCAAAAAAAGTTCCTAATTTTTTTTCAAAAATAGAAATGTTTAAAAATAAAGTTCCACCCCTCCCTAATTTCTCAATTCCCAAAACAAAACACAAAAATATTTTAGCACACCCTTTGCCATGAAATCGGTCAAGGTTCTCGATGTCGAAACGAGTCGGATTGTCGTTGCGAAGGTCTCGATCTCCATTTCTGGCGAAAAATGTGCAAAAATTGCGGATGCCGAATGGACGAACACGATGTCGTTTTGCCAAATGAATTTGATCACGCTCAAATTGTTATTGGCAGATTGTTAGTAGCTCGAGATCATTTCGAAAAAGTTATGCCGAAACCAGGAATGCTAAGAAGATCAGAAGATGAAGATATTGAAAGAAGATCAAGAGAAAAACCAACTGCGGTTTATAATTTTAAAATGAATGGAGGAGTAAAAGGAAATGATAAGGTGAGACTGATTGTGAAAAATTTTTCAAAAATCTGAATTTTTTTGCAGGAAAATGTGCAATATGCTTGGGCTCCATTACCCGACAAAGATCTAGTTTCAAGATATATGAAATGTTTGCCAGAAGAAGAACGACCTGTTATGGGTTCAATTGGTGAACAAAATCGAAAATCTCGCTTACAATATCAACTTCCACTTTATGATTGTAATGTTGAAGATGCTCGATTTGTTGAGCAAAAAGATGTGAAAACACTGCAATCATTTGTTGAGAATGTTAAAAATAATGTGATTGGTGTTGGAAAAGTTGTGGAAATTGGAAAGAATCAAGAAAATGGTGATTCATTTGAAAAATCAATGACAAATGCAATGAGAGGCTTGAAAATTGGAGAAACTGAGTGTAAAGATTGTTGCAAGAAAATGGAAAATGGAGATATTGGTGTTGAATGTTCACATCATTCGAATATTCAAGATACTTATCATCCAAATTGTTTCAGATGTGAAACCTGTAAACAATTACTTGTTGATAATATTTACTTTTTCTACAAAAATAAGTGAGTTGAAATTGGATCGGGTGTATAAAATAGGACTTTTTTTTGATGACTCAGAAGAACCATCTCTAAATTTTCCAGATATTACTGTGGTCGACACTACGCGGATCAACTTTATCCCAGATGTGCTGGTTGTGATGAATTAATTTTCGCCAACGAATACACATTCGCCGAAGAAAAATCATGGCATTTCGATCATTTTGCTTGTTATAAATGTGATTTCAAGTTAGGTGGTTCAAGATATATGACACGAGATGAGAATCCATTTTGTTTGGAATGTTATTTGAAATACTATGCGAAAACTTGTGGAAGTTGCCAACAAAAAATTGGGCCCGATGAGAAACGCTTGAATTATAATGAAACACATTGGCATGCAGAGGAAAAATGCTTCCAGTTCGTTTTTTTTCCAAAAAACATTAGTTTTTTTCTCACAAAAAATTACCAATGAATTTCAGCTGTGTTCAATGCTCACAAAATCTCATCGGCAAAAAGTTCATGTTCAAAAATCACAAACTTCTGTGCTCTTCTCAATGCAAAGCAGCTTATAATTCAGCAAATCCAAATAATCAAGTTTGACATCATAATTAATTTTCGAATCGCATTAATCTCATTATTCATTTCATGCCATATTCTCCTAATAACTATATGTAGGTTGTAAATAATAACGGGGAATTTTCATAAATACATTTTTGCATTCTTTTCTAAATTATCTACAAAAATAAATGAAAAACAATTGCCGGGGACGGGATTCGAACCCGTGAAGGATTATTATCCACAAGATCAGGAGTCTCGCGCCTTTGCCCACTTGGCTACCCCGGCACATGGGAATTCCACGTGTCTCCACAATATATGTTGCTCATCTTAAATTCTACGTCGTAGCGAGACCAAAAAAGATACATGCATGTCCCTTTATTTTTTATACTGTGAACGAGATTTTTTTTTTTTTCAAAACCAAGTGAACTCCACTAGGAAACATCTTCTACTGAAAAAAATATTGACAAAAATAACTTCCTTGTCGAAGTTTTATGTTAGGTAAACTGTGTTAAAATGAAGGAAAAGAAGAAAAAGAAGAAATTGTTTGTTGACAGCAAATAAAAATATGAAAAAGAGAGAAAAGCGAGCCATTGTCCACCTATTTTCGACCATCGATTCGAAAACATTATTATTCCAGTTGTGGTTTTTTTTTTGAAAAGCGGACAAATTTCGTTTCATTATGGATACGGTTATGGATTGGGCGCCAAGTGTGATTATTTTGACAGGGGTTAGTTTTTTTTTTGAAAATGTGTAAATGTTTTATTGAAATTTGGCACACCAGTTAGACTAATTTCATTTTTGTAGTTTTTCTGTTGGACTCTTTATTCACTTACAAAACTTCTATTGTCTGAAAATTGAAAATCCGAATCAATCACAGGTTTTTCCTTTTCCTCCCTCGGATGTTAAAAAAAAGTAATTATGAATTAAACACTTTACCCAATAGTTTTCAATGAAGCTCAAATCTCACCTGTTAGTTTTGTTCCTCCCCCTCCCCCAAACCTCAAAATAAACTAACTTGACTGGCCCGTTCCGTGAAATGTTGTTGATTTCTTCGAATGTCCTGTCCAAACGGAACATCTTCTTGTTCGGAAGCCTGAAACTTCTACATTATTTCTTCAAAATGTTCGCCTATTCTTAAACTTACATCAGAAAATGACAATTGTGGATTTTATGGGACCGCTGCATTCTGTGACTGTTCTCGGGATGGTGCTGGCGGTGATTCGGCGGCGTTGCCACATTTGGCAACATTCCGGCGACGTTGCCAAAAAAGCAGCAACGCCTGGCAACGTTGCCACAAGAAGCAGCAACGTTGCTTTTTGTCGCCAGATTTTTTATTTCATTGTTCGCTCCAAGCGACAGAGAGCAACGTTGCCAAAATGTAAAACACTGCGACGCAATTCTGCACAATAAAGCATTTTCGAAATTTTTTTTTTTTTTTCTTTTTGGCCTAAATTGTGTTTTTCTACTCCTTTTCAGTGGATTTATCATGAATACTAACATATTTCAGCATGCCGTAAGCAAGAGATTGATGGTTTCGTTGGAATTCTTCAAAAAAATTAGAAAATTTCATAGAAAACAGTAGAATTTTGAGTAAAAGGTTAGTTGAAAAATATAAATTGTGATTTACACTGAAAAAATTAAGTTTTCAGTTCGCGTCATTCAACGAGTCATTGATAATATGGAAATTGCTAAAGAATGTTCGAGGAGACTATGATTGAAAAGTGTTGATGAAAAGTGAGTTTTTTTTCAAATGTTTGATCCCAAAATTAACCTGAAAACTATGCTCACACCTTTTCAAGAATGTTTCGAGGGTTTTGAGCAATTTCATGAATAAAGTAAACATCAAATTTGAAACCTGTTTTCCAGGAAATTTTTTGTAATTTTAATATACATAGCTAGATAGGGTTAGAAATAGTTCACCAAAATACACTTCGTCCACTTTTTTCTTACCGGAATACACTTTCAAAAGGGAATATTCCATTTTTCGTATATTTTCCTAATATTTGTTTTTTACATAAATATAAAAATCGGAAAAAAAATTGAAAAGTTTGGGCTGATATCTGGAGGTTTTTAATGTAAAGTTAAGCTATTTAGACTATTTGATAATAATTTTCTATTTTTCAGATAAATCAAGTCATGCCAATCACCAACACATCAATCTCAGTCATATATGAAAAACGACAATACAACTACATCAAGCCAATCCTATCACTATTCTACTTTTATAATAATGAGTTAATTGCATTTTTATATTATGTATTCAATTATTTTTATGTATGATTTGATCTTAATTATCTGAATAAATATGTTGTGATTATGGAATCATGTTAGTATTGAAAATCAGATATATCAAACTGGCTCAAACCGGGAGAACTACACTGACGCCGCCTCTCGTTGCCGCGTGCTGCTCGCTTGTTGCCGAAGCTGTTGCCGATCCCCGCCCGCTCAATTTTCCTACTTTTTCATCCACTGCCACACCTTGCCTTTTCTTGCCGCTTGTGGAGGCAACGTCGCAGATTGCCGCCGAGGCCGTTTTCCAGATGGCGAAGCACTTGCCTCTCTGTTGCTACTTATCGCCGTAGCAAAAACGTCAGAAAATTATCGAATGGCGACGCCGCCGCGGGGCTGCCGGCGACGTTGCCGAAAAAAGGGTCGGCAACGTCGCCGAATCGCCGCCGACAGCACCCCGAGTTGTCTCTAAAAAAATAAGAAAATTAAAAAATGTACCAAATCACCCCATTAATAACTTTTTCTGCGCTGAAAAAAACCACTCAAAAACCAGAAAAAAACAAAAAATAAAAATGTCGTGCAAAAAAAATAGAAGAAAAACAACGATACTCCGCGTGCACGTTGTTTAGTTTATTTTGTTGTTTTTTTTGCAGGGTAGATGAGAGAGTGTGGGAAATGGAGAGAGAGAGTTAGAGAGAGAGAGAGAGAGAGAGATGTTTTTCATTTGAAAAGAAATTATTGATTGAACGTTTTTTTTTCGAACTGAAACATTTTTCTGGTTTTTTTCAGAGCAGAAAAAGTTATTAATGGGGTGGTTTGGTACATTTTTTAATTTTCTTATTTTTTTTTAGAGACAACAGTCACAGAATGCAGCGATCCCATAAAATACACAATTGTCATTTTCTGATGTAAGTTTAAGAATAGGCGAAAATTTTGAGAAAAAGAATGTCGAAGTTTCAGGCTTCCGAACAAGAAGATGTTTCGTTTGGACAGGACATTCGAAGAGATCAACAACTTTTCACGGAACGGGCCAGTCAAGTTAGTTTTTTTTGAGGTTACGGGGGGAGGAACAAAACTAACAGGTGAGATTAGAGCTTCATTGAAAACTATTGGGTAAAGTTTTTAATTCATAATTACTATTGATGTTAGAGGAAAGTTGTTTATAAATTACTATGTGTTTGATTATATGGAGCTCTGAATTACACTTGAAGCTATAGGATCAGCTTCCAGATTTTATTGAAAAACAAACTATGAAATATTTCATAGGTAGAAAGATTTTTTCATAGTTTTATGCACGCGATTTTCAGTTTGTTTTGAATTTATTTTTTTTTCTTTTATGATCTATGTCTCATTAAACTTCACAATTTGTATTCCCAGGCGTAACTTTTTTAAAAGAACTCTTTTTTTCACGTCAGCTTAGCTGCGAAAAATAGGGTTTTCTTCAAAATTAAGAATTTTTGAGGATTTTCTGACTGTTTCGCCTAGGGGCACCGCCCAAAAAAAAAGAAATGAAATAAGATCACGTTATTTTTTTCTCCAAAGAAAAAAAATTCCACGTGTTACAAAAAAAATTGCCACGACTTATTTGTGACGTGTAGATCTTATCTTGTTGCTATAAAAGAAGGCTCTGAAATCAGTCAAATCAACCCATAGTTCAATCAACAACAATGGCTCAATCTGTCCCACCAGGAGATATCCAAACTCAACCAAATGCCAAGATCGTCTTCAATGCTCCATACGACGACAAACATACCTACCACATCAAGGTTATCAACTCGTCTGCTCGTCGTATTGGATACGGTATCAAGACAACCAACATGAAGAGACTTGGAGTTGATCCACCATGTGGAGTTTTGGACCCAAAAGAAGCTGTCCTTTTGGCTGTTTCCTGTGATGCTTTTGCTTACGGACAAGAAGACACCAACAATGATCGTATCACTGTTGAATGGACCAACACTCCAGATGGTGCTGCCAAACAATTCCGTCGTGAATGGTTCCAAGGAGATGGTATGGTTCGTAGAAAGAACTTGCCAATCGAGTACAATCCATAAGCACCTTTAATAAATCTTCAGATCCAGAATTTTGTTTTTTGTTGTTGTTGATCTTTTCCGGTTTTCCCGTTGTCCGAGAGTTTTCTGACTTTTTTCCGGCGGTTCATTTAACTTGGAACCCCAGTTGCATGGAGGACTCACAACGAATCTTTGAAATCTGAAAATATTTCTCTGCGTCTCCCAGAAACCCTGTTCTGCCCCAATATGTTATCTGAACTTTCTCCAACTTGGATTTCTAGATCGAATGTTTTTCTTTGAATTTCCAAGCATGTTTTCGATTCATTTGAAAATCTTCTCACCGAATTTTTCAAAAAAAAAGTATTCCAAAATTTATTTGTGAATTTTTCCAGCTTTATCGTTATCAATTTCTTCTTTGAATCTTCTTTGAACACTTCCTTGTTGTCCAGTCTAGTTTGATGTGTCAAATTTCAAAGTCCAAAGCATTTGCTCCTCTTCAACCCACATTTTCCAGGGAATGTCAATAGTTTGCACATTGATTCATTTGATTCAATCAACATTTCGCCCTCCAAAATGTTGTCAACAAAATCTAATCATCGGTTTGCCGCAAGTTCAACCTTATGATAATTTTCGTTATGTTCGACTCGAATCTCAAAAATCTGAAAATGAAATTTGGCACAAAACACCGTATCCGGTTTATAATGTGTGATTATTTATGAATTTGATTTTTTGTTTTGATGTATACTGGTATTTTTAAAGAAATAAACTTTCATTTCATTTTTTTTTCAGAAAATAACAAGAAAAAATACGTGGAATCACAGTTAACCCGAAAAGTTTCAAAAAAAAATATATAACAATTTTACATCATTGATTTTTTCCAATGATCGTGTGATCCATGAGAATCAACTTGTCGATTAATCATTTCTTGCGATGCAGTTTTTCTATCATAAACCAAACCAATTGCAGCCGCTGAATCAATGAGAACACGTGTCCAATTGAATTTCATTGAATATTCAGAAGTTCTGTAGTCTTGTGGGAATGTGTGATGGAAGTTGTGACCACCTTCTCCGACAGCTGCGATTGTTGTGAAAACATTTTCGACTGGGGAAATTGAGTGATCATATGGTTTCCATCCGAAGCTGAAAATTGAAAAATTTGAAATTTTGTGGGCCGAAGTAAATTTTTTAAAGTTCATTAGACCAGTAATCGCGTAATCGCATCTCCCAATAATTTTAAAAAAAAAACTCACTAATGAGCAGCACTGTTAATACACCAAGTAGCATGAAGAGTGAAAGCATATCTGAATACGGCAGCAGTATAAAAAGCAACCAATGCAGATTCTCCCCAGAAATAAACTGGAACAATTGTTGGAAAAACGAAGCACGAAAGAATAACCAATGGGAAATAATGTTTGCGTTGGAAAACCAAAACTGGATCGCTTAACAAATCAGAGAGATCCAATTTAGCTCCTGCTTCTTTAACTTGTGGATGTTTACGAACAAGAAGCCATCCCATATGTGCGAAAAAGAAACCGCGAGTTGTGTTATGTGGATCAGCATCTGTGTCAGTCCATTTATGATGACATCTATGATCACGAGCCCATTCAATAATGTCATTTTGAAGTGCAATATTATTCAATAACATTAAGAAAACTCTCATTGGTGTTTTGGCTTTGTATGATTTATGTGACCATAATCGATGTGCACCGGCTGTTATTCCAAATCCTCCCAAAACATACATCATGAAGGCTGAAAAAATCGGACGATGATCATTCGATTATTATCACTTTTTTTTGCTTGTTCTTTTTGTTTTCATTTTTGTAAGTGATAAGAATTTTCTACCTCGTTGCAATTTATCATCTTCGGGACAATTTATGTTTCAAAAATTGGAGGTTGAAAAAACGTGACTACTTGAATGTTTTTTGAGGAAACGAAACGGAATCGAATAAAATCAGGCGATTTTTCGCAACAATTTGTAGCGTTATCAATTTGAGAGGAATTGGAAAAATGAAATGTTTGATCAACACAAATTAGAACACTCACAAAATGATCTAGGGAATTTTTTTTGGGTTTTCCAAAAATTTTTTGGGAGAAATGGGGTGATTCAGGTATGAAAATGAAAGAGGAATCGTCAAATAATAATTGTAGAACAACTTTTTGAAATTAAAAAAAAGAGTTAATTCAGATGAAAACCATTCTGTACAAAAAAATTCAGAAATTGTCGAAAACGTAATTTTTCATCAAAACTTTTTAGTTTCCGATTTCTGATTTTTTGAAAAAAATTTTTTCTAAAAATTTCTGAATTCTCCCAAATGATTCCCAAAAAACTCACTAAAAAGGACAGTAGGCCATTTCGCGTCAAAAATCAATTGATACAATCCAATAGCAGCTCCAAAATGAAGTGCTCCAAAAAGTGCGACATTTCTCCAAACAATCTCCATTTTGTATGGAATTTTTTTGGATTCTTCTTGAAGTTTTGCAATTTCATCAGGATTTATTGCCAAATATTGAGCATTTTCTCCATTTTCGCATTTTTCGTGTTTTTTCGCAGCATTTGCACGAGTTTTTACCGTCATTTTGTTTTTTCTGAAAAACTATTTATTAGTATTATGAAAAAAATATATATATTCTAGAAAACAAGTTTACTCAAAAACTTTTACCTTGACACAGTAGTCCAGCATTTTATACAATTTCGAAAAATGGGCGGAGCTTTGAAGAAGGATAGCTACACTACATGTTATCGGGCCTTTGCCCTATGATCACACCATTTTAGCAGCGATTGTTTTTTGAAGGGGAAAAAAGAAAGCAGCAACAAATATTTGTGGAGAAAATGAAGAGATTCAGAGATATTTTGTTGTTGTTTTTATTTTTTATTGTCATGGTTTTGTTGATGGTTGTTGAAAATTAGTACTGTACTGTGTGAGCAAAGTGTGCAATGTGTTCTGATTTTTGAAAATAGAAAATGGGTGAATGAATGAATGAAAGTATAATAAAAATGGCACTGTAGGGCAAAGTTTCAAAAAATTGTTTTTTGTTTTTATTTGAGATGACTGTGTTGAAAATCTTTTATGATTTTTGTTTCAAAAAAATGGAATGAGATTTCAAGGATGAAACCTCATATTTTTCAAAAAATTTAGAATTTTTAAGATAAAAAAGTTTTGCATAGATATTTCGAAAATTCCGAGTTTCATACTCATAAGGTTTCAGTAAACTGTGAATTTGAAAAAATTGAATAAAACGTTTTTGGCCATTCCAATGGGCCCCCAGAAATCTGGAAATCTGAAAAATCCCAACTCCAGTAGACAATGATCATCAAATTTTTTATTAATCTGTGAATGATTTGCATTTCTGTAGTTTTCTTTAGGAACCTGTCAATTTCAAAAATTGTGAAAAAAAAATGGTTCTAGCATTGGAGCCTTCAACTTTCGAATTTTTTTTCAAACTATGAACTTTATCGTTTTTTTTGTTGATAACTTATACATTCCAATTTAGATTTCCAAAGTTCAGAAAAATGTTCAAGGTGAACTGTATTTGGATTTTTGAATTATTTTTCATTTGAAACCTGATAACCTGGAGAATTCAAGAACCTTATTAATATGACTTTTAAATTTTCATTGTTGAACATTGGATGTAAATAGATATCTTTACAAATCTGTAGAAGCCATTTTTTAATTTTTCACCAAAAAAGTTCAAAAAGCCCAAAACGATTTTCCAAACAACTACAATAAATCATACGTTCGATAATAATTCTTATCAAAGTTTCCTTTTTTTCCAAACCGCGTAGAATTTCTGGTTTTGTCCTTTGTCCTCTTTCAAAATCTTGCCTTGAAAAATTGTGTGTTTTTTCAAACATCAACAAATTTATAGCAAAAACTTCAGACTACAGTAATCATACCACGTTTTTGATAAATAGTGCAATCTGAAATGAATTATTGTCAACAAATATTTTAATATCTTCCGGGTTCTTTTTATTTTTGAAATTGAAATTTAACACAACCACCAAAAAACATTTTGTTTTCTTACATTCAGAAAATTTTCGAAGTCAATTGAACCTCCAAAAAATCATCAGATGATAAGTGTGGGTTCTTTGAAATAACTTTGCTTTTCAACTACACAACAAACTGCTATCAGTTTGTTTAGAAAAAAAATAATCATTGATGACGAAATGCAAATGATCAGATCAGACCACGTGTTTGACTCCACTACAATACATTTTTAAAATTTCGGTTTGAAGGTTTAGCATAGTTCGTTATAACGTTTAAAAAATCATGAGGGGTGATATTTCTTTGTGCCATTTTCTGGGTATTTTTTTGTTGAAAAAAATTGAACCCCCTTCCTGAATGAACGCGTTGAAAGTATAAAATATGGGAATCCTGAGAAACTCTCCTATCTCACGTTTCACATGGAGAATACTAGTTATAATTTTAAATTCCCACGCATCTGGCAGAGGAAAAATGGCCTAGGAACCGACTCGGCCAATTTTTTTATTTTCTTTTTTTGCGAAAGTTTACCTTAAAAATCGAAAGAAATGCATACTCTTAGATCATTATTCGACTACTCCTACGATTTGAGAGTGAGTTCCGTTATTTTCCATTTGTTTTTTCTTTGAAAATACGATATCTTCAGTTGAAATCACGATTTAAATACTCATGTCATTATTGCGAGAAAAATCGTCTTTTTTGCAAAGATGTTACAGCGATTTCGAGTGGAAGACGTGATATATTGGAAAAATGGGTGGATATATTGGGTGGTACATTTCAGAAAAATATAATAGGATTGAAGACAATCACGATATGTAGAAGCCATTTCAAAGAGACGTGGACCAAAAATCGACCGCTCGATTTATTGCCTTTTGCCGATTTGGGAAGACCTGATATTATTCCAGAATATGAGCATATAAAAAAGGAAATTAAAATGAAATCGGAACATGTGAGTTTTTATCTTCAGAAAAAGTTTCATAAATAATTAGATGTCGAATTTTCAGAGTCACTTATTTCACAAATGTGCATATTGCGGAAAAATCAAAACATTTATTCAAATGACATCTGTTCCACCAAATGAATATATTTTCAATAAATGGGTTGCAATATTAGGAGACGAATTCAAGAAAAATGTTGAAAATTGTGAAAGAAAAATCTCAGCGATTTGTAGAACTCATTTTGATGTGAAATTTCGACATCGGCCACAATCATTGTTGCCAAAATCAATGGAAATGCAAGAAAAACAAGAAAAATGTGTGAAAATCGAGGAAAAAGAGCAAAAAGATGAGCCAAATATGTTGGAATGTTGTTATTGTTCGGAAATTCGAAATAATTTGAATGAAATGGTTCAAACTCCAAAAGATACAAAAGGTTTATTGAGATGGGCTGATATTCTAGGACCGATATTTTATGATAATTTTATGAAGAGAAAAAATCGATATATTTGTTTGGAACATTTGAAAAAGGGTTCGAAACGAGTTTTCAATGATGAAATTATGAAGGAATTTAAACAGAAACAGATTTTGAAAGAGAAACAGAAGGGTTTGATTCCCAATATTCTGAAAGAAGAAGAAGAAATTGAAATTGAGATGAAGCCTAGAATTGAGAAGATTTTGATCGAAAACGATTTTACAATGGAGGAAGAAGTAAAACCAATGAAATTGAAGAAAATAAAACAAGAAATTCAGGAATAGTAATAATTTTTAGTTTTGTTTTAGAGTAATGAATAGTTTAGTTTATGAAAAAAAAATCTCTCTGGAATTTATAAAATGTAAAAAATCGTTCCGATTAGATATATTTCTGGCTGTCTGTCTCCAAATTTCAATGCAGAGATTCAAATATTTCGAAACCCGCCGCGTGACTTTTGGGCCCCAAAAATTCATGAAATATTAAACAATTTTGGAATTTGAATTATTTTCAATAGAGTTTTTTCCAGCTGAACGTACGTTTCTAAATTTTTGTATAGAAGATTTTATAAATTTCAATTTCAATTGAGGTTGATTTTCATTTAAAAATAAATATTTCGTAATCGAGTTCGAGAAATTCAATGTATTTTTATCAAAAATATTTATTTATTTATTATCATATCATGGAAAAAATTCTCAAATGACTCACAATAAATCAATTCTCTTGTCTATTTTTCTATAACACAATACTTTTCCCGCATTTGTCCAAATTTTCAACAAAAATAACCAAATTTCAAACTTCCACATCATTTTTGAATAAATACACAAGGTCAACGTGTCTGCGTCCCGTTCTCTCTCGCTTTTCTCTTTTTCTTTTCTTTTCTCTTCGTTTTTTTTTGATTGTGTGTTCCAACCTTTTTTCAAAGTTTCATCTCATTTTTCATAACGTCTGTTGTTGTTATTTTTGAGCTCATGAATTATTGATTTTTTTTCCAGGCAGGACATGGCCGATCTATTTAATAAACATATCAAGAAAGCGACAAATCGGACGAAAGAAAAAGTTTGTTGAAAAAATATAATATGTATTGAAATTTTAAGAAACAATTGTTTTCCAGCTTTTGGAAGGAATCGGCAAGGCGAAAGCAACTCAGGATGAAGTTTTTGATCAACATGCGGCAAATTTGAGTAAGCAAAGTAAAGCGTATGAAAAGTTACATAAAGATGTCAAGGTTAGTCACTAATCAAACAGCAGTATCACAAACTAATTAATGTTTACTATTTTAATTAACAACGGAGAGTTCATTTCAGGTTTACGCAGCCGCTTTGAAAACTTTGATCAATGCTGAAAAACAACTTCGAGATACAATTCGTGAAGCTTATGAAGCTGAATGGCCAGAACGAGAACATCTCACTGCAATTTTTGATAATCTTGATATTCAATCAAACGATTTGGAGAAATCAGTTTGTGAAGATTTGGTGCAAAGTGTTACTTCGTATGTCAATCAATTTCCGGATTTGAAGAAAAAAGTTGAGAAACGTGGAAGAAAATTGGTTGATTATGATAGCGCCAAAAATTCATTCAACTCGATTAAAGCATCCAGTAAAAAGGTGATTTTTCAAAATAAGTTTGGGTGGGGAAACTTGAAAAATTGAAAACTCTTGAAAATTGAATCTAGATTTTTTAAAACTGGTCTTATTTCTCGATTGTTATCCCTAATAACTAAATTTTTAATCAGATCGAATTTAATTTTAGGACAATGACCCGAAATTGGCAAAAGCAACAGTCGAATTACAATCCGCCGAATCAATGTATACAGAAATGAACAACGAGTTATTGGAAGTCCTCCCCGCTGTTTACGACAGTCGAATCACATTTTTCGTCGACACCCTTCAAACTCTTTTCAATTCCAACAGTATTTATCAAACCGAGGCCAGTAAAGTAGGTTTATATTTTATTCCGAATACAACTTTGAATTTAGTTCCACTTTACTGATTTTTTCTAGTTCCATAAACAAATTGTTATGCAACTCGATACTTTGGGCGAATCGATGGATTATTTGAGAGTTGCACGGCCTGAGGCGAGAACATTGACACCAATTGACACAACATCGATTGGAACTGGCGTAGGAGGAACGGATGATGTAAGATATTTTTTTGAAGACAAATTTTGGGCTTGAGACAGACATGGGATAATCTAATATTTTTGCAGAACACCTCAATTCGTCTTTCAACACCATCTCCTTCAATTCCAGCAGCTCTTCCAGTTACACCAAAACCGAGAGAAAGTATTGCCTCAGTGGTGAGTTTTGGAGAGAAAATAAAAACAAAAACAATTATTTTTTCTCAAAAATTATCCTGAATTTCACCAAATTTCCAGGCAAATTCAACAAATCCTTTCGACGAAGAAGACGAGGAAAAAATTGAAGATATTGAGGAGAAAATCGAGCAAAAAGTTTATCCAGTAAGAACTTTTCCAGCAATGTATTTCTCCCCAATAATGCCATTTTCAGAAACTCAATGCTGAACAAACTGCGGCTGCTGATGTTGCGATTGCAGCTGCTAAGAAAGAGGAAAAAGTGAGGATTTTCATCGAATTTTTATTTCAACCTTAATTAAATTATATTTTTAATTATAGGAAAAAGACTCGGCAAATCCATTTGATGATGATGAAGAAGAAGAAGAAAAAGTTGTGGAAAAAGTGAAAAAATCTGAAGATGATGAAAAAGTGCAAGTATTGGATGATGTGACGAAAGAAAAACGAAAAACATTGTATTTTGTTCAATCGACTTATCATTATGACGCTGTTGATACGGATGAATTGAGTTTCCCAGTTGGAGTCAGGATTAAGGTCAGTTTTTATTTGGAATTTTTGAAGGGAAGAACTACTGGAATATTTTTTATAGAAAGACACAATATTTTGAGATTATCTGACAGTTTTTGTTAAACTTCAAATTTTTCACAGAATAAATTAGTTCTAAAAAGTTTGAATTATAACTTTCAGCTTGAATTATTATCCGAAATTATATGAGATTTTTGTTAAAATTCTGAAAATTGGCTAACCGTAGTTTTTCACGTTTTTTTTTCAAATTTCAAAATCTGAACTTCAAAATACTTTCTTAACATTCAACATTTTATTCAATCGAGATATTTGCAGGTTCTCGAATCGAAAGAAAGTGATGATTTAGACGCCGGTTGGTGTATTGGTGAATATCAAAATAAACGTGGAGTTTTCCCGGCGAATTTCACGAAAAAAGAAGAATAATTCAGTTTAAAACAAATCGGAGCTATTTGAAATACTTATGTGATTGCATTTTTTTTTGAATATATATTTAAGTTTATAAATTTTTATGATAGTGTGCCATCGGATGCTGATTGATAGACGGTTAGCTGGAAATTTTTATATATTTTTTGAGAAAATATTGTGAAGTTATCTTACAAGGGCATATAATTCTGGAACTGCTGTCATTTTGCTGAGTTTGTAAGGATTCGTATTGCAAAATGTTAAACTTGGGAAAAGTGAGGATTCCAATCCAGACTGAAAAAAAATCAATTTTTTTCTAAATGTTCGGAACTTCTTACATTCAAATTGACGACTACATCAAATGCAAGATATTGTGTCAAAATCGTTGTAAACATGTAGAAAAAGCCGAAACCGCAAAAAATAAGAAGAGTTGCCCAAACTATGATTGATGTGAATGTGTGAGCTTGTGCCAAATGTGGAATACCGTGAAATGAGGCGGTTTCACCCCATTCGGTGAGCGTTGATTTGACCTCGCTGGAAAAAAAAAGGATTTGGATCATTTAAAAAATAGTTCCGGCAGAATTTTCAAAAACTTGGAAATAAATATTTTTATTTTTTTGATTTTTATTTTCTCAAAATTATATGATTCGGAAACACTTTCAGCCTTAACTTTCAGAGAAAAATCGTAGTTTTGAATTTTTAAAATACAGTAATGAACAGTAATCTAGAAATTTTGAAAAATCCAAAGTTCTAAAAAATTTTGTAAGATAATCAAGTTATCCTAACTCACCCCCATCTCGTCTCAACTTTCACCTCATTGATTTTATCCTGTTCAATATCATTCACAATCGCTTTCATCTCATGATCATCAAACTCCGAATCATTATCTTCCTGAAATGAAATTCAAATTAGATTTTTAAAAAACGTTGTTGTTCAATTTCTCCGAACTCACCGATAAAGAATCCTTTCGATGTCTCAAACCTTCTTCAGATGTCATTTTTAAGTTTTTAAAAAACTTTTGAAGTGTAAAAAAACGGTGAAATGAATCCAGAAGAGAAGAAAAGTTGTCCCGGGTGACGAAGCATTTTTTGAAGTGTGTCAAGAAATGGTGAATAATTCAATTCCCCCCAAAAAAAGAAAGAAAGAATAAAAACGCACCTGCTTTCCCAAAAAATTAAATGCACATTGTGCATATAAATTTTCAGGGAAAGAAAAAGACAAACAAGATGCGAGAAAAATAAAATATATGTATACTTTTTCTCTTCCGCTTCCACACATACTCACCTTTTATTTTATTTTATTTTATTCCAAATTCTTCTGACAGATGTCCCGTTTTTTTTTTTGTTTGAAAATATGTAGAGAAACTCATGTTTTTCCCCGAAAAGGGGAAAAATGTGTGCACGGTTCATCTAACATTCCGCGCTGGTTTTATTTTGAACACATGTTCTTGCTTCGGCTGTGTGATTTTTTCTGCCAATTTTGTGAGCGCTAATCGTGGTTCCACGATTTTTCACTCCATAACTTTTCCAACATTTCCGGTGAAATCCGATCTTGAAAGATTTTTGAACCTTTTTTTTCGGAAACTTGAGAAGATTCTGAAAATTATGATGATCAAGATCTAAATTTTTATGAAAGATTCCGTATATTAAAAAAATGTTTTCCAGAAAATTTTAGTTTGAATCTTCAAACTAAAATTATACCTTTATGAGGAAACTTTTTCACTTCAAAGCTTTTTATTAAAAAATTTTGTGGGCATTAAAAAATAAGTTATCAAGTTTGGCCACATTAAATTTACTCAAAAATTCCGAATATTCTCATTAATATTCTCTGAAAATCTTCTCCATTCTCATTGCGGGAAATGTAATCTTCCTTAATAAGATTAAATTTTCTCAAAGAAAGTTCATGATTTTTTGAAACTTTCTAGATGTTTTTTCTCAATTCGAATTATTTTTCCAAGAATCCTCTTCATAATCTTATCCAAAAAATCCTTAATTATATTTTTTCCAATCCTAAAGCCCCAAACACAAATCAGTAAATAAATAAATAGTTAAAAATAACTAAAACTACTTACAATTGAGAGAATCAAACCAAAAAATAATCCGAAATAATAGACGAGATTCTATTGAATGTCTGCGTCTCTCATCGTTTCTAGGCAACTTTATTAGTTTGAAATTTGCATTCTTATTTTATTCTATTTTAGTTCAGTTTGTTGTTTTATACTTATACCAATTATTTTGAGACAGACAAATGTCGAATGTTCTGCTTTTTGCACTTACCGTACCACGCGAATAGTACGGTAAATATTCGAAAATCCAATTCGACTCAAATAATCAGAAGAAGGTGAGGGTTTTTTTGAGGAAAATGGGCGGAGCTTGGAATGAAAGTAGATTTTTTTGCAGATTATTCGAGTTTTATGAAATGGGGCCAAATAATGCAGGTAGGTTTTTTCGTAGAAAAATTGAAAAAAAAAGAGAAATTCAATTTCCAAACTTCTAATCGCTAATATTTTTCAATAGAATACAAATTCAATTTTCAGATTTGCCAAGTTCTTTTCGACGACTTTTGTTTCGACGGAGCCACAGTGAACCAATTAAAAGATCGATTTCTGAAGAAAATGAGCCAGCCAGCAGTAGGACGTGAGTTTTCAAAGAAGGTCCAGGAAAAACCGAATTTACGGACCACATATATTTTTCACGAAGAAACAAGGGTTACTTGAAAAATTATGTGATTCAAATAATTGTGAAACTGTTTTCTCGAGCTCTAGAAAACTACTCTTTCTTTAATTATTCGATTTACTAATTAGAAAATTAATTAATTAATTAATATTAAAATTCCAGTGATCCTGAATGGTCGATGACAATTGATTCAATATCTCTTCAATCTTCCTATCTCGAATATCAAAAACGTCGAAAAAATCGACTTCGAAAACAGGAAAATCAAAAATCGGTGAACACTACAACGGTAACTTTTTGTTTTTTATATTTTTCATATTTTTTTGTCCACTAATTGTAAGGAAAACCCAAAACAAAAGTAAATAAATATCATGAATTAGTGAAAAGGTTTCTATGGTGACCGAAATGAGCAGAAGAGGAAAAGGTATCATTTTTTCTGGTCCTCTTTTTTTTGGTTGGGCTTGGGAAATATTTTTGTTTTATTTGAAATAGAGATGGAAATTGTAAAGTTTTTATAGAGAATTTGAAAACTTTTTGGATTTTTTTTTTCGCTGATTGAAAAGAAAACTTTTTTTGGAATTTTTTTTCTTGTAAGGCTTTGTGGAAAAAAATCCTAAAAAGTTGAGAAATGCCAAAATGAATCAGATTTCGACCTAAAAAATCACCTGGCAACACAAAATCTAAAAATGTTGTTGTAATTTAATTTTCTCGCTGTTCTGATTTTTCAGGTGTCCCCAATTTTTTTAGAATTTATATTTCTTGAAAGCATATTCATTTCAAAACTAAAATTTAAAATTTTCAAGCTTCTTAAATTTTGAAAAAAAATCTGGAATCCACGTGGAGTTTTTGTTAACTTTTCCAGAAATATTAGGATCAACTTTTATTCAAAAAAAGTTCAAACTCCTAGATAAACTCTGAAAAATATTCTGACGTCAACTTTTTTTCTCTCAAATTCCGGTCAAAGTTTATCGCAGTCTATATGAGCTCATTCCTTAAATGTGCAAAATTCCTCACATTTTTTTTGCAAATTCATATTCATTATCTGTTCGTCGAATCAAAAGAAGCCACATTTCCATAACACAAAAAATAACTACTAATCTTCCTCCGGAAATATCTCTCTTCTGCACATATTTTTCCGGTTCCAAATTTTCCAATCAAAAAAAAAACATCGCAAAATATATTCCATCACAGAGAGAAAAAATCGACAAAAATCACGTCATCCAATCAGCGATTGTGGGCGGGGTTTCAAGAAATGGGTCACGTGAATACTGACGCGTTTGTTGTTTTTGCTGACGCTTTTTTTTATTTTTCGAAATTTTTTTGAATTTTCAGTTTTTTACAGTTTTTCAGCGAGGGAAGACAAATTTCCACAATATTTTTTATGCAGATTGTTAGGAATCTACTAAGGATCATTTACATATGTAGATTTTCATATTTTGTGAAAAACTCACAAAGTTATAAGAAAAAACATGTTCATTAGGTCAACTTTTGCTTTGTTTGAAATCTTTTCAACTTCGAAACTTATTTCGCGATTTATTTTCTCATGAAATCGTATTATATAAGTGATATTCCAGCAAATCGGAACGGATTTTCCCCAATTTACGAAGGAATGCGACGTGGATGTGGCGAACAGTTGAAAACGACAAGATGAACGGATTTTTGGTCAAATTTGTGAAAATGTAGAACTTTTAAAGTTTTCTTTTCGACATGTTGATGGAAGCCAGTTTTTTGATGCTTCTAGTCTTCAATTTGACACAAAATTCGGAATTTTTTCATGTTAGAAATATTTTGAATAAAAATTTATTGAAAATGAAACCAAGTTTCCCATATAACTTATCAAAAATGGAATAATTAGCACCATATCAACTACACAATGCAAAACCGTTGAATTTTGACAAATTATCGGTGAAAATTCTTATTTTTTCCGCTTTTTTCGAAATATCAGTTTGTGGGTTTTTTGTTGCAAAAACTGCCTCAATATCGACTCCAAATCATCAAATCAGTTTATTCGTTACTTTTGAATGCTTTCTGATGGATTATGACAAGGATTTGTACCCAAAATACTGGAAAAACAGCAATTATTGAGAACTTTTGAACAAAAATCGTTAAAACTTTCGGTACATAGCGAAACTAAAAATTATAAAGCTGTAGGAACAATTATCTATACGAGTTCTAAAAACTGTATAAAAAATTTTAGCGAAAAATCGTGATTTTCAAGGAAAAACAACAAAAAATAGGCCAGGCGACCAAAAAAAGAAAATAAAATAAATTTTGAAAATGAAAAAAATGAAATGGGCGTGGCTTATTCACGTGAGCCAATCAGAAACGTAGACAGGAATTTAATGAAATGCTGTCGATTTTTTCTCTCTGTGTTCCATAAATAATAAATAGTCTCGTCTTCTCTTACTTTTTCTTCGAGCAAGAAATAAAATCAAACTTTTATTTGCAGAGCTCAAATTCGGATTTGATGAAGATAAATGAAATGAATCAACTGGATTTGAAATTTGAATCTGATTCGTGAGTTTGGAACTTTTTTCGAAAATTGAAAAATAATCAAATATTTTCTAGAAGTACTTCAAATGAATTATCATCGAGTATGGCAAAAGAAATAAGCTATGAAGATGAAATTCGGAATTTTGTGGAAAATGTGATTTTGGAGCCAATTTCGAATATTTTTGCCGATCCTTTTGAGTCAGATGAGAAAAAATCGAGAACTGAACAATGGGTTGAAGCGGTTTCGCCCAACAAAATTCTGTCAGATGAGACGGAGAATTTGGATCTGATGAATAAAAAAATGAAACTCGAAAAGCAGGTGAATCTTTGAGAATGAAATGATAATTATTTAGGAGAAAAATTGGGTCACGTATACCCCCAATATTTTTTTCATTTTTCATTTTCTAGAAAACCGTGGACTCCTTAATTTCATCTACTGTCTCTCAAAGTTCATTGATCAAATCGTCTTTCAAACAAAACTTGCAAGAAGCTGTCGAAACTCAAAGTCAAATTGATGTAAATGAGGTCGATAAATTTTGGGATTATTTATACGACAAGAATCTTGATTCCATCTCCCCTAATTCGAAAAAAGTTCAAGAGGAAATTGAAGAAAGGTTTGATTTTACAACTTAATTTGAGAAGAAAAACTTTTCAATTTTCAAGGTCTCAATCAAATCTGGCTGATATTCATATGGAAATTGCAAATAGTTCACTATCAGTAAGTTTTCTTCATCATTTTTGCACTGGAAGAACGAAAAATGTTGCAGAACATGACGGAGAAAAACCGGGAAATTGAAGAAATCGAAGAGCGACCGGAAGACTATTTTATGGTTCAACAAATTGCGAAAACTCGAAATATCTCGTCGCAAACATCATTTTACTCTGCCAAGAATCAAAATCGAAATAGATTTTATACTTCGCATGTTTTTGCAAATCAAATGTTCAATAGTTTGAAAATATTATTGATTGAAAGAGATCGAGCGAAAATTGGATTGGATCGACTACCGAATCGAATATTGCAAGAATTGAGCGAAAAGGCGAATTATTCGCAAGCGGTAAGAATTGGGATCGCAATCCTAAAGATAACTGGGAGTTTTTGAATTAGACTCGATTTTGTTTGACTTTTTTCAAAACTTTTCATAATTTCATAACAGTGATGCAAAAAGAAGCACATATAATAACATAGTATCAATGACGAAGTGAGAATACTCGTGACTTGATAGAAATTTGCATATTTGTGCAAATTTTGAATCTATAACGGGAATGTAACTTTCGATTCTTGATGTCATTTTTTAAAGATTGGAAATCGCAAAATTTCGAATAGGAAACGGGAAATGGGTGCTAAAAAACATACATTATAATTCAAAAGTTCTTTCAGAGATATCGATTCACTATGGAGCAAAATAAGGAACGATTGGATCGACGGATCGATGAAGTCTGTTTTCAAAAAACTTCATTTTTGAAATGAAAAATATATTTTTCAGATTTGGAGAAAACTTCGAAAAGAGTCAATCGACGATCCGGAAATACGTGATTTTATAAATGTGTCAAGTAGCGAGCAATTAACTATGAATGCCACAAGAAATTTGCCACTGTGATTTACTTATTTGTGATATGTGATATTTTTACTTATTTGAATAAACAGACATCGTTTTTTCCTGTGTTTCAATGAGATTAAAAAATAATCACTGAATGAATGAAAGTACGGAAAATATTATGTATGCAAATTATTCTAACCAGAAAATTTACATTGGTTACGGTATTCGTTTTCATATAAAAAGACTGGGAGTGGATCATTTTTTGATCGAAGTTTTTTCATTCACCAATGAGATGAAAAGTTTTATTATTTTTTAGGGGCGCAGGGAACTTTAAAAACTATATATGAGCATTTACTTTCATCTCTTCGCTTTGAATAAATATACTAGAAGTCTTAAAAATGCGGTATTTACTCGGAAAATACGTGAAAAACATCGCTGCGTGACCTCAACTATTCGAAAAATGTGCACGTTTTTCATTTTCCGCTTTTAACTTTCTTCAAAATGCGTTTCGAAAAAATATAAATAGATCTCTATGTTCAACTTGACGAAGCGAATTAGATGGTACGCTCAAAATTCACTGAAACTGTCTAGAAGTTGCTGAAAACGCGCTGAAATTTCATGAAACTGTTCAAAAAATTTATCCGTCTGCAAACACCACGACGCACAAACGCACAAATAGCCTACCGTAGTAAAAACAATTCGCGTCTTTTTTTTTTCGAGTTTCTGTTTTTTTTTTCGTTCAAAATCGTCTATTACCATGCGAAACCTTGAAACCACAACATTTTCCAGGGAAAGGCACATCGGCACCAAACCGATCGCCTACATTCAAAGTTTCCGAAGCTGTCTGAATCTGATTTTTCTCGTCCAATGCAAAAAAGTGAAAATGTGACTAATGGTGGTTCAACGAATGGTGTGGTGGCAGCCAGCGTTGGCCACCACACCAGTCCTGACACGTGCGCAGGGAAAAATATTCAAGTAAGTCATTCATTGGTTTTTGCTTGATAAATCTAAATCGGGGGACGAATTCGGCAAATTGCCAAATTGATAAGATGCAATTCCACGAAATGAAATCGAAGACGGAAATAGTTGAGTGCAAAGTTCCGAACTCGTCCAACTCGTTCCTTGTTTCAGAAACAATCTAGTTAAAATACACCCTTCAGTTTCCAGAGATTTTTCTCTAGTAGATCCCTTATCAAAATAAATAAATAAATAATCAAAGACAAAAATGGCCAATGGTCTTTTATTTCCCTTCTTCATAATTTCTCTTCTCTTATTGTTCTACCTTAGTTTAATAAGTACCTGAAAAAAGGGCAGAAAAAAAGACTATGAGACAAACACATATATTGTATACACATACATATATGTATTTTAAATAAATACAATGCGAAGTGATGACAGATTACAAATGTATGAAAATGATAGCGCGCGCCGCATCACAATCAATGACTTTTTCGTCACTTCTTATTATGTTTTCTTATTATTATCTTCTTCTTCTTCCTCTCTCTCTGTGTTTCTCGCTCTCCCATATTTTCCCTAACTTGACTTGACCATTCAACCAACCAACCAACCCACTTCTGGAATCCATCTCATTTGATAATTCAATCTAATACTTTCCTATTCTTTTTCAAAATGATGAGTAAACGTGCTTAAAGTGCAACTTATCACAACTTACACTTCGATCTTCTAACGACAGAATTTGAAGAAAAGACGAAGAAAAACTAGTTTGAAATATTATTGTTTTCAATTCTTTTACTGAAATTTATCACCATATTTATTTATAAATTCTTGAGAAATTCGATTGATTTTTGTGGATGCGGCGGTTACGAAGAGGTCATACTTATGAAGAGGTAAGAGCAAAAAAGATTCGCTTTTTCTATTGGTTTCTTTTAATGTATAAATTGCTCCTTCACTTCAAAGTTCTTGCACGAAATAGGTTAACTTTCGGTTTCTCTAGTCTGTCCGAGACAAAAAACGGCCAATCAAAAATCGGGTGTCCCGAGGTCATTATTATTTCCGAAATAATATTTGATCTCAAGATCACATGTTCGCAAGAAAAACTGAAACTTATCACGACGTCAGACGTTCAGAGAACATTTATCAAAAAAAAATGGTTCCAGATTGGGATTTGAACCTGGGTCAAGAATTTTTGCTTCATAAATAACAATTGCACGCCAAACGTTTAACTTTTAAGGGTTATGGACGACTTTAGGTGCAAATTAGGCGAGCCTATGAGTTCTAGTTGTCAAGAAGCTGAAACTAGAGAACACTCTGGATAAGCGATCTTCAAAGCTTTGTATAGCCTAGTTTTCAAGCGTCTGGAGAACATGTTTGTCTAGGATCCTATGTCTAGTCGAGAAGTTTTAGTTCAGAAGTTGAAATAAGGAAATTCAATCAAAACTGTGGAATCTTCTAGTTTTTTTTTTGAAAAAAAGTCATTCAAGTAGTGTAGTTTCATTTGCAAAAAATCTAGTTTCCCGAATTACTATAAGTTTGACAAAAAATCAAGGTATCCAAGAAATGAAACCAGTTTTCTTTCTGGCTGAAACCTTTCTTATATATTTCTCTCGCCTTTCTGTACATAAATGCCAGTGATTTTCATCGCTTGCGGTATAGTTCTAATTGCTCGCACTGTTTACGTAACTATACGAAAATTCCGGAATAGAAAACGAAAAATTGGAAGAGGAGAACAGGTAAATCGATCATAGATATAGATTTAGCAAGTTTTTGCGTGCGTGTAATCTTTGGTCACGCCAGTTTCTTTTTTTCGCGAAAAAACTACAAAACAAATCTAACCTTGATCGGAAGGAAAAGAAAGATAGACGATTCAAAGTACCTGTTATATTTTAATTAATTTCAGGATGCTCGAGACTTCGGATGCGGCCTTGCCGATCTTCGCGGACTTATGGAAGCTCGTGGAGCCGAGGCGATAGTTCGGGTAAGTTATGAACAAGAATGAAGATACAAAAAAAACTAACCTGATAATTTTCAGCTTTCCAATGAACACGATGGTGTTGAGGGATTGTGCGCCAAACTCAAAACTGATCCTTTGAAAGGATTAAGTGGCGAGCAAGCGGATCTTGATAAACGTCGTCATGTTTATGGAGCCAATACTATTCCACCGGCAAAAAGCAAGAGTTTCATTCGACTCGTCATCGATGCTTGTAGAGTGAGTTTTTTTTGAGGAATCTAGGGGCTAAATTTTCTGGAAAAATTTGAACCAGATTTTTCCCAGAATATGAAGAATAGGAATGATTTTTTATTGTTTTTTCACGTTTCAAACAATCCACATTTTCCAAAATATATATTGATTTTTTAAAATCAAAATTTGTCACATGTTTCAAAATTAAATCAATTATCCAACTAAAATTAAGCTTAAATGTATATAAAAATTTATTTTCGAAAGTTTCTGAACTTCCAAAAAATCAACGAAACTTCTTTAGCTTTTTACAGTAATTTTTTCACATGAATCACACGATTCATCAAAAAAAATGATATCATTCGGTCAAAAAAAAGAGATATTATCAGATGCGGAAGACAGTTTATTGGTTTTATGATGAATGATTTTTTGATCATCAATTAATTATTCAAATAAATAAATAATAATATATTCTAGTTTGGTCACACCTTTGAAAAACAGAAGAATAATAAAAACGTTGATTTTTTCTACAGGATCCAACTCTAATTATTCTGGTTCTCTCTGGTTTTGTTAACCTCGCTCTATCATTTTACGAACCTAGTCCAGTTTCGGAAGATGATTTGGTGTCGGCTGTTGTGAATGCAACAACTGTTGCCACAATTGCTCTTTTGAACGGAACGATTGCTTCGACAACTGAAGCGCCATCTGAAGGACACGGAACTGCTTGGATTGAAGGTGTTGCTATTCTTTTGTGTGTTATTGTTGTTGTTTTGGTGACAGCTATCAATGATTATTCGAAGGAACGACAATTTAGAAGTTTGCAGGTATGAATTATTGAAATTTTGTTTTTAAATCAAAATTTCAGCTTTACCATTTCATAACTTTTTTTTCTAAAAGTTTCTGAGATATTTCAAAGTCTTGACGGAACAAAATTTGAAAATCATGTTTTTTGAACTTTCCACGTCATAACCTTTTTCATTTTTTTCTAGAAAAAATAATTCAAACATTTGGTCTTACAACGGTCAAAATGTTCCCCCATCAAAAATCAAATTTGTCTTTTTTCCAGGAAAAAATCGAAACAGGTCAAAAGTTCTCCGTCATTCGAAATGGTGAAGCAATCGATGTTCCAGTCTCGGATTTGGTTGTTGGTGATATTGCGAGAGTTAAATATGGTGACTTGTTACCAGCTGACGGATTCTTGATCCAAAGTAATGATCTTAAGGTAAGGCCTTTTAATATACAACTATTTTCTGAAAACCCACTCCTGTTGTTTTATTTTCAGATTGATGAATCATCGTTGACTGGCGAGTCAGATCACATCAAGAAAAGTGTTGAATCGGATCCGGTTCTCCTCTCTGGTACTTATGCTATGGAAGGATCTGGAAAAATGGTGATCACTGCTGTTGGTGTCAACTCTCAAACTGGTATTATAATGACTTTACTTGGTGCTGGAAAAACTGGCGTTGATGATGATGATTCGACTTCTAGTGGGTTTTTTTTGAGAAAAAATTTAATTTAAATTGAAATTTGCTATTCTCAAATCGGAAATTGAGTCATGAAGTGGCAATTTTTTTGAAACCTGGAAGTCTTTTTTCTTAAAATCATACCTCGTTCAGGAATACTGATACAGAAATTTTTTTCATGATTTCATCTAAAAATAATTGGAAATTGACAGTTTGAAAAAATTTCGCTCTGCAATTTCAGGTTCTGAATGTGGTATGCCTAAAATTTCCACATAAAAATCAACATGACTCGAAAAACCACAATGTTATAATAAATATGTTATAAACTGCCACGTCATAGCTAATCTATTACTGTTTTCAGCCTCGTCCTCGTCTTCTTCCTCATCTTCCTCTTCTCGATCCTCATCAAATGCAACATCATCAGATTCCTCAAAATCCGATGATGATTTGAGTGCAAAATCGGTTCTTCAGGCCAAATTGTCTAAACTCGCCCTTCAAATCATTTATTGCGGTAAATCTTATTTGATTTTTCTGAATATTCAAACCCCGTTATTTTTCCAGGAACATCAGTTGCGATTGTTGCGTTAATTGTGCTTATAACCCGCTTTTGCATAGAACATTACGTTGTGGAGCGTAATGAATTCTCACTCATCGATATTCAAACGTTTGTCAAGTTTTTCATTATTGCTGTCACCATTCTTGTCATCTCAATTCCTGAAGGTCTTCCATTGGCAATTGCACTTGCTCTTACCTATTCGGTCAAAAAGGTGAGCATTTTTTGGGAAAACGAATACAGAACTTTCTAAATTTAGAACTGTTTAAAAATGTTTGACCCTGAATTTAGAAAATTTAGAGATTTTTTAACTTTTTCAAATTAAAATTTGTTTGCAGATGATGTATGATAACAATTTGGTTCGTCACTTGGATGCTTGTGAAACAATGGGAAATGCCACCTCAATTTGTTCGGATAAAACTGGAACATTGACAACAAATCGAATGACTGTTGTTCAATCTTACATCAATGGAAATCATTATACTTCGCAAGAAACTCAACCACATGGAAACTCTCTTCCTGGAATAACTGGACCAATTTTGATGGAAGCAATCTCTGTGAATAGTGCGTATAATTCAATGATTGTTGAACCAACAAAACCCGGAGAGCAAATGCAACAACTTGGAAATAAAACTGAATGTGGATTGTTGGGATTTGTGAATCGATTGGGCGGTGATTATTCAGCTATTCGTAAAAAGTATCCCGAACATGATTTATTCAAAGTTTACACTTTCAATTCGTCGAGAAAATGTATGATGACTGTTATTCCATTAATTGAAGATGGAAAAAATATTGGATATCGAGTTTATTGTAAAGGAGCTTCGGAAATTGTATTGGGAAGATGTTCGTATTTGATTGGATCTGATGGAAAACCGCATAAATTGACAGATGATCGATTGAAAGAGATTACAGCAACTATTATTCATGAAATGGCTAATAATGGATTGAGAACTATTTGTTTGGCTTATAAGAATTATGTGAGAAAAGGAACAAGAGAAGCTGACAAAACTGAGGTAAGCAATCTTTGAGATTGAAAATGAACTTTTGGCCTGGAACTCAACATTTTCAAAAATAAAAAATACAATTTTTATAGCTCGAATTCACCGAAGAATCTGATATCGATTGGGATGACGAAGAAGAAATGTACAAAAACTTCACCGGAATCGCAATTTGCGGAATTCAAGATCCAGTTCGTCCCGAAGTCCCAGCCGCCATCTCAAAATGCAAAAAAGCTGGAATCACAGTCAGAATGGTTACTGGAGATAATATCATGACAGCTCGTGCAATCGCTCAAGCTTGTAAAATCTTGGAACCTGGAGAGGATTTCTTGGCTTTGGAAGGAAAAGAGTTCAATGAGAGAATTCGGGATGCAAATGGAAAAGTTTCGCAAGCAAAATTGGATGAAATTTGGCCACGTCTTCGTGTTTTAGCAAGAGCTCAACCAGCTGATAAATATACTTTGGTTAAAGGAATTATCGATTCGAAAGCCACGCCACAACGTGAAATAGTTGCTGTAACTGGAGATGGAACAAATGATGGACCTGCGCTGAAAAAAGCTGATGTTGGATTTGCTATGGGAATTGCTGGAACTGATGTTGCTAAAGAAGCTTCTGATATTATATTGACTGATGATAATTTCACATCAATTGTTCGAGCTGTTATGTGGGGAAGAAATGTGTATGATTCGATATCAAAGTTCTTGCAATTCCAATTGACTGTCAATGTTGTTGCAGTTATAACTGCTTTTATTGGAGCTGTAACTGTTTCAGATTCGCCATTAAAAGCTGTTCATATGTTATGGATTAATTTGATTATGGACACTTTGGCATCTTTGGCATTGGCAACTGAAGCACCAACTGATGAATTATTAGAGAGAAAACCGTATGGAAGAAAGAAATCATTGATTTCAAGAACTATGGTTAAAAATATCCTTTGCCACGCAATTTATCAATTGGTTATCATCTTCACAATCTTCTTCTATGGTCCTCAAATTTTCAATATTCGTTCCGGTCTTTATGCTCCACTTTTTGCTCCACCAAGTCAACATTTCACAATTGTATTCAATGCATTTGTTATGATGACTATTTTCAATGAAGTAAATGCGAGAAAAGTTCACGGAGAGCGAAATGTTTTCAAAGGATTGGCCAGTAATCGAGTCTTCTGTGTTATTTGGATCACAACTTTTATCGCTCAAATCATTATCACACAATTTGGCGGTGCCTGGTTCTCAACTCATCCACTTTCATGGGATCAATGGGCTGTTTGTTTGGCACTTGGATTTTCGACATTAATTTGGGGACAAGTTGTTGCAACTATTCCATCGAAAAAATTGCCAAAGACTTGGAAAGTTGGAAAAGGAGAAGTTGAGGCGGCAAAGATTCATATAAACGGTGATTATAATGTGAGATCTAGATCAAGAGCATTGACTTTGAGAAGAAGTGGAAAAACATTGTGGATGAGAGGAATGTTCTTGATTGGGAACCATGTAAGTTTGGGAAGTTTTTGGGTGAATGTTTGAGAAATATAAAAAAGAGAAAATTGGTTTTTTCATACTGGAATTTGAAAAAAATCTGGAATATTTCGGCATAGAATCTTGAAAAATGTTTTCTTATAACTTCGGCCCAAAAGCCTCAAATGCTCCACTAAAGAAGTCTTGAAAATTTCGCCTCAAAAACGCAAGAAAAAGGATTAAAGCCCATGAAATGTGCCCATAAAAATGTAAAAATTTTTGACCCAAAACCTTCCGAAGATTTTGGACAGAATTTTCAGACTTTCCTATTTTTTCTAGAATTTTTATCCTAGCTCCAAAAACTCTCCTACCTTCTCATCCTATATTTTTTCAGTTGCGTGTCCTCCGCGCCTTCCAAACCGACAAAGCATCCGGATTCGGTCGAACCGCTCCAGCAATGACAGCCGAAGCCGCCGAAAGATGGCGCTCAAGTTACCGTAAATATCGTCACCAAAAACATCAAGAAAAACGCGCGGCCGCCGAAACTTCTGAAAGTGTAAAATCAGCCGATTGGTCGAAAGAACAAAAGGAGAAAAGAAAGACTTTCAAACAAATCAAAAAAGTTGTTCGCGGAAAAAGTGTTGATCAACCAGATGGAAAAAAGGTTGGACATTTTCAAGATTAAAATTAGCAATGTATAAAATGTTTGCAATTTCAGCACCATAAAAAACGTGGCGATCAAAATCAAACCAGCATTGAAATGGACGACATTGATCTAAATTAGACCAGAATTTGAAAACTTGACAAACATAATTAATTAATTAATTAATTTTGCTTCACCCTGCTTCTTCGCTCATCCCTTTTTTGTATTATTTTGTGTTTTTTTGCCCCAAAACCAGACTCATCAGCTATTTGAATGCGTGTACTTATATAATTTAGATTCCATGTTATTTTTTTTGTTTTAACTTTTTACTTGCCCTGTTTCATTTTGTCAAATATCCAGAAATTCCACATTTAGCGCTTCTCTGCTAAAGTTTTTTCTCGTGTTTTTTTGTTTTTTTGTTTTCTTTTTTTCGTTTATCAATTTGAAATGAGAAATACTGTAACTTATGACGTATAGGCCTGTAAGCCTGCGAAAACAATAAAGATTTTTGTGTTTTGTTTTTGGTCTTGTCAAAGTTTGCTCTTAGGATTGGGTAGACTTTTATTTTTGTTTTCCTTCGATTCGAAAGAGGAAGTTTTTGTGGTTATGCGAATTTTTTGGCTCCTTTTGATTTTATCGATTGGATTCAGGTGATTTTCTTAAATTTTGAAACAAATGAACATTTTTTTCTGAAACTGAAATCTTATCTCTCATTTATAAATCAATACATTTTCAGTCTTGCCACTCTCTCCCACCGTAATCGCGCCAAAAAACGTCTCAAAACCTCATCCCGATCTTCAGCTCCACTCACACAATTTTTCAAAAATGCCAATTTTTTCAGAACAAAAATTGAATAAATAATTTGTATTTATTTCCACGTGATCTATTTTTTTCTCTAGCAAAAAAAATTGCCACGTGGTTTTTCGGTGTTTAAAAGGCGACGAAATTCAGTTTTTTGTGTATTGTTCACAATTTTTTTTATAATAACTGATGGCAACTGAAGCAGATCAAGCAAGAACTAAACGTCGTTCAAAAGTGAGTCTTTCGAATTTCAGCGCGAAATTGAGATAGTGCGGCACGAGAAACATACAATTTGTCAACGGAGCACACTTACTCTACTGGTTTACTCAATTGAGTAAATGCGCTCTGTTGATAAATAACAATTGTGTTTTCATTTTTCGTAAAAGTGTTTCTCATCAAAATTCAACATTCTAGATCGAAGCATGGTTGCAAGATGTGGTAACTCGGCTAAAAAAATGGACCCCTGGTCATTGTCAACGTTTGTTTCACGAAAAAGAGCTGGTCGAGTTGTGCTATCGAGCTCGCGAGACTTTTTGGAAAGACAACACGAAACTCGATTTGGAGGCGCCAATTAAAATTTGTGGCGATATTCATGGTCAATTTGAGGATTTGTTGGCATTATTTGAATTGAATGGATGGCCGCCAGAGCAAAAGTAAGTGGAAGGCTAGAATTCTGTAAACCTAATATATTTTTTGGGTCGTGGAAGTTTTATAGAAAAAAGTCCCCTCCGCGGAGATCCGATTTTCAAAGTTCCTACCCCTTAGCCTATAATCTTGCAGATATCTGTTCCTTGGCGACTACGTGGATCGTGGTCCATTCTCAATCGAAGTCATCATTCTTCTTTTTGCTTTCCAAGTTCTTTACCCCGACAAAGTCTCGCTTTTACGTGGAAATCACGAAAGTCGACCAGTCAATATGCAATATGGTTTTTTCATGGAATGCAAAAAACGTTATTCGGTCAATCTTTATGAATGTTTTCAATTGGCCTTTTATTGTATGCCACTTTGTGCAGTTGTATCAAATAAGATTATTTGTATGCATGGTGGAATATCGGAGGATTTGGTTGATTTGAGGCAACTCGAAAAAATTGAACGTCCTTGTGATATTCCGGATATTGGTGTCATTGCTGATCTCACTTGGGCTGATCCGGATGCGGTGCGTTTTTTTTTCGGAATTTGGAATTCAAGAGAGAGAAATTTGTAAAAGTTCGAAAACAAGGTTCATTTTTTCAGTCAGTCACCGGTTACCAAGATTCGCCACGTGGCGCCGCCCGTGTTTTCGGCGTCGATGCTGTCAAATCATTTTTGAAAATGCACAATTTGGAGCTGGTTGTCCGTGCTCATCAAGTTGTCATGGATGGCTACGAATTTTTTGCTGACAAATCGCTTGTCACCATGTTTTCAGCTCCATCTTATTGTGGACAATTTGAAAATGCGGCCGCTGTTATGTCGGTTGATGAAAAAATGGTTGGTTTGAAAATCTGGAAATTAAAAATATCTGACTATTTTTCAGCAATGCACATTTGTGATTATGCGTCCGGATTTGAAGAAGAAGAATACAGCGGATGCGAAATGAGAACAAAAACTTGAATAGGAAGTGAGATTTTTTTGAAAATAAAATTTTTATTGGGAGAATTTTGATAATCTGCTTGAACTACAAAAAAGTTTAACCATTGAAAGCCGTCTCCGAGTGAGCGAAAACTGACAAAATTGTGGATCGGAAAAAATGTCGCAAATTCTGCTTTGAAGCAATATAAGACATGGAAATTACAAATGGTAGGAGATGATATAAAGCGAACATCGACATGTCAAATATTTGCGATATAATTATATTCTGATAATCAAGGTGAATAAGTAATTGAGATAGGCAAATGGTTATGGTGTAAAACTGCAAAGAATTTAAAATTTGTTAAATTCATGGCAAAAAAATTCATCAGAAACTCACCAACTGATGAATAGAAATGGGTGAAAATTGATAAATGAAACACATTTCAGTTGCTTGATCATTTAATTGTTTAACTAATCGATAAATCGAAATATAAATCCAATTTGTTATGAAAATCAATAAAAGAGTTGAAATATTCAATATTTCAATAATCAATGTATCACTAAAATTATCACATTTTTCAAAAGTATGCATTCTGTTCATATCACATTGAAAAACTCTGAAATACGCAAATAAAAGTGATAGAAATATTGTTATTTTTATATATAAATCCATGTATTTTCCAATAAAATATTTATAATATTTTTGATAATGAAGAAATATGTATCTTTGAATTGCAAGTAAAAATAACAAAAAAATGACTGGAAATTGAAAAATGAGTGGTAAAACAGCGTTGATTATTGCAACGACCAAATAAATACAGAGGAAAAAGTAATTGTTGGCGTCCATGTTTTTAGCAATAAGACAAACATAACCAATAAATGTACAACCAAGTATAAATTGAACAAAATAGGACAAATATTTTGTGATTTGAGATTCATTTTCAGTCGATTCGTCAGATCGATATTTGTAAACAAGAAAAAGTATAAATGAAAGAGTTGATATAAAATCGATAAAACAAATGAAACCTAGATATATTTTTGATATTGTTATTTCATTGGGATTTTGCATTTTTATTCGAGAATAAACTTTAAAAAATATAATGATTTAGATGGAAAGGCAGGTGTTTTCGTTGGACTTTGTTCCGAAAAGTTTTTTTTTTCAATTTCAAGATTCAGACATCATAAAGTTCGAGAATCTTGTAGATTCCACATATTCATGAAATTTCGGTTACTGTGAATAAAAACTTCGGATGAACACGGTATACTATACTCCTAAATTTGTTAAATTTTAAAAATCTGGTTACTGTAGCATAATATTTTGTAGATCAAAATAATGGGGAAAATACATGTTACAGTATGAAGATTACTGTATACAGCTGTAGATAATTGCCATAAATCATTTCAAATTTGATGCAAAAATTTGGAATAATGTAATTCAAATGATCGTAACTGTCCTAGAAATTTGGAGATACTAAAAATTCGGTTTTCTGAAAAAAATTTCGAAAAATGGCGGATTACTGTATTTCTAAAAAAAACGCAGACAATTTATCATATTGACACGTTTCGAAATAATATTCGAAGTTAAATAAATAATTTTTTCACTCTTCAAACTTAACCAAAAACAACTGACTTTCACAACTTTCGATAAATTATATAATTAACTGAGCAGCTGTTTGTTTTTCGTTCCTCTGTTTGGTTCCAAAAAAAACTTTATGCAAATCATGAACGGGTTGGAATGGAATGTATATATCAAGACAGAAATTATTATTAGTTTTGAAATTCGAAAATCAAAAATAAGTACACATATTCAGGCGAAGTGAAAAAAAGGTGGCAAGAGAAAAAAAACATAACAATAGAAGAAAAGATCTTTGACGGGGGTTCGGGAAGAAAAGGCGTTTTGAAAATAAAATCACAGTCAGTCAGACAGAGGAGATTGGGAATTAATATAATTTATATGTAAATAAGGATTCTCTCTAAATATTTAGATCACAGGATCTTTGGTTTTACAGGGCAGGCAGGTCGTGCAATAATTGCTACTATTTCTGAAGATTTGATGAGAAATCCATGATTGGAATTGATGAATCATCGATTTGTGGGGTGAAATAGAAATTATTTGTGGCGAATGGATATCCTCCTGATGATGTCATTAACATTGGTTGTGTTGTTGAAGTCTGGAAAAAAAATTGATGAATTTTTGAAACTGATTTAGAATTTAAATTTTTCGAAACTTCTGATTTTATTTATGAATTTCTGAATCCCCAAAAGCCCCTTCTAAATTTACCTTCATTCCCCAAACAGTGGCCGCAGCAGCTGCATTTACAGATGTATCCAAATCCATTTTTCCCATCGGCGATCCTTCTCGTTTTCCTCCTTTTGTTGTCAATTTTCGATTTCTCGTCTGAATTCCCTCTTTTTTCATCGTCAATGGTCGTTCAACCTGTAACCGAAAAAACGGATTAGATAAAATCTCGGTTTGTTATGATTCCTCTTCCCGCCCGCCTTGCAATTAAAGAGTCGGAAAAGATTTAAGGTGCGCTAAAAGAGGCGAAAAACTGTTGCGCAATTAATTGGTGTGTTGCGATATTTATCGGGGTAGCGAAAGGATTGGAAAAAATAACAAAACATAAATATTGAAGGTTAAATGATTTACCTGATGCAGCTTATAATATAATCCACATGCATTACAAACTGGCTCTCCGGAACCATTTCGTCGCCAAAGTGTTGTTGTGTTCGTTTTGCAATTTACACATGATACGCCGGTTCGTTTTTGAGTGCTCTAGAAAAAACCGAATTTATTGATTGATTTTTGAGGCAGAATCTAGGTTTAGGGAATGTTCGAAATTTTTCGAAGACTAGGATGAGATTTTTTAAAATTGATATTTCAAGTTTTTGAGGTGTAAAACTAATTGTCACCAAAAATCGATCCGTTTCAAATTTTCTGGTAAAAGATAGATTTCAAGGTTGAAAACTTCGCTAAAAATCCACTAAAATCTTCAATTCCCCAAAGAAATGCTCAAAATCTGAAATTTCAGCTCCAAAATTAAAAAACAACTTGGATGCATTTTTGCGTCACCGTATCAACACACACTTTTCCCTCATACAGTACCCAATTTCTCATCAGAGCACATTTTCCAGCGACCTAATTTTTCATCGATTTTTGCTAATTTGTTCCACTTTGTCGTGTCTCTACAGTATTTGTGTTAGGTGAGGAAAGAAATTTGTGAAATGTAAAGAAGAAGAAGAAAACAAAGCGAAAATGAGATAACAATCTATTTTTGAGGGAGACGAAAGAAACTGAAAAAAACATGAAAGGAATAGGAATACTGTATATTGAAATGGAATGTGTAAATATATTGACTGCTTGGTGAGGATAATAAATATGGGAATGATTTTTGAAAATTTATGGGTTCCCTAAAGGTTACTGTAGTGTATGGTTTTTTGAACAAATATTATTTGTTAAAAATTGGAAATAAAAAATAAATCAAGAGTTTTACTCCAAGAATAAAGTCACTTTTTTGCTAATCAATAAACAGTGGACCATTTCTACCTACAGTACCCCTCCCATATTTAATGCAATTTGTCAATGGCCAATGTCATGTGTATGCATTGCGCAAGAGCCACCGCCGACAACTTGATCAATCTTCTCCCTCATTTCACTCCTCTTCCCAGTTCCCTTCACTAACTTTTGATTTTATCAGAAAGGTCACATCCCTTTAAAAAGGAAGAGCGATTTTTTGAAAACTAACCTGTCGCTTTTTCGGCTTCACCAACGGCCGATTTTGTCCGTTCATTTTGTGATATAATCCACAGGCATTGCAAAGATAATGTCCGCCGCCATCTCGCCTCCAAAGTGGCGTGTTTTGAACTCCGCAATTTACACACTCTCGGCCTTCGGTGTTCAGAGGAACTGAAAATATGGAATTATTGGGAAATGGTTTCGATTTTCCAAAAAAAAACTTTCTAAAACTCTAAATTAATTTAAAAAATCGGAAGCTTCACAAAATTTTCATAGGCTCTGATTTTCAGAAAAAAACATGCAGATTTGAAAATCTTAGGTTCCAGTTTAGCTCAAAACAGTTGAAAATTTGAGAAATAACTTTTGTAGAATAACTTTTTTTGGTTCAAAACTGTCTATACTAAAAAAAACTCGTAAGCCTTATCTAACATTCCCAAAGTAGCCCCAAATAGATTCAACTATTTTTCAAAACTCACAACTATTATTGCTAATCGATCGCATTTTCCCGCCACCCATTCCATTTGATCCAGAATTTCTCGGAGTAGATGTTGAATTGGCAGATGAGCTCGACGCCGAACTCGACCCAGAACTCGAACATCCAGCAATCACTGCAGTCGGTGTCAATCCATTATTATTTGTTGCAGTCGATCTTGGAATAAGTGATGCTGTTGTTGTTGCACTTCCATTTAAAGGATCATAACCTCCATATCCCGGGTAGAAATACGATGTGTTTTGTGCCGCCGATGCACCGAAGACTGAAGTGTCAACCATACCAGCTGTAGATGCTCCAAAAGTAGCATCAGAAGTTGTGGAGGTGGGTAGAGAATAAGATGGATAATTGAGAAACATGTTATAGCCTGCAAAAACATACTCGTTTTCAATTTCCTGTTTTAGAGTGAGTGAGTGAGTTTACGTTTTCAATTAACTTGAAAAAAGGGCCAAGAAAAAAATCAAAAAAGAAAAAAAAACTTACTAGTTGGTGTGGTTGCATAATCTTTATAATAAACATTGCCTGGATTATAACCAGTTGATTGAACAAAACTATTATTCACCGAATTATTAGTCACACCAACTCCTACACCAACACCAAGCGATTTGATTGGCGAAAAAACATCATCAACTGCAGATATCTGATTATTTTCCGATAAAACATCGGCCATTGTTTGAGTGTCACAATCCATAATTGAACAGGCTGTTTGATACATTCCAGGTTGGGCGGATAACGCGTGCTCGGCTGTGACGAGTGAAAAATCCGCGGGTTTATATTCACTCATTGCCTGCAAACAATTTTTTTTTGTTTTTGGAAAATTAAACAAAATAAAAGAAGTTGAAAATGAAAATCCAAACAAAAAGTTACGTGGCCACGTTTGCGGACAAAAAAAATAATGTAAAAATCAATGTGAGGGCTTAACTTTTTCCCTTTTCTTTTTTCACATTTCGAAATTTCCCCCCGAAAAATATCATAAACTTTGAAAAATATAGATAGATTATCTGTTCGAGATATAATGAATGCAAAAATCAAAATGTCAGATAACACGACCCAGTATATTTGCAGTGTTGGAAAATAGTTGGGGGCCCCTTGATTCTAAAGAGGGGCGGGGTCTTCGAATCGGCAAAGATTTGTGGGCGGAGCGAAAAGGGTGGAAAATAGGAAATTTTGGGGGAAAATGGGAGAGAGAAAAGAGAAAGAAGGATTTATGAGCTGCTGATTTTTCTCGTATTTTTATTTGTTGTGATGAGTGAAAATGAAGAAGAGAAAAAATTGAGGATAAGATCTGGACACAAGACAAAAATTTCGTTGGACGGTTGTTTTTGACCGGTTCGGAGCGGAGGAAAAAATTCCGAAAAAATGTTTTGGTAAATAAAAAATACGGTTCAGATATTTTGTCGGGATTTTTTTTGAGAAAAAAGTCATAAAAACAAGATCAGCAAGTCTGATTTGAAGTTTGAGGAAAAATGAAAACGGATTGGGAAAATAGAAACTTCAGAATCTAAAGTCTAGATGTTCTTCAGAAACTAAAACAAAAATTCAGAAAAAAAAAACAAAAATTCAGAAAAATTTTTTCAGAACTTTAATGTATACATAGAGCTTGAGTAAAAATCCCTTATGTCAGAAAATCTTTCAAAACCCACATTGAAAAAATCGAGATTGTCCAACTCTTCCAAAGAGTTCGCATCAAAATAATCCATCATCATTTTAAAAAATTCAAATTTCTTGAAATGCCGCCAAAATTTCTTTTAATTTCAGAAAAAAAATAGAGGGTCACGAGTTAATTTTTTCTAAATCTGAATCTTTTCCTATTTTTATTTTTGTTTTTGTTGTGGTTCGCAAATAATTCCCATCGGATTTCAAGAAAAAGCTACCGTATGTTTTTCGTAAAAGAGCCACGCATTTATTTTTCGCTTCATCGAACACCCCATTAAACAAGCCTAATTCGAAAATGAAATCGAATCGAGAATGGGATACTGTAGTCAGTTTTCAAGCGAGAAATATGCTAATTACTTTCAAATTACTAATTAAAATTATTGCTCAATTTGAAGAAAAAAATAAATCGTGGTGTAATGGCGGTTTGCGATTAACATGAAAGAAAAGTGTGTGGAACAGTTGTTGTTGCGCCAATTGTTGGCGCCAGAGTTCTTCCTAATTTATTTTGATACACTATTTAGTGAGCGTGTCTTTTTGGTGTGATAAGCATGCCGTCACACCAAAGTGACACCGATTAATTCAAAGAGTCGGGGATCTTTTGTGTGTGTGTGTGTGTTTGTTTTCCGTGTTGCCGAAAACTTGAATATCGAAATAATTTTAAGATAGCTTACTATACCTCTAACTCAATTGTAAACCTGAGTCTACGTTTATGGTGGCACCGAAAAGTCTCAACCTAGATATTGACTTCTAAAGTTAAATATTTGCAAATACGCTCCATTGAGAATTTGACCGTTTTTGAATAGTTTCGTATTTATGTAAAGACATTTTTAGAGATTGACATGAGCAATACAAAATTTTACAGCAAACCTCGAGAACCGTAGTTTATCTCTAGTTTAATTCCAAAACATTTTAACAATTTTCAATATTTATCTAACAAATCCTCAATTAGAGCGAAGTGTAAGTAACTTACTTTCCCTTGTAAGAAATTTAGACTAACTCTCAGTTTTACTTTATTAAGTCTGTGATTATTATTATTATTATTATTTATTAAGTCTGTGATTATACCTAATCTTTCTCAAAAAAAAAAAATCCAAAGTTCCGTCATATCAAAGACACCTAACACCATGTCGGAATCGGCCTTTGGTGTGATAAGCATGCCGTCACACCATAGTGTTTCCGACGCCAAACAAAAACACGGTGTCTTTGTTTACCGTTTTGTTGTTGTTTACATTCCGCTCGTCAGTTTTTCTTCAACTTGTCGCCTTCAGGAAACTTTTCAATACTTGCCAAAAATACCAATCAATAAATCATTTTTCTTGATTTTTTTTGAACAGTAAAATATGTTATTATTGTTATTGATGAGTTGTAAATTAGGCAAATAGATAAAATCATAAATTTGGTGTTGATGACAAGAGAAAAACCACGGGCCACTGTTTTCCCAAAAGTCGGCGTGCGTGCGTGCCCCAGAAAAAAGTTGCTGGTAATCCAACTAATCCGCTAATCGGAAGTCGGTATCTGAAAAACTACCGTAGGCCCAAACAAAAACCAAAAAATAAGTTGAGAATAATATTCCCCAATGGGCTAACCTCACATCAACTTCATTTTTATCTCATATAATAATTGACTTTTCCTGCTTGTTTTCACCCATTTCTTCTATTTTTTTCGCCTTCTTCATCTGTCACCTATCAAAAAGGCAGTCGGAAAGAAAAAGGCGAAACAACGATGAATCTCGATTAGAAGACCGATTTGAATAGTCTCTGGGGGATTTTCAGAAGGATCTCAGCTCTATTGAGAGAAAAAAGTGTACACAATGCACATTTATTTCAATAAAACACTTGATTTGGGATGTTTTTTCATGGAATGGAAAGAAAAAAAAGGAGGAATGAGACAAATTGGATGTTGCGAATTTTTGGATTACTGTAGGAGAATTTAGGGATTTGGGAGAGATTAATTGGAAAATGTGTTGGACTACTGTAGCTCAGAAATTTTCATTCATAGTTGAGATACAGTACTGTTTGAAACTTTCACTTTTCGAGTCTCGTTTAGAAGTTACTGTGTCTTAGTTAGCGTAATTCTCAGGTACAGTAATCTCTTGAAACATTTTCCAAAGAAGATCATTTTCAAGGTAGATCAAAACACTTTTCAAGTTATCACCATCTACAGTAACCCTCCAAAAACCTATCAATATTCCTAATTTGTTTCAAATACTGTATGCTACTGTAGACGAAGTTTTTTTCGGCAAATCATCAAAAACAATTCCAGCATTCTTCACACCAATGTGGCAGGTGTGGATATGCGGCGCCACGTGGTTTCACACCAAATTTTCGCCGCGCAACTTTCTCTTTGAAATCAATCTACACATCATGTAAATTTATTTCAATGTTTCATCCAAAATAGGGATTAAGTTGTTGTTTTCTCTGTTTTCCACACATCCTCTTATATATAATATAGTAGTATAAATCATTCAAGCATTCTCAATCCATCCATCACACCAATCCTCACACCAATTGATATTTGCATAAAATCTGCACCACCAAAATACACCCACCCGGCTGTTTCTTCACTTGGGCTCTCCCCCTCTGATTTATGTATAATCATCATATAATTCATTAAATACGCGCGCGGCTTTTTGTTTGGTTGCCAAGAAAATTTGGGGAAAGGAAAAGAGGGAAAAAAAGGAAATTGGGAACGATGGGATTAGTTTTGGAAACTATAAGAGAAAAAAAGAAGGGAAATCGAGACCTTCAGAAGTTTCATGATGATATATTATTGTATAACACATTATGCATGCGTGGCGAAAAAAATGAGGAGACATAGAAAAATTACAGTAGTCTTATGTAATCAACATTAATCTTTTATGTAATATTATTATGAGATTGGGATGATTTATTGGTTTTTGGTTTTTTAGGGGAAAGAGGTGGGAAGAGTGAGAGGTTTAAAAAATTGAAAAAAATTAGATTAGGCCCTTCTGAGATCTTTGGTAAACCTATGAATTTTGGAATATCTCAGCTTTAGACTTCAAAAAAAAACTCAAGTCAATTTAGATTTTATCAACTTCAAGGGTTCCGATTCCAAAAAAGTATCCCACCTCCTCCCCAAAATCCAGCAAAATCTGGGTCAATGAAAATGTTGCGGGAAATAAAAAAAGTTTTTGTGTGTTCCTTCTCAACATATTCTTTTTCATCGGCGACAACGAAAAACGAGGCAAAATGTAGATTTTTTGAGCCGATAACCATGACCGTCAACAACAAGAATACCGTATTCAAGACGAGGCGCAAGGCAAAAAAAGAGGACACCGCCTGGTCGCACCAAATAACATTAAGAAAAAGAAAAAGAAATGAGGACAAGACTCGTTTTTCGAAGTCAAGTCCGCGAGGGACGTGGATTTTCTTTCTCAAAAACCGAATACGGTGTAGGTCCTAATCTAAATCGAAAAATCTCTCTCGTGTGTATGTTTACACCCAATTATATTTGGGGGTATCACTGTCCATTTTTTTGAAGATCAAAAAATAAATGTTCACACCAATTATCTTTTTTGGTGCAATTTTCGCCGACATCAATCAAAATAGGAGCTCTGGAAATTTCAAGTAATGGAGAAAAATTAGGAAAACCCGGAACTTGAACTAACTTGTGATCTGATTCAAATCAATCGAATCTAGATTTTGGTGGGAAATCAAGATGTGAGGTTATCAAGATTCGCACCAAATTAAAGACAGCTGGAAGTAACTTTTTTTTTAGTTTAGGCTAAGGTATTAGGATTAGGTATTAGGATTAGGCTTCCGGAGAAAAGATTAAGATGCTAGTCTTGACTTTAGATGTGATTTTTATTAAAATATCTTGTTAGTTCGAAGATTGTATTATGAAAACTGCTTTCAATTTCTGAAATTTCAGAGTTGAGACAAACTTTTAACCATGAAATTTAAAAATAACATTTTGAAAAATCGATAATCTCAGAATTTTTTGACAGATAAACCTGACTTTAGGCTTCTCGGCTTATAGAATCGTAAGATTCTGTAGTCAGAACTATCAATTGTTACAACTCAAAGCTTACAGTAACCCTCGGAAAGAATGAATAAAAGTTCCAAAAACTGATAAAGCAAAATAATTTCTGGCTTACTCACAAGGAAT